TTACTTTTTTTAGTATAATTATATTATATAAGTTCCGAATCTTTTTAAGTCTAAGGTATATAAATCGTTAATAGTACTTAAGGTATTACTTAAGGTCTTTTATAATAGCTATATTATTATCTATTAAGTTATCTTTTACTAGTTTAATAGCTAGTAGAGCTCTTAGGGTTTTAAGTTAACTATAGTTAACTTTTCTAATAGTTCTAATTACTTTCTTATTAAATACTTTAGAGATATATTTTATAATATAAAGACTATAAGATTACTTTACCTTTAGAACTCTTTTATTCCTTTTAGTAATCTAAATATTCTTATTATTAAAAGTTCTATAATAGCTACTCTTATATAATTTCTTTACTAAGTCTAAATTCATACTTAGCTTAAGAATATAAAGTATATTATCTAGAAAATAAGAAGTTCTATCTATTACCTTAACTAATATAACTCTATATATATATAAGTATAATATCTTCCTCTTAACTTAAATATAGACTTTAGATATAAGTCTTAGTTCCCTAAATAAGTAAATTTAATTAGTTATAAATAAACTTACACTTATATTAACTGCCTGGTCTTTAAGAGTACTCTTACGAATTAACTCTTTAGATAATATAACTTTTTTAGTAGTATTATCTTCCTCGTTAGAAAAAGTATTCTTACTAGTGTAGTTAGACTTATTAGATATATTATTATCTAAATTATATACTATTATATAACTCTTTCTTTTATACTTAAAGTAATAAGACGAAAAGCTTTTCTTAATAAGCTTAAAGCGATCCTTTTAGCTAGATCGGAAGTAAGAAGTCTTATCTTTTACTTATAATCTAAGCTTATATATTAACTTAGCTTATTCTCTCTTCTTTTTCTTTAGCTAGAGGTTTTTAGCGTATTCTCTACTAGTAGCTTAGAACTTATAGTTAGTAATAAAGTAATCTTTAGATCTATAATAGTAGTATTTTAGAGCTACTCTAGTTATACTATAATTTAACGAATTACTATCTTAGTAAGAGTAATAGTTAAGGTAATAGTATACTTACTTATATTATTATTAAGTAGTATATACCTATTCCTTACTTATACTTTATAGCTTTAAATCTTATATATAAGATTCCTTTTCTTATAAGATCTTAACTTTCTTATCAATTATTAGAGATTATTAAGTTAAGAAACTATCTACTATAGTAATATATTAGCCTTACTTTTAGAGAGCTAAAGTTATAATTAAGAAGAGTACTTTATTAGAATATATATTCTTTATTATATTATTTACTATAATAATCTTCTATTAGTACTTCTTTAGCTTACTTTATAATCTATTAATATTAATATCCTTATTAAAAGTAAAGTTTTAAATACTTATTATATATTAGTTAGTAATTAATAAGCTAGTCTTATTATACTTTAGCTTTAATTATATCTAAATAGTAGAGGTAATCTTATACTTATTAATAAGTATAATATTATCTTCGCTAAGTTTTTCTAATATAATTTCTAAAGCTTTTATATTATCTTAGTCCTATTCCTTTACTTTATTAAAGTTCTATATTCCTCTAAGTTACTTAAATCTTATAGTAATCTTATTTACTTTTAAGTTAAATAATATCTTAAAGGTAATAGCTTTAGCTTTACTTTCTCTTTCTCTTAGGATTTATATATATTTAGTTCTAATTACTTTAATAGTATAAAAGACGCTTTTACTCTTAATCTTAACCTTTATATAGCGAAACTAGTCTTTATAGTACTTCTTACTTAGAGTTAATAAGTACTTACTATATTTTCCTATTTTATATATCTATTAATATATAGAAATTAATACTTTTTAATTAGATAGTTTATATATATATATAATTAATAAAGAGTTTTAATATATTATTAACTTAAGGTTATATAGAAATTACACTTAATTTTATAATTATAAGTAGCTTTCTTTATATACTACTTAACTTCTTATATTTATATAAAGCTTCCTCTGAAGTCTATAAGTTGTATAATTATTATAAGACTCCTTTTAGAGCTTATAAGTTATTTAGTTAGTTATAAGAGTACTTCTTACTTAGCTTCTTAACTTATTATTATTAGTACTCTTACTTAGCCTCTTAGTCCTTCTTACTTAGACTAGTCTCTCTTCTTACTTTAAGAGATTTAAATTAATTACTTTACTTTTATTAATTTACTTATCTTAATTCGTTTACTTAGGGCTTATAACCTCTTAAAAGGTATAGCTTACTATATAGTATATTTATAGGGCTAAGTAAGAAAGACTAGATAATAATAAGTAAGACTATTTATATTAGATAATAGAGTTAACTATAGTTAACTCTTTTACTCTATTATAAGTTTTCACCTCTAGGAAGTATATCTATAGAGCTATATAGAACTATTTATAGAAGAAGCTATAGTATATAAAGAGTTAAGTACCCTTAACTAAGCTATCTTTAGCCTAGTGGTGCACGTGATATCTAGCCTGAATCCCTTTATATTCTAATAGTTTCTCTATATAATAAGAGAGAGTATTAGATGCGATTTCATTAGCCTTATGTATTTTGCTAGTAAATTTGTATATAGAGGTATATAAAGTAATATAGACCCCCTGCCGTGCTCGCTTCGCACACTAGGCCGCACTACCCCTGCTAGCGTATTAATATCTTAGCGGACGAAGGGATACCTTAACCTAACCCTCAGATGCAGCCTTCACGAATGAGAGCTCCTGAATGGTTGCTTGGCTCAAGGATTAGGAGAGTTGGGAGAGCTGGAGCTGCATAGTTTAAAAGCCGAATCGTGACAGCAAGGTGGTCAGTGCTCTGTGTTACTGCCTCAACCTCAACCTGGATACTCAACCTTCTCACGTGAGGCATGCTCATTCTCAAGCCATACCTTAAAAGGTACCTTAGGTAATGTTATAAGGTGTGCTTCTATTCCTTATTTGTCCCGTCAGGAAGCAATTCACGAGCACAGCAGCTTCTGCCCTGGCTACTACAATTTGCATGGCGGTTCTGGAACAGGAACCAGCAAGCAAGGATACCTGTGGCTACTATGCGTCTATTGTGGAACTTTTCCTTCTCATGCTTCTGTTTTCTGCATTATTCCAGACAGGTTGAAAGCTATACAACGAAGGTCAGAAGTTCACGTTTCACATCTGCAACAAATCAACGATCTACGAGGGACTGACGAGCCTGGACTCTTCCAGGAAGGACCTGGTGGACATTATTTGGATGCTTTCTCGAAAAGGTGAGATTCTGAAGACACTGGTGACAAAGTGTATTTCATATCTGTTCTTGAGGAATGACTACCAACGTTCCCTGGTTGCGCCACGAAGAATCCACGTTTCCCCCAGTACCTAGACTCATCGCATTCCATAAGCTCTACGTCAAGTTGCTGTGTGAACCAAACCGCCTCTCAGCACTGCAGTAGTGCAGTCTGGACAAGCATCAAACCACTTCTTGCCTCTGTTGCGATATTGACTGTTATTGTGCTCGAACTGCTGGAATAGTTTTTGGAAATGATTGCGAGGCATTGGGTACTCGGAACGGGCGAAGTGGGGAAAGTATTGAGAGGTGAGTGCTGGGAGTTGATCAGCAACCACGTCAGGCGGCTTCGGATTGTATGATTTCTACATGCTACCACTCTGCGGTGTTTGACATAATCTGGGAAGCTTGGCCTACTCTCTCCTTCGGTAATCAAGTTCGCTTCGAGACGAGATCAAAGGCAATGGACTTAGTGGTATGTCTTCGGAACTTGTCTTTCAGATTCTCAATTCGTATCTCCCAATGTACCTCTTCACTGCCTAGTCCTTGCCATTCGGACTTCCTGTCACGCTTGAGTCAAATATCACGGCCACGGCGGAAATCATCATCCTCACTCCTCGAGATAGGGTCTCTGACTCTTGTCCTTGCCCAGATGACAAAGTGCCGAAAAATTGCCAGCCCCTTGAAGCTAACTCCTGACACAGGGGATATGATGCAGTCAATACGGTATGCTAATAATTGATTATACATTGGTTCTATATTTACATCTCATGAGTCGTCTTGGGACTTTCTAAACGAAATCTCAACAGATGCTACTTGGGAACATTTCGCCAGTATTCTCTGCAGTATCACGCTCAGAGTCATCTCCAAGTTCAAGACTGGGCACCAAATTTCCACATGGGCCATGACGTGATTTTTTGACAGCATCTGCTATGCTGATTGCTGGGTCGCACTCCCAAGCTGGCCATGTTCAGTCCCCTGCAAAGGTGCTCGAGAACCCTTGAACTGTTCAAATGAGGTGGACCATGCCCTGTTTGGTTTAGGAAGTACCAAAACGGATCGCCGAGCCCTGATCGAAAATACAAAGGACCCGAGATTCGGGATAAAGCTTAGAGTTAAATTGCTATCAATCAAGCTTACTGTGGCCCTGAATCCTGTTCAGTCATCAGATGAAACAAGCATTCCCAGCTCCCGGGTCGGCCTATGCTTGGCATCAGATATGCCCACTGAAGCCCCCCACTATTAAGCTATTTCAGGTCATAGTATGATTCATACAGCAGTACAAGGTACTGTTCATGCACGGCCGGTGTCCATGGCCCTATTCAAACTAAGTACTCCATAGTTTTGGAGGACCTCAGATACGCGAGCAAACGGCCACGAGCTTCGCCATGGGCACGAGGTCAAACTTGGAGAGAACACGACATGGTTAGCCCCAGAGACTGCTTGATTTCGATGTTACCGACGATTTATCAGATGAGATTCATCCAAACTTGAACTTCTCGATTGAGAACATGAATCGTGCACACCAGGGTTGATCAACCGCACCGAAATTCTTCCTCCATCATCTGCGGTGTTCGGAATTGGGACCAGAAAAGGAGTAAGTGATATTGCTATATAAGAACCTGATTCACACTCCCTCATCCCCTCCATCTCATCAACAGTCTCTCGTTCAACACATTCGTTCAGCACGCTCGTTCAGCACACTCGTTTCCAACCAGCACACTCCTTTACCAAACATCACCCACCAACACCAAAATGCAATTCTCGTCAGTTATCGTGGCTCTCTTGGCCTCCACGTAAGTAGTTTCCATAAACAGTCATGTGCCCAACGCCCTTCCTCGATGGCTATATACTTATAAACTACGTAGTGTCGCCGCAGACCTCCACACCAGGCTCACCTGTCTGAACTATTCCCAATCCGTTCTTGGAGCCGGTGCTTCTCAGGCAGGCACGAATGATGCTGCGACTATCGCAGCCTGTAACGCTTACAAACGCCGCAATACTGGAAACAAACAGTGGGATACCTGCCCGGATTGCACCGTTATTCAGAACAACCAGATCAAAGCTTGCCAGTCGAATGGGAAGCATCTTGGAGGCGATGAGTTCCTCTTGTAAGCTAATGTGACTTTCTGTTGTTGTATGAACATGTACTGATTATTGCGCAGCTACTGCAAGCAGAATGGTGCGAATTCCGCTGCATAAGTGGTTTCTTATCCATGCATAGGTGATTGAGATGAGAAGACAACATTGCGGAACCGACAAGGTTCTTTATCTGAAGCCGACTGATGCTTTTGGGTGGCTTGAGAATGTGGGGTAGATATAAATTGAAGATTCATTGCTTAGCATCCGATCCCTGATAGAAACTATGCAATGCAAATACTCCTCAATTCAACGATACCACCCAGATTTGGCATCTGTCTCAAATTTGACACCTGGACGAGTGATCTGATCCAGCTTCGCTTGAGGTATCGCCATTGACCATTTATAATGCTGGCCGGATCACTAACGCCCTGCACTATACGCTTTCTTCATTGTTTGCGCTGTGGTAGGAGCGGTAGGACATCTGATTTCACGCAAAAAGTAAACAGTTTCTTGTTGGGCGAAGCGAGCCACGGTCCAATCGCTTGTATCTCCACCAGGGAAGCAGTTATTCCAAGGCACCTCGTGGTCTGCGAGCCTCCCGTATGACCCTATTTGTCTGGTGCTTCATCTTCAACAAGTAAATTAGAAAGAGCATCGGCTCCTGTCTTTCGCCAAGGACAATATGCTGGAGTGCAGCAGCCAGGTGAAGAACAATTCAAGCAAGTCATAGTGTTTCCGAACTTGATGCCGAAGTCCAGTGCTTTTCAAGCACTGCTACGTCTCTGGTCGCAGGATAATCGCCCTTACCAACCTGATCATTGACGGCTGGTGGTACCTTCCCCTCGGGATCGTTCCACACGAGTTGCGGTACTCGTAGGCCTGTCTGATAAGGGGCGATGAAAGTACTGTACTGTAGGTTAGGGACGCTCAGGAAAGATCACCACCTATCAAAGCAGAATGCTCGAGGCGTAAATCCCTCTTACTTCCTGTTGACATCGATGGACATAGGCTAGATTCAGGTGACCCGTATCTATGACGATTTGGCCACGTCCACATGCTACAAGATTTGCGATGTTGGACTCTCCAAGACACTTTGTTGCTCGCCTGCAGCGATCTTGACATGAAACCTGTTGCACAGCCGAGCTTGGCGCGACTAGGCATCAAGTAGATCAATATTGGCATACCACAACACTTACCCGCATTGGCGAATGATATATCTGGTGGTATGCGGGCGCTGAACCCTTAAATATGAAATTCATTCTTGCTTCCGTTCTTTCGGAGACGACATTAGCACCGTACAGTAATCATATCACTTCCCCTCCACTCCTTCCAGCAAAGCCCACCTGCGTGCCGAACTCGAGGAAATCAGACAATCATGAAGACTCATACCCACTACGAGCGCTCAAGCTCACCTTGGAATCGGACAGTCATCATATGGCTATGGTCTTTCCAAGTCATCGGCTCCATCATCGTCACTGCCTTCGCTGCAGCTCTCCTGGTAAGTCATTATGTTCTTTGGCGCTTCTAGCATGGAAGACTGCTGAGATTGATGTTAGGACCGGAGGGATGGTCTCCAACAGCGCTGGGATGATGGCTTAGCAGATGCTTTGTTCTTGATGTACGCAACATTGTCTCCAGTCCCATAACAGTCCCATAAGGGAAGCTGACGCGGTTGCAAGAACTTCCTTCCTGGTCTTCTCGTTCACAGTCATCAATGTCATCTTTACCGTCCCAGCTTGCATTCACTACAAAAAGAACTCTCTCTCCCCTATGTGGATGATGATTGGCTCTGTCTGGATGGCTCTCTTCTGGTTGGTAGCCATCGCAATGTCTGCGTGGGCCATTGCATGGAGTGCACCAACCTTCGAAGTATACGAGGTCTCGTGCTTGCTTAACATGCTCGCTGGGTGAGTAACCTGTCCCCTCAATATCTTCGGTTGTGCCTAGAACAGAGGCTAAAAAAAACCCAGGTTCCCATATATTGGAGGCCTGATCTACTACAGTGTTGTCTACGACCGCTGGAGGAGAGCTCACAAGGGCAAATCCGATGTTAATCCCACGAATGAAAGGCATAGCCTGGACAGCAGAAAGCCCCTTGCCCAAGACCAGGGAATTTGCGAAGAATAGGGGATTTCTGTTAGGTGCAGACGACTAGGTGATGAGGGGAACAAATAATTGACGATAGAAACATTATACGCTGGGCATGGAGAAAATGCTTGGTGGATGGAGGTTGAAAGTGGAAGTGGTAATGTCTAATAATCGCAATTACTTAATGTCTAATCATAGTAACGATAACAATTTCCCTGCCATCCAGCAACACGTAAAGATATTGTGGTCAAGACAAGCCATAGGGGCGTTGATTGGCCTCCCGATAATATCCTCGCTCTGGCCTTCCAGTTGCAGTCATCATCCAGTTAAAGTAGTTCTGTTTTATGTCATGTTCTGTGTCGGCTGGGATTACTTCGCCGCATTTCAGCATTGTCACCTTCTTAAATCAGTCAGTATCAGACAGTATCGGTCGGTACCATGGCAAGTGCATACGGAGTCACAACCAAGCTTTAAAGGAAGCTCTCCCCATAGGCATCTCATTCCAAATCTACAGCTCAAATTATTAGTTCAACATGGCACCCTCTTTCCACGTCTTGATTGTGGGTGGTGGACTCGGCGGCCTTACTGCATCGGTTGCCCTGGGACAAAAGGGTCACAGAGTAACAGTCCTTGAATCGACTGCCAAGTTACAGACAATTGGTGGCGGAATTGGCATTCCCCCAAACTCAATGCGAGTCTGGGACTATCTTGGTCTGATGGATAGGCTCAAAGCTGCAGCCGAGATTCAGGGCCGACGACGGTTGTATTTCAGACGGTATACCGGGGACTTGATATGTTTGGGTGGCATGCAGGAGCAAGCTTGGAAGTATGGGTAAGTGGGTTAGGGATAAGGTTGCTACGATCATCAAGAGTTATTGAACAGAATGCAGCACGGCAGCCATTCACCGAGGACAACTTCAGCAACTCCTCATTGAAGCAGCTCAGGAAGCGGGCGTAACAATCCGTGTCAACACTCGAATCGTTGGAGTCGACGAAAGTGGTGCATCGCCTGTAGCATTAACCAAGACTGGCGAACGAATCGAAGCTGATCTAATAGTTGGTGCTGATGGTATGTTACGCACTCACCTCATGTCATCAAGTGGAGCTTACAATTCACGTAAAACAGGAGCAAAATCCACAATGAGAAACATCATGTATCCAGATGTCCAACTCAGCAGCTCTATAAATTGCTATCGTGCAATCATACCGGGTGCCTCTGCTGCATCAGACCCTGATTTGGCGCCTTTGCTAGGCTGCTCGACGATCTGGTGGGGACCACAACGCGCTGTTGTTTGTATGGCCGTCCAGAACGGGACGATGCTTTCTGTAGAATGTCCTCATCCTGGCGATACAGGCACCGCTGGAGAATGGAATAAGCCTGGCGATATGGAAGCCTTGAAGGAGACTTATTCAGATTTCGAACCCGTGGTCAAGAAATTATTGGCAAAGATTGAGCCCGACACTCTTTTGGTCTGGAAGTTAAATCAGTTGCCCGAGCTGAAGACATGGGTATTTAGGAGCGGGAAAATTGTACTTCTGGGCGACGGTACGTGATACAGAGAAATCTGAGATTTAGTATTGAGAAATTGTAGCTGCCCATGCCATTATGCCGTATTCAGGGCAGGGCCATGCGATGGCGATTGAGGACTGCGCATCCCTTACCGAATGTCTTTCACGCGCCACCTCTACATCCGCCATCCCCGACGCTGTTCGTGCCTTCGAGACTATCCGAAAACCTCGTAACAAGCACATGGCTGACTATTCAGTCTTCAATGCTCATACATGGCAGCTGCCAGATGGTGAAGAGCAACGCAGACGAGACGAGATGCTTGCCAAGGCGCCACTTTTTGGTGCTCAAAATTGGGATGGAGAGCATGTTGACGACTTTCCGGGAATGCCGCCAAACCCCTTGTATTATCCGTGGATGCTGGGACATGATGTTGTGGATTTTGTAAGTAGGGGATTCTTATTGTCTGTTTTGTTCCAAGACAGGGGGGATTAACTAACCGATAAACGCGCTTAGACGAGGAGGAAACTGGACGAGATCTGGCCATCGAGTAACGCGGATGGGAAGCTATAGAGCGTGTCAAAGTCTCTAGCGATTTCCTAGTACTTCATTACTCGAAAGATGATAGCCAGAACTTTGTATATAATATGTCGTTACCTCCGCTTGATGTCTATCTCCTTGTGAAAATTGTCCGTGCCAACAACAATTGCTCTGTCTCCTACTAAGCGAACAGCGAACAGGCCGGAAATCTATATTCTGTATCATGTTCAGGATCGTTTCCATTAAAGAAGCAGAGATTGAAAAGGGAACTCACGATCAAACAGACTCTCAAAGAAGTCAACCTCCCTCACATAGCAGAAATCCGTCGTCTTGTACCAATAAGTCTCATTCACAACCGTACTATCCGTGCTCTCATAACACTGCATCCGCACCCCAGTACCAAACTCATACTTTTTCACAACCTTCGACCCACCCACAGGCTTTTGATGACAGAAAGCATAATCCTCTCCGACTGTGATGTTGATCAAGTAGCGTTTATGCAGTTCTGCGCTGGCTTCAGTAAGAGGGGTGGGGAGAGGAGCTGGCTCTGGTTCTGGCTCAGGAGAAGCAGCGCGCTGTTGGATACGACTCCAAGATGCTCCTTCAATCTTGGATTGTCCGGATGCGTGCTTCTGGATGAGCTCATCGGCTTCAACGGCAGCTGCTTCAGTATCGGTATAGTTTACTTGCAGGAAACCAATTGGTCCGCAATTGTCGAGGATATCTTTGTCGGCGGGGTCCTCCAGGTGGATTTGATTGATGTAACAGTTGTCAGTGGTTTTCACCCAGACACTGTTGGCTGTTAGCTTGACGAATATGCCCAAGTTGTTCTAAGATCATGGTGAGAATGGGACATACGTATCATCAATTACAGCTTCTCCATCATCAGTCCAGCAAGTCACCGTCAAGTCGTCGCCCGGTTTCTGGTACTTGATTGTCTCGCATGATGCATTATCTGGGCAGATGTTACACTCAGAATCATATTTCACTGTGGCTTCGTCATAGGTGAGATGTTTCTCCTCAGATGCTTTCCCACAGTAGGAGAGATCAGTCTCGTCTGTCCAATGGTCAGTCAAATCTCTCGCACCTTAACATAATTGGGTCCAGATTTACTCACACTCGCCACTGTACTCAACCAAATCGTACTGCGTTACATAGCAGTTGTCAGAAGTTCTCAGCCAAGTCCTGGACCCCGTGAGCGACTTTTCTACTAGTCTGAGCACAGTTCGACATACGCATCTCCATCAATGACGGTTCCCCTTGTCCAACAAACGAGTGTCACCTGAGTATCATACTCATAAAATGCTTTGTTCGTACATAGTGAATACGGACAAGTCTTGCATTCTGTTTCAACGCCTGGTTCCAGCGTGTTATTGATCGGCGGCTTGAAAGCAGCATCCGCTCCTAGCGTCAGGAGACCGATGACGAGCGATGCTGCAAAGTTCTTGTATGGCGCCATCTTCCCAACGAATGTCCAGGAGGAGAATCGTGAGGCGTTGGATACAAAACTCGAATCGTAATGTATATTTCTTCTTTCTGAGCAAGTTCGTTTCGATATGTTCTGAGAGATCAATGTCAAACAGAAAGAAGACCAAGACTACCCAAGCACCGGAGAGGGAGTGCCTGTTTATATTAATATATATCGTGTCGTATTGTGCCGCCAGTGGTCAGATCTGATCAGCCCCAGAGTGCTTCGGAACCTCGCATAGGAAAATATCCCGTCTACCTTGCTAGGTAAGTCTAACACTGACGGCATGGCATGCGACCTTTCCCACATGTTCCTCTCGTGGTCCGTGGACAGCCGTGTCCAGCTCCATCTCGCCCCGGCTCCACCAGCCTTCGATTCCACCAGTTCCAAGACTATAACTGCCTTAGGAGAGAACAAACAAGAAAAGCTAGACTTGCATGCATACAATAATTTACTATTGCTTACCTACATCGCCACACCCTGTAACTTACCTGAAAGCCATTTCATGTTCCCAAGCCAGCCGGCAACAACCTGGGCTGGAGGCTGCTTCAAGCATCCACCCCGCAGGAAGTCGTGCACCCCGCAGAATCAATCTCCACTTCTGCAGGCTGGGCGATGATCAGGAGAGTCAGGGTTCAGGTCTTTCTCGTATCAGCCCGGGGTTCGATTCGATGTTTGCAGGAGGAAGTAGCGCTTTGAGCCAATGGTGGCTCGTTGTTTGATTGAGAGGGGGACGGGGGTTAGTAAATTACAGTAATAATAATGAGATCAAGAGAGCCCTGAGCTGAGAGGGTTGAGGGAGAGGGAGAGGGAGAGGGATGGGTTCATTTAGAGTGCATTTTGCCTGCTTCAGTCAAAGTTAGCGTGCCATTGCTGGCTGCTGGGATGTCGATGTCGATCTGTGAGGATCTTTGTCAAGCGAGGGGGGAAGGGGGGGAGGCTGGGGGGGAAGGCAAGATGGAAAGAAGAGTCGTCTGAGAGTCGTAGACGGTACGGAGGTACAGGTAGACCAGCTCGACCAGGTAAATTTTCAGTACCTAAGGTACATCGCCTAGGTACTTTACTTTGCTCCAGCAAGGTTCGGTCGGGCATCGGGCACTCTGTGCAGTAGGTAGGTAGGTAGGTAAGGTAGGTAAGGTAGGTAAGGTAGGTAAGGTAGGTAAGGTAGGTAAGGTAGGTAAGGTAGGTAAGGTAGGTAAGGTAGGTAAGGTAGGTAAGGTAGGTAAGAGGCAAGGTAAATATGTAAATATAGTACAGTACAGTATAATCTTATTGGATGCTATTTCCGGAGGCGGGAGTAGCGCGGGGGCGGGGGCGGGGGTTGAGCTGTGCCAAGACGGCAGGGCAGGTACTGTACAGGTAAATTTACCTGGGCGGTGAGCTTATTTCCTCCCACTGGGCCTCTGTGATTTCTACCTTACCTATGCAACACCTAGGTAAGGTAGGTAGGTAGGTAACGAAGAAAGGTAGGTAAGGTAATTTTTGTACTGGAAGGATTTATATACACGAATGAAATCGCCTGTGTAAGGTAGGTGAGGTATATATGTTCCCCTTCGTGTCTCGACACATATCCACATATCCACCAGCAAGACCAAGCGACCGTACTGACGTCCACCATTTCTACGTCTTACTTTAGGTACTCAGATCTCATATCCTGCATGTACAGTCCACCCTCCCCCGAACCCTCTTCCCTCGTGCCTTTCAGCCTTTCAGCCTTTCAGCAGCCTCACTTCGCCAGGCCAGCCCACGTCTCGAACAGCGGGGATCGGGCAGCCGCAAGATCTGCGGAATATTGGCCTTGCTTCGTGTGTTTTGTGAACGTTGTCGACTTGCTCGCAGGTGTGACAGGAGCAGCAGAACTGTAAGCCCAGCCCAGCATATCTGTCGCAGAAGTACGCGCGAACGTTGTCCCATCAGTCAGGATACAGGCTTTGCAGAGGAATGTGAGAGACCAGTGCGTCGTGTTGGTGTAGGTCCCATTGGCAATCGGGACGAGGCTGAATGTGCCTGTTACCTCCGGGGGTGAGCCTGTTCTTCTACAGGTTTGGCTATTAGCGGAGGGTCTTCTTGGCTCCAATTTCTTTTCTATTTTCACTTTGTCCATGTTGTCTCCGCTGCCCCTCCATTTTCTTGCCTCTCTTTTCTTCCCCATCTACATAGCCTCGCATCGCCACAACATGAAAGAGCTTTAAAACCTACGGCGTCTTCCTAAAACTGGCAATCGGCGTCTTTCCATTCGCCCAAGCCGCGATCAGCAGCTTGTTGACCATTGAGCCACCAAGCGAGATACCCGACCAACCTGATCCCTTACCCGTCACCAACCCGATGAAGTCGCCCGTTGCATTGACGGGCAGTGCAATACCGAAGCTGTAGCCTGTTGTATCGAAGAAGGCCGAGTATGAGATGCCTGTCTTGAGATCTGTGTAGGGGAGGGCGCAGGCGAGCAGGGGGAAGGCGCTGGTCAGGAGGAGGGAGAGCTTCATAATGATAATTGCGCTACACAGACAAATGGCAAGTGACGATTTAAGTACGAGAAATGAGCTCGAGGTAATAGAGATAAGTATCTTGGGGTTGGGCAAGGGATGTCCGGGCTTCAAGCGGGTCCTTATACCTAACACTTCCTCTCCGGGCGGTGAGATAGGCAGCATGATTAACCATCATCGGCAGTTCGATTGCTATTCTAGCATACTCCTATGCTTCTATAACCGTTCATACCTGGATCAGGTAGTATCGCCTTACAAACAGTACCCGGAGGTTTCATATAAGCACAATCTCCAAGCCATTGTCCTTTCCCAAAAATAAACAGCCTGAATAGAAAAACGCACTTGTATTGAGTCCGGCTGCGTGAAATTGGGGGTTTGATTCGTCGGGAGATGTCGATGACCGGCTTCGAATGGAAATTTTCCAAACGAATATCACCCTTTGTCGTGTAGTGGATTCGCACAACTTCTAATCAACGCCAAGCTAGCGCGCATATTTCTTCCAAATTGACGGATGATCTATGGTCAATTGCAAGCGACTTTCATGTGCTACTGATAGATAGTTGGCTGAATGGGAGTTTTTGACTTATTTCGAGTAATACTATGGGAAAAGGAGAGATTGGACCAGACGTAGTAAATGTGTACTGTTTTTACTCTTGGCTCTGCTCGACGTGATGTGGGCTTCTGAGCTCTTCACCGCCATCAACCCATACTTTCGCTAGCTCTTCCTCAATATCTAATTTTCTTTCTTCCCATTCCTTGACTTTGGCCAGGCGTGCCCGTAACTCGTGCAGTTCGCGCTCAACCCCCATCTTTTCTTTCTCGGTGCCGATGCGCTCCCAGTCCCATTCGCTTCCATCCCCACCCAAGCCGAGAGTGAGATTAAATGTGTGGTATTTCTTCAAACTGGCTCGCGTGCTTATTGTGATCAACGTGATGCCTTTTTCTTTGCATCGCTCATAGAGAAGTCCTTCAACGTCTGACGAGACGGCAGAGGTGCCTTCGTCGATGAAGGCATATCGAGGTTCGTGGTACAGGAGTCTGGCGATTGCCATTCTTTGCTTTTCACCTCCACTCAAGACATCTTTCCACTCCTTTCGAGTATCCCAGCCGCCTTCTCTATCTGGTAGGTAGCCTAAACGAGCTTCTTCCAAGATACGCTTGAGTTCAATATCTCTGCGTCCACGATCGCGCATCTCAATCTCGCCGTCGGGGTAGATGACTTGGTCGCGAAGAGTCCCGACGCTGAGATAAGGTCGTTGAGGTAGGAACATTATACCGTCTGTTCCTATGCTGCGAGGTCTGGACACGAGACCACGATAGACGGGCCATAGGCCTGCTACAATACGTGCAACTGCACTCTTGCCTACGCCATTAGGGCCAGATATCTGTGAATTTTAGATATGCCGTTGCCTAGAAGGAAGAGCAGACTTACCAGGAGATGTTCTCCAGAGTGAACGATGATAGAAAGGGAGTCAACCAGTTCTTCACCGCCGTGGGGGAAGACCGATGGGGCCACCACAGGTACATTCTCAAGACGAACACCATCGAAACCTTTCTGGATAGTACCTTGTACATCAGATAATGAGTACAGCTCGGGATGTGTTCCGCGTTGTGGAAAGTATGCATTTACATGTACACGGTGAAGTGTCGAGATGAGAGTATAAACTCTACTTGTGTATCCCGCCAATTCGGAGAGGTCTTTAATCGAGTACATCATTCTACCACCAGCATCAGCTAACGACAACATAAGACGCTTGTTGGTGATGAATTCCTTCATTCGACCTCTTTCGCGGCCACCGCTCACGGAAACGTCTGCTAGCTCCTGGATCCCTCCCAGACCACCCCATGCTGGCAGGAAGACAGGCAATGAGCTTAGTAAGTATCCGTATGCACTCCAACTATACTTGAGAACAAAGTCTTCAAGAATGTTGTAGCGGATCTTCAGAGTGTAGATACCCTCCATCCACTTCTTGAGACTCTTGAATTCCTTGTCAAGGAAGTTCTTCTCCATAGTCGCACCTCCGTAGAATGCAACCTCTTCGGCATTGGCAATGAGTCGGGCATGAAGCCCTCTAAAATCACCCTCTTTGCGACCCTCGACGGCCTTTAGTTTCCCGAATGGCGGAGAGAGTCTCCGCAGTATTGTTGCAGTCAAGAAGTAGTTGCTCAGCAGTCCCGTTAGAGCCAAAGGACCCAGTGATCGGTATAATTGGTAGTTGAAGACGAGTAAGTCTACGAATGGCTTTCCCAGCGACGAATAAAGGCTTGCTGCCGCCGCACAAAAGTGTGTAAGATCTTGTGTGATAAACTGGTCTGCTCCCTGACCGATTCCGCCATCTAAATTCGACAACTTGTAGTAGGTGAGATTGTCATTCAGATACAAATCGTGGATGTATCTTGTAAGGCGGGTACGGAAGGCAATCGAGACTTTTGATTGTAGGAATTTGATCATGGCGTTTGTGTAGGATGCAAAGCTGCCAATTCCACACCACTATATTGAGTTAGAAATGTAGATATGCACGTCATAATTTTCGAGGCTGTGTATTTACCTTGATGATTCCCCAAATAAACGACCGCCCATTGCCAGCAACCAGATCTCTCACAATCTCCCCATCTAGTCTAGCAACAACCAACGAGAGATACGTTCTCAGCATGAGGAATACGCCATGACTCAATAGTAAACCAGTCTCTTTACTCGTCCATCTTGGTATCATGATGCTCAACAGACTAAGAAATTGATGCAAGAATGCCAAATTGAGACCCGGCTTCGTCTGCGGCGGCGGAATTTGCGGTCTATTGCCATCAGAAAGCCCAGACGCCCTTGGCGGATTCAAAAACAGTCTTCGATGCGCATCGAATGTCAGAGCCTTCGTTGGGTGTATGGTCACTTTCGACGTTGAGTCCTTGTATGGAACAAAGATTACTCTGGAGCCATCTTTATTCTTCAGCCCAGAGTTCCTGCGTAAGAGGCGGCGCCCCTGTTCTTTCTCTGCTTTCCGCGATCTCCACCATCGTCTTGTCCCTTCCCCACCCGCAATTATGGAGAGAGTGAGGGCAAGAGCTCCAAGGAGCTTTGTGGTCTTTGATGTTCCCTTCAGTCGCTGGCGGATGAGGGTCGAGTATTGGTGGTAGAAATTGGCAATCGGATCTGCCGAATACCGCAGTGTCGACTGCGAAGCCATGATGTTTTCTTCGCGGATTGCTCGTTGCTGCCGCTTTTCTACATCGCCAATCCTTCGAAGCCAGCCGTATTGACCTTTGTCTTCCGTACTCTCTGCTTCGAAACACTGCTTCTCTTCGTTCTTCAAGTCCAGTTGATCATTTCGTCGAATGCAGGCAGTGACAATGTTGGATATTCAGAGACTCCGAGTGAGGTTGGCTGTCACATTCATCTTGAGCATCCCACAAGCTGTTGCATGTGAACATGACGGGAATCCGGGGAATGGTGGATTTCATTGTTGACCGAGGCTTGTAATGCTCGGCGGCACGTGGGATGGAGTCACGAGGTTGTTTTGCAGAACCTTGGAATGGATGCCTGAGCCCCGGCCAGGCATGATCCTGTAGCCATGGAGCCTGGCCTGGGAGCCATGGAAGCAAGGCACGGCCCGGCTTGAAGATAGTCAGTTCAGTCCAAGTCCAATCAAAAGCCGGTTCTAGGTAGGTAATTTTTAAGAAACGACGGAACAGGGCTGGAACCTTCAAACAGCAATGCATCCCAAAGATGATATGCAATCAAAACAGAAAGGGCGGGCGTTGGGGGAACATAGATGAATGTGAAGCATTGTGATACATAAGATAGTGATGCTTCTGGAGTCTGGACGTCAGCTCAAGGCAACGTGGTCACCTTGGTATCTGTATCGCTCGCTCCCTTACCATAAACTTCGGAAGAAGACTGCACAGAATACCCAGCCCTACGAGCTAATCATCCCTCATCAGCTTCCTAGAAGGTCGCTGATGGTTAATCGTCGTGGGCCCAATATGCAACCTACCTCTTGTCCATCAATACCTTGAGAGCTGTGCCATTTTTGAGAGCTTCCCTACACTCCTCCTCCTCGTACGTGCCGTGCCCCTTCGGGCGGAAAATGATGCAGTTTACAAGATGGACCTACGTCTATCTTATGATAAGAACGTGACGGGACAGGCAAAAAGAACAAGAACATCCCTTGTGGCCCTGCCCTGCCCTGCCTTACTCCGTAGGTTGTTCCGGCTTGATCCCGGCTCGAGGAATGTGGTTCTTGTGGAAGGCTTGCTGCCGAGTGGCTCCTCTGTAGCCGCCGAAGTGGGTTTGGACCTCAGGAATCAGGATACAGCAACTTCAGAGGAATGGGATTCTCCAGACATCGGAAGCATACTGAAGCATACTGCGTGGCCGAGAAGATTATCTGGAAGCCTGTACTCTAAGGGTCTGCATTTGCCAGGTCTTACCTCGTTCTGACAAGCGAGTCTATTAATATGGCCGTTTGGTCCTGTTCAATTGTCTCGCGTTATCAAGTGTTGCAGATACTGCTTTCACAGAATGACAAGACCTACGAGGATAAGATGTTAATCGATTCAATTGATACCTGGTGTTGTTGATCAGGGTCTGTTTGTTAGACTTATAGTGTAAAGAGCAATCAACTATTCAGAAAGCAACATCCCCAACGAAATCGCGGAATTGTTCTTGTTCTTCGCTCTTCTCTGTCGTGACGGATCGGAGTCCAGCTAAGGTACACGATCCCCACCACTTAGGAAAGTAAATAGTATTCGGTGATAGAGAATTTATGCGATAATGACAGACTTATTACCATCGCTGAGGCATTGAGTCGCAGAACAATGAAGATGTTTGCTTCAAGACAGTGTTCCACATCCTCGTCTACCAAGTCGAGTTCGCGAACCCAGTCGGATTCACATCTGGGATAAAGTGCTTATGATAGGGTGAATCGGGGGGCAACACATCCAGGGCGCCTAATCTTATTCGCCACCAATCGAGGCCTGGCCGGAGTGACTGACGGAGAGGATGCTCTGAATTATCAATGGACGCCCATGTTCAATCTGGGGATGCAAGTTCATGCCCGCCCGGCAAATAGGCAAGCATGGAAACGAGAACGGCCAAACGTTCAGATGAGATGAGATGAGATGAATAGGACGCCTGAAGAATCCGCTCAGTGATGCGTACTTAGGTGGTAGGCAGCCCACGGCATGGCTGGTAGGTGCACTAAGGTAGGGTAGGTAGGGGAGGTAGGTAGAGTAGGTAGATATCCCGCCCGCGCCCATCACCATTAACGTTAACATGACCCCAGGCTGCTTCTGTTGTGTAACTTGTGTGCAGGGCACCTCCCCCTCCCTCTACCGCCGAGTCACGCCTTTCGCCTCCTCTACCCACAGCTTCCTTCCTCCTCCTCCTCCTTCTCCTCCTCCCCCTCCTCCTCCTCCTCCTGCGCTCTCCTGTTCTTCTGCCATCCATCACTCGAACAATGATTGTTTGAATATTTGATCTTCATCCTAAAGCGACAGACCCTAGCTTACCGAGACGAGACAGTTTACCTCGCTCCAGGTCCTCTAGAGTCTATTTCGTACCCTGCCTTCTTGCACGGGCCCAATACCAGCCGTACCGTACCTAGGTAGAGGTAGAATACAGCCATACCCTCCCCGTACCGTGCTGGACCATCCTGCCATCCAGCCATCCAGCCATCCAGACCGCCAACCCCCAAATCTTAGGCAATCTCATCTCGCTTATGCCAACCCCATTCGACATCCGACTGACTTGCCTCGTCTTTCGTCCCTCAGCGCCTTTGAATCGAATCTCCTCTGGTCATCTCACAAGAGCTCACAGAGGTCATTCCAAGCTTTCGAAGCTTTCGTCCGCTCTCTATTCCAGTTGTCGCATCCTCTTGCGCCAGCTTTCGCCGCTCTAATCGCGTTCCCTGAAGCGCGACAAGTTCCCGACCTCATTGAAGTCGTATCAGGGGGTATCGTCACTCGATCTACCGCCATCCGCCGACGCGTGCAGATATATTTCATTCCGAGGAACTAGATATCATCGCGGCGTGTATCTCTATACCAGACCTCCCTCGGTCTTGAATTGCCCTCGATGAGTAATGAGATAATACAGCCGACGGAGCAAGATCTTAGCCGCTCGACTTCAGCTGAAGGTGGAAAGGCATCAAAACCACCTGCGCTGGATACATCAAGCTGTATGTGCTCTGTCCTCCCTCAAAACCGTTTGGCTATGATGCGAATTGAATGCGCCAGCGCTCATATGTGTTGGATTACTTCAGCATGCTAACCATGTCTACACAGTCACGAACACCCCACATCCGCCCAGCTCTTCTACCCAGGCTACTTCAACGCAGAACACCGCTACGACTGAAGATTCCGAGAGCACTGCCTTATCGGGATCACAATACGAGAAAGATTCCTTGCGAGTAGCGGATGAGGCTCCAGAAGTCCCAAAGAAAAACCGCGGCCTTCTTCCAATTCCATCCAGATCTTCTTCCCACAAGATACAACCATCGCCAACAACCACTGGACTGAGCGGAGCTACTGTTAGCGATCCAGCAGATAGCATAGGGGGCAGATCGAAGGAGTCGAAGGGGAGCATTTTGGGAACGAGGCGGAATGGGAGTGCTACAAGTAGCAAGATGTCGATAACACAACAAGGAGTATCGGCAGGCCCAGCTGGCACAGCAAACAATGCAGCTTCAAATCCTACAACTTCTAGACAACCAAAGAAGAAAGGGCTCTTTTCATTTCTCTGCTGTGGAGTTCCGGATGGCGGCAGTCCAACAGATCCAAGCGACGCAGCTGTGCCTGCAAACAAGGTCACAAAGGTTCCATCGGCACGACCTGCAACGGCTAGCCGACCGGACCAGGGAACATCAGTACCAGCAAACAGCAACCCGACAAATCCTCAGACAGAAAAGGAAGCTCTTCGCCAGGATGCTCAGCAGGCTGGGAGTGACAAAGAGAGCAGCGATGTCAAAGCTGGTTCAGGTCGAACTGTACAAACGGGAGCTGGAATTCCACCAGCAGCAAACGGTGACCTGAATCAAACAGCTGGAGATACACGTGATCAAGCATTGCCTGAACTTCCAAAAGAGACAGAGGAGCCAGCAAGTGGTGGCCAAAGTACAAACCCAGCAGTCGTAGTACAGGGACCATCCAGATCCGAATCAAAAGTCTCCACCACCCAAAAACCGGCCCAGGAGCAGCAAGACGCGGAAGGTGATACCAAGATGATTGATTCTGGAACAGTGCCAGCAGACAAGGCAGAACCCCCTACTACAGCAGTTCGAAAAGACGATACTGTCAACAAGGCAGCTTTGCCCCCACCACCACCCGTCCCTCAATCCCTATCTGGGCCTAGCGAGGATCCAGCATCCCCGGAACCAGCCGAGCAGAAGTCGCAATGGTTATTACCCCCGATCGCTCCCAGGTTTCAAGGGAAGAAGTGCCTTGTACTAGATCTGGACGAGACTCTGGTTCACAGCAGCTTCAAGGTAAGTTTTCCTCGACATGCCGAATACATTTGCTGATTTTCTTCCAAGATTCTCCACCAAGCCGATTTCACTATTCCAGTTGAAATCGAGGGTCAATACCATAATGTGTATGTGATCAAGAGACCAGGTGTTGATCAGTTCATGAAGCGGGTAGGCGAACTCTATGAGGTTGTTGTATTCACAGCATCCGTCTCAAAGGTATGTCGTCAATTGCAACGTCTCAGAATTCAAAGCTAATTTTAAAGTACGGCGATCCTCTTCTCGATCAGCTGGATATCCATCACGTTGTTCATCATCGCCTGTTCCGTGAAAGCTGTTATAACCACCAAGGCAACTATGTCAAAGATTTATCTCAGGTCGGGCGGGATCTTCGGGAAACAATTATCATCGACAACTCTCCCACTTCATACATCTTCCACCCCCAACACGCTGTTCCCATCAGCAGTTGGTTTTCGGATGCACACGACAACGAGCTCCTCGACTTGATTCCTGTCCTTGAAGACCTAGCAGGTTCGCAGGTACGAGACGTCAGTCTTGTTCTTGATGTCGCCCTTTGAAGCAAATTTTATGTGCGCTTCTGCATGCAAATACACTTGCTATCATAGCGGATGGCGTTTTTTGGTTGATACCTTTGGTTTCGTTGTAGAATGTACTGTTTAATCTATATAATAGGTCTTCCCTGGCCAGACCAGAGCAGCCACTTTAAATTGATCGGGGGATGGTATGGTCATATTGAGCGGGTCATCAAAAACGGACGGAAGAAAAGATGAAAACGCATTTGTTTCCAGGAGCTGGATATACGCCTCTTTGTACGACAGGCTGGCGGAACGGAATTGTAAAGGAAGGAAGACTGGAGGGAGTTCCAGCCTCAGGAGAAGCATAACAGAGCAGCAGACCACGCTGCATTCGCAATATTTCCTTTTTGTTCTCATCTTACTAGCGAAGCAAGCAGGGGGAGTCGAGTTGATACCTGGGTGCCCGTGGGGAAAGGGTTGGTGCGCTGCATGCATGGAAACACAGATGCTGACGGGGGAAGGGATTCTATATTTCATTTGTTCATCTTCTCTTCAATTCACAGCATGCCTCAAGAGGCGCAAATATTGGCAGACGTTCCAGACAGAGATCACCTTACTGTATCAATGTAACTGAGCTAGTCATGGGTCGAGGTTTATGGTGGTGCTAGATATGGAGAGGTAAAGTGCATCCGTCATAGGCAAACAAATGGAAAGATGCGTTGCATCAATAAATTGACATCTCTTACAAACGAAGTAAACGTTGCAGTGATTGAAAATGTTGACATTTCTACCATGAAATTGTGGCCAGACCACCGGGCAGACGTCCCCAGATTCTGTCCGAAACAAGTGGGCCGGCCTACTAGTGCCACAACCTCCTTTGTCGTGTCCTTATCTCAGTACTTCCAAACATCTGCCCTTCCGACCTCACAACACTACGACAGGACGCCTCTTCTACAATCCACTCCTTCGCCTTCGATCGCCAATCGCATTAATTGATATCCAGGTTCTACATCATGGTACGGCCCCCACTCCAATTCCAATTGCCCTTGAAAGAGCCATCACCGGCGCATGCCCACCTCTCTCCGCAATACCAACACATATTTCCTCTTCACCTTTTTCCTCGCCATCCTGTTCCAATCAATCCAAAGAAATTAACGTCTCGTAATACTGATAATGAACACAGTCTTCGCCCCGCCCTTCCTCCCCAATTAACTCTCCCGCTGGCCTGAGCAGCGGTCGTCCATCATCCCCAACTCCTCCCGGTGGACCAAAGACTGCGATCCGTCGTCGCGCGGCGGCTGATCAGAAGGATAAGGTTGCAAATGCCAGGCCGAGCTCTACAAGAGCTGCTGGTGCCGGTGGAAGCTCGAGTACGATGTTGAGTAGGTGGTCTTTTCCTTCGTATGGCGTGTCTGAGCGGAGAGCTGGTTGTGCCTGTGTGGCATGTTGAGGCGCTATGGGGTGGGTTTCGGGCAGCTAGTATGGCTTGCGGATCTGTCTGGTGTCAATTGATGTGCTGGGAACCCCGTACCAGTGTATTCGGCTTTGGGAAACCCTTATAAAATCCAGACAGCAGCTCTGTGCACAGGAGGTGTACTGGACATGAGGGAGATCTATTTACTGGGGCAGAAAGATGACGGTTATTGAAAAACACTAAAACATTGCTCACGATTTACAGGGCTTTACACCGATGAATCTCCAGGATTGAAGGTCGATCCAGTCGTTGTTCTTGTTCTTTCCCTGGTCTTCATCTTCAGCGTTGTTGCGTTGCACAGTATGTTTTACATCTTTCTATTCTCCTGTAATCACATCTAATCCACAACCTACAGTCATCGCCAAAGTCACGCGGAAATTCTCTTCCTAAAGCCGGCACGGGCCATGGGAGTAGATGTGGCTTGAAGTAGTGGATGAGAGGAAACAATGAGGTCGGAATTACTTGGTGCCTACGGTTTTTTACGGAGAGGGACTTTCAAAATTTGATACTCTGCATGGGCTTCATATGGCTGGCTATTACAATTTTGGGACTGGGCTGGGTATGAACCATGTCGTTCTTTGTACTATAAGCAGATTTCATGGAAAGATTTGGTGCAGTCTTGCTGTGACTTTTTGATGCTTGCAGTGCCAGATTATACGATCAAAGCCTTGGGATGAGAGCAAAGCAGTTCATATCTTGCCATCCTCAACCGAGCACTGAACACCCGTCCTCAAGGCGTAGCTGAATCCGAAGAATTCTCCTTCATGAACAAGATGGCAATGTGTTCCATGATAGTCGCTCCGCATCTGTCAATGAAACTTGTGCTGATTTACGAGCTGTTTAAATAATCCATCACGAAGCGCACGTATCTAAGGAAAATAGTGAATCTGCATATTCCTGGACAGCATACCCCACTGAGAGCGTCACCGATGTGGTAGGAAATCTTGGGAAAACTTCACGAGGTCATTAACCAACGTGTCAGCGATAAATTCATTCGTTTTGAAAAGTATCTCCTTTTCCCACCACACTCCTGTATCAGACTGCATTGCAATTCGAGATTGGCTCAGGAGACTGGAAGCGAATAATCATCAAATGTATTACATAGAAGGGAGGCAACTTTCCAGAGCTCGATAAGAGGTGGAGGGCTTCCAAGAAGTCACGTAAGAATGGAGTAAAATCTATTGGCTTACCGTCGGTCGGTGCATACTTGAGAATATTAGAAAACAAAAAAGGTCTCTGACAGGTAACGGGCAGACGCAAAAGCACCTGGAATGCTAACATCTGGTGAAGTTCGATGTCTTGAGTACATTATACACTGAACCCGACTTCAAGTAGCGCTCGTGAAAATAACATTTTCGTTACCCACCACAGACTAGATACGCAATTAGCTTTGGCAACGAGAAAGATTCGTTTCACTCACAGTCAACACATTGCTATCGATTCCTGTGACGACTCCGTCTGCTTGGGCACCCATGATGTTGTCATAGCTATCCATAACCAACTGGATACCTGAAACGAATCCTTGGCCATCGAAGCCGCAATGTCCACCTCCATTTGGCGTGTTGTCAACAGTTTGAAGGGCGCCAATCTGGTCTGCAGACAGACCTGCATCGGTAGCTAACTGCTCATATGCAGTGATGGACTGTGGAATAGAATCCTGGAGTAAAGCCAGCTCGTCCTTGGTGCTCTGGAAGTGGATTTTCATGCTGGTGACCATGGTATCGGCATCCACAACGGCAACCTGAGGAGCCATTGCACCACAGTTAAGAACTACTCCTGTCTTATATTGTGCACCGAAAGCAGGAACAAAGAATCCAGACATGAGGAGCGATCCCCCGGATACACCAGTGAAGAAGACATTTGTAGGGTCGAAGGCGACATCTTGGCTCATCTGGTCTTGGATGAGAGAATTGACAGCAGCAGCATGTGCAACTCCATCTGTTCGGTCCAGCCCATTTCCTCCGCCCCAGAATCTTTCCTGATTTGGCGCAAGAACGACGACACCCATGAGATTGTTTTGGACTGCTTGGTTGGGGAAATCCACGAAACTTTGGCCACCATCACCATGGAGAAGAACATTGACACCCATCGTACCAGTTGTATTGGCGGCTGCGGTTCCTCCGGGAACACCTGAAGCTGCAGTGAATTGATCGGCTGGTGCAGAGATCTTGTAACGAATGGGTAGGCCACTATTTCCGTCAGAGATATGTGACAAGCTCACGGAGTACCAACTGACTTGATCTGAACGGTCTTATCCAGAATCATTGATCCATCAGTAGCTTGCGTGATCTTCGTGGCAGCAGCTCCTCCAGCTGCAGCACCAGTTGCGGCCCCTGTGGCAGCTCCTCCCTTTGCTGCACCTCCTTTCTTTCTCCTCTGCGGCAAAGATTCAACAGGCGAGGCGACCAAGAAGAAGAGAAAGACGAGAGAAAGAACACGGATCCATGAGTTCTGCATTATGAAATAGAACAACGTCCAGCGTAAAGTTACAAAGTATCGAATCTACCGACAGCAATGAAAATCAAGAAAGGAATATAGAGAAGAGGAGCGAGATCAGAAACACGGCGATGGGAGGCCTTTTCATATGATGGGACGAAGCTCCAGTTCTCGCTCCTGACGTTTGGAGCCCCCGGCCTCGCCTACAAAGTCATGAAGCATGCTGTCAAACTGCCAAGGCTGTTTCCTTCACTCCTTCACAGCAACCCTGGTGAGGATCGTGCGGGAGGCTTGCTGGTGAAGGTAGATCCGTTTGACTTGGCAGCGAGAGCCCGCCAGACTGTGGATGATATAATGGGGAAAAATTCATTGGACCAAAATAGATGTCGCTCATTAATTGCCATACTCGATACTAGACGGCACTGCTGAATCCTCGTGATGGTCTGGGGGTCTTCTGGCAAATTGTGGCGTGTGAGTTGAAGACGGATGGAGAGAGCTAGGGCAGCAAGTGGATGTGAGCCAATTGTTTCGAAAATTGCTTGGCATATAATCTTGAATGAGCTTAACTACAGTTGAGATTCTTGGACAAGCTAGCAGAACACTGGTTTCTGGTTTCGTTCCGTCCCGTGTCGTCTCGCTTCTTTAAATTCTTCTTTATATGGTGTCTCCACTGAATACGAAATACCTGCGAACAGTACCTACCTTACGGTATTTTCCCTCACACACGTGACTCTTCTAACGACGGAACTCCCCCATATTTCCTCTTCTTCTTTATCAGGACGCCAAGCTCATATCTTCTGCTCTCTCCAGCACATATGTCCAAAGGCTACTTGAAAGAAGAGCTCAGCGTGGAAACTTCGTAGCTAGGATCGACCCAGGGTTTCCTTACCTAAGTACCTTATTCAGTTATCGCCGGCTGCATTTAGCGGATTACATCAGCCTCCAAACTGGGTCCTTCACAGGCGCAGAAGCTTGCTATGTCCGCATCCGCCAACCAAACCACGAGTAAATCCATCTTCGCTGCTGTTGCGCGACAGCGTGTGCCTCGCTAGATTCTCGTGCTGGCAGAACGGTCCCATCTCTCGATTTGTGACAAATTTTAAGGTGTAACTACTTGGTGTAAATATATGTCACTTAGCTAGGACCTAGGAGCTTATTGCAGCCACAGGGATGAAGGTTCTGCTCTCGTCCAAAGCACGCTTCCACTACTGATCAGCTCTCTAGCATTAACTTCACGACTGCAATGCTTCCTGAACTTTTATCATAGGTATCACTGGATACTTCGGAGGCGAAACCGCTGCAAGTATCATATCCGAAAGTCCCTCCTAGTCGATCATAGGACTCGTCGGCAAGGAAGAGCAAAAACAACATATCCTCGCTAAACGCCGCACAATCAACATTATCATCAGCTATCTAGACTCCAATGAGATTCTTGTTAACGAAGCAAACAAGTCGATGCAGCTTCCCGCCAGTGACAAAGCTCTTTCCGACGATATAAGGCCAACAAATGTTAGACATTACGAACACTGACCTTCTCGGTGCAATCAGATCCGTCCTTCCTGGCCTCTCATCCGGCATGGAAGGGGTTTACGTCCATCTTTCCATCGCGCCAGGCACATTCACTACAATTATGGGTGCGGCAAGCTCTTTTCAAATATGTAGGACACATTCAGGATCTCCAAGACTCTCATGGCCTTTGAAGAGCCAGTCTTGGACGTCAGAAATCGGCCAGCCCATTTTCAACCTCCGCAAGACACTGGGTGTCATGACAGGGCTCCTTTTACCATCCATGGTATACGGAGCTGGCGACAGCCTCAGAAAAATGCAACATCTCGCTGCCAATACTTGTTGATGCTGTCAAGGAGAGATGCTATAGATTTGGGAGGCGAAACACGGCGTGTCGACCGTACACGTGAAGAATCTTGCAGATGTGTTCGTATACTTTGTCGAATATTATTCGGCTTTTTAACCAGGATCTAGGCTTGAGTGGGGCGAGAAAGGCGTCTTCCAATTGAAGCTGGGGAGGTTATTGTTGCGGATGTGGTGGATACCTATGCGAAGGATATGTTCACAATGAGTGGTTGGAACGGTTGAGATTGATAACGTCAGTGAGGAGCAGGTATTAGAAGAAGTTCATCCCTGTATGTTGCTTTTTGCAAGGTACGGGTTCCGGAATCGAGATTTGAGGGCTTTGGGGTGGTTGCACCAGTAACAGGGAGTTCTTGGGATGATTCTTAGATTGTAAACTGAGTATGTTTCTTGGAGGTTGGGAGATTGCTGTCGAGATGAATGTCAACTGCTTTATGATCGTCCTTTCCAACCATTGGCATCTCGAGATTAATTTTTGAGGGTTTCGAGATTTTAGAGTCAAGGTGGATCCCGGAAAGTCACGTCAACATGGGTTCTGTCGCAAATATCCTGCGACGAGTTGTAAAACTCTGAAGTGCCGCTGCATGACCATAGCCGTTTGGAATCGAATACTGTCACGTGCCACTTTGCGGCTCTTACCGTTTGCCATATTGCGGATATCAGTCCAAAGGGTCGTTTCCAGAAAGCCTGAATGGGGAGCTGAAGTCGAGTGATATTTCGTTTAGCGGCACTTGCTTTGTAAGCTCTCATCATCGAGGAAGAGCTTCTGCTGTTGACGTCTCAATTTGGTGCCTAATTACACACACAAGCTTGATCGTCGAAGATCGCATTCTACCTAGCCTGATGCCTATCCACAGCACGCAGTTGCTTCCTCTTTTATTCCAATCACCCCACTACTCGAAGTCAGTGGTCGCCAATCTAGAAAAGAAGACCATCGAAGTAGAACCAACCTGAAAGTAACAGTCTCCCAGCTGAAGACGAAAGAACCAATCCAAGCGCCAATAAAAATGCAGATGATGATGTACCCATTGAAGTACATAGCTAACAACATGATGAAGTAGGCAACAGCAAATTGGAGCATATGCAGAGTTGCTCGAATCATTTGCTGGAACAGGTTTGGGCGGAATGGTGGTGTAGGGAGTGCGGCGTCAGGCGGGCAGGATTTGGAAGGAGTATTGCTCCCTGAAACCGAGTCTTGCGTGCTGATGTACGTATTTAGGGATGCAATGTGACGTTGATATCTATGTCCGAATTAACATTGACCTTTTTGCAGTGCGGTTTGTTGCATTTTAGACATTCGGCTGCCAGAGATAACGGGCTCAGAAGGTACGTACTGGTTGAGGAGATGTCGGTCGTATTCTTTAGCGAGACGTCGTAATAACTCCAAGGACATCACTAAGAAGATGACTCCAATACAGGATCCTGCGAACATAGACGTTGACTTGATCTGCCATGATGAAGAGATGAAGCCTTGACAACTGAATCAGCATCTTCCTCACCCCCTCGATACAGCAGTGACTCACAGGCATTAATGGTAGTCCAGTTCCACAACATCTACAAAGCATTAGTCTCAACAATCCGAGTGTGCTTCGAACAACTTGCAGATATTTGGCACGCATCTGCCGAATCGGACATCGACGAGTGATCCATCGTGACGTGGAAAAGGAAGTCAAGATCTATCTGGAGAAGTGTATTTGGTTTCTTCAGGCAATATTCAGTACCTGGCTATCCAAACAAACAGTATGTTTGAAGCTCCACGGATAAATGTTGCTGAAGAGGGTATTGGATAATTGGAGGGGGTACAAGCTGATTTTGACAGAAGTCCGGATCCCTCCAAGCTCCAACTTCCATGTCATCGTCTCGTCCCCACAAATGCTGCCCAGTCCACCCACTCTTGGCATTCGCCCGACTCAGTCGCTGACCCGATATTTACGCATTCCAGCAAATCACATTATTATTCTACAGCTGAGTCCAATTATTGAGCTGGCTAGGCACGCTAAATGAGCATGTTTGCGGGAGTATCCTGCTGCCAAGAAGGCCCATTGTTCTGGCGAACGATGGCGATGGCGATGGCGATGGCGATGGCGATGGCGGTGCTGCCGCTGGGGCTGGGGCTGGGGCTCTCGTGCGTCCCTGGTGGATGGAAATCTCTTAATCATAATCGACGACCTGGATGGTGCAGTAATAGTGTGACATGGATCGGACTGACGGCCAAATGCTCTCGACAGGCGACAGGCCCGGTCTTTAACTTGCTCAACTGCATGGATGGCATTGACTTTTCGGTCTGGTCGGGGAGGGTCCTCCAGGCCTTGGCTTTCCCGAGCCCAGATGTACAATTAAAACAGAATTCCTCATGGTGTCTTTGGTAGCAGAGTAGACTTCGACTTCATATCCTAATTCACCCGACAAGCAAGATGGACTCTCACGGTGTACTCGAAACTCGCCAGCATATTCAGAACCACTCAGCTGGCGGTGATGAAATCTACTACTGGGGCTATGCCTCTCGTGTCTTCCCATGTACGAACGATGCGGGCAGTTGCGAGTATCTGGATGCAGTGTACTGGTGAGTCCCCCCAACCCCCTTGATATTGAAGAAGTGGCGATTGCTAGAGGTACAGGCTAATCATGTCTAGGATGCACACTGTATCCATGCTGTACACATTCATCCTCTGGGCAGTGTTAGGCGGCCTTCTCGCCATATTTGTTTTCTCCAGAGCGATAAAGCCTTCGCGGACACGACGTCCTCGCTTAGAACTTGAAGGTGGAAGAGCTGTTGCTCCCATGAACATCTTCACACGTTTGTGGAAGTCAAATACGGCAGCTTTGCGTCGCCTGTTACTTCCAGAGGGCCTCCAGTCCATATTTGGCAATGTAACGAGACTTCAATTGGTGTTACTGGCCGTGCTTTCGGGATATTTGTTGATCTTCTCGTAAGTATTTCCTTCTCGAGCAAGATAACGTACCTAATGACATGTACAGACTTGTGGGAATTGTTTACAAGACTTGGATCACACCGGTCAAGAACCTCGATGGCGTTTTCAATACTCGAACTGGTATGGGCGGCTTCAGTGATCGCATCGGAGCCTTCGCTTATGCCCTGACACCACTCAGCGTCTTCCTCTCGCAGAGAGAAAGCATCCTGTCACTTATCACTGGTATGCCAACACAGTCATTCAACTTCATCCACAGATGGCTCGGTCACATTATTTTCGCACAATCAATGATACACACTATCATCTGGACTATTATCGAGGGAAAACTTTACCAGCCTCAGCCAAAGGTCTATGTAAATTGGATCAAGCAGACGTACATGATCTGGGGTATCGTGGCAATGGGCCTGCTGTCTTTTATCTGGGTTTTCAGCTTCCCTCGTATGATTCGTCTGACTGGCTATGAGTTTTTCCGCAAGTCTCATGCCATCGTTGCGCTGATTTACATTGGTGCTTGCTGGGGACACTGGAAGCAACTCGCATGCTGGATGATTGCTTCCTTGGCTATCGTCTTCATGGATTTTGGAATACGCTACCTCAGAACACTCCTAATCCACATCGGATACATGAAGTCTGGAGGTAAGGGTGGTCCCCAGTGGGAAAATAGGGCACCGCTAATACATAACAGGATACGGATTCGAGTCTGCTCAAGCCACACTCCAATGCTTCGACGATGCAGAAGGCCGAGTCGTGCGCGTCGACTTCAAACACAACCACGGGCCATGGGCCCCAGGCCAACATTTTTACCTCTGTTTCCCCGGCCTATCCATCTGGCAGAATCACCCTTTCACCGTCGCATCTCTCGCTTCACAAGAAACTGTCAACCCACATCACACCTACATCGTCCGCTGCCTCAAAGGTGAAACTTCGAAGTTGGGTATGCTAGCAGAACGTATTCAAACAGAGAAAATCACCACACCCGTCATCATCTCCGGTCCATACGGTTCATCTAACCTTTCTAGACCCGGAAATTTCCTAGCTATCGGCGGAGGAACAGGCGCGACAATGGCGTTTCCGGTTGTTCTCAATCGTGTTCAAAATTATGGATATATTGGAGGCAACGTGCAACTCGTATGGATCATCCGTCGGGCACAGGATCTGGAATGGATGGCTCCCGAACTAGCTACTCTGAAGCGCCTTATCACGACATTGAATAGCAAGCTCTCGATACGTATTTTCATCACTCGAGAAACTTCTTCAAACAAAAGCAAAGAAATTCCATCCGAAGAAGAGATTAAGGGATCTACAGTGCGAACATCTATCGCCCTCAGCAACATTTCAAGTCTCGTAGATACAGAACCAGGATACGAGGTTGTATGGCTGGGTGATCGGCATCCGGATCTGTCGGAAGTTGTAAATGACTTTGTGGAGCAATCGCCTGAGATTGGAGGGAGCGTGAGTGTGGTTGGAAGTGGACCTGGTGGGATGGGAACATCGTTGCGGAAGGCTGTGGCGGCTGTGAATGATGGATCCAGGGTGTGGAAGGGGGAGGAGAAGTATGATGTACATTTACATTGGGATGATAGGATGGATTGTTAGATAGCCTTTGTAATTTTGGGGCGTTATGATACCTCTTAGTTGTCGATTTTTAAGCGATATCAATGCTAAGCCTTTCTGGAAGCAAGTCTTTTGGGTTTAGTCATATCAATCTGAGAAGCATGGCAAGCAGCTTCGACTGCTGTGTGGGCTTTCTGAAAGACTTCAGAGTATGAAAGATACACCATGAAGGTTCTACTATGTTTTTCAGCCTATTGATGAACGTGGAGCCAACTATCCACGTCAGAGTTGTTCCAGTTTTCACCCCTGTCAAATGAGGCTCGGCTGTGGGTGAATCATAGATAAACAAATAAGCGAAGTATAGGCAGAGGTCTTCACATTGTTTCAATTGAATCTTCCATCTGAGCCTTTATCTAGTCGATTGTAATATTTTTTTCGATGATTCGGACTTTATTTAATGTAAAAATACCCATCACAATTCCAGCTCGAGCTGGTATCTAGGTTTTGACATTTCACCGCTCCTCTATGCTAATCTAGTAGATGTCCGAGTTTATTTCGATACATTGAGACACTGTACACTCACTAAAACCATGTAAAATGTGCCTTAGATTTATTAGATAAAAATCCGGGTCTCATTGCCCTCCAAATATACAGATATAGCAGGCTGGAGAAGTCCACGAGGATGTAATTGTTCTCATCGACATACAAGCTACAGCAATGATAATAATCATTTTCACTGGAATCTTGTACTCAACGAATTGGATTATACAGATCGGTCCAATGCAGTTTATTTTGAGAAGTGTCTAAAGTTGGTGACATGTCTGAAAAGAATGTTCAGATAATCATGGAACATGCAACCACGCTATCCGTGTATTCTTGTGATTCTCTGGTGACAACTGACCGCCTCTTCCTAGCTATAAGCATGAACGACCATAATTTTAATGAAATTCTTGGCAACTTTCTTGTCTAAATTCAGCATCGTAAAAATCTACATTCGCATTGTGTAAGGGGATTGTGTAGGACATCCACACGTAGACGAGGAAGATGGTCGGGTTTTGATTAACTCGGAAGATGAGCAGCCTGTTGGTAAGATACCATAATCCATGGCATGCTTCTTTTTTGGGGTACGGTTTAGGAGACTAATAGACGTACCAGAGAGTTTCCGAATAGCATTCGCTTGGTTAATAGCTGCACCTGCTCGTAATCCATAGTTTGTACCAAATCGTCATATTGTTCACATGCGGAGGTGGAGACGCTATTGTTGGGGTGTAAAATCGATAAGCTTTCAAGACTTCAAACAGAATCAGACCAGATTACAAATGGGTTTCCTTCAAGGGCAGGAAATTCTGGAGGCGAAGTAAGGGTTAGAGGGCATGTGCTATGAATTGGTCAACACTCAAAGGGTACACGGGAAAGGGCCAAAGACAATAACGAGCATACTTCCCACTAACTTGCGAGAGATGATTTTCGAAACAAAACCCTTGCTTACAAAAGTATGAGCTACTATCACAAGAATTTCGGCAGACGGAATTTGAGTTCCATACCCTCTTGTCAGTGACACATCTAGAGAAGTAATTGCCACTACGGGTCACTGTATGCTGTATCGAAGTATACCATAGCCACTACGCCTACAAGGCTACATCAGCTAATTGGTACTTTGCCATATTCTCTGTCGTTGTCAACTCAGTTACTGTTCTCAATATTCAATCCTTTCTTGTTACTCAGCTTTCCACCAGATCAGTCGCAGTGGCGATTCTGAGCTCGCAGCTCCGCATGGCAACATCCATCTCATTCCCAGAGTCTGGCACAATGGCACGGGAACATATCAGGGGCAGACTTGAAGTAAATAGTTCAAATGTAAGACAAACAACTCTGTTTAGACCTCGAACATGTTCAGGTCTATCTCTATGGCCTGGGCTGCTGAGAAGGATCTGTTAGGAGTTTGATAGCTGCAGCGGAATGTTAATTAGAAGGTTGGCTTGTGGATACTAGGGAGCGGAGAGTGGCAAGTCAAGGATTAAAAGGTGGATAGGGGCATGTATGATGCGAATCTGGATTTGACAAAGAAGAGCAAGTCAGAGTACCAAAATGGAAGTGACAATGCTGAAGCAGTGGGCAAAAGCTATGAAACTCTGACTAGTTTGGCAGTCAAACAACGATTGAAGTCTTGGAGTCATCGCCAATTGCAAGTACCTTATCAGTTAGAGCACATCCGTTGCGATCCTAGAGCACAAATTGAAGCTGGCAGACTGTATGTCTATCAGTGTAAAGAGCAAGGCCTAATTGTTCGGCATGCCAGCACCTGAAGCTATCCCAAGCGAGTGGGACAATTGTCATGTTTGCAAAATCTCAATTCATGTATACTACCACTAGCCAGACGTGATCCGTACCCTTTCTCAGCTATGCATGGTATCCTAGCACGATAGCAAGAGAGCAACAAGTCAAGTAACGCAACGCAACGCATAATACCCATATCCCCGCCTTCCGTCCATCCTGCCCATTCATACATATCATTTACCGATTTTCATTTTACCACCACCTGACAGAACAGAAAGAGAAAGAAACAAAAAATCAACATGAGACAGCGAACTGCAGCCACGCTTCCTGGATCACATCCGCACACTAACATAAGCAAAGTAGAGCAGAGGAGAAAACAGAGTACAGAATGGTTTGCAAGAAAGAAAGGGAGCAAATCTAAGAATCAGCCTTCGCCTTCTTCTTCCTCGGCTTAGGTGCACTCTTTGGCGTCTCCACAGCCAGATCCTCCTTCTCCGCCGCGGCAACCTCATCCTTCTTACTAGATCTCTTGCGCTTCTTGTCTGGGCTCTTCTCCTTCTCGGCGGTCTTGGGTGGGACTATGCTACTTGCGCTGGCCGGAGGAATGATAGTCTCTGGGGTTGGGGGAGCAGCTGGAGTATTGTTCTTGCTGGCTTTGGTCTTGCGCCCGCCCTTCGCTTTGGGGGTCTTGGGAGGTGGAGTGGGTTCCTTGTCGGGCTCACCTTCGGCATCTTCGTCGTGGAGAGCGGCGGCTGAGGCGTCACCGACGAGCTGGGCATCAGCTGTGTTGTCAGCCCCAATGTTGTGCTCGTCTGCGTAGATGGCAGCTTCTTGGTCACTCATATCTTTAGCTTGGAGATTTCCACCTGTCTTGTAAGAGTGCATGCGGGCATTGTAGAGGCGGAGGTTATCCTTGTAAGCATTGGTCCAGAGCTGTTACAGTTAGTGAGATTTCCCGGAAGTACAGAGAAGGAAACTTGCCTGCTTGTCCTCTGCAGCCATGGTACCCCATCGACGAGTTCCCTCGGTGCTAACAGCTCCTTTGGCAAAGTCGGAACCGAGATCCTCAGCAATTATAGGACGGGCTGTCTGCATGTAGAGGAAGAAGGGAGTGAGAGGGCGCTTTGGCGCATTAGGATCATGTTGCCTCTTCTTGCGCTCCTTCTTGTCTGTTGCCTCTGCGGCGACTGACTTTGCTGGACTGACGGCGCGATTCAAGTCCCCGAGGCTGAGCAGAGGGTTCTGTCCGAGCTTGGCCAGAGCAGAGTCAACATCAAGGCCTGCGCCATGTTCACCAAGGACCGCGTTCGTGTGCTTGATATAGGCGGAGGAGAGGGTTTGAATGGCATCTTGGAGAGTCGCGAGCCCGGTAACGACCTGTTCCCATATTAGCGACTGTTGACAAAAGTAATTGGCATCCAATTCCGCGTGGTGGCGCGAAGTCATAGTGCGGTCCGCGGGGTCTTGAGACCACCGCGTCAAGGAAGTAAACAATGGAGGCGCGTAGTAATAGTCGGCCGACGAGGGTATCGCGACACATAAACTGCTCGGGATAGAGTCGCGTGGGTATAGGAATGTAAGATTCAGGGTTGGGAAGCTGGTCCGAGGAGTGGTTGTTGGAATTTGGAGGAGAGCTCAGGATGGTGGTGGTGGTTGATGGGAGACGAGACGGGTTGAGGATATCGATGATATGGGATGCGCGGCTTGCGTCGATCGAGGAGGATGAAGGTGAAAAGAATGGAGAGGAATGATTTCTTACCGAGTCTCTTGTGCGGACGAAGCTGTCTACGTCGATAGAAAGGGTAGCTCCCTCCTTTGGCTTCTCTTCTGGCTTCTTTGCGCGGGCCATGGTGATGCGTTGTGGGTGGTTGATGATGTTCAGTGGTGGTGATGCCTGTGGGTGCTGTCGTTCAGGACAAGTTTTTCAAGGTTTTGGTGGGTTTTGGGCAAGTTTGGGGGGGAGGCACGAGGTTTTCTAGCAGGCCCTGAGCGAGAGCGGGCGGGCAGTACTAGGGAGATACAGAAGCGAGGCCAGAGCAGAGCAGACCAGAGCAGACCAGAGCAGACCAGAGCGGGCCTCGCAGCAGAGAGACCACCCAAAAAGATGGCTGGCAGCGCGTATTGTCAGCCTTCAAAAAGCAGCTCAAGCATCTTTGCATCGTTGGCTCGATTGTTGATTTTGATTTTGATTTTGATTTTGATTTTGATTTTGATTTTGATTTTGATTTTGATTTTGATTTTGATTTTGATTTTGATTTTGATTTTGATTTTGATTTTGATTTTGATTTTGATTTTGATTTTGATTTTGATTTTGATTTTGATTTTGATTTTGATTTGATTGTCCGTAGATTTCATTCTCACAGTACTCGTGTTGCTTTCTCTACAGCCTCACATGCCCTCGCTGTCCCATCTAACTGTTTTGCCAGCATCAACGCGTCAGTGAGCTGCCGTTACTTCATTACCTACCTTAAGGTACGAATGGAAGTTAGGCGGGCAACCCTGTGAGAGCTTGCTACGGTTGGTGAAGTCCTCCCAGGACGAAGGTCTTGAGCCGGGGGCGATGGGTGAGAAGAAAGCCTGGATTGTGCAGGCAGTAGAGTGCAGCTGACTGTCTGGGCGGGATTTGCGGCAGAGGGCAGCAGAGGAGAGAGGCTCGAGAGGCTACGGTTGGTGAAGCTTACCTGGAGCGAAGGCGGAAATCGGAGGTCAGGGGGACGGGGACGAGGAGGAGCTGGAGTGAAAACAGGGCGGATGGTGTGAGCCCGAGAGCTGCACCTCCTTGGTACGAAAGTACCTACGGTGGGTAGGGTAAGGGTAAGGGTAAGGAAGCAGGGCAGGCTGGACTGGGCTCTGGGTAGAAGAGGTGTGGGGGAGCCTGAGAAGAGGCAGCTGGGCAGAACAGGGAGGGAACTACTGTACTACTGGACCACTGGAAAGCAAAATCGAGCAGAGGGAAAACGGGGTTGGAAGGTGGGCGGCGAGGCGGCGCAAAGCCTGGGAAGTCCTCTACGGTTGGTCGAATCTGGCCCAGAATGAAGTTTGGCAGGGAGCACGACCCGTCGACCACGATGCAGCCCAGGGAAGGGAAGCATTGTAGTTGGCTGAGCGGAGGACGGAGGGCAGCCTAAGAGCACAGCGTCAGCGTGTCGCAGATTTCTACGGCGAGCGAGTGCGCTTGGAGTGAAGTTCGCCAGGGTAACCTTAAGGTAAATTTACCTACTTAGGCAGGTATGCTACTGTAAGGCCGGCGATACAGTAGCATGGCCTGATCTTCCTGCCATACCTTACGAAGTTACCCACGGCAAGTGGCCATACAGCGAGAAGCATTAGCAGCATCAGTGGATACGAGCCCGTGGTTGGCTGGGAGCGGAGCGTTAGAGGGGTAACGAAGTAAGGTAGACAGGCAGGCAGGTAGGGAGGGGCCTAGGGAAATCCCCTGGGATGAGGAAATAGAGGTGGCTGGTAAAAGAGGAGCCGTCGTGTTCCATTGTCAGGCTTTACGGGTAAGGCATGACACGCGAGTAGCAGAATCGCCAGGTAGCAAGAGCCCTACGAGAGCACTATCCGCTTGGTTCTGACCGGGCCTGAGAAGCAAGTGAAGTGCGTTTGTACCTGATGTGTAACCTGATCCCCAGACATACCTTATTGTCCGACTGCTGTAGGGAGGTATGTAGCTGCCAATTCGCATTTCAAACAGATGCCCTCGACCATAAGCCTGGACATAACGAGAACATACCTAAGGTGCCTTAGGTAATTAAATTGCTGTTCAGTCAATAGAAGACAGCGCCTTGGTACAAGTGAGCAAGTCTTTTCGTTAGAGCCGTATGTCTTGCAAGTGCACATTATTTTCAGCATAAACACACCTCCAACAAACAGGACGACTCCTATAAGTAATGTGTCAACTGCTCTGTTATGTGCCTACGAGTAGGTCCGCTGAATACTTTGCTGGCCGCCCCAAGGCTCGGCCCACGGATAGGCCCCCAAAACCTGTCCTGACCCTGTCACTTCAGCGACCAGCAATGGCGGCCTAACGGAAGACATATCTCTTGCCGTTCCGCGGCAAGCCAGCTTTGGCTTCAGCATCAGCTTCCCTGTGTTGACTGACTAAGGTACCTTTGGTACAATAACTGTTTGAAGTAATAGAAAGCTTCGGGCAGCAGTGTGGTAGGTCGTAAGGACCTCGTCACCCGTCAGCAAATCCTTAGATGCCTCTCTAAGTTATCTAAGGTATGTAAGAACTATCACCTGGACCCTTCGCTGGTTATCGTTGTCAAAGAGCCGCCCAGTACTTGAAAGTGAGTGCATCTCTGGCGATACCCAAAGCCCAGGTCAGGTATCATCACTGTTGTTCACGAATCCCCGAACTTCGGGCTGCGGACCTTCTTGCAGTCCCCGCCCGACTACGACGTCCACTTTACTATAGTTCCTTTACTTTACTTTACTTTACTTTCCTTTACTTTACCTTACTTTACCTTACTCCGTCTGAAAAGTGAGGCTGTTGATCACCGTCATCGTTGCTTTACTCAGTGTGCCCCGCTGTGTGACATTGGCCCGCTCTATCGTCATTCTCATTCCTTGGCATTCAACCCCTCGCCCTCGAACCAGCATGACATGAAACACTTGGCACATACCAACAACCCCACCATCTCAAAACTTCCTCAAGAGAGCTTTGAGCTTCACCACAATCCATCGAAACACAACAACAAGAAAACAAACCCACAAACATGCCATCCTACAGTTCTACAACGCTGTTGCTAACAGTAGCTATCGTGCTCCTCTTTGCACGACCAGCTCACGCCTTTGGAGCTGGAAATATCGCTTCAGTTGCGAAAATAGAGGGGTTAAATTGTCCGAAGCTTCCGTTCCTGAAGCTTATAGCGTCTACTAACTATTCCTAGGGCGCCATGGAGATATCGAGGATACACTTCTGACCTTGCTCATGTCACGGGCGGCCGGTGGAAAGAAGTTCGACAAGATGTCGGTGGCTAGAGTCTATTTTGGAAACTGGCTGAGAGATTACTGCAAGTTAGCTTACGCGGCGACGAAGGAGCTGTACTGACCTCCTCCTCTACAGCACAAGCTATCGATGTTGGAACTGTCAAATACGTCTCTGCGGAAGCCATCCGCATCCTATTGTGGGTTCTTGGATTCATGACATTTGGATTCGGTACCAAAGAATTCGAAGTTACCACAGAACGTCTTGGTTGCTATCGTCCCGAAGACCATATCGACAATCCAAAGGACTATGCCGATAATATTGATGCTACACAGTATGACCGCAGACTTCGCGGCCCGGTTGATGAGCGGGTGGAGTTGGCTATTGATCCATATACAGGCCTCAAGAACTACATTGCGAATGAGCGTGCTGGTTGTATGACATCTGCTCTGCATGTTCGCAAGCTCTTCGGTCGCTGCATTCAACTCGGCAGATCTTACAACAGAAGCAGAAATAAGGATGAACTCTACGAGTCTCTTCGTTTGTTGGGAACTGCTCTCCATTGCTTGGAAGGTAATTTACTCTGTTCACCCGAGTAACTGGGCTAACAAATCAGATTACTCTGCACACAGTAACTACACCGAATTAGCTCTCATCGAGATGGGCGAGCGCGATGTCTTCCCTCACGTCGGTCGCCGGACGAAGATCCGTCTTCAAGGTGCACGAAGCGAGGTGTACCCAATCGTTACCGGTACATTTGGCGGCGTGGATTTCCTCCATTCTGTTTTGGGCGAAATGGGAGATAAGGCTACCCAGAGTGAGATCCAGGAGCTTGAGGGTACTATTCAACAGCAAGCTGGTGGGGATACTAGCCTGCTTCAAGATCTTCTTGACAAAATTCCAAAGGGCATCTTTGGCGACAAGGATGAGGCTGGGAAGGCCGAGGAGCTCAAGATGAATGCAACTAATGCTCAGATGAACCAAACTCGAGTTTCCCCCCGGGATCCAGAGGAATTTACCATTCAAATGCAAGAGATTGCAAAGGAAATTAAGCCCGTGATGGCATGGCATGATGAGGTTATGCTTTCCATTACCGAAGCCATCGAGAAGATTCCAATGCTTCCAGAGCTTATTGAGCAACTCGAGGGTCAAGTCAACATGTTTGTTTTCTCCTTGATCGCCCCATTCGTTCTGCCTATTATCAGCCAGATCAAGAATGAGTTGAACACTGGTTCTTCCGAGATCATTCAAAGCAGTAAAGACAAGCAATTAATCGTCTTTCACGATGATGAGTGCTCTGACCCTACTCATTCAATGCTTTCAAAAGATCATTTCTCCAATGTAAGTGGTCATATCATGGTCGTGACTAGCGCTAACAAGATCAGGTCCTAAACGAGCCAGCTGGAAAGATTGCCTCTCAAGTCCTGAAATGGGTCGTACCACAGATCATCGAGTGCATGGATGATGAGCGAGCAGATGTCGATCGAACCATCAACCGTATCATCGCTGGAGTGTTCCATCACCCGGCTCAACGCAATGTAGGCGAAGATGGAGCTTCAGACGGCCGCCGCCTCATGTTTCAAGTTGTCGAGCAATGGTGGCAATCACAAGGACGTAATCAAGACAAGCTTCGTGACCAACTCAACCGAAACGGTGTAATGAATGGAGAGAACCACAAGCCAGGAGTTCAGGATTCTGGTCACGGATGTTGCAAGCCTCTCGGTATGGCTAAGTCTTCTGGTGGTGCATCTGGTACCGCTGCGGGTGGATTGATGGGTGGGATTCAGTCTGCTCTTGGTGGCAAATCTTCTGGAGGCTATGGTGGCTCGTCTGGTGGATTTGGAGGATCTGGCGGCTATGGTGGCGGTCAAAACCAGGTCGTCAATGAGGGAATTAGCAACTTTGCTAGTGAAGCAGCTGGAGGTGGAGCTCTCGGTGGCATCGTTGGTGCTCTTGCTGGTGGTCTAGGAGGATCCCTTCTCAGCGGAGCATTCGGTGGATCTGATGAGCCAGAAACCAAGCAGTACAAGCAGCAGGGCTACAATTCTTCAGGCGACTATCAAACGACCACTACGGAGTACGGACATAGTGGCAACCAATACGCACAGGCCGAATACACTCAGACAAACCGACATGATGGAGGTCGTCAGACCGAATATCAACGCTACCAGCAGAATGAACAGGGCGGAAGTCGCTTTGAGCAACGTCGAGAGGAACGTCCTCATGGCGAAAGTTACGAGCACTCCGAACGACAAGAGTATGGCCGCGGAGGAGGCGGATACCAAGAACCCCCGAGACAGCAATACGGCCAGCCAGCCCGACAAGGTTATGGAGGCTACCAGGAGCCTCCTAGACAGGAATATGGCGTCCCTGGTGGATTCCCAGGTGGTGGTTATGAAGAGCCAGCACGCCAGCAATACGGCCAACCTCAACGTGAAGAATATGGCGGTGCCCGAGGTCACGGCAACGAAGCAGGATGGGGCCAACCTGAGCGTCGTAATTCCCGAGGAAGTCGCAACAGCAGTAAGGAGCGGAAGCGAGGTGGATATCGCAACAAGAGCCCTGATAGTGACGATGAGAAGAAGCAGCGTAGACGCAACAAGAGTCCGGACAGCGGCGATGAGCGGAAGCAGTATGGAGGCCAATACAGACGCAACAAGAGCCCAGATAGTGATGAGGAGAAAAAGCAGCGGAGACGTCACAAATCTCGGGATAGAAGCGGCAGCAGGGAGCGGAGAGGGAGCAATGAGTATGGTGGAGGACGGAGAGGAAGTAACGAGTATGAGAGACGTTGGTGAGGGGAATTGATGAGGAGAAGACCAGATGAACATGGGTCGCTGGGCCAGGTTGACTCAGATGGCCTGTGTATCATTAAGTGGTTAGCCGCTTTGGCTGGCATATTCTCCATTGCGAATTGGGATGGATAAGGCTTCAGTTCCATTACAGACCGCTTTTCCACGTCATGCGCTACTTTCTAGATCGGACCTGAGATCCCCTTTTGGAGCTGCAGACACCTAGTAAAAGCTTGAACTAAAAGTTGCTTAAACAATTTGATGCTTACACAGCTATTTCATAACGTGTACTAAAAGCAATGCGACTCGATCTTTCTTCCTATTCACGTGTGATTACCAATTGCCATCGTTCGTCAGCATGTCCTCAGCTGCAGCTATGTAACATAATATCAGTAATAAACACCCTCCTCTCTGAGGCAATACGAAACTGAAAAGGGTCCGATACATGTTGGTTCAACGTTCCATTGAGAACCGCGGTGACGATGATGGCGAAGTTGGGGCTTGTTGATTTTTTTTGGCTTTTGAGAGGGACACAGCACAAGAAAGCTGGATTGATTGATGACTGATGGGCGAGTCCTTGTAGAATAGAGCTTTTTCGCAGCGAGGGGATGAAAGAGCATTCTTGGGAACGTACTCATTGGCAGCGATGTGGAAGTGATAACAGTGCGGAGAGTCAAAAGCGTTGGAGATATTTGCGGGAGGGAGGCAAGGTGGGCTTGCGTAGCTACAAGTCAAGATTGCCTTTCGTGCCTTCGGTAAATGTCCATATCCGCTTCAGAACCTCTGTTTTTCAAGTCATAACATCTAATGAGACTTTCCCTTCACTCCTTGACGATATTCATATATGCTAGGTGGCTCGCTACTTTTTTTCCCCTCGTGATCAGGGCTCGCTTGAGAATTAGCGGGGTGTTTACAAATTCTTAAGAAACTCGGTCCACATTTGCAACCAGCGTTGCCATCATGGCCATGGCCCGTTGACTACAGAGCTTGTGGAATTCAAAAAATACCCGATTCCTTTAATGCGGTTTAGATTTAGTAGCGGCACCAGTGTAGGTCAATTGAAGGCAGAGTTTGGAGGTATTATCTGTAAGGTCGCATCGTGCATCAATTGAGTTACGGTGGCTCCAGGTGAGGACTCATTGCATCTCGAGAGTTAGATTTACGGCCATTTTGAGGGCAATTTTTCAATATAGCTACTGAAAAATTGGGCTGGTAATGAATATAGGGACTCTGATCTCGTCCTTCTCGTAGCCTGAGTGTGGCCGAGTGAAGTGACAGTGAGTAGAGGATTACGTGCTTGAATTTTTGACGGAAACTCCGAAAGCGGGAGCATTCTGGGTACTGAAAGGGTGTGCAAGCTGTGAATAGTACTTTAGACAACATTTTCGGAATCTTTCCTCCAAGACGTATAAAGGCAACAGAAAATACGAGGCGCGCTGATCTAGGTCGAGCCCGTTGAGGTTTGTTACAAAAAGGCAAGCTCAAACTTTCTCAGACAGTATTGTATCACGTAAGTGGGCCTCTCTAGGATTTATCTTGGTTAGCTCAGGAAGATATTGAGAGAGAATATCTTTCAAAATCTAAAATTCGCCGTTTCCAATGTCGGCAGCAGCTGGTGTTTGCAATATACATACGTGACAGAGCTCCTAGTGGTAAAATGTAAACAAAATACCTCGCTTGCAGCTGTGCTGCTTAGACGGGAAGTGATACCTAGCTAAGTAGGTAGCTTGGAATGAGCGCAGATTTAACAGTAAATTTTCATTTTAAGTCCATTCTTCAGGCCTCAATCTACTTTTCGAAATAATGATGTTTTGGAAGAAACCATGGTGTGCTGGTGTTGATATTCAGACGATATGACTCGTGGATACCTAGATGGGCTACCGAGACACGCTGTGGGGTTGAAAAGCAAAAGCCCAACTCCACTGTAAATGGACTGTGCTGCGGTTGCCTTCCCCACGGCGGCCCACTAAATTGCGAATCGCGGCTTCCAATGTAAGGAGGGGCATTCGAGCGGGGCCAATTATCTTCAAAGGGCCATCTGGCATCTGAGAAAACGAACCTATCAATTGTCGGCTGGTGCTTCTTCAGTGGAAAGCACTCGCGCAAGGGGCAATCAGCTTCCTAGAGGGCAGGTATGCGCTGTGAAGTCGGCGTGTGGTCGCCTGTAACATGGCGGCGGGGTGCTGAAGGCCAGGGATGAGGTGCCTGAGACCTCGCTGAGCACGACCCTCCGTTCCCGCCCACTTTCCCCACGGGGGAAATCATTCCCGTGTGGGTGGGTCTATGGTAGTACAGTAAGGTAACTTAAGGTATCTTCAGTGCCCAGGTGAGTTCCATTTTATTGAGCTCTCGGGGCTCTGGCATCAATTAAGTGCTCGCATCGCCGTTCACCTCGGTCACATTCAGACATGGAAGAATGTACAGTATATCGCAGCGTTGCTCACTTCTTCACGGGTGTCGTGTTTGACAGAGTAGTGCGACGAGGGCGGAGGGCGAGGGCGGGTGCTGGTCTCGCTGTTGCAGTGCCATGCCAGGGCATGCCATGGACCTCGATGCGACCAAGGAACAGGCCCGCTTTTTCCGAAGGAGGGGGTGGATCTGGTTGGCCTGGACAAAGCACGCTATTCACGCCTGCCAGAGCCAGCCCGGCCAGTCTCCCCCAACCCAGCATTCCGCACCTCTCCGTTCTGTCCTTCCATCCTTTCTTCTTCTTGTTAAAAAATCTGTCCATCATCCACACTTCCACCCCCTCAACACCCAATTCTCCAATTCCATCAGCAATCATCATGAACTCCATCGCCCAACTCACTGCCCGCTCGGCACGCCTCAATGGCGCCTCAGCCCTCCGCCAGGCAAACCCAATTGCTCGTCGAGCCTTCACAAATGGTAAGCTCAACAGCTCCCGCCTCCTGAGCTCCCAGCTTCCATCTCCCATTCTTGGCACAACAACCAGCTAACACATCGCCAACAACAGGTCCATCGACCTCAGTCTCCCGTTTCCAAGCTCCTGCTAAGAACAGCGGGCTTCTGATGAGCCGTACCATGCTCCGCAACACCTGCCAAAACCTCACTCGCAACCAGTCGCGCGGTGTTGCTGATGTCGCGGTTGGTGCTGCTATTCTCGGTGCCGGAAAGCTCATCGGAGCTGGTGTCGCTGCTGCTGGTCTTATCGTAAGTTGTCTTTATTCCTGTAACCCAGATTGAATTGGTCCGGAGCTGTCGAGAGCTGGTAAACAAACACAACTCGTTGTGCTTTGGTCATCAATGCTTCACTGCAAAAAACTCGTCCACATCAATTGACTGCGTACTATCAACTTTGACGAGTCCCAGACTGACTTCCATCAAGGGTGCAGGAACTGGTATCGGAACGGTTTTCGGCTCCCTCATCACTGGTGTCGCCCGCAACCCTTCCATGCGCGGTCAACTCTTCTCGTACGCCATTCTGGGGTTTGCTTTCGCCGAAGCCACCGGACTTTTCGCCCTCATGGTGTCCTTCTTGATTCTGTTCGCTATGTAAATGGTCTGCTGTAATATCACACTACATATTCCTGGGGCTGTTGCTGGGGTGGATAGACGGTAGATTTGGTGGGGAGATGGATGGATCATAGCTTGCCTGCTTGCGTGCATGGTGAATAGAAGAAAGCTCTTACCATTGTGTACAATACATGGAATTTGCACAGACTAGACTACTCCGCTCTTATACTTGCAATTGAATTTGAGCTAACAGATGCTGTCATGTGCCGTACACTTTGCGAATCGTTCTGCTTGCGACTCGGGTCAAGGGCCCGAAGCCTCGAAGGTAAATGCTAGTCTTTCAATTTGTTAATAACTATAAAGTTTTCATATTAGGAACTTTGGAAAGTGCCTCTCCCAGGGTAGGGCAAAACCTGACTTCTCCTTTGGGGAAGCCCCAGAAATCCACGTTGCATGTGAGCAGGCGTCTGCATGCACTTAGATCTCCAGTCCTCTTTCCAGCCTCAAAGACGAACACTCCTATATTTTTCCAAAAAGCCTACAGCGACAGTTGCTGGTGCCTTAGTAGACTAACCGGTGAGTCGTATATCCAAATGTACCTTGAGTCGTATATCCAGTACATGTTGATCGAGATTGTCAAGATAGCAAGAATAGAGTACATTGAAGGCAGAGGCTAGTCTTTAGGAATCGCTAGAGGTGCAATTCAAGTACTAGGCGGTCTGCGGACAATTATTAAATAGTCAATTAACAGTGATTAGAATTTGTTAATAACTATAAGGTTATTATTTCAGCAAAGTGCCTCTCTCTTAGTTGGCCCAAACCTGCCTTCTCCTTTAAGGTATATATTATAGATGGCAGCTTATGTCAACTTTCCCGCAGCCTGGTCTCTCATCTGAGTCCCTCTTTCCAAATCCCCACTGACCCTCCTCATCTTAAATCCAGTAGCCGTCTGTCTTATTTCAGGCCTGGTCACGACAGGAGGCGGTCTTGTACTCGTCGAAAGCCTCTCTCTAATCCACTCCGTCTCAACACTCTTCCTCGTACTCCTTGCAATACTCATTGCCTGCGCAAATGCCAACATATCCAGACTCCCCTCTCCTGGCTGACTAGCCCTCTCTTTCCTCAATCGTCGCTGACTCAAAGCTCGGCGTGCTCTTCTAAGAAGGTGTCCGATGTCGTCGAGACTGAGAGCTATAGCGATGAGCGGTATCGAGACAGCGAAACCAATCCCAAACATGTATTTACTAACATACCTCAGCGGTAGACTCGGTCCACTCTCTTCTCTAGGGAATTCGCGGATATTGATGGCAAAGAAGGCAGCTATGAAACTAAGTGGCAAGAATATAATAGTGACAATGGTGAACACCATGATGGTCTGGCTCTGTCTGGCAGTACCAGCAGCCTGATCGCGTGCAAAGCGAGCTTCGAAGGCATTGGCGTGCTTCTGTTTGAGGTCCAGCATATCGGTTATGGATTTGTATATGCGTTCTGCTTGACGGTCCATGCGATCTATGTCTTTGAGATGCATCTCTATCATTTTCAGCTGGTCTCGGAACCGCTTCTTCACTTCCTGCTGCGATTTCTGTTCGTCGCGGTATATTTCGCACACTGCATCTTGAAGATCGGGTAAGACATTCTTCTGATCATCGAGGACTTTGGCAATCATGTTCAGTTCGTCACGAATATCTTTTGTTTCGGCGAGTAGATCAGTTTCCTGACCTATATCGAGGAGTTTGTCGATGAAAGGGGGATTACGCATTAATTCCTCGAGCTTGAATTTTTCTTCTTCGGCGTCCCAATTCATATAATTTGCTTCCTGCTTGATCTCCGCTTCGGTCGTGCCGTGCTCGATAAACCGAGAGAAGCCGTGGGATCGCCGGTGATGCTGGAGCCAGATCGATGCTTGTGCTGATGCGGCATTGAACTCTTTAAATAAGATCGTCTCTCGATCCGTGGCGCTACCGATGCTGGATTCAAACATATCTAGAAATTGGTATTCGTTATCTCCCATCTGGTGTCGATCAAAAACACCAGTGCAACGCCCTGTGATAATCATGGCCAAGTCATAGACCGATTTGACAGGCTCCCGAGTCTTGCTGTTGATATCTTCTATAACACTATCAAGAACATTCAAGGGATCGTTCTTAGGTTGCTGCCAGCGCTGAGGGAAGCTGGTGACGATTAAGTCCTTCCCAAGTATCCACATCCATAGTTGGTCAACCATGACAATCTTGGGGTCAACCTCTGGGTCTTCATGATCTTTCCCTTTCAATTGATATCGGTAGACTACCTGGTCTTGGTCTCGACTCTCAGTATCGATATTGTGATAGAAGAACTGATCTAATGTGCGGCGAACGTGGAGAGAAGCAGTTGAAGTTGCCAGATGAGCACGAATCAACATCTCGTCATACGTCCGTGCCTTGCCTAGGTTTGGACAGAGGGGCGATCGCATGTTCTCTGCTCGTTTAATCGCTTCTTGCATCTCTTTTCGCCGCCGGGTGCTTTCGAAATGAAGGTACGGCATGAATGAAAAGACATTGCCTTTAGCCTGGGAGGTATCCTTACGGCCGGGTGTGCTGGGGCGGTCAATGGATTGGCTGGACTTCCCTAAACGGTGTTAGTAACTAATTTTAAGTGCCAGGCTGGAGTTTGACAATGGATAGTCAAGAATGTCCTGAACATATCTGAGTGCCCTTAAGATTACTCGGAATTTGACAGCCATCTTCTGAAACATTCTTGGTCATTGTACGAATTCAAAGCTTTTGCACCAGGAGAACTTTCAAGGAAACTCACGAGGTGTGTCTTTGTCTTTGCCAGGCGTGTCGTTCAGCTTCGGTGACTTGTTTCCTTTAGCATGAGGCTTCTTTCCCTTATCCTTGTGTGCCCCTTTCTCATGGTCCTTTCCATGAGACTTGAAGAAGTCATTACTATCCTCCCGGAATGTAGAGCTCCTGGAGGCAGGCTTTGGAGATCCCTTTGCATCTGTGCCATTTATGACAATCCTCGGTGGTCCGGGCTCCTCAATCGGCTCAGCAGGTATTTGTGCAATGCGAGCAGCTCTTGTTGAAGTTTGACAGAGAGGTCGCATGAAGTGGGAATGGCTCTGCTGTCCTCGATGTTGATGAGAAAAAGACTTTTCTAGTGCTTTGAATCCCTCTACATCGCTTGCGCCTTCTTCGATGAACATTTTTGTGAGCAGCACTTCGATCCAAGCCATATTGTTTGCAGGAAGATGGATCCACCGAAAATCTGAAGCTTTGTCATCATTTGGTAGAATGGTGTATTTTGGTTTCCTTGAATTGATTGGATCACGACCGTAACAACAGCTCTATATCCTCGTCAGCTCATTCTTAAATGCAACTGGAGGGAGCACATACCATACACTGTTGGTCTCTTGACGCGATTCTCGTTGTGAAAATTCCCGAAATCGACAACCGTTGCATTGAAACCGTTACTGGCCCCCAGAGCATCCTCGGATATGCTTTCCATGTGATTAAAAGGTGCCAGCAGACCGACAATATCCTTGTGCCTATTTTGAGCAGCTCGTAAAAATGGTGTGCTTCCGAATGTATCCCTAACTGTTTTCTTGATATCTTTACGTTCCAAAAGACATTGAACAACGGCTAGATGTCCGCCTTGTGATGCCAGGTGCAGTGGAGTCATGCCATTGAGAAGCTTCACATTTATATCAGACCCAGCCTCAATCAAAATTCGTACAATCTTCTCAGATCCAAGTTCACAAGCATTATGAAGTGGTGTCCATCCTCCATCGCTCCTCGCTGTGACATCTGCACCACTTTTCAGAAGCAATTCCACAATATCAATCCAACCATGCGCTGCACCCAGATGTAGACTTGTCTTTCCCCGTATCTCAACCGCATGTACGTTCGCTCTTGGTATTCTGGACCTCGTCAGGAGAAGCTCAGCAAGGTGCGTTTTCCCGGTCGCGGAAGCCCAGTGGAGGACTGATCTCCCGAGGTTGTCTTGCCCCTCTTCCCCATCGATATGTATATTCTCCTTCAGCAAAAGCTCAATTACTGAGTCTCCCCAATTGCACTGTTTGTCTGCTGCTAAATTGTGCAGCACATTTCGTCCTCGAGCGTCCTTCGCATTAACATCACCACCTCTAATAATCAACGAATTAAGAATATGCCAGTAATTCATCCAAGCTGCAGTCATCAACGCTGTGCGCCCCTTTTTGTCCCTCGTTTCCGGGTCTGCGCCATGCTCTAGGAGCAGATGTACGATGCCAATGTTATTCCTCTCGACCGCTTTCATTAACGGAGACAGTCTGTTTCCAGTTGATCCATCAGGTTGAGCTCCTGCAGCAAGAAGGTATTGGGTAGCACCAATCTTCCCCTTCTCGGAACTTCGCACAAGGCCGATTCGAAGGAAATTTTCGCTCAACTGGCCCTTGGTCTTCGCCGAATCGATGATCTGGCGAAGTCTGTCCACATCGTCGTTCTCCGCCGCACGTAGCAACTGTGGTTCGAGACGTTCATTGTGGTCGCTAGACCGTGATCTTGATCGCGACAGGAGCTCTCCCGTCTCGGCCATTCCTTGATGTCGAAACCGGTTCCTCTGCAGTCAAAAGCCAATGGGCTATCCAAAAGTGCGCATCATGGCAACCTGATCCGCACTTGCTTGGATAGAGAGCTCACCGTCGAGTGGTAGTCGAGAAGTTGAAAAAGCAACCATCATGGGCGCGCCAAGAAATCGTCTGGAGTTGAAGCACTCCCGTCCGGTGACTGACAAATCAAATTCTGGGGAAATCAAGGGTTCGCCAAGCCTCGTCAAGCTTTTCAGACGACCGGACGACCTCAGACTTGCGGCCTCTGGGGACACACGATTCGCTATAATTGACAGTATAATCACACATTTTCAGTTGGTTCTCAATTTTCCAATGAATTACAGCAATGAACGCCACAGCTAAGCTTGGGTGGTCGCAGATGATCAGTCTCGAGAGGCCGACCGTGGGCAAAGCTGCCAGCCAGACGCATGCTCTCAACCCAAATTTCTTTGAGGAGAAACGATTTAGTATTCATCTTCAAGCCAGATTCAAGTTCGCAGAACTCTTGCTTCCAATAGCATTATAGATGAGCTCAATTTTCCCGAATAGCAGGACCGTTTTCGATATACGCAGCGCCATGATTGATACTAAAGCCAACTATTCTCCTACTCAACTGTTTCTACCTTGAAGGAGAGGGCAGATTCTGCGTCACATGGAGGATGAACTACCTTGAAAGAGTAACTTCGCAACCATCAAAGAATCCTTATTATTATCAATTGACCGTTCGCTGATTGTCCATAAACCGCTCATGACTCACAGTGCCCCTCCATTGCCCTTCCAGGGGTTCCTGAAAGCCAGCCTTGCCTTTAAGGGCCCATGAGATTGAAAGCTACACAGAGAGATGCTGGTCATGTCTTTGATCTAGAGATATACTGCCTTCTCATCTGGTGGCGACAGGGGAGCTGAACCAGAGCCACTCTTGTTTCTGCAAATCTCTATTCTTCGTTGAAGCTCGGAATGACTTTATTGAAGCGCAGCAAATTGTCGTCTGGCATCCAACAATTCTCTTCGCGTCTTACCGAGCTGAGTCTCCACGTCATTTATTCGAGTCCATAGACTATTCTGCATGTCTAAACACGGAGCGTGCTGTTCCATCCGCTCTTGTCGTGGACAAGCCGACAACGTATCGAAAGCAAGGTCAAAAACTGGCTTTCCTACCGGTTGGGATGGATAAATCTGTAGATTGTGTGGGTTTGGTTCGGGTTGTCTTGGAAGAACTTGAAGCACTACATCTTCGAATATTGTCGGCAGGACTAAAAAAGGAACCCGTCGTTTTATTCTGGGTCTGCGAGTTGCACGGAGAGAATTCCCCTCGAGCCTGTATCGCCGTTAGAATTATCCAAGGGCAGAAACGTATAGTACATACAGTGGAGTTGTTGCAGTCGTTGGGCTTGCCGCTATTTCGATTTGCTTTGATCTTCCCTCCGCCATACCATCCAGCATCGCATTAGATCTTCTCCGTTTTGGGATGCAAAATTTAGTTGTTAAGCCTAAGGATGTTGGCATTTTGAAATCGTCGAGTTTGAACATAGGATAAAGTGTAGAGTGGACCTATAAACGGTGATATACTCAGTCCTTCTTGACATGCAGTGAAACTTATCGAGGAAAATAAGTGAGATCGGATATTTATTTCTTGGTGCGGATTTGGTTTCTGACTGCCTCGATTTCTATCTCCTAGATTCCTTTTCCAAGTTTGGTTCGGATCTACAAGCGTCCTTAAACATATATGACGCCCTTTCCTCAGCCAAATGCTCACACCACCAGCACGGGTGCACCATTTGAAATTATTTTCACGATTCAAGTGATCCGAGCGCGTCAAAATAGTATGATCTTGATATAAAACTCAATAGTACTTGACGCTATCCCAGGAGTAGTACTCATCAATTGGGCTGGCGCATTTCGGTGGAGAACTATGGAACTGTCCGATCACTGGTACCTCTCTAGAATACTGTGAGTTGCTACATGCTTACCATCGGTACTGGACATTCATCTAATCGAGGCTTGTTATTTCATTTTAAAACTCTCCAGTACCCTACTTGTTGATATATATTAATCATCCTGTTCATTGTTCTTCGTCTTCTCCTCTCTTCCTCCTTCTCTGTCTCCTCATTCTATTGTTCCTTCTAGTTCTCCTTTCGCTCCTGCTCCCACTGCTTTTGTCCTTCCTCTCTCTGTTCCTTCACTCAAAAGTCAATCTGAAAACTTCAGTCAAAATATTGTTTAGGCTATCTTATCGTCAGGGCGCAAGATCTTCACGCTTGATCAATTATCGTCATATACTTTGACACTCTGACGGAGCTATTGGGAACAAAGCTCAAATTGCGATTATTTGTGCCTGGCTAGTTTGGTGGGTGGTAAGGAGAGCCCCATCGCAACCTAAGCTCTGAACGTGAGGACTATATTCCTTCAGAATGGTGGCAAATATAAGGCGCCAATGCATGACATGGAAGATAACCTTTTGAATAAGCATGTAGGATCTGCAAGCAGTGACTGGTGGTTCGGTTAAGGACCGAACCCTCCTTGTACGTTTGTCAACAAACCTTAAATGTGAAGGCCCGTTCATCCCTGCAGTGGGAGAGGCACTTTCCTGAAACGATAGGTAGCCTTGTTACGGTTAACAAATTCTAGTCACTTCTAGCTAACGCTGCCCTGATTATCTAAAAATCGTTTAATACTTGAAGTGTGAGTGAGGGTTTTACGAGCTTTTTTTGCACGGCCAAAGAGGTCTTTACCTATTCCACAACCTGCTATCACTCGGATTCCGCATCAGTTCCAATCTAGAATGCCTTGGAAGCCATGAGACGAAAGAGAACAGTATCAGCATATCTCCACCTCTAGATTGTGGGTTCCGAGTTTTCCAAGCCCACCTGACGATGTGAATGCCTTGCCGACGAGAATTCTCAGGGCATTGGAATATTCGCTTTTGATGACTTGCAAGGCAGTACTACTCTTGGATAGTCGTGGTTTCAGGAACTCTTGTAGGGGATCGGCTTTGGTATCAGCACTGGAAGTCGTCGGCGATTTCCTTGCAAAACCAGCACATTCTAACTGCTTCATATCGGCAATCTATCTATCACTCACACCACCGAGTCTATCACTTCAGTTCACCCTGTCTCTCCTTCCAATCCTTTGGCTTTCGAATCATTACCCCGCCGCCATCTCCCTCAAAAGAATTATCCCCACTAAACCTTGCCAACAACTCAAAGCCCACACTTTTATACATCCATTCACCAGCTGCGCTCGCCTCAATACCCGTCACAACATGCTCACTATCTGCTCTTCCCAAAACCTCAGCCATCAATCTCTTCCCTATTCCCCTCCCCTGAAACTCCTCCAAAACAACCACACTCTGCGCATGCCATCGATTCTTCCTGTCCTCCCTCCCCTGCCAATGCAACCTCTCCTCCTCCTCAATCATTTCTCCAAATTTTTCACAGCGTTCGGGTCCTCGCTCTTATTTCCACCTCTCCAACGCCAATTCGCTCTAACCCAAAGCTCCCACAGCTTGCTCAATACCCACATGCAGACCCTCCACGTGACACCCGTATCGATATCCATCTTCTTCGCAGCCTCATCATCGCCCAATCTTACAAATTGCGCATACCCTACTGGGTGCTCCGGTGTGCTCTTCTCGTACGCGAAAAAAGTGACATTTCGTGGCGAAAACATGCGCGCTTGAGCACGAGTCTGATATCCGAATTCATAGTCGCTGTAATATTCCGCGCGGTGGGGAGAGAGGTAGTTGGTGAGCCCTGTATCGTAATATGTGCGTGCTGCGATGCGACCCACATGATGACCTTCGAAGAGACGACCAGGGCGAATGAGGATAGGTTCTTGGGACTTGGACTTGTGTGGGAACTTTCCGATTGGGGGTATGGTTTGGATTCCTTTCATAGGGGAGGACATGTTGTCTTTACTTGTTTGGAAATCGATCAGTAAACAGATATAAGAATGAACTGGAAAGAATCGAACATTTCTTTATATGTTGTTGTTCTTCTTCTAGTGGAGAATAAGTCGGCGTGAGTCAAACCGAGATGCAGATTTTTAGCGACGGAGAAAGGGAGAGTGGTAGACCCGGCCAAGGAATTTAGCTTGGTAGAGGACACAATGGGGGCAGTGTTAATGCTACCTAGATTTCTACCTCTCTGATCAGGGACTGATGAGGGTATCCGCTTCAGAGCTGCGTAAGTGCTTATACAGAGTTGTGTACACATTTTCGTGCAGGCGGACGTAGAACTGTTGCCTTGATATGCGGGAAATAAGCAAAGACGAGGAGACAATCACCACATGGAAATCTAAAATGATGGGAACCACAATTCGAAAGTGTGCCAAAAGTTTACAATAACGCCGAATCATGAGCAAACGCATCTTAAAAGAACCGATGCAGTGATACAATCATAAAGTGAAAATACGTCGAGGCTCACAACTCAAAGCATTTGATGGCAGTGGCCAGAACCCCAGAAGTCTAAAACCGTCCGATAAAGCATTAATCAGCACCACCAAGATTACATCTGCACCTCCTTTGCTTCAGCCAACCAAGAACTTGCAGCTTATAGCCAACATCTCACATGTCGCCATTACACTTCAAGGCTTGCAGCACACAGCCGTATCAGCAACATCAACAACGGGATTTTTAGTGACCATATTCATGTGTACCAGCTTGTAAGTTATTGTCATTGATAGTACCATCCTCTCACTTCGACATTTCAGCAGTTTCTCAGCTAGAACTCGGTCCTGGGTGGCAATGTCGTTCTAGGTCTCGAGAAAAATATCTCTACAGCAATTCCCTTTCGGCCTCTGCCAATGTTCTTTAGCAATCTGCGTTTGCTCATTGCTAGCCCTATCTCCGGTTCTTCCTTTGTCATATTCGATTCTTGCCTCGTGAAGAGTGCTGTCAAGGGACGGAGAAGCGTGGTTCTTATCGCTCATGACACACAACGTCCGACACTGATAGTTGGGCGCTGCACGTCCTTAGCGTCCCAAAAGTAGCCATCCCAGCATCTATTCCAAACTTTACTCCGAAAGCTTTGGGGCTCTCGAAAATCTAAACTGTGATACGTCATGCTTTGCACAGTAATGTTGCCTGCGTCATCGATATATGATATCGAGATCCTCGAACTTGCGTAAATGCTCTCTGATCTTGCCGTCGGCCATGTTGTTTTCTGTAGTGATTTGATCAAATGAGTGGCAACCATCCAGGTACTTCTGCATGATATCGCCGCCTGCGACTCTGTTCTGTCCAGAAATGAGCGACGACATGTATGCAGGCGAGACAGCATACTTCTGCACCCGGTAAATAAGGCCCTTGATGATACCAAATTGGATGAATCGTCGAACGTCAACGAAGTTTAGAACAGGAAACCCTTGGTCGATATGAAGCTTCAGCCATTCTTTGACGTTCCGAGATGTGGTGAGCGAAGTGAAGAGACGACAGAGATAGAAGTTTGGAAGGCGGGGTCCGTTGATATAAACATAATTGGCACACTCGTCTTGCATACCGTCTCTGTCCGCAACGAAGTCATTCACTTCGGGCGTTGGGGCGTAAATGTTTCCAAAGAGAAAGAGGTCGAGCATGAGAATAGAGTCATAGTAAAGCAGATGCTGAAGAGCAATCTTGGTCAAGTCAAGAGCTACGTCGGCATCATGGGCAATTCGTCGAACGTCCTTGATGCCATCGATCTGCTTAATCACTTTCTTCATTGTTAAATCCCATGTGTCATCCATAATCTCCGAAAATTTCATCGTGGAAATTGGGACATGCCACGATTTGACAGGCGGTGGATGCCTGTGGTTTGGAAACAACTTCATGTTGATTGTATTTGCGTCATCTAGAATCGTGAGTTGAACTCAGCCAGAAGAATGGAAAGCTCACCAACTGGTATCATGCACTCATTATAATTATTCAGATCTTCTTTGATGATTTCAATCAAAGCTGCAATGGACCGTCGTTCCTGGGAGCTCGAACAATTTTCTTGGCTCAGGTACTCGTTCTGGATCTCCATCTCGGTGAACGTGCTCGCCAATCGTCGGACCACGGCTTCATACGGGCTCTTGTCCACCTCTACACCGATCACAATGCAGAAATTGAACATAAATTCGTTTCGCGCGTACTTTTCATCCTGGATGCACACTGGGTGACCCAGTATCCGATACTTGTTTTCTGGTTCACAGATGGTGACGAAGCGGTTGCAGAATGCCTGTCTCGGGATTATGTATTCGGCCATGGTCTCGAAGTCGAAGAGACGAGGCTTTTCAACATCCGGCTCAGGCACGATACATCCTGGCGGGCTTTGATGCACAACTTTGGTGCCTTCACGATATTATTTAGCTGAATAATAACATGCCGGGTTGAGGTGACCTGACTTGCCTTGTTCGGACAAAAAGCGGGCGAAGAAGATTCCCTGAATCATTTTGAACTTCTGCTCTAAGCAGCGTTCAGACCAATGTCTCCAGGATTCACAATCATTGCTGCTGGTGTTTTGAACATTGATGTCTTCATGCTGAACCCCTGTGGAACCGGCATCTACTCGGCCCGGAGCTTGCCGATGATTGGCCCGTCCGACGACATGTCAGTTTCTTCACTTTCCTACTCGTTCCAATGACATAGACACAGACGGGTCAGATTTACTTGGAGATTCTACCTTGATTTTGAACTAGTCCTCTCTTCACCTTCTCCAACATCTCGGCGCAGTCTCTGGGAATGAATATCCTTCAATACCTTGAAATATATTGTGTAGTCGATATTGCTTGATTGACTGGAGTCATAACTCGAATGTATTGAGAGGCACACGAGATATCGATTCATTTGAGCTCAACTGCCACTCATTGCATAAGGGCGAACCTGGAAGACCACTCTCGACGGTCTGCGACTCGAGTAGCTGAACCGACACCGTTACCATGGATCTCCCCAGCCTTCGACGCAAACCATCGTATGGGACAATCCTCCAAGTCCTTGAATCTCTCCAATTGAAGCCAACTTCTTGGGATGAGCCTTCTGTTCCCGAATTGGCCACAGCTGGAAGCGATGGATCTGCCAATATGTTCCTCATATCGGTCATCATGAGCGACTTCGAATGGCTCCAAGAGCTCAAAGATGACTCTGGCGTTGTGTTATCAGTTGATGAACAGAAAGAGACGTTGATCAAGGAAGCCAGCTGTCGGATGTCTGAGCGCTGTGGCCGATCAGGTGAGTTGCCGTGCCAGTCGTCATAGGTGACTTACTTACGCAATTAGCTGCGGGAGAAATGACTCGCACTTGGATCATTCCGAAGTCACTCAGCAGGCCAGAAATAAGATTCAATATTCGTGAGCCTCCACTTACAGGAGATCAGATAGGTCTGAAGACTTGGGGTACTTCCTATGTTCTCGCCAAGAGGTTGGAGTATATCGGTTCCGAGTATCTTGGTGCTATGATAGAGAGTCAAACGCCTTCTGTCCACCCAAACATCTTAGAGCTAGGAGCTGGGACTGGCCTGGTGAGTTGAGCTACATCGGTCTTCTTTGTGTTCTTTAGCCAACTTCCTCCAATCTTGGGCCTGTACTGACGATCCTAGGTTGGCATGGCTGCTGCAGCAGTATGGAAATCGAAAGTTCTTCTTACAGATCTTGAAGCCATACAGCAGAACCTCATTTTCAATATTGAGCAGAATATATCCATCGTTAGCTACCTGGGTGGATGGATCGCTGGTGGGGTTCTTGACTGGACAAAGCCTGAAGACGCTTTGCCTTCACTACAAAGCAAGAAGTTCGGGGTATGTTTCTACCTTCTTTGGCCTGCTCCTACTCATAAAAATAGATTGTTATTGCAGCAGATCCAATGTACGATGACGAACACCCTGAGCTGGTTGCGAATATGGTGAAGAGGTTCATGGAAGACGGCTCCCAGTCAAGAGCACTGGTAGCAATTCCTTTGCGTGATGAACACACTAAACGCATGGCACATCACTTCTCTACTATTTTGGAGAACACAGGCTTTTGTGTGGTGAACCAAGATCATGAATCCTGCAGGGACGATTGGACCTCGGCTGAAGAAGTTCAAGTCCAGTGGACAGTATGGCGTCGCGCCGATAAGGACATTGATTTTGATGGCTCGTATCCGTTCTGACTCAATTCCAATACTGAATAGACGGTGAATGGATAGAACGTGACCAGAGCTTCTTTTGACGTTCCAATGAGAACGGACAAAAAAAAAAGGCGAGCTCGTTAGATAATCCACACAACACAAAGGCCTGGCCCACCATCTCGTATCTGTTTTCCGGATATTCTTTCCTTACTTTACTTTCTGCTTCCACTTCATCTAGTCTTGCTGTTATCATAAAGCTACTTACATAGCCTTCGTCATGACTGCGATACCTTTCATCGCAACAGCGGCTGTGGCTCTTCCGAACGCGCTGCTTCAAAGCATAGGGGTTTTGTAGAAGCTTATGTAACGTCTTTGTGCTCTCGTTGATTTAACACTGCCGCAGTCATCTATTAGGGTGGCATCCTCAGCTTTCGCGCTTGTCAAGTCTCTCCACTCAACCTACGTACCGCGCAAGTGTCGGGGCTGGATCCAAATCATACTCTCGGGCTGCCTTGCCGCAAATACATTCTCACAATCACTGTCCTAAAGGTGAATGGAACGCGACAAATCCCGTGACTGGTCAAGCGCGCAGAATTTGAATCCTCCACAATAGGTTGGAAGAGCTCGCTTATCACAGCCTCGTCGCGCCTCCAGAAAGTTGCTTCATCTTCCTCCTCATCCTCGACTCTAACTCTATCTCACACACAACCACATTGACGAACGAATAGTGCGACTTCTCAAATAACGCAAAAATCCGCTCAAACGATCTTCTTTCTTGTACAATACCATCTCGCATCTTGCATTTGCTCCAGAACATTCGAGAGAGACGATTTCACTCTACTGTCACGCAACAAATATCACACGCTCACTTTCGAGACCGATATCTTCCAGCACCATCTCTCGACGTAACCTCCGCCATAGCCACAGTCCACGAGACTCACAAACACTCCATATTCCACCGCAAAAATGGTCGGAATTGCAAAATGGCAGGATGAGTGGGTGGCACACATTTTTGAATGCAAGCGCACTTCCCCAGACATGGACAACGACATGATCGCCGAGTCTCTCCGAAAAAAGTTCCCTCGTACCAAAGATTTCCATGCTGGTGGTGTCAAGTACGTCTTGCAAACTAGGAAGGATCCTTCGTAGGTTACCCTTTCGATGAACCATCGCAAACTTGCTGACTCCATCCGCAGACTCCCAAACGACCAAGTTCTCAGTAGTGGTGTCAAGAAGAAGAAATCTACGAAAGGCTCCAAGCCACCAGCAAAATTAGAGAATGCGCTAAGTAATGCTCTCAGCATGGTTTCACCAGCCATCTCCGTCGCATCGTCATTCGGTCCAAGTACCCAATCCCAGCCTAAGGTAGTTGGTGGCAGGCAAAGCGCGACTAGACTTGATAACCCAACGCCGATGGACACGCTCGCTTCACGAACCTCCTCTTCACCAAGCCTTATACAAAACAATATGGGCAACATGGGTTATCCGATCGACTCGTCTGGTTCTCGAGCCTATTACAACGATTCGGTCAATCTTGAAAGACATCGATACCCTGCTGTTCTTACCGCTGGTGCAAGCATTGAGAATCCTTATACTATTGATGACGATGGAAACAACCCTGCAAGATACATGATGCAGCGATCATCCACCAATCAGCAAAGTACAACACCATACCAGATGGGCAGCAATAACCTCCAGCAAGGATTGCAAAATAATGTCTACGCTCAGCGCCAGAATGGTCAAAAGAATCCCGCATTGAGCAATCAGATGACTGGCTTCATGAATGAGCAGACTCAGAATGTACACAGAGGCTTTCGCAACCCTACTCGAGCTAGCTTGGGCCCAGCTAGCCAAGAAAACTATGCCAGTAGCGTGCTACAGAATTACCTTCAGCCATATAAGCGAGCAGGTGCTGAGGATCTGGAGCAGACTCACCAATCCTCCCATGGCATTCCCAACACGAATAGTTCTGCTGTCTATCAGGGTTTTGGAGACAATTTAGCCACCGGAAATTCTGGATCCAACAGCCATGGTCTTCCAGCAGTGTCAAAGCCTGTAAATGGTAAAGATTTGTATAATCAAAGCGGTCAGCCAAGCTCTCACAACCAGGGCATGTTAAGTGAACAGGACAACCAGAATATGATGGGAAGTGCCAATAATGTGGCGGGTATAGGAACCAACAACACCAATGCTACTATTAGGAGCCGATCTTTGGCAGCGCCTAAGAACACTTCCATGGGGGAGCACGTACAAGTGCCTTCATCTTCAGAGGTCCATCGAGCCCCAGATGCATTTGATTTTAGCGAAGAAGAACAATTTTTTCCCGACCATCATCTCTTCGACGGCACAAACAACCACGATATTATTTCTTTATCTATTCCTCAGCCAGAGGCCAATTTCCAGAATGTAGGAAAGCGTAAACGCCAGGAGGAAGGACCTGCTCAGATGCAAATATCAGCAGTCACAGGAGAGCGCAGCAATGACCTCTTAGTCCATCCACCGAAACGCCAGAAGCAGGATAATTCTGGCGCCACACTGAGGGGTTGCTCAAGATCAACGAATCAAAACAACCAGACAGCCCCTCAATTTCCCATGGAAGAAAATGCATCTCAAGGTAATAAATCTCGCCTAAAGCCACCACAGCAGTCCGTACAGTCACAAAACCCAATCTTCACGCCAATGTCACAATCCCAGCGTCGATTGAATCAAGGTTCAGCAACCGTAGCTGGAAATGCACGAGCCATGCCGTTAGCTGTTGTGGGCTCCGGGATATTAGGTTATAATGACCAGGCCCTTAGGTTTCTTCAATACGGTAAGGATGGTGAGGCTCTCCGTAACCCAAACATTCTTTGGAAAAGACATTTGGAGTTCTTAAAAAATCTACTCAGTCGCCAAGGTAACAAGTTGAGTTTTGATCAGCGAGAATGCGCAGAAATGTATGCGGAAAAGTTGAGAAGAATGCTCCCCGCTTCGCAGGCAAGCTCTATTACGGGCTCTCAAACTTCTCAGTCTCAACGAGCTTGTGAGCGGGCACAAGGCAGTCGTCCTAGCGGTATGCCTCAATCAAGCCTATCATATGCAAGGCAAGAAAATGTCACCATGGGCAACAATAGTGGTAGTACTCTGGCATCTGCCTCACAAATCGGCCAGAAATATATCCCGGGAACTGTTAGAGACAACATGAGTAGCCACTCCTCATCAGGCAAGCCACAATACTTTAGCACCAACCCTTCATATATGCATCCTCCACCAGCCACGCCAGATATGGATAGAGGAGATATGCCGGTTTCCCAAAACGACCGCTTTGCTGGACACAAGTTCAACGGCCCTCCTGTCTCTCACCAAACGCCAAGCATGGACCGTTCTGCAACGATCCCGCATCAACAATCTCGAATATCTGTAAAAGGCGCGACTGCTGGTACTGGGTCACAACTTCCAGAGAATATCAATAGATACATGGCTCTACCTCAACAAATTCAGTCGATCGGAAATAGAGCCAATGCTATCCAGGTTACGGGTGGAGATTGTTCACAGCCCATTACGAGAAGAGCACATTCCGCGTCCAGCTTTCCAATAAGCCAGATGCCTAGTAATGCAGCTGGTCCCAGTGTCATGCAGACGGCTACTCATCAGCTGGCTTCAACTCCTACGCAGAAGTCTACTTCTTTACCAGATCTTAATACTCGTCATTCGCTGTCATGGGACTCTGTATCTACACACCTTCCACAAACCCAGCGGGAACAAGGACAGACTTTGAACGGGGTAAGCCCAAATTTCCAACGACAGCAAGCTCCTTTCGACATGTCAAGAATCGGTAATTCATCCTCCGGCAATGCACTTTATCAAGTCCCACATGTATCCAACGCAGATCCCAAGAGCAGAGATACAGCAAACCAGGTGCTTGCGCATGATAAACCACTGCATAGGGTTGTGAACAGCACTTCAGCAGATGGAGCATGGACTCATATGCAGGCTTCGGGTATAAAAACACCAATCCCAGGCTCAAAATCAGGAACTGGCTCGGAACCAACGCCTCCAACCTCCACAGTATCCCCTTCAACCAGAAGTGAAGATTCCACCGGTCACAAAAGCATTTACAACGGTGTTCCTTTCGAAACAAAGAATGTGAATGTGGTTGAGGTCGTGAGCCCCGTTTTCCACCAGCACTTCACATTTCCCTCTGAGAGCGAAGGCTGGACAGTCATATTGAACCACTTGGACGAGAAGCATTTACTCATGCAGGGGAAGAATAACATTCTGCTTGTGAGCCCAATATTCATGGGAGGCGTCACATGGCCAAAGATGTCAAACCAAGCGGCTTCGAACAAGGCCGCCGCTCAAAAGCCAAGACGGAAGGCTCCAGTCAAGGAGGCAACCACTCCTTCATCCGTTGCTGCGACGTCCAATGCCAGGGCAACTTCACCGAACCCAATTTCTAGACCTAGAACTTCCACTTTCACAGTTCCTGAGCCGCATCACCCACCTCTCTGGCCTGGTGAGAGGTTTCCTGCCACCGCTGCAACTTCAAACACATCCAATCCCGCACCGCCTAGTTCTTTCAAGCCTGTTCCACCACCACCCCACCCACCTCTTTGGCCAGGAGAGAAGTCACCAATCACAGCAGTTACTATGAATAACTATATTTCTTCGCAGCAATCCACGGCGGTCAATAGCCAGGGCAAGAAGCTGGATGTTCGCCTCGATTTCAAGGATGTAAACCCTAAGATCTCGATGCGCAAAGCTGGTTCAATTGAGAGCCAAACCGACCCTGGGTTCCGTGGTCTCATAGACAATACTCTTGACGATGATGATGATGATCTGTTTGGTGATGGAGAGGTCTTTTATCAAGGAAACAATGACGATCAAGTGTCAGATCCCTTGGCTTCCACGAACGCAGAAGATCAAACCTCAAACCAGTCACCTTCATCGACTGTTCTGAATCCTACAGTCTCTTTTACTTCACAGGTACTTGTGAGTGATGCTCTGCAGCAAGCTGACAAGAATTCGATTTCAGACGAGGCTCAGCCAGCTACTCTGGAGATTTTGGCACCGGCGGAAACCCTCCCTAATCTCCTAACCACAACACAGCCTGGACAAGCACATCAAGAATCCTGCGAAGCACAAAATTGTCATGTCCACTTCGAAAACCGCAAGCCGATAGAGGAGGATACACTGACCTCCGAAAATCAGATAGAATGGCGAGCACGCCGCCCTGCCTATCAGCCACCGAATCCCTTTGCAAATGCAAACAAGAAAACATCACCGCCGTCTCTTCCAGACCCTACCCAACTACCACAAAAAGCCGACCCGTTGCCATGGGAGAATTTGACTGAACTTGAACAAGAATGGGCCAGTGTTAGGCAGGCGAAATGGCTACAAGACGTCTTCCCAGATTTCCCTTCGCGTGAGAGACTGGACGTTACTTGTGTCAATAGGCCGCCTACCGAGAGCATAGACTTTAATAAACTCTTCAGGGAGACTCCTGGAGCAGAGCATTGGAGCGATGAGGAAACATTGCGAGCACTTATCAGAGAGGACTTTGATGATCACGGCGATCTGGCTATCAGAGCAGCCCTGGACATGCTTGCCTATGTTCGGAAATGGGGAGAGCGTAAGTTTTCTACGACGAACTAGAGAGAATATAGCTAATGAAGCACAGTGTGCACACAGTTCGATGAAGCCGGTAAACCGATCATGGATGCCCCGCCAGATCCCTCTCGAGTAGCTCACAACGAGCAAATGAGAGTTGATCTGGCAAGCGACGGTCCCAAGTCAAAGAAAGCTGCCGATCGTACGTTCCACTCGATATATGAACAGGTGAGCGAGAAGGCTAAGAATTACGACTGGGAGTACGGCCCCTTGGAAGACGCTAGCCCCTTTCGGGCCTGTTTCAAAAATTGGGAAGAAGAGGTGAGAATGGCAAAGGAGTCGGTTCCTCCAAACACGTTATACAAGAGGAGAGGATAGTTCCGGCACTTCACATTATGGACAGACAAGGCGACGATTTCGTCAACAACAGGAGGGAGAATTGTGCCAGCACTCCGACAAGCAGGTCGATCGGGTCAACTGGGGGATTAATGATACCACGATACCAGGTTACGGAGTTACTACTTGGATAGTAACAAGAAAATCCTCGGATTGCGTAATGCATGTCGAGATAGATAAGTTTCCTTTGTTTTTCTGATTTATTTTTCCTTCTTTTCGCGATTATTTTCTTGCATTCTCTTTGGGCATGGCATTTGGAAAACGGGATATGGGGTGGGCGTCATGAGACTTTACACCTTTTTGGTACCATTATGAGTACAGGACAGTGAACGAGATCAAGGACTAGCATTAAACCGGATCAGATTATAGAACTAGATTCTTTCAGTCCGCAGCATGCGTAGAACGAGATACAGTAGACTATTAGAATGACCTCCCTCGTACTTTTATTCTTCGGTGAACCATCCCACACGTGCCTGGCGTGATATCATTCTGTGTGGGTGTTTTATCAAGGCCCCGTAGAGCTACACCTTCATCAAGAAGTTTCCAGTCGACGTCGAGACTTGTGGCACCTCGCCGATGATGTTGCCATGTGGAGGGATTTCTTGTGGGCGTTGGTGCGGGAAGTCAGATCTCGAGAGCTTCGAGATCGACTGAACTGGGTCGAGTTGCTCGAGGGGTCGCAGGAGCAACAGCCTCGACTTTGGTGAGAAGCCAGCAGGAAGCATACATATTGACTCTGTTTGGATTTAGTAGGTCATTATTCTCTAAAAACACGATAAAGGGAATAACACTGACCTGTCAATACATGCCCCAGCAATCCTCGCACCAACTCTCTTTCCCACAAAACCAAGAGCCTCAAACCTTGAAACATACCACGGCGTCAGAGCAGCACTTCTCAACAGCACTCTCCCACCCATCTTTAGAGCGCGATTCAACTTCTCGATCTGACTCTCCGCTTCCACCGATCCAGGATTGAACCAATCCATACTATCCATGACGACAGCAACAGTCAACGTCCCAGGGGTAAGCCTCGACACAACTTCATTGATCTCGTCGGTATGTATTCTTAATCCATCAAACGCGTTGCCCCTCGACAGTTTCTGGTGCGATTTCGGCTGCAGATAATCCGGGTGGCAACGTTGCGAGTAGCTACCCTGGAGACAGACTAGGTAATACGGATTATCTTCACCGATCAGAGAGTGGTTGATAACTGGATCTAGTGTCTGGACCATGTATTCCCAAACGGCTTTACCACGACTGGAATTAAGTTCTTTCTCAGAATGGCCAAGAGGGCCTGCATCAGCTGAGCTGTCTGAAAATGACTCGGAGGCCAGGTGATCGGCCTCCAGCATAGCGAGCTGGTTGTGGGGTACACCTAAGGCTGCCCAGAGGAACTTTTCCTGGGAGACGACAAGGTAAGAGAAGATGCGGGACATGATAATGGGACGAATCTTTGTAGTCCAGATCTCGCGCTGTTCGTTGAGTGTCTTGGCGGAGAGCAGAGCGGTGATTTGGCTGCTGAAGCGGAGCGTCGTCGCAAGGATACGAATGACTCGGATGGCGTGCCTGGAACCGCCTGTCTCATACAGTCCTTTACCTCTGGTAGAAGTGAACACTTGAGAATTGTTCAACCAGTACTGGAATGCTCGAGATGACATGTGCGGCGAGAGTCTCGAGATCAGAAGCTCGCGGAAGTTCTGATGTTTGCCCTGTCCGAAGAGTTTCCACACATCTGTGTATGGGAGCGCTGTGAAAGATGCGACTTTGAGTTCCAGAAGGTGGTTTTGGTTGGGGTTGAGATCGACGGCGTGGATTCTTGCAGGAGAGTTCAGCGCATAAGAGAGGATGTTGTCGCCCGCTGAGGTGATGGCAAGCACTACATCGGCAGAAGTGAGTTTCAAGAGGCGGTGATCAACTCGGGTATCCTCCCAGGTAAAGGCGTAGATGAACTCGTGGCCAAATTGAGTATGCTTTTTTAGCTGATCGTCGTAGTGGATACGCCAGTGGTGATTTTGGTAGAAGAATGAAGGCAGAGGAAGATTGGCTGAAAGATTGATGATTGCAGCGTCGTAAGCTTTTGATCGGAGCTCAGGAGGGGTGGATTTATCAACTGTTCGTGAGAGAGCACTAGTGTGATTCATGGGCAAGAGGTACGGTGATTCAGTTGCCGCTGCGTCCAGACGTTCAACAATTTCGTGTGGATAATTTGGTGAGCTTGACATTGAGGGCCGTTTGGGTGACCCTATCCAGACGTAGTAGGGTATGGAACCGAGAAGGACGTTTCGTGAATCAGCGCTGAGAACAGTACCGAATCTGTACTCAAGGTAGTCTCTTCGACCAGCCTCGAGACCAACTCGATCAACATCGAACCAAGCTCTCCAGAAGAGTCGGCCGAACCAGTTGACATGACGATTTATCACACCTCCAGTGTAATTTCTACAACTTAGATCCACGATGGATTGCACGTAAAAGTCAACAACTCCAACAATGCCGGTAGGAGCGAGCAGAGATGCGAGAGAATCGATCACGGAATAGAAGTCAGGCTATTCCAATCAGTTGCGGGAGATCTAAATATGGATTTGAACTTACAATCATGGACAGACTATAGGACAAAGTAATCAGATCTGCCCCACCAATACTCGCACTGTTGTCCGAGAAATAGCTTGGCGGAAGAGCAAAGCCAACATCGTTGCCGACTCCATCCAGATTCTCGTGATCCTCAAGACGGAACGTTCTTGCATCTTGGCAAACGACTTTCACGTTCTTCCATCCCAAGCGGGTAAACCGCTTCCGTGCTACTTCGCAGAGCGAGGGAGAGAAGTCGACCAAGTAGACACTAGAGAAGAAATTTTCAACATCGACATATGCAGACATGGCTTCGATGTTCCAACCTGTTCCGCCTCCGATCTAAGAATGGAGAATTTAGTAAGCATATTGTACGCCAGAGAAAAACGCTTACATCCACCCAAATGCGCTTTGGGTCATGTGTTCGCTCCCTTGCAGCCTTCTGCACGAGCTGCGCAGCAACCAAGCCAAGCATGTCTTCGCGACCTCTCAGCAATCTCTTTCTGGTCGCATCATAGACACCAGCTTGTGCCTTATAGAAGCTTTCTAGGGCATCTTGCTGGCCATTGCCCGTGCCATCGCCAGTATGGGGCTTCAAGAACGAAGCATAGAAAAATCGCAGGAACGACCCGAAAGCCGTGAGATCTTCGTCGTTGACCTTCTTTGATCTGGAGGAACGGAATGTTGCGGCGAAGATGACGCCTATAAGGAGAATAAGTGCTGCTCCTACGAGAATGATTTGAGCGTGGGGGTCATGGGCGAGGACGCTAGGGGTAAGAGAAGCCATGGTACTCTCTCATTGCTGGTTGAACGAGAAATGGGTGGAAGTAGTTGATACTGCGAAGATAGTTCGAGAGACTTGGACACAGAGGAAGACCAGCAAGAATGAGGGGAGATGGAACAGAGTGATATATTCCGAGCTGCTCGGCACCGCAACCCCTCGTGCACATGCATGCTGCCCCTCCAAAGTACATCATTGTCTGAACATGGACCTATGTCAGCGCTTTCGACCTATCATAACAGCACATGGGCTGCTGTTGATTAGGGGTCTTGCGTGGAGGGGCAGCGAGCGATATGGGCGGTTCGCACGCTAGTGCTCCTTTTGTTGCGGATCGAGAATTGATAGACCGGATAAGTACCCCACAAGCACAGCTCGGAGACTGCGAAATATCCCATCATTATTGACGAGTCAGCGTTGGAGATAATTTACATCAGTGGCCAGGAAAAGCATGGAGTGCTCCGCTAACGGACACATCTGCCCTGCCCTGCCCTGCCCTGCACTGCACTTTATCCTTTGGCTAGAGCCTGTGATGGTCGAGGCAAGCAATCATGATTGGTGGCCACCGAGCTGGCTTGACATGTGGGTAAGGGCATTGGTGTTTTCGATGTTTGGAAGGAGAAGGCGGTTGAGACGAGATGTCCCGTCGTTGAAGTCAGTCTGTCGAAGGGATCGCTTGCAGCAGCCAATCATGACATAGCATGGTCCCACGCTCCTATCCTCGATGTTTATTCGCTCGACTGGGCACTGGATGATGGTGCTACAGATTCAGATTGCAACAGGCCTGTCCCTGATGGTTTCCTTTGCCCATGGCTATCCATATGTATTGCTGACTTTATCTAGGTAGGTTGGTGAGGTAAGGTAGGTAGCTGGTGCTTGAGACCTGGACGATCGTGAACTGCCACGTGATTCGGAGCCTTTTGTTGACCCCAAGCTCAAGGGGCTCGCTTATGAACTATAGTAGGTACCTCGGGTACCTCCCTGCCTCCCTACCCTACCTAGTCTTACTACAATCTACCTACCGCTCATGGGAGCCAGCAAATTTGGATATGACCCCCGTTACTTCCTTGTTCAATTCTCACTTTCTCTCCAGCCTCAATGCCACATTATCCATCATTGAGCTTCGGCATCACCCTCGCAATAGCTTCCCAGCCCTCTTCGCTATTGCATCTTTCAATTTCACGCCTCATGTCGACTCCTTAAATAAAGTACAGTCCCACAACTGATCACGATGATAATATCTTCCTTGGTGTCACACTTTGCAGATGACTTCATTGCCAAAACAACCCTTAGCAGCCACTCGTCAAACTCCTCACTTACTCACCCAATGCAAATTCTGAGTTAGAGACCTATCTTTCCATAATCCAAATAGGAAGAGCGAGTTTTTGAGTGATTGCCTACTGGATTACATTTGAAGGAGCATGGAAAAGAATCACTAATTGCTTGGGTGAAGAGATTGACCCTGCTTCATCCATGGGAGTTGGCCGTTACTGAATTGGCGAGCTGGTGGGTGTGGAGAACATCACATGTCTTATTATTATGCTGAGCCTACTCTTTAAAAAGGTTCGGGCCTTAGGTTGTGCACTAATGTAGGCAGAAGCACTCTGCTCCGCGTTCGAAGGATCGAGGAGATCAGAAAAATAAAGTAATAACGGCCTCACTCGGAAAGTAAGATTATATCATGGCATCAACCAGGAAAGAACCTTATCCAGTCAGGAAACTGATTTTACAAAGTCTCGAATGCAGAGCAGTGAATCTAGGCCTCGCAGAATTCATCCCAAATGATAATCTCATCCACTCACTTACAGCCTTCAGTCAATTTTCCTCAATGGGAAATAAATAACGTCTTGGAAGAACGGTTGGTAGCTGCGCTGAAATTGACCGATTATGAATGAGGAGCGGATAAGAGATGTACTGATATTTTACATCTAAAGGATGATAAACTGTTTCAATGCGTGCAGGGAAGCGACCAGCTTTAAACAGAAATGGTTAATGCCATCTACACGATGATCATTACTCACTATGCGCGCATGCATGTAAGAAGAATAACTGTATGAAATACACACTCTCATCAAGGAGAATATTATGTGTGAAGGGCTGTGTAGAAAGACAAAATTTGATTCACGACTGAGTTATATCCCCAAAGCTCTAGCCGATGGCCAAAACTTTCATTTTCATACTCCAGACTCCGAGGTAATGCATGCTGTGACTGTACAAATCTACTCGTCATCATCTTCAGTCTCAAAACCAGCCTCGGAGTCATCGTCAATATCTTCCATATCCTCGTCAATGCCCGCACCAGCCTTTTCTTTCTCCCGGTCTGCCTTCCGCTTACGATCTTCCTCTCTCCGTCCCTCTTCCAAAAGCTTAGCTTTCTCCTCTCGCTGCTTTCTCTGTCCAGAAACGAATGCACCAAGGGGAGTCTTCTCCCATTCGGTGTCCTTAAGGAAGTTGTCCACGCCAGCTCTGTTATTTGGCGCAAAGTCGACCTTGGCTCGGTGTTGCTCTATGAACTTGGCATTTGCTTCGATCTTCTGTAACAGTAGGACAAAGGCAGAATTGACTTTGTTGTTTTTGTTTCCAGACGTCTTGTGGCTGACGTCCTTCAGCCAACGCTTCAACATTACGACAACTGGTAGTGCCAATTCTGGAAATGCGATACTTGTTGACCAGAGAACGAAAAATTCGGATAGCAGCTCGGCTACCTGCTCGCCGACTCCATCTTGGTACACCCTTGTTTTGAGATACGTCTTCTGTGCCTTGTAATTTGAGGCGAAATCAAGACCTTTGAGTGTGCTAGGCTTTGGAGCTTTTTTCATCTCATTAGAGTTCAACACTTCCAGTATTGCTGAGGCCAATGGAATATATGTCCCAGTCGCACGGGATAATCTGAGGAGAGAACGCATCAAGTGAAACCGGAGGGGGAAATACGTAGACGTGGGAATGAGGCGCATAGCTCCAAGCGTGACTTGCACTGTTGGATAGATCAGTGGTCGTAACTCCGACTCCTTGCCATTCTCGGCTTCTTTCACCGGGCTGCAATGCTCAGACAATACACATGACCAGAAGTCTAACGAGTGTACGTATTGCCAGTTGTACACTGTCTTGTACGATTCTTGTTGGTTGTTGGTGATGCTGTTTCGGAGATGGATGGCAAGTTGGCGAATGAAAGTGAATCCTGTAGCATACCCAACCCCTGCATCAATGCCCCAAAGTTCTGCGGCTGAGTTCTTCATCAGATTGATTCCTTGGACCGTATGTACCGTGGTACTTCGACTTCCCTTGATCAATCCTTGATACACTGTTTTGAAAACTGCCTCTCTCAATCCTGGGTCTCCGATTACTGCCAAGCGTCGCAGCACGAGGAACGCTGTGATTCGTGTTGCTTCGTCACTTGAAGTATCTGACCAAATGTTGACAACTGTTTTGACAATGTTCTTGAGGACCTTCTTGAATGAAAGGAGATATGGGAGAAGTGGGGTGACAGAGGTAAGGGTAAGTTTGAGAGTTGGAGCGTCCGATAAGGCGGTAAGGAGATGGTGTACGGAAGATGTGTATGATTTGAGGAGGGCAGTAAGAGTCTTGAACTTCTTGGAGTCTGTTGAAACTCGGACCTTTCCGGCGGCGGTCTCCTTGACGGGAATATGGTGATTCAGGACTTCGGGTACGTATTTCAAAGCGGTAACTAGTAACTCGTGGTATACTTGAGAGTTCGAGATGGTGTATTTGTATTCTTTGCCATCATCCTCATTGACATGCGCCGCTGCTCTGAATGCAAGGACCACCTGTCGCATTGCTCGAAGTGAGTATTGTTCCTTCATGGCCTTCGTCCATTTGGCAACCATTTCTTTTGTGAGCTCTGAAGCATCTTCCGCCTCCTCTTCTGAAGCCTCCTCTTCCTGAACTTCCTCAACTGGGGCCTTCTTGGATTTCTTTTTCTTCTTCTTTGGTTGCTCATCTTCGCTACCACTCAATTCATCAACCTCTGCGAAATCCGCATCGTCGTCGAAATCGAGGGCCTCGGGATCGTTCTCCTTGAGATACTTGTAAAATTCTGGGTCCTTGTTTGCCAATGCTTCCATAGCACCCTTGCTCATTCCAATATCATCTTCGGGCTCGCTTCCATCTTCGCTATCACTCAAAACTGGTGCCTCCTCGAAGGATACCTCGGATGAGTTGTCATCCTCGACTTCTGGTTCCGATCGTTTCCTCTTACCCAGCTTCTCGGGGATTGCTTTCGATTTCGATTTCTTTGCAAGCTTTTCTGGGATTTCGAATCCACCCTGGAAGAAATCGTCCACGTTCATCTTTCCGAAAGGATCTTCCTTGACGGGTGCCTTTCCTTTCGATTCTTCCTCTCCACCCTTCCCCTCGAACTCTGCATCTTTCGCATTGCGGGCTTGTCGCTTGGCTTTGACCTGATTGCGCTGCTTGATCTTTGCGCCAGCCTTTCGTTTCTCGAGGGTATCCTTGAGATGGTTCTTCTCAAATTTACGGGTAGCTTTCTTCGTGCCTTTTGCCATGGTGACGTTGGGTTCTTTGCGACAATGCTAGGGCAGCTTGCTCTGAGAATTAAAAAAGTTCGAAAGGTTTTGGGCGGGAGGCGTCTGGCTAATCCTGTTTCGGCCAGCAAAGCGGGTCTCGAGCACTTTAGCGCGGGCAGAATAACACCCCCTCCTCTGCTCAGTTATCAGCCTCTCAAACGTCAATATAGGACAGTGGGATACAAAGTGGGACAATGTATCCAACCCGACAGGCTTATGCGCCTACTCCCCACAGCTACATCCCAAACACGACATTGTCCGCAACGATCAATCTTGACGAGGTAAGATTGCAGTTTAGAATCGCCAAACCGTTTGTTAATATGAACTTCTCGAAGGAAGTCAAGCTTGCAGAAACCCGAGCAGAGAGAGATCTCCAAGACTCTCTGGCCGAAGTCTTCAGCATAATCATCACCCTAGACGAGCTAGAAAAGGCTTACCTCAAAGATGCGATCTCGGAAACGGATTATACAGAGATATGCGACCGGTTGTTGAAGCAGTACAAGCAGATTCTGGCTGATGATGCAGTGTCTCGAGAGTTCAGAGATCTGGAGTCTTTCAAAAACGCTTGGGATGTATGTTGGTGCATGGCATATACGACCATACTGAACTAACAGCTTCAGATGGAGGTCCCTCGAGCAACAGAACGAATTCGAATCGGTCTCCCAAGCACTGTCACTGCACCATCTATAAATACAACTACTGGCGGAAATGGTGGCTCGAATGGAACTTTGATCTTGGAGGCTACACAGGATTTTATTACATTTCTCGATGCTCTCAAGCTTGGACTCCTTGCAAAGGACCAGTTACACCCGTTGCTGTCGGATGTCATACAGAGCGCGAATAAAGTCACAGACCAAGATTTCGAAGGAAGAGGAAAGATTGTGCAGTGGTTGATCGCTTTGAACCAGATGAAAGCTACTGAGGAGGTCAGCGAGGACCAGGCGCGAGAGCTGGAGTTGGATATGAATAGTGCATATCAAGGATTCAAGGCGACTTTAAAGTGAGGTGGTTGTGGACTTCTGGGAATTGGCTGGAGTTCGGGAGGCGTAGTATCGGAGTACTGGGTAAAATCTGATCTGGAGTTGTGGTTCTTTAAGACGGAGATATCCACGTTGTCCCCAATCTTCCAAACAAATGCTTTCGAGACCACTAAACTAAGAATGTCCAGAAACTCGGATACACAAACTCGTCCTCGAATATGCGCCTAACCTGTTCAAGCACGAACTTTTCTACCTTTCCAACATTTTTCAGGACCTGTTTTCCATTCTCTCTTTGCCCAATTTCACTTTCGACTTTGATCTCGTGTAACAGCCCACCCATTTTCATGCCATTCGGACTGTTGATATCTTCATTCTCTCCCCCAATCGTTGCATACGCATCCTCGGGTGATAGAAAGCAAAAATGGGCACGCTTCCTGATATATGCCAATACAGCAACTCCATCGAACGACAATCCAGTGATGTTTAGCTTGACAGGTATCCCAACAAAACTAGGCATAGGATAGTCCAGTAAGATCTCTGCTGTTAAAGACAACCTTACATCGCCAGAATATCGTACCCGAAACACTGTTTGAAGGTCTTCGACCTTCGGTTCACGAAACCTTCGAGGAGGTGATGTAGGTTCTTCTTCAATAGTTTCCTCAAAGATACCATCTCTGGTTTGGGGTCTCGTCGTTGAGTTTGATGTGGCTAATGTAGAAACACTTGCCTTCTCTCGTAGTGCTTGCGCCTGTCCATCGGCGGTTGGGGGTGGCGAAATGGAGCTACCGCTGGTTGTGTGTCGATGGCCACGATTCCCTGTATGGAGATTCGAGTAGTCAGGCCAACCATGTGGTAAGTGTGCACCTGCTACTGCAGCAAGTGGTGTCTGAGTACCGGACAATCCAGTCGCTAGTTGCGAGTGGAAATAATGGAGATTTGATGTCCCGCCAGGAATTCCGGGAGTGCTGACACCTAAGAACGGACTTCCGATATCCCCAGGATTCTGCATCGATCTCATTCCTGGCAGTCGTGTGTCAATATAAGGTGGATAATGCGTGACTTGTGAAGGCCCATTCGTTCTCTCGACTCGATCCATCCGTCTTCGTTCTCTTAAGGTCTCCTCGTCAGTTGCCTTTGCTTCCCATTCACCATTCTGGTCATTTTCCTCATCTTCTTCTCCGTAATCGTCTTCTGTTTCCTCGTAGAAATCAGGTAGTGGGTCACATATGTCTTTGATTTCGACTTCTGGGGCGATGGAGCCGAACTCGAAGGCATGGACTTTGACCCCTTTGATGAAGCGCGGCAGAGTCACAGTCTGGAACTTTTCGTGCACAAAGTCCCGGATCCTTTCTGCTAGAGCAGCTCCATCAGGACCAGTGGTCAATGTCTCCCAATTCAGATCGATGGACATTTGGTCCCTGGGCACACTCTATGGTAGTCACCTAGCTCATCAGCCAGCTGGAAGAGCACTCATAGGTAATCAAATAGACCCGGATATATCGATTGATCTGATATGGGCTGATCTGATGATATGGAAGATATTTGGTTAGGTTGTAGCGCCCCTCGCGCTGTCGATTTCTGATGATCACGTTTTCAGGAAGGATGATCTTCGCTTACCTCTTAGGGCGGCGATTAAGCTCTTAGGGCGGCCACTGTTTGACGCCTCGCCTCCTTCCAGTAGTCCACAACAAACTCCAGGATCAACGCCGAACACAGGCGTTGTCTTTTGCAATGAACACCGTGATCTCTTCACTGGAAAGAATACACCCAGGATGCAAGTTTCTGGACCAATTCACCATCAAATCAACCCAGACATCAGCCAATGGCTCGTTCATTGGTCAAAATACCGCAAACAGGTGTCGATACTGACTTGTTTATAAGGAAATTTACCGGTATAACCGCCTACACTTCTTGGCCAGTCGGACGACGACTCAATGCTTCAACTAATGGCACTTTTCTCGTCAATTCTGCTGCCAAATACTCCAGTATTTGTCAAGTGATGGAGATGCGATGGAGCGGGGCGACAAAACCAGGCTTCACTCGAGTTGCTCCTTCTCTCTTGACAGGGCACCTACCGGTATGCAGGCAAGCGCGGCGTTCGATTTCTGTCAAGTTCTGCAAGGCCATATGCAGCCTACGTCCCGCGTCTCACGAGCACACCACACCAGATCAGTCAGTCATCCTTGATGCATCGTCACAGTCTTGAGTGACGTTTGACAATAACGGGAACCTCCCGCCCGCAACTCCGCTGTCAAAGCTGCAGTGAAATCCCGATGCCCAATCGATTCTTCATGTCAAATATCGTACGATTGAAGAAGTTCGATCATGTCCAACCACGGTCGCACCTCAACGTCTTCTACCGCCCCTTCACGAACGCCATTATATCATTTTGGCCAGTCATGAAGCCATACAAGCACCAACACGACCTCAACAACAGTCGGATTGACGGAAAGATGCCCCCGTCGAGAGGAGTTGGGGAGTACACCCCCACTGATCTTCCTTCGGCCTTCGCCCTATGATTCACCTCCCATGGCCAACATTTATTGTTATTCAGAGGTATAGGAGGAAATCCAACTGCATGTGAAGATCAGCGTAGCCCTTTTACCCAGTCTCCTCCTTTAATCTAGCCATCCTGCCATTCAAGCTAGAATTGGAAGAATTCTCCGTCGAAATCGCATTGGGTCCTTCTTTATAGGAAGGCATCAGGTGATCAATACGGTCTGCGGCCTGGGAGACGGCCACCGTTAGGCATCATTTACTCCGACATCCTAGCTCCCAACATGATAGCCAACAAACTTGATATTGCCACCGAAACTTTAGTCATCCTGCTCTCTTCTTGACAGCCGGCAGCGGATCTCCCCGCTCTGATACTGCACAACTGAGGCGTATCCAGGATGACTGGCACAGCTCCCGCTTCGGTATGCTATCCTCCATGTCTTTTCATTACTGGCTTTGAAAAGCTGTATCAAGCATCCCTGATTTCTATGGTGTCGAGTCTGGGATCAAGAGCGTTTTCGCATGACGCGAGTGCTATTGGCAGTATTCCGAGGTGCAGCTGGGCGAGCCATAGGCAGAATCGAAACGACCGGCACTTAATGCGAGTAAATCATGTTGACCAATCCAAACAATCACTTCATGATGAGCAGAATTCTGACCAACCAGTCCAAATTGATGAGCGTGGTATTCAGCTGAACCTAGAGAGATGCTAGGGCAAGCAAGCAGGCCTTCCAACCACATGACTCCCCCTGCCCATACCCTGAATGGAACCCTCGCAGAACTCCGAAAATCCTCCAGAACATACTCTACGGTAGAGCAAGTCATCGCAACCACATCGCAAGCCCTCGCCTCCACGAAATCGTCTCATTCAAATCTGATTATCAATCTTGTCTTGACATTAACAAATCAAGACATTGAAAATTCCTAACTTGAGAGACATTATGGCAGAGGCAATCCAAGGCTCACTACTTGTTGTTAGAGCGTGATCTTCAGATCCAAGTAGATCTTTGGTCTTACATGATCTCCACAATTGCCGCAAGTCCCGGTGTTCTGGGTGACATTCTCGACGACCTGGCAATTGCCGGATTGGTCTCCTCTGTGTTCGGCGCAGTACGAAATACCGATTGAGACTCTACAGCCACAGGCATACACTATGATCTGTTCTTTACACATGGCTGTGAAGGTAGAAGAAGTGTTCTCGTGAAGAAGGGACTGAACTTCTTGATATTGCTGTCTCGAGTGGTAGACTGAGTCTTGATCTGTGGTACCCTAGGCGTTAATACGGCAAGTACAATGAAGGACAATGTGTAGGCAGACTCATGGCCTGGCTAAGGCATACCTAATGAGTGGGAGGCTCTAACGTGAAAGCCACTGGTGTTCGAATCTCAAATGGTTCCTTGACGCTGAAGTAAAGTTGGGGTGCTGAAGCTGTGAGGAAATGTAGGTTGGCTTTGTTTTTGATTCTGGTTGAAAACATCAGGGACGGCAGAATGCTTTATACACCGTCACACCATTCCGAGGGAAGGGTTCAGTCTGTTCAATTAAACCGAGCTGTACTTGTTTGCCATCCCAGAGTGGATGTAGGTAGACGGCAACACTGATGGGAGGTCAAGATGCCTGTCTGCGGCCTGTGTGTGTCCTTGTTGGTCGTGGTCGTGGTTGTCGTTGTCGTTTGTTCTCCGGATGGATGTGATGAGTTCTGTTGGACTTGTCTTTGCAGAACAGAAAAAAAATATTATACAAGGCTGGTCCGAAAGGACTGGGCTGCCCACACGATCCGTCATCCGAGCCAGAAAGCTAGCTGGCTAAAGACAGGAGGATCTTTGAGGAGCAAATATGGGCAGGATTGGCAAGGAACATCCTCACGGCTGACAAGGTTTGCAACGCCATTTGAGAAAGCTCACATGGCCAGTCTGAGAGTGGTGCTTGGATTGCTGGCTGGCACAGGAGATGGAGGAGGAGAGCTCCACCAAACACCCTGGTCATAGGACACAAGGTTTCGAGTAGCCAAGAGCCCTTCACCCAAGCTCCAAAGAGGCAAGCCCACGCCGCTATGGTCCGTGGTCCATGCTCCACCGCGACTACTGCTGCAATTGCAGTTGCAGGCAAGATACGGGGCGAGAGCGCGACTGTTGTCGCTTCTTCTGAGCGACAGGGAGGTTGACGGCAGGGTATCAAGGCCAGTGTGCGACGGCTCTGGATTGGGGCCAATGAATGGCGGCATTCCGATTCGAGCTCGCGGCTCACAGCATACCCTCCTCAAGCTACCTCCTACAAGGATGCCATGTGTAGCCAGCCACTGGCCAGGCTCCTCAAATCTCGAGGCGTTCGAAACCGTTGAAAACAGTATCAGCGCGGAGGACTTCAAACGTCAGAGACACTACTACTGTGAAGAACAGCTGCCGAAGCTCAAAACCGCAAGCTGTCCTGTGCTTCATTCAGCCTTCTCTTCTGAGTCCTGACGGAGCTTGTTGCTAACTGTGGACCGGGGCTGGTTGGAGATCTGGCAGCAAGCCACACGAGTGGCCTCCCGTGTGGCCTCCCGTGAGCCTCTGCTCGGCAGAGGAGACTTGCCTCCAGCCTGCATCAGCCAGCCGTAGGCACTGTCGACTTTCAACACTCCTTGTCTGTTGGCTAAGCTTGCTCTTTGCGTGCGGTGCCTGGACTGCGACGAAAATCGACTGTCGTCCTTATTGGATTCGTGTACGACCTGTCTCTGATATCAGCTGTTGATATCACCAAACCCTCCAGCCACTCCAACGGCGTCTTTCGGCGCTCGTGCAACTGTTTTCTTTGCAGATGACTGGGGGATTTCGGCAAACGCAGCCGGCCGGCTGTTAATCTGACTGCTCCATTCGGGCCCCTGCACAGACAGGCCGTCGCCTGTTAGATCGGGTCTCGAGTGCCAGCGTGTCGACGCTCGCTTCAGTTTCGATATCTTGCAAATCATTCAGATTGAATAATAATGCCAAAGGACACATCATTCTATTGGCGGATGGTAATAGTCCATACGACTTTATCCAGGTTTAGATGCAGACAATCGCGAATACCTCGGATTATCGCCTAATACGGCCAACAAGGGCCGGCTGGGGGGCGACGGTTGACACCCCTAACACGGCCGTTCCTGTCACCGATCGGAGCTTCCGCATGAAATTTCAGTCAGTGGTCACACAGCTGGAGCTCGCGCTAGAGTCTGCACAGCCGCTGGTCAACACTTTCAACACTTTCAACAATCTTTATATTTTCATTATCTGCAGTTCCCGTGGCACATCCCTACTTGTTCTCAGAACCTTGACCAGAGACTCCAGAACACATTTTGTCTGATCCGTTGATCGAGCCAAGCAGCTGCATCATACGAAGTCATCTAACAGTCATCGAATGTTGATCCACTGCGGCTTCCCCCACCCGCGCTAAAACAGGCCTCCATGTGCCATGTGGTGCCCCTCTGCCCCTCTCGGAGGAAGGGCGAATGTTATTGCAATGGCCTTCAACCTTGAACCTGGCTGACTGGCACGTACAATCTGAAGTCCTTGAAAGATAATTTGGTCGAAACTATTGTAACCAGATCCTGAGGGAGCACAAGACCTCCCACCTGCAAGGCCCCGATGTCATGCTGATTCTTGCTACGGTTACTTGCAAACTTGTCAGCTGCAGCATCGAGATGTCGCCCATCTCGAATCTGAAGTGTTATACTCATTGGTCGTAGCACTTCGGATAAAGGAGAAAAAGCCGGTTTCGTCCATTTCAGGTGGTTGCTAGAGAGTCAATCACGTCCCATATCGATAAGAGAGCTGTGATAGGCAAACCCTTGGCAGCCGCTATTGATGGAAAACCCTCGCGAATTGGCGTCCTAGATTAAGCGCCAAAAGAAAATATTGACTAGGGGGTCGGCAGGAGGGGGTCAACACTCCCCAGCAACTTCGCGTCAAATCTCAATGCGCTGGCCACCAGGATGGGATCAATCCTACATGACAGATCGCAGAGTTTGGAGGCTATGCAAGGTCGTAATGTTGCTTCCCGTGAGCTTCCTAGATTCCAGTCCTGATTTGCAGCCTCAACTTCCACCGAATTTCATTGACGATAAGTCGCATCTCGAATGGAGAGCTTCCAGTATCCCATCATCCTCGACTACTGTCCTGTCCCGTGTGAAGAGCGGCTTTCATCTACATGCGCAGAGACAGTTCCTCCGCAGGGATATAAATGGTTAGATCATGAGGCAAGTGGGATGTTCCTGGCGCGTACGACGACGCGCATATCTGGGCGATGACTTTAGCTTTGGTGGATCAGGTAAAAAGGCATTGTTGCACTTATGCACGGCCTCGCACATCTTCTCTTGCATGTCTGCGAACTCTTTCACACTATCACCAGAGATCAACTAGGATCGTCCAATTCAATGGACTCATTCAGGTCATCGGACCGACGTCGCATGCAGAAGAGATACATATATCTCGTGCATGAGGTCCGTATGATATTGAGGTATTAGTAGTGAGTTACTGCCCGACCAGAAAACCAACATTTTGTCCAAGGTCTTGAAGGCGTCGAAGCCACCGAGTATATCCCAATGGAGCTCCTTCCGTCTGTCCACGTACGGCACAATCCCTATGACGAATCTCTCGCAGGCTGATTCCGTCCGAAGGATTGTCATGAGCGAGAGAAAACAAATCAGACACTTTTAGGTTCATTAGGCCATGATTCATTTGAGGTAAAGCCGACCATAACAATTCTTAGCAGTCGACAAACGCATCCACTTCTGTACAACACCAATTGTCTTCAATTCTAACATTCTGTGGCCACAGACTCTTGCCAAAACCGCCACGACTCTCGTGATCTAACCGTGATTGTCAGATGCATTTTAGCTACCTACCTTACCTACAAATTGCCTTGATCTGAAAAGGGGCTCTATTTTGACTAGCCGAGGAGCTAGCGAGACCCCGGTACAGATCATTGGTTCATGATTGGGACCATCGGGACTTCGAGGGTTCGGTACTGCTCTCCTCGATTACCCCAGATTCTGCCCAAGCAAGACTTGACGACAACAACGGTCTGGAACGAGTATTCAAAAAGGCTTGCTCAGCAATAACGGCTTTCTTGGAGAGCAGATTAGCTCTCGGGGCAGTCTCGGCCTGTGCCGAAGCTCTTCAGACTTTGTCAGCATAATCCCTTTCCAGTTTTGTTAGTATCCAGGGAGTCGCCTTCGACAGCGCATGAAATCTCAATCTGAGAGGAGGAGATCAGACAGACAGCTGACCATGGCTCCATTTTTCAACACCATAAGTACCACCAAGACTTGGGACGAATGCTGATTCGAGACACCCCTTACTTATTCTCGTGGAGAGCGCGGCTAGAGATGGCCATCATCGGCGACCTGCTCAAAGACCCCTCACCCCCTCAAACCACCACAGAATGGCGTAGGAGGCCATCTTCACCTGCTTCCGACTTATCTTCTTCTCTGCGGGGAGACATCCAATAAAAAGCTGTGTGTAGACATCATCCCGGAGTCAAGCGCAGCTCTCCCCAGGACTATCATTATGGTTTCCTTAAAGTTCCATTACCCCATTGGGAAACATGCTTTCGGCAAACCTAAGATAGCTTCTGGTTTAGATATATTCATGCTGTTGCCCATCTCCTTTGTTGTTTTGTCTCAGCTGATTTCGCAATTTCAATCAAAAGCCGTATCCATTTTGATTACGAATCCTCGTTGTTTTCCTACCTGTCACCCGACCAATCCATCTCCCACGTGTGGAGCTTGCATAACGGAGGCGTGCATCAACCAACCTCTGATTCAGATGCTCAAGTCCCCCCACGGCACTACTTTCTGAGCAAGCACCTTGAGGAATTCTCAAATAAAAGCTGTGCCTCCGTCTTTCTAGAGCTCACTACTTTCTCTCAGCACCAAACAATCCTTCTTCCTGCAAGCCGTTTCTGCGACCTAAATCCGTTATTCGACCTCCTCAAAGACCCGCCCATCAATTCACCGAACAAACAGCGCTCTGCAGTCAGCAATCCTCCATATACGCGCCCGTTATATAGTAAATTGAATGCATTTCAATTAGCCTCTATTCCCAAACGAACTACCGAAATGGCAATTACACTTCCGACTAGGGAGACGGTCGCCATCGCTTTCGCAGGGCAAGAAAACAACGTACCGGCCGCTGAAGAGCGCGCCCAACTCCAAAGCCACGCCTTTCTCTACCTCGCGCCAACAACCAGCGCCTCGTACCCTCTCTCAAAGGCCTCACCAGCTGCAAAGGTAGTCTCAGCTGAGAGTAAGCCGGCTGTTACTGAGGAGGCGCTGGCACTTGCCACACCCGCTGTTCCGGTCGAGAAGACAAGGCGCTCCTCGTCGTTGAGCAGTGATGGAAGCTTCATGCAGAAGCGACGGTTCTTGAAATTGGGTCCAGTTCATTTCGGTGTCAGCGACGGAGACTGGAGCGAGGAGGTTGTGGAGTGATTAATCACTCTGATCTTCATAACTAATGATGACGCGTTCTGAGCGAATGGCATGATGAGTTTTACGGATGGGATATGGGATAAACCGGCGTTGAGCAATGGAATGGTTCGAGCAGCTGAGCAATCATTCGCGTGTTCGGTCAGATTCGCGGACGGAGGGAAAGGGCTTGAGCATGAGTCGCACACTTTTAATGAGCTTACGACATTGGATAGGTATTCTGGCTGATCAATATAGAATAGTCCGCGATTAGAAAATGCTGAACAGTGAATCAGTCATCATTTATAAAATTGGTGTCTCTTCTGTCTTGCCATTTTTGTATCCGATCTGACTTTTCTTATTGATTTAGATGGTCTCATGTGTGCAGTGCAATGACTCCTGAGACAAGACAAGTCGAACAACCAAGACTCATCTATCTCCGAGATCTACAATTTCCAATCTCGCATATTGCAGATGCGAATCTGGCTCCACTCTTAAGTACGCGCACCTATCTGCTGCTACTGGCCCAACACTCTCTTCAGTCAGAGAGCGGTGAAAGAAAGTGTAGATTTCACGTGACCAGCACATGCCAAACCTTGCCCAAGACTTCGTTCTTCTGCAGAAAACCGAGTCAAGTGTCGTTCATTCCATACTTCTCCTCTGTGATACAGACATACGAACAATTAATTGGCGCTATACCTCGGAGTGGGGTTCCGACTGCATGCGAAAGAGGATTCTCTTCAGCTCGAAACGCAAACTTGAGGATACTGGCCACAATGGCAGTTCTTGCCGCAGCCAAAATCGCTGCAGAGAGTGGAACAAGACACCTTGGTGCGATTTTTCTTGCTTCTCTTTGGCTACTGAATTGGGGCGTCGCGGACTATTAGATAGCCGGCCAGTTTTGTTTGGACAGGAACAGGATTGCCGTGTTGCTTTGAGGTTCCTTCACTTCGCGGTACAGTAGCGGCGGCGTCAATTGTGCTTCGCTTACGCCTTGCAGCACTCGGGCTGAGGTTCGCACACAAATGTTGCGCTCCAGATGAAGTTTTGTCTGGGCTCTTTTTTTTTCTCTTCTCCTATTCGTATTCTGATTGTTCCTTGCGGCGTGGAAAGTTTATTACGCCTGTTGGTTATTTGCTGATGAGGCCACTCTTTTCGGCTTCTTCAATAAGTAGTCCGAAGTGAATGAGATTTTGAGCTGGAAAGTGTGACAATTGCAAGGCTGCGGCGGCTCATGCAGGTTCTCCAGTGGTGGCGTCACCTCATATACGGAGGACGTCTCTCAGCTTCGATATTTGCTGTCAAGGGATGTCTTGTCGAACTTCGAGAGCTGGTCCTTGTTCCTATTTCCTTGTATCCTTGCAAAACCTCGGCATGTGGCGTAGGACATGGTACATGTCATGTCAAGCGGGGAATAGTCTAGAAGAAGGGATCAGAGGACCTCTGTGCAGTCTGCAAGACGTAATGTGATCTACGCTGCTGCTGCATGTGTGATGATGCGATGTGTTGGTTTTGGATATGTGTTGGAACTTGGAGGGTAATCATGTTTCTGCCTGGTTTGGATAAGAAAGTGATGTTGGTTCGGAGGATAATCAAATCCCGGAAAGGTGGAATGAAAATACGAGAGAATTTGCTGCTCGGACATGACTCAGGCTTGGGTGAGTTTTTGCACATTGGATTTCGAATGTTGGAATAGAGCCCGAAGGCCTGTGTGAGCTGAGCCGGTTTGGCCTCAAGGTCTTGACCTAAGTTTGGCTCAACATCTTGCAGCTCTGAGTGAGATGTTATGAATGTTTTGGGTAAGTCTGCACAGGAAAGAGCTTTATTCATCCTAGTTTTGGGATGAAGTTCTTCCATACACACGGCAAACATATGATTTCTGATTGCAAGAGCTGGGAGAATATTCGCTAATGCCTTGCTCGTCCTTAGAACAAGCAGCAACTTGAAACCTACGTCCGGGACCCAGATCAGCATACATAAATTCCGAGGTGCGATAAAGCTATTCAGACAAGGCTTGCTAGTCCTTTAGTGCTCCAGAGGTGGTATCTCTTCTTGTCCCGGATTTGAGCTTAAGATCCCTGTCTTCCCGCGTCCACAAAACACGGCGACATCGGACGTGATTTGATCCGCGATACATAGTCTGGCAATGGTACAAACTTTCTAGATGCTTATAAGCTTTGGTGCGAGGTTTGGAGAACGCTCTGCAGAACGCTGAAAAGTGCAGCACTGGAAATGAATATTCAGTCTGAGCAGCTATCTTGTCGAAATAGAAGTCAGTATACATGTTAATCCTGCTGGTCAGTCAGATCTGTAAACACACATCCCGAAGAGCCGTGTTTCACATAATTACCTCTAGTCAGTGCCCAGATTTCGACGCACTCGCTGATGTAAACCGTGGCACTGAGAGTCCTGCCACCCCATGGTGCTTCCGCAGCAGTGCCAGTTATATGTCACCTGGTCATATCTACCATAATTGTTCTATTGAATTAGGAATATAATCTTGAAGGACTGTAGCGACATTGAAAATCAATCTTGAAATGTCATGTTGCTTGGGTTGTAATTGCGGCACAAAGCATATCCATTATCAAGATCGTCTGCGCAATAGCTTATTTGTATTCATGAGACAAGATACAACTGTTGAATCGGTGCATCCAACATATATTAGTGGTCAATGAGACGAGAGATGATCTTGATATCTAGGGTCAGGCAAGCATTGGGGACTTGAAAACAAACAAAGCCGAATGATAAGCGAGTCGAGCGATTTTGAAGCACAAGACAGTCCACTATAGCATCTTGATGTCAGTATGCACCATTCTAGATCCCCGAACGATTTGTGCATATGATGGATACGTTAGAACAGTTAAACGTACCTATAAACCACCATACAGACCGTGAGTACGTGGTTGCTCAGTAAGTTCAATATCTGACCAATGTCACTTGATACCTTCGCGGCAAACATAACGGCATGAGAATACCTCAAGTGCATAGCTATATTAAACGATAGTGCACTTCATGCTCTATCCGGTTTTGGTCTCTGCTCGGAACAATGTTGAAGGCTCCGGACACTGAAGTGCGTGATATTTCCAGCATTGTGAGTAAGCTAGCTAAAGTATCTTCTGATGAGACACGGAGGAAGCACAACACTACCCCCTCGCGAATATGGAGAACCATGTTCGAGGGCCTAAGGACATAGCAAATTCAATTTTGTAATGTAGGCAATCTAAAAGTCGCGGGATGTTTTTGTGACTTCAGAGGTCAGCCATCATCTGGTAATAGTTACCGCAAATGAAGGATCGGGCCAGCCCGTCAAGCATTTATGGAGCTATGTTTGCATCAAATCACGAATAATGCTGTCGATTAAGCCCTGATCTCAATCATCCGGAGACGAAGAGAACGATTCTGGACGCTCTAACGACAGATCTAGAAGGCTGGACGATGACACAGGTTTCTCTTACTTCGCTAGAAATTTCATACAATAGTATACTAGTAATAGAGGCATTTAGAGTTCTAGAGAGTAGCCCTTCCAAGGGTTGTCTTGATGCCTTGCCAAGTTTTGCGCTTAAACCTCGAAGGGAGCGTAAATTTTGGCAGCAATCAAGTCAACAATGAGTTGGCGACGCTTAGTCATCTCCAAAGTGGAGTGCGGGGTTCAACCTCCAATGGATGACACCAATGAGCACATCATTCGAAAGGCGCGATGCGAAACCATCTGTGAAGATGATGCTCGTCCTTCCGTCTTACGATAGGAAAGTATACATTCTCTCCTTTCATGTCTCCTTCTCCTCTCCAAACCTCTCTCAATCTCCACCATGTCCTTTGATTCCATCCCTATCCTGGACTTGGCTGAGGCCAAAGATCCATCCACGAAGCCGAAGTTTCTGGAACAGCTGCGGCATGCACTGCTAGAAGTGGGATTTTTATACCTCAAGAATGTGGGTGTACCAGAAGAACTCACGCAGAAGGTCATTAAGGAGGGGATATGTTTCTTCGATCTGCCAATGGAAGAAAAGTAAGGCAACATCCCTCTCTCCCAGCATGTATATACTGACTATGTTCCAGACTCAAGGTTGAGATGAAGAATGCCCCTTCATTCTTAGGATACTCCCGCCTCGATGCCGAGATCACAGCTCAAACAATAGATCACCGTGAGCAAATCGACCTTTCCACAGACCATCCTGTACGCACGCCAGATCAACCCCTCTACCGAAACCTCTTCGCGCCTACCCAGTGGCCATCCCCATCATATCTGCCCAACTTCAAGCCCGTGTACAGTGAATATATCACGTGCATGGGCGAAATATCGATATTCTTCACGTCTCTGATTGCTGAAGCTATCGGACTATCGCCGACCGCTTTTAATAAATACTTCGACATCGACCAGCAACACAAGCTTAAGATTGTGAAATACCCAGACTTGAAGGAGTTGGGACTTTGGAAAGAAGGGGAAGCAGTGCCAGAAGGCCAGGGAGTTGGGCCACATAAAGACAGCATGTTCACATCATACTTGTTGCAAGTCACGAAGCACAGGGGCCTGCAAGTTCAGAACCTAGCTGGTGAATGGATCGATTGTCCGCCAATTGATAACACACTGGTGGTGGCTATTGGACAGGGTATGGAAGCTCTTACGCAAGGAGTCTGCATGTCAACTACACATCGAGTTTTGTCGCCAGCTCCTGGGTCGGGCGCACGGTTTTCCGTTCCGTTCTTCCAAGGAGTCAGTTTGGATGCCGAATTTGACGAGTTGAATGACTGGGAAAATGGAGGTGGAGTGGGAAGAGTCCCGGAGGAAATCAAGGAGATGCGGAGGAAGGTCGTGGCTAGGAATGGAGGAAGACTGGATGATGTAGAGTTTACGTTTAGTGGAGGCAATGGAGCTAGAACCTTGGGAGAGGCTACGCTGAAAAATAGAATCAAAAGCCATCCGGATGTAGGCGAGAGATGGTATCCAGATATACTGGCTGAGATCAGAGACAAACAAAGGAGGGAACGAGAAGAAACCGAGAGTAAAGAGGCTGTGCTAGCCTCGAATGGCAAGCCTGGAACACCTGGATCAGGGAATGCCGTTGAGGCACACTGAAGAAAGCACTAACTCACAATCACTGACAGCAGGCTGTACTGGGCTGAAGGCAGGCTCAGAGTCTATCATAGACACATTATGCGTTGCCGATTGTTTATGTAGCTCAACTCCTCCGAAGCGCCAATCGCTAGCTAAGTCAAAAAACAAACCCATCTACAAAATCCGCTCATGTCATTCATTCATTCATGACTTCTCCGGCGACAACGATCATAGCAAAACGCAACAAAGAAAATCCAGTCCATGCCACAACTCGGGTCTGTTGATTCATCATACACGAATCATCTCTGCAACCCTATGTCCCCGGTGAAGTTGAGTCGAGTGGGTGCATTTATTTGGCAGGGGCGGCAACGAAATTTGGGAAGCAGTCCGCAAGAGCCTTGCTGTGCTTATTGGTTGCATGCTCCGTAAGTCTTTCCACAGAAAACAGTCAGCCAAATCCTTCTTGCGCGGCTTTCGATGGAGGAGTAAGGAGAAAACATACGCTGGCGCACGAGTTGTCTTCAAGAAGGTGGACTTGCAGATGACACATTGGATATCCATGGCCTTCTCATTGACTTTGAGTTGTGACTTTGCGACCTTAGTCTTGTCGTCCTTGCGGTCGCGCTTCGAGGCTGCCTTTGCTCCCTAACGTCCTCTTAGATTATCTCTTAGGCATACGCGGGGGTTGACTTACGTTTCCCATGTTTGCGATTTGGTGGCTGACTGAGAGACCTTGAGTTCTTGTGGAGGGAGGTCGGTCAAGTTGATCGGTTGCAGAGTCTTAGAGTGGAGGGGCAGAGCGGGATATTTGTACAGTGGAGTGGAAATCGGAACTGAAAAAAGGACAGCCGATACCACTCACCGCCTGCCTCTTTAGGCCTATCAACAAGCAGGGGTCTTTTCGCTTATGAGTCCAAGGTGTATCCACTGACGCGGTTCACTTTCGTCGCGTCCAACCTCTTTTCTTTCTGGAGAAAAATATCCAACATAATTCCGTAAACTTCTCACCTTCCGGCAAACGACATCGAAGTTTGTCTCTAAGCATTCGGTCTGAATGCTTCGAACAATCTTCGGGAAGAAAGAAGAGACCGTTGCATCTTCATCTTCGACAATGGCGAGTTCGATCTCCGTGGACGACTTCAAGGAGGCCTTGGGCCGATATCCTGAGGCTTTGAAGACTCATGGCAAGACTCGTAAGTACTATGAATTTCGTGGATATAGAATTGAGGTATTTACGAAACGGACACTGACGCGTTCTAAAGCAAAGGATGGTTCAACTACCTTGGAAGAGCTCGACAAATTCCGGTATCAAACTGCGCCCATGAATTTCTCTAAGGCTACTGGGCGTGTTATGGAGCTCTCGGATGTTGAGAAGCTTGTTCAATGGAAAATGTAAGTTTCCTCAAGCCTCGAAGGCTGTTGCACGACAGACCATTCTCCTACGACGTTTGGCGCATAGAGGAGCGAGCCGGCTGCATTACAGGCGCATTTTTTATTCGGCTTTGGATCTGTTGTGACTCAAACTGACTTCCGTTCAGCCACCACGGTGTCTTTCGCCCTACTCTACCAAAGCTCGTTGCTAGCAATACGAACGACTCTGTCGCCGATGCTACGAAAGACGCATTCGCAGCTTACGCAAAGGACAATAAGGATATTGCTACGGTTATCTCAAAGCTCTCTGCTCTGAAGGGAATTGGACCTGCCACAGCTTCGCTCTTGCTCGCTATCCACGATCCCCAAAACGTTGTATTCTTCAGCGACGAGCTCTTCAGTTACCTGACTGCAGATGGCAAGAAGATAGAGCCGAAGTATACCACAAAGGAGTTTGAAGCAATCTTCGCAGAAGCCCAAACAGTCATGTCGAGGTTGAAGTGTACCCCTATTGAGCTGGAAAAGGTGGCCTACGTTTTGATCAAGGAAAAGACTCCTGAGGTTAAGAAGTCTGGTCGTCCCGCTCTGCCCGAAAGTGAGAAGAAAGTCAAGCCCGTATATGTCCCAAGTGGTAAGCCTCGAGGTCGCCCTGCTATGTCCGAGGCCGAAAAGAAGGCTCAGCAGTCAAGGAGAGAGGCGGAGAGAGCAAAGGCAGCGAAGGCAGTTACAAACCGCACACGGACAGGACGTATTGTCAAGCCGGCTGCTCTGCTCATCAACGAATCCGGGACGACTACCAAGAAAACAAGAGTAAAGAGAACCGTTCAACCAGCTAGGAAGGCTACTACGGTCACTAACACTACAGCTGAAAAGAAGAGAGGGCGACCTGCTAAGGGGGAGAGAGTTGAGGAAACTAAGCCTATTGCTGGAAAGAAGAGAGGTCGGCCTGCAAAGGGCGAAGGAGTTGAGGAAAGTAAGCCCAAGATCAAGGCCACTGCTACAACAAAAGCCGGACGTCCTGCCAAGGCCCAGAAATCTGCTGCTTCTGCTACCAAGAAAACATCAGCAGCTAAGGCCAAGGATGCTACTGCTCCGGCAAAGAAACGTGGCCGCCCCACGAAAGTCGAGACCGTCGAAGAAGTAAAGACGCCGAAGCAGCCCAGCCGTTCCGCTGCTGCTGAAGCTGCCGCCGCAACTCCAGCCAGCAAAAAGCGTGGACGTCCATCTATGGCTGCCGCAGAGGAGGACACCAAGACACCCGCGAGTAAGAAGAGGAAGACAACTGCTAGCCCAGCACCAGCTTCGTCTGCCAAACGCGGCAGTCGGACTCCAGCTTCTGCTGCTGCTTCATCCGTCAAGCGCAGTGGTCGAAAGGCTAACGTGTAGACCGGTGGAAATTCTCCTTGGTTGCTTCTTCACTTCGGGTTCCCATGGCAAAACCTGGAGTTACGGTCTAGTCTGGTCTGGTCTGCTTTAATGGATGGTTTATTCGCCGGCGCGGCTGGTTATTTGCGTGCATGCATGGTTCTGGAGGCTGGGTGTATATTATGGCAGGAAGGCCGGCATACAATTGTGCACGCGCGTCCCTCAGCAATGGCATATTCTTTAAAATAATCTTTGTTGAGTTCCACTTGTATTTGTGTAATACTTGACAATCTGCAATTTTCAGCAGCCCTAACACCTCCTCTGCCGACCGCACCTGCCCTATTTGCTTTGCCATCATCTCTTCCTTCACCTTGCTTCTCGGTGGCGCAAACACGTATCTTACTCATTGTTATTCTGCCCATGGCTCTCAAAAACCCTGAATTTGAACCAGGGTCTTGCAACGAGGGCATCTTTGGGGTGCGTCCCGGCCCAGAGCCATTTTCTTCCTCTGATTTCGGGAGGCCTATGCGCCAGACCTGCAATGATATACGTCGTGACAGACAACACCAGAAGTGTGATGTAGAATTTTGGTCGAGCTGCGACGGGTCCGGAGTGGATGGTGTCAAAAGGGTGCATACCGAAAACGTAATGAACGGTGTCAGTCTTGCCTTTCGTTGAGAATGTTGGAACATTTGCGGCGTAGACATCTGACCGAATGTCCTTACTTACAGCGAGGAGAAAGTAGTTGACAAGAAAAATCATCCACCGCGATAAACTCAAGTGGCAAGTAAAAGACTATCGTTTAGCGGTGAAGAAGTACTGTTTCTGGTGGATTAATATCTTCACAATCTCTGGCCCACGAGACGCTTCCCTCACAGATGTGGCAATGACCAGCTTTATCAGAATCCGCTTTACAGTTGGCTCAATGTCGGTGTAGTAACTCGAGTCACGCCGGCTCGGAGGCTTCCAACTTCTTCCTCTTATGTGCTCGTAAGGGCTGGTTTTATGTTGATACCCTCTGCTCTCCTGCCAAATCCTTGTAACATTTCTGCTTCTTTGAGGTATTCATACCCTCGTCTTGAACTTCTCATTAATCAAGGGGCAGTGGCAGCTCCGAATCTTCAAGTCTAATGACTCTGGTTGGCGATGAGAGCTGATTAGTGGTGTTAGAAATATGGGGATCGTAGGCGTAGACTCAGTACTATGGGCCGTATTACTGAGTACGCTACCCTTTTATTTAGGAGATTCTCTCTCTCTGTAGTAGCTCCTTATCTGACAAGTAGTAATCTTCCCAATCGGGTGGCCCAAATGCAAAATTTGTTTCCACGGTTTCCAGAGAAGATCCACCACAATACCCATCTTACGCTAGCAATCGCTAAGCTCTGATGTGAAATCAACGCTTTTCCTCAAAATTACTGAATGTACCGACAGACAGTTTACATTGTATTCTCGAAACTATTAATGCTCAAATCGTCATGCCTCACATCATCTCTGTTCAAGCATTTACGATCTTCGAGCCAATGATCATATCATACGGAATATCTCTGATCAATGTGATGCACCTAGAATAATTTACAATCATGTTGGCCGAATTGTACACGTCATGAAAGCATATGGCGTTCCAAAAATCACCTCCATGGCCCTAATTCTACAAGTTCTTGCAAAACTCCCTTCAATCCTTCCAAGATCGCCCACAGAGCTGATAGATACAGTCCTTCTGTCTGGTCAAGTTGAACCAGACAGAAGGAACTTTCAAGTGTGAACGACGAATCTGTGTGTCTATCCGACATTGCTCGAAACATCACTCATTCCTCCGAGACAATGTGTACAACGACATCGATCTTCTTGAAGATGCCCCCGGAGCCTATGGAAAAGTTGGTTACTGATTTGATGGAAAATATCGAGCACTAACTGAAAAGTCTGCCTCCGAAGGCATTGTCAATCAACAAAGGTCCTGGATAAGGTCTTTGAAAAGCTCCACTATCGGTGATGAAATTCCCTTCACATTATTGTCAGCCACAACTGTTCCATATCAGAGATAGGCTGAGGTGACCAATATATACTCACGTCCTTCGGGTGCAACCAGAACCAGGGCAACAGTCCCATCAATGCACTGCCACTTCATTCGGCCCTCAACCTCAACCATCAACCCCAGATTACCAAGTCCGTTGAGAAGGAAGACATTTGAGCTGCCATACTGATCCAGATCCTTATAAGTAAGTAAAATCTCTCTATACTTCTCGCCTTCCAGTCCAATGTCAGGGTAGGGTGCAACAACGGTTGAGATCTTCTTGTCCCTGAGAGAGAACTTTACGATTGGGTTCTCGTTTGTTGGAGTGAACGATGAAAATGGAACTGGATATCGTTGATTAGTTGGAGTGAAAGAGATGATAGCGTAGAACATGGTTGTGCCATCCAGAGTAGCCGAGAGCGTGAAATTGCAATCGAGAGTGGTGATGGGACCGTTGGCAATGAAGAGTTGCTCGAGATCGTTGCCAGAACATGTGCGAGGACCCGAATCTTTGCAGATTCCCAAAGGATCAGTGGCCAGGGCTTGAGCGATTCCGATAGCTAGCGTCATGAGCGCAAGGAGACGACGAGCCATTGCGATGCGTTGATGGGGCAACTTGAAGTTGAAAAAGCTGGCTTCCAAAGGGAGGTTGGTCCAAAAGTTGGGTTGAGAGAGATGAGATGCAGACGGGAGGGAGAAAGCACCGCCTTTTAAGTGCCTTGATCGAGGCTTGGGACAGAACGACTCCTTGAGACGGAACTGGAAGGAAGCGGGTAGCTGCTGCCCTTCAACTGATTCGCAGAAGACGCGGTGAGGGGTTTATATAGATAGCGAACTCGTGAGTTATTGCATCATACGCTTTATTATTGTCCGATGATCTCGATGAATAGCAGAATACAGCGGGTCTATCAGATGATGCTCGAAAGTCGAGCACATAATAGTCATTGTTTTGATTAGGCGAGTGGCTCTTGAGCAGCGTACAAGCCGCTCATCTTTCATGAGCCTGCTGGCAGCCAGTACGTTTGACGTGTCCAAACCTCTTGTTCTTATATCTGTGATGTAGCTTTGGCAAGACAATAAAAGGAGAAAGCAGGCGGGGTGTGTAGTTTCATTCATTCCGTACTTTTCGCACTTCCTTCACCATCTGTGTAACCATTTGTACAATGCCTCGCTGAAATGCCACAGAACTCCATAACGTCCTTCATGCAATGACTCCAAGCCAATAACGTCAAACGAACTCCTTCTTCAGCGGTTTTGCCGCAAACAAATCCGCAACCTGGTAGAACATCTCTTCTAGTGGCGGCAGCGCGAACGCTGGTCCGATGTTGAAAATCTCTGCTAATTTCTGCTGCGGCACAACAGGAGTATCATTCTCCTCATCCTCCTCACCGTCTTGCGTAGGAGCAGGTGTGGGATATTCCTCCGCGTCCTCGAAATCATCATCATCTTGATCGAGCGGCATGATGTCAGCGGTTTCTTCAGCTGCATCGAGCTGCAGTGCTGAAGTAGATTGCGCGAGCATAGTGATGTTCTGTGTTCCCTTCTTGATGACAGAGAAGATCTCCGCAGCGGTATCGATGATGAAGAAACCATCAGAGCTGAGAGCGGGAAGTAGAGCAGTGATGAGTGTCGAAAAAGCTTCCTTGAGTTGAGGCTCTCGCGTGTCTTGGTGGAAAACGATAAGTTCCGAAGTGGCGGTGCGAAGGGAGGATGGGTCGCGGATGATAGGGAGGGCAACGGCGAAGGTGCGGCTTCTTGGGTCGACGGAGAGGTGCATCATCTCTTGCTTCTGGCGGGTAGAGAGAGACCTGGTGGCCTCGCTAGCTTTAATGATGATACGAGCTTCTTCAGAGACGAGATCAAAGACGATGAGTTTATCGGAGAGAGTAATGAGATCTTGGCCGAGGAATGAGATACCGATTATCTCATCCTCGAAAAGGCCAGTTTGGGAGAGGCGGATGGTGCCAGAGTCCGGGTCCATGAAGTGTACAAGACCATCATTACTGTTGCAAGCAGCAGCCAGAATCGATCCGTCTTCGGAAAATGCAACACATCCTGAAGGCGCAGGGGTGTCAGCACCGTCTAAAAGCTCTGCCTTGCCAAGGGCAACTGCAAATTCGCAATTCCAATTCCTCAAAGACTTATTGTCTTTTCCGCGAACGACGACTCCATCCCGCTTCCGAGTCTTCGTGGTCCATATGCGAACTATGCCATCCTCGCCGATGGTTGAAATTCGTAACGAGCTTGGATCAACAGCAAGGTCCAGAATCCTCCCCGCGTCTCCCGATTCCCCGGTAGAACTATGAGGAGCGTCTATTCTCGATACCAGCTCCCAAGATGAGCTCTCCAAGTTCCATTGCCAAAACTTCAAGAACACCTCCCTCCTTGGTTGGCGCTCGATGAGATCTGCTTCATGACGCTTACTTGCATGGATATTTCTTGGCGGCGGCATCCACTCGTCAACTGTTACGAGCCAGTCTCCATCGTGGGAAATCTTCATATGTGTGATTCTCGGCTCTGTGATGCGGTGCAAACCAGGGGCTGCGTTTACGCTTGTGATATTCGTCCTCGTCAAAGCCTGGCGTGATAGATTGTGACCAGAACCCAGGTCAAGCGTTTGAAGAAATGGGTTGCTTAGAATCAGTGGCTTTTTGGCTCGGACCAATTGAGTTTTCCCGACGCCGAGGAGAAGTTGTGAAGTATTGGTAGGACTGATTACTGCAGGCGTTCTTTGCACTAATGGCTGCTTCCAAAAGCCTTCTTCGAGTCGTTCAACCTGCGATTCGATAGAAGGCTCGGTCTCGACGACACATGTTTGAACTCCTGCAATGTTGACAATTGGCTTCAGCTCAGACGTGGACAAGACCATTGCTGAGTTGTCTGCGAGCTGAACGCCGTACGATGTTCCGCTTGGCGAGACTACAACGTTCTGTATGGTTGCTGCCATGTGTGGCAGGAACTGCTGCTTTCCAGTATCCAATTGCCAAAGTACGAGGACGGTTTCAGTACCACCAGAAATAATGTAGTTGCCTGTGGAAGTCAGAATGTGTTTCCCCACGTAATAATTCCAAACTTACCATCTAAGGACCATTTGGTAGTATGCACTGCTTGTCGATGCCAATGAAGCTTCCTCGGGGCAAGTGCAAGACTAACACCAGACATCTGCCCCTCTGAGCCAATCCAAATCTTTGGAAACAGATCATTATGCACAAAAATGACACCTCTGACATCCCCAATAACCAAGTCAACAACCGGAATCTTCTTGAGTGGATTTGCCTTTTTCATGTCTTCTGCCCCAGGTCTCTGGGTCACGCGAATATCTAGAGTTTTGATAGCGTCGGATGATTCGAAGACTCGGAACTCATATCGCAATTTATCGATGGTGTCATATTCGGTTGATCGGAGACGTCCCACCAGAACCTTACTCCCAGAAGCCGCCACTATGACTGAACCTTCCCTCGCTGTCTTCAGAAAGTCTATTCGCTGGTTAGAGGTGTATATGGTTCTGGCGGCTGTTTGGATTGAGCTGTCTGGTGGAGCCAACTCGTTTGCCGTAATTCTGAAGCCTCCATCCTTTCGCGCCTCGGTCGTGAACACGACATCCCGTCGTCGATCTGCAGATTCCATGGACGCTACAGTCATATGAATACATCCTGTTGAAGACACACCCCAGTATTGCTCAGACCCAACACCAGAACTCCAATCGATGCTGTAAACAGATCCATCTGAACATGCAACCCATAGTATGTTTGGATTGGTTGGTGACAGGCAGAAAGCAATGATCCGTGGGGGAATTTCGGTTAACTCGTTGAGCTTCAACTTGATTGACCGCGTGAGGAGCGAGTTTGCAGTTGAATAGACATGCACAGCCCCAAAATGTGCAACTATAATAAACCTGCAGAAGTCAGCAACATTTCATAGATAAGATAGGCCAACTTACTTCTCGTCTCGAGTAAAAATCGGATCTGCGTTGATCATTCGGCCACCAATCGAGGACGAAAGTTTCCAAGGCTCCTGACCAGTCTTCTTGAACGTACTGACCAAAGCAGGTAATTTTGAACGGCTTTGCAATTGCTTCTTTGAGGTTTCAACGGTCTGTTCTACGGTTGGCTTGTCCACTCTTCCCTTCCTCTTCATCTTCCTCCCAGTGCTTCCTCCCACCACATTATTTTCCTTAGAACCGTTCGTGACGAAGTCTTCGTACTCGACCGACTCTGGTGATTGTGGGTGCCCATTCGCCCCTTTGTTGTCTCCATTAGGGGTCTCGATCTTCACCAATTCTGTTGCAGGCGGTGGATCAAAAGCTGCCTCCCAGGTTGGATTTTGAATGGAGTTTCGCAAAGGAGTCCCGGATTTTGTTTTGACAGCTTTAGATGGCTTGGGCGTATCCATCACCTCCACTGGAGCTCTCTTGCGCTTCAATAACGAAGCCATGGCGTTGGCAGAGTCCATCTGTGGAATTGGTGTTTGGGTGATAAGAACCTGAACTTTTTTTAATACAGCCGAAAAATGTCGTAGATTCGGGTAAACATCGGTCCAAGCTAATCTTAGCGTCAAAATTTTGTGAACTGGAAAGCCGACGATGACAACCTCAAATACTCGAGCTGTGAGGCTCTTTGTTCAACTACAACCACAACTGTTCGGATCTTGCACAAACAACAACACAACCTTTCCAAGATGATTATCCCTGTGCGATGCTTTTCCTGCGGGAAGGCACGTAACCCCTGTCCCCATCTTATACCTCTCTAACTCGCACGCAGGTGGTTGGAGACCTCTGGGAGCGATACTTGAAGCTCATAGATGCCCAAGTACAAGATGGGTCAGTCAAGCACGCATTTTGATTATCTGTAGCAAACTAATAACTTCAACAGAGAAGCTATGGATCAGCTAGGATGTAAACGCTATTGCTGCCGCAGAATGATAATGACCCACGTCGACCTGATCGAGAAGCTCCTCAAGTACGTACTGCGACACCATAATCTACTACGCCGAATCCTTTCAAGCCATGCGGAGACCCTTCTACACTAGTATTGACATTCTATGATAGATACAACCCCGCAGACAGAGATACCAAGAAGGCGGCGATGAACTAGGGCAGATTTGATCTTTTGATGTTGAGGTTTTAGGCGTTTAGTTTGGAAAAGGGCACATGCTCGGCGGCTACATCACATACATGGCGCATTTGCATGGCGTTGGAGGATTGCGCGGCGCGCGAGGAACGCTTCTTAGAAAGCAAATCGATTCCTAATATCAGACGAATTCTATTCATACTGCCTCGATACCAACAAAGCTTTGATTACCCGCGCCGCAGCAGCCGACCGACCCGCGAACCCTTACGCGCCAGACTATGTTCTTAATCCCAGAAAGTTGTTTCCCCGTCTCTGTGCCCTCTAATCGCATGGACAGCGCATGATTTTTGCACCGTTCCAACCTCGATCGAGGGCTCAGCCCACCTTCCATGGGGCTAATGTTCCCAGGTGTTGGTCGTACAGGCCTTGAAAACAACGCGAGAAAAGCCAACAGAGAGAAACAAGCTAGCGCTTGCATTTCCTCGATCTGATAGGGTTGATCTACCCACACGAGCGCCTATGCGCGTGTCTATAAGGCTAGAAGCGGCGCAGATGTTTGGCATTGGCGGGAAGCAATTTAGATGTGGAGGCTCTTCTCACACGCATGCAGAAATTTGCTCCCAGACGCAAGTTGATCGCTACTGGCTCTTTCGCAGTGGTCCTCGTGCCTGTGAACGAGTACACCAATGGATTCTCGGTTATCGTATCTGAAGTACTGAAGTCCCGGGCCGGAATCTTTCCCCTTTACCAAGATATAGGTGGGGCTGACATTGCCAAGTTGAAGCGAGTTACTTACTTTTTTCGAGCTCACTCCGTTCAGGGTACTTCTGTCAACGAAGGCAGAATGTGGCTTTCTGTTGGCAATGCTGACCGCAGGAGCATTCAGAGGTGTGACCCAACGCTGGGCCACGGCACGAAATGCCACCACAAACTTAGAGAGAGAAAACACGGTGACGATCTTTCGCCGAAGGAGGTCGACCAAGAGCTGACCCCTCCCTTCTCCGAGCCCACCACCACGGATGTGGTGCAGCGGTTCAGTATCAACTCGGCTAGGTCTTGCGGAGCGGAGGTATGTTGAACTCTCTTAGATTGCAAGTGCGGATGCTTCTTGGTGATGAGCCCGCTGGTTTGTTACCCAGAATTACAGCACTCGGGCCATCCCTCCCGCTGTAGGACATCACCTTGTGAGAAGTGGTTCTTAAAAATTTGGAATTAGTATTGGCTGGGCCATCTTCCACCCTGGGTCCATCGCATATGTGCTGTTTATCCTGAAGCCAATTGTTTCAAGCCGTCTTCGGGAATGGCGGGAGAAGAGGAGGCAGGCAAGGACGAGAGTCAAAAGTCGAGGGTTCGGGGATGTGCCTTTGCGGAGTCAAGTTACCTACGTGCTGTAACGAAAGTCTGCAAAGCTCCCGTCGGTCAACCCCCGGGCCCTCAAGTCTAGCGCTGCCGTTGCTAGTAAAATTTACGAGAACGTGGATGCAGCTTGAAGAGGGCGAACGAGCTATGTGGGCTTCTCAGATCCAGGTACCTACCTTACCCATCGGTCGTCACTCAGTTGTGTGCGTGTTGTTATCCGTTAAGGTTGAACGGTAAGTACAGATATGAGGATTGGTATAGTATAGTATAATTTTCCAATTCCACAGTACCTAGTAAATGCTATGGAGGCAGGCAGGTTAGAAGTCAAGTTCAACTTCTGGGTAAATGCAGTACAGTACAGTACAGTACAGTACAGTACAGTACAGTACAGAGCCCGAACGTGGAGAAGAGTGCGGATCGGTCGAGGTTAACTCGACGAGTCGACAGCCCTAGGTAGCCCTAGGCTCCTAAGTACAGTAGCCCATTACCAATGCCCATGCCCATGCCCCTGGCTTTGGTTACCCTGTCGTGTCTGACCGTCCACTCCTGCCCAGCGCCCAGTGCCCAGAGCCCAGTGCGTGCTCAGTAGTGCTCAGTGCTCAGTGCTCAGTGCTCAGTGCTCAGTGCTCTCCCTCCGGACTCCCTCCCTCCCCTCCCCTCCCTCCCTCTGTTAAGCGCCGAGTCTCTCAAGCGTCATGCAGCCCGCGATCAAAAGACGCGCTGCTCACAGGCTGATTCGCTGGCAGCGATCCCAGCAGCTGCAGCTGCAGCATTGCACCAGCTCCAGCTCCAGCTCCAGCATCTCCATCACCAACTTGGCCTGCTTCCAGTTCCAGAGCCTATTCCCAATTGAGGCCAAAGTGCAGTCGCTGTCCATACAGATCTCTCCGAATCGATTGCCCGCCCCCGGCCCAGCTCTCACTTCGCTTCCAGACTTCCTCGACCACCTGCAGTCTGTCATCGCGAGTAAGAGGCAGAAGCAGAGGCAGAGGCAGAGGCATTGAAGCAGTCATCGACCAAGACAGCGACCGCATCGCCATTTTCCACCGCAATCGCATTCGATACACGCCTCTGGCGCTGCATCGCACCGCACTACACAGGGGTTGGATTGACAGACAGCTCTCACTATCTGGGCATTACTCTGCACTTCATTCGGATAGCCAGCCGGACGAACGTTGCGTCGCGTTGTGTTGTCTTCTCGCTGGGAGAGAAGCAAGCAGGCAAGCAGAGTCACGTCAAGCGCAGTGCTAGCCAGTCAGGCCCCGATGCGGCACAGTGGTTTCTTCGACATTCATACATACATACATACATACAACCATACCTCTGCGATATGCAACTACACCAACGAAACTGCGGTATCTTCGTCAATTGCGTCTAGTTGGCCCATCGCCGACCCACAGGCCGACTACTGCGAGTGTGTTGCCATTGCTACTGTCCATTCGACATACCAAACTTCTAGCCCTCAGCTGGAGAGCTATCAGCAACTGATTCCCGAGAGCTCCATTCAGCCTTGACCGTCCCACACCAACTCTGGAGCCTATCTGTATGCCTGCCTCCGCCTGAGCCAGGCCGATTCTCTTCCTTCATAACCAGCCTCGTAGACCGTTTTGAAGGCCATTCTAGGATCCACGCACATGAGCCTTGCGCCAACAATGGCATTGGAGAGTCCCCTGGTCTCATCGTCTCCAGGCAGTATCATGTCGGCTTTCTCTCCTTATACAGACTTCTCTGTCTCTCCAAACTCCCCAGCCATGAACAATCCTCCTCGATATCAGTCATTGTATGTAAACACAAACTCTCGGGTCTGCCAGCGTGCTAACAGTTGCCAGGTCGGCGCGCACTTCTCAAGAATCCTCCCATCTCCGACCAAACTCAATTGACGATAGCTCTACGAACGGTTTACAAATGACAAGTCCAAGTGATATGGTGGGGCCGTCTCCGGTCACATCGAACGGTACGGAGACAACAGAAATCGAAGACGAGGTTGCAGATGATGTGCAGGCGCAAGAAATCAGACCATCACCACCAAGAATAGTTGGATCTGCCGATTCGCAGGCCACAGTAGGTGCAGCCAACAGATAAGGTTGCATATCTGACTTATTTATAGTTGAAGAGACTCAGCACAAATCTACCCGATCATTTCAGGTCTTCACTCGAAGACGAGTCTATCTCTGTCATACATGCACCCGAGGGGTACGGAAAGTTTGTGAGTTAAAAATGTCTCAAGAGGAATGACAAGATGCTAACATTTTAGAATTTGCCTGAGAATCTACCGATTCAACCATCGCGAGCCGACCGATCTACTCCTACACCATATCAACAGGAAGCAAACGTACCTACTACCATTCGAGTAGATCTTCAAGTCCCGAAGGATAAAGTAAGTTGCCTTGGGAATTGAACGGATTTTTTTTTTCTAATTAAAGTCAGACTACACAACCCAGCCCGGTCTCTCCCCCTCCAATCTCCACGGATGTGACGCCGGTTAAATATGGATTGGAAAATGCCACCCCAAGAGCCCAAACTCGACAAGAAGTTGAGGCTCTTGCCGGCGATTACGGAGGATCCGTGCGATCGAGTAGCGCCCACAGCCTTGAAGGTCTGTCCTCGTCTAACCACCAAAACAATCCGCATTACTCATGGTTTGCAGGGATCCCGGAAGAGCACCGTGATGTTGAAGAGGATGAGTTCGATGCCCGAATCGTTCACACTTCCGATGAGGAAGTTCATGCCTTGAAGACTGCCCTGAACGAATGTTGGACATTGTGCAACACCCTCGCAAGCCTTAGCTCGATTCATCGTGAGCGAATTTTTAGCTATTCCGGAACTGGAGACGCCCACGAAACTGCCTGGAAGTGCTGCTGGAGGCTATGCCAGAAGCTATACGATAGCCGGGATGACAACCATGAGTTTCATGTTAGACCAACGCTGGATCTTTGTCGCGACTTCTGTCAAGCATTATTTGATATACGACAACGGAAGGACGAAATTGCTGACTCAGTGCTGAGAGTCAGCTTTGAGCTAAACAACCACCTGTACAACACCCACGATCGGAATTTGCCCGAAGCGTTCCGGGAACGAACTTTGGACTTCTATATTACACTTTGCCACCGGCTTATGAAACAAAGAAACGAACTAGCCGAGGAGACAGATACTCTTCTTCGAGCATGCTGGGGCCTCGCTGAAATGCTTTTCAGCCTCCGCCAGAATAGACGCGAAGGCAAAGCGCCTGATGAGGAGCTTCTTGGTTCAGCCGTGCAAGCATGTTGGGAGCTGTGCGACCTTTTCAGGGAGGGCTGGACTCAAGTTCGTCCTGACCGGGGAACGCCAAGACCTTCGCAAACAACCTTCACCCAAATCTCTGACCAGATGAGTCGGTCATCTCACACGAAGAGCAGCAGCCTGCCAAGTCTTCCGGAGAATCCAGAGCATCCAGAACATGCTCGTACACGATATCAACCGGAAACACCAACAACCGAATTTGAAGATACACCCATTTCTCCAGAAGCAAACTCACCAAATATTCCCAATATTCTCGTTCTTGGGACAGAAGGTACCCGTGCATCCAATGCGAGATGGTCAAGTGCAACGTCTTCGTCATCCTACTCTCAAGGAAGTCAGAAGTCTTCTAGCACAATTACTACTGCAGCCAGTTCTGAGGACGCAAACCTCACTCGACTTAAGATTCTCATTCTCAAGGCAGCTATGAACGTCGGCTTTTCTCGTTCTACACCTACGAGTGCGACACCAAATACCGCCGACTCGCCTGCATTCCAAAATTTTATCAAGGCTCTTCCAACAGGGTCATTTGGGTCATTACCTGCACATACGAAGCTACTTGCCGCATATCGAAATCTGATATTGAGCGACCCTACTTTTAGAAGCTCGAATGCTCTGCCGGCTGTTGGTAAAAACGCCAGCGCGATAGATGTCGCTAAGAGCGTTGGGTGGATGATGAGGAGTGGGCAATATCCGTTTTTGAAGGATCTGTTCAAGTTGGTCTTTGGATTCCATCTAGAAGAAGCAGAGGGCAGGAAACATGTGAGCATCACAGTATGAGGACATGACCTCCAGACAGCAACATTCGCTCGGTTCGAAGTGCCAGACACGTGACCACGACACCGTGTTTATTTGAGCGACATAATTATATTCGCGGGAAAACATGCATCAATGGCGTTCTGTTGAGACTTGCCTGACCCATGCATCGCACTTGGATTATACATTCGTTTCATCATTGGAAGTTGGAGGACTGGAAATTGTTTTAGATACCCCACTGGAAAGCCCACGGCGTCATAGAGGCGCTCACGGAAATTTTATTTTGTCATTTGCCTAGCACCAACTCACTTACCATCTGTTGTACGTTTGTTCATTTTCACGTATTGATGTATCGCTTTTTGATCGTGCCATGTGCGGGCCTTGCAAGTGTTGTCCATCCTCGCTTCAGTGATGGCATGCCACATCATAAGCTCTGAGTTTCACTTATTGATTAGGCACATTATGCCCGATGGCACAGTAAGTTATAAGTGTGGATGATTTTTGCAACTCGATCTTCGCTAGCCAGCACTAAAAACTCTCCAAACTTGGTACGTTGGCGTAAATTGGAACTGGTCTTGGGCTTTAGCTGCATCGACAACTCCACCCACCGTTTCTCTTCGGCGAGTACGCTGGATCTCGGCCAGGTGTAGAAGGCACGCGTCATCCATGGATTTGCAGATGGTGCCCTGTGTCATGCCATGAATGGTTCTTGGCAGACACCGATAGATCCAGTGTGCTATGGCTCTGCAACACCGATTTACTTTGTGTTCTTGATTGAGCGAGTCGTATCTTTAAACATATGGCTTCAAGGTAAACCGGAAGCTTGACTTTGGAAAGGCTGAAGTCCACAGGATACGGATGCGGCCTTTCGGAGTCAACGACCGCTTCGCAATCGTAACTACCCGTCCACCCATGTCTTAATCATGTGGCCAATCAACGTCGCACCTTCTCTAAGTTACCAATCTGTCACAACAGATCACAACGTTATCAGGGCCCATCTTCCAATGCTGGTACCTATATTTACAGAGATTTCTTTCTGCTTCATTTCACACTCTTCATCAACTTGCATATTTCCCTAGCTTTGACACAAGCCATCCACTGCACACAAACCAGACCACGAGTTTCTCGAGCGTACCAAAATGCATATTCTCGTTCTTTCTCTACTTTACCTCCTCTCCGGCGTCCTGGCTTCTCCTCAAGGCGGGCCATTGAGCGGCCTCTGTGGCATCCCCTTCCTCGAGTCCATTACTTGCGTCAACGGCGGTATCATCGGCTCAAACCTGCCCATCAAAGACCTTACCTGCAAGTTCACACTCGCAGCCACCAGTGTCGGTGGTCCCAATACTCCATACGCAATCCAAGCGTCCGATCCCTCAGATCCCTCAGTCATGGGGTTCGGCATCGCCGGCCAGACTCTGGACTTCGAGATACACAGGGGCGTTCTTTCGTCGCTAAACGGCGTTCTTCGTGCAACGCCAGCTAGTGAAACCAGTGAAAAGTTCAGTGTTGCGAACGGAGGTATTGTCCCGGATTTGGCGATCAAGTATAAGTGTCTGAAGGACCTGCCGACTTTGATTGTAGTGCCCGAGGCAGGAGGTTTGTTCAACTGACATTCTTAATTGCATCGCATCTACTGATTTCAGCGCCGCAGAATTCTTCGCAATCGATCCGAGAGATAAGGGAACTTATGATGAGGGATCCTGGTATTCTGCTGCACTAGGAGAACCAGACCGTGAGAACATTTATTTGGGGTTGAGACTGATTAAAGCTGACATATACTTTCAGAATATCACAATTTCAAGGAGATCGATGTTATGGTCAGCCTCATCTATTCCTAGAATCCGAATTCTCATCATTCTGTGAGGTTTGAGATATGAAGGAGGGATTATATCTATTCATGTTTGTCCTTCCTTCAAAGTCGGAATTGGTACACTGTATCCGAAGGAAATAGATTTTGCTGCATATTTGGTTTCAATTTCTCCCCGACTTTATAGTAGTCGATAACCTTTCTAACTGATCGTCACTACCTTCTCTTTTTTTTTGGTTCGCTGATCAGCTCCATGCCAATCACCATATTACAGACCTTTTCGAGCACTGTTTCCGTCATGGCGCGATAGACCAGCAGCGCCAACCGTATCTCGGCCAGGAATCTGTGAAATGAGGTAACCTCGGTGCGAAGACTGCTTTGTTCATAGACACCTGGCCTGCAGCGAGATAGCGACAAATTCTGCCGGATAAGTTGATGTACTGATGATTCCGAAAGTACAGCCATTACATGGGACTGCATTGTCGGTCGCGCAAGAGCTGTCCAGCAGCGTCTGTCCAGTCCATATCAACAAATTCTTTTAGAATGTTAAATATCCCTTGTAAATTATGGACCTTGAGTTCAGGAGCACGGAACTATCACTCGGCTACTAAATAACCTTGGCCACCAGTAGGTACACATAGATACACGACGCTACAAAATAAATTTCTCATTGCTCCCGAGGTTTCATGTGGCAGTTTTGTTTGGGCCACTCGCTTAATATATCGGAGGCTGCGAGCTCTATGCCATGGCATATCTGGTCGGTGTGGAGGGCCGCAAATATACAAATTAATCCCGCAGATGCTAGCTAACAATGGACTCCAACAGAGAGGACTACTAAGACTTACTTCATACCCGCAGTTTCAATGGCAGGCTGAACACTGGATCGTTGACAAGCAGGTGATGTATTATCAACGGCAATCTTTGGACAGGATCCAGTAAAATACGTTTCCCATACTATCTCCTTTGCAAATGAAACAACAGTGTCATCGCCCAGGCAAGCTGGGTGCATTTACTCTAGAAGCAACGACAGCTTTTGTTTGTTGACTTTTGTTTGAGTTTCAATCCTGCCCCTGTGTTCCGCCACACCTCGGAATGGACGGGACTGAAGCTGCAAGGCTGAACTTTAAGTGGGACCCCTAGACACTAACCCGAAACAAGGTCGCATCAAGCCTCGTTGGGCATGTGATAGTGCGGAGTGATCAACATTGACGTTTCTCTCCTCAAAGTACCGTGCCCCTCCGCCAGAAACACTTCGCAGCGCGTGCAATGTGATTTCCACACTTTTGAGATCAAGCGCATAATATTGTGACTTACGAAAGAACTGAAAGACGAGCGAGCGGTGGACTGGAAGTCGAGGGAAAGACGCAAAGCGGCAAGGAAAGTCGAGTAGGCAAGTGAAGTGACAAGACAGGGACGATGTCCGCCTCCCCTCCGTGCGAGGGGTCTGCGAATCCTGGATCGGCGAATGGACTGGATGAGAAGCCCAGGCTATCGGAACACGAGAAGAAGGCGAATCATATTGCTTCCGGTATACTGCTGCCTCCTAACAAGCCCATCTTTTTTTCTCCTCATTCCTCACTTTCCAGCGGGCACACAAATAACTAACCGCACATCCCCTCCCCGCAGAACAGAAACGCAGACAAGCCATCCGCGAAGGCTTTGACCGCCTCACAGAACTCGTACCGGGCTTAGAAGGACAAGGGAGGAGCGAGAGTGTGGTGTTGAAGAAGACGGTCGATTACATGCGAGCGCAGCTTGCGGAGAGGAAGAGGTTGGTTGAGAGGGTTGAGGGACTGGGTGGGCATGTTGAAGAAGGGATGAGGAGGTGATGGTGTTGTGGACTTGAAGGAAAATTTGGCGGGGTTTTTTTGGGCTGTATTCTATGGGAGACGGTATGCTTATGGAGGATTGGGACTATGGATACGGAATTTGGGCGTCTGGAGTTGATGTAAGAATATGGATGGTATCGGACAGTCTTTGACTGGCATGGCTGGCATGATGCAGGGGAAATTGAAGATCAGAAATATGTCAAAGTATGAGATGGTCAAATCAGAGGTTATTTGTAACTGTATCATCATAATGTACATCTATTTAGTATTTTACAACGGCATAAATCTTCGTGTACTATCTGTGTTGTGTTGCCATATCGCCCAGAAACTTACCCAACTCCATTGCCGAGATTGGTAGGCTCTTCAACTGCTCTGGTGCCAGGTTAGGATGGCTCAACGGACGTTTGACCGACTTCTCCATGTCAAAATCTTTGTGGACGCCCCTTATTACGGACCCATCTTTCGGCTTTTTTGAGATTGCCGTATGTGTGGATGCGGCACGTCTCAAGGCTGGATGCTTGGGCATCCATTCTTCGGCTTTTGGAATGCCCGTGAGGTCAACAACGACACAACCTGTCTCGATGTCTTTCTCGCCGACCACAGCGATGACAGAATAGCGTTTCTGCTTCGCTTCACGGATCTTCTTTTGTACTGAACGAGGACTATCGTCTATGTCGACTGAAATCCGGTCTGGGGCTCTCATGACCAGGGAGCCATTGGGCGCACGATTTGATAATCCTATGCCCTGGATAGACCTCTTGTATTTTTGAGCATATTCCACCACAGCCTGGCTGTCGTTCACCGTGATGATCATCACCTGTCGAGGATTTAGCCAGAATGGCCAATGGCCGTTGTGATGTTCGATCAAAAGAGCCATTATTCTCTCCACGGAACCGAGCACTGCTCGGTGGATCAACACCGGTGTTACTGGTCCCTGTACATTAAGGAGGGCGTGGTCAGTTGTCGACTCTCCCTTTTGCTCAAATTCTGGAGCGGGTGCTTGGTATTCCAGCTCAAAGCGCTTTGGTAACTGGAAATCGAGTTGGATCGTGGCAGTTTGGTGCTCCTTTCCATCCGAGTCCTTCAAGATGACATCAATCTTTGGTCCATAAAAGGCCCCGTCGCCTTCATTGACAGTCCACGCTTGCCCACTAGCATCCAGAGATTCCCTTAAAGCTGCTTCGGCATTATCCCATTCCTCGACTGTTCCAATGAAATGATCTGCTGGCCTCGTCGAAAGAGCCAGACGGTATGGACCCAGCCCAAACACTCCATAAGTCATCTTGATGAATTCTAGCGTACTCGAGATCTCCTGGCGGATTTGAGATGGTCGGCAGAAAATATGTCCATCGTCCTGGTGAAATCTCCGGACTCTCGTCAACCCGCTCAATGCGCCATGAACCTCATTCCGATGCAAGGGGCTGAAGTCTGCATATCGTATTGGCAGATCGCGGTAGCTTCTTTGCTTCGATGCAAATATGAGGCAATGTCCTGGACAGTTCATAGGCTTCAGCCCATACTCCTCATCTTCTCCCACTTGTCGACCTTCTTTTTCTCCTGACGCTCCGCGACCAGTTACCGAATACATATCATCTGCATAGTTATCCCAGTGTCCTGACTTCTCCCATAGCGACTTCTTATATATAGTCGGTGTAATGACTTCTTGAAAACCGAAATGGTCGTATTGAGCTCGAAGGAAATTCGTTAATCTGTTGAATAGTTTGGCACCATTTGGGAGAAATAACGGGGATCCAGGACTGTAGACTGAAGTAGTGAATAGCTCTTGCTCGACTCCTAGCTGGCGATGGTCTGCGAGGGAAGCTGGAGGATTGGTTGTTGACTTGGCTGCGTCCTTCCCCGCCGTGGCCTCGCACACGGTACAATAGCCATTGCGTGTTGACTGCAGTCGTGGAGCGCGATAAACAGCATGTGATGGCCTTGTTCTGATCTGTAATAGGCGCAGAGCCCGTGAAGAGCGCATCATGGCGATGGCATTGGACAGCCAGACACGGCTCCAAATATTTATCTCAAGTGAGCACTGGTAGCTCCACGGAGCGCGTCCTGATCCCTGCAGAACAGAACAGAACGCGGTGACCAGGGTCAGCTGGCAACGTCATATGGAACGTCGATGCCAGAAGTCCCAGCCTCGTGGGCGAATTTCTAGTCATATACCGAAGTATACTTCCAAGGCACATACCATTTTCCGCGTCGGCTCAAGGGCACTGTGCTCATAAACTGTATTCGGTTTCTATCTCAAGTTACACGATATTCGGTCTTCCAAAAGCTGGCTAGATTATCCGGGCGTCGCCAGCAATTTACGCGCATCGCATCTTCCTCAAGCGACTAATAAACACAGACTTTAATTCACCATGCCGCCTGGGAAAGCGAAGCTAAATCTGGGAGACTCGTGGGTAGTAGCGGACGAAGATGAGAATCCGGAGTATTCACCACATGATGATGAATACAAACCTCCGCCACGCAGAGTTACGCCGCCTCGAAGGTCGACACGAGGGGAGAATAAGTCGCCTGAACCAGAATTGGTGATGCCGTCATTGGACCTCGACTCTATGGACGGGTCTTGGGCAGACACGACAAGTAGGAGTGCGAAATCAAGAGCAGTCCAGTCAGCAGAAAGAGTCCTGGAAGCAAGGAGAAGAAATACTCGGTTGAATAACAGCAGTCCAGTAAAACGCACGAGGATAAAAGATCCGCCAAAGGGAGCACTGGGAAATCACGGCGAAACCAGCAACATCAGAGACATTGTGGATGTTGCAGTCGAGCATTTTATAACAATAATGTCCTGGCTTTTGGATATTCTCACGGGCGCCCTCAAAGTCCTGAAGAAACCTCTTTCATATTTCCTGGCGGTATGGCTGCTCTTCGGAATTGCCGTCATCGTTAGAAATCTGGTCACAAACTCAATCTATGCTTCGATGTCGCCGCTTTGTCGGATACCGGGAGCATCATTTCTAAACCTACCATTCTGCCCCGTCCATCGAGTCGATACTTCCCATGGGTCACCCCCACCAGTCGAATTCAATGACTTAATGGCCGTGCAGGCGAAGTTTGAAGAAGTCCTAGAGGAAAGTGCCGGTGGAGTCTCACTGCCGCTAGACATGAAGCGCGGCGAAGCATCAATTCGAGACCTACGTCAGCTCGTTCGGTATTCTCAACTGCATTCCAAGTAAGTGATCGAGTTTGAACTGGCTTTAAACCTCAGAAGCATAGCTGACTGTACTAGAAATGAGTTGGTTCTTGAGTTCGACGGCTTTATTGAGACTGCTCGAATAGCTTCATATGACTTGCAGAAATTCAATAGCCATGTGGGTCGAGCGGTCGACAGCGTTATTGCAACCACACGGTGGACTACCAGGGTCCTTGATGGCATTCAAGAGCGAGATGGTTCAAGAGGAGCTATCAACGCTTTTATCAACGACAAACTATTCGCCCCCTTCCAGCCTGTGAAGTTTACCGAGAGCGTCTTACTTGATCAGTATATTCAACACACACGAATCGTAGAGGAGGAAATCAACAAGTTAATCAACGAAGCACAGGCCATCCTCATGGTTCTCACTAACCTTGAAGACCGCCTTGATGTGATTTACGGAATCGCCACCAGAGACGATATGCACACTAAAGCATTGAAAGAAGAGATATTGGCAGAGCTGTGGACCATGGTTGGCGGAAATCGAGGCAAGATCAATAAGATGGACAAGAAACTAAACTTGCTGCAACAAGTTGCCATTTACCGAAAGACGGCATACGCCCATGTTTCCGGCACGATTATCCGTTTGCAAGCTATGGGAGCTGGCTTGGAGGACTTGCGCGAACGTGTTGGCTCTCCAGAGCTGCTGCGCGATCGAATCGACATCCCTCTTTCGGTGCATATTGAGAATATCAACAAGGGAGTTGAGAGATTGGAGGAGAGCCGACTTAATGCGAGAAAACTAGAGGACGAACATCTCCGAAGGACTCTTGAGCGTGGGCGTCTCGAAGGGACGATGATCGATGGATGATATCGCCTGGTCTGGAGTAATTTGTTTTGTGATATTCGCCTTATATTTTGGAGGGCGTAGCGCCGGTTGTTGGCCTAGGTCGGAATCTGGTGAAAACCGGCTCGATATTCTTTGCCTTTTCTTGGATTGAGGAATGAATCCTTATGACGAAATCTGGTATTAATGGATGGTTGGACGAGAAGCGATACCCAGGCGGAAAGAATGCATATGCATTGTCGAGCGGCAAAATCCCCATTTTCTTTCGTCATCTGGACCCTTAAAACTTCAACCTCCACACGCATTGAGCACAACTACATGTAAATCCTGGATGCGGATATGTCCTTGAGACACAACAAAATTTGGCCCCGGAACACATTTGGAACTTGTAAGTAATGATTCCTTCCTTTTGAATTTAATGTATTGGCGAACAACGGGTGATTCGCCACCCCATAAAGCAACTCGTTTGGAGGACAGGGTGATAATGTATGCTGTGAAGTTAATTTCTGACATTATGATTATCAGGGAGAATGAAGCAAGCTTGTTGCTCCACCATTGCGAGAAGTAATCTCTGAGAAATGTCACGGTGGTAGACTGCGCGAATTCCCGCTCCTAACTCCTGAAGACTGAACGTCCTATACCGTCATATATGCATCGTAGACATATAGAGTATCTCATCACACCACACATAGCCCAGAATAACCGCTACCACTGGCGTTTATTGACACCTCGTGCTCGATTCCTTAAGTGCTGTGAAGCTTATCAACACTTATGTGAGAAATTTAGACTCGCTCCTCTCCTGACCATCCCATTCCCAATACCACAGTTATGTGCAAGATACGAAGTCACTATCTATGCATTCTCATCATTGCCTGTGCTTCTACTGATGCTGCTGCTTCAAGATGGTCATTCCAAAACGAGTGTACAACACCGAAGCCGTCAAGGCCTCGTTCACTCCATAGCAACGCCAAAAGTCAGTTACCTACTGTCCACAGCCCTGTGCTACCACCAGCATCACTGCTTGCTCACTCCACCGAATACATCATCGCCACCACTCGCACCACACCTACAATCACTGTCAATTGCACCTGAGGATCAACAAACGTAGTCCCAGTGGCTCTACCATACCCGTCTGGTCACAGTAGAAAAAAATCCCAAATTGACTTACCCAAAAGGTAGCAAAGAGCCTGTCCGAAGAGAATCTCAATACACAATGTCAAATCGTCTCATTTCTCAACTAGACACCTTTCCAGCAATATGTGTCCCACTATCACACAAGTCGTGGGGACTAGAGGAAGTTACAAAAACCCGCAAGAAAGTCGACGGTACTCTGCAAGTCACCAAGGAACCCATCGCGACTCTACAGTTCAATAAGAGAAGTTCCAAAATAATGGAGAAAATGGTGGATGATGCAGAGGCAGCGAGGATTGCTGACCTCCTTGCCGACCTGGACGTACCTTTCCATGATCCGCAAATTAGTAGCAGATCTCCTTACTAGGTTCCGTCTGTTACCAGATATCGAAGTCAAGATGAATATCAAGATCATGAGAAGGATGAGCAACCTCGGCGACATTCTCTGCCTCTTTTGACATTCTGGAACCTTAGACCAAAAAGCCAGGATCGAGAACAAAGTCGCAAGAAAGCTGGAGGGAATTATCACATCCCAAATTGGGGAAACAAGCATGTTAAAGTCGACACCAATCTATGGATACCGGAGCTACACTTGAGAAAGGACGGCTTGAACTGGGACAGCCCAAGGGGATTAAAGATCAAAGGAAATCCGCAATGACCATCTTGGTGAGATCATCTATGATCATTGACAAAGACAAATCCATTCTGAAATACATGACAGCGTTGGGGACTTGACCAACCTATGGTCATATCGCTGTCAAGGAAGAGGACGGTAACTTTCACATCTTAATGAGTCACCTGCAGCGTGGACGATGCGTTTGGGTATCTCGAAAGAAGGGTGAGAAGACAATCATTTGATATTTCCCTCACGGCAAAGCTGTGGGATGCCAGGACTCTGGTCTTCGACGCCCATGATCGGTCGGGTGCTCATGGTCTGTTGTGGAATCTCTGTCATGGCATGGATTCGCTGACCGGGCCTGATATTCGGAAGGGTAGTCCTGTTCTGGCTCGAGGACGCCTGGGCGGTTCGCTGCAGGAGTAGATTGAGAGAGGCGATGAGAATGATGGTGAAGGCTGGCTGGAAATGAAGACACAGTTGGAGAGGATCATCCGAAAGAGAATGGCTGAAAAGAATGAATGATCCTAGTACGAGACTTGCGACGATTGCAGACGTATTGGTCGGCCTTTTATCCAGAGAGAGTCGTCATTCGAGGATGACATTCTACTACCTACCGCACCGGAAATGGATGTTACTGCAAATTTGTCCACTTCCTGACGATGACACGAAGGTTGTTGATTGTAATGCCAAACGAAAGGGTAAAGCAACTTGCTCTCTAGTTTGCAAGCAGAGAGCATGTACAGCAGCTTGTTTCTTGGATCCCAGCAAGCCTTGTTATATGTCAATATCGACGCTTAAGTGCAAAGCGAAGTACCTCTTCGTCTTCGATTTCGAATCCAAGTCTTGGTCCGGAGGAAGCTTCTGAGTCAGGCGGAGAAGAAGATGACGAAAAAACTAAAGGGGCAGTGCATAAAACCGGGCTCTTCAACAAAGTTTGCCTTCCATTTTGCCCACAAAACTGGAACATACGATGCAATGACTCCGTACAATGTAATGATCTGAGCTGGACGGGCTTCAAATGCCTGAGGCAAATTCCTACAAACCCTCATTCCATCTCACGCCTGCTTTTGGGATATTTCCAGTGCTCCCCAATGATATATCTCGCTAAATTGACATTCCAACCACCTCAAATTCGATAGATGATAGGCATGCTTTCTTGTTCCAAATACACTGAATTTGCTTCCATTATTTTGCCCAACATTGTTATCTGTGTCCTCGGCAAGCCATTGAAGCTCACTTCAGAGTACCTAAATTGACATACATACCTAGTCGGTCATGCTCCCCCGTGTCTCCTCAGGGCTATTGACAGCATTTTCTCGATTTGAACCGAATTGCAGAGGTTCGACCACGCCAAGCCTTCTACCCAGCTAGGCACCAGTGCTTCAAATCTAATATATACTGACTGATGAGATCTCAAGAAATAGACATCTGTTCACGCCTCGCATGAGATTTGCTTGATATCCATTCACCCCTGTCGCGCCTCTATTACCTCCAATTTTTAGGCTCGTCCCGCAGACGCGGGGTACAGTAGCTTGCTGCTTGGTCCCCCCGAGCCCCCGTCCTAGGATCACCCCACCTGAACACCTCGAGGCGCATCACCAAAGCGAACAAATTTCCACTCAGCTAGCTACGAGTCGCACAGTCATTTCTTGAAGAAGGGAGATTCCAATTCGAATTGTATTTCTCTTGGAGCCGTCCACTACGCAGAAATCGAGGGCTTAACAAAGTACACAAGATGCGCGATTCCGCACGATATCGTAGGGTACTTACTGCTGCTCTGCTTTGCACCCTAGCTTCTGCTGGTCCATACGTTCCTCGTAGAGATGGTAAGATCTCGTCATAGTTTCTTAATTAAAGGTCAATGCTGATTCATGAGCAACGGTAGTCTCCAATGCCTTCAATCCCTGGATCTCAGTCAATCCCAGCGGGGTTCCAGTTGCAACCTACACACCGAGCGTTGCGACGATAAGCGGCGTCGAAACAACCCTCAATCCCATTCCTTACAGCTTGACAGCCACTGGCACAGCTACAGATTCTGTCTCGAGGTCTGCGGAGACGACAGCTGCCCCGGGTGGTGGATCGTTCCAGGAGTGCCATAATCGCGATGGGATATATGCGCCGTTTTGTAGCCCTGCCAATGGATCGGATGTCAATGTGGATGGCAAATACTATGGTAGGAGCTTGTACTGGAATATACGAGAAATACTGACAAATAAAGTAACATGGGACAAAGACTTCTTTGCGCAGAAGAATGCTTCTGTCAATATCGTCGCGAACTACGTAAACGATACCGGACACGGCCCTGTGGCTTTCAAGTCGGATCCCGTTTCAACGAGCGACGGGTACTATGTATGGACGATTCAAAAGGACTGGTTGCAGGAACTGAAGACGAACAATGTTACACTATTCCTGAATCGTATCAATCTTCCTGCTGGGGCACAACTTAGTCTTGAAGGTAGGACCACCCTTCCTCTCGGAAAGGGTATATATACATCTAACAATCCCAGGCCCGACTGTCCGAGTGAAAGTTTACGAAAAACCCATCTACCACCAGCCTCCCTCTTCAGCACCCAATGGCCAATCCCTCTACATCGCTCTTCCCACCGTTCTAGGCTTCATCCTCCTTTGCGTCATCGGCGGCTATTTCTGGAATCGCAAAAACCGTAAGATTGGACTGGGGAATGTGATGGGTCGGAAGAGTGGATATGGTACAGGAAAATCTAGGAGCCAGAGAATGGGATTGGGCAAGAATGGAGATATACAATTGAGGGATAGGGACCTGACAGGCAGTGGGCAGTATCACGACTCGCCGGCAAAGGTTGCGAAGGGTCTGGGACGGGAGAGGGAGTTTGATAGGGATAGTGATGGATTGGGCAGTTTGGCGAGCAGTCCGGCGGGGAATGAGGGACACAATTATTTCAGAGAGGAGTTGAGGAGACAAGAAGAAATGCGATGATGTTGTGATGGACTGTTTGGGAAAGGCACTGGAATTGCATGGCTTGCTAGACTGGGAAAAGCAAAGGTAAACACACTGGCGTCACGGTGCTGGGTATAATGGGGAAATGGCCATGGGTCTACGAAGTATGAATGCATTATGACTGGTTCTGAGTAGCAACAAATAGATCTTAATATGAGTATGATGCAAATAGTTTCATTCGAACGTCAGAGTAAATATCTCTTGGTTGAACGATTACCCCGCCAAATGCCAAGCAATCACCCCACTTGGACGAGTCGAAGGCAAAGTTCAAGACATGTCCACGTCCCTGTCATTGCTGATCTCCCGAGTCCCGACAGGACAGCCAAAACTTTGTCAGGGATCCGTTCTCCATTCGACTCCACTTACTCGCTTACCTATTTGTCTGCCTGTGCTTGAAACTTTGGCTCAAGAGGATAAGACGGCAATTCGCTTCGACAGTGCTCAACGTCAATGATTTGATACATTTTCGGTGTCTTAGTCATTGCTAGATCAAGATAAGGGTCATGTTTTGATTTTGATATCAGCAGTTCGATTGCTTTGTTGAACCTAGTTGGGGCGGTAACTAAGCTGTTGGTACGTCGCTTAGTTCTATCTCGTTCACTTTTGCATGTTCTCTAGCGTGGAGAGGAGAACATGAACGACCAAACAACTTATAAACACCCTCTTTTGAGCTTGATCGAACACGGCTGTATCAAAGAAAGCTCATTAGTATATACAGATATTATATCTATCTAGACAAAAGACCACCGGCTAGCTTTCCAAGCCTTTAAAATTACCACTTCGATATCTCGATATAGCTAATCCATCCGCCTATATATGTAAACACCGCCTCCAAGCATCTCACCTATAAGCCAGGCAGATCAAATGGAGGCAAGTTTGGCCAATTGCCCAACCCCGCAGGATCACCACCAATCCTCACGAACTGTCCAACACTAGGCGTTGGCCCGTTCAGCACAAACATCATGAACCATCCAGGCGGACTGGTATGTGCATCTGGCGGTGCAGTAACAACACACGTCGTACCTGTACACGTTACAGCCGGGAATATCGTGCGCTGACCCATAGCATTACCATGCGTCGAGACCACAGATCCCAGGAGTGAAACCTTGATGTTTGCAGCTGAGGACACCGTGAAGGTAACTTGTTGTCCATATGACCAGTCCTTGTTGGTTATCGTAAATGTTGGCCGAGGAAGGCCAGAGAGGAGATATGGCGGCGAGAAGACCTCCACGCGGTATTCCTCGGGAAAGGAGTCAGCGGGTGACACGTACTGCCCGGTCGGATCAGAGCCAGACACCAACACGCGGCCATCAAGTAGGACTGTAGCTTCGGAGTGGTACAAACGCGCCACAGTCGTGTTTGCCATGATAGACATGCGCTGGTTGACTGGTTTAGAGGGATCGTAGATGACCGCGTTCAGGTTAGGTGATCCTGCGAGACCAAATCCAGCAACGCCGTGTTCAGCACCGTTGAGAATCACGTAGGTGCCGTCTGGGAGGCCGGCCATGCAGGGGAGAACTCGACGGGATGGCATCCGTTCGATTGTCCATGTTGGATTTGCGACTTCGGGCTGAGTGGAAACGCAATTGTCGATTGGGTAGCCGCCTCCTGAGGTTGAGCCACCGCAGATCAGCACGCCCACTGGGTCCGTATATGGTGCGTGTTGGGGAAGGATGACCATTGCGCCTTCGAGCTGGTAGGTTCGACCCCCGGTAGGATCATTGACGGCTCCGGGCATATTGGGCAGTGTTTTAATGGTTTCAAAATTTACTTCATCGAGGATGCGAGCTTCATTGTAGTAGGCGATGAAGATGCCGGATTTGAGGACGACAATGAAGGGGTAGAGATTGAAGGGTGCGGTTCGGTCAAGGAAGTCAAGATACACAGTTGTGTTTGAGTAGCCACTTGTTGTGCTTGGATCCTTCACTCCTGTTGGTGGCAGGATTTCCAGATTCGGTTGCTCAGCGGCATTTTGACCGATTTCGCCGCCGACGACGAGGATGGAGCCGTTGGCCATAATCATCGCTGAGGGATACCAGCGAGGAACTTGCAGGGAGAGAACACCCGGGTCTTCAACCCAGCCATGGGTACCTGGCACTCCATCCGATCCATCAGGCCAATACAGACGAATTCCGTAGTTAGCATCTCCCGCCCATCCTCCAACTGTCAATTGCCTACCAACTTTATCAGGTAGGGTAAGACCACCCGCGCAGAAGACGTCAGTTTGGAGTCCATTCATAGCCCTCCAGGCTTTGGAGAAGTCATTTATTTGTGAGAGGTCCAATTCGTAGGCTCCAGTTCCGTTTGGTTCGCCAGTGCCTTTCTTCTCTACAAAGGTGACTTTTCCTGTCACTACTTGGGAGACGATGAGAGGGACGACAACACCACCAATGAGAAGTGAGTATTGTCCTGCATCGGTACCAGTTGGAATACCCCAGCTGTAGAGAGGTGTTGCACCTTGCCAGGTATAATATGTGAGTTTAGAGCCGTCGCCACAAATGTAGGAGCTGTTCCCGGTGCAGAGAGCGGCACAGGAGGAGTCTGGGTACGTGATCGGCGCTGAGCTTCTGGTGTAGTATTGGACCGAGTTAGGATTTGTGTATGTGGAAGGAGCCGATGCGACTTGGATGTTTGCCTATGATACATTAGCACTAAAACATCTTATGGCGTTCCTATTGAGAAGGAATTGTGTTGAGACGATTTTTGCCGCTACTATGGCGTCAAAGGTAATCGATAAGGTACATACCACGTCTCCACAGAAGCATTGTGAACCATATTCCAAACCGGCAGCGTTGTAGCCAAATTCTTGGCATCTGGTGATACACTTCTCGGGGGTATTCCCGGACGCATCATCCCAGACTTTGTATGGGAATGTGTAAAGCTGTTCATTGGGATCTTCAGCTGATGGAACATTATCTTGGATGCATCCTCTAGAGTTGAGAAGTCAGCATACGAAGCACAGGACATATTACACGGCTGAGGATGTCCAATGCACTTACGCATAGCCCCATCCTGTCGGCAATCCCACTTTCTGAGGAGCAGGCGCGGCATAAACTGTCGGAGTTCCTTTGGAATACATAGATAATCTTCCACCAGCTCCGCACATCTCAGAAGACTTACCTGGGCATGGAATGTTGCAGTCTGTCTGAGCAGCAGCCAGAGCTCCACCATTGTAAACAAAATTGTCGCAGTCTATTCAAAATTAGCTAGGCTAGAAAATTGGAGGTTTGAGCGAACTTACAGCATTCAGTTCCGTATTCGGCGCCTGCAATGGTGTAGCCGAGACTAGCACAGGTCTGAACGCAGGATTCTAGAGTATTTTGTGCATTGTCGGGTTGTTGCTTCGTCAATATGCGGCCGTTCAAACCATCGACCCAACATCCTTGTGCCGTCCATCCGGCTGGGAAGCCCGTAGAAGCTGGTGAGGTGCTTGAGCTTGATACAGAGACTGTCGACGAAACACCTGTCGGTACTTTGGTTGAAGATGACGAGACAGAAGATGTGGAAGGAAGAGTTGTTCCGTTCAAGACATAAACTGTGAGTCGGTTTCCTGCAGTTCACATTAGGTTTGACTCAATCCCATTCATAGTTTCGAACATACCAGCTCCACAGTACTCGTAAGCATTTCCACCGCAGGTAAACGAGCAGTCCGTACTTGGCGCTACGGCTGATCCCGTTCCAAATGAATTTCCACAGTAACATTCTCGTCCGTACTCTGTTCCGAAATAAGTAAACCCAGCACATGATGCCGCGCACATCTCAATCGTCATGAGATCATTTGCGGATGCGGCACCTGAGAGAGCTCTCACGCCAGTCCCTTCGGTACGGCATTGATAGTAGTTGTACGAGCCTACTGTAGGCTTGTTCTGAAGAGTTGGGGAAGCAGTAGCAGAGCTTGAGACTGTCGAGGATGATGAAGAAGCTACCTGAATTCGGCTACTGCTGAGAGACACGGAGCTAGACAAACTCGAGCTTCCTGCTGTTTCCAATGACGATGAAGAAATTTTGGAATTGGAACTAGTCAGTACTGAAGTTGATGCCTTGGAGCTTTTTAAGCTGGAAATCGACGAAGATTTCGTCGAGCTTAGGCTTGATTGTTTGGAGCTGGAGCCTGATGATGATTTCGTAGAACTCGTTGAGTGTGCCGTAGATGAAACTGTCGACACCTTTGTAGAAGTGGAAATCTTGGATGACATGACCGATGATGATTTGGCGCTCGTTGACAGAGTGGAGCTTTTTGACGACGCCGTCGAGACAATAGTAGAAGCAAGAGATGAAGAACCAATAGATGTTGCTGTCACTGCCAAGTGAGTACTGGAAGTTGACACAATTGAGCTCGTGGAGGAAACAATGCTCGTCGTATTCCAAGGTAGGAGAGTGACAGTCTTGTTGAAGTCATAGACATCCAGTCTTGACGGTCCTCCGCAGTACTCGGAAAAGTTGCCGTTGCAAAGCATAGAACAGCCAGATATTCCCTCTGGAGCAAGTGAGCCGCCATTGGAGATAGCATTATCGCAGTAGCATTCTCCAGAGTATTCCACTCCAGCAAGACTGTATCCTGCCGTTTGGCAAGCCGCCACGCAGTTACTCACGGACATATTGTTTGAGCCACCAACAACTGCAAGTCCGTGGTCAAGAGTTCGCCCTGTTGTTCCTTCGGTATAGCAACCTGAGAATGCCCAGAGTCCTGGGCCTGGGTTTGTTGTTGGTCCAGTTTGGCCGTTCCAGAAGAGATTCAGGCGGTTTCCGCCTCCACACTAGACGAAGGGAAAGTCAGAAAACAAGGACTATGGTTGGGATACAAAGTCACTCACAGGTTCAGTTGCATTTCCGGAGCAGGCTACATTGCAGTCGGTAGTGGGTGCTGGACCAGACCCTGCAGCTAGTTTGTTGCCACAATAGCACTCCTCGGCATATTCAGTACCAGCATAGATGTAGCCAGCCTTCTCACAATATGTAATGCAAGACTCATCAGTCATTGCGGTATTGTTCGTATACCCACCCCCTGTGAGAGTTCGGCCGACGTCGCTGGTGCAGGTCAATACGGCAAAAGTCGCCAAAGTCACCAGACTTACATGTAGCATCCCTCAGATCTCCAAGTTCCTGGGAGAGTTGAGGGTAACACAAGATCACGCTTTACAATAATCGCGGCTTCAGACTTAGCGAACTGCTGATCATCAGATTCTAAATACTATTGTCCTTTTCCCAACATGACTTACGGAAGAAATCCACAACAGTACGCTGAGAGCAGAACTCATTTTTGCAACCATTGTGCACTTGCAACTGGTATCAGCCGAGTAAGATATCATATTATGAGGTATTAGAGCTGTTCATTTGAATTTGCAACGTTCATAAAGGAGTGAGAACGGGTAACGACAGATGGGGAGAGGCAACACAGCAAAGCAAAAGCGAGGAGAGAGCAGCGAGGGGAGAGCAGCGAGGAGAGAGCAGCGAGGTCATATAACATATACACTGCAGTGCACATGTATAAGGGTCCATCGATAGTCGGTACCGTACCTATGCTTACTTTGACAGGGGGGTTCTGCAGGATCTCGGGCTAACCAGCACTTTACCTAGGATATCTTCGTATAGGATGATACGAGCCCCATTTTGTCGACAGCGCGCCGATATCACCAAGCCCGGAGGGTTCCCAACAACATGGCTTCCCACAAGCCCTGTTCCAGATCAGTCGATGTCTTCCCCAGAATGTGCACGGCAAATCGGCAGGAAAAGTTGAAGCTTTCGTTAGCACCACAGGAGCAGCGCCAACGGGAACAGCTAAAGTTGACTGGCTCCTGAATGGTCTGGAGCTGTCGCAAAGAAACGTGCAAGCTCCAAGCCACCAATATTTTTCTGCAGCACTCTTGACGCGTCCGCGAAAGCTTATCTGCTGGGGTACCTGGGTAGAGGCAGGTAAGCAGAGCGATCCAGGGGCAGAGTTCCATCAAGTTTGTATTATCTGACGAATTGAGGCTCGCTCTCGGAAAGGATGCATCGCATCTTCCTTGAGACTATTGAATGAGTGCAGCAGCTGCTGTCCTGTCTGTCGCGGTGGGTTGACGTTCTATCTCTCTCTGTGTGTGTGTGTGTGTATGTGTATGTGTGTGTATTGCTTACCCGCCTCGTTATCAAATCTGTAAAGTAACCTTAATGCTACTGCAGGCGGGCAAAGTCGGCGAGATGCCTGAACAAGCCACTGAGAAAGATGATTTAGCCAGAATTGGACGACTTGACAAGGCACGATACACGATACACGATACAGGATACAGGATACAGGACACCGGATGTAGTCCGCAGACTGAATTGATGTGATGTGATATGCTTGGCAGGGGAACAGGCAGACAGGATACAGGACCCCTCGCCGATCCTGCCCTGCCCTGCCCTGCCCTACCCTACCCTACCGGCCGGAGACAGCACCTTCAGGTGCAGTTGAAATGAAGCCGGCCGTGTTTGTTTCGAGCGTGATGCTCTAAAGGGAAGCCGATGCGCCATTTTCTTCAGCTCTTTGGTAAATTTAGATACAGATAAACCACCAAGGTACAGTAGGTAAGGCAGGTAGATAGCGCTTGCTAAATTACTTGTCCAGCGTACCTAAATTATCTATAGTACAGTATGTTTTACCTTAGTCGGGATGGTCGGGAACGGCACGGCACGGCAAGGGATGTGATGTTGATGATCGACTGGCAGAGTGGCAGAATGGCAGAGTGGCAGAAGGCTTGTCTTCCAAGTTCCAGCCTTCAAAGCCCGCCAAGCCCCTGTCAGAATGCTTGTCCTTGTCTTTGTCCTACATCCGTAAGGTAGGTAGGTACCTACCTACCTAGTACTGTAGGTATTGTCCTTGTCCCGTCCTCGTGATGTTCCCCTCCCAGCCCGAGCCCTCGACGTGAGGTCGTCTGCGTCGGCAGAATCACGTGTGTCTCCACTTCTCCAACTCCCGCTCCGCTCGTCCCCTCCCTCCTCCTCTTTTGCGCTGTTTGCCTTCAGGTTGGCTGCTTGTTGGTTGTTGAATTTGTTGGCTGTTGCCTATGGACACGACAGCACAGCACAGCACAGCACAGCACAGGTTAGTGAACATCAACGTCCTGCAACCTTCATCAACCTCACCGTCACCGTCACCGTCACCATCATCACCTTCCATTCCCTTCCCTATCATATCATTACACACGATATGTCATCTAATATTTCCCTCCCGCAATCGAGGTAATTCTGGCTATGCTTCAGTCCGCAATGCGACGCGTCAAGCAAGTTACATCGTTTTAAGTCACAAGTCAACACCGTCGTTCGCCTCAAAGTTTTCAATCAAGCGGTGTTGCTTTTACAGAGCCGTGTTGTGGTAGAATCGAGATTGTCGATCCTGAGGTGGCATACTATTGTAATTGCTTGGCCAAGGTTTGCTCGGGCACAATGCCGGACACGACGTCCGACCCTGCTTCCGGGCCTGAGGATGTCGGGATGATTGATCCTGATCCTGCCACTTTGACCTCAGACCACACATCCAAGCTCCAACAATGGCTTCATCCTACTGACTATCTGGCGGACTCAAGTGAGTTCCGTCGCCATCTACTGTCACAAGCACCCGGAACAGGAATCTGGCTCTGTGAAGCATCACGTTTTCAGCAATGGCATGGATCCAATGTTCACGGGACATTGTGGATCAAAGGAGTTCCTGGAGCAGGAAAATCTGTTATGGCTGCTTCCATGATTGAGTACTTGAGAATTACAGAGAATGTTCCTGTGCTTTTCTTCTTCTTTCGCCATATCGTTGAAGCAAATCGAAAGCCACGTGATCTCGTGCGCAACTTTCTTGCACAGTTACTTCCATACAGCGCTCGACTCCAAAGTGTGCTTTACCCTTTACTTAAAGATGGAGCTAGAATGGAAGAGATGTCTGATGAGAATCTATGGGAGCACATGTTGCTTGGACTGTCCTCCGTGGAAAAAGCCTATTGCGTTATCGATGCCCTGGACGAGATGGAACTAGGACCCAAGGATGGGTTTCTTCAACGACTCAACTCTCTGGCCACGTTCCGTCCAGATTCCTTCAAAGTCTCGATGACTAGCAGATCTAAACAATATTTGCAGAGTGGTCTGAAAGATGCATCTATTGTTCACATTAGTCTGGAGGATGACCTCGTTGGCAAGGACATCGCAGTCTTCGTCTCACACCAATTGAGAACGGTCCTATCAGATGAGCAGACGCGACTTCGAGATTCTCTCACGTCAATTATCTGTGAACGGTCGAAAGGGTTATTTCTCTATGCCAAACTGTTGATTGACCAAGTCATCCCCACACTTCAGTCAGGTAATTTGGACACCGAGCAACTCGCCAACACGCTTCCCATAGGTCTGGAAGAGATGTATGACAGCATGCTGTTCAAGCAGACGCAAGCTCTGAGGGTTGATCAAAACATACAGGTCTTCTTGCTCCAAGCAGTCAATCATTCCTCCAGGGCTCTGCGGTTGAATGAACTTGCCAGTGCGCTGACCTGCGCCTTCCCCCGTATCGAACTAGCAACTGCTAAGACGATTACGAGAAGTGCTTGCTCCCCTCTCCTTCAGATTCTAGAGGACGAGACCATTCAGGTCATCCATCGCTCCTTCACAGAATAATTGCTGAGAAAAGAGAGGCATGACCAGGGGCAAAAGGACCCCAAGGCCATCGTTTCCCTATCCTTGACCCACTGGAAATCCATAAAATTCTGGCCATTCTATGTATAAGATACATGAATGCCGGAGCATTACCAGAAAGTGGTACTCAAGGCACTCATTGGCAAGGTCAATTGTCCCATTATCAGGGCTTGAAGCTTGATCACCCTTTTCTAAAATATGCTGTCAAGAATTGGGCATATCACTGCAGTCGTTACGACACCGATGATGTTGAATTTTTTCCAAGCTGTCGCTCAGTTTATCACCCCAGACAACCCATACTTCAGACAATGGGTGGAACTAGAATGGACCGATATATCGTACCCTCTCGCTTTCAAGGTGCCTTCTCCACTTCACATCGCCGCATTTGCAGGCATGACCAAATATGCTCAGCTGCTCCTGGACCAGGGATACTGTGTAGATGACCTAGATGGCGACGAGAGAACTCCGTTGCATTGGGCTTGTGGACGTGGTCATATAAACATGGTTGCTTTGCTACTAGAGAACCATGCAGAACCTAATTCTGAGGACTACCGGGGTAGCAAGCCTATCCATGGAGCAGCCAGAAAGGATTATTTTGAAATTGTACGACTTCTGCTGAAAGCTGGGGTCGATCCGGATACACCCAAGACGCGCGAGAATCACAGACACAAAAGGTTGAAAGGAGGAGAAAAATCGACCAAGGGCGAGACTGCGGTTCAGTACGTTTCCGTGCAAGGGCATGGAAACACGCTCTTGGAGATGCTGCCCTATCTCAAACGCGAAACTTTAGAGGAACTGCTTTGCCGGTGCTGTCTCCATGGGAAATCTGATCTTGTGCGGATAATTCTCGACAATTCAGATGTAAGGCCGAATGCGAAGTTCCGGGGTGCCACCGCTCTCTACATATCTGCTAACGGTTGTAGTTTGGGCTGTGTTAAGCAACTGTTGACCAAAGGCGCCGACGTCAGTATCGACTCCAGCTGGCGACCACTCAGTCCGTATCAGCAAGGTGTGAAACTTGGAAAGACACCATTTCATGCTCTGCTTGCTGGTATGGAATTCGTGTACAGCATAATAGGCGAGTAGATCTTAAAGCTCCTTATTCAATCTGATGATAATCTCGAAACTCTAAATCGCCAAAACGATACCATCCTTTCGAGCGTGTTCCACCCAAGGGACACGGCTGATCCAAGGACTGTCCGAATGGTACTTGAGGTAGGTGCCAATCCGTCCGCGACTACTGGAAATGGCTATACAATTCTGCATACCTATCTCCGCCACAGCAGCGATGTCGGTATCCTTGAGCTCCTACTGAGATATGGCGCGAGTGTCCAGGAACTTGGAAAAGACGGAGATACGGTGTTGCATACAGCTCTTGCACACAACTGCAACCCCGACATACTTCGTCTTCTAATCGCAAATGGGGCTCGAAGCGATGTAAAGAACGATAGAGGGATAAGCGCTTTAGACCATCTACTTTCGAACGGCCCGGATTAGAAGTTTTCAAACTTCTGCTGGGAGCGACTTCAGATATCAGTGCAAGAAGACTTTGTATTTGGACACTGCCCGCAAGCGAAGACATATCAGAGACTGTCCAATTTATCCAAGAGCTTCTCACCACAGGTGTAACTCTCGAGGATGTTGATACCCTTGGTAGAACCCCCTTACTCTCCAATTTCTCTTCTCAACAAGCATTTGATGCCCTGATTCACTGTGGTGCCAGATTGGATATCACAGATCGGCGAGGCCGAGGTGTTTTGCACCACTTAGTGGCTGAGGGTCACGAAATGCCGTCAATTAAGAGACTGCAAGATCTTGTCACCATGGGCCTGAATGCAAAGAAGGTGAAGTTTCTTCCCACCACAAAAGTATAGAATGTATGCTAAATTGAGTTTCTTCAGGTCGATTACGATGGCAATACCTTGCTTCATGAAGCTGCCCCAAAGTATCATGCCGGCAAATCGGAAATGGTGTTTATCCAGTACCTCCTCTCCTGCGGTATTCCCGCCAGTGCTACCAACAACAAAGGGCTAACACCTGCCCACATCAGCATGGAAGCGACAAATGTTGAGTATGTCGGTGAAGTACCGTTGTGGAAATTTTTCAAGAGGTAAGTCGCACTTGTCCTCGTAGCAAGTTATTCCTGGCTCGGAAGGTGGCTTTCGAGTACTCTGTTGTAATTCCTAGCTTCCTTCAGTGTTGATTAAATGCTGTTCTCGGAATCCAAAGGTTGTCTAACACCTCCATAGCCTTGACGAGACATTCGATGTCAATATTCCGGACTTTGACGGCGTGACACTTCTTCATCTAGCCTGCGTACGGTCTGAAGTGGAAGTCATCCGCTTGCTTGATGCTGGCGCGAAGTGGAATATTGTTACTGCAGAAGGACGTAATGTTTTGCACATTGCCTGTCGAGCAAGGAATAGCAATGTACCAGGATTGTTACTCAATAAGGAAAATGCCAAAGCTCTAATCATACTCTTGCTGTGGCTAACTACGAATAGACCCAAAGCTTGGTAAATCAAGCAGATGAAAATGGAATGATCCCTCTGCACGATGCTTGTGCTTCTGGTTACCCGAATCAGTATATCTTCTCCTAGCGGCTGGTGCACGAGTCAACCAAGAAGACAACAGGAAGCGGACGCCACTCCACTGCTGTGCAGATTATGGGAAGGAGCAGAACATTTTCTCTGTGGTCGGGGACTACAATTTCAACATCAAGGATCGCTGGAGGCCATACTTAACGGGTTTCAGGAAGCATTATATGCAAATCAATCGTATCGGAATGGTCGTGACCGCACTTCTCGCTGCAGGCGCGGATGCTTTGACACTTGACGAGGACGACACCTATCCGTTGGCGGTTGCGCTTACGAGTAGATATCCCGAGATGGCACGGAAACTTGATTTTACCTTGGAAGCCATCAAAGAAAATGAATACTTGGACTTTGATCCTAGTATTCTTACCCAACTGGCCCTCATGAAGCAGCCAGGAGTTCAATCACTGGATCTCAAAGGCAGCATTCGACAAGATCTCCTTCAAAACTCGGCGCGCTATCTTCCTCTGCTCCACCCCCAGAGTATTGTTGACTAGTTAACGCAAAACAATGGAGACATCGCCGGAGTTACAAGGACCACTGCTGAGCCTGACGAGCAAGTAGACACAGAAATATCGCTGCTTTATGCGCTCATTGATCACGGATTTACCGACATCGTTACATCCCTGGGGAGATTTGCCGCCTTAACGACGATGTTGAAGCAGTGTAGGCGCGAATCGACGCTGAACCGGATGCCGGAGTGCAACGGTACTTGACGAATCGAATGGCCCCCTCACTGCACATAGCGGTCCAACGGCAACTACCCAGCATGGAGATGCTGCATGTACTCGTCGATACATGTGGAGTCGACGTGAATGCTCGTAGAATGGTCTCTCCGTCGGGATTTGGATCACAAGGTTTGACCAAAGGTGGCACAGCACTTCATGTTCTTGCCAAAGGGAAGAGTTTCTGGTCTCTTGAAGCTATTGGGTTCTTGGGCCAACGAGGGGCAAACATTGACGCTATAAACGAGAATGGCGAATCACCATTACATATATCCAGTACCCGCCTTCTCAACTCCCCCACTTATGGAGAGTGGTGGAAAGCCGACTGTGCTCGTCTACTTCTTGATTTGGGAGCTGATCCAAATTTTATGGACGCTCAAGGATTAACCTGTATTCATAAAGCTGTCACCTGTCCCGAAGTCATGGAAATATTGATGGAGAAAGGAGCGGACGTCTCAGCCGGGAAAGTCTCACCTATGTTCTCAGCAATTCAGGTCAATAATCTTCATGCATTTAGGATGATGCTTGATGCTGGAGCTGATTCAAACAGCAAGGATCAAGACAACGTTGTTAAGATATTTGTTGGCCGGCAAACCAGACCGTGGCTTCTCCAAAATGCTACTCAACGGGGTGCATCATTTGTGAAATTACTGATCGAAAGGGGAGCTGATATTTATGCCCCACTGGAGAATGATGAAAATTTGATAAATCAGGCTTTCCGCAAGGCAAACTACGACGTGATTGCCACCTTTCTGGAATACAAGGAGAAGATAGACTTCACTACAAGAGATCAATCTGGAAGGACGATACTGCTCGCAGCGTGCGATTGGACTGGATTTCTCCCAGGCTACAAGTCGCTGAATGAGCTACCCAAAGCCATTGCTCCACTCCAGTTACTCCTCGAAGCTGGGGCAGATCCAGTGGCAATTGACAACGAAGGTCGAAACGCCCTCCACCATCTTCTCGACAACGCCACAATCGAAGAGCAAACTGTCGTAAACTTCATACAACTTCCCGCAGCCGAAATTCTGATACACCGGAAAGATAACCAAGGCTACTCACCGTTCCACCGTGCCATGCTCACCTTCCGCCCAAATATTTGCGACGCCCTCCTCGATTTAGGAGCAGATCTCTATGAACCCGACCCAACAGGTGCCACAGCGCTACATGTTATCGCCACGCAATGTCTGGAGTTCATTGATGAAGGCTCGCCTAATTATCACGACTTGAAGCCTTCCTTTTATCCAGACTACCACCCAGGTCTTCTTCGTGTTTGGAACCGATATCTTACTGAAGGTGGTTCGATAAATGTCCGGGATCGGAATGAAAATACCCCTTTACACGTATACCTCACTGCTGCTGCGCCTTGGAGTAGATACGAGGATGTCTGTTATCATGTAGAGCATTTTGATGAGTATTTTGGAGGGAAGAATCAAGAGAAGGTGGATTGGTGTGCGAGGAATGGTGAGGAAGAGAATGCGCTTCATGTTATTGCTAAAGAGAGGTATGCGAGAGATGGCACTTATGGTGCGAAATTGTTTGGGCTGTTGATAAGCAAGGGAGTGGATCCGTTGGAAGAGGATGGGAAAGGGAGAAGTGCGTTGGATATTGCGGCTGCGTTTGGGAGGAAGAAAATTTTGGAGCTCTTTGCTATGGAGAAATAGACTGATGTGCATCATAGCATAGACTATAGTAATATATGTGAAGGGTTTTGGCTAGCAGTAATTCGGTGTTGGTCACTAGCAGTGTTCTGGACCTTCTGGCAGGCCTAAGCGAAAGGGATGTTTTGACGGAAAAGGGGCTCGCTTAACCAGGCTTGGCGGCGCCTGACCATTCCCTACGAGAGGGTAAGACGGTCTCTGTGAGGTAAGCCACTATATGTGCACAGCTCTTTACCGATCGCTGAACATGAATTTTTCATATGCTTGAGCTCCATCTTGAAATGGAGGGTTTTACTTGACCAATCATTCATAAGCCATATGTTGTGTACCTTTTCGGTGAAATATCTTTGCTGCAAAGTCTCCAAACACCACCACACCGATTCCCAGCATACATCGTGACCAATAAGTTCACCATATCGTAAGAAAAGGTTTACGGAAGAAGTTTGTATGAACAGATCTGGGTTGCTATGGCCATCATGATCTAAGCTGGATTCTCGAAATAGACAGACTCTCCTCAGAATCCAGCGCCATCGGCGAAATCTATCCATCCACATTTATTTGACTTCGGTTTAAAGATAAAAAGACCATATCAAAGGTTGTTTTTCTTACTCTTCCGATAAAGCGCCTGCTTGTCAATTTAGGCTGCCAGATTTCCATGCTGGGAGCCACGATCGCAAGATACATATCCTGACAATCACGTACCTTGCTGCCTTTGCAGTCTAGCACATTTCTTCTACTAACAGCTGACATATTGGTCGATCTGTTCGATCCATGTCTTCATGTCAAAGACGTCGTGGTAGTGCTCTTGGGAATCCAGAGTCGCTTCGGGTATCGAGGAATGCCCGTGAATGACTCGGCAGTAGATTATGGGAGGGGACGGATCATGGATCTGGGGACATCCGAGTGGGAAGATACAAGCGGTTGGGAGATACAAGGAAGGACTGAAAGAGAATGATATGACTGTATCCACAGCTTCTCGGTAATCTTGTACACAGTAAAAACATGAACCATGTTCGCATCTTGTTGAAGCCATGTTTTGAGAGTCAGGTAAACAGATGATTTGGCGACTGCGACCATTGTCTTGTGTATCTGGCATCAAGATTTATGACTCCATAATTTTCAAGCTTTATGGTGTTCCAGCTGCGCAAGGTCATGAGACATTCTCCCTGCTCCGGCTTCCATAGTTTCTAGGAGACTCTTTTTGGCCGCGAGGAATCCCTTTGTTTCCAAGAAGATTCTGGTATAGTTCAAACGTTTGACTTCTGAGGCCTCTTATTGTCCAATGAAGGAGGAGATAGATCTGACACGACCTTGATTCAAATTACCTCTGTGGATGCTCATGGTGATCTGCCTTATCCCTTGGAGTGCGATTCGCCGCGCAGCCTAAAGATCCTTGTAGCAGTCACTACCTTCTATCGCTAAATAAGCGAGGCTCACGAATTTTCAGTATTTTTAAAGCGCTCGGTCCCCTGTAGTTCTCGCTAATCAGCGCGACGCTTCAGGCAGTACAGCCTTGAAGGGATACGAAACACAAAGAAAGGCTGTTCAATCCAAAATCAGTAGTCTGTTGTGGTTCCATCATGATATTTCTTGTAAGACAGCCAGAGAAACTGTCTTTCTTCTCTTTCATTTGGAGAACAAGTCAATTTCGCCTCTTGCTTGCAGCTCAAGCTGCAGAAGCTCAGAAATGTTGGAGAAGGCGAAAGTCTTTTGATCCATTTCGATCTGCATCGTACCGAATGCTCGTGATTGTTCATATGTGGAGTAAGAATCGCGAAAGGACAAACATAAGTTGAAACGTCGCTTTAAGACATTTTCTTTCTTTGCGGAGGTAAAACAAAGCCTGCTGGAGCAGGTAGAAGCCACTTTGAGCAAACTTGAGACAGTGAGATGTCTGTTCTCTCGCGAGACATTAGAAAGACCTAGATCGCTACGGTACAACAAAGAGACGCAAGATTTGGATATATATTCATCCAGAAATCGTCCTAGGCAATTTGAGATGAAGAACTTCCATCCTTCCGGTCCAAACCCTCTTACTACCTTCGATCAGCGGCACACAACAGCACGCAAACGCCAAATCACCGAAGCTCCTCCCAAATCAACAAGTCCCCTCGTTGCCAAAACTTCGTATTCTTGAGGCTCTCGACGAAAGCGTTTCCACTTTCGAACAACAACTGGGGTTCAAGACTCCTCGGGTGCTGTCCCCAGCAGTCCAAGTCACCACTCATGGCTGATACCTCTCAGCCTAACTTTGGCAGCTCATCATCCGCTACCCCGGCTTCAAGCCCTGGAACCCCACCTGTTGCTCGTCCTTCATACCAGGAGTTCGCACAGAAAGGCCAGGAACTGCATAATCTTCTCTTGGTTGCCACTGGGCCAGATAAAGACTACGGCTACACAACCAAGCACGATTCTTACTTCACATCTGACGAACCCGCGGACCCGTTTTTGGGCGACCATCTCAAAGTCGGTAAAAATCTCAAAGTTCCCTTCATGGCGATGGGATTGAGGAACAACAATGAATGGATGCTCAGACAGATCATTGGCAAGGATGTTGATCTAGATCATCCAGGCAATGTCGTCTATCACAGCAAAGAACAACAGTCCATGGTGATCACGGACATCTTTAAGGATGGATTGGGAGCACAATTTGAAGGAGAGAACAAGATCTTTCATTCCGAGTTTGCTTTCCATGGCTGGAAACATTTCAGCGGAGACAACGTCGGAGACCTTCGATATGTTGTCATTGCTCAGATTCAGAACGATGCCGCACGACAAACGATCAAAGACGCCCGTGCCACAATCAAAAACACTCCAATGTCAGGCCCGCAAATCACTTTTCGTGCTGCTGCTCAGGATAATGCGGAATCGCAGGGTTTCTTTGCCTTGGCAGGCACCAAAGTCGGAAAGCTAGTCTTCCGAATGCTTACCGATCATCACACTGAGATGAAAGAGAGGAGGATTGCAGCGGTTCATACTTGGGATTCCTGTGTTGAATCACTCGATCCGGTGTTGATTTGGGAATTGGAGTGAAGGAAGCGTACGTAGAGGGGAAATGATACTCTGAGGAAGCAATCTGAGAGTTGACATGGAGGAAGCGTACATGAGAGGAGAAATGATGTGATCCGAAGAAGCAATCTGGGAGAAGGAAGTGTACTCAGAGGGGAAATGATACTCAGAGGGGAAATGATACTCAGAGGGAAGCAATCTATTGCTCAGTGTCATGCCTAGAGTACTTACTGTTGGCAAATGCTGCCTGCGAATCGTACAAGATTTTAGTACCACACTTGTGTCTGTGTCTGTCCATAACACTTCCTTCTTGACGCGTATTCTGTGGCTATGACAAGCTGAAGCTGACCAATTGATTTGTGTTCACATCAACCTCTTCTCTATCGGTTATCCACCAACCACCCGCTCCCTCTTCACTAAATATGATCCGTGCAGAGCGGGAGTGAATCGTTTAAGCAAGCGGTCATGAGGCTATGAGGCACGCACACGGATTAGGGATAGTCACACCAAAAGTCACTCTGCTGCTTTAATACTCGCTAAACACCTGACTTGGAGAAAATCAAAAGTAGGTAGTGTTTACAAGTAATTAGTACTTTGCGAAATTACCTAGGTACATCTAAGTCTCAGCTCCTTTATAATGTTCAGATCCTAAAAGCGTAATAAAACCTATCTAGTAGCGTTTGAATTAATCTAAATATGGTAAGAAGTGCGTTGCTGGCATAAGTGCCTGAGCCAGGAGTTTGCTCAAGGGTTAGAATAGGTGCGTATTTGCCTTGTGGCCTCATGACTATTGAATCGTATCCAGCGGGAGATGACAAGAGGTTTCGTGGCCTCAATTTCATTTCGAGTACAAAAGCGAGCTGGGTTACAAGAATCAATTATGCAACTGAAGTCATTTTTCTCTCCGTTGAAGTCAGATCACAGGATACCTCCGTCGAACGTACTCAGTGTCTAGAAACCCATATTTCCCAAGCAATGAACCAGTAGGAAAAGAAAGAGATAGGAGGAAATATGGAACTTTAATCATTCGACTCAACGACTGGGAGCTAGTCTCCGTGGCTATACACTGCCCGCGGTGACGCCTTCTATTTCAGCGACATTCGTGTTCTTAAAAGAAAAGTACCACTTCAGCTTGCCACCGCTTTCCTGGACAATTCTTCGATGATCTAGCCATTAAACGTCAGCATATAATGAGGTGTATCTGAAACGCTCACGTGGTACGGAGAGTCGATTTTGAGACTGGCAGAACCGTCTCGGTTGGAAATTCCACAGGTATAATGTACTGCCCACCCTTGGAATTGGTTTTGGAACTTACATTCAAGTAATTTTACACTTCTCCTCCAATATTCTTCATTTTCTACTTCTTGTTGCGCACTGCGCTCAAGATACTTCACCTCTCGAATTAGATGCTCAGGCTCCGCAAATTCGTAAAGCACACGGACAGTGTTGTCGGATAACCCGGGCCTATTTGCATACAAAATATCAAAATCTTGCAGAACTGCGCCGTTTTTGAGAAGTGTTTTGGTCACATCGGCACGGTTTCGACGCAAAGCAGCCTTCAAAGGCAATCCTCCGCATGCCTCTTCTTTCTTGTTAGGGTCTGCTCCAAGTTGCAATGCAAATTGGACGATATTTTCTTGACCACATCGGCATCCTTCCCACAGAATCCTGTTCAGAGATACAGGCTTTGGGTCTTCGTCAGATCGCCTCAAGAGAATTTTAACAATCTCCAGATGGCCTGCAGATGCTGCGCCAAGTATTGCATACTTGAGGATCAGGGTAGATGTATCGCAATTATACTTAGGATCCAAAAGTAATTCGACACAGTCTTGCCGTCCTGTAGAAGCTGCAACACATAAGGCAGTTGAGCCAAGCCCTTTTCCTAGTGCAGGATAATTGACGTCGACATTGTGATCAAGCATGAACTTAACGAGATCAAAATGCCCCTGCAAAATAGCACACCGCAGTGGATTACCGAAGTAATTACTCTCTGCAGAGTCAATCTCCTGGTTTTGACCAATAAGATCCTTGAAGTAATTGAAATCTCCAAGATAAGCAGCGGCTGAAGCAACATGATTGTTACTACTGTGGTGCCTGAGCTTTGCCTCTTTTTGTTCGGCTCCGGGCTTGAGATATGAGAGAACTTCCAACGTATGGAGATTCAAAACAGCAGCTCTGCATAATTTGCGGATAAGCTGCTCTTGTTCGCTTTTGGGATTTTTGCAAGCCTTCGGGGTGAGCGTCTCGGCGGCCAGGAAAAGAGCTGCTGGGAGGTTGTTGTTTCTCTGGCGCTTGCCCCAAGTCTCTCTGAATATGTGTTCCTGGACAAGCCAAGAATTGCTTGGGAACAATACTGTGCGCGGGTGCCCACTCTCGAGTAACCGTGTGTTACACATGGCGACCGGGATTTCACGGTCAAAGGTTTCTACTCTCCAATTAGTCACGCTGGGCTCCGAAGAGGTACCAAGAGGTATGCACTGCAAACAAGCCTTAGTCTGACTGCATTTGTCAAGCCGACAAGCTGAACCGTGTGCTCCAGGACTGTCATCAGCAGCTCAATCGACAAATTAAGGAGACCCATTGTGATCTTGGCTCAGATGAAGCGATTCTTTGCCCAATCACGGATGAGCCCCTGTATGATGAGGCAGGAAGTAGATTTTATGACGTGGACGATAGGACGATAGACAGGCTGTTGAGGTTTGAATTTTGTTCCTATCAATACGAAGTTGCTCTGAACCGGGAAAAAGCTGGTACAGGAACAATCTGTAGAAACGCTCGACTCTACAAATTTGTACTGAACTCGAAGGCTCGCTTGACATTAAGATAGAAGACTTGACAGTGGTCATGAATGGAGAACCAACGAGCAAAATGTCCTTTTAATATACCAAGATCTTATAGCCTTTCCTTACCGGGAATGTCCGTTTTCGTGTCAACTAATCGTCTTCTGCTGCATTGAGCGGGCGGCTTCTGATAGTTTCGGAGGGAGCTCTTTATACTCTCATTCCACAAGGACCATACAATATTGATATTTTACATTGAGTGAGAACAATGAAAAGCATTCCAAGTCGTAGATTTGGGGTCCCCACAGCTTCCACTATATACATCTTCGATTTCTCCGTGGACATAGTAAGAAATATCTAGGAGCAAACAGCCTCATTAAGAGCAGGGCGTTCGGAGCAGACATTGTTAAACGTTCTGGCGAGACTTACTGGAGACTAATCAAATCTCCTTTCATAAAGCGGCAAGGGCATCCCCAATGATTTTGCCTTAATCTGGAGCGCCAAAAATCTTGAGTAATACCTCGCATGCCCAATCGTGCCGCCATGATACCACATCGCCGGATCTGTCGATATCGTCAGAACAGAAGAAAGCTTGTCACGGACTAAGGAGAGGCAATTAACTCACGACCACAAGGTCTGAAAGCCCCTTTCAACTCTCCTTCTCGGTCCAAACCCCAATAGTCACCCATCAATTCCGCAACATCATCGCCAAAGATTTCTTTCACAAGATAGCGCATGTTGACGTCAAAGCCGGTTGCAAACACGATTACGTCAGCATTGAGATGCGTGCCGTCGTTGAATTCAAGTCCATTCTTGAGATATCGACAGGGAAGAGCATCGGATTTCATTCTGATCTGCTGTCATAGTCAGCTTTCTAGACTAGTCACCTGCATACCTGCAATTGGTTAAGCGAGGCCAAGAAAACGGGTAACACACGAGGCCTTTCGCAATCATCTCCGAGCCCCCAACATCGATATAATGCCCACCAGCTCGGGCGTATAAACATTGCTGTATGCTACCCCATCGATCTAACTTGAAGCCGGCTCTTTCTAAGGCGTCGAAACGCTCAGGTTCCTGGCGTGCGGATGTGTGGAGTGCGACTTGGCTTATGAGGTCGAGAATGGCGATGGGTTGGGTTTGTGAGGAGCGATCAGCTATTGCAGTTGGGATGGTGGCGTTGTAGGTTACTAGATAGAAGTTAATAGGGCATGGCTCTAAGTGTGAAAGGAGGGAGAAGTGGAGGTGGAAGCAATGAATAGGGGCCAAAGTACATTTTGAGATTTTCAGGTAGTGTTCGATGGGAAGAACGTCTGGGTTTGGTCAGTCGAGCCTAGGGTGTGGAAGGTATCTGGGGTGTTTCGGACATGTCTTTGATCTCTGGATCATGGTAACAGAGGACAATCCTGCTTCAACCATGTCGACAGCTACATCGTGAGCTGTATTTGCTGTCCCTATAACGATACCGTGTTTGCCCTTCCACTTAGATGCATCTTTGTATTCTACTGAGTGAAGTACAAGCCCTTCGAAGACTTCCTATAATTTGATTAACCCGGACTTTACACGTGATCTCATGACTTACTCGACCTGGGTAGCTAGGCATCTTTAGAACTTGACCTCCAGCCCCACCAGCGACCACAATGTAGGAGCATGTAATGGACATCTCCTTTCCATGACGTTGAAGTATCAGAGTCCACCGTTCTTGGCTTGAATCCCATGTCCCTGATATAGGCTTAGTGCCTAGCCAGATATTCTGTGGGTGTGACTTAGTCCCTGCCGTGCGTTTAGAGGTGGGTAGAGAACATACAATATTGAATTTGTCGGCCCAGTTTCTGTAGCCCTCGACCAAATCATCCCTGGACAGAAATTCTTGGTAGCGAGATGGAAAAGTTCGTTCAAACGGTAGATGAGCTTAAGATGTCAGATTTCCTGCTCCACTTGCACATCAGCACTCACCATATTCCCTAGCAGTGTGCACTATTTGGGTTAGTAAAGCGGATGAAGATTGCCAGCGCAACTCACATCTCGCTGAAACATATCTCATCTTCCAATTGTCTCCAATATTCTGTTGTTTGTCCAGCACAACATAGGATATGCCAAGCGCTTTCATTCGCCCCGCAGTGCCCAACCCAGCTTGACCACCACCAATAATCACACAATCGAAATGAGTCTGCTCTGGGTACTCATTCGCCTTTCCGTTCACATTGATTGCAGGGTCGAGGACATCCACATCACCTGCCGACTTTAACTGTTCTAAAATACTCCTCAACACCCAAATTCGCCACTTTCCATCCGATCCAGGCACCAAACTCATGATTCCCGTACATTTTGTCCGAGGAGTAGCATTCGTCTCGAAAGCAAAGCTTGCTTCGATCCATGATGACCCTTGAGGCAAGCGGATGATACGAGCAGAAGCTGGGTCGAGTATGAACGACCCTGCATTGGCTCTCTTGGTCGTCTCGTGCCACGCAATAGAAATCGATGATGCGGAGTAGAAGGTTCGCAATGTCCCCGTCAATGCGAATATGTCTCGCCACACAGCATCTTCGACGAAATGATGACCTTGCAAGCTGAAGAGATTCTTTGAGAAGTCAGATGCGATTGTAGCTGCATCCGTGTCAGCCGGTATGGGCAGAGTTGGAAGCGAACAGGGGGATTCGGTCAGTGAGCTCATGGCTGGGCTGGCTAAGGTATGGACCGGCAGAATTAAAACCACGAGCCAACGCAACGAAAATGTACAAAGATATTTACAAGGTAGACAGTGCAAAGTAGCAAAAGGGATGTGCTTTGTAGAATGTCTGAATTATAAATCACTTCACCACCCCATTTGGGGAGCTGTGGGGAGCCGACGCAACGCAACGCAACGCGTCGGGGAGGAGGGGCTCGCTGGCAGGCATGGCATAGCATAGCATACAGTAGGTAGGGATTGCCGGGAGCACAGGGATTTCCGGTATTTGGAAATATTTGCATCTGTCTTCACGGAAGGCAAAAGTGCCAAGCAAACCTGACGCATGAATAAGTTCATACGCGGGCTTCACCTCAATAATAATACCAGCCACCGGGAAATGGAACAAGCAACTGACAGTTAATTTACAATATACCTAGGTATCCTCAGAGGCAGGTCAGGTCGGCGCAGCCTGCCATCAATGAAGAATAGGTAGGCAAGGCATGGCTTAGTTGCACGTGCTCCTTGGTTTCGAGCAGATTCGTTGACTCAGAAGGCCAGTGCCAGTGAGGATAAGGAGAGGAGAGTGGAGTGGAGGGTTCACTTCACCTGGAGGACATTTATATCTTCACTTTCATCCGGATCAGGCAGTAGTCAATCGAAGACCGCACCTAGACCGTGGATGGGGGATGGGGATGGGGATGGGGATGGGGATGGGGTGGGGATCCTGAAAGCAGACGGGACCTGAGCACCTGAGCACCCTCGCCTCAGAGCCCGAGCCCGAGCCCGGTTGCATCGGAGACTCCACATCCCGATCGGAACTTACCCCGATCGACTTATGATCTGCTGGCCTAGCCGTATCCGGCCGCGCTATTGGACAGCGACAAAGCTTAGTCAGGCATTGGCGAATCAGGACGTCCCCGCCAAATTCTCCTTTCCCCTCTCGTCCATCCAGCAAACATCCCATCAAGCATCAACACCACAAGTGCAACTCAGTGCAGCTCAGCTCAGCTCAGCTCAGCTCTGTGGGAGCTAACCAGCCAGCCAGCCAGCCAGTCCAGCAGACCAACGCTGGCAACGCTGGCAACGCAGGCAACGCAACGGTAGGTCAACGATGACTCGGGGGCGTGGCGCACAAGTTCCGTAGCCATGTCAATGTCATACAGACCATGAATTCGAAGTACTGTACTGTATGAATCAAGCTTGTTCCGGCCGGTCAACCCACCTCATCGTTGTCGTCGTTGTCTCATTCTCGTCATTTGTACTGCATCTACTCTGTCCTGCGCACTTGCAGTGCAACTTCTCGTCTCCCAAGATCTCCTTTTCCATCCCGCGTCAGATCTGCAGTCCCAGTCCCAGTCCCAGTAGCTTTCATCTAATCACCCAGCGATCCCCTCGCCGTCCTATCACCGCGATATCCTCCCCCTCACGTCACGCATGCGCTGAAACTGCCCGATGCTGCTTGAGCTTTGGTGACGGCTGGTCTGAACCTTCTCCTCGGGCCTTTCTACAAGATGGCTTTCATCTTCACAATGCGCTCGACGCCAGTCGGCAGCATGCATCGACGAGAACCTCAATCAACGGGCTCATTGCCCGCCATCTCGGAAGACGGTGTATCCTTCCTCGAACCTCGACATGCTCCTCCTGTCCCTCCGCGAGCCTGGAATCGTCCGGCGCACAAGAATTTCGCTCTGGGAGCTCCGCCAGCCTTGAATTACGATGGTAGCCCTCCGCCGTACACCCATTTTGATACGATTAAGGAGGTGCAAGGTCCGAAGGGAGAGAAATTGTCGGACCTGAGGAGGGGATTGGGGAATAATAAGCATATTGCGAAGAGAGGCGGATGGAAGAGGCTGGCCATAATTGCTGTAGTCATCATATTGTGTATAGTTGGGTTGGTGGTAGGTTTAGTTGTAGGTTTACGAAACAGGCACAAAGGATCTTCAGCGTAAGGAACACCTACCATTCATGTTATGTTAACTTGCTGACAGGAACAGGGAAAGTAATGGCAGCACCAGTCCAACGGGGGGCGCGTCAGGGATTGTGAATCCTCCGACCGATCCAGCACCCAATGCCACATTTCCAGCTGGCTCCTATAGATTTGATACTTACCTCAACACGATCTCTACAAATTGCACCTCCAATCCAGCTACTTGGAGGTGTTACCCATTCTTCACCTACGCATCTAGTCCTACTCAATCCACGGCCACCTTCGATTGGATCATAACTCCCTCAAAAGGAAGCAACAACTACACGATATCCTCAACCGAAAACTATTTCTCAATTGTGTTCAACAACGCTTCTCTCTCGCTCATGAATGCCGGAGCTGATGACGAGCACTATTTCTTTCAAACAATTATGGACAAGCCGACCAAACCGGTTGCTCAATTAGGCAGCGAGAATGTGGCGAGCACATGCTCTTTCAACTCTACCACATTCCAGGGCTATCTGTACACCAAGATGCCGAAGACATTTAGCACCAACGATACCAACGCGTCAACAGACGCAAACGCGGCGTTCGCTTTGTGGCCTTATGCTGTCAAAGTGGAGCAAGTCGCTTCAGCCGGGCCTAGCACACCAACGTGTCTTGGTCCATCTGGAGAATCTTTAGGTGATTTCAGCGTTACTGATGGAACGCAACTATGCGATTGCTTGTATATGAACACTGGAACATGATTTGTGCTATTTGGGTTCGGTGTTGGGGTTGAATTCTGGCGTATGACTTTTCGATAGTGGGAAATTTATGATACCATAATTTGGGAGTTACTGAGCATACGACTACTAGTTCGTTTATTTACTGTACATATATTATATTCTGACATTATATAGTCTAATACAAGCTAATTTTGAACATCTACCTCTTTGCATCGTATCCGTACTTATCTCCAGTCGAAGAATCGAGTGCTTTGGCAAGCATTTTTGGAAGTATTGGCCGGCCCGTTCCCGCTGATCACTGTATATCGAAGATACCTAATGCTAACTTTGGCATGAGCGACGATTAAGTGACTACCAGGAAGCGTGTTCGGTACCAGCCACCTCTTGGGCTTGGTATCAGGAGCAAAACAAGACAAACCTCTGCAAATGTACATTGTTCCTTCGCAGTGGATCTCCCAATACTTGCCCAGCGATACCTTCGCTCTGCATACCTAGCTCATTCTTGCAATTTACAGACAGGGTTATCAGTGTGTACATGGATATCGACGGACTGAACGTGTGTATTTGATAGCAGGAGTATTTATTCTATGCTCAAGGCATGTGAGGGGACACTCGGTTAAATGATTATGAGAACGCAAGATGGTAGGTAATGAGCCAACAAACCTTCCACCACAACTCATGGAATGAAAATAGAAAGACGCTGCAATCTCATGAACTATCGAAGTCAATTCCAACTATCCAACTCATTCTGCGTCCACTCCCACAATTCCCCCGCCAGTTTCTCATTCGTATTCTCCCTGACTTTCCTCCCCACCACACCAACTGGGAAGTAAAACTCACCATTAACCACCTCCTCTCTCCCGGCCGTCGCAGCCCAACAAGTATTCCACGCACCTTGCCCCTCCTTCGACTCATCCTTAACCTGCCCAAACGTCCCCACCCACACCAACGCCTTACTCAAAAATCCCAAACTCGTCACCAACCCCGTGTTAAAAACCCCCGGATGCACACTCGTGAACAAGATCCCTGAATCAGGGTATCGCCGTGCTAGCTCCGCGGCGTAGAGAATATTCGCTAGTTTGGATTGTCCGTATCTCTGCCATGGCCCCATGAAGCGGAAGTTTTGAACCGTTTTCAAGTCTTTAAATATTATCCCGCCAAGGGGATGCCCTTGATTGCCTTCACTTGACAAGGACACAACTCGGACGTCGGCACCGGGAAGTTTGGCTGTGGCAAGCATTGCTGGCAGGAGGAGTTTGATGAGAAGGGCGTGGCCGACGTGGTTCGTTCCGAATTGGATCTCATAGCCGTTTTCTGTGAGACCTGGTGGGAGGGCCATGACGCCGGCATTGCAGATGAGGATGTCGAGGCGGGTGGTGAGGGAGAGGATGTGCTTGGCGCCGGCTTGGACGCTGGAGAGAGAGGTAAGGTCGGTTGGGATGAAAGTTATTGGGGTGGTTGGGTGTGCGGTTTTGAGGGCTATGGTTAATTTTTGGGCGGCATTGGTGGAGCGGCCGGTGAAGAAGATGTGAGAGGGCGAGTGGGCGGCCAGGAGGGTCACTGTTTGGGCGCCGAGGCCAGCGGTTCCTTCAGAATGGTCAATGAGATGTTCAGGAAAGTTGCATGTAAAGCGTGTTGCGAAATGACCGGGCTAGCAAAGAGGCATCAACATACCTCCAGTGACAACTATTACTCTCCCAGAAAGATCTGGGATATCATTCTCAGGATCGTACTTGGGCATCTTGAAGAGACCCGGATGCAACAGGTCTAGATTTCGATATGTCTTATTGGAAACGTGAAGATGTGAATGTTCATCAGGGCGGTGAACTGGGTGAGAGCAGATGCAGACAAGAAAATATGAGGCTTTGGTTCTCTGCCTTCAAAATAATTGAACAAGACGAGATCGGTATCGAGGATTCAAAGTTGACAGCAAGGTAATCCTTTTATAAGCCATATCTCCTTGCATTGTGCCTTGAGCTGTCAGTCTCTCCGCGGCTTGAAGCCAGCCCGCAGGGAGACACGGCGCAATATTCATTCCGATTAGAGTAGATGTCATGAAAAATTTCTATGTTCGAGAGCTACGGAAGTCATATCTGCGCCGGCTGAAGGCATTCATGACGCTGCCGTTGTGGCGATGGAGGACCAAGAGCGAAGGAAAGCTGATGATAATTACTGCGTTGGGTTAGGCAGCTACTCGAACTATGGCAAGGGGTGCTTCGCTGCCGGACTGTTGGAAGCCAATAAGTCCGATTATGGTAAATGTGCTTACTAGCCGCATGGGTATGGAGGTGGGTAGATGTTTCCAGCTCAATTAGAGTGCTATTGGATAAGGTAGGAAAGCACAGCAGGAGCCACGTACGAACCAGATGTGAACTAGACGTCAGGTGACGTGACCAACTCACACAAGCAGGAGTCAAGGTACCTTAGTGGCACCAAATCGGAGATCAAGCACCTGTACTGGTAAACATGATAAATTGTATATTACATGGTCAAGATTGACTAGTAGCTGTTGAGCTACCTATATCAATGGAAGGAGGGTGCTCTCACGTGATAACATGCAGGCATCTGAACTGGGCAAGAGCCAATAATAGAACAGAACCTCAACTCATTTTGCGAGTCGAGGTTCTTAGAGACCGCAGAATCACTTGCCCGGCGACAAAATCCGCCAAGATTCCTCACAAACACGCACAAATCGAGAGCCACGGCCGACTTAGCTTGGAGATTTGAACAGAAGAAAAAGTCGCAGTCCCTTAGACAGCCATTGGGTGACCTACGAAGGGAAGCTCCCAGGGAAATGCACCTAAGTGCCTAATCTATCCGCCTTGCTCCTCAGAGAGTATGTTGATAATAGTCACAACCTGCAACCAATAACAGTCTTACCGCTAATCATCGAGAACGTAGCACCCAATTATTGTAAACCTGCAACCCTAGCAACTACGAGTATCTTATTTAACCGCCTTTCCAGCCCCTAATCAACTGCCACAACACTGCAAGGCGAAAGCTTATTCTCTCTAAGCCTCAGAATACACCGAGATTTACAGAACCGTTGTTTCCGCGCTAATCAATAGACGCATCACATTTGATGATTCCACGAGTACATTATCTTCCCACTGCTTTACTATGTTCTCAGATTGAGCAAGCAACCAAACCCACCACGATGGAATCTCGTACAATCCCCAGCCAGGAAATCGAGATACTATCACAAGAAATCGACGAAGACTTTGGATCTTATCGCATACGATCCAAACAAAGAGTTCACTATGTAAAAATAGCAACCGGCATTTTTGGCGAAGACACCATGTGTCGTCCGCACTTGCTGGTACCCCAATTACCGCAATTTCCAGACGAAGACTGGACAATAATGGAAGTCAGCCGCAAACCAGACGGTTCTTTGGCATTCGATCTCTCATTCAAAGTCTTGCCATCCGTAAAGACAATATGGCATCCAAACACCATCGACGTGCTGTCTTTAGAGAAAGTCAAGCGGCACCGATCCGGAGTCCACGAAGTGCTGTTTTCGGGCCTTCCAGCTATTTGTAAAATAGCTTGTTTCCGGTGGCAAATCCCTAGAATCGAGCATGAGACCTTCATATATTCAGTGATCGAAGAATACCGAGAGCCTGGGGATCCAGTCATCGCTCCTGCTTTCTTGGGACACGTGACGGAGAATGGACAAGTGATTGGGATGCTACTTGAGAAGTTGGAGGGCGACTTTGCATCGGCAAAGGATCTATCGGTATGCAGTGAAGCCCTCGAGAACATTCATCACATGAATATTGTTCATGGAGATGTCAATCGCTACAATTTCATCCTGGACCGGTCGAAGGAACCTGCTCATGTTTACCTCGTCGATTTCGAACATGCTGAGCCATATGAGGAATCGAAGGCGCTTGGAGAACTCCAATCATTATCGTCAGAACTGGCAGAAACTTCTGGAAGAGGTGGATCGATTGTAGTAGTTCGTGAGAATTTGCAGGTATCTGAACCGGGCAAGATCGAACAATAAAAGAAACCGCCGAGAATGACGTTCTTGCGAGTCGAGAATGACTCTTTTCCTCCCCAAATAATGCTTTGATCTAGTCAAGGTCCTCTTGGCGAAGCATGAGCTGCCTACTCCACTAGACAAGCAACGTCCTTGTAGCAGCTTTGTTGTGTTGCGGATACACCGACTGGACACTGTAGAATCAGTTGTCCAGCGATAAACTTTTCCCAAAGTCGAAACAGTCATTGGGTGAATTACGAGGGGAAGTCCAGGGGGAATGCGCCGAAATGCCTAATCTATCCTTTTCATCCTTCAGATCAGTACATTCTCTTCTATACTTGCCAGGATTAATCTTTCGCGGAGTGCGGTATTTCAGCAATGTTGTCTTCAAGTAGTTGGAACTCTCACTCCAATGACGAACGGAAACTGTTCTATTCTGATAATCTCGACCTCTGCATCTTCGAGGCTGATCTTGCTCTCTATTCATCCAGTCCACTCGGCTTCAATGATGAAAATACGAGAGCCCGATGGCAATGTTGCACCATTAAACTTGTATCGTGGATCTGCTGCCTTGAATAGAGCTCCCCAGTCATCCTGGCTTCGCTCACGTCCATTCATTGAAGCCAGCATCAAAACATCGAGACTCCTGAAAATCCGTCAGCGGGACAAAGTGAAAGTAAGGAACCGTGTTAACAAACCTTGCGGCTTTCTCGTCGTACCATCGCGCTTCTCCAGGGTCAGGCAGCCCCGAGTCATTAATCAAGACCTTTGCACCGGGTTTGAGAGCAGCAGTCGCTGCCTTCAGTATGTTGATGACTGTGGCATCGGGATAGTTGTGGAAAATAAACCGGTAGAAATATACGTCTGCCACCACAGTCTGGGGAGTATTGAAGTCATATTGCATCCATTCTATGTTTGCTTCCGGGTTCTCAACCTTCAAAGCATCATTTACGACGATGTCTTGGACGATGAGATGTAGTGAGGGAAAAGCTTTCGCAATTGCGGCACTGGCAAAACCACTCCCACCTCCAACCTGTGCGTATCAATATGCTGAACTGTGCCCTGGACTTATGTACTTACGTCTACTACAGTTCCATTGCCAATCTCGGCCCAAGGAAACCCTCCAACCAAACTTTCAGCGCCGTACCCCTCGCCTGAACTGAAAAGTTCCATGGCTCGTCCAAAATTGGTTGCCCGAACGGGATCTTTTTGGACATCTTCATACAATGAAACTTCTCCTGGCCGTCCCCATGCTAAAGAGTATCCTACTTCTCTTGGATTCTTCGAATCTGGCCATCGCTCGTATGCGTCCATAAAATGCGGCCAGGTTTTCCATACGCCCTCGGTGTGGAGATCAACGAATGCGGCCAACCTCACATCTTCTACAAGCAGTCTTGAGGTCGGCGTATGTGATACCTTCCCTTCTCGTTCAGAAAAGAGTCTGTTGGTCATAGCATGCCGCAACAATCTTTGAAGAACCGGCTTTGAAACCCCAGTCTTCTCGGAAAGTTCGTTGTACGTTACAGCAGAGTTCAATGGAACGAGCTTGGCAATATTCCAACGATTTATTGCGTGCAAAGGCGCCACATTGACTGCCTAGACTCCTGATGAGCCTCTTCTCGTGCAGAATGTAAGTCACGGGTGTCCGCTTACCGACCATGCCAATTCGCGGAGGACATTCGCATCTCCAATGAGTGCAGCATTTAAGTCTGGAATCATATCGACCAAGTCCAATCGTGCTTCTCTCTCTTCTTTCGACTCTGCCAGCAGACTTTGTGGTGCTGCTAGAGCTTCACGAACGGCGGCTGCCAAAGCGACCAACTTATTGGGCGCCATCTTGAAACGCAATATCGATCAAAGAGGGTATCCGTATCTAACTCTACTTCGGTCGAGGAAAGAGAGCAGATATCGGTGCGAAATTCTAAGCTTCATCAACAGCACTAAGGAATGACAAACCCAGGATCCATTCTTGGAGGAGGGTGATAGGCTCACAAGATTTGGAACTATCTTTGATTCTAGTTTAAATAATTTTGCCGATATCCAAAATGGTTGGACAGATAATTCGGAGGAACGGAGTTACCTTCCATATCCGCATCCCTTGCCGCTGTGGAGATGCTTGACACAAAGGGTTGTGGCACAGCGACCTCCCCGCGCCGAAGTGGGGTGACAACTGTCCCGTGAAGAAGAATTCCAAGAGAGACATCGAAGGGGATGCGGATCAATATCTATCTACCTACTTTTGTACCTATCCTCACAGATGGGACAACTACTGTAATTTGATGGTTCATAGTCGGGTTTGAGGTGCAACTATACGTCCTAATTCGCGGCAGAGTTGCAGTAAGCACACGTGGCTTCCATGTTTCAACCTCCTCGTTTACTGCAAAAATGGGAGGATGCACATGCATACCTCCCTCGTAACAACCTGCTTATGCAAGGCACCTATCTGAGGATTCCGACCGGCTGAATTTGTCTCGGGATAAGACAATAATCGCCTGATCATGGAGCTACTGGTATTAAGGTAGCATTGCCCCCTTGCTTTCCAATCTCGCTCCGCTGTTTTTCAAGATATCGACACTCACGATTCGAGACGCCGATCGCATCCCAAGTACCATAAGCCACTAGTATGTCTAGTCAAGACTCAAGCCATGGTGGTTCGAAGGAGCTAGAGGACGCAACAAGCGATGTTCTTCCTAAGACAACATCGCCAACTTCACCAAGATCCCCACGCTCTCCGCAAGGCAACCCTTCACGCTCAGCAACTGCATCTCCATCTGCCGAAGCCGCCGTCACTCCTCAGGAATCAGGTAATTCAGCTATCGAAGTTGGAGATGGCTTGGAGCCAACAGAGGAAGACTTCGAGGTTGAAAGCGATGCCGATACTGGCTACGGTGATGATGGTAGTAGTGTTGATGCCTCTCTATCATCTAGCGTGAAAGATGGAGTGATAGAGAATGGATTAAGATATCATGGGTTTCGGAAAGATCGAACGTACTATCCATTTCCAAATGATGAGAACGAGCAGAATCGAGACGACATGAAGCATGCTATGACGGGGATGATGATGGGCGGGAAACTTCACTTTGCCCCGATTGGAGATAATCCTCAATCAATTCTTGATTTAGGTGATGGCCTTTGATCGATATACAACTATCAGGCTGACGGGAAGCAGGCACCGGAAGTGGGATCTGGGCGATTGACAGTAAGCACTCAATTTCTGTCGCTTTTCCCGGGCTGACCTGGTACAGTGGGCGACAAATATCCCAGTGCAGCGGTACAGGGGGTGGATCTCAGTCCCATTCAACCTCCCTTTGTTCCACCAAATGTGAAGTTTGTGATTGATGATATTGAAGATGATTGGCTGTATCCAGCAGACCACTTCGACTATATTCATTGTCGTCACGTTACCCAGACAATCAAAAACAGACCTCGCCTCATGGAGCAAGCGTTCAGGTGAGTACCTAGCTATGGTCCGAAGAAGCCAAACCTCACATTTTGACTAGACATACCAAGCCTGGTGGATACTTGGAGTTCCAAGAAATTGTTTTCTACACATTTTGTGATGATGACAGCATGACAGATCCATATCCCATGCGAGATTTCATGGATAATCTCAATATCGGTATTGCGAAGCTTGGTGGTGATAATCTCAATGCTTTGAAACTGGCAGATGAGATGCGCGCTGCTGGCTTCGTTGAAGTTCAAGACGTAGCACTCAAACTCCCCCTTGGCGTCTGGCCCAAGAACAAAGAATACAAGCTTGCTGGATTGTATTGGAGAGAGAACATATCAGAGGGAATAAGGAATATTGCATCCAGGGCATTTGTATCGGGGCTAGGGTGGTCGGTGGAAGCTCTTGAGGTCTTCTTGGTCGATGTCAGGAAGTCACTTTATGATTCGTCGAAACATGTGTACTTTCCACTACGGATTATTACCGGGAGGAAGCCTCTCGAGTCAGAATAATGGTCTTAGGGAGTTCCACAGCTGGTAATAAAAAATTACTGGTTACAAGGGAACCTTGCCTCCGTCCTTGGTTTCTGCTCGATTCGGTACAGTTTGCTGTTTCTCTCTCGTACATTGGTTCTGACCTAGGCACATTGCTGACAGTTCGGGTCCCCCAGCGACACCTTAGGTAGATACCGCGAAAGCGTTGTAATATCTAGTGGTATTGAGAGTCTCTATGGTATTTCATGTCATGCTAATACTTTGCGCCAGCATGCGGAAAATAATTGGAAAGAACTAAGCAGAACACCTTTAATGGAGGTTTGCAGGATCCCTAAGACTCTCCTGGCCCTATATTCTGCCCCCTCCCGAGCAAGAACAGATCATCCTTGGACATTTCTATTCCTTCCATGATGAACCTGCCGATGTACCTCCACCGGCGGGAGCTCCAATTCCAATGCATCAAACGACGCGAGATCTGGTCTCCAACCCCTCAAAAAGTCAGCGATGTTATCGGCGCGTCCTTCACCCGCAGAATCAGCCCAGCATTTCAAGAACGCCCAGCACCCTTTAAACTCATTCCATAATTTCTTGTTAGTGCGTAACTCCATCACGCGGTTGTAAGTTGGAGTCTCGATCCAGACTATCATTAGACCGGTTCGTGCGCGCTGGTACATGATGCGCGCGGTGGAGAGGAAGTGGTCTTTGAGGACGCGGAAGTACTCTTGTTGTGGTCCGCAAAAGACGAGAAAGCCGTTGGTGGCGGTGCAGACTATGGAGTAGCGGGGGAGCCCTTGGTGGGCGGGTTAGCTTTGACCTGGATGAGAATGGGATGTAGGTGCTCGAGGACGATTCACGTACCAGTCCCATCATCCCAGCCGTGATATGGTACATGGTCTGCTCCTTTGTGATGCAAGATGGCAGCACGACACTCTGCTCGAAGCGATTCATCTGAAGCTGATTGTACGACAAGGTAGTGGTCGGTTGGAGATAGTAGATGAAGTAGCTGGTCACTACCGGTTTCAAGCTTGGTATCCATTGACATGGGATAGTATTGAGCTGGAGGCGATGAAGAGGTCTGCGTGGAGGGATAGTTGGGAGTCTTTTTGGGACTGGTTTTGACATCAAGAGAAAGCACTGGGGAGTTGCTCTCGGATTCGATCTTCTTTGGTTCATCGCCTGGGAACGGTCTCTTTGGCCCTAAAAGCGCTGATGTCAGCTCATATCCTCAGCTCATAACGTCAGACGAGGATCCTACAAAATTGATTCCAAGTTCGAATTTCAAGCATATACTGTTGAATGGCAGGATCTTCGTCTTGATAAAGGCTTGTTCGAAGGACTCGATCTCTGTTCTCGATCACAGCAGACCAAAGCTGACATTGTTCTTTTGTGAGGCCATCTAGATCTGGCTTGGAATTGCTGACCAAACCAGTCAAGGTGAACATGAATTGGAGTTGGCTGGAATAGATGTATTTGTAGGCTGAAGGAGACATTGCGAAGATGGTATGTAGCGAAATGGTGTGGACGGGTTGTTGTCTTTGGGATTTGTGAGATGCGGTGGAAGCAGTAAAAAGTGAGTCGCTCTGCTCTAGATTGTAAGTGAAGAGGTCGAGATCTGAAGCGTTAGGATAGTGAGGCGAAATTGAGCTTTTCCAGGTCGAATGTGGGCTGGAGACACTTTCAACTAATTTCCTCCATAAAAGTTAACGAGATTCCTATGGTTCTCTTGGGAAAGGCAGGACAATACAAAGGTCTTTTAGTGAAAACGATCAAGAGAGGTTTTAAAGACTCTAAGATTGTCAGAATTAGGTTCAATGAGATCAAGGGATATGTCTCATTGAGCTACTTGGTTGTTCAAAGCTAGACCGCGATGCTCTTTATCTCCCACGCGGAGCCCGTCTAAAATATATGGAAACTACCTTAAGATGCAAAGCCAAGAAGACTACTAAATTCACTGACATGACAGCGTACTAATTGAAAATTCTGGTATCCAAGCGGTCCCTGGGTTTTTCGCTCTTAGAATACCTTCTGCCATGAGTTATTTGGGCAACTCTTCCAGGTGAGATAGCTCATTGTGCTCTTCCGATAGATAAATCATAATTTAAACAATGCCATCTAAGTTTGGGCATCCCATTAAATAAATGACATCTTTAATTTTGTTTGTAGGACCTATTTCAAAGCAAGATGATGTCCAAAGGACACGTGAGAGACTTCATATTAGTCATCCAAGTATTTAAGCGAGGCCATTGTTGATTTTCAAGCTCCAAGTCGTGCCATCACTTTGAAATTGGAAGAGGCATCATCTGTTAATGTGCAGACTCTCAAAAATGCGCAGTGAGATGCTCTGTGAGTAGATGTGACGTCACACAAGGCCCAATCATGTTAAAAAAACGGTCCAGCAGCGGCTCTCACCAAATCATTGCCAGACACTTCGCGAAATCTCCGCATCATTCGCACACAAAACAGTCTAATACGACTACAATAACCACAACTGTACTTTTCCAAACCTAGGTAAGCCTGCAATCCCAAAAGATTACACACCACCACTTGCCTTCCTGCCGCGCGATCCTGAGCCTTCAACAAAGCTACGCGTTAAGAGAGAATATTGGCAATTTCAACTCAAATTTACCAGAATTCCTTTATTTTGTTGACTAACAAAAGATTAAAGCAAACAGCTTATTCTCAAACAATCGAAAGAAGCTCCGATCCATCCAATTCGCATGTCTTGCAATATAAGAAAAACTTGTCACCTGATCACATGACAAAAGTAGGGCTGTCAGTCCTGGACGGATTTAGACGAATTCACCTTCGAATAAACACCGTGATGAGAAAATGGGATTTGAAAGGGTCTGAATCACAGACTATAAGACTCCAAGTTACCTATATTTACTTCTCAGCCCTTATTTCAAATTCACTTAACAACCACAAGACCCAACGCCTCTCACCACACGGATCAACCTCCATCAAGGCCTGCACACCTGCAGACACAGGACTCTGCAAACATCAAGTCAAAGAAAGCAAGTATACATCCCCAGCGACAAGCACTCCTCCTGAAAAGATTTTCAGCACAACTCCCTTCCCAGTCCGAGTCCCAAATCCAGATCGCGTCCAGTATATTGCTCACAATGTGCATCCTCCTCTGCTACACCTACGCAACTTGTCCACACGTTGCTAAGAGCGGTATCTATACCTGCTACGCTGCTAAGACTTCCGGCCGAGGCTTCGACGAGATGTGCACGAAATTCAAGGTCACGAGTCAGAAGTTGCGGTGGAAGAAGGAGCCGAAGCGCTGTGAGTCATGTTTGGAAGCTTTTGGTGAGGAGGTGCTGGTTAGGCGGATGAGGATTGGGAAGGTTAAGAAGGAGGTTCGGGAGATGGGAGAAGTGGAGAGTGGAGGAGGCGATAGCGGTGGTAGGGTGAAAGTAAGGGAGGTCGTGAAGGATGTCGGAAATGGACAAGAGGCGCCGGCTGGAGACGAGATCATGGAGGGAGAGAAGGTCGCTGGAGAGGATTCGAAGGTAAAGAACACGGGTTGAAGAATTCCCAGTTGCGGAAGAACTCACGGCATCAGTCTGGAATCACCACTCGTGGCATTGGAACGTATATTTGCTTTCGAAATATGGCAGGAGTCGCACCTGTAACAATGCATGGAACTTCAACCAAAAGTTTCTTGCCTCTGAATTGATGTTGATTGTGCAAAAATGTGTGCCGCGAAACTTACGATTCTAATTTTAAATCTATAAATCGAGTAAACGGTTTCAGCCAAAAATCCACGAACAGCAGTACAAAAGCAGAATATTCTGAGCAGCCCGGCAAAGATTCATTCATCCCATAATCGGATCTGTACATCTCCAAAAAAAAGAAAGGGTATCAAAGCAGCTTCCCGAAATTGCAGACCAGGACGCCAATGCAAACACACCCACAGCGCCGTGAAGTCCTAAGACAAAGCCCATGCGATAGGTGCCACCAGAGACGGCACAAATTTAGTTGATACAGATAATATCCTCGTCATCAGTGTCTTCGGTCAGGTCGATCGTGATACTCTGTCCAGACTTTCGCTTCTTTCGCAAGCTGCCTTCTCCACCATCGTCGCATTCTCGCTTGACTGACAGCCCTACATTGTCATTCTGCTGTTCATCAGTATACATATCCGTCAGAGATTTACACTTGCGTACCATTCCATGAAATGTTTTGACGCCTTCCCTCGTCCCGACCTCAGATTTGAGGTGGCGGACGGGCGAGGCGGAAACCGAGATACCTTCAGGTTCCGGGGAGGGGGTTCGTTCAATGATCAACAGGCTTTTCAGTGCATCTATGGGAGGTTCAGTAATGGACAGAAGTTCCAACATGCCTGTCTTACCTCTAGACCGATATTTGAATCTGAAAATGGCCTGCGGGTAATCCTCTCCATCCAACTTCACAGAATGAACGTGCTTCTTTTCTACAAGTGATCCTGCGCCAAGACTATATAATATCAGCATAATGTCATCCATGTTGTGAAAAGAGACCCACGAAGTTGTATGAGTTTTAGCCTGTCCCTTCAAAGCTTTTTCGTGAACATTGGCGGTCGGCATCGAGCCGCCGTTGTGTCTGGAGTTTCCAGATCTGCTTGATACTGGGTCTGCACATCGATGAAATACTACGAATATCTCTCCAACTTGGTCCATTCGCTTCGCGTCTTCCTTGACGTCTCGCAACTTCTCATCATCCACAGCTAAAGTACATTAGCTTTGAGAATATAGAAAGATACCAGAAACTATACATGTCTCAATCTTGGAGAACTTGAATTTTTTCAAGAGCTGGTGGTGAGGTTTACTAGGTACATCTACGTGTGCACCCAACACTTTTCGTTTCATGGGGTATCTAACTGTATTGCCCGAAAAGTACGCAGCATAAGATGATTTGGAGATATTCGGGCGAGTCATAAGCTGCCCGTCAATGGTGATCGGAGTTGTAAAAGATCCACAGTTCATCAGACATCCTGGATTGAGCTTGATCTCAATCGCAAACTCCTTATCCGAGACAGACTCAATGTACTTGGTGACAGTCCTTGATGCCCTGTACGCAGCTGGAAATCAGTAATTGCCTAACAGCAATGTTTCATAGCATTTCTCAGGAGGATGTCGACTGCCGAGACAATACAGAGAAGAAGAAGAAGAAACGGGCTTGCCAAGTCCGTACTGATATGCTCCAACCGGCCCGGGCTTGGGAGTCTCTTCCTCATCGTCGTCGTATTCTGGCAACGCAATCCCATCGATGGTGACATTGACTTCGAGTCCGGGGTAAAGGTCGAAGATAGCCATTGTGGCAAGTATGGTGTAGGATTGAATGAGGCTGAGATAGCCGGGAGGGTGTCTGCATCTCGAAAGTTAGCATATGAGGATAGTCATGGTACCGCCCATACAATGTGCAAGTGAACAATCACCAGTGCTGCTTCATGGGATGCGACGGAATTAGGCATGACGCTTATGCCGAAGGACCAGGGTGGACTCGAGGGGTCGTAAAGCGGAATGAACAGCGTGCACTTACCCTGTCGCTTTAGCGGACTTCGACTGGCTCGCAGAGATTGAAATTGGGCACCGGAAGAGAAACTATGGCATCGGCACAGCAGGTGCTTTGTTCGGTGGCCTATGATGCACAGAGATGCGAGTATTTGAGGTCGTTGTCAAGGTAAAGTCGCGACCGCGCTCGGAAAAAGAGCAACGGGCGATCACGTGTGTATGAAACCGGGCCTTGGCACTCAACGGTGAAGGCCCAAGGGTTACCTGATAACGATGTTAATTTCTGATACCATAGAATTCATGACTCCATTACCCACATGTCCGTAACCTGTTGTCTTTTCTCTTTGCTCATCTCAATCTAACATGTTTATAACAGATCGACCTGTTTCATAACTCGATTATACAACAGCTAAGAAACAAAAAGTCCGCACCAGCAATTCAGAAGATATTCTCGATATCTGATCATTTTTAGAAGTCGTAGTCATCGCCGCCTGTTTCTAAGCACTCAGCCAAATTTTGAGGGCACATATCCGGAATTCGACTAGAAAACTGCGGAAAGAATACCGGTATCGGATACCCAACGTCTGAAGCACAAGTCCGTACGCACGAGATGTTATCTGCCGCAGCCACACTTTTGGATATGTGTGGCAAGTAGTCTGTACATAAACTTATTTGTGATAAAGCTTGTTTATGAGTTGTTTCCGAAGACTTGCGGATAGATTGTGTTTGAGTTTTGTTCTGACGCTGACGCTTCACAAATGGTTCAGGTCGTTCATCGTCTTCATAATAGTCTTCGCCGTCATCAGACCCCAACCCAATGATTAGCTCGCCCTCATCGAATTGCCTGAAGTGCTCTTCCCACGTCAAAGGTTGAATCTGAAGCTTTCGAGGATCGGACTTATTGAAAGCGTTGATTCTGGATTTAATGGTCTTCTGTGAGTTTTCTGGAACGACATATGCAAGCATATATGGTGCATCCCGAGACCAACATCACAAGCAGGGATGATAGTGTCATCGACAATGCCACCGAAACCCGCTCGCTGAACTCGCGCAAGATGTGTTCCGGTGTGCACTTCCAGCTCCTTTCTGTTAACAAGAATGCCACACCACCCGTCCTCGTCGCAGAGAGGTCTATGGGTGGCAGGATCGAAACCGACCGGACGCTCATGGAACTTGATTTGCACACTATCCTCGAAAGACAGAAAATACTGCGGATTCTCCATAAGCCCAGGCAGATTTGGCATTGAGAATTATTAAATGAGGGTGCCATCGTCGTGGGGTGGGAGTCCGACGCGAAAAGGCTGCATTGGAAGCTGGATCCTGGAGCTTGTCGATGTGCTCTAGAGTTGGCAGGAAATCATGAAAGAAACCGACGCCATTGTTCAAGGCGACGTCATCCCAGTTGTGGTATTTGGTAAAATCGGAGGTGGAGTTCGTTCGGCCCCCCTTCATGGCAGAGTTATTGCGGTGCATAGAGAGGCGAAATGTGTGCTAGACTTACAGCAGTTACTGTAGCTGTTGAGATGATGAGGCTCCTTACAGTAGGACCAGCATTTCTTGTCATAGCCAGCCACATCTCGCTTCAAAATAGCCGTGGTTTCTCACACAGAGATCTTCGGCTCTGACCTGGTCGTGCCAGTAAAGACTCAAAATCAATTGTAAAGTGTCTACCCTTTGCTTGCAGTTCATGAGCAAGCTTCGCCCTCTTTTTTCATTTGAATGCTTGGAATGTGATTTGAAATATTTACACCATGCTAAGTACTCCACAAGAAGTGACCGAAGCAGTCATATCTCCAAGTTTTCCATAATACCAATGCATGGACCAATGTGATCCCCTCAAACGAAACCCTGTGCGAACACAATCTGCTTAGCTTCTCTCTGTGCAGCGCTCCATTCACACTCTCCCGCTCAATGCTCGCAGGTGTGATAAACTTGCAAAGAGGATTGCGAATGTCCAACATGCGTCGATCGACCACTCGTCGATTGTCCTTCAGCCACTTCCAGAGAGCGACCATTCTCTTGTGGTCTGCTTCCATGACGGCAGTGCCATCTCTCTTGTACAGTATAGACTACGATTAGTGATCCGTGAAACCCCGATGATGACGAGCCCGCTCTTGTGCCGTGTGAGTGGTACACATACTCGCTGCCTATCTGCCAGCCAGCTATATTCACCCTTGACGTTCTGAGCCACAGCCATGTCCCAGAAGATATAACATGCCTCTCAACCTTGCATCGACTCAGGACAAACTACACGGATGCTATCGAGCTGGGGGTATTGCTCTAATGCCTTCAACCACAACGCAACTTGCTTCAGGTATGGAGTCAGAACTACTATCTTCTCAGGCGTGATCAATGAGTTTGAAGCCACGAAGTCCAGAAGCGCCTCGAGTCCAAAGTGGATATTTGCAGTTGTACCACGCGAAGTTCCTCTTGGCTCTCTGAAAGTGTAGCCTCCAGAGACATCGATCGCCAGCGGGTATAATTTACCGCCAGGAGCTGGGCAAATCGCTCCTGAACGCCCACAGGAGTACGAATTGCACTATACTTTGAAGACAGCGCTATCCTCAGATGATTTGGAATCAGGATGCATTGCGATCTGACCTTCGTACATGAGAGTATTTGCCAAGTCCCACAAGCCAGGCTTAACACGCAACTGGTCTGATACGAGCCAGCATGGCCAGTTGTTATTGATGAGTGCGGTCAAGCCTGATTGTTGCATGTTAGGACCAAAAGCGTTGATTGCCTTGTTGCCGAACTTTTGCTGAACCGACATGATGATGGAACCAGTCTGGTTCGGGTCACCAGAGGTTATCCCCTCAACTGCCGTATTAAACACACCTGTAGCTAGACCCTATAATTAGGCGAAGAACGCTGAAATTCGTTGTCGTCCAGGCAGCCTTAGCGCCTCGCTTTAGTGCTATGCCCTGGAAAAGTGTGTTTTCGGCAGTTGAAGGGATAAGAGGTGTGCTGCCCTTCCAAGGAACAAGAGGTACAGCCAAGTTACAAAACCAACATCGTCTTCAATGGCAAGATCGGAGTCCTTTACCCATGCCTTCAACCAATCCGATGTTGGAATTTATACACGTAGTAAAGATTGCGGCCGCTGACGCAAAGACAGCGAGCTTTGGTTATCTCACCGTTCATCATTGCGTGTTCATCATCGGTGAACTCATCTCTAGGCTTTGAAAGAAGTTTCCCTAGAACACTAACTCTTCTCTCATCTTGGCAAACTTTGGGTTCTTCGTCGGGATGATGCCCGCAACTTGGAGCACTCGCCGAGCAACCGATGCTTGCCAGTGGAACTTGGCAGCTCTCTTTGCCTTGACATTTCGTGAGCCAGGGATGTCTCCTCTGGTAGTTCCTCTACTGTAGAGTCAATCTTGACAGTGGAGTCGACAGGCTTTACTTCAGTTTTCTGTGCTCGATAGCCAATGATGCGAGCATGCTCTTCATGTTCTGGATGGCATCGGACAAAAAGATACTCGTCTGCATTGTTCTTCATTTGGGCGCGTTTGCAGATGTTGGTGACTGCGGCGTTTGTGGTAGAGCACACGACTGGCTTCTTGCCCCGTTCTAAGACAGCCATGAGGAGAACGATCACAACTGTTGTCTTGCCCGTACCACCTGATCCAACAATTGGTAGCACTCCGCAAGGAACTCTCCTCGCCACGGCAAGGAGTTGCTGCTTTTGCATAGCTGTGCAACTCGCCATGAGCCGCTGAATTTGCTCATTGGAAAGACCAGCGAAAAAGTCCTCGTGCCAGAGCTCCAACAACTCTCGACCAACGACGATCGACTTCTGAGTGGTGAAATCAATTGGCTTTACAACAGAATCTTCATCGTCCATGGTGACATCTTCGTCATCTGGGTTGTAGAGTAGATCGTGGTGGTCATAGATCATCTCGGCCTCATCGAGACCAAGTTCCTTCCTACCCGCGGGTGTACTTGTGACGCGAGGATCCATCTAACGAAAGGCATTAATACGCGCTTTCACTGTCTTAGTGTCCTCCTTGAGTCGAATATACACAGCACAGAACTCGCCATACTTGTCCCATTCGTCAGTGGCAGCGACAATGGTCGGGGCTGCAACAGAGCCAAAATATGGCCGCAGGACTCGTAGCAGGTGACATCCCGTGTGCTCTGGCAATTCTCCACGGTCACAGACGAATCCCTCCCATGGAAGGTCTGGTGGCAGTAATCTTCCTGTCGCAGGGTTGATTGATCTCGTCGGTCGGAAGAATAGCTCGATCTCGTCACCAACGTTAACGCTCGCGAAACCATTGGAATTCTTGCCTAATTTCCATCTTGTGGGAAGGAGAGAGACGCGTCGTACTGGTCATCGTCACCCGAATTGACACGGACGAAGTGTGCAGGCAAAAGACGCTCTCGCACGATCTCGGTGTACTTGAAGATGTAAAGGAGCATGGCATCATCGAAGTCTTCGTACTGAGATCGCCGGATACCCATCAGAATGCCCCAGCAATGTCATGGAATATTTCAAGAACTTGAACAAGTTGCACGGATTCCATTAGATACTAGGAAATGTTAGTACGACTGCTACCTGAGGTCAGATATCAGTAGACTTACTCAACGACTCCTCCTCTTCCGCCTTTTCTGTAGCGATCTATCCCTTGACCACGACCATAAATAGCAAATGTATGTCCCAAAATTGCGCAGGACGCTCTGGAAGGGATCTTCGTACGGAACACAGAAAACCCAAAGTGAAGCGGTCTTTGCCTTGTCCAGCAATGACTCGGTTTCTCTATCAGGAATATCTTCTGGAGGCTGAGCCCATGAGAACCCGGTTCGCTGTGGTCCTTTGCGGCCGTGGCCTTGCTGGTCGCCGAACACATTATCGTACTTTGCATCAAGGTAAGATTAGGTCGGTCATCTGCTTAAAGTCACCAGCCTGGAAGTTCAGGCTTGGCAGATGTCCCTCGCTGGACTTCACGCGCCATTCGCTTGTTTTCTTTCTCTGTCTGCGGAGCTCGCGGCTACTGTATAAGTAATGCAAGGTGCGCTAATGGCGTGTCGACGCGCGGAGATACGAACGTTCACCTTGCTGGCATCAACTTCGTTCCATCGGCCGATATCTCCCAGGAAAGTCGCGCGGTTTTGTTCATCGTAGAAGAACAAGACGCCATTGTTAAGCTTCTTTTCGTACCCATTGGTGCGCACAGTATCGGGTTCTGCCACATATAGCTCTTCATGCTGACTGAAGTCTTCGGTGTTTACAGCAGTCCATTGCGTCTCGACGGCGACAACTGGGTTGAGAACTCCATTGGAGCTCTTTCTGGATGTTAGGAAAGTACAGTCGAGATTTCGTGGCTAGCTTACCTGCGGTTGACCACTGGACCAAGGTGAAGTCATTCCGTTGTCAAAGCCCTGTGGCTTCCTAGACGGTCGGTGCGCGAGAGGCACCGGACAGGCTTGAGAGGTCAATGGATGTTGGCAAGAATGATTAAACAAACAACAGCGCAAGTAAGGAATGGGAGGGAATGACAGGTGAGATTGGAATCGAGGAGCAGTGGATGTAGCTTGAGAAGAGAGTGGAGGCTGAAGTTGAAAGAAGAGAATGGACGGGGAGAGAGGCTGACGTTCGTGCGCGAGATAGCACAGATACCATACTTGCATCAAAGGGTGGCTGGAAGGAAGAGCATCCTTTAACTGTGAGACTCTTCATGCACGCGTGGGATGTGGCGGCGCCGTTGGATTGATTGAATTGAATTGAATTCAATGGACTCTTGGGTGAGTGTGAAAAATTTCCTGCCGACTTGTCAAAGCTCAGCCGGCCACATCGTATTCACCACGATGGCATTCCGTCCGCTCCTTTTCACTTTGGTTAGCCTAGAGGCTATCAGGATCTCAGGAGAGGAGGGGAGGTGTCCCATAGTTTGAGATAGTCAGCCCAGACATGCATCCTAACTCTCCACTCCCACGTAATACCTACATTAACATCATAGTGGCACCGCCAATCTCTACTTGAGCAGATGCTTAATCCTTGAGGAGCTCAGGGTATCTAAAGCGAGACTGGCTGTCTGTCACAGCCCCCGCGACTAAAAATCTGCCGAATGGTTTACTCTAGAAACATGAAGAAACAACAAGCTATCTCTGGAAGATTCACCTAGGATGCTCACTTCATAAATATTGGTTATGTGAAGCGCTGCTATCACCATGTCGGCTCCATCGACCCCAGATTGGAACTACCGAGGAGAAAATAGGAGTTGAATCTCGAGGCCTGCCAAACCGCCAAAATCGAACCCTCCAGAATCGGTGACAGAAGTGAATGATGACAACAAGTATGAAATATGTCGCGCAGCTAGACCCAATCACTACATCTCGTGAATGAAGCATTGCGCAATCGCATATTGACCCAAATGGCAAGTATCGCTATCCCCAGTAACTACCTATTTAGTCCTTGACCCGCAGCAAACTTGCGAAAAGTGTCGACAGAAATTACAACAAGGAGGCAGAAGCAAACAGCAACCCAAAGAAAAGAAAACATGTGCAACGAGACCATACTCAAGTACAGTGAATGTGGTCACATCGGTCAAGAGTACCGAATCCGCTGTGACCGTCAGCTTGAGTTCACCCGACAATGTCCGGCATACGCATTCGACCTGTTCTGGGAGCCCGGATTGTGTCCCTCGTGTGAGCAGCATCTTCAGATGGGCGGAGACGATCGGCTTTATGCTGCTCGCAAGTAAAGATTTGCTTTCGCAGCAAAATGGGATATGGTGGAAGGCGATGAACAGATACTAATCTGGGAGCCTCGATATTGGATTGCGTCGCAAAAGAAAAAAAAATTCAATGAGCATTAAGCTTGCACTGATTCATGTGAACTATTTTGTGACATATTTACCCACCACAAAGAACATCATTCCGATTCTGACGGGAACATCCTAAGCGAGAGCTGAGGGCGCGACATCCTGCTCACATCACTCCGTGATCTCTTCACTCAGTGCTCGGTTCCAACAGTACCCGTAATAGGTAAAACTACATGACTTGCTTTAAAAACTATTTGAAATACTATTTGATCTATCCGAACGCAAAACTCTGTAATATTTTCGAGGGTGAAAGATACAATATTACAACACCTACAGGGACAAACAAAACGCCCTCAAGTCCTCAGAAGACTTAAGTATCCAATTATTCTGTCTATAGCTATTGTGTTTCCAGTAATCAAAAGTTATCAGAATTCACATACTACACACTGGGAAGAAGAAGTGGTGCAGCTTGCCTCATTCGTATTTGTGCTAGATTTGTAGCTTGCTTTGTGCTGCATGTGCGCTTCTACATCACAAATGGAGGAAACATGGGTTAAATCCATCCCTTTTCGTTGAGGAACCCAGCTCGTCAATATCTACCGTTCGATCCTCCTGAAGATCCTCATCCTTGTTCATGTGATAAGTGACAGTGTCAGGAGAGCCTTGACTGTTCATACGATGCTGGTATTCTGTGAGAGAATATCTGGAATAGACGCAAAAATTCAAGCCTGTTGATTGGGAATACTGCTGAGAACAGCTCGGGATGAATGATCTTGATTACGTGATCCTGGGCGATCTGGACGCAAAAGGTGTATCACGACTCTGGCTGAACTTGCAATCTTGGAATTGAAGGGTGAACGCTCCTGGAGTCCTGGTACTCAGTCAAGATCGATGACCTGAGTTTCAGCTTCCTCATCGTCGATTTCTGTAAGGTCGATTGTTGTCTTGCCTAGCATCTTCTTTTTCTTGGAAAACTTTGCCTTTTTAGAGGGCTTGATATCTCTCTCGTCGTCGGAGTGGTCGCGCTTGATGGTGGGTGCTGAATCGATTTCACTCTTGGTCTCGGATTTGATGTTCTTCAACTTATTACAGCCCTGTCAAAATGATTATTAGAGCCATGAGCCATAGCGGAGGCTGTCATACCTTGGCCCGAGCCAGCAGTTTCATCACTTGGTTTCGCTGCTTCGGTGTAAGGTCTGTGAGATCATCATCAAGATCGCTGTCCGATGAGCTTCCTTCGGTATCAATTTGGTCTTCTTCTAGGGGAAGAACGTGGAGGGTTTGAAGAGCATCTATGAGTTGCTAAGGTCAGGACACTTTCAAATCTGCTTAGATAGAATCGATGGCGTAGAAAGTGTACTTACGAGCAGATCGATATTTGAAACGAAATATGGCAATGGGAAAGTCCTTGCCGTCAATAAACTCCGTATGCAAAGTCCGACCCAAACGGATAGACTTCCCGTCACCAAGGCTATCAGAGACTAGTTAGCATGACTCTTCGACTATAGAGTCAAAAGAAAAACTTTTGAGACTGACTTACACTACGCCATGAGATTTTCCATCTTTGGCCAAAACCTTGTCATGGTAGACCTTGGAAGTGTTGACTCCTCTGAACTTGCCATCACTGTGTGGTATAATCTTGCCTTTAGACCTACGATACACAAGCATCTCAATCTTTCCGACTTCGGCCGTCTCTTTTTCATGCTGCTTAAGTTCCCTGCTATCAATTCCATTATCCGCTGAAGTTGTGTTAGCATAGTACACATTCTGAATATTGAAAGAACAAACTAGATTGTATCTCGGCGAATTTCATGGCCATCACCTTGGCGTGAGACTTTCGACCTTCGACTGGTCCTTCAAAGACAGTAGACCAGCTGCCTTGAGCATATTCACTCTCACTCATGAGAAGACAACGGATACGTTTTCCATCGACGAAGAGCTGGAACGAAAGGTTTGGGCAGTCGCTCTTGAAGGGGGCGTTGACATTGACTTTGACCCAGAAGATTGTACCAATTACGGATTCGATGTACTTAGTGACAGTTCGAGCTTGCTGATGAGCAGCGGCGGCAGGATCTGCATGAGTAACGATGTCGTTTTCTGTGCCATACTCCTCGAGAGCTTCTTCATCAGCCCATACAGTCACCTCAATGCCCTGTAGGCAGTCCAAGATGGCCATCGTAGCGACTGAGGTAGAATACCGAAGATGAACTGTACAAGAATTATGGAGTCAGCATTCTAGATCTGGATTCAATACGTCACTGTTGCGATCTCCCGAACTGAACCTTGAAAGGTGGTATATTGGGGAGAAGATTGTGAAATGACTACACTGTGCTGCCTCAGGGCAAAAACTTACAAGGTTGAATGATAAGATCTGAGTGATGAGGGTTTGCAATCTTGATGAAGCTCGAGATCGAGGCTGGGGGAGACGAAGTTGAAAGAGGTTGTTGTTGTATGAGTTTGAGGTTTTTCTCCAAGTGAAGACGGGAAAAAAGTAGGGTATCTTAACGAAACTAGGCGTTGGTTGATGCCTGATTAAGATTGTGGCAATAGTGTCGTTGTGAATGGGAATAGTTGTTAAGCAGTTGTTCAGCTTCGCGAACTTTTCCGCAATACTGCAAGAAGGAGGTAGTATTTCTGCTAACTTCAAAAAGCTTGATCAGTTGCAAAACTTTCCGACTTTATTGAAACCTTTCAAGGGTGCAGTAAAAAACAATTGTTGGAATTTGGATAAAGAATGATGTTGAGTTGTTCATTGTTGCGTCCAGGAAATGGCCAAGTTAGCGTAAACCGGGTTCTCTTGTTGACTCCCACGTCTCAATACTGTCTTATCTGCAAAAGCTCTGATCTACGAGTTTCTTTTCGATATTCATTAGAGGACGGCAAGAAGTATGCAGGAGTTGTCAGATTATGCGGCGTTACGCCTGGCATCCACAGGAAGAGAGCATGAGGATAGCCACCGACGCACCGTAACGCCTTGGCTGAATAGATCGGTTAGACATTGGCATTCCACGGGGGTAATAGCCATAATGTAATTTGACAGCTGGATTGGAAAATCTAGGGAAGATTGGATTGTTGATACCTGGGACTCCAATTGTAATAGGTGGACCGGCCTGTAGGCGCACCACCTCTGGCTCTCCCCGCCAACGGACTGGATTCGAAAGAACAAGTGCAAAAGTGACCTGTGGTAGCAGCACCGCAAGAATAGCAGAAATCACATCCACCAACACACATATCGTGAAGGCTAGCACTGCCGTAGTGATAGCAAGTCCATGAAGAGTAGTTTCATCGGATCTCATGATATTATGTTGCATCCTTCCTTCCTTCCTTTCAATACCATGTCCACATTTCGGACATCTCTTCAACCCTTTATTGGTTATGGTACTTAGTGTATCCTCTAAAGCCTGATTCTCGGCGCACATCTCTTTCCGATTCTCAGGCTCTGTGCATCTTGGGCAGGTTTTCCGTTCGCAGTTTCGGCAAGTTGCTCTCTTCTTGTCAATGTTTTCTTGAGATATGAATACGCCTCACTGTTTATTGGAGCAATAGATCCTATTCTTGGACTCCCCTCTTCGTCTCGAACAGTTTTCGAGTATCTCGGTCGAGGAAATCGGGAGCTTGGGTTAGGGAGACACGCTGCTTGCAACACTTTGAAGGATAGGCTGGATAGCTTGATTCTTCCTCCGTGGCTAACTTGAACATTCGTGTAGTGCATGACGTGCAGAAGTAGTGTTTCAAATGAGCAAAATCATTTTATGGGCGGGGTACTCGTCAGCACATGCTAGGCATAACATCATCGTGGTTGCTCAGCTGCTTGCTTGTGGGTTGTCAAAGTGCGGGTTTTGTTGCTTGTCTCTCTTTTCTAGTCTCGAGACCTTTCTTGCCGTTGTCGTCTTTGAAGACTCGCGGTTGACGTCTTTGATTCCGTTCGCAAGCCAACCCATGGGCTTATATAACTCATCTTTAGCTCCTGGATGTGGTTCTTTGTATTTCGGTGTCGAGCAGTCTGTAGGGTACAAGATTTATGGGCAAGATCTAGGTGGTTGGATGGCCATGAGGTAGGTGATGAAGCCTTCTAGCAAAAGAGAAGAAAAAATGATGGATATGACTGCGGGAATTGGGAATAGACTGCCGGCTGTTCAAAAGACGCAGTGGTCAAAGTCTTTCACGGCATATTCACAAATCATGAAGCGCAAAATGGACAGAAGCAAATTGTTTGCATTGCTGACAGTTAGGAGGGAAAATATAGACTTTGAAAGAAGCTTCGAGAATAACTGTGCCACCGCATAGCCGTACCAGTGGGAAGGGAAAATGTGACTCTTCAGCCAAGAATCATGGTTTTTCGAAATTCGAGTTGACTCGAATCCTCAATTCGTCCATGGAAATGATGAGCAGTTATCAAGGTGCCAATAACGAAAGAACCAGTAGCGAAAGGGAAACACCGAAGTGAATGTCTGCCCCAGAATCCATGGATACCATGCCTTACTGTATGTAAGCTTGCAGATCTCGTGAAATTCTGACATGGCTGCTAGTTCTGGTCAATCGTGCGCAAGCAAAGTTGGAAAGAAGAACTTACAAGCCAATCCCCAACCCTCAGAACTTAGAGACGGTTTCTTCGGCACTGTCTACAAAGTAGAATCTCGCACCGAGTGCATCGGTAGATGAACTCAGGCAAGACATGGTTGCACATATGACACTGGTTGCGTCCACTTAAGCTTTCGAACCAAAAGTGCTCACAATTGAGATTGGCGTGCAACTGATCAGCCATTTCAATGACATCTCTCAACGCAGCAGGTCCAGCTACACCATTTGCACGATTACGAGCCAGGACAGCTTCGTTAGCACGGATGTAGAGACGGTCTTGGTCCCACTGAGGGCATCGACATTTCTTCCAGGGGTGAGCACCGCAGCGGTAGCAGAACTGCATCTTGCAAATACACCTGGAGCCAAATTAGTCCCTATAGAGCTTACAAAGCCAGGAATTCAAACTTACGACATGTGGAAACAGCCATGTGTCAACTCTACCATTCTGCGACAGCCAGGGCATCGAATCCATCCAGCTCGCTGTGCCAACAATAAAAGCTTCTTTCCAGCTTCATCTTCAGGGCAGTCTCCTTTATGAGAAGCATTCTTGCATAAGGTGCAGGTTGTGGCTTGACAGGTGGAGCAGCGTGCTTCATTGGTACCAACCATCATGTCTGGGGACAGAAAAGTTTGACATCCACGACCGGAACAGTAGACTCTATTGGCAGTTCCATACTCAACACCCTTTGCTCGGAAGGTACTCTCAATCTCGGGGGTCAAGCGGACGCCAAGTAATGCTAGAGCGATGGGTTTCTTGCAGCATCGAGGGGGATATAATTCTTCGTCACGGAAGGAGTGGGTGAACAACTCGACCAGACAGTCAAAGCAGTATTTATCTTTGCAAGGGAGGGCTACGAGATCCTTCGACACGAACTTATCTTCGCAGACTACGCAGGGAAATCGAGGAGCTGGTGGAGGCACGGGGACGACTGCTACCGTGGTTGGGGGCGGGACGAGAGCAGCCGCATTTGTTTGTTCATTGGCCTTTCCACTTGTAGGATGTATGACTGGTGCTATAAACTCATTTAGTACTGTCTCTATCAATGTTTTCGCATTGAAAGCATACCTGTGGCAGCGGTACGGCTGGTTGTGGAACGCTGAGCCTGCTCGCCAGCTGGCGCATTTGTGCGACGACCAACTTCGACTGTTGGAAGTGTTAGCTTGACGAACTCTTCATTCCCTGGCAGAGGATGGATGTACCTGGAGTGGCGGTACGGCGGATGTTGGTACGTGGAGCAACGTTACCAGCCAGAGCGATTGCCAAACGACGATCTTGGAGGACAGAGGCGTTCCGCTGCATGTCTTCCTCGAAGAGAAGCACCGCCATCAAGCCTGGTTGATGCTCAGTCTCAATGCGCTTTCCTGGCTGGGCACTGAGAATTGAAGACGTGATCTTCTCACTATCTTCCAGCTGAAGTTGAACTATCAGTCGCGCGGACACATCGTCGATGCCATCGAACAGTCGAGTCATCTCGCGGGAGTCGGGAGAGTTGGAAAGAACAATCTCGACAATGTTTGGGGAGCTGAGGGGAGCGTCAACGAAAGACAGATCACTTTGAGTCGTGTAGTGGTTGCAAGATTGCAAGATCGCGAGGCTAGAAAGTCATGGGGAAAGCGGCGATGGTTGTTGACATCACCGGTTGGGACCTTGTAAACATGACCTAGCGAGAGTGAGGTCATGTGCCATGTTGATAAAAGAGTGTTCGCTCTTCCGCCCTTGACTTTGATTGCGCTAATATCTCACTAAAATTGTCTTCCTATGATCATGTATACGACAATCATCTGAAGAGATTTGAAAGATGGAGATAAAAAGTGTTCTTGCAAGGTGTCTCCAGAAATTTTGTCAATGGACACCTTGAATGCTAAGCGCGAACAATTGACATATCAACAGAACAGAACAAAAGTTCTCATGAACTTGGCCTCGGGGATCTCACTTCAGAGCCAGCTGGAAGCTCTGAAGTCGTGTCGGGTGCAAAGCAGAACAAAACAAAACAAAACAAAACAAAACTTAGCCGAAAAATACACGTGAATCGCCACCCCCTGAATGGAGAGAGCATTCTGATATACGGTGACATGTTTCTCTGTTGACGTCTCCCAGTCCGCATCTGCCGTATTTCTCCCATTTCTGACCAACTTATTGTCCACGATTAGAAATGGAGTTCATCCTAACCGAGACAATCTGTCCTCCGCACCATCCGTTCCAACTTGCATCAAAGTCCATTTCTCCTTCAATCTCGCCACCTGGGAATATCCCGATTCTGAGCTCGGCTAAGATCGAAGCCTTCGATCAAAAGGGATTTCCCCGTTCCGAAAACGTCGTCATCTTGCCACGCCGGCTCTGTTTAGACACATGTTCGCCTCGTGTCGCGCATCCTAGGCAAGAAAGAGACGACATCCCAAGCCGCCTCAACATTTCAGCCTCAGTTCGTGTTGCCGCGAATACTTGACACGGGAGTGATCGGGCTCTCCGTCTGCCTTTCCTCTTCATTAATTTGGTCTGCAATTGCCGGTCTTGGTTTTTTCATTGCCTCGTCTCAAACCACATCCAGAACAATCACATGGCATCCCAACCTCCCCAACGGTTCCCCTCGCCACCCCATCCGGTCTCTTGACTCCATTATTCACGTCTCGTCGTCTCCCTCACACGCGCCCATGAGCCTCATCTGGACTGCGGGACCGACCCAAATCTCGGGACTACCACGGCGTCCGGCATTTCTCAGTATGCCCCACCAGATCCGGATGTGAAAGGCTTGGAAGATGCATCCATTCATCTGTTCGGTATCCACCAACCTTCTAGCTCAACACTAGAACAAATCCCGAGGCAGCGTTGGACGTCGTATCCACTCCCACTCCAACTCACCCACTCTTGTCTCCACCCCCATGTGCCTGTCTCGCCTGTCCAGTAGGTAGTGTCCAGTAGTGTCCACCGCCCAGCGTCACCAGCGGTTCTGGCGGCTGGATCCTCGTCGTCTCAATCACAGGTGAGGGATGGTTGCGGTGGATCAATATCGTAATAAAAACACCAAAATTCCCTCATTCCTGATGCTCACCCCACTAGATGCCAAGATGGTCCCCCCTGCCTTGCGACGACATTACGAGATATTTGCACTTTGCGGTCTAGGCCTTCAGAGGCAATAATGCCATTATTAACGCCGATGGATTTACCAATGGTTCATGTTCATGTTCATGTGCATGTGCTGCTTCTCATGCTGCAGTCAAATGTCTTCCTAGTAATAATGGCTTGAAACGGACTCGGTAGGCATTCCCCTGGGCTGGTGGGTGAAGTTGTGGACTCGAGAAGGCTTGGTCCATGCTGCACAATCACCCTCCCTGTCTGTCTCTTTACACGCTGCCCACCACGACCTCGGGACAAATAATAATAATAAAAGCGGTGACACGGAAATCACTTTGAAAGCTCAAGCCACAATCCCATTCAGTACAGTACTGTCTGTACCAGATGCTGCAGGGACCAGCGCCACATGTCCTTCGCTTCTTCTTCTTCTTCCCCTTATCCGAAATTCCGAATGCTTCGCTTCACCGTTTCACCGTCTAAACAACATCCGGCCATCCTCACCTAGGCGCCTGGACTATTTCGCCCGAGGTCAGGCTAGAGGATATCCAGGAACGGTTGTCAACCACGGCTCTGGAATATCCGTTTAGTGTGAAACTTGTGACTTGCCTTACCCTTTCGGAGATACGAAAGCGGCGAAAGAGAGACTCCCCCTCTCCTTCTGATCATCACTACTGTACTGATCGATGGCAACCACCCTGTTCGAGCGCTAAACCCTCGTTCAGCCCTGCAACCATCGCCAGCCCACCCTTCCAGCGCTCCCAGTCTCCCACCCAAAACATACTTTCCCGGCAGGAGTGCACCGAAACTCTATTTACCAGATACCCAGAGACACACACAGCAAGCCAGGTAACGTGGCATCGCGACGGACACAACACCGCCCTTCGATTTGACAAAAGCAGCGGGCATACCTGACTCGCTAGTCAGGTGGGCAATTCCCAACTGGATTTCCGAGTCTCAAACGTCGGAATAGACACCTAGAACACGATCAACAGAGCTCCGAAAGATGCTGTAACCTTGGAGCTGTGGGGATCTCATACTGTACCGTGCATTGAGTTGCACTCGGCGCAAGTCATAACGAAGTTTGGGGTCGAGAATTACTCCGGAGCACTGCAATATCTAGCACGTATTTAATCACACCGCCAACAGGCAGGTCAACAAATACGCGAAAGTGTGACTACCAACAACAATGTACTCCCCCCACCACTCTCCGACAATCAAGAGCTCCTCCCCCTCCCCTCTCCTCCCCCAACCTTTCAAACAAACCTTGCATTTCCAACTTGGGGGATATGTTCAGACCAGTGTTCTCGCCTCCTTTGATCACTCTCCTCATTCATCTCATTTCGCTCCCACTTTCCATCCTCCTAGTCAATGACGACAACACGTATTAGCATCCCCTGTTACTCTCAAACTCTAATCTGACAGCCAGCCGCATCTACAGAGGTACATGCACAAGATACAGAAAACGGCATTGATATTCATCGACTTTGACAGCGATTCCGAGTCTCCGATTAACCCCCCCCCCCCCCCCTTCATTTCATCTACCTGCTGCGGGACACCTGTCATGCAAGATTGGAGTCCCCGATCATGCCAGGGAGTGGAGTGACAGCCATTCGGTAATGATACAAGGAAAGGTGGGACGGTGATCTCCCCTTCTTTCCCCTTCATCGAACTCCTACCTACTGTAAATTACATGCCACCATCACATAGGGAATTCCGAAACCTAATATTGTTCATCGTATCGTACATCACACTTGTAATATTACACTTCGAGATTTCTTACATTACCTTCCTACCCGACCATGGAATGTACTGTAAGAGAAGGTGGTCTGATCAGTACGAGTCAGTCACCAGGGACTACCCGCTGGCTGTTCCCATCACAATCACATTCCGCTAACCTCCGCCCTCGAACACGAAACTCAAGACATCTGAAGGGAAGAATTAAGGAGTCCGAACTCTTTCAAAGAGTCTCGTCTCAATAATGGTGCAAACGGTGCTGATCTTACCCCTATTTTATCATATCTTTCCTATCCGCGGGGATAGAGTTCTCCAATGACGTGCGGCTGTGACGACGTGAAAGTCAATTCTCCGAGCGATCGCCAAAGCGAGGACGAGGCGTGGCCTTCAGTTCGTGAATGGGCGTACGTCAAGTATTGACTGTGTCCAACCCGGTGCCCCTTTCTTTAATCCGAGGTATTACATAGTATCTTTTGTAGTAGTGATCAGAATATTTTTAATGTTTATTTATTTCAAACACGGACCGATCTTGTCCAAATCTAATACTCCAGACAGACTAACAAGCTTGCTGTCATCTCGCCGTCTTTGCTAAAGTAGACTTCTGACAATAAAGCAAGCAGTTCTTTTTGCAAATAAGCCAGTAACAGAAACAACCTCAGTAATAAACTTCTGACTTCTGTGTAAAGAAAAACTCCAAGAAGCCTGCCAGTCCTGCCTTTCCAATGCCTGACATTCTGTGTCGGGCAGATGTACTGCAGTTCCCCCTCTTCTTGCTCTGCTCCGTCAACTCATCTTGCCCAAAAGAAGAAAGACAGCTTTCCTAGCAAAAAGCAAAGCGGATTCATGAGTCAATGCCCTTTTGTCCGGCCCATATACAAAAGCAAAAAGGGGTCTATAAGCACTCCCTTCCCATTAACGCCCCAACATATCGGAGAAACGACATGAACGTAAACAAAAGAAATGTGTAAACCAATGACTTTTGTATGAGGCGATCTGGACGGATGTTCCGTCAGGTTCGAATATTGACCAGAGAAGAGTAGATGCGTTTCGTTCCGGAAAAGGCGGGAAAGTCGTCGAATACCGTGTCTCGTGTACTGGTGTCCGGCTTCAAGTTTCTTCCCAAATAGATATGTCGTCGTCAATAAACATAGACAAAGCACCATTTCTCTCTATTTCCAGCCCAAAAATTCTTTCCATTTGTTCAAGCCCAATCAATCTATCCGGGGTATTTAATCTTGGGCTCGTGAATCAAATAACTCCGTCCCAATGCAATATTTTGTCGAAGGAAAATAAATAAGGACGCCAGTGTATGTGTTTTTGATGCTGGAAAGAGAGCCGTAAAATGCGTAGCTGAATTAGGGAGATCACATCATGCCTTCTTCGCCAATCCCTGGTAAACCAGGGACATTCATGCCCAGTGGCCCTAAGCCCGCTGCGGCCATGTGACTGTTGAGCTTTAAGTCGGGATTGCAAGGAGGCGAATGTTGCTTGTGCTGCATGAAATGTCAGCCTCGGCTCTAGAACAACCGACATTATGGACTTACGTATTTCAACCCATTCAAATTCTTGTATCGCTTGCCACAAACATCGCATTTGTAAGGCTTCTCCTTTTCCATACCGAGCGTACCAGGATAAGGCGCGGAAGTCTCAGGATTGACAATTGAAAATGTTCCATCGCCATTTTCGTGTAATTGTTGTGTTTGATGGCCATGTGTTTTGTGATATCTGAGACATGTTAGCATCTCTGCATCACGATAATTCAAGACTACTTACTTGAGACCGTTCTGGTTCTTGTACGCCTTTTCACAGCCAATGACTGGACATCTGAATGGCTTGTGCTCTTCTCCCATCATCATACCGGCTTGAGGCATAGCATTCATGGCCATCATTTGCTGCTGCCGATAAGCGCGCATCAGCTCATCGTTGTTACCAAATTGACCTTGTCCTAGACCGAATTGCGCAAATTGCTGCTGTAGACGTTGTTGGGTGAACCCATTTGGGCTGTATAGTCGCTTGGCTGGCTCGTCTATGCACAAGTCCAATGACAAACTATCTGATCCCATTCCGAATGGATAGTTCATATTTGACAAGTTCATATTCATGTTCATCCCCATATTGTTCATATTCATTGGCATGTTCGCAAATGCATCTTCCATTTCTCCTGCCGGTGTACCTGGGACCGAGGTCTCGGGCGAGAATTGGTGTGATTGTTGCTGGATCGGTTGGGCGCTGAGCGTTGGGGTATTTACCGATGAAACGGTCGGATTGTTCTGGAAACCAAACCCTGCAGTAGCTGGGGTGGGTGGCTGAGATGTTCGAAGCCCAGAATGTTGCATCCCACCAGAGTTCAGATTGAGATTTGGTCGTGGCTGTTGACCAAAAAATGATTGCTGTGACATCTGGGGTTGTTGGTGCATTTGCACGGGCGTATCTGGTGGGTTGTCCATGGGGCCTACAGCATCGTCCATCTCCATATCTTCCACACCATCCATGTCTTCCAATGCGGGCTGTACGTTCTTTTGAACAGGAGTCGAGGGTTGCGATTGCTGTTGCTGTCGCATCAGCTGGATTCCACCCACACTTGGTCCGCCCTGTGGCATCTGTAATCCCGGGGCTCGTGGTGGCTGTAGTGTTTGATTCTGTTGCTGCTGGGCTTGTTGCTGAACTGCTGAAGCAGCCTGAGCCGCGATGGCTGCTTTGCTATTGGGAGTCGAGTTCTCTCGGGCCCTTGCCGCGGCAGAGGCTGTACGCAGCGATTGTGGTGTTTGCTGTGCATGTGCTTCTTCGTAATGTTGCAACAGATCGTGGAGAGTCGGTAGTGTCTGGCCACAGCATGCGAAATCTCTCATGAAATTTGCTTCTAGCTTGGGTAGATATGAAGAAGAGTGATAAGATGGCGACTGATAAGGAAATGGCGAGGTCCCCGCCATGATAATGCTATACACAGTCAGTTGCTTGCCAAAGAGCGGTGGCGCACGAGCAAGACTCGAGACTTGATACTCGGATCGGAGGGACCAAGACGCCAAAATGTCTTCTGTAGTAAATTGCAAGCTTACTCGTCTCTAATCCAGCTTCCGACAGAAACGCCTCCCCAACTCATGCCTTGTACCAGGCTTCCAGCCAAACTTTCTCGCCGCGGCCGACCATCTGCATTTCTGTTTGGGTTGTTCATAGAGATGGGTTTCGCTCCTGCGAATGAGTCCTGGCGGCCTCTGCCCATCCCATTCTCAAAATTATTGCCGCTCATCATGGCGGAGGTTCGTGAGTCGGGATCGAGGAAATTGGTGGTGGGCTTGACGCCGATGCCTTGTGATGACGGAGAGGACGACGAGTTTCTTGTGGGTGTGGCGATGTCGATAGGAGAGGTCATCTGCATCGTAAAAGCGTCGCTCTCAGTATTGTCGTTGTTAGGAGTCGGCGGCTGATTGTTCGAGAATGGAGAACTGGCATTCGAGTCGACGGAATGACCTTCAAGATCGAGGGCTCCCGCTGGCGATGACAGGCCGGCGGCGTCTTTTGGTGCAGAACTCGCGCTAGTGTATTTGGATAACCAATCGTTTAGGCCGCCCATAACGATCCACTGGGCTACCACGGCTTGTTCCTGAGAGGCGACGAAGGCGAAGGGGCAAGAATCGAAGAGCGATTAATTATTAGGAGGCGTCGGAAGCGGCTTTGGGGAGGCCGGATCGTGTTTATTAGAAATATGGGTAAGGTAAAGTTGGAGGTGGTTTCGCAAGAAGCAGTGTTGTGGTGGGGGGAAAGTAGGTACTTGACGTCGAGCAGGACTTTGGTTCGGGGCCCAGGGCAGGGTAGGGCAGCAGCGTTTGTTATGGTCCCGGACTGAAGGCAGCGGCAATACAGCGGAAGACCAGACCAGACCAGACCAGACAGGACAGAACTGAACTGAACTGAACAGAACAGAACAGCACGAGGCAAGCAAGGTAGGTAAGGTAGGTAAGGTAGGGCAAGGAATGTAAAGGCAGACGGGGGAAGACGGTGAGTAATAAGTCTGGTCGACCGTCACTTCTTGCAGGGCAGACAGACAGACAGACTAGGTAGCCAGGAAGTGCCAGAGGGAGACGAGACGAGACCTGAGGGTCGCCTCTGCTGATATACCTACCTACCTACCTAGCTTAGAGAGTTCTACCCTACCAAGCCTGCCTCCTACAAATCTACCTCTCCCGGCGGTGTACGGCTCATCCAGAGCACAAGGCGAGCCGGCCCAGGCAGTCGGGCCAGATTCAGGATCGACCGGCCATCCTGTTCTTGGGAACCACATTATTGTACTCACTCACTCACTCACTCACTCACTCACTCACTCACTCGTACTCGCACTGGTGGTCAAGACTTTCTCGCCTGCTGGAGCCGTCTGAGTCGCCATGAGCTGCTACTGCAGCGCTGCTGTAGGCTCGCTCACGTTCCTGCGGCAGCACGGCTTCGTCCTGATCTCACCAGACTGCTTCCAGCATGGTCCCCGGCACGAGTGGCACAGGCAACGCTCGCCCGGCTGTTGTTTGCTGCCTGCCTTGTCTTGGACTCCTGGCAATAACAGCAATAAGGTACGCAGTTGGACATTATTGGATCTTGCGTTGGTATGCGCCGCTGTGGATTGAGATTTTAGGTTCATGCTTGGGAGCAGGATGGAGTCGAATGGACCCCTAATTATGTTTTGGAAAACCCTTGCCCTTGCTATTGTACTGTATGCACGGTGGATCCAGGTCGAATAATCTTGATATATGGAAACCTAATGTCCTTCCAGAATCCCCATTGTTTCCATCAAAGCACGGCCAGCTACAGGATGCAAGCAAGTCGAGTCAGAAACATGACGACTCGTGTTTTTTTCGCTGGTTCATCCCCAGTTAGTTAGGCTACTGAGCCAGAAGCCGATTCGATTCAAGCCTCCATGCAGTGGCCATGCACACGTCTTACTCTCCACCTGGATCGATGCATTTGGTAAGCCTAACGACGAATAGGATGATGCTTGACCTTGGAGCAGCATTTGATGGCCGTCGACCTCAACCACCTGGTCGTCATGCGTGGTTTAATGGACCCATTCCACGAAGTTGTACCGTAAATGATCGTCGAAGAATAGATCTCCTCGGATCTCCGTAACAGTAAACGAGGACGATACGGCCGAGTTTGCTCGACCTAGAGACTAGACTTTCATGTACTCCCATCGGCTGTTTTCCTTACTACCCTAGGCACTCAAAGAGTTGGGCGGAACTCTGATTCTAGAAACTCAGAATGCTCTACATCCTCTTAAATGCTTAGGATAATCTGCCGAATGAAAATGGGTTGTCAGCTCCAAAGAAATGCAGGTACTGGTTACAATCGGAGTTCTCCGGATATCAGGGATATCAGGGATATCTTCTGAATTGAAGGGTTCGGGTGACTGGAGGATAGCACTTCAAACGTCCAAAACGAGCGAACGACATCTGGAATATGATAGAAACTCGTGTCAATGTGCAATGGGATGCATATTCGGGCATTTATGCCCTGTAGACAATTCTGCCTGCGTTTTCGAGTCCTCAAAACACCATGATGCATTCGCATTTGAGGGCGGGACATCCAGATTTTGTTGTCCTGGCCAACTGCCCAGGCCCTGCCGTACGTCAACCTCTCGATCCCTAGACTATCCAGATGCACAAACCTTCAAATCCCAGTCCAAGAGGATGAGATTATTTCCATCTCGAGAGTGGATTTTAATACGTGTCAGAGTCAGATAGGATTACTTGCTCGCGTGCGCTATTTATAACATATACATACATCTCCTCGTCTGTGTTCATAAATCATTGAAGCATCGCTTAGTAGACACCGAAGCAAATCCACTATCTGGAGGAAGAATTCACTGCCTGCAACAAAAAAAGCGAAACACCGACTCCTCGCTCCAGCCCTTTCTTTCGTTTCTCCGTCGCCAACACCGAATCCAAATGAGACCCCAACATAACACCAAAGCGTGATATAGTATCCAGCTCTGCCTGGCTATACATCGATACTGAAATGGCTGATCTGGCTGTAATAAGCATGTACGGCTAACTCCAAAATCTGCACATCACCAAACACTTCTCCTCCATCAAAGCCACCGACTACAATGAGCCGACTATCATGCAGCACAGTCCCATGGTAACCTCTTGGTCGTGGTGGCATCCCATACACCTTCCTCTTATCCCATACCATAGTCACAAGGTTCAGTAACAGGACTTCGTTACTGTACTCCACACCATCATGGCCTCCTATCACAAAGAGATAAGATCCTACGATGGTGGCTGTGTGACTGAGTCGTGGATATGAGATTGGGATATGTACTGGTGAGAAAACCTGGGTCTCAACATCGAAGACCCAGACGTCACGAAAACATTCCCCACCATCACTGCCTCCAAAAATGATAAGTTTCGACCCAACCATATTCGCTGTGTGATATCCTCTGGCCTTGGGTTTCGACTTGTCGTCTGAGGATGCAGATGACGGTGCAGAAATCAATTTCCATGACATCTTGTTCGTGTCTGCAACATCCAGCCTCCACACATCGTTCAACGCCCTAACGCCGTCTCCTCCACCAAAAACATATATCCCATTGCGCCATAAGCATGCTGTATGTGCCCTCCTCTTACTCGGTTGGCGATCTCCTCCAATCTTTGGCTTGCTCCATTTGAAGTTAACAGTGTCTAGAACATATACGTCGTTATAATATGCCGGTCCATCGCCACCTCCAAAGATAATTAACTTCTTTCCCACTGCTGTACAAGTCATGGCTCTTAATGGAACCGGGATGTCTCCACAGACATATGGACATGAGAAGTAGAATGCATCTGCATCCAGAACATACAGTTCATTAAAACAGGACCTAGAATCGCAGCCTCCAAATACGTACACGTTTGATCCAATCAAAGTCGTAGTATGTGCTCGCAACGATGTATGTGAAGCTCCAGACACAGGTGCACGAGACCAGTACATACCACTTGCTGGTGCTGGCTCAACATCTGGCGCTGTTTTTGGGTCTGGTAGGGGTGGGAAGGGTATATGTGGACCTCGGGTTGGCCTTTGGGCTGGTGTAGTATTACGCGGAGGGGCAGGAGATGTTCCTCCTTCTCGTGGTTTGGATGCTATCGCGGATGTTGATCGAAGATTGAGGGGTCTTCGCGGATCTGGCATGACGGCCAACGGACCAGGAGTCTTAGAAACTGGTGGGGAAGTCGGCGTCTCTGGTTTGGGAGTTTGGGTACGTGACGAAGAAGGCTTCGAGGAGGGTGGTTTCGATGTGGATGGTGAAGATGTATCTTTCTGAGACAGAGACTGTGAGCGTTGTCGGAGTGCTAGATCCGAAGCCTTCTTCCTCCTATCTTGACTCTTGGTAGATAGATGTCCGGGTGTGTGGCTCCTAGAGGGAGCCGGTACGTCTCGCGGTGGTTCTGCATCTTCTGGAATATCTTGTGGTCTGGTGTCGGAGGGAGACAACTGGATGATTTTCTGCGAGCGCAGCAGCTTGCTTGATTTTGCCGTTGGCTTCGTCGCCTTGTCGGGAGATTTCTGCGAATCAGCCATCTTGTATGCGCCGTAGATTCTTGAAGGGCCGGTCAGTACTGCTCATTATTGTCTGTGCCGAGACGATTGCGATTCGAGGCTGATGGCTGTTCTGGAAAAGAGGATCGAGGCAGCGGCTGAGCTTGGGAATGCTGAATGTGTCGGTGTCGCATCAGAGGTTGTTCCCCCTGTAATAAGTTTCAGCTGATCTGCATAATGCATCATCGGGCAATCGACTGGAGACAATGTTTGGCAGCTTCCATTACCAAGCAGCCAAGGAGGGCAAGAAGAATTGAAGATATAAGTCCACAATTCCACAGATGTTGGCCTCAGACGGTCATCTCCTCTGCGGGGAAATGGTGTTTACTAGAGCTTGTCCAAGTTTCAGGGACAGGCACCTTTGACGATCCAGGAACCAGCAGAAGTAGCGATGGCTTGGGCGGCGTGGTTGGTCAGAGGCCAGTAAGAAGTCAAAGCTCCGCCACAGGCCAGATTCAAGGGATAGCATATGTGGCTGATGAAGAAGTGCGCTAAGATAAGGTAAGCTCGATAGAAAAAATTGAGGGGCATCAAAACGACGAGGGCGAAGCAGTCAAGTTAAAGCTACAAAGTATGTCCGTTTGAGTCTCAATTGTTTATCTGAGATACAAACGCTGCCGCATTCTATTTCTCACCTTCATCTCGCTATCATCAACAACTATCCTGTGGACCTATCAACACTGAAATCGCAATTGAAGCTCCCGTCCTGCCCAGGCCAGTGCCCGACAGGGCACACGACAATCAAGCACAATGGCAGACAACGCCCCAATCCAGGAGGAGACTCTGAAAAGATCTTTAGATTCCGACATAAAGCCAGAATATCCGCCGCAAACTATCCTTCCAGAAGACTCAGCTGTTACCAAAATCGAGAAAGCCGAAAGGAATGGTTCAATCAAACAGGAAGCATCAGAAGAACCAGCAGCCAAACGAGTCAAAATTGAGCAGCCTGAAACTGAGCTGAATGGGCAGAGCAAGCAACTTACTGATTCGAGGGACAAAGTTAGAGGTGTGGCGTTGGTAAAGCCCGAGTAAGTTCTAACAAAGCCACTGTCCTATCCTCTTCTCACAAAGACACTGACAAAAAGCAAAGATACCTCATTGATACCTACAAAAGAGGAGGCGAGCCAGCAAATGCAGCGGAAGATGATGACGCTGCAGAAGGCCGACTCCGAGCTGATGATCGAGACAACAATGAAGCTGGTGGCAAGAAGAACAAGAAGAATAAAAAAAAGAAGGAGAAGGGCCAAAATAAAGGCCGTGAATTTGGATCATGGTACGATGCTATCAGACTTTGTAGTTCGCGAGCGACATCAGACGAATTCTCCCCCAAGAATTGCGATTTCGGGGACACATGCAGATGCAGCCACGATCTTCGAACATATCTAAAGGATGGGAAGCGGGAAGACCTGACAACCTTCGAAGGAAAGTGTCCGGTATGGGAGGTCTACGGTGTTTGTCATGCAGGATGGAAATGCAGATTCGTTGGGAGCCACTCAAAAGAAATTGAGAGAGAAGATGGTCGAAAGGAATTGGTCTTGACATACCGTGATGGGGCTGACACAACGGGGATCGAGGGTGAGGATCGTAAGGGAGTTTACAATGTTGTTGGCACGAAGGACAAGTTGGATCTTGCACGGAGACGATTCCCGACAAACAAGTCCGAAGAATACACCAAATGGTTAGACGAGGACCAGCGAGAAATGGAGAAAATTTATCACAAGAAGAAGCAAGAGGATGAAGGCGAAGCTCGGGAAGAGAATCGGGCACAGTTTAAGGATCCGCCACTTCTGCCCTCCGAAAAGAGACGAATCTACTTTGGTCCAGAAACTCCTGTTTTGGCACCTCTGACAACGCAAGGAAACTTGCCATTCCGAAGAATGTGTGTTGAGTTTGGAGCACAGCTCACTTACTCTGAGATGGCTATGTCGACTCCCTTGATCCAAGGTCAGAAATCTGAATGGGCTTTGATGAAAGCTCACGAGAGCGAGATATCTCCACCTCGGTATACTCCTACTTCAATTGTTCAAGGGTATGATAACTCCAAGGACCTGAAATTCGCTACACAAATATCAGCAAGCAAACCTTGGCAAGCTATTAAAGCAGCTGAAATCATGGCGAAGCTTCTCCCAAATATCCGGCTGATGGACCTTAATTGTGGATGTCCAATTGAGATGGTCTATCAATCTGGTGCTGGTTCAGGGTTGCTTGACGCCCCTTCAAAGCTGGAGAAGATGATTCGAGGCATGAATACTGTTTCTGCAGACATTCCTGTCACAGCAAAGATCAGAATGGGCACTAAGACTGAGAAGCCTACTGCAACCAAAGTTATTGAGCGACTGGCCTTTGGCGGGTTCGAGTCCAGAGAACGACTTGGGGCGCCAGGATGCGCGGCAATCACTCTTCATGGTCGATCTAGGCAGCAAAGATATACAAAGAACGCTGACTGGACATATATCGCGGAGTGTGGAGCTTTGATCGAGTCTTACAACAAGAAGAAAGCTCAATTGACCGATACAATCCAAGAACCAGATGCGCGGACTCAAGCTAACACAAAGGATGGGAGGATGTTCTTCATTGGAAATGGTGACTGCTATTCACATGTTGACTATCTGGATCATATCCAGAACGCACGAGTTGACTCAGTCATGGTGGCAAGAGGAGCATTGATAAAGCCCTGGATCTTCGAGGAGATTGAACAAGGACAATACCTTGACAAGACCGCATCCCAAAGGCTTGGCTATGTTGAGAAGTTCGTAAAGTTCGGGCTTGAGGCATGGGGATCTGACGAGGTTGGCGTTGGTCAGACCCGACGATTCTTATTGGAGTGGTTAAGCTTTGCACACCGATATGTTCCCGTTGGAATTCTCGCTCATCTTCCCCCAAGTCTGCAGGATAGACCTCCTGCGTACAGAGGCAGAGATGATATGGAGACTCTACTTGCTAGTGATAACTATTTGGATTGGATAAAGATCAGGTATGTGTTGGCGATCTCTATTCGTTTATTTTTGCTTACTTGTTCAGTGAAATGTATCTTGGTCCTGCTCATAAGGATTTCAAGTTCCAGCCCAAGCACAAGTCGAATAGCTATGAGATTGAGGCAGAGGGTTAGATACGGGAACTCATACCATGCCTTAGCATTTGCATACATTCTTCTCGGCTGCATAAGACAGAGTCAATGTAGAAAGACATACCTAGTAAACGGTGCATCTGGGGAAAGGAATGACCTAGAGTAAACAGCCGTTTGCTCGATGAAAAACAGACATTATGAATGCACAATACCATCTTCCTCTTGACTTTTCGTCTTCGATAACATTGTGCTCCGCTCATACTCGTAGGTTACATGCTTCTGCTGCCCATCACGTGAAATGCGCCACTTCCACTAGCGGGAAATTCCTTGCTGGGCACAGCTGATGACGTTGAGAGCTCCAAAGCTCCCGGCAAAGCCACACCACCACACGACCACATCCTGTTGCAGCATCTCGCTCTCTTCAAAACATAACACCTCTTCGACTGGTAAGAAACTCGAGATAAAACATCTGCGAGAGCTCGAAACAAGAGTAAGCTGCCCCTTCACTGCCGTGTCAGTCTTTTGCAACATTGAGATATTCTGTTGCTTTGGGTTCCTGTGCGGAGCCTTGTATCAACAGTTCAACTAACCAGCTTGCATCAGGACACGATCGAATCTCGAGTATCTCGAACGAAACGACATAAAATCATACCAAGATGACGCTCTACTACAGTCTCGTAAGTCTCTACAATGGCTACACCACCGCAGAGCCTCAATGCCACGGCTGCGGAAATGCTTGCAAGACGGGCACCAGCTAACCACACCACAGGTCTTCTTGCTCCTGGTAGCAGAGATGACGCTCTTCATGCTCCTCATCGTGCCCCTACCCTTCACCATCCGCCGCAAGATGTTCACGTTCATGTATGGTCAATCCCTTCCGCACGACCAGGCGCGAGCTAACGGCCTTCTAGCAGCGAAAGCCCCTTTGTTGCCAAACTTCAATATGGAATGAAAATCACCTTCATCTTCATCTTGATCCTCTTCATCGACAGCGTCAACCGCGTCTACAGAGTTCAACTTGAGCTGGCCGATACCAACAAGACACCTGGGTATGTTTCCCACACTGCATTCCCACAAAAGGAAAACATAACAGGGCTAACACCCCATTAGAGCTGCAGTTATGGGCCATGAGCGCATGGAAGTCCAAGCCCGCAAATTCTACTCCCAGCGTAACATGTACCTCTGCGGCTTCACGCTCTTCCTCTCCCTCATCCTCAACCGTACCTACACCATGATCTTGGACGTTCTTCGCCTTGAGGAGAAGGTCAAGAAGTACGAAGGTGATCCAAAGGCTTCTGGAAAGGAGAGTGAGAAGTTGGCTAATGCAGGAAATGCTGGGGAGATCGGCAAGCTAAAGAAGCTTTTGGCTGAGAAGGATCGTGATTTGGAGACCTTGAAGAAGCAGAGTGAGGGCTTGAGCAGAGAGTATGGTGATTTGAGTGATAAGTATGGCGCTGCTACGGGTGCCGACTCTACACCAAAGAAGAGCAGATAAGCCATGCAGATATCATCGGGAGGCTTATCGGAGTAGATTAGGACGAGTGCAGAGGGAATGAGGGATGCCGGATGAGTGGAGTAAATTCATATGGATGGGGATACCAGTTGTCATGTGGTAGGGTTTCGTGTAGGGTTTTGGCGAGAGGTGTATTGGTGGAGCATCTTTGGAGTGGCCGGAGAGGGGAAAATAAAACAGTTTTCATTGGCGTCTACGATTTCTGGTTTAGTAAATTATAGGTCATCAATGGTATTGCCAATTCATGCGCAGGCTCCTCGCCAATGTCACAAGTCTGTGCAACCTTGTTTTGTATAATCATCGATTAACCTATCTGCTTTTCTATGCAATTGTACTTTTAGCAGAAATCTGCCTGCAATGTATTGTGAGTCGCCCAGGTGTCTGGGCTCATGTTGGGTTAGTACCCAGAGTGTTGCCCATAGGCATATCAATCATATCAATTCCTTTGAACTGGCGAGGCGAAGAAGCAAATTGAATGAGACTAGTAATGATAGCTCTCGCCCCCAGCGGCTGATCATCTCAAGGATGACCACCATGAATTTCCTCAGTCCTTGAACCCCGAAGCAGACTTAATCGAGACCCAAACTGCTCTTTGGAAGTCCCCGATATCCAATCGTCGTAACCTCCATAGAGGCTGTAAACTTTTGAATCTCGCGAATTTTGACCCCATCTCAATAATCTTCTTGTGCGACAAACAGACCTTGGTCGTCGTCAACATCCGTGTACTTCACGCCGCCGCGACGACGAGCCCAGTGATCTCTGTACCTTCCTGGTACATTAGCTGCAAAACAGTCATCGTCACTATCGCTGTCCTCCATAACATTACGGCGACGCGCGCTGTAATTTTCGTTGCTTCCTGGTGTATCAGTAGCTGCATTCGCCTCGTCCTCACCTTCGTTCTGTTCTTCGTCTTGTTCTTCAACTTCCTCGTCATCATCACTGATCAGATCTACGACCCCATTCTCGTCTACTTTGAACTTCTTTGATGGTTTCTCTTCCGCATCGCTCATGGGCCGCTTCTCACTACGCTCCTTCTTGACCTTCGACTCGCTGCTCTGGTTGCCTGCTTGAGCCCTCTGCCACATAGTAAACATCTCTGCGACTTGCTCGGGGGTCATCTGAAGCATCGGATTGCCTGCTCCCATAGGTCCAGTTGGGTGATTTGGAGATGGAGGTGGTGTCGGAGAATCGTCACGAGGTATGATGTGCATTTGCTGGAGGGAATCTAAAACATGTGAGCGGTTGAGCATCTTCACGAAGGTGGGTATGCATACCAAAGTCGCGGTATGTGAACTTGAAAATGGCTACTGGCCAGTCTATGCCATCCTTCTTCTCACAACGAAAGACTGGGCCTCTGGCGGTTTTCTTGGATTTGCCTAATCTGAGAATCTTGTTAGTGACAAGGAACTTTGTCACCACGCTGTGATTCCTGGCAGCGTCACTTACGTGACTGCATGAGACTTTGCCGTCCCCTTCACAGCTTTCTCTGTGACTTTGGCTTGACTCTTCTCCAGAAATGGATTTTTCTGAGGAATTGTAACTTGTTTTCCCCCAGCTCTACCGGCTGTTGCATTGTACACTTTGATAATGATGGTGCCCTTTTTCTTCATTCGCTCTATTTCCTCTTTGATTATCGAGCTTTGGGTGATATCAGAACCTAAAACCAATTCATGTCAGCGTCGAAAGTCAGCACACACAGAAGTTTGGACTTGCTGGTCTGGATTTTGAGGAACGAAAATTCCCTGGTTGTGCAGCCATGTCCCTTGCCATTCTTCGGGCCAGTTAAAACGTCCGTCCACTCAGCACCATCTTCATTGTGCTTAAACCATGGACGGGCACAGATGAGTGTCCAGGCATGAATTCCATCCACCTCAACATCCATGGTTAACTTTGGATGTGCCATATTCGCGTGACCTAGAGGACGACCGACAGTCATCTGAATGCTGAACTTTTGACCAGACTTGGACTCAATGTACTTGGAGACGGTATGCTTCATTTGGTGTCTTCTGATAGCAGGATCCTGGTGTTCGACTTGGATCTCGTCGGGGTCATCGAACTCTTGAGCCGGCTCCCCATTGATCAAGATTTCAGCTGTAAGGCCTTCAACAATATCGAGGACTGCCATGTCTGACCGTTCTGAGTTGGCTTTACTCGTTTGGAAGTAGGTTTGTACTCGGTAGGAGGTAGATGGAGGAGATATTCGAGATGTTGTTGTGACTAAGGACTTGGATGAATATTGAGAAAGCTGGGGTCAACGCGGTTGCTAGATCTGCGTTTTCTCTGGTCAGCACTTGAACCGAGTTCAAGGAAGAGGTAGGTTGAATATTTTGCGGTAAGGAGAAGAATGTTTGCCCGTAGCTTTGCCCCCAAAGGAAGGCGTATAAGCCCAACCGGCTCCAGAAGTATCTCTGAAGGTGAAAGATATGCTTTACATTTTGCGAAGTAATCAGAGTATGAGCTTATATAGTATTCCAAAGGATGAGAGGGTATCATCCGATGATCTTGCCTTCTCAACGTAGAGTTTTGCTTCAGCTGATGTCTAGATGGGATGTTGAGGCTTTGGATTTAGATGCTCATGGAGTTCAGACATGGGAAGTTGATTGAAGATTGTAGATTGAATGTTTAGCAAATAAGCCCATGGGAGCGCTGCCTCAAGCGAGGAAGAAAAGCACAAGAAAGTGAATTTCGATCAGCAAAGTCATGAAAGAAACAGCTGAAGCTGAAAAGATGTGCTGGGTTTGACGGACTGATGCGAAGATGACTTGCGATAACAAAGCTCAAAAACTAGCCACTCCTCCCAGGTTGGCAGGCAATGTCTCTGAGCGGAAAGAGCACGTAAAACCGTCGCTCAATCCATTGAGGTGGACGTTACAAGCTTCTGAACTAGGATATACCCCAGAAAGGAACGCCTCAGAGTGTTCTAAGTAGTGATGATAGAATCGTCGCGAGCCTCTACGAAAGCTAAGCGAAAATAAACAATGGATGTGCTGGGTAAACGCGCTTGGCCAACCAACACTTCTCTACGGTAGAACTTCTGTTCACAGCTGTATTTGCAGTTTTGATCCTCTTTCGTAAAATCCTCATGAAGTGATAAAGTGCATATCACTTGTTTCGATACACACTTATCGGACATTTGATAATTTATATTCATGCTGAATCGGACCCAGTCCATCGAAATAGCATTTATTGGCATTGCAGATGATATTCAAGACTGGGGTGGTTCTCAAATACTAGTTTCACTCTGATATGACTGCTCAGCCGTCCAAAATTCTACAGGTTGATATTTGAAAGGTGGAGAGAACCATGCATGTCAGATCATTGGCGGTCAAAGTCGCATATTGGTTGAAGGACTTTGAAGAAGTTATGGTAAAGATACCAGTCTTAGAATAAACCCATGCAATTTTTACCCTTCATCATTCTCTACTGTCGCAGTTCCTGATTTTCAGAACGCCAATGGAGCCACAGATCTTGTACGACAACAACAACTCCCTCTAGCTTTCCAGTTCAATAACAGAATGGTCTCCTTCATCATCAGAGGTAAGATCAATGATGAGTTTCCCAGGTAGCTTCCTCTTCTGCTTCTTTTTCTTCGTAGGCGGAACTCCAGCCTCTGAACCATCTGGGTCCCGCTTCATGCCGGGAATGAACCCAACATCCGGTTTGATGTCAGGTACTGATTCAGGTGCCTGAAATGAATCAATTAGTATGAGTAAATATTACTTGGGCTGGTTTACTTACCACTGCGCCAAGCATTGCCGCTCTGAGCACTTCATCCAGCTCCCTCTTATGCCTCTCAATCAAAGCTGCATACGTCTCAACCCGGAAAGCGGCTCCTGGAGTATTAGGGGTTGGACTTGAGCCAGACGCGACTGATGGGCTGGCTGCAGGAATTGGAGCAGCAATTGGAGTAGGTGTAGTCGCTGGTGTTGGGACTTCGATATGAGGAGGCGCTGGTGAGGACTCGGGAGATGGGGTGCGAGGGATAACACCGAGTTCCTTGAGGGCTTCTGAATAAGATGGTCAGCAGGTACCTTCAAGCACTCAACCCGAATCTTCCTACTCTTAGATCGATACTTGAATTTGAATAACCCAATAGGATATTCTTCTCCGTCAATCTTCTCTGTGATGAACATCTTCTCATCACCAGCAGGTTTTGCATCAGAGAGACTAGGTGATGAAGTCAGCAGTTCATTCGGTTTTAGAGGCGCTGTTGAACTCACGATGATCCGTGTGATATGTTTTCCTTCACGGTGACCTTGGAGTGATATGTTTTACTGAAGTCCGCCTTCTTCATATCTTTCTTTGTCTGGAGTTCTTCAGATGGGGATCGTTTGAGCTCCTCTCCGGTACACCGGGCTCGATAGACTCCAACTTCGATCAATCCAACAGATTCTAGTACTTTCTTTTGTTTCTCAATGGCTTTGCTGAGAAGCTGCTTTGAGGCTATGAAGAGTCAGCATACAATGGTCCATACGAGGATGGGGTACGGACTGGTCTTTATGGCGGTAAAGGTCAATGATAGAACTATAGCTTCCTCTCCATTGAAGATCACTGGCCCCTCTACCTCATCATCCCAGAATTTGTCTTCATAGTCTGCCTGTAATAACAGTGGGGCCTTGATGAAGTTTCCATCGACTTCAACATGGAATATCAGGTCAGTGTCTTTCAGATCATAAGGATCTGAGGCTTTTATGTAGATGGTGAATGTCTTTCCGGTCGTGGACTGAACGTAGTTCGTTTTGGTGCAGCCCTTTTGATCTTCGATGACTGTGGGATCCGGATGCTGAATCTCATCGTTCTCTGTGGCAATTTCAGCGAGCGGTTCATCATCGACACACACAACGACCTCGATGCCGGGAAGGATATCAAGGACAGCCATTATTGCTGGTGAATATGTTTCGTAAAGCTTATAAAAGTCAGCAGTCAGCACCAACTGCTGATGTACCAATCGAAGCTGAGCATCAGCACAGTCATGTTTGCAGGAAATCCATTTGTAAGAGAGAACACTTACGGATTGTATCGGCAAGGATATTGATGAAGTATCCGAACGAGTTGGGTTGAGATTAAGAATCTAGATTGCGGGTAGAGGAGAGGATTTAATGGGTTTCTGGGAAGCAATATCAGGTAAAAATGATGGTTGCTGAAGATATTCCCTTCGAGAGGACAGCTCCGAGATGAAGTGAAGAGAAATGGATCCTTGCTTCACTTGAGAGGATCGATCCGAAGTAAAGTGAACAGAATATGATCTGTTGCTGAAGAACGAGAGTATTACGGTCCGCTTGTCTGACGATCGTAGAAAGAAGTTGGGGGCGAGAGCATCCAATTGTTGTTGCAGGTTCTCTGATAGCATTCCATCAAGTCAATTCATCTCCTTGCTTGACCACTCAAAAATCACATGATGAGCTGCTCACACGTCTCAACTCCAGCATGACACTTGTGAACTCTGCAAAATGATCAGCAGGATCACGAAAAAGTCTTCATTTGATAAGATTGACCCACCCAGGAGCTCTTCAATGTCACTCATTTTCACAACACAGTTCCTCAGCCCGTTGTCCCTCCACCACCAAAATCCGCCATCGGATACACCTCTCCCATCCCGGCCATGCCCTGAAAATTCGACATATACCATGGATCCAGCAACATATCCCAGTTGATATCCATGCCATTCAAATCCGCCGGCGCATCTCCCTGGCCCTCTCCCACATCAGCAACTTCCAGCATGCCCAGTTCAAGCCTCTTTTTCCTCATCGAGTCCCTCAGCAGAATCTTCGCCGTATTGACAGCTTCCTGAGCCATATGCGTACCTAGCAATCTAGATATCTTCTCTAAGACACTCATTGCATTCGCAACGTTGGAAAGGCTGTCTGCTGTATCGAGAGCGAGAAGGACGCAGACGTATTGAAAGACAGTGCACAGGACATTCCACCAGAATTTATTCTCTTCGGCGAGCTTCAAAGCTGCGTTTATAGCAACATTTCCGATGTCAATCAATTTCAATACATCCGATTTGTCGATACTGAGCTTCAATAATCGATGATGCCGATATAACGACATACATAGATCAGCTTTAGACATTGATACGAATGGGTGCGTGTCCTGTATCAATTTGGCTTTCTCTAACGTGCCGTGTAAGTTGAGATCCTGGCCATCTGTAGTATCCTTTGGTACAAGCTCGACAATAGTATGCAGCTGCAGGCCCGGATCATCTGGGGGATACCGCGGGACTTTACAAGTGATGTTTGAGAGCGAAATACCAGATCGTCCGTACTCGTAGGATACCATCATGTTGTTCCGCCAAGCAGTCCAGAATATCCTCCGGACTAATTCGCAGAGTCCTTGGCTTTTCAAAGTGCTCTGTGCAGTCTCCGGTTCCGTCAGAGCTATCTGATCGATTTCCATGTGCAGTCCTGTTGCTTCTGCTAGATGGATGGTCGTACAGCTCGCAAGCCATGCGAGATGAGGCCGAGTCGTTGCCCTCAAGTAAAGAGTTCTTAGAATCCACGCGGATACATGATCGATGGTAGGTTGGAAAGTTGGATCCTCTAGGATGCCCTTCGCATGGAGTACCAACTCCGCCTCCCTGGGACATCCAAGCCTCGCGGAGAAGAACGACCCAAGAGCAGCAACACCCGCCATGATGGCCTCAAAAATCGACGCCGGACCCGTTTGGTTCCAAAATTGCTCCACATTTTGTAAGAAAAGTTGCTGATCAAAGGCAACGAAGAGGTCATGCGCAGTATCGAAATACATATCCGCATATCTTTTGAAATCTTCTCGTGAGATTAGATCTCGTAGATCTGCATGTGCACTACCTTCTTCTTCGGAACGAATACCGCAGTTGTATGCGAAGGAGTGTACGCGTGGTGGATTTGCAGACTGGAAATCTAGGCCGAGACTTCGTGGAAAAGCAGTCACGGAATGGAGACCCATGAATCGCCTCCTCATGGGATCCAGCAAAACGAGTACAGCTGGGGCAGCCACAGAAGATCTTGCTGAACTAGGAGTGCCAGCTTCAGTTTCCCTTGGAGGTAATGAGGGTCCGACTCCGGGGCTATAGGGCTGTGTATGATTCCGATTCTCGATCACGGGACTATGTCTTGGACCAGACTGAGCATGGAATGGTCCCACTTTTTCAACAAACGCAGCTGTTGGGCTGTCATCCTGCGAGAACTGGCATTGGTACCCATACGTGGTGCACATAGAGCATGGAAACTCAGTATCGCATTTCCGCTTGCGTTGGCGGCAGGGTAAGCAGGCTTTCCGTGCTCGCTGACGCTTGCGTGGTGGTTCCTGCGGGTCGGATGTGGATGCTGGGTTTGACAACGACATGTCTCGATAGCTGCAAGGAGAGCTTCATATCTGTAAGTAACCGTCAGTATTTCATTCAAATAAACGATTAAGATGGAAGCACATAGTCTAGTGGACGCCACTCGAGATAGTAATGTTCGGATGTCGGATCGCTGCAGGTGGTGGACAGAAATCTCGGTTGTTCCATCATCGAAAATTCAGGGGCCACCAGGGCCACTGCGCTAGTCAGCCCCACCAAAACTCTATGGACTGCCTGAGCATTGTATTATGAATTTGTTTCGTGATCCAATAGACTAGTTTTATGAACAAAGCTGGCATGATATAGAATTCTCCAACCCATGTTTGCTATTCTTCGATTTGATCTTTCCAGGATCCACCTCCCTACATCGGAATCAGGCTCAAGGTGTCAGTATGCACGACTGCGGTTAGCGAGGTCAAAGTCAACAATACCAGCTTGATTTCCGGTATCACACCACCATTTGACTGGCATCATAACGTATCAAATTGTCGTAAGTGAAGTTTAGAGGTATATCCTTCATATCCTCCTTCGCATTGTCTTACAAAGTATCCCAACTCAATCAGGTAGCAAACAGGTATTCTTATACTCAATCCATTTCTTTATCCACCAATAACGATAACATTACAACAAGTCATCAATCGTCCCCTCCTTTCACCATCCTCCTCCTCTCTCTCAGCTGACTTCCACTAAACCCTGCTGAAACACAAATCCCTAACCCTGCAAGTCCAATGCCCATATACCACGCTCCCCTATACCCTCCGAGCAAATCCTCACCCCCTTTATTAACTCTACTCTCAATCGTGCCCGCAAATCCCAATCCAATACTGACGCTATAATTGATCACCGTATTTATGAGACTGGCCGCCATGCCTTGATGCTCTTTCCGCATATGATCGCTCAGCAGAATCGTCGCGGCAGGGAAACTCATGTCCATTCCCCACGGCATGATGCAGATTGAGATGAATGTTTGAGCCCAGTATGTTTGGTTGACGGGAGCAGTGGCGATAAGAATTAGACCGGTGGTAAAGGCGGTCATGGCTATCATCATGACGACAGATGGGCCGACTCGGTGGAGGATATGGCCTGTTGTGAGAGCGGCAGCTAATCCGGAGAATGCGCAAGGGATGAATTGCGCACTGGCGAGGAGAGGCGTGGTGTGTCTGAGTTCTTCGAGGAATTGCCAACTGTAAAAAACCCAGATTCCGAAACTGGACCAGCCAGCTGCCATGCATCCCAGCACGAACGCCGTGTCCTTCGTGAGGGCCTCCATGGGAAGCAGAGGATGTGAAGCCCTCGATTCTGACCAAGCGAAGAGCGTGAGGAATACAAATCCCACGACGAGAAGTGCGTACGTATACGGTGTATGCCAACCCACCACCGGCCCTTGGTTCCACGCAAAGTTGATGAGCACTAGAGCCGACACACCCGTCACGCATCCCCACCCATCGACCCTCTCCCACATCCCAAACCCATCCCTTTCATTAATAATCGGCGCCGGCGAGCTCGGAATCGCAAAATACCCCGCCATACCCATAACAAAGCACAAAATGCCCATGCTCCAAAACGCCCACGGCCACCACGCAAGCTGGGCAAATAAGCTCGCAAATACCGCACCAAGGACAAATCCTGACGGAGCAGTCGCCCCAAAAATACTAAACACCATCTCCTTCCTCCTACCATGGGCATACGTCCTCCCCAGGATGGCCAAAGCATTAGGCAGCAGAAATGCCGGCCCAATCCCCTGCATCCCCCTACAGACATCGAAGAACACGGGACTATGTCTCACATACACCGCGAATCCAGCCAGTAAACTCCACACTCCATACCAGATCCAGCCAGCGATGAAGAATCGCTTGTGACCGTAGAGATCGCCGAGCCGGCCTGCGATGAGGATGAATGTCCCGACGGTGAGGGAGTATGCGGCTGGGAACCAGGAGAGCTGGCCCGGTTGATCGGATACGCCGAAGGAGGCGCCGATTATGTGGAGGGGGGCGATAGCTTGGCCCAGGGAGGCTTGTGTAAAGAGTTGGGCCATGCAGAGGATACCTACGAATGCTGCTTCTCGTGGGAGGGAGGTTGGGTGTTGAATGTTGCTTTGGACGGGGTAGAGGGAGGATGCGCGTCGTGAGGGTGTAGGTTCCTTTTCTCCGCTTTCTTCATCGTGGATACTGGCATTGTAGGGAGACTCGGTATCGGAGTCTATTGCTGGAGATAGCTTGGTGGCTTCCTTGCCGTCGATTTCATCGTTCGCTATGCTTGGAGGGTATGAAGGTGCAACCACTGTTGGTGCACCGGAAATTGGAGTCTTAGGCTCTCTCTCGACATCGAAGTCCATCGTGCTGCGTGGAGTTGCGATTTTTCCAGTCGATTCCAACATCTCGTTTTCTCTCCTTACTCCGACTGAATAATCGACACGGCTGTGTATCAACAAACTCACGCTCTCAAGCGAACAAAAACAGAAAGGGGTTTAGCGACAGGCAAAATAATGGTCACGTGTCTCTCACTCGAAAGGAAAACCCCCAAATCCGAGGGCATATCCATCCTAAGTACCTTCCAAACATGTCTTACAAATGTCAATTCCCAGGTACATAAGCCGTGATTAAACTGGGGAGCAATTGCGTAGTGGAGTAGGGTTACACATGTAAGAGGCGAGACTGGTCTGGTGGAGTAGGATTTGCTCCGCAGTGCCCGCAATAGCCGGTAGAGTATGTTGGCAGTAGGGGAATGAGGTGCGGAGTTCAACTTTGAGTGTAGCGATGCTGTCTAGTGTACTCTAACCATTAGGTTTATTTCTTCTTTTTCTCTCATGCTTCTGGTTGTCGCTGGAGTTTATGACGTACCGGTTCTGATTTTCGTGCTTGTCACTGTACAGATGCTGCTCAGGGTGGCAAAGAGCTTCCAAATTAACTGCCCGCGGCGGATCGATGTCGTGCAACTCCGTATCGTTCACCATGATTGCGGCTGACTGTGGTAGGTACCTGCGTCACGTAACTGCCCATGTTCGGATGGACACTTGCTCACTCTTCCTCGTTATCCTTAAGCCACGGCTGTAAATGGGCAAAACCTCATCTTCCCGGCACTTCCCACAATTTTCTGGCCATTAGAGCTTCCTGGCAATCACGTAGCACGACCCAGACCCCCAGCTCACCAACCAAGCGGAAAACCTTAAGCTACCCAACAAAATCTCGTATTGCAATCACAAACGCGCCTCGCTATGCTGTCTGTGTAATCCACAGTTACCGTAGTATACAAAGTCCCCCTTCCACCAAGAACGGACGAGAAAAAGAGAAACTCCAATCGCTGGTATATGCCACCGTAACCTTCCATCTTGTGCCAATTATCCCCAAAACTCCCCGGATTCTTTCTTTGTTGCTTTTCTTGACTTTGTACAGGTGAAGAAACACGAACACACAATTCGCTCTTGTTCTCATCGCTCTCACACTTTCTTGCTATTGGAAGGCTCTTGCACCAGACCGAGACCTTCCATGCCAGTGATTATCTCGCCTTCTAAGTCTCGCTTGGATTGCTCACTGGCGGGTATTACAGCGGCTGAGAATTCCACTGTATCATCACGTCCACTCTCTTCAGCATCTTCGTCATCAGCTTCCAGCATGCTGCTGGTCATTACATCCTCCTCGTCGACAGAACCCGATAGTATGCTCTCGTCGAGACCGTGTTCGTCATTATCATCGTCAATCGAGTCTCTTGAGATATATGAATCTCCCAATTCATCATTAACATCCTCGTCGTCCTCTTCTTCCTCTTCCTCGTCATCGCTCTCATTGCCTTCATCATCTCTCTCGTCACTCTCAGAGTCGCTGAACTCATCAATATCCAGTACTGGCTCTCGCCAATATGTGAAATCGGTGTATTCCTCACCACCACCCTTGACGAGTGTGTTGACGGGCGGGAAATAATGATCCACGACCTCACGCATGTTTACATAGCTGTATCTGAGTTTATTCAGGTGCAGCAAGTCCAACGAGATCTCTGCATAGCTGTTGATGGTGAAGATGCGATTGCTGGGGATACTGACGGATCGATAGGAGAGGGCATCAGTTAGTCTGTTGCCAAAGCCTGCAGAGAACGGCGTCCGATCGGGCCCGTACAAGTTCTTGATATCTCGTAAACAAGCCATCTTGAATACTTCTGGCTTTCGTATGTAAAGCTCCCTTCTCAAAGCTGCGATCGTCCGATCTGGACTCATGAGTGTAGGCCCTCGAGGAAGATTATAGCCCTCTTGAGAAACACTGCTGAGAAATGCTCTGGTCATATCTGCCAACCCAACGGAACGAGATGTCAGGTACATAATGTTGTACCCATTGTTGACAATGTCGGTATAGAGCTTCGCAACACCAATGTGCGTCCAGTCACGACCAATCATGTTGAATACATGCCCCAAGGCGTCTGATTTTGTGATTGTTCCATCAATGTCAGAAATAACAATCGGCACGTCGTGACGCCACAGATACATGTATGCCTGACATGTTGCACGATTGACCGTGAAGCTCATAGCGTTCGGACCAGGCTTGAGATTGAGAGCCTTTAGTTGGTCGCTGGTCAGACGGAGTGTTTTGGCATAGTTTCGGTTGGGATCACCACTTGGCCCAGGGGGAGTCTGAGGAGGTGTTTCCATTCCCATATCTGAATCTGCTCGACGGTGAGTAGGTATGAGATTGGTTTTCTCGGTTTCTGATCCGTCGCTATGGTATCCAGGGTCCGAAATCGCATCGTTCGGGATTCCTGCCATCGCTGCTCGTTGACTCGCTGCTGCTTTTGCCTCTTCGCTGCTATATATCCATAAATTTCCATGCTCATCTGCACCGATTAGAGCTCCAATATCGTAATTGCCCTCCAATTCCTCCGATAATATCTTTCTCGCAATGACTTCAGCTCGGAGCGCATCATCATCACTACTCTTGTAGCCTGTCATATCTAGCATCAGATCGCCGGTATCAGTCACCTGGCTGGGGATGTTGGAGGCAGACAATTTGTTGGAAAGCGCAACCGCACGCTCGATAGCCTCTCTAGTGGGCAAAGGCGGAGGACTAATGGATCTTTCGGACTGCCCATCGTGTATAGGTATGGTGGGGGTCATGGATCTTGTTTGTCGTTCCCGCTCTGTGGAGTCTGTAAGATGTGTGCGGGCAGAGGATGGGAGAATATCGTCGCTATGAGGCCGGCCAGTAAGAACACCCGACCAATCTCCTGATACCGGTCGTAAATTCGTAAATTCTGGAGAGCCGGATAAGGGTGTCAACGAGCCTGCTAAGAGTTAGTGCTGCTTTGGCAGAGGGGTGGGAAGTCCTACTCAGATTGCTCTGCCTTCTGGGCGCAGAGCTGGAAAGCACTCCTGCCCCAGGTCTAGCTGCCAGACTGCCGGATCTTGGCTTTCCTCCGAGCACATCTAAATCCAAGAAGTCTGGCTCAGAGAGATTCGATGCTTCGGTTCCTTCAGGTACCAAGGGAGGGCTAGACGCTGGGGAGACCAACGGCGAGGTCTGCATAGCCTCTGGGATATTATCACTGGTCTCGAAAACGAAGAAGGCCTCCCCTCCCTCCGCAAGTTTCATAGCATAGTCCTGCTTGACATCGTTGACCTTGAATTCGACCTTTTTCTCGTATGGCCGTAGCAGGGAGAACTTCCCAAACCGGACATGGAAAGGCGAACATGCCAGTGTGCCATCCTCTTGCTCCACCACTATCACATCGATAGCACCGCTAAGTGTGGCCGGGTTGATCGAATTCCATGTTTTCGAGACTGAGCCACTAATGCTCCTGACGTACTGCATCGCAGCTTAATCTGGCGAACAGGGGTTGCAAGCCGGAGAGTATGCGAACAACCTGAACCGAGAAGATGCGATATGTAGAGAAGAATCTGGCGTAAATTTCGATTATGTGTGAGGTTCTATGAGAGTGGGAAGTCGCGGGAGAAGATCAATGTTCGACGTCGTTTTTTGAGGGGGGGTTCGGGGAGTATTACGTTGTAGGATGAAAATGGATGACGATGGATGCGCAGGGTAACGTCAAGTAAGCACAAGAATAGAAGAATAAGTCTGTCGATGCAACAGACTCTATTGTTGATTGTAAAAGAGGGTGATGAACCGAAAAAAGACCGTCGCAATGTTGTGATCGCTGGTTGACTCGTGTTGAGGAGAGTTGAGGGTTGGGATGCAGTGAGCTGATGGACGCTGGGCTGCCGCTGCCCTTGAATCACTGACGCAGCTGACGGAACGGAGGCTCGGAGTACTGTATTTGTCCCGCTTGCATTCGGCCCAACAACGTTGCCAACCCTTGCCTTGCCCTTGCCCTTGCCCTTGCCCTTGCCCTTGCCCTTGCCCTTGTTGCGAGGTCATTCAACCACTTGGTCCACTTCCAGAGGGGAGAGGAGGGGCCTGACCTTATGCCGAGGAATTTCCTGTGGTCGGGATTGAGAAGTACGAGGATATGTCACACGCTGCTTGCAGAAGATGTTGTTTGTGGTTTTGGTTTCGATGTGCTTGCACTGGACACGATCTCATTCTGTTTTATGTATTTATATTTATTTACTTTTCACGGAACGGGACGAACTAGTTTCATTCTTTTTATGTTCATCATTATTGCAGCCAGAGCATGCATGGCAGTGGATTTCGAGGCGGGGCAAGTTCACCTGTCATGCCAATCACATCGACCTCAAGGGTTCAACCTTCCAGGATCAGAGATGGTAGTGTAGTTGCATGTGAAAGAGAAGTCTCTCTTTGGAACCGCACATACAAAAGCACATGTCAGAGTCAGGTCAGAAAGGGAAGGGTCTTGATAGGAGTTCTTGGGGCCAATTGCAATTCGTCCGCTCTCCTTATTTTCCCAAGCATAGGCCCGGGTTGTAGTCTGCCTCGGTCGGTGTCTCCGTTGAGGCTCAAGTCTCGTTGGCTCAATGTTCATCTTGCGACTTCGCAAATGCGCTTCTTCAGCTGCAAGAGAGATAGAGGTCAAACTTTGCAAATGTATCAAAGAACGTGGCGATGAGGAGATACTAGTCGCTAAACAATGAGACGGCTATTTATCTTGTGCATCCTTTTGAACAACTGAAATTTCCTGATGCAACATAGCACCGAACAGCCGTCGACGGTGGAAATATCAAGCTAGAACAAAATCCCATATCGTTTCTCGTCCTTCTTTTCTTCCTGCTCCTGATGGACACTCGACAATCAGTGGCTAGACTCTCGTAGTATTCCTTTGAACTCTTCCCTATCTTACAATAGATCGGATTCATATGTGGCCAGAAATATCAAGTTGTCAAACAACTGGATTGCAGCTACGCGCCCAGGAGGATATGTCTCGCAGCTGGTAAAGAATAGTCGATCTCGTCGTACATCGAAGCACGCAGGTATTGAGTGTCCAAAGGTCGCAATGATTCTTGCCATTCGCTGTGCAGTAGTATTGCTGACGGGTCCGTTCCTCCGCGAGGGTTTTCTGAGTAGATCCGTCTTTTTCGCGCTTGCAATGAACTGAACATATCTCTCATCAAACTCGACCCGAGGCTCCTGGCATGCAGCAAGAACTTGTTGTACATGCCTCGGCGAGTAAGGTCCATGAAAATTCATTGACTTGAGAACAGGTCCATGTGGAGAAGGTTCGTCCTATTCATTAACGGTAAAAGGAGGATTATCAGCTTATGACCAAGGCTGCACGCAGTTTTCGGCGCCGTGGATCTCTGGGGCCTGGGTCAACTGTTCGCTCCATCTACTAACTTCGAATTCATGGCTGCATGCTGGTTCCATCTATGGCAAATCTCCAAATGATTGAGCGGGTGTCTGCAGGTAGATTGCGGAACCAGAAGAAGGTTGTCCGTGGCCTTCTATGGATCCTTCGAGAGGTCTGAAGCCAGCGAACTCCCAGACCCTGCTACGGAGCTCGTCTGGTAATTGACAGAACTTCGGGAAGGTCGTGAGAGGTGATTGAAGGACGTTACTAGAAGCAGATTTGACCTTGGTTGTGGAGTTTCCATGCTCGCGTCGTTGTCAAGTATGAATTGCCAATGAAGAGGCTTGAAAAGACTGTCGAAAGCACGCACCAGATAGGTCGTTGTAAAATGAAAACGATTTCAAAATCCGTACAAAACAAAGCACGACGAAATAATTAAAGACAAAAAAGGAAGGGGGAAAACAGGTGGAGGATTGTCGTAACTCTGGTACACTATGACTGGTAGCGTGTTCTGGAGGTGCTGTGACATAACTATCATTTCCATGAGCAAGCCTATGGTGGCAGGCAGACTACAATATTTCCCAAGAAACGGTATCTCGCCTCGACACACTCTCAGAGCTGCTGTCAGTATCGCAGAGGATAATATTTTTCGTGCAAGATGTTGTGCTGCCCTTCGGCTAAGGGCGCTGAGGCAGGCTCGCAGGCCATCCTTCCCCTCACTGGTGACTGGTCTCACCGGCGGACTCAATTGCCGGGCGTTGGCTGAGTGCCGACTTCTTGCTGGGATCACTCGGATGGCCGCATCCTTCCTCTCCAATAATTGGCCCTCACACGCCTCCCCCTCTGCCTCCGAGTCCTCCACCAGCTGGGTCATGCAATGATGCCTCAAACCGCTGGGAGGCCTGAGGACGTTGGCGCAAGTGCCATTGCGGCGGCGCAAGAAATGCGGGAGCAGCACCAGCACCACCAGCAGGAATCCGATCTCAAGCAGAACCAGCAGAACCAAGCGTCGACCATATCCACATCCTCCATCTCAATCCCCTCCCTGATACTCACAGCTCTGTTCATCCGCCAGGTTCTCGACACGTCGACCATCCAGCGGACTGTGGAGCTTTTCTTCCGGCAGTATTGCATGAACGCGACCACCTTTTACTGTGGTCTGATCGATTGGGTTTTCGGCCATGTCCATTTGATCATGTTGATCCTACAGTCCACTGCGACGTTCTCTGCGTTTGCATGGTGGGTTACCCAGATGGCACTTGAGATTCACTTCTGACATGTCTGCAAAGGCTTCTCTACAGGGCTTACAGGACTCTCCGGACACCCGTTTCCAACCTCATTGATACCCTCGGTGTTGAAGTCCCGGATCCTCCTGAGGTAACCCTCGCAGGTCTCAAATCCAATGCATGCACGCTGCACTGGAGGAAGCCAGGACCTGGAACACAGAAGGCGGTTGCGAAGTACTTGATCCAGGTCAATGGAGTCAACGGTATGGCTAGACATATAGAGCAGAAACAAGGGAGTGGCTGACAAGATTTAGTCGGTGAATCATTGCGGTCGGAAACGGTAATTGAAATCACCGGGCTGAAGCCAGGCCATTTCTACAATGTTCGAGTTATCGCAGTTGGGGCGAACCATTTTCAGGCCGGAAGCAAGGTTTTACGACTGAGCACATTGTGCAAAGATGGACGGCCGCAACAGGGACACAGCGGGCCACCCTCGACTCAAGACGAAGATGACCAGGATAGTGACGGCGATAGTGAGGCCCAAGCCGGACGTGGCCATGGAGTTGAGATTCAAGCCGCTACCCTTCCAGAATCTGCGCAGATATCAATGGTTCGTGAAAATAGTGGCGGGCATTCTGGAGGTGGTGGTCAGGCTGGGCAGAGGAGGAACACTGGAGGCCGAAAACATTCGCCATCAACTGCTGCCGCGGATCAAGCTGCTCGTGAGCGGGCAATTGCAAACGTGTCAGAGGGTGACGAATCCATGCAACAGTTAACAGAGAAATTTGAAGCAAATCGCAAGCAAACAGAAGATACACAGGCAACCATTACCAAGGAAACGGAAGAATATAAAATCCTGTTATCGGAGCTGTCGAAAGAACGTGATGCGAAGAAGCAGGAGGTTAAGGATAAAGAAGAGCAAAGTGAAAAGCTCAAGAAAGAGGTCAACAACTCTGAGAGGTTAAATCGGCTAGCTCAAAACAAAAAATCCCAGAGAGAGAAAGTGTTGAAAGAGAAGAAAGCAGAGAGGGAGAAGATGAGAGACGATATGGCCAGGTGGAAGCAGGAGATTGAAACTATGAGGAGTGAAAAGGAAAATTGGCGAGTGGAGAAGGAAAAACTTGCAAAGTCAAAGGAAGAGGAAGTTTCGACAATACAAAAACAGGCTGCGGAGCAGCAACTTACCTTGGAGAGCTTGGAGAAAGAGATCCATGTCCGCGGCCGTCAAATTATGGAGCTTGAGGGTGAACGCAATAAGCTCCCGGGATCAGAGAACGATGAAGAATCTCAAGCTAGAGATGCGGCTGACAAGAAAGAGGAAGCGGAATGGCAAGCAAAGGAGAGGGCACTTGTTTCGCGCCTGAACAGCAGTTCTCAGCGTCTTCGAGACATCGAGATCATGATAACTCAACAACAGGCACATCTGACTGCCCTGGAAGCCGCTCATCGAGCAGCCCAGCCGCCTCTGATGTTCCTTGGCAATTCTTCTGGTGTCGACTTCGACCCCAGTGGTGGCCAAGGCAAAGCAAAACCTCGAAGGACTCGAAATCGGAAGAGTCGAACTAACACCATATCCTCGCCGATATCAGCCTATCCTATTGTCGACTCACAATTTCCAAGTGCCAGTGTCTACAATAACCTGGGCAGCGCTACTTCGCCCTCCTTTGCCCCACCGCCTTACATCCAGATGAACAATGACACAGGCATGGTCATTCAAGCGGATCACATGAGTGGTATGAGTGACGATGAGATTCGAATACTCACTGCGGGAGCTCCTTTAAGTCCCACGGCGACCTCATTACTCCCGTCAAACATTTTTGCCGACGATGACCATGATGACAATGATGGACGCGCACCTTCGTTTGGTCCTGCCATGTATGGCAATATCGGGGAGTCTATCGACAAGGATCCTCAATCTCCAGACTCCTCCAGTCGATCTGCCAGCCTCATATCTAGTCCTCACAATTCTTCGCATAACCTCGCACTGTACGGTGTAGCAAGCCATGATTATGTCAAAGACAGTGAAAGACGGTCAATCAAGTCTCCTTTGAGCGGATTTGGAACTATCGGGTCACCATCAACTGAAGTACCAGTGACTAAAGGAGGACTAATGAACCTTTTCACTCTACCCAGAGCGCGCGGCAAGGCTATACAAGAAGATGGGCCAGCACTCGGATCCCTCAAACATGGCCAAAGTCAATCTTTCCCACGCTCTGCAGAAGAACCCGAATCACTCAACCCCAAGCATCGACGTATAAGTTTCTCTACCGCAAGTTGGGGCTTCTTCAAAGGCTCTCCAGCAACAGAAACTTCTGCTCAGGGTAATGCACCTGCACCTGCTCGTAATGTAGGTGCGAGAAATCGTCGTGGCTTCCCTATCTTCAGCAACAGTGTGGATGAGCCAAACCACCGATCCGAACGTGATCCCAGCAGCCCTCGCCCATTGTCGATTGCCTCTTCTGATCTTCCCCGTCCGTCAACAGATAGCGCTCCATTTGGATGGACGATTCCTTCTCAAGACGCCATCAACAGAGGCAGCCCACTCGGTGCAAACTGGTCTGTACACCATGTTGCCCCTCAAACATGGTCAAGAAACCCTTCCAGGCGACCGAGTATTCAGCATGGTTCCTCATCTGCTTTGACGACAGGTATTGCTAGTGACGACGATGAATTCCTTCCATCATCAGAGTCATTCGCTGGTCAAGCAAGCCCGCCACCAGTTGGAGTCATTGGTACTCGTCCGGTGTCATCTCACAAGCCACCGACTCCCAAATTGAATCCAGCTGCCCCAGCGTTCTCGCAAAGATTTGGCTTACCCTTCACATCCAAAGTCGACAAGGGTAAAGGGAAGGCGAAAACAGAAAATATTCCTACATCGCCCGACAACCCTCCGCCTCATGATGGCTCTACTCTCTCATCACCTACTGCTTCAAGAAAGTCTCGCGATGCTCATTCAATACGTACGCAGAATAGTATGGCTGAATCCCACGAGAGCCTGGACAGAGCTGCAAGCAACACGACTTCAGAGTTTCCATCTGGATCAAGCGCCAAGGAGAAGGACGGCAACGCTCTTGGTCGGCTCTTGCGTAAGGGAAGCTCCAGCAAGTTCAGCATCGCTTCATTCCGCAGCAAGGAGAACGGTCTCTTCAGTGGCAAGAAAGGTGTTAGCAGCACGCCGAACTCGGACCGCGGTCTTGGTGAGCATCGAGACAGCAGCATGGACGAGTTTGGAGAAGATGTTGCACTGGGCAGAAGCGTAGATAGCGTTACCAGCAGTCCGATGATTGGAAGTATGGGATCGGGCGAATGGAAAGGGAAAGATAAGGAATTAGGTACTCCAAAGGAGAGTCGGATGAATTGGTTTGGTCTGAAAAAGGGCAAAGGGAAAGAGAGCTCCGAGGTCGAGGGCAGCGAGGCCGATTTGACTGACGCTCAGGCCTAATGCCTCCATGGGCATTTCAGGTGCAGATATCCTTCAATTGCAAGAAACGTTAATGGTCAAACAAAACAATCAGCAGTATCAGTGCAGTAACAGAGGTCGCCTTGTGATTGTTCCAGATACTTGTCGGGTCCACAACGTGATAATATAGTTATATCGTCGACTAAATCGACGATGAAACATGAGAGTCAATGTGAATGGTACGCTGGCTCAGTGGCTATTCGGAATGTGTAGAATTAATCAGGGACTAGGTTTCTGGTAGCGACGCCTACGTCTAATCCAACGGTCGCGGAAAGGCCAAGGCTCCCTCTTTCATTGCGGCATCGTCAGCCGTTGTTCTACTAGAACTTCTGATTGATCTCTATGATTATGAGGCATTCTCACGCCAAGTTATCTCGCCCTCAACCCAGATGTATTTGTGTATCTTCCGTTGAAGATGTCCATTGTGAGAATGCGGGGTGGTGGCGCAGATGCAGTTCTCTCACCCTGCTCGTTATGTAAGGGCGTCCATCAGCCCAGCATTTCGGTCGCTGGGAGAGATCTGTACCGAACGAACGAGAAGACCAGCTGCAAGCCATAACCATACAACGCCTCACGTACAGCGCTACATCGCGATCAGGTTCTTCAACAATCTGACGGCTAATTGAGATATTGCGATTATCCTGATCACACCTCATTTAAGTGCGCGAGGACAGCCTCTTATGGTCCACCCTGTGAGATACTCCAGGTCAACGAAGGAAGCCGCTTTGCCTGCTCGGCTTCCTTTCACATGATCGCCCTGGTTTGCTGACGAGGGCGACTGGGCCTGATTTGACTGGATAGGACTGGATTGCACGTCTTGGATTGTGGACAATGGCCGATAGGAAGCAGGCCAAAGAACCTCGTGTGCGACATTCCAAAGTCAAGACCGGGTAAGTGCAGTCTGTGAGCGCAGTGATGCGGAATGTGGTGCACTACAGTGCAGCAATCAGTATGCATAAAAAACAAGTCCCTTCAGCGGAACTTCACTTTTATTTATATATCGGGCCGTCCACCAACGATACCGGTAGTCCGGACCTTGCGGCTGAGTTGGGGTCGTTCTGGAATCACTCTCGAGCTACACCCAGCTCTTTGGTCGGGGGACCGGACTGCCCCGGCTGGAATAGGAGACGTCCGTAAATCTACTTTGCTCCTGTACTGACGATCAAATAGCTGCATCACGTGTCGGAAGAGGAGAGTTAAATGCGACGAGACCCGTCCGTGTTGCAAACGCTGTCTCAAGTATGGAGCCGAGTGCTTGGGGTATCCAGCTGGTCGACAGCGAGCTCCCTCAGCAGCGTATGGATCTTTCGCTGCTCAGGCTAGAGCCTTGGTACCGAAGGATGAATGTAAAAGTCCTCCTGTTTCTCAAATCTTGATCCAACCGGGTCCTGCCCTTTTCGAGACTGGTCAGGAATATCGCTACTTCAAACTTTTCGTGGATCGCATCGCGGGCGAGATATGTCCATACTTCAATTCGGAGGACTGGACTCGGATGATCTTACAAGCCTGTACGGCTGAATCGTCTATCAGACATGTAGCTGGTGCTATCGGTGCACTGGCAAAATGGTACGAATACCAACATGCTGGTCAGTCTATCGCTGGGCAGAAGATGCTGGATTCCGACCATCCACCTCATCCAGGCTCATCGACGAGCACTAAAAGTTCGAAGAAGAGAAGTGCAAGTGATTTAGTGGCTGAGCAAATACTACAGGAATCATTGGTGCACCAACAGCAGGCTTTTGTGCTCTATGACAAAGCCCTGAAGAAAATGCGAGGAGACATCGCTACCGGGAAGCAGAGTAAAAGGATTACGTTGATTATCTGTATTATTATCACATGTTTGGAAGCAATTTCCGGGAGGCACGAAGTCGCTGCTGGACAAGTTTATGGTGGACTGAAACTGATCCAGGAGTGGAAGGCACAACAGAAGGAAGCCGAAAAGCATCCTCAAGGATTCTCATCACCGGCTCCAGATGTTGTGGATGACTTTCTGGTTCAAACCTTTGGCAGAATGGAGATTCAGGCCATGTCTGTATTCGACCCACGGCCCGTCGAAATCCACGAGGCGTTGAAGAGTGAAGGCAGGGAGGTTGTGCAGCGGATGCCACCCGTATTCAGTTCTATTTCGCAGGCTAGGATCTACCTTGACCTGATTAACCGACGGCTCATGCATTTCAACATGTCGATACGCGACAGAAGGGCAGGTCCACCATCACCTGAATCTCACCCTGTTAGTAACGGACCATCTATGGTGAAGCCCGAGTTATGGAAAGCAACAGACGGATCGTCGCCAAAACCCATACCTTGGATCGACGACAAGAACCCAGAATGCTCGCCAGCGTATAACCCATCGCTATTGGACGAGCAAACGTCACTTAACAACGAGCTGGCAGCCTGGACAGCGACTTTCAAACCACTCCTAACCTTTTCTCTTGCCATGGGTAGACAAGAAGCTATCTCTGCCTTGACACTAACAATCTCAACCATCGCATCCCAAATTTCCCTCCGCGCAGCCTTCTTCACCAATGAACTCTCATTTGACGTCTTCCTCCCAGAATTCCAGCACATCGTCTCCCAAGCCAAGGTTCTCCTCGAAACGCAACGTGCTACCGACCTAGCCACGTATTCCCGACCAACATCACCAACTCACCCCGGCACCAACCCAAATGCCCCCAAAGGCGGCCCAATGATGCGCTTCGCCTTCGACATCGGCGTCATTCCACCCCTCTACCTCGTTATGATCAAATGTCGCGACAGGCGCCTCCGCCGCCAAGCCCTCCATCTTCTTAAAGAGTATCCGAGACGAGAAGGCGTCTGGGATACCGTTGCTGTCGTGCATCTTGGAAGATGGGTCATCGGCCTTGAAGAGGAGAGTGCCAGACAGATGAGTATGTCACTGAGTCCGAGGACGGCGAGTGCTGAGAGTCCGGCTTGTAGTTCGGGGTCGGGGACTGAGACCCTGAGAGGAAATAGTGCTGGACTTAGAGCCGGTGAAGCACAGGGGAGTGTAGGGTCGGATAATAGGTCTGAATCTGGGTCCGCATCAGCGTCCCATTATCGGAATGGATGGCTTAGTACGAATGGTAATGGAAATGTGAACGGACACGGGACCAGTAATGGGATTATAGAAAAGAAGAGAGAGGAAGGAGGCCTTGATATCGAGTTTCCGGAGGAGATTCGAGTCCGCAAGACGTGGATGCGTTTTGATCTCTCGCTGAGGACAGCTTGGATGAATTGTTTACAGATGGACCATGTTACGAAGGAATTTGTGCCTAGGACTGAGATTGTGAAGTGGTAACGGTATCAGTTTCAGTGTCTCCGTAAGAGCTACTGGCGGCGGGAATGGAGGTGGGTGTTACAGATGGATTGAATGGAACTCGAAACGCAGTTCGGATGAGTTGATGACACTGGGGGTCCAGAATCAGCTGGGAAGAGTACCGTCCATGGAAGGGCGAATAACGTCTATGCCGTAAGCGAGCATCAGAGAAGGAGCCCAGATTTAGATTTGGCTGTTGATCTAAGCGGAGTAGGATGGAAAACCTGGTTTAGGTTCAAGATTTTGGTGCATATTCTTCATTCTTGCAGTAGAGCTTTGATCTATCTATATGTTTGCATGGGAGCATACATGGAGCCTTGCATTGTCTATTTGTATATCCACATCTCTAAATTCCAAGTGGCTGAAAGTCACCTAACTTCATGTCATGTCATGCCATGCTGTTCAGCGATAGTGTTCATTATTGTCCTTTATTATCAGAAGGACATTCAACTAACCTGAATATATGAAAGGCAGTACGCCCGACTGTTTGTTTTGATTTACCCCTCGGTTCAACCAGGGAGGATGACTCGATCGCCTTGACATATTCCTCGAACAAGTATTCAAATAAGACCTTTTGCACCACAATAATTCCAAATGGTCTTCAAAACGAGCACTTTTCACCACACATCATAGTGGCACTTCTTTCCTAAGTATGTCCAACTCCCCTTCCACCCCACCCCCATGTAAGCGGCATGGTTGTCTTAATTCTCGGCTTCTTGGGCAATCATGTGCAATATCAGCCGCATAATATAGATCTTGCACGATCCAGCTTGCCTTGGGGCAAGAAAGCTGGACTGCATTTCTGGCTGGGGACTTCACGGTCGCAAATCAGGACACCATCCCAGTGTGTGGAAATATGGAAGAGTACTTTGGGTTACCCTCATTGGAAACGCCTAGCAAACTTGACCCCACCTCTCTGCTTGCGGGGAATGGCTTTACAAACAAACCATTTTTTGGGGTTCCTCGTTTCTCTTTTGCTTTATATTTTTTTTCTAGCCTCGCTTAGCCCAACTACCAGGTCCGAAAGTCCTGAAATTTTGGTTACCCATGAAGCTGCAACATCGTGAATTATATTTCTGAATGTATTGTATCAATGTACATTGCAAACTTTCTCAATTTAGACAAGCACATCGTGCAACTTATAGTCTTCATTCCGAGTGTACATGAGACTTCTCTGACGCTGCTCCAAGACTACTCTTCAATCTGCATCACACCTCTACAGGGCCACGCATACTTCACGACCTCCACGACTGAAGTATCGTGGTAATTCCCAGTTCTGATCTCCTCCCGAATCTGCGCAAAGAAGTCCCTCGGAGCTCTGTCCCCAGCCTCCGAGTCCTCAAATGTGAAACAGTATCCACATCCACAGATTGCATTATCCACAATCATATGGCTATCAAAATCTCTCGTGTTGGGAATATCGGAACGTTTTGAATCCAGTCTAAGACTCGTGACGTCCGAAGAATCTTCACAGCGAAGCTTTACAACTCCATCGCAGCGTCCAAAATAATTTTCGTTTGCTTCATAGCCGTCAAGAAGAAATTAGTTGAACAACGCGTGGAGTCGGGATATCTCCGCGGTTACTGTCTTACAGGGGGGGCCACAAATGCAACCACAAAGTACAGCTTCAACGTCTGTGGCGTGGGTAGCCGCTGCAAAGAATGATGGACCACGTTCTTGAGGATTATTGGATGCGACTTGGGTTCACGTTCTTCTCAAGCACGCCGCCATTTCCTTCTTTTCGATCGCGGCATTGCCTGTCCTTTGCTTCTTATATCTTTTTCTTGACCATGACTTCATAATAAGCAATCTCGGAGGTGACTAGCGAATCCGTGTTGAGTTGACGGAACTTTTCGTCGAACTTGATTCTCGCTCGTTCATTCTCCCCCTTTGGGTCGTTGACATTATTGAAATTGGGGGAGTCAAGATGCGCCTTGCGGACATGGGTGTCTCTTCGTACCAATTTCTGGATTAAATTCTTCTTCTCACTTGTTCCACTTAAGCCGAATCGTGTTATCTTCGGTTCCCTGGAATCGCATTCCTGGTGAAGAGCTGCTACAGTCCATTTTTGGTATGATCGGGACATGTTTTTTTGGTATTGAACGGATATATCGTGGTGGGAGGATGGTAGGCTGAACGATTATGATTTGAAATTCTTTGGATGTCGAAGTAGGAGTCGGAGTGATGTTCTGTGTCTGAGAACGGCGAGCCGAGCGAGGAGGGCTTGGTTTGAGTAAGGGAATGCATAGCGCTAAACGAGATAAGAGCTGGCAGGTGATGCCATAAGCTCCATTTTGCTTGAGTGGATTTCGAAATGCGATTGCGGACAGTCTCGAATAGGATATATATATTTACGACTCAGTGAATATATATAGACTATGGGGTCTCCCAAATCGTTGAGAGGATAGCTTTGGGAAAATAGCTAGATGAGGAAATGTAAGCGAGCGATAACAATGATCAAAACAAGACCTAGGGTATAAACAAAAGTGAAAACTTTGTAATCCTCAGCACCACAAACATTTCAGACCAGTAAAAAGGAACAGATCTCAGATTTAGAATCTAAGCCAAAACTCAATTGGAAGCCCACACTCGAATGCGTGCGAGGTTCCAATTTTGTAAACCTAACTTGATAGGTTTTGCGATTCGATCCGCCGTTAGTTGGTGTTCGTATACGATGAAAGAAACCGCTTTGACTGAACCACTGAGTGGCCGCCCACGGTTGACAGCAATCTGCCAATTTGCGTAGATGAATCCATTGGGATTGGCGAATATCCGCGGGTGTGTTAGGAAGTGAGACGGGGCTTTGCGATCGCGAGCTCTCCAAGGCACTGGGGCCGACCATAAGATATGAGTCGAAACTATGGCCCTTGAGACATCTCGCTAATTGATGAAAAGTACCCTATTGATCATGATTTCATCAACTGGTGCTTTTTGAGGCTGTCTTCATTATTGTTGTCGCTGGGCTGATGCTCTTCATTGAGCGGTATGACCATTACTTAAGAGAGAGAAACGACTGAAGCCAACGCTGACAACACGTCAATGACATGTTTCAGGCATATCGCTCATATTTGCTTACATAACGTATATGGATACATGAACTGGAATGAAGCATCTCTCAAACCCTTCTTTTATTGTCATTGTCTTGCACTGCTCTGCAGCATTTAGAGGCTGCTCAGCTAACCTCAGATCTTGTCGAAGAACTGGTCTGCCAATCATCACTTGTCATACCGTAAGTACCCACTCATATGCTATCGAAGTTACTCATGGCATGGTGAGGGCCTATGATTGTACATATCTCGTTATCTAGCAAGTAGTCTCTGACAGTGGGGCAGCATCACCACTGCCCGTGTGATATTCAACAGTCAACAGAACAAATTTGTACACAGCAGAGAATAGACAATAGAAGGACACCAAACTTTTCCATGTGGCTTGTCAGTTTGTGAGGCATTTGTTCAAGTTTGAGCTGTATCATGCTCATTTTGTTTTACGGCGTTGTGAAAACTGGGCTGCCTGAGGCGAGACGGATGCCAATCGATGAACAAATTAAGCCGGGCTGCAAAATGGACTTATGGCACGGGCATTGTGCTTTATTCCGCTATGTATATTTCTTCTGTTAAAGTATCAAATCGTTTCTTCTATGAACATATCTCAACATTATCCTCCCTCAATCAAACTCGGTATCGTGTATGAAAGTACGACAAAAAGAAAAACTCGCTCCGACGTGACGCCCACCAAGGCTCCCCCAGTTATACGTGATTTCATTCTCAATCATACTCAGCGAGAAATCTATCGTTTGAATGCACTCCACCTAAGGGCAGGCTTCTTGTAAGGGACGTGAGAGTAGCCTAGGTTGGCCTCCTCCATCCCTGGTCGAGGCTCTGGATCAGACTCGAAGTCGGGCTCCTCCACAGCATCCTCTCTTTTGCTAATTTTGACGTCGCTGACGTTTTTATCGAAGAAGGATTTTTCCTCGATCTCAATGTCGATGAGTCTGAAACCACTTCAGTTAGCAGATGTTCGAAAGAACAGAGGGCTAAAAGGTAAGGACAAGCAAATGTAGGACCACCCAGAGCGTCGAGATCATGATAGAATAGATATCCACTGACTCAAAACACTTCTTCAAGTCTTTGTCTCCCTTTGCGGTTTTCTCAAATATCATGAAATAGCCCGTCTTATCCGCACGAACCTCTGTGACAGCAAAATCTTGGTACTAATGCTTCAAGGAAGCGAGCGCATCACCTCGAATCTTCCTCTCATCTTCATAGGGAAGGAGTAGATATCCAATATTAGTAAGATCTTCTTGAACTGAATCTTTTTCCATCAAATGAGGATGGAGATCAGGGCTGCCGACATCTTTGGGCTTGAGTCGGAGCTTCTTGGCAATGCTGTCTTCGGTCTGTCACGGTCAATCAGAAACTGTTGTACGCAATGTTCCAAAGAGACTTGTGACATATGGCATAAATTTAATCGAACGAGTGAGGAAACGAGGAAAGAAAGGTGCACGGGAGGTAGTAAACGCTTACCTCGTCACCTCGGCGCCGCTTGACCGTTGGTGAAGGAGCCACGTAACTGTCGTAGACGGTAGTCTACTTGCCCTCAAGCAATTTCAATACGCGGCTCCAGCTGCTGGCATGAATTTCTTTGGCAACTTTGCCTCTGGTGTAGGTTTGAGTTCAGATGCAGCTTTCTTTACGTTTGTGCGAGGCTTTCTGGCAGCTTTGGTGGAGGAGCCTTGTGGAATGCTGACTCGATAAAAGGCATAGGCTCATATATCTTCTTCTTCGGAGCGCTGGGGTCAAGTGACGTATTATCTGAATCTACTTTGACGGTGAGTGCGATATCTCGGGTCATTGTAGTGGGTATAGGCTTGGATTTCTTGACGGAGGAAGCTTTGGTGATCCTAGTAGTTTGAGGAGTGATGGGGCCTTGAACAACCGCAATCTTTGCGAGTTTAACAGCGTGAAGCAGACTTGAGTAGATGGTTAGCACATTGATTAAATAGAGTGTCTCTGAACTCAGAGGAGGTCCGCAATTTGTATGACAACTTGCAGAAACTTACTTGCGAGTATTATTGCTACCACCCTCACACAAAATCTTCTTTCCAGCATGCTTCTTGCCAACTTCCTTCTTATCAGTATCTGTCACACCAGTAGCATTGGCTCTAGTGCCATCGATGATAGCAATGTTGACACCAATTGCCTCTGGAATTGAATCTTTCGTGGCAGTGTCCTCTTTGATCTGCCTATAACTTACAACTCGCGCAACCTCAAGTTTCATAGCTACTTTATACCTCCTTTTCAAGGCGTTCAAAAGCTCGGTCTTCTTGGCCTCTACCATAGCCTCGTGAAATTCGATCTCAGATCCCAAGATCGAGTACCAGTAGTTCATGTCGAATCGTGTCCGGGCTCTTTCGTAGGCTTCTTCGTACTTTCAGTTGGATCCCTGAGCTTTGTCAAGTGAAAATGCGACTCGCGCTTGGTCTCGTCGTCATCCACGAGACGTTTGGCCAACTTGACTTTGTGGCCGTCATTGTCAAGGTAGCTCCGGGTGCACTCCTTTTGGAGTTGCAGCTCGGTCCACTTGTCGTAACGCTCCATTCTGGATCTGCGAGGAATATCGTGATGGTAGTGTGAAGAGTTTGTACGAAGTGGTGGATTTAGGTCGTTGTGGCTCGACAGAGGTTGTAGTGGAATGTCGTGATTTCGAATTATCTAGACGCTGAAGATCGTCCTTACGAAAATGAAGGTGACTAGAAGGCTAGACGGATGGAATCTGATTGACATGCTCCATTAGCGAGCAGACGAGCATAATACGTGTCGGAAAGGGAATGTGACGATGGTGTTGACATCGAAATGGTCCATGTTCGGTGAATCTAGTGCCTATTTTTGCATGAACATGCGGCAACCTGAGCACGTCCCAAGAAGTGACATGAAGATATATACATTCGAGCCAAGACAACGACACAGCAGTTGAGACGGAGTGAATAGGGAAACTTTGACGGACGCGCCGAACTGTCACTGGACACAAAGCATCTTCCATTTAAGTCAGTTGAAATAGAACAACACAGCCCCGACTGAGAGTAAGCAGGGAACGTGTCACACAGACAGGGCTCAAAATCACCAAATAAACAAGTACAGCAAAGGGAGGGGAGCCTGGTGTCTGCAACGTGATGCTGGGGAAACAGAATGGCTTTTCTGAAGCTAATGCGGTACCATTGAAAAATTGCAAGAACGATATCAGTTCTGGTGACATGGTCAGAAGGACTCGTATGCGCTGCTCTTTTAAAACTTCTGGGCTGAGGGAATGTGTTACTTCTTGAAGACCTACAACCTGACTTTTCCAATGTTTGAAGAAAAGTTCCAAAGGACAAACAAATGTCACGGAAAATAAAGAGCTTTAAATGTCAGCCAGACGTCTGTCATGCTCTCGAGACCTCAAAACGAGCTACCCACTACATATCGGGAAAAGATAGAATCTCCACTGAGCAATGAGAAGTATTGGAGAAGGGAAGACCAAGAGACGAAGTAGCGTGCAATGCAAGGACAGGTCGGCGGCATCGGAGAATGTGCAAAGTAAATATGAAGCTCAAAGAAGCTCACTTGCAGACTACTTGTCTCCAGAGGTAAAGTATTATGCTCGATTCGGGATCAGGACTTCGAGAATCAGGTCTGTGCTGATGCCAAACATATGATAAGACACTTCATTGCAGGATATTTATCGCAGCATAATACACCCAGCAAGCCCTCGTAATCCCAATGCTGCCCTTCAAATAAATACAATCCCTCACAGCCCGTTTATGCTGCCCAAACCCTCTTCAAACCCTCCGTAATGCCAACATCATTGGTCTCGAACTCGTAAAATCCAACAGCAGCCAGAACCGTACCAGCTCTCAAGGCCCACCAAGCTGCCTTTCTCGTCTTGGGCAATCGATGTGTAGGGATATAGTCAATGATGCAGGACTCGAAACCGATGTGCGAATGGAGGAGGATGGTTGCAATCAGGACGGCGTCCATAGTAGGGTTCAATGACCCAGAGGCAAATGGAGCGATAGTAAGGGGAACGAGGGCGACGGCCATAGAACGCTCAAAAGTCCAGTGGTAAGAACCGTGTGCTGGGTTCGCAGGTGGTACTGGAGCGGGATCATTTGCTAAACACCAATTAGTCGAGTTGGAGATATCATAGGTAGACCGGCATACCAGTTCCTTGGATGACCTCTGGAGAGAAGTTAGCAACTATTCGAGCCTCACGAAAACTTCTACGTACGGGGCAGGGGAGGGAGAATTGAGTTTCTGCCGCTTGCGTGGAAAGCTGCCACTTTCATAGCACCCGGTACATCTTTGACAAAGGCATTCCGTACAATCTTCCTCGAAATAGTCGATGATGGCTTGTTGATGGCGGGGAAGCTGGTAGAGAGCTTCGTCGAAAAGGCTCGCTTGGTGGCAGCAGAGAGACAAGTCTTCTGAAGCATTGCTGGTCTTGCAATTGATGCCATGTTGACCTGCTGCAAATTCTGACTCTGCAGGAGTGGTGATTCTGGGGATTGAAGTCGTTCGTCTGCTTCGAATGTTCTGTTCGGACACCCTCGGCAGACGGCTGATTCTGCCTCAGGCGGAAAGAGCTGCGTAAATGCTTCGGAACGGTTGGTTGACGGCTTGCTGGGGCAGGTGAGAGCAAAGCGGCGATGCGGCTCTTAAGATATGATCAACACCGCAACAGGTTGCCTGATTCTTAATGGAAATGGCGTTCCGGACCATTGTGATTCAATTATTCAAAGAACAATACATGAGAGGTGTCTTTTATAGACTTGCCTAACATATCATAACAAAGAGCTCTATTTGGTAGCTATTTTCATGGTCCAGGAAAGCCATCTCATGTGCCAAGACCAGTCGCTGCTTTTGCTTTCCACTCCCTGAGAACCGAGAGAGCTTTTATGTGACCAAATGCTTTTCCATCTCCACGACCTTCAATTCAAGACCACCCTCTCTCAACCACCTTCACATCCGACTCCATGGCATCCCGGCGGTTAGCTCTCAACCTCACCCAGGGACTGCGCAGCCGCGCTGCTCTCAACACAGTTTCGCCATTGAGAAGGGGATTCGCGACTCCCGTGGTGAAGAATGGCGTGAAGACCGAATCGACCACACTGTCCAATGGACTGACGGTAAGGACGGGACGCCAGGGATATCTCGCAGGCGCTGATGAGTTATAGATTGCTACTGAGCATTCGCCATGGGCTCAGACCTCGACGGTTGGTGTTTGGATTGATGCTGGATCTAGGGCAGAGACAGACAAGACCAATGGCACAGCTCACTTCTTGGAACATCTTGCCTTCAAGGTACGACTCAATTGGCCTCCGAGAGAAAGATACAGAGACTGATGATGGATTAGGGTACCAGCAACCGAACACAACAGCAATTGGAGTTGGAGATCGAGAATATGGGTGGCCACTTGAACGCCTACACATCTGTATGTTGGGATCATCCGGAAGAGCTGGACAGAAGCTAATATAGCACGCAGCGTGAAAACACCGTTTACTACGCAAAGGCTTTCAACGCCGATGTACCTGCCACCGTCAACATCCTTTCCGATATCCTCCAGAACTCCAAGCTCGAGCCCTCGGCCATCAACCGCGAGCGCGATGTTATTCTCCGAGAATCAGAGGAGGTTGACAAGCAATTGGAGGAAGTTGTCTTTGATCACCTACACGCTACTGCTTTCCAAGGACAACCATTAGGACGCACTATCCTCGGCCCAGCTGAGAACATCCAGAGCATTCAGAGAGACGACTTGGTTAACTACATCAAGACAAACTACACTGCTGATCGTATGGTTCTGGTCGGTGCTGGTGGTGTTCCCCATCAACAACTGGTCGAACTTGCTGAGAAGCACTTCTCCGGACTCGCAACTGAGCCTCACACTGGAACCGCATCTGCGATTGCTGCTGCCCAAAAGCGGAAGCCAGAGTTCATCGGTTCCGAGGTCCGGATCCGTGATGATACTATCCCAACTGCCAACATCGCCATTGCTGTGGAGGGTGTTAGCTGGAAGGATGATGATTACTTCACTGCTTTGGTTACCCAAGCAATTGTCGGGAACTGGGATAAGGCAATGGGAAATGCTCCTCATATGGGTAGCAAGCTTAGCGCCTTCGTTCACAACAACGACTTGGCCAACAGCTTCATGAGCTTTTCAACAAGTTACAGCGATACTGGGTAAGAGGAACGGCTCAATCTAACGCATTATGAACTAACATTGGTAGACTTTGGGGTATCTACTTGGTTACCGACAAGCTTACCCGTATTGACGACCTTGTTCACTTCGCTCTTCGTGAATGGTCCCGACTTTCATACAACGTCAGCGAGGCTGAGGTTGAGCGAGCCAAGGCCCAATTGAAGGCATCAATCCTCCTGTCCCTCGACGGTACCACCGCTGTGGCAGAGGATATCGGAAGACAAATCATCACAACCGGCCGCCGCATGGGTCCAGAAGAGATTGAGCGTGTTATTGGAGCTATCACAGAGAAGGACGTTATGAGCTTTGCGCAAAGGAAGCTTTGGGATCAAGATGTCGCTGTCAGTGCGGTCGGAAGCATTGAGGGTCTTCTGGACTACAACAGAATCAGGTTTGCTCCCTCCAGAACGGAGCCAGAAATTGGACTAACATATTGTCTAGAAATGATATGTCGAGAAACGCATAAGGTAGAATGCGGTCGAGGGGACGGGTCGGGGGTTGATAGAGTGTATAATGCGAGATAGCGCAGTTTGTTTGTACACATAGGTCCACTACAACTTTTTTTATCCTTCCCTCTCCCATCGATAACTGAAATCTGGAACGTAGACAATGTTCCAGTACTACATGAAAAGAAGAGCTTCCAAGATCAATAAACCTAGGCCAGTGGCTTCTTGACTCCTATAATATGTGCTTCCTCATCCCCACCTCGAGTCGGACTTGCTCATACGGTTTATGTCTCAGCACAGCAAGCTAGGCGTTTAGCAGCCAAGCAAAGCTCGGCCAGCAGCCAGATTACCTATCGAGCTCGAATTTCACATGGCATCAGGGTAGTTTGCCGCGCGTTCATCGACGTAAGGCTGGGTCTCCTTGCTTGGCTGGAGTAGTAATGGCTATTATCAGTTCGACTTTGCTGGTTGTTCTGGGATGGCTGGATGGGTAATGCCTCCATTGGGAGCGCATCATCGGGCTATTCTAGACGGGGCAACGGAATGATGATGCGCTCCGAGAGACTGTTTACTTGTTGACATCTGAGTTTAGGTCTGGAGGGAATTTCTGATAAAGAGGAGGAAGAATGGAAGGGTCATATGATAGTATAGCAGCGACAGAAATCACAAGGTTTATTCTCAAGCGTTTCGTTTAATCCCACACATCCGGTCTCCGAATCATAATCAACCAAGTTTAGCAATTCCCAACTCCCTCACTCCAACCCTCTCAGAAGGCTACCTACAATTGCATTTCCATCACCCTTCCATTGACTCACCATCCGTCCACAACCTGCAACCTCAAACTCATCCCATTCTTCGGCTTCGTCGTGATAACCCCCGCGGGAACAGGCACCTCATTCGGATCCGCCATCCTAATATCAAACGTCCCACAAAACACCGCCACCAGCGCCTTCAACTCACTCCTCGCAAATTTCTCCCCAATACAACTCCTCGGGCCATGCAAAAACGTCAAGTTCGAATAATTGCTCGTCACGCCCCCGGTGTTGTTTGCCTTGCCGGTCTCAGCATCAATCCATCTCTCCGGCACGAAATCCGTCGCTGTGTTGCCCCAGAGATGTGGCGACCGATTGACACCCCATGGTGTGAGGAAGATGCGCGTGCCTTTGGGAATGGGCGTGTTGTTGATGGTGGTGTCGCGAACGGCGATGCGGACTGTGCTGGGGACTGTGGGGAAGAGTCGAATCACTTCACTGCAGACGCCGTGGAGGTACGGGAGGGATTCGAGAATGCTGGCGTAGTCTGTGGGATTGCTGTCATTGGTCCATGGGGTGGATGGGGAGGGGAGGTTGCTGCGGATTTCTTCTCTCAGCCGGGCTTGAATGTCGGGGTTGATAGCAAGGAGATGGGTGGCCCATGTGAATGCTGAGGAGGTCGTTTCGTGTCTGGTATGGTATGTTAGTATGTTTTTTCGGTCATTTCGTGTTGATACGCCGGAGAGATGAGTAGCTTACCCAGCAGCCAAGAAAGTCAATAATTGATCAATCAACATCTCATCATCGAAGTTGTTCGATTTAATCAGCAGCGATAGAATGTTAACGGGCTGCTCCTTATCTGCCTTCATCAGATCTTTCTTCTCCTGCAACAGCTGATGGCAGACACCTCGTAAGGTTGCCATCGTTCCTTTCAACCTCTGGTTAAGTTTCCAAGGGAGTTTGGCGACAAGTTTCGGAGAGAAGAGCATGTTCGCCCCGAAGAAGAGGGCTTTCTCGGCGGTGGGCTCCAGAATCTCTTCGTAGTTCGCTACGAGAGGATCGTCGGCATTGTAGAGAGAGTTGAAATCTCGTCCAAGACCTTGAGATTTCAGTACAGTTCAAGATTTCTCATTTCTCATTTCAATGGCAAGCACATACCAGCAACTCCAATGATGTCCATAGTAACTTTGTTAGCCCAGTGGTTGATCTCTACAACACCCGAGCGGTTCTTGTTCTTCTCATCAACCAACGGCTCAGGATTCTCATGGATCTCCGCCGCTATCCTACCCGTCATATCCCAAGCCTTCTGCCAGAAAACCGGGATGAGCTCTTTAATATGTCTGAAGCTGAAAGCAGGCGAGACATGTTTGCGCTGGAACTTATGAACATCACCCTCCACTAGGATCAAGCCATCGCCAAGAATGATGCGCAAGAACTTGCGGAGCTCTTTGGGCTTCTCAAAGTCGTAGCTCTTATGCACAAGGACTTCGCTTAAAGATGAGGGGCCTGTGAGGAGGAGATAATCGGAGTTGAAAAGCCCAGGGAAGCGGATTAGTCCCTCATTCGGGATCTCAGTTATGAGTTTGAGGAAGAGTTCTCCGTTTGGTCTTTTGAGGATAACAGAGGGAAATCCAATTCCAAAAATTGTGCCGGACTGCTTTGCTGTTAGATTCTTTCACACAAAGAGACTTGGGTGTTCTGATTGAGACTTTTACTACCATACCTTTGGTTGAGGAAGATGGCGGAGTGGACTTGCAAACTTTGGATATATCACAGTACACCACACTCCATAATAAACGACGAAAACCGCGCTGGCGAGCGCAAGGTAGAGTGTAGTAAGTTTTGTGTTGGGATAGAGTTCAGGAACAAATATGACTTTCAAGACACAAAGACCAGCTGCAGTCAGCGTCAACAGTACGGGAGTCGGAGGAGCCATGGCGAGTTGTACAGGACAAAGAATATCAGACATAATGAAAATCAAAATAGGCCCTGTTATATATGCCCTGGTTCAAGAGTGATAGCGACGATCCACAAGGCGCCGCTTACAATCTAGTTGATGCAAGCGTCCAGAGAAATGAAGCCGACGCAAGCTCGCATGGCAGAGCATGACTGTTGGCAAAAGTCAGTAGTAGTGTTTTTCCTTTTGAGCTCGGCTTCTTGCCTTCACATGCTCCCTCGTTTCATCTCATGGTGGTGGATGCTCCTGATTGGTTTGCAGCTTCGTCCCAATTGCGAGGCAACTATGCTGCGCTGTGTGTCACCTTGCGATGTTTCGTGCCTGGCTTGGTTCTGGTCAAACAATATTTTACGCTGGTATCAAGAAGCTGCGGGGTATGCCGAGTAGGCCAAGTCAAGCTTCTGACGTGGAGGCGGTTGGGTGTGCGTCAGTGGAGTCTTTCCAGAAGATACCCTCATACCTTCCATTATGCCTGCTTTACCATTGCAGTGCCGAGATAGGTCGCATATAATTACATAGGGGATCGGCGCTACGTAGCGGTTACTGAATGTGTACTGAGTTGATGATGCGTCTTTTCTTGGGAGTGTATGGAAATGCCAATGGAAAGCATACCTAGATAAGGTCGGGGTGTTGACAAACTTAAAGAAGCCGAGGTTGATTTTTGGCAAGGGGCAGACCCACACACATGCTGCAAAGTCAGGTGATACCGAGGATTCTGTTTCTCAAAGTAGCCTGTTCATAACGAACTTTGCTTGACAAGCTTCAGGCGAATACGCTTCAACTATTCGTGTTCCTTTTGATTGGCAAAACCTGGAATCCGACCCGCATATTGCACCTCCAATAGAAGTAACTCAAACCACTGATGAGATGGAAGACCTGCAACCTTCGATAAGCGAGAAGGAAGATTTGGGGTCGGTAAAAACTCTTGATAAGTTACATTGTCGGCAAAATCAGAAAGAAGAAAAATTCAAACGTCAAGATCGTTCATCCATTAACCCACACAACTAAAGCAGTATGAATTTCTGGGAGCTCGTCGGAGTTTCACTTGAAAAGAAGATCGCATCTGTTCGCAGGAGGCAAGTTTGAATATTTCATACATAAATATCATTACATTTATTCCAGTCGTAACATGTCTATTAAACGAGTGATTTCCTCCACTCCTTTCCCAGGGTGTTACCAGAAAAATACCACCTCAATACACCAGGATACAGAAACCCAAAACGCCTCATTAACCCACTCCTTTTTTTTCTTAACCAGGAGCAACATTGGTCGAGTTGACCTGTGGACCAGGTACAATCACCGTGCTGCTACCAACCGTGATATAACTCCTCACTGTCGCAATGTTGAAGGTTGGGATACTCCTTCCACTGAATGTATAAGTAACCTGGCCATTTGCAACGGCACCTCTAGTCATTACTCTCTCTGTTCCGCCATTCACTGGGCCGAAGATGATGCGCATGCTGCCAGCAGGATCAACGAGCTCTGTGCGGACGGTCGCAGCAGCTGTACCGCCTTGTCTTGAGGCCCAAGTAAGAGAGACGAAGGCTGGGTGGTCGAAGCTCGTTGAGGAACGGTCGGCCGTGATTACCACTGTATCGTTGCTCTTGGTTCCGGAGGGGGTGTGTGTGATTATGACGCGGAACTCGCGAGACTGGGAGACGCCGGCTGCGACCATAGGCGCAACGAATGATGGTTTGGAAGTTGTGGCGTCAGTGATCGTGATGCCTGTCGTAGAACCGGCGATCTGAGTCCATGCATAAGTAAGGTCAGATGGGAGCAGGCCAGATGTCGATTGCGAAGCATTGAGGCTTGCGCTGAGCGAGACGAATGTACCGGCTAGGACATTTCTGTCTGGACCCGCGTTTGCGACAAGGGCGACTGGAACTGGAGAAGCACTTGGGCTCGTTACAGCGGTTGAGGTGCTCGTATCATCGGTCTGAGCCGGGGGTGTGACAGTTGTACTAGTAGGTGGTGCGCAAGCTGCGACCGAAGGCACAGTCGCTCCTGGCCAAGGGTTGAGCTGTCCGAAAACCTGGCCGTTGATATCGCCAAAACCATTCTTGAGAGGCCCGATGTTGGAGAAGTCAATGGCTGGAGGAGTTCCTCCTGGCTGGATGAGCTCAGGGAAGATCCATTCGGTGACAGGCTGTACGTATGTTCCAGCGTTGATACCATCTGATGTAGTGACGGCGGTATCTCCGATCTTGACTCGGTAGTTGCGAGTGAAGAGACCAACATTAGTTCCACGTTGAACTTTCACTTCCCACTTGTTGCGCGCACTGGCGACAACATTGGTAGTTGCTACGAGTCTGTCGCTCTCCTCACCAGTGCAAGGATCTTGGTCAATGGCCCAAATGGTAATTGGCAGGTCAGATCGAGAGGCAAGACCGACAAACTATTCGGAGTTAGTATTTGCTTCTTGCATAATGCGGTAAGGAGAACATACTCTGTGTCTTGCAGCCTCAACGAGAGGAGAAGCATCTTGGACACCAATGAGCGCATCTTCAACTCGGACATAGCCAGGCTGGCTGCCGCTGGTCTGAATGTCGATGTTGACAACCATTCCATATACGATTGTTTCACCACCAACTTGAATGCCGGAGTACTCGATATAATCACCAACTCTGATTGGTACCATAACGGTAGCATTTTGGACGACACTGATCTCATTAATTCCAGTGCTCATACGAAGACATTATGTGGAACTCACAAGCTGGTAGAGCCGGTCGGTCTGTTTCCTTCAGGACACTTTACGTCTCCAGGCCCACGAGGCACGCACATTGGGTATCCACTGAAGCTCGTGATGGAAGCATTCTCATCATCGGCGGTGAAGAATGGGAGGTTCGTGTATCCAGCGCTATATCTAGCCCTTGGATCGTTGATCCGTAGGGTTGGGCCATTCTTAATCTTGATTGCTCCATCAGTGCCGAGACTCTCGACAGTACCAGAGGACCCAGCAAGGTCTAGCTGGGCGACGGAGAACTGGCCAGCGATGATGACATTATTGATAATGTTGCCTGTAACAGAGACTTCGTTGGGTCCGGCTCGTTTAGATGCTCCGGCTTCCGCAAATTCGGCAAAGGGGATGAATGCTGCAGGGAACTCGACGAGCAGGTTATCTGGAATGGTGATATCAAATCCCGACACGGATATGGAGCCACCACGATTAGCAGCTGTGCCGGATTTGGCTGTTGCACTTGAAGTATTGTGTCAGGAGGAATGCCTTATGTTTAGGGCATAGAAGTCTCACCTATCAAGGAATCCAGTTACTGTGAAAGGCTGTACCTGAGCCAGTGCCAACTGGAAGAGTACGGCTAGAAGAAAGAAGAGAGTGTACATGATGAATTGAAGCGAGTGCAATTACCATGAAATCAGTTACAAGTGAGTGGCTTGGGAGGATATGCATTTGCGTGGCTATGGGAGCTTCCTGTATATACTCATCGGGCCCTGTCCCAAGAATCGAAAGGCTATTCTAGACTCGTTCTGGGACCGTCAGGAACAAGTATATGGTTGCCGCATCTGGAGGGCTGTGGCCGGAGGCAGTTCCTGACAAGCGACCACCCCGAAGCTTTGCATTCTGCCTTTGCGTGTAACTCTACCCGATATAGTGAGGGCCATCCGTAAAGAGCACTTGTCACGGACGACGGACAACTTGTCCGACAGTCCAGAATGCATGCCGAGAGAAATTATTGACACTCGAGGTGCACAGGTCGGCCCATGTGGATCTGGTGCTCATATTCGAGTAGTAGGTTGTGGGTGAGAAAGAGGGAGGCCGACTAGACCCCACTGGTGCGGCTGGGCTTGCATGATCAAGCACCACCTAGCCAAGCCATCTAGCCGCGTCCCTGGGTGGCGGGCCCGACAAACTCGGACGTCGTCCACGCTCATTAAGGCTCGTAAGGGCTCGTGCCGACGAATCCAAAATAGCAAGCCGTAGATCCAGCGAATGGCAGAACTTTTCCGTCGGCTGTTCGTGGACAAGCATTTTGGTCATGCCATGAGGCTGTGGGCAGCGTGGACGTGATTCTACCCGGCTCAGTCCTGATCTAGATCGTGACAGCACCTGATGTCAATACGAACTACAGAAAACGATAAATCTGCAGCGACAGCAGGACAGGGTCTGAGTGGCGACCACGCACAGCGCCGAGAGTATGGACTGGCTCGGCATGCTTGAATCCACGATAGTCTCCAGCTGAATGGAAATCCCCGCAAATAAAATACACAGAGTGACAGAGGTGAGTTAGCCGACGGAAAAGAAACAGCGAATAAACAAGAGTCTGATAAAAGTTGATTCCATGACAAGGATAGAAAGTGGAATCTGGGCAAGAGGGGGAAATTTCAAGTTCAATCGGCCTAAACGTTCCAAATTCTCGGTATGGACAAAGTTCTGGACCTGGCATAAGTCCTGCGGCAGAGGCTGGGCGGCTGGAGCGGTGCTCTGTATTAGTGTCTCCACGTCAAAGAGGGTCCGAACGGAATTGCTTCAACCTCACAATTTGATTCAGTACCAAAAAAACGTGATATGATCTTGAATCCTGTCCTGCCACTATCAAAGATAGAAGTAGGTCCACGAATCTTTCCATGCAACCTTCTGGGAAGTACAACTGGGTTTACCTGGAGGCCAGATCTCAGATAATTTGCCATGGTACTTTCAAAAATTTCCCAAGCTTGTTGACCATCCGAGCGCGACCTCAAATATCCGAATGTCAGTGTGACGCTTTCAGACAGCGGCGTGGGTATTACCGACTGTTCGCCAGGCAGGGTCCAACTCTGTAGTCCATTCCATGTCCTTGTGCCGTCAACAACAGCAGATCAGAAACCCCTCTTGGCCTTTTCTGCTTCCAAGTTCTTCTCCTGCGCAATGAGCTCGGCCAGATTGTCATTCATGATCTTTGCATGTCGAGGCGCAGCATATCTGCCCGCCCTTGCTGCAGCGTAGGACGCAGCTCGAGTAGGCTCGGTGGCTAGACCAATTTGATTGGTAGAGTGCTCATAGAAACATTCGATGCGGAACCACAAGATCTCCTTCTTGAGAAGGGCCTCCGAGTCAGTATTGTTGGTTCGGGCATACTCGTGTGCATGCTTGAACTCGGCCTTCAGCTTGGCTAGGTGATGATACATCAGGCGAGAGACAAGATCCTTTCTGCTACCATATGCCGAAAGACCCCTTCTCAGACACTCGTTTTTGATTTCGAAAGTCTTCTTGTGAAGGAAGTTGGCCCTGTCATCAGCCTGAGATGTTGTAGCAAACTTGGCGTCGATATTCTTGACAGCTTGGATAAGTCCGGTCTCTTGTGGGATAGTCTTGACACCCTGAGAGTTTGCTGGTTGGACATTTCGATAAAGTCTGATGTCTTGGGAAGCAAACCGTCTGGCATTTTGGGCGGTATTAGCGTTCACAGACTGGCCTGCTTGATGAACCCTGATAGCTTGAGGGGCAGATGGTCGGAGAGTGTTGGCAGCAACAACCTTCGCAGGTATTGCATTTGTCTGAGATCGGACATCGTGAGAGGCGAAGTTTCCAACGGTCTTGACAGTGTTGACTTTCGAAGGGTCTACAACTTGCTGAGCCTGGATGCTCTGAGAGGCTAGAGATTTGGCGAAGGGAGCTGTGGCGTTGGGCATAGTAGGACTACGAATCTTTGTGCCGAAGAAGTTGTCTTGACGCTGAGAAGTGGGTGCTTGCGACCTAGCTGGAGCGACTTGAGACTGGCCGTTGGATGCGTGACTGCTGATTCCGGGTGAGGAGGCTCGAGAAGAGTTTTGAGGAGAAGTATGAGATTGATCTTCCCCCTTCTGCTTTCTGAGCTCTCTCATCTGTCTCTCGTGCTCTTGCTCGAATTCTCTTTCTCTGTGATCGCTTGCCAAAAGGCGATGGACGAGTTGTGTTGGACTACCATATGTTGCAATGCCTCGGTCGCGACACTTGGCTTGAAGCTCACGAATTCTCTTCATCTGTCCTGAGTCATGATTATCGGACATGGTGGCATTTGTCTTGGGGCTCGTGTTGATCTCTGCCGTGATAGTTGTCTCAACACTCTTCGCACCCACCGGGACAGGCTTGACATTCTCCTTGTTGTCGTTGAATGGGAGACTGGGCTTGGATTGAATAGTAGGTGGAGCTTCGCCTTGCTTGATATTGATTGCAGGATCAGGGTTAACAACCTTGAGGTTGTTTGTGTTGTCGGTGGTGACCTTGATATTGCCATTCTCGAAGGTTTCGGGGCTGGAATTGAAGTTCACCATCACCTCCACGGCTGCAGTTTGCTCGAGACCAGTGGTGGGCTTGTCAGCGACGTTTCGAGATCTAATCGATGGGCTAATCTGTGCTGTAGACTTGGGTGTGGTGGGTTGCTTCTCAGTGGAGGCGGTCTGGTCAGGATTGGTCTCAGTGGCAAGCTTCAGGACAACACTTCCCTCCTCCGAGGTAGATGCAAGCTATAAGTGTCAGTCGAGGCATTCTGTACAAGTCTTCATGAAGCGGAACGATGGGTTGGCAGTTACCTTAGACTCACTACAAGCCAGCTCCCGGGTGGTGTTGCGGTCAGAGGAGACGGTCTTGGACGCGTCTGGGGTGATTGGGTCGCTCATTTCGGAGGCTTTTTGTGAGGTGCTGATCGAGAGATCTGGCGACGTCTGGATCTTGCGATCCGGTGAGGTTTCCATAACTGATGGTATGGAGCTTGAGAGTGGAATGAAGTTGGTGAGGGAAAGCCGGAAGGGTATGGAAGGAGACCAGGCAAAATATAATATTTCGTGGTGAAACTTCGCTTATGAGGAAGCCGTGCAAAATTCTGGGGGCTGGGGACGGTCGTCTCTTCCTATTGTCAACAAACGGTGAATAGGTTTTCCATACCCTTCCATTCGACATCGGGATGGAAACATTTTCTTGATCGCCGAGACTGCAGGCTGAACACTCTAATACGGAGCAATCGCCTACAGAAATTATACCATGATAGACATAGACATGAGTGGTCGAGTAAGTAGTTGCACCTTCCAGTTTTGTCAAAAACACCGACGAGGAAGGAACATTGAAGACGGCACCGCCACAATGAATATGTTACTTACGAGGTCCAAGAATATCCATTGTACCAGCAATGAATTGTTCTGTGACAGGTGCTTCGTTTACAACCTCTGCAAGACAGGACGTGGAAGCTGAACGGGATGATGTTTTTACGGCAATGTCAACAGTGCGCGAACATCGGCGATCCAAACATTCTGCACCGAGATTACGACCACTAAGGGTCCGCAATCAGTCGTTGGGCAACCATGATATTGCGTTCATGTCCCGCTGCTCTTGTTGTGAACCATGGACAGCCTTGTACATCAGAATAAGAATTGTGCACAGATTGGAAGGGTGAGCATCCACTCACCTTGGGCGAATCATCACCTCGTCTTCAAGCTTACGGCATACCAAACAATCAAGCACTGTGACTCGGGCCCAACTCAGTTCAAGTAAGAAGTCTATTGGATAGTCTTTTCAGTCCACAGTATTGTCTGATTCGGCTTGTCATCTCTGTTGCTATACGCAACAGGTAAATGTTGCACGCAAATGTCTCTTCGTCAAATCTTGAATGCCATCATAGTTTCCGTCCTTTTGTACAGTAAGTTTTCACTAAACAATTATTCCAATGTTTGCAGCGAACTTGCAGTTGCCCAGGGCCTTCTCTTCAAAAATATTATGCTTGCTGAAGCCTAAAAATTTTGATCTGATCAGACAGTCAGCTGATTTTGCATGCTTTGAATGTTTGAGGTTCTTTACTTACTTGTCCCATCATTTGGCTAATCGGCAAGTACTTTCACTGAGTGGAACATGTATGAGTTTCGGGCGACAGAGGAAGTCACCCAATTCGAAAGTCCAATATCAGATATCTCCCAAAACGGGATTGGACTTCAAAAACTATCAGTTTGCGACCATTCAGTTCCCCTGGCTTCACTGTCTTCGATATCCTGGGGACAACGTGGGGAACGCTGAAAGCGAGACCTGGAATGAGGTTGCCGGCATACCAATCTGTGAGGATTTGGTTTGAAAGGATCCAGTCTTCGGGGCTGGGATGTGTACCTCCCCTCTATTTAACTGGCGACTCTGACAGCTTGGCTGCGAGTGCAAAGAAGCTCGCAAGGCCAGATCCCACCTGCATACGCGCAGTAGATTTCCTGGCGCAATAACATGTTCCGGCACTCTTTTATTTCTGTTGTATTATCCAGAAGGGGCTGGTCGTCTACATAAACTTACTCGAAGGCAAAGTGCGCTAATGCCTCGCTAAATTTCGAGGGCGATCTGGCCCGCTCTCATGCCCTCTCAGGCCCTTGAATTGCCCTATCGGTTTTGCTTTTGGGAGTTCGAGAGCGAGATATGCATGTTGGGGCTTGCTCTAGATGCTGTTTACCTCATGCTTGATACAGTCTCCAGTGCCTCCACTAACCGTCCATTCTGAAGTGGTCGACTTCGTGAAAGGTCTGTTGCATATGTCACATGACCAGAATGTGACATCGTCTTCCATTCACCTGCCGGCGTGATGGAGAGTACCATAGCGCGACATTTATATCTCCCATTGAAATTGGCTTTCTTCCTCTGCCTGAGCAGGCTCGAAAACGGCTTTCGAAGACGGAGTGTCGTTTTGTTGCAGTATGAGATGTTGCCGTGTCCACGTCTCAGTCGCAATTGAAGAACAATCAGATATTCAAAGCTGCGTTGATCGTGAATCTTTGAAGATAAGGTGATGCTTGTATTGAGCCATGGACTATCTGGTTTCCGGTATTTTATCCAGATGCAGATCTATTCCTCCTTCATCACCTTCGAGGAACTCGGATCCACGTCGCCGGCACTGGAGGAAGGAAGAGCTCTTCGAATATGTCAAGGAGGCTTGTAAATAACTTGGTAGTTGCCTGCTGGAGATATCTCTAGCCTTGAGAGGTGGCCATCATGACTTGAAATGTAGGGTCGATACTAGTCGATACGCTCCTTGAGATCGATTAGTGCAGAAAACCGAATACGGAAATACGGAAATACGAGCATACGAACGAACACGACGGATGAGACTGCCTCAAACATCATAAATATATGTGCCTCTTCGCTCTTCTGCACCCCGAGGACTGCTTTTGGCTTCGGTCAATTGCAACTTCCTCTCAATCCCTCTGTTCTAATCGATCAATTCCCACACAGCTTCTTGGAATATTTGATGATAATCTGCAAAGACGCGAAGTACTTCCCAGAGTCTGAGTCGTCATGCTTTTCGTCCTAAATATAATACGTTAGAATACACCATGCCGATTTTGCAATACATCGAAAAGTTCATTCCGGCCTATGGGAAACAAGGGAAACACCAACTCGTCTCCCAGGGATCAAAATCAGTTGGTGCACGTGACCGTAATGAATTCAGGTTTTCCCTTTCATGCCCATACTGATAAAGAATTTAGATCATGTTCCTTCTCAACGGAGAGTGTCTAATAAACATCTACTTTCAACGAGTTCAATACTATTCGGACTTTGCCTTCTAGGCTACACAATTACCCGAAACCCACCTCTTTCACGACCCTCAGATATCCCAGCTCCACCAGTCCCCGAATCCATCAGCATCAGACGCTTAGTGCTCCCGCCCGTAGTCTCAGAAGACAATGTCGGAGCATGCTCTATTATCAACCCAAACGGAACAGGATGTATTCCCATCGACTCCGAACTTCAGAACGGGAACTTCCTCCCAGACAACAAGCATGTCGTAGCCGTTGTAACCTTTGCCGGTGCGCCATCAGCACCAGATCCAGCACATATCTTCACCGGTAGACAGATCATCCTGCTTAAGGTCGACGACAGCACGTTCGAAGACGGGGCGAGTTGGAAATGTATCACCTGCGGCGTTCCTGTCGACAATCAGCCAGGGAGGAATGATGCATTGGACTATCCGCAAGCTTTCCTAGATGGAAAGAGAATCTTAGCCGGAACCAATATTATTGACTGTGGCTCAGCACCACTGGCAAGTGCTGAGTGCACTCCTCAGAAAGTTCATGTCTATCCGATCCGCTGGAATGACCAGGCTGACGGCTCGGGGCGAGGCGGGAACATGAGAGAGTTACGAATACATCCCGACAATATACATATCGGATTTAGTGCATTCGATATGACCGATGGTCATATTGGCCAATACTGTTACTTCGGCCGCCTGGAATTCAACCCTTCACCTTCAACTGGCATCTCACTTACACCTCGCTACGACGTCGTCGTCGTAACCAGACTGTTCGACGCGAACGCCGTTTCGCCAATAACCACCCACAAGGGCGAAATAACATTCCACCCCGAGGCCATCACAGTTGGCGAGCTTCGCGGTTTCACCGGTCGTGGTACCGAAGTGACATACATTGGCTACCCCCACGAATCCTCCAACATCGATGTCTTTTCGGCCGATCTGGAAACCGGTGAAGTGCGTCGACTGACAAGTCATCCCGAATATGTCGATCCCATCGATATCTCGCCTGACGACAACTGGAGCGTCGTGATGGATACCCGCGGCAGTAACCGCCAGATGTGGGTTTCTGGCTTGCGAGGCGTGCCGCCGATCACGGATATTGTTACCACAGCTGTCGTGGCTTCGACGAGGAATAACGGGCGGAGGAGATTTTTTTCCCCTTGGATAATTGATAGATTTGGTGACCGTGGAGAGTACTTTGGACAAAAAATCAACGCCGGGGAAGATACGACACCAGGGAGTGGCAGTACCAGTGATCCTGAATGGAATGGGAGGGCGGATCCGAAGTGGTCCAATGATGGGACAATGATTGTCTATAATGAGGAATTGACGGTGGCGCCTGCTTGTGGAGGCGAGAACCCGCTGCCTTGCTTCGAGTCTAAGGAGCCTGGAGGGGGCATTCAACGGATTATGCTTGCTACTTTGACGCAGAGAAAGCCGCTTGATCTTCCACCTGTGAAGAAACATTCGGATACCATACCATGGGGTGTTCCGTACGTACCGGGAAAATCTCAGAAATTACGATCGATGGCACCACAAGGGACCTACAAACTTACCGGTAAAGTATCCGGATCAGCGAAAGTCAACATCACGTACGATGCGCTCGGAGTGGTCGTCCGTACCGTGGCACTTGATTACCAGAACTTCTCCGACGACGGGAAGAACTTTCTTAGTGGAACAGAGGAAGTCACGGTCTTTCCTAACGTTTCAAAATCGCCGACGTCTCTGCATACTGATTGGCACTCCAATCTTACGCGAACTGGATCAGATGGGAGGAGTACGAAGGTGACTGGACCCGAAGGGTTTCACTTGGATATTGATATCATGACGAATATTTTTGAGGCGAATGGTACTTTGACGACTGTCGTGGATGGCGTGGAATATAAGCAGCCGCAGAACGGAACGTAACTGTGGATAAGTGATTTTATTGTAGAAATTTACAGATGTCAAATGCTTCCACGACTGAATACGATATTGAAGTATTTCATGATGGACTCTAATCCATGAGCATATTGTACAAAGGGTACCAGAACGCAGCTAGCAGCTCATGCTACTATTTTGGTATCTATTGTACGATTCCCCAATCCCAGACGAGGTGCCAAGAGCTCTCTGGCGGCAATACCTGAGACACAAAACTAGATACAAGAAGACCCCGTTTTTTGAGCACTATGAAGGACTCCAACATCGCAACATCCCTAGTAGAGACAGACAAATCAATGAAATCGTCATTGGTAGTCCCTTCCACATCATCGAAACTTAGAACAAAAACAAACAAAGCACGACAAATAATAGAGTTTGAACATCTCTCCAGGAGTCTGCTACACTTCTCCATTATCCCCATCACTCGCCCACCAGCCTCTCCCTCTTATGCAACTCCATGATAACCGGCGTCCCATCCATTCTCTGCCCATCAAAGAAATTATGGAACCTCACAGCCATCTCCTCTCCCCTCTCCCCATCCTCAAAGGTCATAAAATATCCTGTTTCATCAGCTTTGATCTCGATGTCACTAGTCTTTGCATATGTATGTGGACATTCGGCGAGGAGAGCTTTGACGTCGGTGAATGTCATGTTGTTGGAAGCGGGGAGGAAGATATATGGGAGGTGGGTGATGGCGGGTACGAGAGAAATCGGTGAGGTTTGCTGTTGTGTGGCTGGCGAGATTTTTGAGAGAGGGGTAAAGAATTCAGGTGGTCTGTTATCTTTAGAAGTTGATGAGAGAGGCGGGAAGTAACGGCTTGTGTCTGAGCAGCTGCGCTTAGCATTTGGACCAAGGGAGTGGGTAGATGCGGTTGAAGTATCTCGTTCATAGCTTTGATACTGTGCTCGTGGGGAGGTGGGCTTGCGTTTCAGAGTCGGTGCAGAGGCCAAGGGCATGAGTGCTCGTGGAGGAGATACTGGGCGGCGGGAAATCGGTGGGGATAGCTGAGAAGATGGATAATATCGTTGGATTTGGTGATTTATGTCGCTGGAGCGTGCTCGTACTGCAAAGTCTCGGGGACGAGTCTGTAGACCTCGTGCTTCTCTCAAGCCCTTTAAACCAATTAGAATCATGGCATGAAGGAGATACTAGAATTCCACGTAAGACTTACCTTCAGTCTAGCGAAAGCCGGATTCCATCGTTGGTCCTTCTCTCTTCTTGCACTAAGATCGCTTGAATACATAAGCCCTGCCTATTGACTTATCAAAGCACTCCTCGCCCATACACTCAGAACTCTAAGGAGAATAACGCACTAACCTTTCCAAGTCACAATATTTCCCTTCCCTCTCCACCTTCAGCTTGTCCACCTCGGTATTGTACTTCGTCAACGCCCTTGCGATAGCAGAATCCTTCTTCTTCCTCGCCTCATCAAGCTTAACGTCATGCTCGGCTCTTATCTTTGCTCGACGATCGTAGCCGTTGCGGTCAGGCTCAAAGGGAGTGCAGTTGGCAAAGAGAATGTCGGCGAGTTGCTCCTCGGAGAGGTGCATGACGGCTGGGTCGTCGCGAGGGTGAAGATTGAGATCAGATAATTGGCGATGTGGGAGAGCTGGTGCTGCCGACATCTGATTGTGCCGAGAAGCAGAAGGTGGATCATCCGTACCATGCTGCTCTGGTCGGTGCTGGGGACTATCAATCCCGTCGTGCCGCTGAAAAGGTCCAGGAGGATACTCGCGCTCTCGTACTTGATCGTAAACCTGTGCATGTTTACCAGAGTACTGTCCATGATGACTAAGTATCATTCCCCACGCGTCGATACCTCTCTGGCCGTCATCAGCCTTTCGCTCGAGGCCCCTGCCATCTCCCTCCCGAGTCTCACTTCTCTGATGACCACCACCGAACGCAGGACCCCTGTACCGACCAACACCACCTACTCCTTCTTCCCTATCCCTCAATCTCACTTCTACCTCCGTATTCTCATTCAAGCGATCTTTTCGCTGTAATCGTGCGATCAAATCTCTTCTCAGTCCCGTATTGTCCAGACCACGCTCTACACAAACATCTCTGAGTGCCGGGACCTTCAGATCGACGTACTTTGCCGGCCTCACCATCGTGTTGTGGCTGACTTGCAGCGCTTGCTGAATGGGCTTTGGCGAGTCGAGCGAATGTATGGATGTGATGTTGTTTTAGGTTGCTAGATGAGAGAGTAAACATAAACAATGGACAGGGATAGCGGGGTGGATTAAGCGAGGGCGTCCTATGGGACGAATAAGAGGATGATTGATGAGAATCAAAATGTAGATTCTGAAGCCTAATCGAGCAGCTCTACAATTATGATCATACAAAGCTGAGCAGCTTCAAAATGGTATGGATCATTGATTTATTACGATCCTGAGGTTGGCTCTCAAGCAGGGGCTGAGTACTTCGTAGTGCTCTGATGTTGCCTTTGCCGCAACCTTTGAGCCTTGTACTGCAAAATGCCGACCGTTCTTGCTCATCTTGCACAATAACAAGGCCATATTATGATTAAGAGCAAGGCAGTGATGTCGCTCAACGAGAAAGGGACATTGTAGAAGATCAAAGTTGAGCTGGGTGGATATCATTCGGAAGGTGTGTAGACACAGAGATGGTAGTGCCAAAGCTCTGGGGTAGAAAAAGGCTCACAGTTTGGGGCAACAGATAATGGAAGCAAAATACGACACAGAGCGACGCAAAAAAAGAAAACAGAACAATCTCAGATTCAAGGAGAGCTTTAGGCTCTTAGTATGCATTAAGATAGGCAGATGAATCTATGCTCATGGGTATCTAAACCATACTATCATTTTCGCAATGTCATTCAATAAAGCATTCCCAGATTTACTACAGTTACATTAGCCATCGCCGCTGTCACAATTTCGACGCACTAACCTCAGGATCCGCAATCTTGAGCACGGCCTTGCCAAAGTTCTTTCCCAGTAGCATGCCGACGAAGCCGTCAGGGGCATTATCGATACCATCCGTAACACTGATCTTGGTCTTGAAAGTTCCCTCGTTCAACCACTTCGAAATATTCCTGTTCCGTTCCTCGAAGTATTGAGGTCCCATATCCTTATCACTGACGATGAATCCTCGCATAGTGAGCCTCTTCGACACGAGATACATCAAGTTCTTGATGCCGTACCGGGCGTCGGGAGCAGCGTTGTACTCGGAGACCATACCACAGCCAATGACTCTGCCGAAGTTGTTCATGACTTCTAGGACAGCTTCCAGTTGTTCTCCACCAACATTCTCGTAGTAAATATCGATTCCGTTTGGTGCAAGACGTTGAAGAGCTTCAAGTGGCTTCTCCTTCTTGTAGTTGAACCCTTCGAAACCAAGCTCCTCGGTAATATATTCCAGTTTCTCGTCCGATCCAACAGACCCAATAACCTTCAATCCATCATGCTTAGCCAGCTGTCCGACAAGCTGTCCCACGGCGCCCGAAGCAGCAGAGATGAAAATCGTCTCGCCCTTCTGCGGCTTGCCAATCTCGTAGAACGAGGAGTAGGCGGTCAACCCTGGCATTCCAAGCGCGCCGACGAAGACCTTCAAGTCAAGATTGTATGGGTTGTCGACTTTCCTCAGGGCGTCTGCGCTCTGCTGAGGCAGGACTGAGTATTCCTCGGTAGGGATTGCTCCAACGACCAAATCGCCCGCCGCAAACTTCGCATTGTCGGACTTGAGGACCTTGGCAACTGTGTTGTTACCAATAGGTTGGCCAAGTGTGTATGGTGGGGAGTAGGATTTCTTTTGGGGGTTGCGCATTCGACCACGCTGGTAGGGATCGAATGAGACATAGAAGTTCTTCGTTGACACCGCCTGCTGGAGGGGCTTGTTCGAGATCGAATTCGCGCGCCTCGACTGAAAGGTCTTTCCCTGGGACGGGAAGGCCCTCGGGGACCTTCTTGAATATGACGCCTTTGTTTTGAACCATGATTGCTGATTTGGATGGGTGTACAAAAATTGGGTTCGGAGAAGTTGTAAAATGAGGGCTTGAAAATCTGCGAGACGTTTGAAGAACACAGAAAAGATTTATACCTAGTGATTGGTTGGAAGGGATGATTTTATAGTCGGACCGTGAAAGAAAACAAGCCCCGCTACAACGACGTCAAGTCCTGGAGGCATGACGCCGTTGAGGGTTGCAACACCTCCCTATGAATGGATTACCAATTTCTAACCCACCTACCTGTCACCACCATCTGCAGTACACCCGATGCTGCTTAACGCCGCAATTCGTGTATCATGGTAGGCCTTGCAATGGCCACAGATGCGATGATTCGTAATCCGGTTGAGCTGTGGACAGTCGCCTTGCTTTCAGACGAGAGATGCCGAGGCTTGCGGCAATATTTCCAGGAACGACTTTTGCCCGAGCCTAAAACTTGAGTCAGTCGAGATGGCTGAGGGACACTTCGCTGAGACTAGAACTCATGTTTGACTTGAGATCATCATGCAAGAGCAATCGTATAAGCAGTTGCTGCATGAAAATTTATAGGAGGATGAGAAGTGTCCCGAGTTGCAGGAATAAGTCGACATTAGTGCCAAGCCTGTCAGCACTACAGCTCTCTAGTGTGGACTCCGATGTCAAAATACCGAAGCGTCTCTCATAAACTCAACTGCTATATTAACACACTCTACTATGATCTCCCCAAGGCCGAGAGCGCAGTTCTAATCCAGATGAGAACTGAGCGGATCGGACTCAATGCGTACCTCTATCGGATCAAACGATCAGACACACCATGGTGCGAATGCGGCTAAGCATACTAAACAGTTCGCTATATCATTGAGGAATGCGACCTCTTTGAACCGGAACGTTTTGAACACCTCAAAATCTCTCACACGACAGACCACCGCCTCTTTATGGAGGACGGAGAACTTGTTAAAAACACAGTTAACTTCATGATTTCGACCGAGCTCCTAGCCTAAATAGCGGAACAGAATAGTATCTTCTTACTACTAGGCAATTAAGACTTGCTAAGTTCAGTTCAGGCGACGGCCGGAGAGGCAACTGGTGATTGTACTAATAGAACTAACTAGGGGGTTAAACAATCCCTGTAATTTACAGAAGCCGATGGAGTTATTAAACCGGCAGGCGCAGTGAAACCTGGAGTCCCTATTTATAACTTTTATTATGATTATCGTCCTTCCTTCTTTTTATTTGTTTGTAATACTTTTCAGCTCTGGATACGGTGCTAATTGGCACGGGGACACAGATGTAAACTAGACCTAAATAGTGCGTCCGTATAGCGCTTAGTGCAGCTAAATAGACTATGGAATCAAAAAAAAAAAAAATAAAAAATAAAAAAAAAAATAAAAAAAATACCGAAGCCAATTCACTATCACTTCTAACCCTTTTGTTCTTTCAACACATCATAATCATAACATTTACTGCATTGCAGTATAACCATTTTTAGGAAAGCAAACATGTGAACTTGTGCCTTGTCTGCCTTGAGGCATCGTGTTTGCATGTTGTGGACGCCTGCAGGACGGAGATGCCTCAGGATTTGTATGCTTTGTGAGACATTCAGCACCAGGCTTTGTTTCTATTCAAGGTCTTGATTAAATGTTTGCTTGAAATTTGACTGAATAACTCGGGCTCGTATCAAAACTGGTGTATGTTTGTCACGGATCTCGCAATATCAAAATGTGCATCCGAAGGAGACAAGCAACAGATGAAGTAGCTCGGCTGATATGACCAATGGTCTTTGGTCTTTCCGAAGCATGAAAATGCTGCAGTATACCAAGGTGAATATGGTTAGATAGGATAGTATCATTCCCTTCCTCTGTCCGATTGGCCAAATTGCAGCCTCTTAGCATTATAGCTCTATCTCAATGTAGTCGTCCTGAGGCAAACCAAGAGCAAATGACTAGATCGTCAAGTTTGATCTCTCATTTCAGGTTGGAGCGGCATTGTCTTCAATGGGTGAGAAGGTGGGCATGGAATGCATGTCGCCGTGATGGCAATTAAAAATGGTACAGTCAATAAATGAAAAAGAATGGATTTGGAGCGATTACTTGTCAAGCAGTCAACTGAACCCTTCAAGATGTCTGATATGTCATTCTGGGAAACCTCTCAAGCCCCGTCTTGATAAGTCTCTCACAGAAACCGAAATCGAATCCGCATATTTCCCAAAAGAAGCAGTCATAGCAATTCGGACGATCTTTTGTGGTTTCTGGAAGCGAAGATTCACGAGCTTCTAATGTCCACTTCTGTGGACGACAGTCCACTAAATCATATCCGCTCTTCAGCGATATTGTATCTCGTCGTCCACATTACCAGAAGCTGTTCTTGGTATTGAAGTCGGCGAAGTTTACATTCAGGCGCAGCAAACACAGTAATCACTGAGCTCTAAATTTGTCTTGGTTGCGTGGGATTCTGCTGGGCAGGATCAACACAAAGCGAGAGAACTCCACTTCACCCAAACCCAGTGATCTGCTTGGCAAGCAAGCCTCAAAAGCCATAACAAACATCGCTCCAGAGGGCTTTTCTGTCAGGCGGGATTTCCGACCGGTGTCACGTTGGGGCAAACGATGAAGTCCCAGCTTAACGCCACGACAGCATTCGTTCAGCCCGCGATTCGTCAACTGTGGGCTAAAAATCTACCGATGAGATTAGATAATGTACCGACGACAGCGGCACGTATTTCGTTCTTACATGGCATGACAGCTGTCGGTACCGAGTAGATATGCGTAGTAAATATGGTGGGCTTCTATTTCTCTGGAGCGAGATGACGGTTTCCGACTGATTTCCGACAACACCTATTACCGGTCCAGCACCACTCATCACGAACTTCAGCAACCTTCTGGACCCTTGCCAAGCTCAGCTCAGTGCGTCCCTTTGCAGTGGAACAGGAATTTCAATTTATTGGTCGATCATTGGCACGGAGTGGAGTGGAGTGGAGTGGAGTGGAGTGGAGTGGGGGAAACTCTTAAATTGCTGTTTCGAGATCTTGATGAGATACTGTACTGTATGAAAATAATGGACGAAGGGGAACTTGCAAAGAGTGCCGTGCGGTGCGGGAAGCCATCGCATCACATCACATCGCATCGCGGATCTGGTGGATGTTTGTCGTTTCGGCCCTGCCGCGAGCCTCCCCTGCCTGCCAGGCGGAAGGGAAGGGAGGATCCACCCAATACCTCGCAGAGCAGACGGGAGTCGCAGGTGGATTATTGGGGGCAAGGTAAGGGAGCGAGGGGAGGTAGAGGGTACTACAGTAGGTAGGTACCGGTAGGTAAATTTACCTTGTCAGGTATGGAATACCCGTGCCTCCCTTACCTAAGCTGGGTGCCTTTACCAAACCTCCGTAGGAACTAAGTTACTAACTGGGCTTCTGAGTCTGAGACGGGACTTCTTCGTTGTGACAGCCTTCACTACCTACTGCTGTGCTGCAGGTAAGGTGAGGTGAGGTGAGTTACCAGCCAGCCGCCTTCCCACCTCATGATGTTTCCAGACTTTCGGACCCCCGCAACACTCCATGACTCGGCCAGCACCACCGAGCTGTACAGTACAGTATGAGCCAGCACCAGCACTACTACTGCCAGCACTACTACTGCCAGCAGTAGTAGTAGCTAGAAGAGACTTTCCAGACTTCGAGAGGCGGCTTGTCCAGTTCAAGAGATCGCCGAAGTTTTGCGTGTCTGTCACGCCCACAAAGTGCACTGCACCACCCAGCACCCAGCGTGCCGCGTGTGGGGAGCTCCAAGTCTATCGCCATGCGCCAGAAACGCCACGCTTTTCAGCCCTTTTGATATTCACAGTCCAGGCGCCTTGCCCTGTCTTTTTCTTGTCTGGGGAGTCGGGATGCTCGGACAGCTCATGATCCAGACAGGGCGGAGTTACGTTCTGTGTCTCGAAGACGGATCCCTATTGGCCAAATCACTCTCACGGCAAGAGTGGAATGGAAGGCTTCGAGTCTCATGTTTGGTTGTGCCAGAGCTTCACGGTTTCCCGAGACTGCTTTGTGCTTGGGAACAGTTGCACCAAGTGCTATTGCTCTGCCCATGGCCATCGCTTCTAGAAGCTGGAGCGGACATTCCAAAGCACAAAGAACTATTGAAGTCGTTTGTTTCTGTTCTGTTTCTTTGCATTCGAACTATGTCTCCGTTATTTTGACAGTTTGGGCTCCTTCATCGGCGTCGCCACTGCCCCGCCAGGATTGAACCCTGCTTCAGCACGGTGTGGACGCTGACGCTTCAGCCAAAAAAAACTTCTTGTGGCTGATTCTGGCTGACGGCAGACATACTGAATGGGGTCGCTACACTGACCTTGACTGAATGCGGAAGAGCTACTTGATCATGACCACTGAAATGGGGCCATGATACAACCCATCCAGAACATCTCGACCAGTCGTGCACACCCTTCCATGTTTCTCTCTTGTCATGCGTGCGGTCTGAGGCTCTTAGACACAGGCCGCGTCTTCCAAGTGGAATAGATATAGAATCAGGCCTCATCCTGCAATCTCGAAAACGTCTGCTTTCAGACATTAGAGGTATATCGCCAAGGATCATATCGATTTTCGACGGTTTTCGATTAGCTCCAAGTTGGAAACAGCTCATAACTTCTGTTTCTTCTGTTTCTTCTGTCGCTGTTTAAGTCTCATCTTTGAGCCGTCTCAGCTTCATTGGATCATCCATTCTACTCCATTTGGGCCTGATCGTCGTCAACTTTTGCAGCCCGTTCTCAGCATCATTTTCTGGACGTCATTTGTCTCAGTGAGAACACTCGAACCGTCCCGCGGTTGCTTTGAAGATAAGAAGGAGGTCCTGCGCTGTCATTGATAGTTTGAGCTCCACATACCGCCTCAGACATCATTCATCATGAAAGGACTATCAGGCTTGCGCAGAGAGAATTCCTACCACCAGCCATTTGCAAAGCAAGACAACACGATATGTGCTCGGCTACGTCGAGTTTTCAGAGGTCCACCGAAGCAGACACCGAAGCCACAATATCGGGATGAGAAGAAATACCGACATGTTCCAACACACTCGGCATCGTCATTTCTCAAGACTGCTACAACGCCAGTAATGATCCAAGCCCTTGTGGATCAACACCACGAGCCGCAGTTAGACAATATCAGAGTGTCGGTCACGCCCAACCCAGTCTCGCCGGGACACACGCCACCACCTCATAGCCTTATCTGAAGACGAATTGAAGAACAGAGAAGATGGAGAAATAGATGAGAATGGAAGACATGAGTGTGGTGGAAGACGGACGACGTGGATTCTTCATGGATATCCGCATGGGATACGGCCTCCACAACACAAAGTTTACGACTAAATGGTCAGTCATTGCTGGACCAGATCTGAAGCATTGCTGTGCATTACGAACAGCATGATGGTATGGAATGATGAGATATGATAGATGGCATGAAAGAATTCTTGATACCCCGGCCCTTTGTTCTGGGGACACATTCGTTTGACTGCACGGCGTTGGTAGTTGGGTATGATACTGCGTTCCACGACACCGCTCATCGGTGTTGTCTCCGAAATCTCTGTATATTCTGCAGTTGAACCTGATAGGTGTCGAGGGCTGGGTCAGGGTCTGATGCGGGCAGGCTACCTTGCTGATATGCTGCGAGGGCGGATCATCTAGATGGGAGGCATTTCTGGGTTATGTACCACATCGACTTGTGCAATTAGATGAAGGATTTCAGAATCCGCATAACACCAAGCAACAAACATTAATAACATTATGATAGCATCTCCACTCTCGTTTCAAAATAGAACCCTCCTATTCCCAAGGCCAACTGTCGCTCCAATTGAGGCGAGAAAGTGAATTTGAAAGCTTCGGATCAAAGCAACATAAGATGAACACTGCTTACTGACAAGCCACCATATCCTTGCTAATAGCACGTAGTCGATAAAACTTCGTCACACAAGGATAGCTTTCGAGAACAAGGTCAAGGTAAAGATGCAATATACTGGACTAAAGAAACTGTAACTGTCCGGTTCGGAGGATTTGCGGAACGGCAAAGTACATTTGTGATTGTGATTGATGACTTCGGAAGCCGTTGCTGCGGCGATTTTCGTGGTAAGGTTTCGTGTAAGGAAATTCCAAGGATTTGGAGGATATCGAGGGTATAACATACAACAGGTACGGTCAAAGAGGACGGCTTTTCCGTGAGATGTGGATTTAGATCAGCTCAAGGGCAGTGACGGTCACGTGTTGAGATCGCACTGTTGAAGATACTTTGGGATTGCCCTCCATCGTGCCCCTGAGTTTCTTTTCGCTCTGATGCTTTGTTTTCATGTTTTGTCCGAAATCTTGCCGACAGGTCGTCAAGCCTTCCATTGAAGCATCATTTCTGCAAGTCACATGCAAGAGTGGCTTGGCCATGTCCACTTTCAAGCGAGTATCGACATCCTTCCTCTCCATCCCCCACAGCAGATCTCTTTCTCAACGCGATTGTGCAACATCATCATCTAAACGGCATTTGGTCAAATAGAATTTTCAGATCTAGCCTTTTTCGCCTTAGCCATCCTTCGCCGATGCTTCCCCCCGACCCCGATCAGCTGAGGCTGAACAGTGAAGACTCGAGGTCAACTCCAATGAGAATCCCTACGATATGCTGCTTGTTACGGGTGCCGACCTGCAATGCATCTTTCGACCTGGCACAGGCCATTTTGCGACAACCCCGCAAGATCGACAGATGATCTTGGGATCCTACATTCCTGAGCTCTGCTCTGGGTGTTTCAACCAGGCATCCGAACCGCCATTTATACTCCCTGCTTCATCCAAAGATGCCTTCACTTCCAGGATCATGGTGGAATCTTTCGTGCTTCAAATTTTGCTGTACTAAGAGTACTTTTAACAGGTTTGCTGCATGTAACCGCTGGGAGAAGGCATTCTCGTGCGTGTACGAAGGTACGAGAGCTTCCTGCATGTATCGGCCCGGATTTGTGTTCCCCTAAGCCACTACATGGAGGAAGCGGAAGGCAAAAAGCTGTCCAGCGCTGCGTCTTCCCTACGTTCGATGAAGCTCTCCTCGCGCTCATTCTATACCCAATATATCGTTGGTTCTGAAGTATCGACTGTTGTGATAGCTCACATTTTCTCTGCGTCTATTGCAGATGAAGTCTCGTCTAGAAGCAAACTATGCGGCATATTTCCTTTAGTGACGGGACTGGCTGTATACTCATTTGGCCTAGAAAATCCTGCGTAATGGCATTGCTTAGAATGTTACTCAGAGATCCACATCCATGTCGGACCCATTCTCTCCTACTTGGATTCTTCTGAGAGATGCTCCTTCGTGTTGGAGTTTGGATTTCGAATGCTACACGCATCCTTAGGTTCAAGTAGGCAACCGCCGTGCATGTTGTCAAGCACGCGAATGGGAATTACGGGTTTTCAAGTTGACATTCACAACTGCCTCTGACGCAAGTTCGGTGTGTGTAACCGTCTCAAGTGAGGTGGGCTGGATTTCAGACTGGCACTATTCTAACCTTCGCTCCTCTCAACTTTCTTGATTCCAAAGTATGTCCTACCAGCATCACCGCGTGATACGTTCAGATATACTGTACCATCACGGGGACCCGTCCATTTCTTGTGTTAGCACTCCTCACTTTCGTCTTGAATTTCCGTACTTGTTTTGTTGTTGGGATTGGGTACATACTCTAGAATCACAATGTTGCTTCAAAAGACTGGCTGGCACATTAAGCATTTCATTTCGCCCAAGAAAAAATCAAGGCAGGAAAAATCTGGTTACCATCTGGACGGTGTCCGTCTCCCGAAGACTAAATTACCCACAAGCACGCCCAAGAGACTCTCCTGGCTTTCACAGACATCTCTATCGGACTCTCCGCCACTTCGCCGAGCAAGTAGTAATGCGACAACGAGAAGTCATCGGTTAACTCAATCGAACTCGACTGGTCATTCATCAGCAACCTCTTTGTGCAGTTGCGACTGCGAAGCCAATCCGGCACCGATTGAACATGCTTTGTTTGGAGTTGAGCCGCCACCCCCTCTTCCAGAGATTCTTTATCTGCCACCTACGTCGTCAGAAGATGCTTCTCCAGACTCAAAAGCATGGCGACTTATATTCCAGGAACCCTTCTCGCGACCCTTGACACCAGCTGAGCTGTGCCTTGGAAAAACGATTGCTCTAACACCTTATTTCGCGACCGGGTTCGTGTTCGATGATATCGTTGGAGCTATTTCACCTGGTTTGATTGACGATGACAAGACCCCTACCCAGAGCCTTAGATTTACTGGAGAATCAGACATGGATGATCTGTCAGAGAATGTCGAGCAGTTGATTCGAGAAACGGACGAGGCCTTCAAGGCTGTTGGTAGCGCTCTGGCGGATGCCAAAGCTGCGAGTCAAGGATGGCCCGCACCGACCCGACCTGCACCGTTGCGACCAGAGTCAATCACCCGCGGAGTATTGAAAGAGAAGCAAGTGTCACCACTGCGATCTGCCTCAGTATCGAAGAGCAAGAAGAAGAGACCAATCAAGAAGAAATCGAACATCTTCGGAAGGAAGACTTCTAAAGCCCCGCCGCCACCAGCAAATACACCAGCTCGCTGGACACTAACTGATGTCACCACAAACATGGCAGATGTGTTCAGCGGCAAGTTATTCAGGACGGAGGTCGACGAGATGTTGACACCGGATCGAATCCAGCAGATTCTGAAAGACAAAGCCGAGACCGCAAGGAAGATATCCATGGAATCATGTCGTAGTTTCGACACAGGTGGTAGCACACCGACAGAACCATTTCATTTAGAGGGTCTAAGCTCTCGCATCACAGCTGCACAGGAGGATCCGCCGCCCTGTCCAAGTCCAGTTCTCCCTCCGTCAGTAACCCCACAAGCGAGTCCGCGCGCATCGATGAAAACACCACCACCCAGACCAGCAAGACCTGATGAGTTCCCCAATCATTCCAGATCAGGAATGGTGTTTGACAACGTTTCTTTCCCGCCGCCACCAGTTCCTCCTCGTGCAGGACGTCGATCTTCGGCATCCAGAACTGCCTCTCTGCTACCAACCATTCCAGAGACATCCCCTCCGGATAACTCGCTGACACAACTAATCAGCTCAGGATCAACCACAAACTCCTCGCGACCTTCGCTCGTGATACAGTTACCTCCTAAATATACATTTCTACCCTCCACGAACTTCACATCAGCATCGCCATTCTTCTGCCACGGACCCATTCGTCTCGACCGTCTACTCTGCGACAACAAAGGCTCAAGTCCAGAAGAAGAAGCGTTGGACTGGATAGCATTCCAGATGGCCATAGCCGGAACAATAGAGCTAGATCAGTACTTTGGTGACCAAAGAGATGATGCACAATGGGAGTCTGACGAAGCGGAAATCGATGATCTTATAAACTGGTGGAACAGTTTTGGATTGGGCGGTTATGGGAGGATGGAAGGCGAAGAAGACGTAAGGGAGAAAGATGGTCCTGCTTCTCTCCCTAATCCTGTCACCGTTTCTGCTGTCAACAAAGAGCATAGAGAGCAGAAGGTTCCAGAGAAGGAAGTACTTGATCGAGGTCATTCTTCATACCATCAAGCACGAACCTGGCGAACATGGACCGATACTCCACCTCCACCCATCCCACGGCCACGCATTTCCAGCGCCAGACCTCGCCCTATCAATTGGAAGTCGCATACTGAGCTAATAGACACATCCAAAATTCCTCTCAATACATCATTGACCCAGCCTCGTCCACCCCAGATTTCACGGTTAACTATTCCACCAGAGCCACCGCGGAGACCATCTTTGGCTGAAAGTTTGCTAAGTTTACCACCGAGTCCGATGCAGAATCTTGTAGTGTCGAATACGCCTGGGAAAGACGACGATATGCCAATTCCGATGGGTTTTAATCTTGGACATGATTTGGGGGATTTTTTGAGTTGGGAGGCGAGACATGTACAGAATTTGTATTCGGAAAAGTAGAATAGAATGGAAGGCACCGTTGTTGATTTGCCTTTTACACTGAGAAGCCTTGTTCTAATATGTTCTACTGTTTTGATTCCTTCTTGTTTCACCTTGTCCTTATGCTGTTGTAGGGAATCTCACGTCCTTTCATGTCTCTCCCTTGAAGTCGATTTAAGCAACCTTTCCAAGCCTCCAACTTTAATCATCTGCTTTATCTCATTTCTCACCATCCGATTGCTCCCCATCATCCGTCTCCAGCCCTTCTCCACCCATCCGATCAAAGTCGTCGAGATCTTCGTCAAAGACCGGATTTCCAGACCAAAGAAGACGGCACATGCGGTAGATTTGTCTGTTGACTTGTAAAGTAGCGATTTGTCGACGAATAGATTTGTACTCGGTTGTCTCAATTTCAACAGCCAACGCAGGATCTCGTCAAGGCTAACACTTGTACTTGTAGACTCGTCCAATCATCTGCTCCAAAGCAAAACTAATACCCAGCTAAGCAGGGCAATGTCCACTCACCAGTTCTCCCTCTGTCATTCTATGCTTCTGCTCATACTCATCACAATTGCTTCCCGAAGCACAAAAAGAAGTATGTCCAGTCTCATGCAGCTGCGTGCCAATATACTTTTTCATCCGAGGGAGGCTCAACGAGATATCGGTCCGTTCATAGACCACCATGTCCACTTTGACGGTATCAGGAGTCACTCTGTCATCCACTCTTGAACTTTTTGTTTTGCCCGAGAGCTTTTCCTCGCCCTTCATGTGGTTTTGTGCCATTGCGGGCTCACATTTCACATCCTTCCGGATGAAAGACAGCCTGTCGTGTTCTCTGAAAGTAAGTCCTCTTCGATAAGTTTACGGATGATATGGATATCCTTCTCAATCTGTAAACTCAATTTGGGGAAACTCAAATGACTTGAGAGGGCTATTTGTCACCGCTTTAAACTATCTTTATGGATCTGTTTGTTGAAAGCAGGTTTGCGGAGATTTTGAAAGGTAGTCTTAGAGTTGAAAGGCGCTCTAAAATCTTTGTGATAGCATATTGAAACGTAGTCTAGATGAACTAGTACTGGTTGCTCGTCTTTTTACAAACAAGAGATGAGTTATGGGCTCAGCGAGCGTTGTTTACCTAGTCACGTGTCGATACTGGAAACGAAAATGAACAACACTTCACAGGTATGTTCGTAGAGCAGAAAGCATGAAGTATTGATACGAGTATTAGATTCACATAGTAATCACTGCTACTAATGAAAGCTGACAATGCTTTCATTATGTATGACGACCTTCTGCACGTTTGAAATACACGAATGTCAACCCATATTGTTCGAGTAACGTCGTGAAGTGCAGAGTGTTCATTAGTCCTGACGGGACAACAGTGTCTGTCTAAACCGGAAAATAGAAGCTACTGGCTTTTGAATGCATTTGCAACAACGGATATTAACATCAGCATACGACTACGCAAATGTTCTCCAGTCCCATCTGTTAGGCGAGCTGATACTCCTGATCCTCGTCTTCGTTCGCTTGCACCGCCGACTCAATGGAGTACCTTGCACCAATTCTAACTCTCATAAAATTCACCTATGAGCGATTTTCTTTACCTTGTTACCCCGAGGCGAGTTTTAACATCGACTGGACTCTCGCCTCATGCCACGTGCTGATTCCAATCCAAGCATTCTGTTTCTCAGAGAACAAATCAAAAGAATTTCCACTCACAATAGCCTCTTTTTCGGCTTCGAAAATGGTACCAAATATTCAAAGTGTCTGCTATCTCAGACAGACTCTCCGCCCAGGCGAGATGTGTCCACTTATGGGTCTCACACTTCTCCAAGTCCGGGAGACAATGAGCCTGATACTCGACACTTTTCAGCCCACATTCGAGACAAAAAAGAGCTGGGTTACAGCTAATGAACAGTATGATAAGAGCAACAGAGGACACACGACTTACAGAGACTTGCTCGGCAGCAGTCAACAGTCAAGAGACTTGGACCTACTCACAAAGCGACATGAAATCTTCAACCAAACGATTCTGAAAGGTTTATTTCCTCCTGGTACCTTAGACTTTCACTTCATTCCAACCGGAAGTACAGAGTGGACACAAAACCGCGCAAGATTATGCCTTGACGGGTACACAGTGAGCAACAGGATCGTCTGTGATACGACACCTGAGACTTTCAAAGCAATCGTTGTGATCTTTGAAAAGCCTCGTATCAGATGCAACACTACTCGAATGAAAGTAACAACCGGCACTCTACTCCACGAGTTGGTACATGCAATCTTGGAAGCATATGCATGTGGGTGTCCAAAATGCGCGGAGAGCATGCTGGAGGGAGAAGGTCTGACTGGGCATGGACCTGTTTGGATGACTATCGCTCTGAATACAGAAAAGACTATGCTCAGGGTGTTTGGATATCGTTGCTGGCTTGGTAGGAGTCAGTCTTTGGCGCATGAACATCACATTGCGGGGCACCGACATACGGAAAAGGAATTGTTGTTTCAAGAAGTCAACGAGAGGCTTTATTGCGAAGCGAGAATGGATTTTGCACTAGGTGAGACACGAAGTGGAATCTCATTCAACGATGAGGACTTTGCTGAGAAGGGTGGTGGAGTGGAGGACATCGAGGGACTGGAGAGCGACTATTCAGAGGATGATGAGAGCGAAAGTGACATGGTGGAGTCATCAAATTGCAAAATCTGAAATTTGTCGGACACACGAATCAAGAATTGCGCTCAGTAGCGAATGTCAACAAATCCCATAACCCCACCGCAATTGGCCCCTATTTTCAGGACCCCGCACCTCGCCTGTAGGTGACCCCGGAACTTGTCCCTCCGAATCCAATTTGGAAGTCTTGTACCTACCAATCGATCTTCCTCATGAGAAGCAGACGATCTTGACGCAGGTCCAGTTTTACGTGCCAACAAAGAACCTCATGCGTAGAAAAACTCAACAGTTTCTCCAGTCTCACAGGAAAAGGGGCAATTCGTCGTCTTTGTGTATCAGTGGTCTGTTGACATATAAAGTCAGCAACTGCGCTACCTAACAGAAACAGCATATCCCACTTACGGAAAACGAACAAACGCAATGTTCATCAAGAAAGACAACTATCTCGTGTATCGGTATGATGCAGAGCAAGTATGGATCCAACCATGGGGCAAAGATGCATTGCGTATACGAGCAACAAAAATGAGCGCCATGCCAACAGAAGATTGGGCTCTGCAAGAACCGGCTACAACGGCCCCGGAAATATCCATCTCGGACAACGAAGCAACAATTACTAACGGCAAAATACACGCTCTTATTTCCAAGCGAGGGAAAATAATGATTTACAACTCGAAGAGAGAGTTGCTGCTAGAGGAATACATGCGAAACCGGAGGGATGTGACGGATCCAAAATGCAGCGCTATCGAGGTCGAAGCGAGAGAGTTCAAGCCAAACTTGGGAGGCGATTATCATCTTACGATGCGCTTGGAATCAGTCAGTTCGAAAGAAAAAATCTATGGAATGGGGCAGTATCAGCAAGATAGCTTGGATCTGAAAGGTCATGATCTGGAACTTGCTCACCGGAACTCGCAAGCAAGTGTGCCTTTTGCTTTATCGTCACTGGGTTATGGATTTCTGTGGAACAACCCTGGAATTGGGCGGGCTGTGTTGGGGAAGAACATTATGAGTTTTGAGGCACACTCTACGAAAGCACTTGATTACTGGGTTGTGGCCGGAGACTCACCAGCAGATATCGAGGAGGCATATGCCGAGGCCACAGGGAAAGTCCCAATGATGCCAGAGTATGGACTTGGATTCTGGCAATGCAAATTGAGATATCAAACCCAAGAAGAACTGCTAGGTATTGCTAGAGAGTACAAGGCGAGGAAGTTACCTATCGACTTGATCGTGATCGACTTCTTCCACTGGCCCAAGCAAGGAGATTGGAGATTTGATGCCGACTATTGGCCAGATCCTGGTAAGGCAAATGATTTTGCTTCCCCGAAAGATAAATTGACGAATATCCAGATGCCATGATCAAAGAACTGAAAGAACTGAACATCGAGTTGATGGTTTCCATTTGGCCAACTGTCGATACCAGATCCGAGAACTACGAAGAGATGCTGGAGAATGGCTACCTCATTAGAACAGACCGCGGAATGCGTATCGGCATGGATTTCCAAGGCAACACCATCCATTACGATGCTACCAATCCCGAAGCACGCAAGTATCTCTGGCAGAAAGCTCGAAAGAATTACTACGACAAAGGCATTAAGGTGTTCTGGCTGGATGAAGCAGAGCCAGAATACAGCATGTACGATTTCGACAACTACCGGTATCATCTGGGACCAAACGTGGCAATCGGCAATATTTACCCTCGTGACTATGCGAAGACATTCTACGAGGGAATGGAAGCTGCTGGCCAGAAAAATATCGTCAATCTGCTGCGATGTGCATGGGCTGGAAGTCAAAAATACGGAGCTCTTGTCTGGAGCGGAGACATCGCCTCGTCCTGGTCCAGCCTGAGGAACCAACTCGCAGCTGGCTTAAACATGGGCATAGCAGGTATTCCATGGTGGACGACAGATATTGGCGGTTTCCACGGCGGTGATCCTAACGATGAAGCATTCAGGGAATTGTTTGTGAGATGGTTCCAATGGGGTGCTTTCTGTCCAGTCATGCGACTACACGGAGACCGAGAGCCGAAACAACCTCAACATGGTACAACTGGAGGAGCGACGTGTCTCTCTGGCGCGGCTAATGAGGTCTGGTCGTATGGTGAAGAGGTCTATGGGATTTGTAAGAAATATATGTTTATTCGGGAAGAGATGAGAGAGTATACCAGGAGATTGATGAAAGAAGCTCATGAGAAAGGGACGCCTGTTATGCGGCCCCTCTTCTATTCTTTCCCAGAAGATAAGAAGAGCTGGGAGGTAGAGGATCAGTACATGTTTGGGGACAAGTACCTCTGCTGCCCAATTTTGGCTCCTGGACTGCGGAAGAGAGAAGTGTATCTGCCAAAGGGGAGGGAGTGGAAGTCATGGGGTGGGGAGAAGAAGTACAAAGGTGGCCAATTCATTGAAACGGATTGTCCCATTGAGACAATGCCTGTTTTTGTTGGCTAATGAAGACGAATAGCTGGGCTCTTGATTGGAAGAACGGCATCAAAAGGATTCTTTCAGACCACGTAAATCCTATTTCATTGGTGGCCCAAGCGTGTGTTCTATCACCGCCAAATGAGGGAGATGTAAGAAATTCTGTAGTTGAGATCCGGTTGTTCTTTTGGCAAACCCTGCTGATTTCAAACCCCCTGGCATTTGTATGATGCCAGCCTCGAGTGTGGCTCATTTGAAAGTTCTGCTCCAGTGCTTGTGCCCAAGTTCGCTTGCTTGATAATGTAGGTCCTTCGACAACCGTATTTTGCAGGAATGTAGTGATATTAGGGATAGGTCGAGAATGGAAAGAGTTCGTTAGATTCGCAAGATTCGCAAGGTCATGTCGGCACATTTCGTTATGTTACCAAGCTGGTTATTGGTCTATCAACAGTCATGAGAACTTGAAGCATAATTAGCAAGGTTTATCCAAATGCCGGTGGCAGGGTGAGGATATCGTCCGACCTCTCGAAGATCTCCTCCCAGATCTAGACGTTCAGCAGCTCCAGCAGCCAGGGCAGTATTATTTTCAGCCACAGTACTATCAGAGGCACGGCCGAGGTTCCTTTCAAGTGCGTTGAGTAGCAGCAGCAGTGATTGAACGATGGCTTCAAGTGCTGCTACCTCTCTGGTCTTTCTCTGCACCACCTTCTCATATCTTACCAAAGCTCCTCGAAGCTGCTCTTTGCCCATTGCCATCCTTCGAGCAATGACTGGTGTCAATAGCAGAAGGTCGCTATGTCCTGGTCCATGGTGTTCCGCCACGGCGCTTAGCCAGCTATAGAGCTCGACCTTTTCTAGGAGAACCAGCTTTTGAATTGCTTGTGCATAGTGCCGGCGTGGTTTGTGACCGCGAAGTACAAGCTGGGCATTAAGTTGTTCGTCTGTCATGCTCAGCCAGTCTGTGGACTGTGGCATAGGGCCGACATCAGGGAGGATCAGCTTGAGCATTTCGATCTGTTGTCTGGTCAATTCAAGGGTGTAGGTTGAAATGCAATGTATACCTACCAGATGAGAGAGGACAGGACAGAGCCGGGCAGGATAGGATGAATGAGAGGCTGGGCGGTGCTGGCGTGGGATGAGATGGTGAAGTGGTCAGAGCTGGCGGTGTTTGTTGTGCCAAGGACTTTGGCGAACAGCGAAATGCCATGAGGTACCTATGCAACCAATCCGCGGAGCCAAGTACGTACTGACTCGACAGGAGCATAAGAGATCGCGTAGTATCGCGGCATGGAGGGAATTCAGGACGTACGGAGATAGATAGAAATAAGAATATTCACCGCAATGGACATATTGAAAACGTTGGAAGAGTTGTGCAAATGTTGTTCATTTGCCATGTTGAGACCAATTTAACACGGTTGGCTCACATTGCACAAGGTCAAATACAATACAAGCACAAGTAAGGGCAGTTTCGATTCCCTACACAAGAACGCCAACTCTCATGGAAGGCAACGACCAGGACAATCTAAGACAACATGTCCATTTGAAGCAGTCGAGGTTGTGCCCATCGGGCCTTCTCATCTGGACGAGCCAAATCAAAGCAGGGACATAATGTCAAGTTACCCCACTGGGGTTATCAGTCAGATGTTGGTGTATTTCGGCTCAGATATTCTATTGTATCTACAGGTTAGGCAGATTCAAGGTATAGACAGACTTTAAGGTAGTAGCTGTGTAGCTGTGCCTCTCGCCTTGTTTCTATCAAGAGCCATTGTCAGAAGAATCCTCGGAGGAGTCGTCCTCTTCAGGTGTGGGGCCACATCTCCATTCAATGGCAGGCGCCTGTCCGATGTAATGAAGTCCATACTTAACCTCTACAACGGCAATCATTGGGTGCCTCCAGTCTGGTTCTTCATGTTGCTCCTCATCAAAGTCCGATATAACTTGCTCGAGGTAGGAATACCACGAGTCCCAATAATCCGGGGAGTGCATCGCGCTGATGAAATGGATGTCACCCACATGTCGGAAGTATCCCTTGGACAGACGTTCCATTGCTGCGTCCTCTTGGATGCTCAGCCACTGCTCCTCGTTCGCGATTTCAAGGCCGGTTTCTTCACCTTGCATGTCATCTCCATGCGCTTGATCAAGCACTGTGGCTACTTCATCGTCGTCCGGAGAGCCATGCTCCTGATCGTGCTGTTCCTCATTCTGAGCTGTCCCCTCGTCATTTTCCTCTTCTGGATCAAGCCCTGAGTTTGGTGATTCTTCATCGAAATACTCGAATTCCGCTTCATCGCTATCCTCGTCAAAGCCCGCCCCATCTTCCATCAAAACCAATGTAAAATGCGACAACCCTTTCATCCTTCTGACAATCGCTCCTTGGGGATCGACAAGCAGTGGAAACGATTCATACAGCAGCTTCATCCCGAAATACACATCCTCCGTAAAGGCTATCCGCTTGATTGATTTTAAATATGCCGAGTCCATGAATTTGCTCCGAGGTTTGCGAATATTGAACATTGGATCGCTGATAAATATCGTGTCGTCCTCAAAGCCAACCCATGTTTCCAGTAACCTCGTATATGGCTTCAATGCTTCATTTCGCGCCTCACGACATACGGGAATGATTGGGGGGAGACCTCCACAACTGTCGACACAGGCTCGCCATCTTTCCTTCTCGGCTTGGTATGCAATTTGAATTACTCGAGGACGGCTCGGGGACGCTTTTGACCATATTAAACATCGTATTTCGGTAGGGAGATCTGGGAACTTCGTAAATGCTTGTGAGGGCTTGCCCTGATTTGCGAAGGTATCAGCCATCTGGATGGAAGAGGAGCAAGCTTGATAGGTACTGGTACTGGCACTGTTCTCATGCTCAACCCATACCATACCTACCTACCTTCTCTGCTTCGTAGTCACACAAACGCGCTAACAGTGACCCGCCGTGATAGTGGCACCCCTTCCGTGCCCAACCCACACACCACTGCATCCAATCGGGAGCTTTGGCGGCGCGAATCTTAGTCGCCCCAGAGCTTCTTCTATCAACCAGCCTGCCAGCCTCTCTCCGAGTTTTCGACGATATCGCGGCCGCCGCATCCGCTTCATCAATTCTGAGCAGCAACCTCAATTTTGCACAGCATAGGGCACTGCATTGTCTTTTCGCATTGGTAAGTGCATTTTTGCTTTCCATTAGATATAACGTGTCCTGCTATCCGTTTACTTGAAAGGACTCTAACCCTAATAGCCGTCGAGCGAACAGCTTCTGACAGCCCTCCTTCCAGCTCGGCCGCGCGAGACCGCCTTAGTGTTGACTCTTCTAGCGACCTCTCTGAGCCATGAATTCATATGAGAACCAGATCCCGAACGGTCATGGCTTTGAGCCTATGCCTGTCCAGTTGGCCAACCAAGCATGCCTGTCTTGTAAGAAGCAGAAAAGGAAATGCGACAAGGCATTGCCAGCTTGCGCGCTCTGCAAGTCTGTGATACCCTCCCATACTTCTTGACTACTGTACTAACACTTTGAAGTCGCATGAACCGGGCCTGCGATTACAGCGATGCCACTCCTCCACCGACCAGCGATGACTTCAATGCTTTGAAGATCAAAGTGATGCAGCTTGAGGCAACCTTGCATGGAAGACACAACCAAGCCACACCATACACTCCTTCCTCGTCTAGTGGCCTAGCTACAGGTGAGAGCATTGGCCACCAACTTCCTACATACAATCCACACCAAGATATTTCGTGGCAAACCGTGCAGAATAGATTCCCTGCCATTGCTTTCTTGGATGGAGACACGTTCAAATATGGCGGGTTGGTAGCATCCATGTTTGGGGAGGATAGCCGGCTGACTAGTATAGTGTCGTTGTACCTAAGCCTCTTGTCGATATCCCAGGGGTAAGTTCCTATCAACTTTCTGGTATGTGTGAACTGACGCGGCCAGGATGTTCTTCAACTTTTAGGCGACGCATCCGAGATACAAGATATCGTCACCAAATACTTCGACACAATCCATAAATGGATGCCCATTGTATCTCACAAACGCATGAACCGGAATATGGCCAACCCCATGTGGGAAGGCGGGCCTGATCTTGCTTTACTATTTCTCTGTATGAAGCTCATTGTCTCCACCCCTCCAGATGGTATTGAGGCCTCCCAGAACCCACTCTACATATCTGCCAAGCGTTTCATTGCTTTATTGGAGGCTACGGGAACAGCATCTTTGCATGTACTTCAAGCGAATCTCTTGGTCACATGGTATGAGCATGGTCAAGCTATCTACCCAGCTGCTTATATGACCGCTGGGTGGTGTGTCCGGTACGGTAATATGCTCGGAATCAGTGGACACCCTGAGGCTGCAGAAATCCTAGGACGTACTGTAAGCATGAGTTCGCCTAATTCATGAATTCTTGCTGATATGGAAACAAGGGCACATGGGTAGAACAAGAAGAGAGACGAAGAACCTGGTGGGGTGTACTCCTGGCAGACAGGTCAGTTACTTTGGGCACGATGAACTCCAAAATTGGCTAAGCACTTCTTAACAGAATCGTGTGCATTGGTTCGCAGGGATATATTCCAAACCCACAAGAGCCCAAGCCAGAAGATGTACTTCCTGTTTACGACTATGCCTGGGTAAGCTCTGACTTGCTCTTGAAAGTATTAACTAATAATTATTTTAGGAAGCCGGTGAGATTGCTTCTGCTGGCGAGCGTACAGTGGGTATGCCTATCGATGTTACTGTTGAACCATTCCCACGCCTCTGCCAAGTCTATGTCTTAATGGGCGCCGTCATCAAGCACCATCACGGTCCAAAACTTGCAGATCAGAAAGACCAATTTATTGCGGCCACCCAGCTTTACTCGGAGATCTCTAGCATGATCCTGAAGCTCACCGAAGAGTCCGCCAACGATCCACTTGGTCTTGCATCCCCTCTCGCCCTCGCCTACAGCACCCTCTGCGTCCTCTGCGACCGTTACTCCTGCCCTCATCCACGGAATTGTGCTCCTCCGTCCACTCAAGCAGCGTCAGAAATGCAAACACAAGCCATTGAAGGCCTCCGCAGTGTCTCAGCCAGCATCAGAGAATTCGCGACCCAACTCACAGATGCCACACCTCAGCCACAAGATCTCGACAGAGTCAGTCCTATCATCATGGATGCTCTGTATTCTGCTGCGTCGAACTATGCGTGGATGGTGAGAGAGAGTGGGGATGAGAATTGCCAGGCTGCGCTGGAGTCACTGCGGAACACAATGAGAAGACTGGGAGTTCGGTGGAGAAGCGCTGCGGAGTACTTGCGGATATTGGAGGCTCAGGAGTTTACTTTTGCGGTTGGTAGTGCTGGGTCATAAGCCAATTTTGGTTGTTCCAGGGAGCTGAGGCGTTCTATACTCATTCTTATTTATGGTCAACAGGGAGCTTGGCGGCGTTTGGAACCGCGAAAGGGATGTCCTGCGGACCTGGAGCTCGTCTTTGCGAGGGTCTTCTTTGGCATACATGAAAGTGAGGTTGCCAGGCTAAACTGGAGTATTGGAACTCAGACAGGTCACCAAAGTCGTTGAGCATTTTACCCGCTACTGGCGGGTAGCAAATTGGATGCACGGCTTGTTCCAGCCCAAGTTCTTACTTTCCCTTGTCTTCCCCCGGTGTTTGGCATTCCTACGGGTCCACAAGAGAAAGATGCTGGAGCAAGAGAGCAAAAAGTCGATGGTGTACTGATAGTTGCTGATGCAAACAAATATGATGTACTTAGCCGAGTTAGACACTCGATAGAAAACGACAAACAGGACGATATACTTGAGAAGGTTCGTTCATCCCATCCAAGGGAAGATTATCTGTACAGCCGGAGCTGCAAATGAACTGTACCAGAGGCGAGTCTCAGGAGGTAGATGGGAGTATCCACGATTTGCGACCACGGGGGAGGAATATACGACCTCCATTGCGGATCAAAGACCAGGAGTCGAAGAAACTCCTGTAGCTGAGGAGTTGTCGTCTTCTGAAGACAGTGGACTTCATGGCTTCTCATTCTCTGCATCTGCAAACGAGATTTCTGATTTGTCCGATCAACTTATTCTATTCGCTTCTCGTGTCTCTCTTTATTGGTCTTTGGCATGTTTCTCAAAGCGCCTTCTGGTTGTAAATAACAGCATCTCGTCCACACAAGGTCCAAGGATATATACTACGTAAGGAGACAAAGACAGGAGATGCGAATGAAAACTAATACTTGATCTAAACCTACCTCAATGTAGAGTCAAATATAGCGAATACTGACATCATGACATGATTTCTCACATGGTATTAAAATCGTCTGTTGATATCATTATTGGCATGATTGAGCTTAAGCTACCTGGCTCCAGGAATCACACAGATAGCTGAAGTATGATACCTGGCCACCAGTTGGAACAGCACCAAGCGACTGTTAGTCAATGTCCACATCTGAAGCTCGTAGTTCTACCATGTCATCAAATGCCGCTTGAGATTGACGTGCAGGAACCACGTACCACTTCTGCAGCTATTTACTCAATTGTCTTAACACTTTTCATCTATTTAATGTTACAGGTTGAGGTGTCTCCCATTGTATCCATCTAGAACTTGTAGACTTGATCCTTCTTGTATCCAAGTTGCTCGAGGTATGCTCCGTCAAGCTCGCCTTGGTCACTTGGAGATTTCTTGACACCAGAAATGGCCTTGTAGAAAGGAGGTGGGCCGCAAACGAAGATCTTGATGTTCTCCTCCTTTGGCTCAGGGAGGACAGTCTTCAAGAGCTCCTTGGTGATGTACCCGCTTCCTCCACTCCATTTCGCAGGAGGCTTGTCCAAAACGTAGAAAGCTCGGAATCGCTGTGGGTATTTGTTCTCAAGCTCATTTAGCTCCTTCTTCAACAAGATGTCCTCCTCAGTGATGTTGGCAAAAACCATGGTAACCTTGGTCTTGTCCTCTGGATTGTTGAAGATAGCGCGAGCTACTTGGTACATGGGAGTGATGCCGGTTCCTCCAGCAATCAATGCAACGTGAGTGTGCTTGTTCGCAGTCCATGGGTATTTTGGAATTGGTCCCTTGAAGTCAAGTCTTTGACCTGGTACCATATCATGCATATGTGTCGACATAACTCCCTTGGGGTACTTCTTCACCAGAAGGTCCAGGTAGCCTACGTCACCTGTGAAGTATTAGCATATTGCCATATATAAGAACAAACGGAGTCATACCCTCATCGTTGACTGGAGTGTAAGGTCTGATCGCTGGCTTCTCCATCTCTGGGCCCTTGTACTTTGTGAGAAGCGCAGACGCAACATGGAGACCGCTGACTTGATCAGCCTCTGGCAATTCGAATCGGAACTTCTTAGTGTTGTGATTGATGTTCTCAACGCTATCCAACTTCAAGCTGATGAAGCCCTGGTCTCCTCCTGTGAAAGCGGATTTTGCTGTAGCTCCCTCAACCTTCGACTTTGCAGCTCCAACAGCGTCCTTGGCTTTGGCTTCGGCATCCTTCGCGGCACCCTTCACTTTTGCCGCATTGTCGCCTTGGTTGTAAAAGTAGTATCCAGCACCTGCTAGTACCGCAGCAACTCCACCATAGATAGCTGTGTTGGATCCTCCGCTGGCTGGTTCGGTAGCATATCGACGGGTTTGCTGAATGGAAAAGTTAGCTTTGATGCCGGATAGGCGGTGGTTGGCTATTGATTTGCAAGTAACAGATACAACAAAGCTTAGGCATTGGCACTCACTGTTTTCAACGGCTGGGCCGCTTTTAATACCTGACGTGCAAACATAATTGAGATGGAATTTGGAGGGATTGAGAGGTCAATTGGAAAGGATGGAAGCTTGACAGCTCCTGGTCGAGCTTCATGATGGCGGGATTATGACGTTTGATAAGCATACTCCGCTAGTCCCAAAGGATCTTAGTCACCGGCTCCCTCCGAGAGCAGTTCCTGTTCCTGTTCCTGTTCCTGACATCGACTTTCTTGCTAACCACATACCTAGCGTTTACGCGTAATTGCAGGGAGCTACACTTTTATATGTCCTTGAACATTACTACCCATATATCCGGGAGGTTTCATTGCACAGTCCCACAATCTCTTGTGCTGGTATTTTTTAAGGGACTGCGTGCGTATTGCTTTCACTTTGGCATCAGTTCCGTGATATTTCTCTCACATTTTGTTTCGCAATCCCAAGAAGGCTGAAATTTAAGAGCTCTATTCCGCGTCACTCATATCCAAGCTCCCGCTGTGAAAGCATCTCGGAGATGCCACAAGGGCATGAAAGTAGCTCCCGGCAATTCCGATGGGAACGACTCCTGTGGTACAAGCGAGCCAACCATGATCGAAGGCAGCGTGTATCAACAAACACTGAACATCTTGCGTCCAAGTGGAGTGTGGCCTTCACTACGGCTCCGAAATGACCAAATTAGAAATCAAACTATTGGTCCACCAGAGCCCCAGTTTCTATCCAATATACGTACGGAGGTAGACGCGAGGGAAGCACTGAAGCTCAAGAACTGGGTAGGGTGGAGCGGCAAAAAAGCCACCGGGCACAGAACTTTATGAGGAACCGCCCTAGGTAATCAGCTTTAGGGTTTTCGGTGTAAATTGCTCAGCTTGGTCAGCGGTACCAAGGACAGGTTGAACAGCCTTCCAAAATCACGATTCTGAGGCTGGCATCACTTCTTCTGTCCTGAAGAAGAATCTCCTTGAATGCTTTCTGTCAACGTGCTTGAGGTGTGTATCAACCTTTCCATTCCTCCATGTCCGAGACCCAATAATAGCTTTCCAGCATCCAGCATCCTGTCAACAATGCAGCTCTTTTGGGTCTCAGTCCTCTTTCTCAAACCAACTTGGTTTTCCGTCAAGCCTATACCACTCGAATATCGATTTGTGTGTATCTCCAATACTCAAACACTCAATTATGTGCTTATTTTTGGGTTGCACATGTTGATATGAGATTTCTAGCAATCATTCTTCATTTATAACTCATGACAGTCGTGTTTATTCAGTCAATTCAACTCAAAATTCCTTCCTCCCAAAAGACAGTAGTGGTATCATCCTCGCAATCCAAACTTAACGCATCAATACACAGCCGAGTTATTTCCAGCCTGGGTGCATTCAATTATACCTGAACCTCACCCCGTGTGAATTACGCAGCCTTATCCTCAATGACGCCGGCTGACTTCTCATGCACCACAGGGGGCGTCTCACTTCCAGCTTCCTTGCCCTCCACATACGTGGCTTCGGGACGGTGATGTCTGGAAGGATGTTGCTTGCCAGTAACATCCAAGTAGATAGCCTTGAACGTAAACAGCAACTCCTTGCGGCCTTCCCAGACTGGGAAGACACCAACACACATAAGTGAACCGATGAGCCAGATAATACCAACGATGACCCAGCCCGCAAAGAACTTCTCGCTGAAGATGTAGCCTGTGCCGTAGAGGGGCATGGGCCAGAGGATGAGCAGCGCAAGGGTGAGGATCACGGTCATGCCTTTGGCGATTTTGGAAGCGCGAAGGAGCTTGGTTTGTTCAACCTCCATTGCCTCTTCAGTGGTGACGGCTCCTGGTACCAGCTCGAGGTCGAAGTCAGCTTCGGCGGCGAGATCGTGGTCATCGCCTTTGCGGATGGCGGCCATAGATTGCCAGTCATACTTGTCGAGTCCGAAGATCAAGGTGAAGATTGGTGTGAAGATGAGAGGCGAGAGAAGGGCCATGACGTTGCCTGCCAACATGGGGTTGTTGGATCCGGTGCACTCAACGTCGAGCTTTCCGCAGGTCTTGGAGGCAGTCACCAACCATGCAATGATGGCGCAGGCGAAGCCGCACGGTGGTGTCAGAGTCGCGGCCCATTTGTTGTGTCCAGCCCACATGAGAGTAAGGGTGGCGGGAATCACAGCAGATGAGATGATAACACCCATAAGAACATAGAGATATCCCATGCTGATACCGGCGTAGTGCACTGAAACATGTTAGCGTGCGAGGATTCTCATGGATACTGAGGCACTCACATCCGACTGAGAGCGATGCCATAGCCAGTCCGAATGCAACAACCATAGCATGGGACATGTAAATCAGTCGCTTTCCACTAGCACCTGGATTAAAGTAGGTTTGGTAGATGTCATAGGTGAAGATAGATGATACTGCAATGAGTTCGGCAGATGAAGCAGATGTGACAGCCATGAACACGATCAAAAGGGTGCACACCGCGCCGCCAGGGCCCAATAATGCAACAGCAGCGTAGGGCAGGACAAGGCCAGCTGAGACATCCGTGTCAGGCATGCGATCTGGGTAGGTTGGGAAAGCCGGGTTGCTCTCGAGCTTTTTGGAATTAGCAGCTGTAGAAAAAAATGTGCGAAGGAATCGAGACATGTTCCAGAAAAGCTGAGAGCATTTCGAAAAGGGAAGTCTGGGCTGCTCAATACTTACTGCAAGACCTGCAAGACCCATAGTGGTAGCGCAGAGCCACGGAATTGCAAACCATGAAATGCCTCCCATGATGTATCCGGGCAGGGCATGAACTGGGGAGGCAGCAATAGCCTTATTATAATAGCCATTATCCAAGAAGACGCTGCGTGTTGTTTGGTTAGCGGAATACACGTGATCTGGGTTGGGAGCGCACTTACGTGCCAAAGTTGCCCACGATGTTGATGACGAAGAATATAGCACCTTCAGTCGATTGCATAGTCAAATAACTGCCTCCGGCATTACCCTCGACTGGGTGTCTAGCCGATGCTTCGACAAGAAGATCGAAAACGGCTTTAGGCGAGCCCAAAATATCGCTTGTTGCATAGGTCGTAAAAGCGAAAATCAGGATAATGATCAGAAGGATGAAGGTGTGCACCCAATCTGTCAGGAATGTCGCCTTGATTCCTCCGAACATAGTGTACATGACCACACCCAAAGGCAACAAGAAGCAAGCTGCCGCAGTTGGCATACCGGTCAAGGAAGAAACGACTGCGGAGCCTCCGGTCAACAACATAGCCGTGACAAGAATGTTTGTTGCCAAGCCGAAACAGATGAACACAATGTGTGCGGGAGTCCCGTATCTCGCTCTGATGACTTCGAGAAATGTCTACCAGTGTTAGGATCTTCGTTGCTGTCAAGTGTGGTTCCAAACTTACATGAGCATTTGGTGCTCTTCTCTTCAGCTCAATAGCGATTGTCGCAAATAACAGAATCTGGACAGTAGCACCACTGGCGTACCAGAACGGCCCGGAAACACCATATCTGTAGGCAATTCCAGAAGATTGGAGGAGGGTAGCTGCCCAAGTCCAGGACGACACCACCGCAGACGCAACAAGACCTGACTTCACAGTCCTTCCAGCTGTGCTAAACATTTCGGAGGTCTGAAGCTCATGGTTGTACCGTTTGAGGACCCATGTAACGAGGATCTGGGATGTCAGTCGGGGGCAGAAGTCGCAGGGTCTAGAAGATACTTACCATACCAAACGCAAATACAGCTCCAAGACCCAGGACGATTCCATATCCCCAACCTACATTGAGAGGAGGAGCGATTGCCATTTTGATGATATAGAGGAGATTTCTCCTATGCTGTAGTGCTTTGCAGTTTCTAAAGATGTAGATCTCGATCTCTGGGGCCGTGACACGGGGGAGGTAGCTAGTTTATATCTCCAACAGTGACTTTTGGCTCGGCCCAAGCGGCAGAAAAAGTGTAATTGACCACACAATATGAAGAGAGGGAGAGAAATTTCAAGAAGAAAAGTCATGTAACCAATGTGCAGGTTGGTTCAAGGGTCCAGATCTCACACTATCACAGATGCAGTTCTCGGGAGACACGTTCCATGCAAGGCTTGAGATCCGGTAGCATATCGGAGGCGTTTGTGTGTAGCATCTCTGCACTTTGCGATGATCAATTGATACTCAAAGATAAGAAGCAATGGGAGAAGTGACTTCTCGTAATAGGTATTTTGTGCTATCCCTGCTATCAACCATGCCAGTCTCACCAGTCCATGGGGAAGATGGGAGCTATGACCATGGCGGCATAGCTCGATGCAGTCTCGGCAGCTCTGATATGGGTAGCGGGCATTTCCGATGGCGCTGATTGGCTAATAGGAGACTGATAACAACGACCCCTGAACCACATGTCAGAGTTGCGATAAGAGCAAACGAGGGGAATGGATAATAATCGACCATCAGGAGTGGGTGCAGTAGTGAGAATGGTGCATCGTGGCATGCAGTTTTGATATGGCGAAGTAGGGCTGGGCGAGGCTTCAAGATGGCCTTGCGAGGCTTGCGTGGGATAAGAAAACAGCAGAAGGACTAGAAGTGCGGGAAGAAGTTACGTGAGAGACGCTGCCCGTTTTTTTCAAGAGAAAAGAAAACCTCCAGACGCAAGCTCAAAGCCAAGCCGAGAAGTGCTTGGATATGCTTAGCAATTTGCAAGAAGCCGACATCGCATGCTCACCATCTGGCCGTCGGCGCGTCGCCCAAGTATGAAGGTATCCTCGCCCAGATACAGATATCTCTGGTCAAACGAGGACGAAAATTTCATTCAAGCAGCTGGCCCTCGTTCCACTCTCTTACCTTGTCCACTCTACCAACAGATGTTCGGGGTCTAAAGTGCAAGATCTTAGGTGGTACGCACATATGAGACTGTGTTATCTGGTAGCCCCAGGTGCATCATATGCACCTCATGTGCAGGAATACCACTTTGTATCTGCTCAACCCAACCTCGCCCACTCCGACAGCTTGATGCCAAGGGAGGAGGCTTTTCAGCCCCACGAGGCAGTTCCCTCACTGCGGGTGGAAAAAGAAACTAAAACTTTATCTTGAAGGCATCGCATTAGATCTAACCTGTGCACAAGAACGGAATTTCAGCCACTGTCTGGACAACAGAACAAGGTCTGAGACCGCTTGGATTCCTGTCCTCTATGTCTTGTATCAATTCGGGCAATTATAAATCGAAGGCCAAAAGGCACCACAACCTCGTTGGTATAGCGCAATCTGCAGTCATGCCGTTGACGGCGGTCATATGTCGAGGAGGCTTCCCTCAGCCTATCGTTGACTTGAAGTGTTTCGTAATCCGCGGAGATTGAACAACTTGAGATGCTTTCCAACAGGGAAGCGCATCGTGGCAACCACGAAAGCGGTGTTAAAATGTGGAAATGGGTTTTTTTTTGAGAGCATGTATTAATGGCAGAATCCAGAGGAGTTCGGATGGTGCCAAGGAGCCCTACAGATGGTCATGTGTGTATTTTACGGCCTGGCATCGGAACTCCAGACAACACATCGTTGAGAGCTGGGTGGTAAAGCATGATAAACATAAATTGAGAATGTTCCTCTCTAGTGATCACAGCTACTATCTGGCTTTATATCGCACCTGAGCAATGAGATGGTGTCTGGCCATATCACGTGGTCTTCGAGCAGATTTGGAGGCTGTTGCACATAAGATTCGAAGCCTCAAATCTAGGAGCCAAGGCTTTAGGTATTAAGAGTTGTCTCAGAATCGAGTGTCTGCTGAAATGGTAGAGGGGGTCGTACATTGCGGCAAGCCTTGTCAACAAACTTCTCGCTTCGTAGTCGTGGTTGAATCTTCCGTACTTAACCCCGCATGCATTACCAACCGAGATACCCCGCTATGAGCTGCAACTCCCGTACAATACCGTCATCGATCTTGTACCCCAATTTTATCATCGTCTCCCTTCGATGACAAGAGGTATTCTTCGTCATAAACTTTGAAACGTCTTGCCCACATCTTCCACGAATCCGTATCAACACGCCACTTCCATCACCCAAATACCACAGTTTAGGCGACTCTTAAGCTCAACAATGGCGAAAGAATTCCCTCCGGAGAAAGTCAGAGATGTTGTTTCAGAGGTGGCTAAGTTGTTAAAGGAGAGGAAGGAATCTATTAGTGTTGCAGAGACTGTGAGTTGGACTTCCTTTTGGATATTCCATTCAGGGTGTCGAATTGGCAGGGGTGTGACGCCTCCGTGCCCGACTGAGAAGAGTTTCCAAAAGGTTTTGCGACGAGAATAAAATCATTATCTAGATAGTTCTAGAGCCTGAGCATTGCTCAACACTCATGTTTGGGATTAATGCACATGCTTTTGCTGACACAACCTCAAGGCAGCAGGTGGAATTATCTCGGCATCCATACTTAGCACACCAGGAGCAAGTGGAATATACAAGGGTGGCCTAACAGTATGTCTCCTTCTTCTTAAAATCCGCCAGTCTAATATCCATCACTTACCTTCAACAAGCTTTACACATTAGAATCTCGGATTTCATTCGGTGAGCGCAAATCACACTTCTTTTTCCCTTCGTCCACAACCCAAACAATTCAATGCTGATAAATGAAACCATGCAGCTGGCTGGACTCAAGCAGACACTGATAAATATAGAGGCCCAACAACGGAAATCGTTGCCGGCCTGGCCACGAATGTGAGGAATAAATTGGGAAGCACGTATACCATCTGTGAGAGTGGAACTGCAGGACCAACAGGCGGGAATACACCAAACAGAACTCCGTACGTCCGATTCATTCTCAATGTTTCGCGAATTATCCTGTTTCTTATATTAAATGGCTTGAGTCTGAACTCGGTAGCTGATGATGATTAGCGGATATGTCGCTCTGGCAGTTGCAACTGAGAGCGGAGTGTACAAGCGGGAGCTGTCGACTGGACTTGGTGGAGACAGGGAAGCAAACATGATCCAGTTTGCTGTTGAGGCTTTGGGACTCCTGAGAGATGTTATCAAGGGCGACGCAAAGCTTTAGGTCTAAACCTCTGTAGGGGAGATTTATAACCAAGTCAATCAGGAGCAGACTAGTATCTCTCAATCTGAGTAGGTACGCATCAATCCTTTAATAAAATCCTTTACGAAGGTAGCTCGACGACTTGATCAAGTTCCACTTTCTTCAAATTGAAGAAGATCCCCAAAAATGGCTACCGAGCTGCTCGGAAAGCAAGTCAATCGCAGATATCTCAGGTGAGCTAACAGTTATTGAAGCGAAACTTGTTATTGACGTGCATTGGGGAAAGACAGACAACAAAAAATGCTTGTGGCTCAGCATAATTCCGTGAGAGAATATGTATATTATGTGTACAATGGAATCTGATTGGCGTTCTTTGGAAGTACTTTTGACTTTAAGAAGGATAAGATGATTCTTCCTCCGAGGTATCATATTCTCGGTCATGGAGCGAGAAATCTATCGAGCTTGGAAAGACCATTGCGGAGTCGTGGCATCAGATCTGCTTGTTGCTGGCAGGGCTGGGGACTTCGCATTTGACAATCATTGGTCCAGAAATATGCATCGAGATCTCAAGGTCTTCTTGAAAGAAGAGCTCCTGCAGTGTGGGTCCAGTTTGTCCTGCGCAATTACCAGCCATTGGCTACAATCAACAAGTCAAGCATGGGGTTGCTCCAACATCTTCAGCAAGCGTAATGAGGTCTGACTTCAATGGAGATAGTTGAAAAGTTGCATCTATTTCGATCAATCGTATTCCGTATATAGTCGCAAATGTTCAGCCATTAGTCGTTCCACTTGCATCTCATATGCCGCCGCTGTGAAACGACCTTTCGATCGTTCCAGCTCCTGCTTCCCTATCAGCTTCACATTCTCTCAGCCTGCTTGCAAGTACATACGAAACCTCGTTGTTTTCACTTGCCGATAATGTCGCCAACCATCTCAAAGTCATGGGAAGATGTCGCGGCAAAGAAACAAGCTGAATGCGCAGCAGCACTCCCATCAGCCTGGATCATTCCCCCAGCAGTGCTGAAAGATATCACACTAGGTCCCAAATCTGGGACCAATGTCATTGCCCTCGACATTCCACGTAAATCTGGAATCTTGACCGAGTCTGAATTGGCCATCACCGAGAACTACAATGCAACGGAACTGGTAGCAAAGCTTGCAGCTGGAACATTCTCGTCAGAGGAAGTGATATTAGCTTTCTCCAAGAGAGCGGCGATTGCACAGCAGCTGGTCAATTGCCTAACAGAAACATTCTTCGATCGTGCGTTGGTACGGACAAAGTTCCTGGACGCATACCTGATGGAGCACAAGAAGCCGATTGGTCCGCTCCACGGCCTTCCAGTTAGTTTGTTAGTTTAAAAGAGTCTTCTAACATCGAGGGCATCAAGACTACGATAGGATACATCTCCTATGCAGACAATCCACCTTTGACGTATAACTCTGCACTGGTCGATATGCTTCTGGACCTCGGTGCCGTCCTCTACGTCAAGACGAACATCCCACAGGCTTTCATGAGTGCCGACACTCACAACAACCTCTTTGGACGCACTCTCAATCCGAATAATCTTAGCCTGGGTGCAGGCGGATCGACAGGCGGCGAAGGGGCCCTCATTGCACTTCGAGGATCTGTTCTCGGTGTTGGGACTGATCTAGGTGGTTCGATCCGAATGCCATCTCTGGCCTGTGGTATCATTGGTTTCAAGCCGTCGACTGGACGCATTCCATATGCTCGGAAGTGCTCTGGAGTATTGGGAGGATTTTCTCCAGTACTTCCATGCGCAGGACCCAATTGCACGGATTTGGTGGATGCTGAATTCTTTATGAATACAGTCATTGACGCGAATCCTTACGAGTATGATTCATCGGCATACGATGTACCGTGGCGACAACACGACATTGGGGATAAATTAATCATTGGCGTCCAAACCGAGGATCCTATCCTCCCACTTCGAGCCCCCGTTCGCCGTGCACTGTTGAGTGCAGTGGCTAAACTCAAGGAAGCCGGTCACACCTTAATCGACATCCCACACAATCCTGATAACACCATTGCCACTGCGAACGGGATGATGCTGAAATATTATCAGGCTGATCCAAATCGGACTCAGTTGAAGAATCTTGAGGATGGTGGTGAGCCGATCGTCCCATCTGTCCTGAGCATGAACTGCCTTGGGACATCGGGAGACTGGACGGAGCTCTCTCTAGCCGGGCTCGCTGCAATGAACAAGCAGCGCGGAGAGAGGGTCGAAGCCTGGAGAAAAGTTTGGGTGGACAAGAAGCTGGACGTTCTCCTTGGCCCAGGATGTTAGAGCACTGCTGTGAAGCATGATGCATACAGCTTCATCCCTTACACCACCCAGTGGAATTTGATGGACGTAAGTCAAAGGCAGAACGTTTCGGTCCCGTGATGGACCATGACTGATTGACAATATGTAGTTCCCGGCCGTTGTGTTCCCATATATGAAGTCCTCAAAAGAGCTGGATCCAGAACCACAAATCTTCGTTGCTCCTCAAAAAGGATCAGATTGTAAGATTCCCTCAGCCATCCCTTCGCAACTGACCACGACCGTTGCTGACATTCAGTACAGATGACCCAGTCTTACAAGATGGCGCTCCTTGCTCAATTCAGATCATTGCTCGAAGGTTTCAAGATGAGAAGTGTCTTGCTGCAGCTCGTATCATTCAGGAGGTGCTTCGAGGTTGGTAGAAGGATGTCCTTGTGGGGTAATCTTGTCCAGTTCTTATTCTGCCACGATTCATACACATAAAATCAAGTTCAACTCCTTGATATTGTGCGGGATACAATCAGCAAGGTCAAGATCTAAGTCGGGGATGATCTCCGCGTCCATGGAGACAGTAAATCTGTAATGATTGGGCGGTTCACTGCGTTCATCGTCGAAGTATGCTCTTCGAGAGCGACAATGAATCTATCAAGCCTTCTTTGTGTAGAAGCCTGTCCATATTTCGAGGCAATTTAACCATACTTGGTCCACTACTTGGAGTATCAGAAGAATCTTCTTCCCAGATAGCCTTGATGATGCTGGAGCTCCTGTGTGTCTGGCCAGAATGTGTCCATTGAGAACACTCTCTCATCTTCCTCTCAATCAAGTCCTTCTCTTCTTCAGTGCGTACTGCACACGCTAGAACAGTCAGGGGCCAGCAGAAGAATGAATTGCAAGCAGTATAGACTTTACACTTGTCCACGGAAAGAAAAGCTTGGGAGAGAAGTTGAGTGACGGCGGGGTCACGAGTAGTAATCTCCGGATTCATAATTCTGAACAAGAAGATCTTTGCCACGATAGTATAGAGTAAGGCGATTTCTTGCGATTCATGCTCGTCTAAATCACTCTCAGGATCGAGACCACGACTGTTGTGTCGTTCGATGAGGTCAAGTTGGCTTCTGAAGTTCATGGCGATGACAAGGTCTGACGCCTTCAAAGGTGTATGACGACTTAGTCGAGTGATCTCGAAGATGGTACTGAAGAGTTCAAACTGCAAGCCGAGAATGGGCGAGTTTGCCAGTTTCGAAGCCTCGGGATATGGCATGACCTGATCGTACTCGTCAAGATCCGTCCAAGTGAATTGTTGGGCTACACCATCGATCTCATGAGAACTGTATAGAATAGAATATGTAGCGAGGTGATACGCGAACGCTTCAGCTGCGATCCTGTGAAAAGGCCTTTGCTGGTCTGGAAGGGCGTTTTTGAGTTTCCTGATATGGAACAGCTGTGCTAATACCCCAAGATGTAACATAACATTACTCCACAGCTCGAACCGGGATGTCTGGTGAATGTTAGCTTCGCTTTAACATGGGCTTCTAGACTTACCTCAAAGATTACCATGAATGCTATCAGCACTAGTAGCCATTCCTCTGTACCATTGACTTTGCCTTCTCTGATGCTTCGGGAGACCGCATTAACTGAAGGATTGTAAAACTCCATTGCCTCGATTGTGAAGTTATCGTTGTTCTGACCGATTCGGAGTGCCGCAATACCTAGAAAGACGTTCATTATATTGGGGTTCTCAAATCCAAATTGGAAAACGTCCTGATAGGTAGAATATGATTGATGGGCGTAACGACGGATAGCGGTTGGCAGGGTACATGTTGAGAAGTGATGAAAAAGCAATCTTTTCTGTCCTTCGCCGAACTCGATCGGATACCAAGTTATTTGGCTCCTCTGGATTGTAACGATTACTGCATTTCAAATTCTGCGTTTCTTGAGTCTGTCTCGTAATAGTGCTTGATGCTGGTAGACTAGATTCGGGTGGAGGCCCGCGGCTGTCTGGAGAAGGTGATTGAGATAATGTGCTTGCTCTGCGCTTTCCACTCCGGCGATCAGCAAAGATAGTTGGCCATACGCATTCGCGGTTGTAGTGCAAGCAGTACAGACACGAAGGTTTAGTCTCATCACATTTCTTCTTCTGTTTCCGACACCCAACACATCCAGTCTTAGCCCTCAGCCGTGGGCGAATTGGCCTTGAAAACATCACATTCGAAATTGTTGGAATCAGCAGATACTATACAATGTCAAGTCGAATTGCAAAGAGATTTAAAATGTATGCTTCCAACCGTTGTAGATGGATTGGGCTGTCGTCTGAAAACACTGCGATATCAGGAAGTGGGGACGGCTCGTGACATCTATCCACGCGAACTCATGGATGGCAGGGACTTTTTAGCGAGTTGGCCCTGTAATAATAAGGGTAAGTCACTAAATTTTAGGCTTTGATGCACCGAAGCTCCTACAACGAGAACTGGTAATGAACTCGAACATCCACCACGACACCAAACGACACTACTTAATCCCTGCATCTACGTAAAGACTTTGAGAGCTTTTACCACTGTATGAATCACTGCTCTTCTGACGTGTTAGTTCATTGTGGCAGTTTTAACATACCAAATATTATGATTTGCGGTTTCTTTTTACATGAGAAGAAAGGGGAACTGAGAATTTGCACCTCTCATCATTGCTTCGAGTTAGCTGCACTTATACTCTAAACACACAGTTTCTGATCCTGCTGAAGCTTTTTGAAGTATGTAAACCATGATACAGAATATGATTCTCCAGACTACCAGAAGTCAATTCAGTTAAACTCGACAACGAATCCCACACAAAGTGTGTTTATGTTGGTGTTGGATAGCTACTTTCGGCGTGAGTCACATGCCTTAATGTCCGGTGCCTACCAAACGTTCCTCTCCTGCTTGTACTCGTTGAAGTAAGTGAACATATCTACCTAGAGAACTGAAACTTAGTCAGTTTCTAGAATATAAGAATTATACCTTTCCCTTGGTGCCCAACCCGGCATTGAGTATTATTCCAATATACTGCAAAATCACGTGAGGACAGTCAAGATTTGGGGCTCGAAGTTCTTCTTGAAGCTATGTACATGATGCTGATACACTATGTGCCACTCTGGGTCCTGGTAGTCATACTTCCTCTTCCACTCATCTCCGTGCTCTCCTTCACAGCACCGCCCATGCCTCCACTACCTTGCGCAACATTACTTGCATTACCGACCTCTGGTTCTGCAGCATATCTGGAATGCACATATCAGCTTCCAACTTGAAGACCAAGTTCCGTCCAAAACCATGAAAAGAGATCAGAACTCACTTTTTCAACTCCGCCAAGCCAACAACATCCAAAGCCTTCTCACTCGTAGCATGCAAATGCACCTTCGGCACCACACTCGCCTTCGCCCCATCCCCAGCCTCAACGTTCGAGTTTGCATGGTCTACAGCTTCCTTCCAGCGGGCCGCGCAGAGACACCATTTGCAGCCTGCGGTGAGCCCGATGCTGCGGAGGTTGTTGCCGCGGGAGGCGGTAAAGTCGAGGAATGGGTCGGTGAGTGTTGCTTGGGAAGGGTTAGTACTGGGCTTTGGAGGGAATTAGATAAGGATAAGGATGCTGAGGGAATGGGGAGGGAGGTATACCGGCGACTGAATGGTTTCCTGTGTCGTCGGGTCCTACATCGCAGTAGCCGTTGCGGTAGAAACCTGTCATTGGCTGCTTGCTGAAGAGCCCGAGGGGTTTCTTGAAGACTAGTTGTTTGGGATGTTAATGAATTGTGACACTTGAATGATATATTGAAAACTGAGCGTCTAAAGACTTACCATTGAGGGATTGGTGAGCTTTTCCTGCTCCTGAAGCTGCCATAATTGTTTGTTTACAGTGGAGGATTGGATAGGACGAGAGAGGTATTGAAAACAAGAGATACTCTTCAATAATCAATTGAGGAATTGAGATTGACTATTAGAATGATATCAATTGTACCGTTTGCAGAGTATCTCGTACTCGTCGTGTCGTCGATACCGATACACTAAGAGACCCCTCCCTCTCTCTCCTCTCCTCTCCAGCATCGAATATCATGACGTTGACCCACCCACCTATCCTGCAGGGTCCCGTTCGCCACCCCTCTGAGATCGATGGTTCCTTCCCCTCAGCAGCCCAATCAATCGGAAGAGGCCTTACGGTAGCAGTAGCACAGTTGGAACCCCAATACCACTTCACTTCACTTCACTTCACTTCAAGGTTCCTTGGTAGGTAGGTATGTGCGACATCATCTTCGTAAAACGTCTCATCACATCAGTCAGTTACTGTCGTCCTTGCTGAGAAACAGAACGTGACTCGACCCTCGTTGCCATGCCAGTGTTCTTTAGCGAGATCCATCTCCCTGAAGCCCCAGGCTATCCATCCCTGTGCTGCCTGCCCTCAGTAGGTAGAACCTAAAATAGAACCCTTGCACCGCATGCTCACGTCCTGGGACTCCTGGCTCCTGGCTGGCAAAATGGATGGAACCTCACGTCCCTTCAAACCTTCTGATACAGGTCCTGGAGGTTTAATATATGTCAATTAAATCAACCCAATGCTTTCTGGTCAAGTGGACGATATAAATCGCTTGGATGAACGGGAAGGGGGAAGAAAAGGAGAGCCAATCGTTGCACGAGATCTGGATCGTAGGGGTACAGTGGTAGCGTGCAGTGGTGAAGCTGCACGCTGCAGTGCGTCGTCAGGAACGAGGCAAGTGCCTCCGAACATGAGTTTGCTGGATGTTGATCGGTCGGCTGCTCTTCCGAGGGATGGATGGGCACTTCAGGTCGGTAGGTAGGCTGGTAGGCAAAGGATGAGAGGGGCTGGCTGGCTGGATGGATGGATGGATGAATGAATGAATGAATGAATGAAAAGGAAGCCCGGAAGGAAGGGTCTTTGCGTCCCGACGCTCATGCTCCCGCGGCGAAATACTTTAGAGAGAGAGCTTAAAATGACGGGATGTTTCATCATGCTAAGAGCGGCCTACAAGGACCTTATTTATGGAAACATGTCAGGTCAGGAAGCTTTAGTTCGCAGTTTGAGAAGATCAGAGGAGTAAGTTAAGAGAGCTTCACCAACCTGGAGGTAGAATCCGGAGTCAAGCGGATAGTCATGATCCACACAAGCAGTTACCTTACCTTACCTTACCTGATCTCGCTGGGAGCGCCTATCGATAAAACCAGGCCCCTACCAACCAGTCTCTACCCCACTTCATCCCGGTCATTGGCTTCAGAGGGTCATGTAAAGAAATGCACGGGGTATCGAATATCACCGTAGCAGGGGGATGCGGGCCGCTGGCGAGGGTATGCTAGGGTCGGGGTAGGGGTAGGCTCTGGGCTTGTCGGAACGAACGTGATGGGATGGGATATGTTTCTCCACCACCGGTTCTGGAGTCGAATGTTGGGGACGGGAGAAGAATGTTGCGATGTGTATTAGGATATCTGGAGGATAGGTAGATGAGTAAGTAGAAGAAGTAAAAGCTGCTTCTTCACTGGAATCAGAGGCAAGGCAAAACACACTGCGGTGTCTGCAAGCCCATGCCAATATGGATCGCCTCCGCATGCAGCAGAGCGAGCTTAGAAGGTCAGATCCAATCCAGTTCTGGCAACAGCTGAGAATCCATAAGACCGCAAAAAATCCGCATGCATGTAGCGCGAAGGAAAAATGGCAAGCTGGGCTGATATCAGACGAGCAGCATCCTCCTGGCCATAGGGCAGAGCTACCCCATCTCGTTGGCTGTTAGGAGGAGCCCATCGTCTGACGACGTGCTTCGTGATGTTTGGTTCGGGGAGGATACGGTACTTACTGTCAGATCTTGAACGAGGGCGTGGTGGTGATTGGTTGGAAGAACGTGATTCTTTGGGATGCGCACAAGATGGGTATGTACGCTGCTAGTTCGTCTTGTCTTTTCTTGTGGTTTGGCATGGAGGTTTGATTTGTTGACCATTATGGTCGTGGCGGATTGAGATATTTGGTTCCTGCTGACGAATGAATTATTGAATTATTGAAGGAATCGATATCATAAGGTCACCACCCCGGTGCTTATGTATGCATGCACCTATCGGCATTGCATTGCTGATCTGCATTGTTCATTGCAGAATGAAAGCTGGGATTCAGGAGAGTCTATCATGCTGTTTGACAGCAAAACTCGAATAAACAGGAGCTGGTTTTGGAAAGTTGGGCACTTCCACCGTGTCCGGAGGAGCTTTGGCTTGTCTAACGAGTACTTCTAAACGGAAGGGATTATCTCGAGATTTCCTGTATTTCCAGGTCAAGAGGCCTTTCTCAACGTCTCATTTTGTCTCGAGATCAATAAATAATCGGTGCTGGTGGACATTTTGTCTTGGACAACCTTGCAACATCAAATCCTCCCATCACTATTGTTCAGGGCATGTAAACAAATGATTCGCTATGCCTTGGGATCAGCCTTGGGATCTTGAATTTTTACTGCAGCTGTGTGGCGCGCATACGATGCGATGAACTTCGGTTGGTCAAGAAGCACGGATGGTTCTGAAGCAGCCGTTTGTGGTGGATATGGAGATGGATGTTTCAACTTCCAAGTGCCTGAGAGCTGTCCGAGCTGCTTGTTTGCTTCTTCTGCACCGCGTTTGGGTACAGTGATATCGAAAACAGTGCTGGGTTAAACTAATCTGGAGGTTGAGACGAGAAAGCTAAACGCCTTCCTTGTAATTTTGCACGTTTCTCAACGGTATGAAGGTTCTTTCTAGAGGTCATGAGTCGCTTCTGAACACTATCATCCAGACTCGTTTTGATGCACAGCGAAAGTCCCCGTCGGCACCGATCACGCAAACCGCAGTCGATGCTTTGCAGGAAGAATACCCGCAGCCTTATAGTGGCTTGGAGACGGATTAATAGACAGGCCACCGGGCGGAGCTGGGAGAAGCTTTGGTTTTGGGGGCATGGCATCAAATATTCGGCGAGTCCTCAATGAGGCGGGTGCGCGTGGCGTTTAAGGCACGCAGAAGAAAGACCTCCAGTTGCGGCATGCTGACATTTGTATTTTTGTTTCGATCTTGAAAGAAGTGATAACTGCAGATGCATTAGAACGTGAGGTGTGCCCTCGATGCCCTTGCTCTCTGGTGTGGTCTTACTAGCAATAATGTTAGACCGGCCCTATGCAAGAGGCGCGGCCGCACAAGATTTTCGTTGTGGAGGCGAGACTTTGTTTTCCATCTCCTTCGGTTGAGGGTGGCAGTTTGAGTTTCTTGTAGCCTTCAACTCACCAATAACTTGGTTCTGCAGTTCTGGACTTGTAGACTGTTAATTCTCGGCGTCCTGATAGCGTACCACATCTCAAAAGACCGAGGGTGTTCCCTCGAGACATCATTCAATGGCTTGCACAACGAAAAAGTATTATTCGGTGAGCAAGCGAGATACCATCATACCTGAGGCTTTGTGAGACTCGGATGGTCCAGGAGTGTTGAGTTTAATTCGTTAATGTGGGCCCATTCCGTGGTATTGGGTACTGGAGATGGAGGGGTGTTACAGATACGATGAAACTCGGAAGGGGCACCCGCGAAATATAAAGAAAACACCAATTCGCTTGTATGTCTGGCTCTGAGGGAGATTGGAGTGTGCTACTCGAGAGTCTGGATACCGAGGTAGGCCACGAGTACAAGCACCAGTTTGTGCGACTTGGGAGGTAACGTTTTGCTTCTTTCCTGAGACGCTAATTCGGATGGGTGTAGCGGCTTGTGAGTGCCATGCGTTACCCAGTCCTTCAGCTATATATTACACAAGCAGGATTCGCATCATTCTGGGGTCTTTTTGACGACAGTAACGGTTTCGAAAGCGAGAGAGCCCTTGATATTGCTCAGTGACTGGCACCAACATGTAATTTGGGGCCCGGTCTGGTTCGTGATATCGAATTCAGACGATGTTTACCGTCCACGCGGGAGGGGGCTGGGGCTGCTGGCTGGGGCCACCCCGATGCCAACAGCCCAAACTAGAGATGTGGAACACTAGAAGCTAGCTGTCGGGACCTATTCCGCTGTCTCCATTCGCTGGCTGACAGCCTGGTCGGACTAGACAGTAGCTAGGGATAGCTCGGGCAGGTTGTTCGGGACCTAGAGGTCTAGCTTGGCTTAGGAATTGATCTGGTGGTGGGGTGGAGTGAGGATTCAGAGGCGCCCAGGCGTGGGACAGAAAGTCAATACCGATTGATGATGACAGGCGACGCCGATAAAAAGAAAATAATGGAAAACGCAGAATCTGCAGCCCCGAAAAATGAGACTGCGGAACAGGTTGTGGCTTGCTTCTTCTCAAGCTGAAGTGCACCTGGACGAATGATGAAGCGAGATTTGTCCCAACGTCTCGAGTCTAAGACGTGTGATGAGAAAATCATGGTGGCGAATCTACCTCACCCCGATCTCCAATGCCTTTGATCTTAAGAAGGACATTTTATGTGCTTAACTTTCGGAATCTGGGGACGGTATTTGTGCCTGTATGCCATATTAAGTCGATCTTTCCTTCAATCAAATAAGCAATCAATCTGGTAACGGGAAGCGGAACGGGGACGTCTGGATAAATAAATACTTGATGGTCATCCTTCTCGTCTGAATGTTTGAAATATGGGGTAGCCGGCGTTCCTGTTCCTCACATCCCTCCGAGCTCTATATATTGTTCCCCACCCGCTGCATGATGGATCATTTGACTTGATCTGAACCTGACATGACTTGAGCTTCCTTCCGTCGCTCACTTCCGCATCCCACTTCGGGATATTTATTTACGAAGACCGGATTGTTGGTGGAACCTTGCTGTGCCTGCCGGTTAAAATGGCATAGGATTCGGTTCTTTCAAGCCAGCCAGGTACAAAAATACCCCGCTGCCTCTGCTTTACTTTCTCCTTAGTCGACTCATTGAGGTAAGTCTTGTACGCTTCAAAGGAACGAAGGTATCTCATCGTGTTTTCCCGGGCAGTGCTGGCGTTTGTAAGCCGGAGACAGCCATGGCTGGCTTTTTGCTTGTGAGTGTGAGCTGTGCTGTACTGGGGTGAGAACGTTGCATGCATTTCATTCTTCTATCTACTTCTGAAAGTTCGGATGTGACGATCGATGACTGATGATTGATGATGCTGTATGCTGTGCTGTGTGTAATCAGATGCCTGGCAAAGACGTGTGTGCTGCGTGCACTATTGTCGTCATACTCAGCCATCATCTACCCATCCATCCCTAGCTTCCCCTTGCTGCTCACCGCACTTACTCATAGTGGAGGCAATCAACGAAGGACCCATTAATAAAACAGCAGCCAAGTCACTCCTGGTGTAACTGATGAAGGTGCAAGAGGTATTTGAAACCACAATACAAAAAATGGTCCAATTCTTAATTTCAAATGTGTAGATTTAGGAAGGTAAAGACATGTGTAAGAGTATTAGATGACCGTTTCCGGCGGTTGAGGGGTTGTTTGAAAGAGGGGAAAGGATGGGACGCAAATGTCCGGCAGATATGCTTTGGAAATCCGTATAAATTACCCTGAAATAAACTAACCATACTTCAAGACATTCAGCGGGACCTCCAACCGAGGCTGGCCATGCTCACGAAGGAAGAAAGGATAGGACTAGAAGAGAAATCGTGACGCAAAGTGAGAATCGATAGTTGTCTTTGTACCCTCATCTGAGCGAAGGATACCGAATGAACTTGATCCTTTTCTTACCAACGCTTTCCAAGATACCACTGGGATCCTCTTCGAAGTATATAACTTATTGTCCAGTCCAGAACCATCCCGACCCTGGCGCGGTGTCCTTGCCCTGGTGTTCCAGCGGGCAGCCTGATCCACACTGCGCCCTGCAGGCCGAAAAGCCTCGTTCCTGTTCGGTCGTTCGTGGGCAACCGGGGCGCTGACTGCACTGCATTGCTTGTTGCTGGTTTGCTAGCCGGTCTGGTCTGCTGCGCAAAAGTTCCTCGAGCCAAGCAAGCAACAGTAGAAAGTGAAGCAAGCAGAACGGTGCCCAATCCATCCATCGTAAGGTAACCACAAGGCAAACTGTTTGCCCGGTCCTGTTGGGAGAAGATAACTTCTGGTCTGCCCTCCGACGTCCCCGAACCATTCAACCCTCGCGCCCTGCCTGCCCTTTCGTCTTGGTTGCCCTCCCTCACAGCTTTCCGGTGCCCTTGCTCCTCTCGTCGACTCCACTGGCACTACTGCTTCGGGGGCAGTCTAGCAGGGTCCTAGCTGGAACCCTGTGCCACGACCACGACCACGACCACGACCCTACCGAACCTACCTACCTACCTTACAGGGCCAGCCAGTCCCACGGTCCCACCGTCGCCCATCGCCCACCGCCCACCACGACATCCCTGCCCCAGCTGCTACCTGCTACCTGCTACCTGCTACCTGCCTACCGTACCTATCCTTGCGGCCCAGGCTGGGCTTGCTCTGGACATGGCCTGCTGAGAGGGAAGGGAACGGGAACGCCCTCGCCTCGATCGTCCCCTCTCACTCATCACTCATCACTCATCACTCGACTTCCTGCTTTGCTTCTTTGCCTTGCTCTGTTCTGTGTTGCTTGCTCACCCTCACAATCATTCTTCACACCTGACCCCGTGAATGGTTCTTGGATGTGATTGTCCACTGGTCGACTACCTCCAAGCAGCAATCGACCAGTCCTCAAGATCCCTTTCCCAAATGGACTCTGCTACCACCGCTTTTATGTCGAGATAGTCGAGAGTTGAGCGTCAACCGCCTCACCAACGAGACTTGGCAGCCAGAACCAGAACTACCTGGAAACCGTGTCCCACGAATACCACGAAACTTGAACCTGCCTCTGGCAGATTATCCTGCAAAATGCCTTCCCTCGTTATTCCAGAGTCGGGCTTGACGCTGCACAGCTCCCAGGGGTCTCCCTCTAAGGCCGGCTCGAGTCCTCCGGATGTCTTCGGGCTCACTTTGACCGATTCAGTAATTGAGGAGATGATAAGATGTGTACAGAATGGAAAAGAACTCCAATTGTCTTTTGGCGAACAACCTGTAAGCCTGCCATTTATTTTGGGTGTTCCGAGGTACGGAGGGCAGGTTGTTGGGTACTGGCAATTGTTCTGTTCACCTTCAAGAGCGTGGGATTCACTACAACCACATGGCGGCGACGACCGCTTGCTTTTTTCCACCACCCACAATAGCATGGGAAATATTTGCTAATGACGGGCACACAGTCGCTTTCCTACGGAACCAAAGTACAAAATCTACAAACCTCCGACGACCCTTTCACATACGACATCTTCCAAAGTGCCAATACCTCAGATTCAGACTCGAGTACCGCAGACATGTCTTCGCAACAGAGACCCGACATGAAGAACGGGGTTATCAATGTCCGAAATAAACCAAACCTGTCGTGGATTGCCAGCATCACTGGCAAAAGATACATTCCGGCTGCCTTCGCCCAAGCAAAGTCCAATGCCAAACCTACTACCTCAACCGCAACTGCAAAGACTACCAAGCCGGCATCCGATACTACCAGTGCAGATGCGGCTCTAAGTCAACTTCAAGGCGCTCTCGCTTCCGAGAAACAGAAGAAGTTGGCCAATACGTAAGTGGATCAGGAGAGATCAAAGAGGACATGGAATTGACATTTTGACAGCACTCAAATCATCAATGGCAATCTAGCTGCACCCCGTCGAGGCGGCCCAGCTCCCAAGTCGCTGACGAACAAGAGCAAGTTCCTCAGCCAAAAGAATCGTTCCCTTGCGAGCGATACCACTAGGTCCATGCCCTCGAGCCCAGCTCTGTCTGGAGCTGGCTCCCCATCCCTCGGTCCTACCTCTGTCCCACTCTCCCAGCAGCAAGCTGAAAAGGCAAAGGAGGCTCGTAAGCCTGTTATCCACCTCCTCGCAGTCGAGCCACTCGCCGAGAAGACCCTTCAGAAGCGACTCCCCGATGTATCTGAGAATGATCTGGACAACGCATTGCGTAAAGTCGGCGATTTGAACGAGACTACTGGAAAGTGGGAATTGCGGAAGGCGTTCTGGAAGGAGCTTGACGTTTGGGCCTACAAGTACGGCTCAAAGGAAGATCGCCAGCGTGCGATTGACAACGCCGTCAAGCAGTATGACAAGATGCGGCTAGGTGTTTCGGAGCCAGAATGGGACAGATTATTGACCAAGGCCGAGCGTGGAACTGGCAAGTGTTTGAGCAAGTTGCAAGCGGAAATCGCGAAGGGTTCTTTGGCGGCAAGAAAGTCAAACAGTCAAAATACGGAAGGATCTGGCCGCGATACTCCCAATGGCGAAGAGGATCAGTTGGAGGATAAAACTTTGTCCAAGATCAAGGGTGAAAGTATGGCTCGGTCGGCTTCACAACCACCAGCAACGAAGTCGAAGAAGACCAGCGAAAAGGAAGCTCAGGCAAAGCGACTGTTCTCAAAGCACCCACCTAAATCTGCCAACAAGCCCGCTCCAAAGTCAACAGCTCCAGCCAAGAAATCGGGACCAGTTCCCAAAGCAGGAACTAAGGTTCTCTCTGCTGAGTATGTTGAGGATTCAGAAGATGATTCGGAAGCACCTGTGCCAAGCAAAGAGAGCCCTACCAAGGAGAAGACTACCAAGGAAAAGATTGTTAAGGAGAAGCCAAAGGCAAAGCCGACAAAACCAGCAGTCATGAAGCGCGCCCGTGAAGAGGATCACGATACAAGCGACTCCAGTATCCCACTCAGCAAGAAAGTCAAAAAGGACGTCCCTGTTACCGCAGCTACCCACCGCGTTTCCGATGCCAGCCAAACATCGCGAACCACTAACAGCTCCTACTCTTCTTTCAACTATAAGAACAAGAGCAACTCTCCTCAGAAGTCCTCTCCTCTCGCCTCCTCTCCACCAACCAATGCTTCCGATATCGAGAACTCCTCTAACGACCGAACCTCGTCATCCGCCTCTCCGGCTCCTCGCTTCTCCACCAAGAACACTCGATCGCCTATCCACAAGCGTCACCAAAAATCATCTTCCGTCACCTCATCCAGTTCAAACGGTTCTCGTCTCAAGCCAAAAGCCATTGAACTTGCCGCCAAGTATCGCCTTTACTACCCACGTTACGTCGAGCTCTTTGAGGAAGTTGTTGCCGAAGGTGATAAGCGCACCAAGAGCAAGGAGCGTGATCTGCTTGATATGCACTCTCGCCTGGAAAAGATGCGCAAGGATATTGCTATCTACATGGCTGATGAGTAAAGTTGGACTCGAATCTGATCCGATCACAGCTGGCATATGCACATAGAACAAAGATCCTTGGATTCAGGTCTACTATACAATGATTGCACATTTCTTTTTCCTTTTACTATACGATACAATACAACGATCTGAGCATTTTCTGCGGGGGAGCTAAGGCGCGACGGACGGGCACGAACAAAACGATATGAATAGGGAGCATGCATTTGGGAGGAATCTTCGTTTGGTCTTGTCACTTTCTTGTTTTCCTTTTTGCATGCGTGTTGGAGAAAAAAAGGAGCTAGGAATGGATACTACAGAGAGATATAGATCTATTTGCGGCCTTCCTACTTAATCCGGATGTGGCTAGCATTTGATTACAGGCAGGCAGAGCGGAGCAAAGCGAGCAGAGGATGAAAAGTCTTTCAATGAAAGCCAATACAGACATGAACCGGGAACCATGGAGTTTTTCAAGGTATGACATGGCGTTTATCAGGTGTACTTCTAGATACCATTAGCCACAGACAGCCACGCTTTGTAGCGGATAACTGGTCACCATGCCATGATACAGTCCAATTTTTTAAAAAAAACATAGAGACCTCAAGATGAACAAAGAAAGTGTTTCCTTCCCCTCCTCACCTGTGATGTGATTCGTGAAATAGCGAACGTATCTCAACTGGATAGAGGGGGTGTTTAGCTTTGTTGCCTCACCACCACCAACAGTCAGCTATGCCAAGGACCTTATCTTTCCTTCCTTTCCCTTTCTTTGACAGCCACAACAAAGACGGGAAATTTGCAAGTGAATAAATGGGCTTTCAAGGGGCCAACTTCCGCTTTCGTCTATATACTAAACCAATCCAGCGCCATTCGCTTTGATGCCGGATTGAAAGCCCGGTGTGCCAAGATCGAAACAACATTCAACTGACCAGGCCGGCCTGATCTACTGGGATGAGTGGTGGTGGTGACAGTGACGTCGAGGTAAGGTAAGGTGTTGATGGGTTTGCGGGAAAGTAGGCTGGCTAATGTGTGTGTCGTGTGGCTTATGTGCGTGTTACAAGAGATGATATCACTTGACAGGGCGCAGGGACTTTTGTATTTGTATTTGTTGTGGTGTAGTGAGGTGAGGTGTGGTGTGGTGTGGTGTGGTGTGGTGTGGAAGTGCTGATCGTATTTTGTCCAATATTTCACGGGCTTGTGAGGAAGTAGGCAAGGTCAGGTAAGCTAGGGGAGATAGAGCAGGAGGGGAGACACCTAGTTGGGAGGGACGGAACAGTAGAGTAGAGACGGAAAAGTACCGGTGTATTCGGTAGGATTTTTGTGTAACCATCGGTGGCGGCTGGCTGGTAGTCATGAGGTCCCGTTGCGGGAGTAGAAAGGGAGGGAGGAAGGGAAGAAGCACGTTTGCGGGAAGTGTTCGATACTCGCTTCTGGAAGCCAGCCATTTGTTGATTTCCGGTTTGGGGAACGGGAGGGAGCAAGTGAGAGAGGAAGACCGGAGAACGATGATGCTTTAAAAGTGTTATTTCTGCATTTGGCAACTGAAGGGGTGAGGTGGGATAGCAAAGGATCCGAGGGGCATAGACATGGGCCAGATACACTTGTACTGCAGTTGTCGATGCATGTTGGCTGCGTAGACTTGCTTAAAGGAAGGAAAGCGAGTAGAAAGGCTAATAACAACTTAGCATGAAAGCTGCTCTAGTACCGCTTCCCTTGCCCTAGTTTCGGAAGAAAGTACTGTTGTAGTGTGGAGATTGAGGCTCTGGCTTTGAAGTGAGGTGGAGCGGGGATTCGGAGGCAAGGGAGGGAAGAAGGGGGAATGAAGGATTCGAGGCTTCTGGCGGCTTTCTGGACCTGCGTCAAAGAGATGCAAGGTCCAGCAACGAGAGAAAGGAGAACTAGGTAACGCTTCGCAGGAGGCTTGAGAAGACTGATGGGTATGATCAAAGCGGTCTGAATTGTCGAAAGGGAGGCTAGTGAGGCTCAGACGACAAAGAAGGCAGCGGGAGTTGACCTTCATCACAGGGAACATGGAATACCAAACAAAACGACAGGAAACAAATGGTGTCATCAGTTGCATTCATAAAGACGAAAGCAGCATTCATTCATGCATCACATGTCCTCGTTAAGGATCCAGGAGTCTGTCTCCAAATGGCCGTTCCCATCCAGACGAACAAGTCCTCATCTATGCACCAATCCATCACCTGCGCGATGCGTTGGCTTTCCATTCGTGAAACCATGTGTCCCGTCTTTCAGCGCGCGCAAACCTTCCAGATCAGAACCAAAGCAAGCCAGCGTATTAATCATATCCCTAACAAACCACTCCTAACCATCCAAGCCGTCCCAAAGCCGGATGTGGCTCAAATCGAGTATAACTTTTTGCCTTGTGTGCGCCGAACAAACCGAATTTGGACAGGTGGAAAAGTGAAAGGAGGTATTTCAAGGTATAGTGGATGCATTTATTGCGTCTTGAAAAGGAGGATCGCGCAGTGGCCAAGGTAGAAGTATATAAAGTGTTTGGTCTCGTGGGTGACGAACGATCCAAAGTTGCGACCGACAATGCAGTGCCAGGTAGGTCCCTTGCGCTCATCGAACTGGGGAATTTTTGTTAGTTGATGTTTCTGGCTGAAGCCGGTCACAGAGGGGCGCAGGGGGAGAGCGTACAGTCTTCTTGATGTGCATCGCAATATCCTAATCTTGATTAGCTAGCTATTCGAAAGCTGTAGGATAACCATTAGAACTCACCTTCTCAACTGTGAACTTGTTCATAGCTTCTTGTGCTGTGATTTTGTTAGTTGGCCGTTCCCCGCATAAACACCCCTTTGAAACATACCAACATCAATTGCCTCCTGCTGCATATCATCCGTCTACCAGAATATCAGTCCGTAATCTTGTATAAGCTGAACTCCAGTTGCTTAGAATTCTCACCATATCGGCAGACTTGATCTGAGCTACAAAGAAATTAGCAGACTGTTTAGGGACTTGTTTGTTTTGATTCGAAGGAAAGGGGTCTGCGACGATCGACAACTGCGAATGTTGCTGGGCTCAAGTTTTGCCTACACTCTATCTATCAGAGGTGAACAGGAAATGTCAAACATACCCTCAAGCTTGTCCTTTGCTTTCTCGGTGGTCGACATATTTACAGATTTATTTACTTGACGTTCTCCTGGTGGGTTGATCGGCTGAGGAGTGAGGCTGAATTGACTTGCTTGGTCTCTGGTAATGTAACTGTGGTAACGATTAAATGCAACAGCGTGTGGATAGCTCGAGATCGAAGACAGTTCGGTAGTAGCAGAAACTCTTCGCAAGTGGCCACGTCCTGGTGTGATGGTAGATGTTCCTCTTGAATGTAGAACAATGTGCAAGTCGTCTCGGCGTCTTGACAACTGCGCGTCGTCCACTTCTTTCATGGTGACTGACCATTCACAGCGCAGATGACAAGTGCTTGGCTTGGCCGTGCTCCTCGAATTCCCCGACGCGGCTGCTCCTCGGAGCCGGCACTACATTAGTCCGGTTGGTGGAGCAGTGGAGCGAGTTTACCTTAATTTTCCGCTAGATTTTTCTCGGGGTGCTAGCTGAGACAGGTTCTGTTAAAACTGAGAACTCGCGTCTCCCATTGTTGTTTCTTTCTGTCTGTGACAACTGGCATTGATGCCCGCCATGGAGTCTACATCGCCCGCGATGGCTTCATCGCGTATATTCATCAAGGGCCTTCCACCTACCATATCAGAGGAGGAGTTCAAGAAGCATTTCGGAGCCAAGTACACGATCACCGATGCAAAGCTGATCTCCAATCGAAGAATTGGCTATGTGGGATACAAAACACCAGAGGAAGCTGCCAAGGCAGTCAAGTACTTCAATAAATCGTTCATACGCATGTCTAAGATTGGTGTCGAGCTTGCTCGTCCTGTATGTTCTATCCATGTCGTTTTCTGTAATGCCTGCTAATCGTCGGGCAGATATCAGATTCCAGTCTACCAGTCTCCAGAAAAGCACAGCGAGAGCAGGAACGAGAAAATGCCGCAACAAGGAAGAAGGAGAGAGCCGAAGCAGCCGCAGCTTCTGCTCTCAATGCTGGAACGAAAAGGAAGAGGGGCGACGTAGATGAATCGGACCCCAAGTTGAAGGAGTTCTTGGATATCATGCAACCGGCATCGAAACCAAAGACTTGGAAGGAACAGACCGAGGACGAGGAACCGCCAACGAAAATGCAAGCAATTGAGGTCCCAGAAGGCGAGAGTGATGGCGAATACGAAGTTGTGCCAAAAAAGTCCCGCAAAAAGAGTCCACCACCACCTGCAATACCAGTTTCAATACCCCTACCAGTCATAGAAGCCGAGCCTGATAGGATGGATCAAGATCGTCCTGAAGTAATTGCTCCAGATACCACAGACGAGGACTGGCTTCGGAGTCGGACGAACAGATTGTTGGATCTCATGGATCCCGATGAGATTGGTGTTGCCGCCAGTACAGGGGCTGTACCCACTTATCCAGCCGCCGTGGCTGAAGCTAAGCCAGACGAAACTCTTGATCACGAAGAGCCTGCTGCTGAAGAGAAGCACGAAGAGGAGTACGAAGAGGAGCACGAAGAGGAGCACGAAGAGGAAGCCGACAAGCCGGATCCTACCATTGAGGCCATTAAAGCCACTGGTCGTTTGTTCGTACGGAATCTCCCCTACACTGCAACGGAGGATGACCTGAGAGAGCACTTCGCCGCCTACGGATCTTTAGAAGAGGTACGCACGATTATATTCCCTTGCAGTTTTGTTTTCCTCCTCGTTTCATGATGAATATCCAGATAGGGACAGCTTATGCTACAAGCATGTGATGAGAGCTGGACGAATATTTTAGTAGATGCTTCGTGTTTTCTGAAAACGATCAATTCACATCTTCCGTCTTTGGTGTTTGGAAAAGCGCAGCACTGACACCCGATTGAATTTAGATACATTTGCCAGTGAATGCTGCTGGTACGAGCAAAGGATTTGTCCTCGTTCAATATTCGGACCCGAATGCTGCCGCAGAAGCCTTCCATAATCTTGACGGTGAGCCCTTCCAAGGTAGGCTGTTGCATATCATTCCTGCGTCTGCGAAGAGAGACAATAAGCTGGACGAATTTGCCATCGCGAAGTTGCCACTGAAGAAGCAGAAGCAGATCAAGAAGAAGGCGGAAGCCACATCTGCCTTTAACTGGAACTCTTTATTCATGAACCAAGATGCTGTCAACGAAGCCGTCGCACATCGCCTCGGTGTTTCCAAATCCGAAATGCTAGATCCTACTTCTGCGGAGTCTGGATACAAGCAAGCTATTGCAGAAACAACAGCCATCCAAGAGTCAAAGTCGTACTTTGCAAAGAACGGCGTTGATTTGGATGCCTTTAAGAGAAAGGAGCGTGGTGACACTGCGATTCTCGTGAAGAACTTTCCATATGGCATGACGCTTGAAGAGTTGAGGAAGATGTTCGAGGCTTTCGGACAGGTACTTCGAGTTCTGATGCCGCCTATTGGTACTATCGCAATTGTTGAGTTTGCGGAACCAAGCCATGCTCGAGCAGCATTTGCTAGCCTGGCGTATCGTCGTTTCCAGGACTCGGTACTGTTCCTCGAGAAGGCGCCGAAAAATCTCTTCACGACACCAAGCAGTAATGCTGTTATCGTGCCATCTGACCATGAAGTTGGCAAGTCAGGCAGGGAGAAGATTTCAGCATCAGATCTGCTTGAAAAAGAAAGTGCTGTAGAGACACTTGACACAGCAACGTTGTTTGTGCGGAATCTCAACTTCACTACTACGAGCGATATTCTTACTGAAGCTTTCCAACCTTTAGATGGTTTTATCTCTGCCCGTGTTAAGACCAAAACAGATCCAAAGAAACCTGGTCAGGTACTTAGTATGGGTTTTGGTTTCCTTGAATTCAGGAGCAAGGCTCAGGCTCAGGCAGCTCTCACTGCAATGGATGGCCATATCCTAGAAGATCATAAATTGCTGATCAAAGCTTCACACAAGGGACTCGATGCGGCTGAAGAGAAAAAGAGAGAAGATAACGCGAAAAAACAGGCTGGCAAGCGAACTAAGATTATCATCAAGAATCTTCCATTCCAAGCGACGAAACAAGATGTGCGGGCCTTGTTTGGTGCGTATGGGCAGCTCCGTTCCGTTCGTGTTCCCAAGAAATTCGATCATACCACACGTGGATTTGCCTTCGCAAATTTCATTACGGCTCGTGAAGCGGAGAATGCACTAGAGGCGCTCAAAGACACGCATCTTCTCGGCCGCCGTTTGGTCATAGAGTTCGCCGCAGATGATGCAGTTGATGCCGAAGAAGAGATTGCGAAAATGGAGAAGAGAACAGGAGCTCAGGTCAATAAGGTTGCAGCGCACAAGCTCACAGGAGGTAGCCGGAACCGCAAAAAATTCGATATTGAAGGGGACGAGGAATCGGTTTGAGGGGGTTGGATGAAGGTATCTCGCCTCCTTGGCAGGATAAAATCTCGTTCTGCGTAGGCGACACCTCCCTTGCCGCACCTGCCGCACTGTTTTCGGCAGCCATCCCTCTACAGAATATACCTATGCAACTCCTTTCTAATTGCCAGACCCTTGTCATTGCGTTTCAGTGAATGACTTCCTTCCTAATTATCAGTTCCCCGCAGTCATGATATTCGATACTCTCAGCCACATCGCATCCAAGACTGTCTGGCCCGTGTGAGCTCCTTTTTCCTCCCTACGATTTATTCGAAGAAGGGTGATTCCTACTAGGCTCGTTGTGGCTCTACTTTTCGTAAGTCATCCATTGATATCACCCAATTTCTTGCATTCTCGCGTCTAGCAGGTTGCCTCCCCACTCGTTGGTCGTACATACACCCTACGGTAGTCCCAAGCTTATCTCGACTGGGTAGAGTGGGCACATACCCGTCCCAAATGAAGCATTCTTCCAATCACTGTAGGAATGATCTTCGTAGGCAGCATTTCCTTCACTGGCAGTCGTCCTTGCGTCACAACACCGAACTTGGCCACTCCTGTTGTTGGAAGCAATGGCCCTGTCTTTAATGTTGTGATGCTGGGAAGATGTCTAGACTGAGTACGCTTCCGGGCACCTTGTCGCTCGAGTTGGTCCAATCCCACGCAGCCACCCTGCATGCAAACCTTTCAAACGTCTTTCATCGCTACAGGGCTCGATCTCTGTGTGGAGGTCAAGGCCTTTCCTCTTATAAGCTCGGATCTGCTCCTCCATTCTCAAGTCACCTGTTAACATTCCCTCTCTCTTCAACATCTCGCTGCCATTCCTCCAAACATTTTTTACTACAATCCTTATCCTTCTTTGACCAACAGAAGCTCATTGCACCCAGCCTTTACGAATTCTACGAATGTACCTTTGAAATTCCCTGTGACGACACTCTAGAACTGTTAAGTGCCTGAGTGAAGCGACACATTCTTAGCCGCCAGTTCCACGATCGATGGACCACCGTCGACATATTCTGCCTTCAGATTATACTCATCAACTTCCACTGGATAGCACCAGTGGACTTTCAAGGGCCCGACAGCCTCTTTCAGACTCTGCTGGGAACGCCCAGCATCACATCCTGGCTTCAGTAGGGCTTTATCATGGTAACAAAGGGCATCAGCCTCGGGCAGACCGGCCCATGTACTCCATCCCCACACTACCTTCCCAACCACACCACCAAGCCGTAGGACAGACAGTAGGGCTTCGACGGCAGAATACTCGTCGTCAACGACAACTGAGATTCAACCGGAACCCTATCGTCGAGTCGTCTCAATATCAGGCTTACCGTTCTCGTCAAAACCGAGAAGGCAACGATGACGACAAGAAATGGCCCGAAGTGCTCGAGGATGCTTTCTTAGATGGTAACCACACTTCTCCGTTGTAGTTCGACTTGATAACTGACTTTCTCGCAGCACTAATGTACCTGCCCAAGATGGGTAGGAGAAAGTTTTCTTACGAGGGCAAGCCTCATGGTCGCAATGAGCTTATCAGAGTGTACTTGTGGCTTGCTTATCTTGAATCCCTTCCACCTGGAGCCCGTCCCGATGAGTCGATGAGGAGAACCCGAAAGCAAGTCTCAAGCCACATCCAAGTACTAAAAGGCTTCTTCAAGGGCCACCCTGCTTGTACGCTATGCCACCCTTCTAGTCATTGCTGTGCTAATTCTCCGCAGATGGACGGTTATTTCCCGAAAAAGACGAACCAAAGAATGGCTTCCAAGATTCATTTAAGGACGATCCCTGCCTCAGGGCACTGTCCATGGGACGCCTGCCTAAGAACAAGTACGACTGCTACGATGAACCAAGTCAAGCAACGAACCATAGTTCGTCGATGAAACCAGTTCTCTTCTGGCTACTTATGACATCCTCCTCTTTGTCGATTGACGATCGCCGTGATGTGCACGAAGAGGATCTCTACAACGAAGGCTTAATCGCACATAAATTCTCCAGACTATCAGCGCAGAGACAACGGGCCAGTCTTGATTCCATCCCAAGCTGGAGGCAGAGATTCCCATTTTTGCAGCAACTGTACACTTCGGGAGAGCTGGATTGCGAAATCATTCACATGGAAGCTTCACTCAACCTGCTCACAAACCAGCCTCCCGAGGGCTCAGAGCTATGTAGTCGGATGGTCTTCTCGATGCCTGGCAGACAACATGACACCGAGTGGCGAATTGTCACGACTCTCAGTAAGCCACCCGAACTTTACCGCGACCAGATATCCGATCCTCCACTAGAAGCACAGGCGTTCGCTGTCGATGTCACTTCGATGAATGATAGCGAGACTCGAATCAAAGTACCCTTTCCGGCAAGGCCCTGGGCCCAGGTTTTCTCGGGTCTACGAAGCATTCAATCACAGTACGAAGAAAAGCAAGCACACTCTTTCAACACCGGTATGGGCTCCACCAGGCCGGCTCGAGACTATGTCGACCTGATTTCAATGTATCAAGAAGTGCAGTCCGCCGCTGGACCTCACTCGCCTTTTGTGAGAAGAACAATTATACTCTGGACATTTCGTCAAGCGTCAAACAGCGATCGCAATGGCACACATTGGCGATACGTTGACCCAGCGCCAGTTCCTCGTCGGATGTGCATGTCGCCATCGCCACATCCAAGCCATCACATGCAGGCGAACATGAATGAGAATTTCAACAGCTGGTCCGACACTCCTCTACACCTGCAAAATTCCAACATACTCGACCATTTCGCCCAAGGCCTTGCGACGCCACCACACACCGCCGGCCTACAATCTCCCTTTCCTGCTCCGAATTATGCGTACAGTCAATCTTACGATATGCCAAGCGAGAATCTGAGCTTCGTGTCTGCCGCCAATACCGTCGACAGTGATTCTACGCTTGTGGATAATGACGTCGCAGCCAACATTGACAACTTCCTTATGAACTCACACGTCCATCTCAAAGACTTCGAGCACGCATCTCAAAGCTGGCAGCTGCCTGTAACCAAAAGCTTTGATGCGGATCCGCTATGGGCAAACTACACCGTGCCAGCTACTACACCGGTTCATGGGTGGGACTCACAAGAAGCTAAGACTCATGCGTGGCCAGATTTACCTATCGATGGCAAGAGTTGGAACTACACCGTCGAGGAGCCCGGTGACAAAGCCGATCACGTAGAGAGTGGTCCAGTCAAAGGCACGGTGAACTACGTCGAGCAAACTATCGCGCAGAAACTTCTACCATGGACTGATAATCAACATGGACCCCATGAGATCAAGCACAACTACGATGGAGTCAATCTTGAGCAAATACGCGATAACAGCAACGAGAGCGCTCGAGCCGAGCCTAAAGTCCAAGAGTGGGAAGGTGTTCACGATGACTTTGACTATTCAGAGCTCGCAGAACGGCTCAAATAATGTCCTTTTCTTTTTATTTTCCTTTACGTTGAACTGATTGATGATTGGCGCTGATTGGGCTGGCTAGAGGGGAATTGGGATTTCATGTTCTGATTCAGTGTGCTATTGTTTTTGACCTATCACCCCAGTACGCTGGCTTTATTCGGATAAATGGATGGATGATCACTTAGTTAATTTTTGTCTATAATGAATGTCACGATATTTACAAACAATACTCCATTGCGGCTCCTTCCAATCAAGGTACCTTGGGTAGGTACCCATTTTGATCTGCCTTGGTCACGTGCAGAAATCAATAATCCAGGGAAAGACCTCCAAGGTTCTCTCTACCTACCCCTTAGCCAGTATACTGCATTTCGCACTTCAGTCCACTGGGTTCAGCGCATCAATATTCCTTGTAAAGGGGTCGTTTCCACTCGTTCCTCGCTTTCTGCTTCATATATCTAATTTTGGCAATTAGCCGCATCCCTTTGTCCCTATGATAAATCCTCACCAACACCCCTTTTTCGGCCCCTCGCTTGAACTCAGCCTCAGCCTCTCCTTCAGCAAAATTCAAGTAACCCAGACCTCGTCTCGTCTCGCACCAACAATGTAATATACCCTCACTTCCTACAACTAGACAATATCACGATGCCAATCTTTTGGGTTTTGGCATGCTGAGCTATGGAGTATTTCATATTTGTGGTATGCAAAATTTTCATATTGCATCAAATCTCCTTGGCATTTGCAAAACTTCTCAGGTTGTTCATTGATACTCCGAGAGCCTTCAGTTTGTCTTCGCTCACCCGTCTTGTAGTCCAATTCGTGGAATCAGCAGCAATATTTTCTGTTTCAGGCGTAGGCCTGTCTTCTTATTGATCATTTACATCACCTGGTAATTACAAAGTACTCATTCTGTTGAGTTCCCTCCAATTAACCAGCATCGCTAACAATAGCAGATTCAAGCTCAGAGGGATCAACAGTCGCGAATAATTGGTCGCTAGCGTGATAGCAGCTTGCATATTCGGAACGCCGTCTTGCACATATCGCCATCGCAAGCAATGCCTAAACAGCCAGCAACGTAGTCTTTCCCAAAATATCTCAGGAAGTACAACAATCTCATTCTTGTATGGCCATCGACAGTATCGCTCGTCGCAGCTTCGGATCCAACAGCCGTCGTGAATCGGTCACCAAGAGCCATGATGGCATTGATGACTGCCCAAATTGCGGGAGTCTCAGATGCTCGCGAGAGCTGCTAGCTTATTGGGTTACGAGAAGTCGCACAAACGTTGGGAGCTGAATGATCACATGCGCCACGCATAGGACGGAGAAGTAGTTCTCCGTAAGCCGGATCTAATTCCGAGCATTGTCGCCTGCGAAGGTGGTTCCTTTGAAAGCTCCCAGTTCGCGAAATTTTGGATTTTGGTGTCTTGTCACCGCTGCTGTAATGGTGAACTTGCCACCGTCAGCATAGAATTTTCTTCTTTTGAAGCGTAATTATCATGAGTAGGGGAAGTCTAGGGACCGGAAACTTCGTTATTCTCTTTGTTTTCTCTGTCTCGTTCAAGTCAAGTTGCATGTGAGCAAAGTCCCAGCTTCGTGGCAGCACCAAATTTTCGACACTGGAAACCAACGCCAAGAGAAAATCCAGAACGCCAAAATTTAAAGCTCTTGCTGACACCAATGACAATAACTCCCTCCTCGAGACCAAACGGAACTAGATTTGTCAGCTACAGAGAGCTCCCTGGTCCCCTGTAGGTAAGAATCATGTAGTCACCACTAGTCATCATGTAGTCACCACTAGTACCAGGTACTCCAGCAGAATCACGACTCTCGTTGAGCGTGCTAGTTGTCAGCATAGCGTATTCAAATGTTCCGAAAGCAAAGTAACCCAATCGTAGCCCATTGTAGTGTTTGTAGCGTAGAGATAGCCGAGGACCCAGAGCTAGGCGATGAAAATGTGGAGAATAACTGTGATCCATGACATGTTCAAGAGACTAAAACTAAGTGACAGGACTAGTGCTGGGGAAAAGATGGGCTAGTTTGGGTAGTGGGGGTACGAGGCTTGGTTGGCTGTGTCGTTTGAGGATCCGACAATGCTCCAGCGAATGGCGGAGACCTTGCGGGATGAACTATCAAAATGAGGCTGTCTAGCGGGAAATTCTGGCAGCGGACGATCAGAAAGAGAAGAAGCCACGAAGACCAGATAGAGATTTGGGACATTAAAGCACAAATCGGACACTTGCTCAGACATAATGTCGTCAACTCAGCGAGGGGATTGATCTCAGCAGCGGGGTTGACCTGAGGAGCATCATTTGCTCTTAAATTGGGAGCCATTTTCTAGTCTCCGATGCTTCTCCAACTAATTTTTCCAGAATTTCTGTAAAGTTTTGGAGATGTGGCATTCTTTTACGTGACCAAAGTCAAAAAGTTCAAATATTGAGGCTAGGGAGTTGGAATATGTTGCAACCATGAGTTGAAGTGAAGAATTCAGTGGTTAAACTGCGTAGACCCTTGTATGCGATTCACAGAGGATGAGGTTCCACGGCATGTTTGATCGTGAAGGCAGAACACAAGGATGGTGAGGCAAAATCGGCGGACAAAGATGCGGCAGCACATTTGTTGATGTAATGATATGGCGCATACGGTCCGACCGAGCCGACCTGAGGCATGTGGGAGCTACATATTATCTGAAATCCTCAACCATAAATAGAAGGTAGGGTCAGACACAGCAATAGGATTGAACCGAGAAAGGTTGTAGGAATACGTTTTTTGAAAGCAAGCAAGGCTATCTATCTAATACTAGTTCATGTATCCTCCACCTCAACACCCATTCATGGCAAAAATTCTAATCTATCGATACTTCAGAGGAAAGTAAAACCAACCAATCATAAATTTAAGTCATAAAAAACTCATAAAGTCCCATGGACTAACACTCCTATCTTCCTCAAATCCATTCCATTAGATCAAAGTAGACGATGCCGTCTCAGTGCTTGATGACGACTCGCTCGTCTCACTGAAAAGGCTTGAGAGCGAGAGGGAGGGTTGGTCTGTGCTGCTTGCGAGTGTTTGGAAGGTGGTGAGGCTGATTATAGTGAGGCTGACTTCGCTTGAGAAAGATGAGAGCTGGGATGAGATGTCTTCCGAGGCGCTGGCCGACGAGGAAACTGCGAGAGAGGGTTCCGGGGTTTGGCTGGTTGCAACATCAGATGCCGAGCTGATTGGTAAGATACTGGAAGGTAATTCTGACGAAATTTCCGTGGCCGAGGAGGACTGCTCCGCTAAATTGCTTGAGGCTGCTTCTGAAGCATCAGCGGATGGGGTACTGGATACCACGCTGGGCTCTGCACTCGGTGTGCTGCTGATTGGTACCTCAGCTGTTGAGCTTAGTACGTCACTGGACGATGGGATGTCGGACGTAGTGCTTGATAATTCGGCCGATTCTGGAGCGCTCGAGGATACTGTAGAGACAACTTCTTCTGCAGAAGAAGTAGGAGTTGCTGAACTTATCAGGACAAAAGATGACTCCGTCTCGGAAGCAGTGGCAGAGATTTCAGCTGATACTGAAATGCTTGATGATACTTCGGAGACAACTTCTGTTGCGGAAGATACAGCAGCTTCTGAACTTAGCTCAACAGAGATTGATTGTGTCTCGGACGCAGTAGCGGAGACTTCAGTCGATTCTGAAGTGAATGATGATATTGTGGTAACAACTTCCACCACGGAGGAGACATCGGAAACGCCTTCTCAGTATTAGTACATAATATTACAGATTTTTAATACATTACAAAGAAGGAAAGGACAATAAGGACCGAGGGGTACCGCTTACTTGAAGAGGCTGTAGGCACGCTTGAGAATTCGGAGGAGGCCAGGCTGGAGGAGATGCTGAACGATAGACTCGAGAAGATGATACTAGAAAGACTGCTGGATAAACTCGCGACCAGGCTGCTCGAGATTGCGCTAGAACAGCTGTCTGGGCACAATGATGGCGAGGGTGTTTCAGTGACAGGTGGAAGAGTTGGACCAGTGGGCGTGACTGGTGCGTCGGTTGGCGTAGGATAGGCGCAATCGCAAACAGATGATATCTGGGCGACTAGAGAACACTTCTTAGCAGCATGTGTTGGAAGACCGTCAAGATTGTCTTTGGTGGCAGTTGTGAAGGTCGAACAGAAGGACTTTGCATCTGCAGCGTATGCATCACCATTGAAAGCTCGATAGCAGCTACGCATAATCAGCAGAGACTTTTGATGGATACAAATTGATGACTTACTCATTATGGTTGCAATCTGGGAACTTTCCTTTTCCTAGTACCAAGGATGCTAGGCCTAGCAAGACCAGGGCCGTGGATTTTGGTGTAAACATATTTCTGATTGTAGCAAGTTAAGCTGGATAAGAAGGTCCTGGGGAGAGATTTACGAAGAATTGAAAACAAAAAGTCTATGGGAATATATAGGCTTTGATCTCCTCTGATCCGCCATCAGTCATACTAGCAGGTAGAGACAAGGCACGTAAACAAGGCAACCATCACACCCAGACATTGTTTCCAAGGTTTTGTTGAGAACATGATATCTTCCATGTGTATGGCATGCTCATGACGACGAGGCGACGACTTTGAAACGACATTTCCTATAGCATTCATGCCTCAATACCGTTCTGAGTAGCTGAAGGTGGCTATCAGTGAGCTCATGAGTATCCATCATTAGGGCAAGGGAGCTTTACCCTATAAATACATGAGGTCATACCGTTAATTGTTTCGATATGAAACAATTGATCGCCCGTCTACATTCTTCGGAAGCGAAGGAAACAGCCCAAAATAGGCTCCATGAGCCTCCTCTGCAGCGCGGATACACCATGCCGCATGCCGATGTTTATGTCTCCCTTCAAGCTCATGAGACAGCAATAGAACATCTGTCTCGCGAAACCGATCTATCGTAATTCCGTGGTCAAGCCAACACGTTCCTTTCATGGAAGCCACTTCCCGATATCGCGAAGATGTTCGACTTCTCCTTTGAAGAGGCAAGCTGGGAATGGAGTGACATTCACATTTGAGACAATATGGCGGCACCTCAGGTCAATGGAGTGAACGCCGAAGCGACCACGTGACCTGCGATTCACCTCGGCGAGGAAGTCGCGATGTGCGAGTTACAGTATTGTCTGCGGTCTGACAAAGTGAATTCGGATGAAAAAATATCGCATCGACTAATCGACCACTATGACTCCCACGGTGAGTAAGCTCCGAATCTCCCTTCCAATAATTCCTACTCAACAAAACCCTCTGGATTCGGCGCCACCTGGCTTCTTTGGTCCTCAACATACTCGACCTACGAGATATGTCACGCACTTCTGAACAATTAACTTCTTGGAAGGGCAGATACCATGGCTGACTCAGCAGCTTCTGTTACTGGGACTCGATTTAACGCTGTGTGCCTCAAACAAGGATCGTCAGACAACACAATGGAATCCCTGCTTCACACGAACTCGTTCTCCTCAGTTTCTGCGGGGGCCGATCCCTCCCCATCCAGCTCTATTTCAAGCCATGGAGACTGCGAACAATACGAAGACCTGCCAGATACGCTGACATTGCCATCATCTCCGCCACTTTCAACTGCTTCCCATCAGGGATGTGATGGTGGTCGGAAATCGGATTTCAGTGCCTCTGGGCGATCTATTGTTGAACAAGCCCATGTTGAATATCAGGACCATCATGGCAATGACGATGTAGAGTCGATATGCTCATCCACCGTCCAGTATTGTCAAGAACAGTTCGACGCCTATAAAATCAAAGTTATTCAGCTCTGTCATGACGTCGGTTTGGGCGAGCCGTCGGAAATTGAACGTATGGAGGGGGGATCTTTCAACAGGGTCGTTGGACTGACCTTCCCATCTGCTGACAAGCCTCAGTATGTCCTCAGAGTACCTCGCTACGCTTTGAATGAGGAACAAGCAAAGGACATCAAAGATCAAGTCTCCGTGCAGCTCCACCTTTCAAAATATGACTCTCTACCAGTCGCCACAGCTGTTGCATACGACTCAACAACAGAGAATGCAATTAACTGCCAATATGTTCTACAAGAACGCCTTCACGGAGAAAGCATCTGTGGCATCTTCTATGGACTTCCCCTTAGCGAGAAACTCCAAATTACTACAAAAGTTGCCGAGATGATCTTGAACCTCGAGTCTATTGTCTTCGACAGACCTGGGAGACTGATTGGAGCAGACAATATCCCTGCTTCCTCGGCCCCCTCAGCCAAGCTGGTGGCCGGAATCACAGTCTCGGGATTTCGCGATCACCCGATGTTCGATGGGCCGGCCTTGGAGAAGCAGCCATTGGTTTCCCTCATCTGGGCATTGCTTGAACATCGCAAGGAAGTCTATGATGACATGCCGCACTTGGTAGAGAGATGCGAGAGACTACAGGAAGTTGCAAAGGAGATGCAATCAGCTGGTTTGATGCGAGTTGCAGATAATGACAGCGTGTTGTGGCATTGGGATCTTTCTGCCTCAAATATTTTGGCTCGACAAATCAACGCTTCCCCAATAGTCGATGTCACTATCAGTCGTGGACAAGGGAGTCGCATCCTTCTAGACAAGAGTGACAACCACAAGTCGGTATTGAGCTTTCACGAGACAGATAACCAAGGTGTATTCCACAATGTCCGAGTCGAGACTGAGTGTCACTCTTCTACAAGCTGTCAGCATGCGGTTGAGGTGAAAATTGAAGATGACGCCGGACATGCCTTTCACCATACGGCCAAATTCGCACACCACAACAGATCTGGAAAAGAGATTTTGATCAATACACACAACAAATCTACTTCAGGCGGTGGGGTACCAAATTACGCTAATGGCCAGCAAGAATCATCTGAGACAAAAGATTCACTGAAAGGAGATTGGGAACTCAGCGGGATCTTGGACTGGGATGATGTATTGGCTGTTCCACTAGTTTTGTCCAGGAAACCTCCATCATGGCTTTGGCTTAATGAACATGATCGGGCGTCTTCTTGGTGTGGTGATCGGGATGAGAAGCCCCAGAGAGATCTAACAGGTGATGAACTGCTCATCAAGGCCCATTTCGACCAGGTAATGACGAGAGCAAGCCCAACGTGGATGGATGATGCTTATGGCCGTGGAGTCTGGCTGAGAGCTCTGGCAAGATATGGGCTGTATCCTTTTGAGGATGGCCTCAATTACAGCAACTATGATGACTTTATAGCTGCTTGGGATGGATACTTTCAATCTGTAGCAAGATGATCTGTATTGGAGGGGAGGTCTCCAGCTGCGCTTTTCGAAATGAATGTTGAAGTCATAACGCACATCGTCAATTCTCGTGCCCACTGCTAGACATTAGAGAATGCTACAGTACTCCAAGTACAAATTTCTGAAGTATATTGCAATCAAAGAAAACAATTGGTTGAAAGACTCGTCATCTGTCGAGGAGCTTTTATTGATAGAGGCGTGTCGCTGGGGAAGAATATTGAGAGCATCGGGCTTTCGTAATTCCCACAGGACCAACATGCTTAAGATTAGATGATGATTCAAATTCCCAAGTATAGGTAACCACGACTTTTTTTGTGTTGAGATGATTTGATGCTAAGCAAGGACTAGACAATGTATTGACTCTAGAAGCCTCATAAGCCACTCAAAATCCCAAGCAGAATGACCTTACTCCATGCTCCCCTCCCAGGAATGCCAGCGCTTACGCCAACCCATTCATGTCTGTTAACAGAGACTCTGAGATGCATATCCGTTGCTCTGGTAATGGTAACATGCAACTGCAAGGAAACCGAATGATTCACGCAAAGCAAGTATCCTAAAAGAAAACCTTGAAGAACGCCATTGCCTTCAGACATACCAGATCAAAACAGTGTCCGAATAGAAGACAGTTTGAAAATGTCAGCTGGTGTCGAATAGTAAAACGTTGCTCCCCCCCCAAAAAAGGCGCGAGTTCTATGTCATGCTCTCTTCAATCCGTCGAGATTGCTGAGTGAGTATCAGGCCGAACTCCCGAGTAGCCAGATACTGAGCATGTCAGACTCGAGCCACTTATTTGGGCTTGAGACTCTTCTTAGTAAGAGGAGCTTTGTCCTTCTCACTTTGAGCCTTAGACTTTTCCTTCGCTGCTCGGTCTCGGTCTTCCTTGTCCTTCTTATCCTTAGCATCCTTTTCCTTCTGGGCCTTTGCCTTGGCGCCATCACAGGCTGTGCATGACTCCTTCTTTAAATGGACGATATCGATACTGTGGAGGCCACACCAGGTCTGATGGGTGGTGCAGTAACCCTTGCCTCTCGTGCTCTTCGATTGACCCTGGCAGTTGGTCTTGTAGACCTTTGGACCAGGGCAGTTGTGGTTAGTACCGGTCTTGTTCTTCGGCATGGTGGAGGTTCTGGTCTAGGTTTAGAAAAGCGGCGCTCTGATAGCAAGAGCAGTCTTTTGGTTGGATAGAAGGGCAAGGAAAATAGTCTGAAGTCGCAGCAAATGCTCAAGATAAGTACCGTACCTGGAAGTTGTTTTTAAGGATATGGATTCTAGAACATAATTAGGAGCTGCATTATAAGTTACTCAAAGGCGACTACTATGGTTAGACTTACTGGAGTTGATACCCACGAATGCAGATTTGCTCTTCACGAGAGAGGTAGTCCTTTTGCGTGTGCGTCTGTTGAAGAGTTGTGGTTGACTTATTCTTGACGGCGAAGTGGTTTTCGAAGCTATTCTTAGTAATGGAAGAGGAAGCAGTTCCGCAACCAGCGAGGTTTCTTAAGTAGTTCTATAGATGCTCTTCCATCGCAGCTTCGTCCCTTGTATGATGTGAATCGCCGGTCCAATGCTACTCATTCTCTTTCCGTGCTGGCCTGTCAAATTCACCACCGCAACACATCCCAATAGGGGCTTATTTTGGTCAAGCGAGAGCATATCCATTCATCCAATTCAATACGAGCGGGACTATTCGTTCAATTTGTCGCATTGACGGGATCTGGCAGCATTGCAAGGTAGAAGGACGTGGCCGACCTCGCTTAAGGTTTGTTTACTCGGTTTAGCGCGTGTTGCGGGCAGGGGGTCGCGCCTACATTTGCTGCACAATAAGAATCTATGAGTATGGAGCATTATTGATAGACTTCATATGAATACATGATACTGCAAGGATATGGTACGACTCCTGCCTAATATTTGAATACTTTCGCAAAGCAGATATTGGAGAGTGGATGCATCACATGTCATTACATCCGAACTTCACTTCGCTTCCGACGAGAAAAGTCAATAGCGCGCAACGACGTCGCCGAATGATAACGTTTTTGAATTCATTCGAGCACTCAATTGTGTTGATGACTGCGTGTTCACTGTGGTTGTTCACGTTAACTGCCATACTAGCCTAAGAGCGGGTCTGGTCACCAACGGAATCTGAGCAAATCCGTAGAGCGCTAGGGAATTGTAGGAGTTGAAAAGAACCTCCATATGCAGAAAGGAAGAAATTCAGTCAGTGCCCATTGAGGCAGCATTAGTGGCTGACCAGCCATCCAAACACAAAAATTGAAGAAATCAAGTCTATTACTACCATCGTTTGGAATTATACACTAGGAAGACTACGCCATGACTAGAGACATCTACAGATTCCCCGTTTTGGTCAAGGCTTAAGAATCACATATATAATAATCCGAAAAGCTCACAGCGGTCATACCGCATACCGCTGAAGGCAGAGTACAACACATCCTATTAACATCGGAGGAAATATCCAAATGATCGCTATGCTCTTTTGATCCCAAGTTCAATTTGCCAATGCAACGCCGAACACCAAGCTATGCAAAGCAAACAAGCAATCGGCTATACATTTTACAACTCCTTGAAAGTCTTCCCCACATATTGTGCGCCGCAGATAGCTTGTAGCTGTGGTTCGGTGAAATGCATGCTCGTCCAATTTGTCCCCAAAGGATTTGTCACCCTATCTCTGTCTTCTTTTCCTTTTGACAGTATACCGAAACGCAAACCGACTTCGGTGACCGTAACTGCGATACTGATTATGATAAGCACGATAATGATCCACGTGATGGCGGTCATCTTGGTGTCGGCTATACTGTCACTGAGAATTTCGGCGAGCTCGAGGAACACACGACAACGCTCATTCAGGACTTTGATACGAGGTGCGATTTCCATATACTCTCTGAGGGCGATGTACAGAGGATGAAGTGTAGGTTCAGAGTTCCAGAAGAAATTTGGGACGTCAAGGATATTCGATGCTGTTACATGTTAGACAGTGTTAGAGTAGGCTTGGAGCGGTAAACGTACATAAATTGACATCGACTCGACTCTGGAACAATCGTCCAAGAATTTTTACAATCTCTGTTCGAGACATGCCGAGCTGACCCGTAAGAGCCAGATGTCTGGGGACATGCTCGGCATCCGCCATCGTCTGATTCATCTTCTCTTCGAAAAAGCTCAGTTTCGTGCTCTGGGCAATTGCATGGCTCATGGTAAGCTTGATCATATGATCTCCACTTCTCAGTGTGATCATATCGTTGAACACTCTGGGTCGCTCGACAAGCGGACTGTACTCGAAATGCAGCTCCTCCGTCTCATATTCGTCTTCCTCTATTGGGCGTATCACAAGAGAAACACCGGTTTCGTGCTCCGAAAAGGTCAAGTCGGCCAGAATATCCTTTTCTTGACGTTCCGTAAAATTCCAGAATACCACGACTCCGTATGAGAACACGAACATCTCACCGAACGTTGTAGCATCCGGGGCAATTCGGTTCGGACTGTCACCACGTTTACCTTGAGCCAGTACCCTCACCTGCTCTCTAGCATTCCTGTCATCTTCTTCCCTCCTCTTTTTCATTTCGTCGCTCTCGTCTCGCGGACTTTCCTCGCCACCCCTCACTCCATATGTATCGGTATCTTCGAAATATCCCTCGTGGTAATCTCTCTGCTCGCTCCTTTCTATTTCTTCGTCGAGTACGGCCTTGCCGCCTGGACTCTTGAGAATAGGACTACTCCTGATTCTAAACCCTTCATGCCCAGGTAATAATGGTAGATGGTAGACTGTGTAGAGGCAATCGTCGTATAACTTCGTCTTCGCTCCATGCTTCTCCTTTACAAACGTAGCCATAGCCTTTGGTTTATAATTCTGCGCTGTGCAATATGCCGTGACTCTTGCAAGCTTTTCGGCTCTTTTTGCCTTGGGTAATCGTTCCGCATAACTTTTCCCGCGTACACCACCCCTCTTCTTCAGCACATCCATCTCGGCGTCCTTCAGTGGTCCTTCCTCTCCATCAGGTCTCATCTTGCCACCGAACTCACTGGACTCATCGTCGGATTCCTCCTTCTCGTTTTCCGTCTCCGGAATCAAGACCAATTTCTCCACGACCTTTGTACTCCGACCGGGGACGTTCTGCTGGGCTATGCGTGTACCTACGCCAGGAGCAGCAGCCTGCGGTCGTCTTTGAGCAGCAGGAACAGGCCTTCGACCGGGTGGACCTCTTGCTTGGCCTGAGGGTATCTCGGATGCATATTGGAGTACATTATCAACCGATATGAATCGTGTTGGGGCTTTTCTCTGAACGTTGTTTTGTCCATTGGCGGAAGGTCTCGAAGTCAATGATCGAGCTACTGGTGGTCGTTCGCGGGAGTCTGTAACCTATTGAAAATATCAGCAAATCTATTCCGTTTCTCCTATCCGAACAGGTGAAGTGTGGTGGTGGAAGGTCGTACCAAGACTGATGGTCCCCTCTTTCCAGTTACTGTCGCCATTGTGATAATTACCGTCTGCACAATGCAGTATCAGATGAGTGAACGCAGTGACAGACAGACTGCTGCCTTCAAAACCGAATTGAGACCGTTCGTTGGGTCTAATGTCGTGATGAGGGACATCCGCAGATTCGAGAGCAAAGCTCTTGGAACCTTGCACGACGGAACGTCATACTTGTACCGAGCTAAATTTCGAGGCGAGTGCCAAGCCTCAATCCGGATAACCTCGATAAGGAGGCCGCTGCACACTTGCATCTTCATCCAGGCAAGACGAACATTAATTATTTGATACAACAGACCTTGGAGAGCTTCTTGTGATGATACGAAGTAGTAACGTGGAATCTATTGCGAAGCGCTCTATGAACCGGAGCTGAGCATTACTCAGATGGTGCTTTGAACTGGTTCTTCATCCTTCAACCAGACCTACAGTCCGAACGAGCAGTATTATCAACTCTCCAGATAATAATGAACTGTCACTAGTCTCGATTTGGGGCTTTGCAGCTCTCTTCGCCTGCTTTCGAGCATCCTCTCATCTGGTCAAGCAAGATCACCTTCGTTTTCCTTCTCGGACAACTCTTTCCTCACTGGCAAACCAACTAATGCTCCTCCTTTCTAATTAAACTCCATGCAACAAAGTGTCTTGCTCATCTTCACTCAAGCTTGCTATCTCAATATCCTCCTCACTAAAAATCGTACTCTCACTGCTCCTTCCCCTCAAGTCTTCATAGTTCTGACTTTGGCACTCCCCCGTATGCTCTGCCCCCAATCCCGGACATGAGATTCGACGACTGCATACAAAATATATCGCAATTGCTGTCACAACCAAAGTCACTGCCCACAAAGCCCCGAGACCCCAGACCAGAGGACCCCATTTCTCGTCATCAACGAGGAGAACCGCCGCGAGAATTCCAAATGCAGTGCCAACACAAGATCCTATGAGGAAAACGTATATGGCATCTTGGTACAGAGACCTCACAGTGTCACATAGCCAGATAAACGCTGTCCACCAAATTGCCGGTGCGATGGTCCAGAGGAGGATGATGTCTCCTGGATTCGACGGGGGACCTGTCAGAAGGTATGGGTGGAGGGAAATGTGGAGCGCGATGGCTGTAAGCCAGAGACCCAAGAGACAACCTGTTATTTGAAGAATGAGTTGGGGGCGAGTCAGAGACATCGTGTGTGCGCTGGCGCTGGCAAGACTCGCAGCATTTCAACCCTCTGGAGATGGGTTATTTGAGTCTATCAACGATATCCGGGAGACTTTGAAGAGTGACGTAGGGGGAATAGTACTTGGAATATCAATTAAAGAAACTGATCTTCATGCAGTACAACTAAAAGTATAACTTTCCACATTCAGGCATCGCTACACTAGAAGGGGACAGCGGGTCCAAACTTTGAAATGGAACGAGAGCTAGATATATTCTAGAAGCCTTCCTCTACAGCCCTACGAGGTAAGGCAGGTCGCAAGTCTCCAATCACCAAGCAGCCTGACAAAATCACTAAAATGACTCTGATAGTACCAAGTAAGATTCCAATCTGAGAGCCCGGACTGACATCTGCACAAGGACTATCCGCAACAGGAACAAAATATCAGAGCAAACTGCCACCAGCACCAGCAGCAAATCCAGAAAAGACCATGTCCATGAAAGTCTCTTCGCACTCCTTGGCCTCTGGTTCATTATCTTAATCGTCCATGCATCTTCCTCTCACCATACTACACAGAATTACCCATGCCGTCCTCACTGCCCTGCGTCACTCTGGATAACTCCACTGTCTCAATACCAGCGCCGTACATTCACCCTTGCACACTGGAGTACGAAGCTCTTGGCATGTTTGAGGTATCCTGCCGCATAGGATGGATCGCGTCTCTCGTCTGTGCTTCGTGCAGACTAGAAAACTGGCAAGAAGATGTCCACATGCCATCATATGCTAGAAATCCTTTCCGCTGACCAGGAATATGGAAGACTCAGCATCGCATATCCAGTATCGAGCACCTGATTTGAACTGCTCCGATTCAACCTTGGCAATAACTAGTCGCTGTTCCTTCCCTTCCTATCATTTCCCTCGTTCTCATCCTCAATAGCCTCCACAAAGCCATAAGCCCACACCGACGCGCCTAAAACCACAACCATAAATGCGCCTACAACGGGCCACATAACCCAAGCCAGATAAATCGGAAATGTTGCTTCAGTCCCAACTCCAAACACAACCCACGCAAGTCCGGCTACAGCCGCACTCATCGTAATGACGATCGATTGACCAGCCAACCCAGCCGCCACCTCGTCAAGACTCGTCACAATACCTACGACAAGGAAAGCCACGGGAATGAACGACAAGATGGCGCCGAGGACGGGGCCATCGTTGTCATTGCGATGCTTCGGCTTGGAGTTACTGACTGAGCGGACGCAGGCGTGGATTATGAGTGTGAAGAAGAGCAGGCCCAGGAGATAGGATAGTGCGGTAGCTACATTGGATTGTCGGATCTGCCGTGGGGTTCGCTTGGGTGAGGGTGTCCGGGTCGAGTTCGAAGCTGGTGGTGAGGTTTGAGAGGGTTGGGTGCATTTTTGAATGGCGGAGTCTGTGGAAGAATACATTATTGCACTGGATTCTGAGTAAATATGGCACTTGATACACCTTAAATGATATCTGTTTTCAAAGAGAATGATTGTAGATTTGAAGGTCCAGGAGCAGTAGGAGTCGTTGATCCTTGTTGGAGCTGGAATGCGGCACAGCTAGTGAAGAAACAAGGATCCGGCTTAAATCCTGGTAAAGGTCGGCACGTAACTTACCCCGTATATCCAACAAGTGTAAATCCACTTTAAGAGGAATGAATTATTTTACTTTTAGCGAGTTCGTCCTGTGGCGAATTGTTCTCGGATTTGAGGGGCAGCTCGCCTATCTTCTCTTCTTGTTGTTGATACTCCCTCGCGAATTCTGCAACTCTGTGTTGCAATCACACTCAACGTTCGTTGGTTGAGACGCTTTAATCAACAGTCTCACTAGTCGTTCGTCCGGCCATCTGCTCAACATGAGTAGTAGATCTCTCTTTCCTCCTCCTCTCAACCCAAACACCCAACTCTTTCCAAATTACCTCCTTTTCAGCGGGCCTAAGATTAGCAGCCAATCCACTCGTACTGCAAGCCACAAAGACCTTCGCGCCCTCCCATCCATTCCCATCTTCACCATCCACTGCACCCATATTATCGCATTCATCCTGCCATCCATACCTAAACTCCTCTTTCTTAATCTTCCTTCCTCGCTTCACCCTCCAAATACTCTCCCAAATGCTCTTACCGACGATACACACCGCTTCCGGCCTACATTTCCGGATTTTCTCTTCTAAGACTGCGACGCTGGAGTCCATTTCTCCTTTACTCAGCTCTGAACCATTTCTCGTCGGTCGCGCCACGATGTTCGTGTTGCCTAATGAGAAAAGACGGGGAAGGTCGCCATCTTCTGATGGGGAGCAGCGACGGGGTGTGCAGCCGCTGCTATGTAGTAGCTTCCAGAAGAGGTTGGAAGGATGTGCGTATGCGTGACCGGAGCGGGCAGTTTCTATGCCAGGACGGTAGGATAGTTAGTATCATTGACTTTTTATTATGAACGGGGAGACTCAATGTGGGGATTTGATCATGGGAAAATGGATGATAGAAGATTGTTAAAGTGACCACTTCGATGTCGAAAGTGACTCTGAGTATACTTACTTGAGACCAATGAAGACGCAGATAAGATTTTCTTGGAGGACATCTCTGAGTTCAGGTAAATGTGCATAAGTCGATGGAGGTGCGTAGCCAGAAGGCGACTTGGATTTGGATCTTTTCGTGGGAGATTGAGAGGGTGTTAAGTGAGTAGATTTGCGTTTCGTTGAAGAGTTTAGGGTCGAAGATAAGCGAGGACTTTGCCTCGATGGTTCTGCTTTTGTCCTCGTTTTCGGTGAGAATGAATAGTCTGCCAGGTTCAGTCGGCCTTTGAAGCTTGGTGGAAGTGGGTGCTCTGACGGCAGCAAGCTATCCTCAGAGCCATTTTCACGTTTGACGTTGTCCATTTTGACTAAGATAGTCTATTCACAGTTTTGAGAATTCTTCAAAGAATAAGTAGATTTATGGAACAATTTGAGGCCCAAGATTTCCAAAGATTATAGCGACGCGGCTGGATGAGCGATGTTAATTCACTGATAGACGCGAAAAGGAGGCGGAGGACCCGACTGCTGGAGCGAGATGCAGCTTCCCCTGTCAGCAAGCTCAGCCAGACTAATTTTCTCAAACCCAATTCTACTTTAAAGTTGCCGAGACGAATCTTATAAAATCTGTATCCGTTTATAATTATTCTGATCATAGTTTTCTTTAACTCTATATCATGTGAGAAGAAAGTCGGGCAGATTAGGTTCTTCGTCTGTCGTCTACCTAGGTGTGGTTTAAAGGCATCCCCGAGCTCCTCTCCATGATAGACAGCCTTAGAATCCTCGTTTAGAAGCTCACCTGATTCTAGCTGGTTTCTAGGAGCCTCACCAAATCCCCACACCCACAAAAGCCCTTCCATACGCTTGTCAACAGTCTTCATCAACCTACTCCGTACCAATGGAATCGCCTGATACGCAGATCGATCCACCATTGCAAGGGGTTTGCCCACAGGGCATGTGGATCATCTTCATCGCACAGCTCAGCCCTGCTCGTGAACGATACCTGCCAATCAGAACGCTCAATTCAAATGATGCTACCTCCTTATCAGATCAATTTTATGTTCCAGAAGAACTGTACAGTACTGTACAGCCCTTCACGCCATGTCCCAAGCGACGACCGACTGGAGCTCGAGCTCGAGTCTGTATCAATGTTATCATGCGTCCCAATTACCCGATCGTATATTTCCCCGTTCGGCGCTGGTTACATTGGTTAACAAGCAGTGCCACCATGTGCAGACTCAGTGACGGCGGGCGCCAAGAGTCAAGAGATTGGAAGGCTTAGCTTTAGTTCCAAGGCGGAGGAGGCGCAGTCCGCTGGTTGAAATCGCCGGCCATCAGAGCAAGAGGCAACGCGAACATCGATATATTCCCATTGGGTAGAATAAGCAGAGTCTCATACCGCTTCATTATTCCCATCCAAGCGAACGAATGGAAGAGAGACGGATGATTTGGTCGTGACCGCCAATGTCTATGACCGAGCACTCAAATCCGAGCTTGTTGCCGTAGGTGCGTTGGTCGTGAGTCGGTGCGGTCGATGACGATGGGATGTCTCGTGTGATGTGATGTTTGTATGCTTTGTTGTTTTGCTGTGCTGTTGATGCTGTTGTCTGATGATGAAAAGCCAGGAAGATCTGCGAGGCTTAGAATAAATCCAGCAAACCACCAACAGTGTTCTATCCAAAAGTTCCAACGGCGGTAACCCGGTGAGAACCAAATAATGATTTGACATCAATTAGTACAGTACTGTACTGCAAGACTCAAGAAAGGGTCCGAAGGCGCCACATATCTCGGCAGGGTAGGGTAGGGTAGGGTAGACAACAAGGCAGAATTGGGGCGTCAGGCAAATGAGATGGCTCTTCTCTTCGGACGAGGCAAACGGCCCATCCCTGCGCCTTCCCATATAAGCTTATCCTCTTCCTCTCCACCACCCAAACCGGGCACACTTCTTCTTCAAAGCTGAAACAACACCAAACACGAACCTCTTTATCCCACAAATACACTCACCGAGCATCGATTCAAGGTTCTTTGTTTTGTTTGGTACTTACATTGCGCACACATTCTCTAGTGGTCACGAAAGGTTACTAGGATAGAAGGAATACTTTATACAACATATCCATTACAACTACATCATCAACATGAAGTTCCTCGAAACGCTCACAGTAGCATGTCTACTCGCCACCAACATGCCAGTCTTCGCACACCCACAACCAGTCGCAGAGATCTCGACCTCATCTGCATCAGAGAGACGTGAGGCCGCGCGCGAGGCAGAAAAACTCTTTGCGCCCGTCAGCGATCTATGGAAGCGCAAGGGCGGAGGAGGTGGTGGTGGTAAGGGCGGCGGTGGTGGAGGTAGCTCTGGCTCTTCAGGCAAAGGAGGCTCGTCAGGCAGTAGTAGCTCTGGCTCGGGCTCTGGCTCATCAGGGTATGTTCCGACTTTTATACAAAGAGATGATCGTGGTCGCGGTCGCTCGAAAGGAAACGATAAGTTGAGCATGGTGGATGGAGTTGGAAGTAGTACTTCGGCTTTGGCGCCCAGGGACTACCGTCGCACTGGCATTGGACTTGCTGTTGAGGATAAATCGAAGTTGGCTGCTGGAGAAGTGGAACACGCTTTACGTCAACCTCGTCGTAATGTTGTTTTACTTACGCCAGGACACAATTTTCGTTCCTCATCAGGCAAATCTGGTATCAGTGCAAGAATGGGTCCTTCGAGCGGTCATCGCGCTCCTCTAGATGGCAAAAATAAAGGGAATGATAAGAATCGAGCTAACACACTCAGGTCCGGAGCATCAGGACGAGGTACAGCTGGCTCCAACGCAGGTGGCCAAACGAGAACTGGATCAGGCGTCACTCCTAGGTTTGGTGGCAAGTATGGAGGTGGTGCCAAAACCCCATACACCGCTGGTAGAGCATCACCATTAGGACTCGCCCCTGTGTTCCTGGGTGTTGGTCTGCTTTCTATCTACCCAGGTCTCTGGCTTTACGGCGCTTATGGATATGGATATCACAACCCATACTACTTCCGTAACAGAACTGCTCGCCGCAACAGCACCGACACGAACAACACCAATACCCCAACTCGTGACCTCCCAGAGCTTGTAATCCGCCAGGATGACTCAACAGGTGTCAACGAGAGCAAGCCAGTCACTTGTCTTTGCGCCCAATACTCCGTTTGCGGTTGCGACGATGACGGAAACTACACTTTCCTCGACTCCATCATTGGTGATGGAGATTACTTCAAGCTGAACTATTCCTTGGTTACTGTTGCTGATGTCAACGGCACCAGCACCATCCTTCTGAACGGTACTCTCCCCAACGGCACTACTGCACCTGGAGGAACCGAGGATGCTGTCACTTCCAATTCCACCGCAGGTAATGCTGCTGTACGAAGCGTCATTGAGGTTGGCGGATACTGGGTCATGATCGCTACTGTTGCTCTGACTTGTTTCGCCATATAAACATGTCCTGAGACCAGAACACGTACAACATACCAAGGGGAGAATAATGGAAGGTTGATAATTTTCAGCTACCGGCGTGTACATACAATTCTCGGGCGTTTTGGAATGGGAATGAGCCCTCCTTGGAGGATCATTACGACCTTTGCTTTCATTCAGGGCAATAATACCCTATGGCGACTGCTTTGAAGTTTGGATCGATGACTTTATGGACTGGATTGGGAAGGAGATGAGCACACAACACTATGTACAGTATGCACGAATGATGGAGGCATGGCTTTGATTCATGGGGTCGCCGATGATGGTACTTCTTCATACGTTATTCTCCAGTGGAGGGAGAAATTCAAAATTACCTTTCTATTATCGACTTCACTCTATTCACTCGTGATCGTATGCCGTTCCATGTTTACTTCTCCACTGTTATATTCCTCACACTCTTATACATCCCGCAAGTCCCTTTATTCTTTGCCTTCCACGTATCCTTCCTGTTCACAAAGTACAACACTCCAGCAATTTCTCTCTCTTAAATGTGAACTCCCCCTAAGCTGAATGTGCTTGAATTCTCCTCTGTTACTATCACACAGATTGGCACGATAGTCCATGGTGCTTAAGAAGCAATGTACAGCATGACCGCTGAACAGATCAGCTTGATCGTGTGATTTAACGGTCGATTAGCTGACATCGTAGCATTGCAGAGGAGCACAGCCTTCCTGTCTTATTCCCGTCCAAGGCTTGGCCCTCATATCCATATATCTATATATCCACATATCCACATCTTCAGAGGTAAAAATCTCTTAGCTCTCGTTCTCGCACTTTGTCCAGTCCCGAAATCCATCTAAGTTAATACCTACGTACAATCATCTGACATCTTGCTCATCGGGAAAGTTCTGTACTGTGCAGAGGAGGGGTAAGTCGGCTACCGTGTGGCGGAGTAAACAGAAGTGAAACAAAAGAAGCGAGATTTTTGACTTTTTCTTTCTTGGTGTTTTCTTTTAGGAAAGTTACGAGAGTGGAATAGATGCAGTTTGGGGAGGGGACGCGGAGAGGAGCAAAAGCTGTGTATAGTGAAGAATTGGCTTTAATGGGCTAGGTCCATGGCTGATTGAGAGGGTGGGTGAATGGGGGCTGGGGTGCACGAGGCAGCAGAGGTACTTCGTAAAGGATCTTCCGGCTTGCAAGGCTTCACTTGAATCATGAGAAGCCAGCCTTGTGCTAGATGTAGGTGGACTGCTAAGTCTTGACCGGAGTCCTCGCTTGAGACATAGCCATGAAAGTGGGTAGGTCAAGAGAGAGGCGGTGTAAACACTGAGCAGAGCATGATTTGAGGCAAGGCTTTCACTATTCTAGAATTCTCAGGGTGGTTAGATGTATGTGAGGAATTTGTATATGCGTAGGTTGTATTGAGAAGCCTCTCTAGAGAGGCGATGCGATGTCATGCAATGTATCCGGACAATCGGACATGCTTGCCAGCACAGTGAGCACAGGTCACTATGTCTACAAAACACAGGAAATCTTTGACCAAACCCAAGCACCAAAACCATGCATGCATGCAGTCTGTAATACGTAAGGAGAACAATACCAGACAGAGACAGAAACCCCCGACCCAAAGCCCAGTCTAATTACGATCCAATCTGCGTCTCAAATTTCTTGTTCTCCGCATCAACTTCTTATACTTGTGCTTCTTCATCTTCAGCTTGCGTTGCCTCTTCACGCTGATAGCAAGCATGTCGGTCTCCTCTGGCCGCTGTATCCTGTAGCGTTCCCTACGCTGCTGCATCCGCTCTAGAAACTTCGTAGGTCCGGCTCGAGGTGCGTCTTCGATAAGGGGCGAGCTATGTGCCATGTACGTTACATCGCCGTTCGCATCGGTAGATTCCTCGATAGTCAACATAGCTGTATACGTTCTATGTAGAGGTTCTTGCTCATGTTGCGCAGCTTCCTTTCCTGCTGCAAGACAGTCGATCGAATCCATCGGCATAGGAGCTGGAGGTGGGTGAAAAGGGCGGTATCGACCAGACAAAATGTGGGGTGGAAAATCCATGATATTCTCTCCTCCCTCATGCGGTGCACCATCCAGATTCTTCACTTCTCCAGATTTATTATGGTACGATTCGGCGGTAATAGCAGCTCGTACGTCGTCGGTCTCTTCCTTCCACGCATCTTCGCTTTCCTGCGCAACGGTGATCTTGACGCCGCTCATCTGCCGTGACATCTCTTCGAAGTCTTGCTGAATCTCAGAGAGCACAGAGATCACTCCTTCCGTTTTGTTGGCTTTTGTCCGAGGCGTGAAGATCGATGCGAAGGCTTCGTCTGTTACGGCTTTGGGGAAAATTTGTGTTAGAGACATGGGCCGGTAGAGGGAGAAGAAGTCTGATGCGCTGATTTCTGCATATGGTCTTGGATTAGCTCCTTGAAGCTGGACTTTGAAAGATAAAGTATCATCTTGAACAACTTACGCAAATGAGGAATATGCTGTGTACTCGGCACACTGGGCAGATGTCTCGTCGATTCATCTCGAGTTTTATTCGCCGCCGCAGTATTCTTCCCCTTCTTCTTACCTTTCCCATCAGCCTTGCTTTTCGACTTCCCAGGCGCAGCAGCTATCTCGTTAATCCCACTAGAGCCATCTGCCGGGCTGGAAGGTTTGGAGGAGGAGTATCGTCGCTGGCGGTACGTGAAGACCTGTGAGGATGCCGCCGTTCGCGGAGCTATGCTTGAGACGTGGAACGAGGAAGCAATCGGCGTCTGCGGGGCCGTGAAGGCCACCCGCCGTACTGAGGAGGAGAACATGTCCTTCCCAGAGCCGGGGATAGAGTCTGATGATTAGGTGATGTTCGATAGGTAAAGAGTGGTGTTGAGGAGGCTATCTCTTGTTCTCGCGAAACAGGGTCCAGCGCCAGCGTGAACCGAAGGTTGAGGCACGTGATGCGATTACTTGTTCTGAGATAAGGCCGATTGATTATCTCTCAAGCAGTATGTTATTCATGCTTCTTACTGAGATTAAGATTCAATGTCCTCGGGCTGACTACCTTTTCGCGCCGATATTGCGGGCATGGAGCAGTCACAGTGCCTAGGTATCTGACTTCTGGTTGGAGCTGGACCAAAATCTTCCCACCGCATTGAAGCACTACTTTTTCTTCTTCTTTTTGTACAAGAATTGCCGGTGGCATGCAAACCTTACAAAGACAATGACAAGATTAATCCTCTTAGGGAAAAGTTGAGCATACGAAACGCGCTTACTTACTTTCTTGTAAGAATAATCCGGGGCGACTCAAGACGCGCCCATCACTTGCACCTGGTTGTTGCCATATCGCATCCAGCTCTTTAAAGTTATACAGACTCAATTTATTGCAAGTATCTTGCTAGACCAACATACAACAGAGTGTCAAGCGATTCCATAAAGCAAAACATACAAAGCTTCAAATTCATCACCACCTTGCTCGCCAAATTCCAACTCTCATCTCCAAACATTCATTCCAAATCATGAGTAGCATGTGTTCGAGGCTGCACAGCACCTGAGACCACACCGACATCATGAAACAATACAGTAGCCATTATCCATGGTGTTTGGAGAAGAATGAAGCGAGGAAAGCAATAAGGAGAACTCCGATGATGAATACTTCAGTGCAGAGTACAATCCCGGCCCACTTCTTCTGTGCCTTGCCAAATCCTGAGAATTCGCCGTCACTCCACCATATCATGATTCCGTCCATCTTACCAAGAGCAAAAAGAATCAGCAGAGGCGGGAAGAAACAACAGAGAACTAGGACAACCACAGAGAATCTGATCTTCCATACTCTAACATCCGGATCATCATTATTGTTGTCATGAGGAGCTGCGAGCTTAGGCGGTTCGTATAAATGTCTTCGTGACAGTCCTTCATTTGAGCTTGGTAACGTAGAGCGTGAGCTATAAACCCCATCTGCCTTGGCTCTCTGTTGCAACTCAAATAATCGGGAAGTGGAGTACAGCTTCTGCCACGTTGAACGCAATGGCGGGGCCAGAGGAGAGCGGTACACAAAGTCATCTGAGCTGCCCATATCGCTCTGATTGGAAACGTTGCGGAGTGGTGTCGAGGGCAAACGGTCATTCAAAAGAGAAAGAGGTCGGAGAGAAGTGGTACCATGGGCTTTCGCTGTACTGCGTCTACTTGTTGACTTTGTTGCACCATCGTGTTGGCCAGGAACCTGTAAACGCTTCTGATCCGATACTGCTCGTAATCCTTGGTAGAAAGCTCCAGGAGGTCGGCGGCTTGATGATGGAACAACCGGAGCGTGACTGTTGCTTCGTCTCTTGCCATTTGGCGCGACGTTGTTGATCTGTGATTCATCATCCAGGACTTCTCTAATAGATAGACCATCCTCTATTGACTGTGGGTCGCAGATGCGAGAACCGTCCTTCCGGTAGCCGGGTACGTTACCACCATTCGCAAATGCCATGACATGTTGCCAAGACGATGGACGGTCTTGTTCTTCAGCAAATTGACGACGCTGTGTGCTAACAGAGGGCCCAGTTTGACGATAGCTATCTGTCCATTCAGATCCAGGTTTAAAGCTTTGACTGGCAAAGGAAGGCTTCCTATATGTACTCGTTCTATCTCCTTGGGTACCACTTTTGCTGGAGCTCGTAGCTTTTGAGTCTGTCGGAGCAAGTTGGCTACGTAGAATACTCTTTAGCTTGCCCGCTCGAGACGGTGGCATGACTTCTGGTGGAGTGGAGTTGAACGGGTGCTTGTGCGATTCAGTAAGTGGTGCTGGGCGAAAGTATGTCGGGACCCGAGGCGGTCGAATCCTCATAGAATCAGCCAGGTATCCATTAACCTTGTGACCGTTGAAAACAGGCATCAAGATAGGAATTTGGGTCTTCTTCAGATCACGCTGGCGATAATCGCCCGAGTATTGAATAGTGCCTGGGTGCTGTGCGATTCTCTCTGTTGAGCCAAACTCATCGAGATCTTCAAGATGGATGCTCGCAGTTCCATCATCTGAAGTGTTGGCAATACTGCTTCCTGTTCGGCGTACGGTGCCTCCTATCAAACCAGAATCATTGTCATTTCTATAGTCGAGCCCGATCCCACTCTCTCCAACTGTCTCCCAATCGTTATTATCGTCTGCGGGGGTTGAATGTCGTTGACTTTGCTTTTGCGGTTGCTCGTCGACCGGAGACTCAGGTGGAGAGTCTGGAAATGATCCGTTGTGGTTTATCGGGACACGAATACTCTGTCGAGAATTGATCCAGTTGGTGGGAATCGCATCTCTGTCGTAGAAAACTTTCGCCTGTTCATCCACAATGTGTCCTCCAATTTTGTATGAATATCCGGGGATATTGTCTGTATCTTTCCCATTCAGCAACATTGTGGCTTTCGGATGGAGACCACTGGCCTGATCATAGTTTAAAATCGCACCGTAGTCTAGGACCAATGAAGAAGCACTGCCAACACTGTAAAGACTGTACCCACTGGCTCGTCTCAATGCTTGACTGACTTCTCGTTCCAGTGGTACACGGGCTTCAGGAGTGGGTTTTGGATGTGGTTCGTCATCATAGACACAATGATCAGGGTCTGCACGAGCTAAGAATCGCGTTGGGTTGGGTCTGAAAGGGTTTCGGTAGCTGATGCGTGGAAGACTGGGTAAGGTGGAGTTGGCAGCGTCTGATATCGATTCATCGAAGAAGTCGTTACTATCAAGACTTCTAGCAGCCTGTAGCTGAGGCGTACGAGGGTTTTCAGGTACGCCCAAAGTTTCCTGTGGACTGGGGAGAGACGTGGACTTGTAGCCTTGAATTTCCGAAGAGCTGGCTGGAGCAGAACTATGGCGATTTCCGGGCAATTCAAGTTGAGGAGACTGTGTATATGGTGCTTTGGACTTGTCTCCCCATCTTTGCTTTCTAATTTGGAGACTAGAGAGCTGGAGCGGTTCATACAGTGGAGAACTAGAGAGAAGATCGTGACCAAAACTTCGCGGCTGAAACACTTTCGATTCTCCCAGACCTATGCCTTGTTCCAAGTCATTGCCATCTCCATCTAAACCTTCAGAGCCTGCGTAGTGCTGGACAATATTGCCGATTGTACTTCCTTCAGGCAAGGAAACTTCGGTAGACCCACTGACAAGTCTGGAGAACTTGTGATGATTGGTGCGTAATTGAAGTGGAGGAGACGAAGCTGGAGGATTCAGGCGTTGGTATTTCAAGGGGTAGCTAGTGCTAGTGCTCCGACAATGTGAATTGCGAATGCCTCCAGGGGTACTAGGAGGATACTGAACAGGGCCAGCACTCGAGTGGTAGTTCGAATAATCATCCATGAAGTCAGCCTCATAGCCATTGTCCTGGTCATAATCTTTTGACTTTTGACGGCCTCGGGGCCAATGAGTCTGTGAGGGAGAAGAGACTGAGACCAATGCATTCTTGATACTGGAAAAGACAGAGTGGCCCGTCTCCGGAAGACTGGGCTGTATCGGGGTTTCTAAATTTGCACTCTTTCCACTCACTATCTCGTCCTCATCTGTGAGAAGATCTCTCGCTCTGCTGTATCGCGTCATTGATAAGACGGTAGAAAGTTGAGGCAATGGTATATCCTGTAAAATGGAGCCTTCTCCATCCCTCTTTAGAAGTTCCAAGTCCTGTAGAGGAATAGAGTTCTCCTCCTCTGGAACATCAGAATTGCTGTTGGAGGCAGGGCGCAGTTTGCTCCTAGCGGTACCGGAAGTGATAGAAGAATGTGCAGTAGGTAGATCATAGAAGACAGCTCGCACTGGTGTGTTCTTCCGGACACTGGGAAGAAGGTTGGGCTCTGGTGAGGAGGAGTATACACTGTCGTCACCTGGCGCATCGTAGTCTTTTCGGAAGGGATTTGTAGGTTTTTGATTGCCACTGTCAGATTTCTGCTTTGCTTCGTTATGTAGAGGTGACTCGGGCTGTTTGCTGTTTTCTGTGCTTGGAGAGTCACTGTTGACGTGACGGAGTGGTGACTGAGGATCCATTTCTAGTCATCTCGAGCCTGCCAGGCTCTTGCCAGACTTCGACCTAAGAACCCCGAATCAGCAATCGTGCGCCAAAGGCTGAATTCTTCAGGGGAGTTCTAACCCAGGTAAGATTCGCTGTGCTGTTGGCCAGGCAGATATTACTCCCCTCGCGTCAACAATGTCAATCGAAGGGTCAAACGAACCTCAATGCGCAACTTAGCAGTCACAGACAGGATCGATGTCTCCAAACATAACCTCACGAGGATGTGGATAGCCGTGCTAGATGGAAACGACAGGGACGTATGGATTAGCAAGATAAGGACGCGCAAAGGCCGACGACAATGTGTAGGAAGGAGGAGAATGGAGGCGATGGAAAGAAGGAAAGAATTGTCCGGGCGAGGTCAATCGTCCAGCAAAGAGGAACTTTAGAGGAAGCCAACACCTAAGCCTGCGAAGTTCAAGTTGAGAATAAGATTGAAGACTCCGATTTCCGTGGCGAGGAACGGGCGTGATTGAATGTTGCTCCGTTGACAGAGGTCGGCGCGCACCATACGCGGGCTTCGCTTGTTGACAAGTATCTAGATTGGTGCCAGGACTTGATCACTCCGCAACTTCAACCAATAGGCAAATTCTCCATCGACGGCTTCTTGTAGAACTGTCGTGTCCTGTATTAAAGTAAAGTTCGTAATCTCGGATGAAATCTTCAAAGACTCCCCATCCCACAGCTTCGGTCCCGCAGTACCACTTGGTCAGTGGTAAAAGGAAAATATGATTCCTACGACGCATCTCTGGCGGCAAGGCAGAATCCCGGTGCCTGGACTCGACGAAGGCTGTTTCTCCCCAGATTTCAAAAAGACGACGACAAAAAAGCGACAGAATTGAACACTTTTGGAGGAGGGCTTTTGAAGAAGGACAAGAATATGAGATGTACAACTTCGACGACGACGCTTAGGCGCAAGGAAAGTGCACCTTCCAGGGGACTGCTCAATATCAATGGAAGTAAGAAACCGCGAACGTGCATCGGCATCAGAATAGAAGTTGGAAGGTACCACGAGTAGAGATCGCCTGCCTGTTCCAGTAATCACTCCCAAATGCATCCCTTATCCTCTTTACAACTTTCCATTTCTCGTCCAACCCTTGTCGTTCTTCTTCTTTTCAGAAAGCCTACCTATTCCAAGTCTCTCTGTCATCCACTCTGTTTCTCGGTCTTACCTGCTTAATTCCTGTGGTGCCTATGCCTCCCTTGGCTCTCACCTCCCATCCCCATAGATACATATACAACCTACTTAACTTACACTCATAGATCCATACCTACCTTAAGAGGTGCTTAGCAGGCTTTCCTTATCGTTTCCACAGATACGCACTTACTTTCCGCCTCCTGAACAAATCAACTCCTGCAAACAAAGAGCTCTATGCAGGATTATGCGCGACACACTACCGGCAAGACGACTGGGAGCATATTTCATATTATTTCAGCACGTTCAGTCTCTGGAAGCAATAGCTTTGTCCAACCTGGATGACCGTGAGGACCTCGTGGTACAACAAACCTCCTGCCTTCTCCACCAAGTACCAGCTGTGTCACACTGGCTCCTGCGGAGGCCGAAATCACCTTGTTCAACGAAAAAGGGCCAGTGAATTTCTTTAACAGGCGAGTCTGGGCCTCTGACTTTGCGGGTAGCTGAATATACAACGTGCTCATCAGCTCAAACCAGGGCAGAGCAGACTTTGACGTTGGAATCTCTTGGCAGGCACGGGCACCATCGCGAACCGCACTCCAGCCCATCCCGGCCTCCCTTATCGATTAAGTCAACCTCCGAAGAAGTACACAGGTACTTTCATTCAACAAATATTGCTTGCACTATGGCGAAGTTAGACAGTCTACCCTCAGAGATAATTCTCCAGATTGCGAGACGTGAGTTTATCCACAGGATATCTAGCATTTACTAACTAAACGAAACAGTCCTTGAACCTCCAGACATTGTTACCTTGCAACATACTAACCGGCGATTCCTCAGCCTTGGTCGAGATGATGCCCTATGGCGCGAAATGTGCTTCAAGAACTCTACTTTTCTTTCGAATCTACGGCGTCGGCGAAAGCTTCTGTCCTCTGACGATGAACAAGATCCTCGATTCCGGGACCTGGCAAGGGCTCTGGCAACTGGCAATGGGCTTGGTGACTCGAGACTTGCTCAACCTCGAGAGGAGGCCCGCGATCTGAAGGAGCAATCGAATGAACGCATAAGGATACTGGCAAACTGGGATCCCAGCTACCCCCAAGAGAAAGTCTCATGGTATGACGAGTATATTGCAAGGAACGCTCCGATATCCACAAGCTGGATACAGCAACCTCGAAATCGGGATAGCAATGAGCACGAACACCTGGAGGTTCGCGGTATGGGAATATATACTCCTGCAGGAGATGATAATGCTACTATGGTTGTGGCACCCCTAGACGATGGCAGCGTCTGTTTATGGTCTCTAAATGGCGAACTTGGTGACATAGGCCGCATTGTAGCCAGGAGCAAGTCAGGATTGATATCGGTTGACCCTGTACCACACACCGATGGCAGGCGCTCGAAGATGATCAGCACCGGGGTCACTGAGTGTGTCAGTGTTGACAGTGCTGGGAAACGTGCATACTTTGCTGTTCAAAGCGGTATGTCAACCGGTCTCCAGATTGCTCGTTGCATATCATCTGTGACATGAGAAGTTCTTTCCTCTCTATTGATTGGGCTTTGGGTGGTTATCTCTTGATTTCAATCAGTTGCACCATTGTCCCTGTAGACAGCACACAGCGTCTACCTTTCTATCTTCTGGCTGAACTGCTGGTCAGGGCAAAACCAAGACCAAGTGGTGGCTTTACTCAAAACCAGTTTATCCATTTCCTGCCCTGTGGCTCCCCATTTGCCCGAAGTTTTGGTATTCTCATTACAAGTCCATCGTGCCACTGGCTCCATTGTTGGTTCTTGTGGCTGACGACTGGCATCAAGGTCTAGTTGAGGTCGACTTGGAAACACTTGCTGTTATTAGCCATGAGAGGTTCCCATTCTCCATTACGGCGTTATCCGAAGCAAAAAATCCTGTGCCACTTACCGTTGGGACCAATCTATCTCTTTATCTCCACGACCCTCGTACCAGAAGATTATCAGGACCTGCAGATGCTGGCTCCGATCGCATCGCCTCGTACGACACAGAATTCGGATCTCTAGGAAGTCAGAGGGCGAAAAGTCTCGACTTCAGATCGTTACTGAATCCAGAACCAAGTCCATTATATGCTCACCTTCACCATCCGGGTCCGTTGAGCATACTTCATCTACCTAGTTCTGGGAGCGGTTGGGATGGGAACGGAGATATCTACGTGGCGGGCAGATTCCCGAGTATTCTCAATTACGACCGCCGATATTTCCCTAAGCTACGTGGAACAATCCACTCTGGTGCTAGGTTATGCAGCATGGCTTCGCTTCCTTATCCCTTCGCTTCCATGGAGAAGGATTTAGCGAGACGTGGTGAGCTTTCAACCGACCAGGTTCGGGTAAGTGATATATATCTATAACAACGTTCGTAGGTCCGAGCAGCGTATTTCCAGAGATCCAAATGGCATCGCGGACACTTCATATGACTCGGAGCACTGCTTGCTATTCCATTCTGCAATGCTATCTCTCAATGCGTATGAAGCTCGTTGACTCGTGGGATAAATTGCTGATGATCTTATTCTCAGGAGTTCAAAAACCGCCCTGGAAAGACATTGATGGCCGTTGGAGAATATAACAGTAAGGGCTCTCTTGAAATGTACGGACTCTCCCCATCGCCCTCCCATTCAACGATATCATCGGATTCTGCGTATATCCAGAATTCAGTCATGAAAAATCGACAGACATCATCAAGCTCGAAGTTGTTATCAGTATCGAATCATGGGACGAGAATTGTCGTGTCAGATGGGGGCGGTAATCTGAAATGGCTTGAGCGTGACGGCTTTACGGAAGCTCGAAGATGGAATATCGCTCATGGCTCCGTTGAAGCTCCCAGAGGTATTTTTGGCACTCTTGGTGATTCCTACATGGATGGCGGTTCTGGTGACATCGTTATAAAACTTGCCAATACAAGAAATGGACCCGACAAGAATGTCAATGAAGATGATCTCGTCTTGTGGACGGGTGAAAAGATAGGACTGCTGAGCTTCTCCAGCACACCTGGTTTCACAGCTGACAGGTTTGAGGACACTGGGAGAAAGACGCCGGAAGAGATTCACAGGGAGATACAGGAGAGAACATACTCGGAAACAATGGGGCGTGCCTTAGAAGCAAATGCAAACGAGGTTAGATGGATGAGGGGTTTGGGACTTGGTCCTTCTTGATCCGCAGGGCATACTTTTACAGCTACTGGTCATTGGCATCTCTGTGCCGCCTCGTGGCGTGCAGGAACGGAACAGAAGACGCCCTTGGGTTACGTGGAAGTGTGTAGTCTGAAGTTAGAGCAAAGCCGTGGAGTATTCACGCATGAATTGCTGACCATAGAGTCCTCTGGTTGTAGCAGGGGCCTGGTTGAAAGGATATTTCTAGAGAATGTTCGATCTACAACCTCTGTACCTTACTCTTGCATCGCAAGGTATGCTTCTCCGTAATTTGCAGTGAGCTATGATATATAGCCCTGTTTGCTCGCTGATCGTGCGTATCTGTACTCGCAGTCCCGGGGATCGAAACATTTTCATCAGGTCAGAAGCTCCACTTGCAGGCAAGAGGCGGGCATGTACGACGTTCATGTAGTGCCTTGTCCTGGTTCCTGGTGACTGGGTTCATTTGTCCAACACAGCGTAATGGGTCTGTCTCCAGAGAATCGATGGTTGCAGCATCCTCGCCTCGGAGACCTTCAGTGCCGATCAAGAGCTCAGGGCTGCAGATGTTTCACGCCTTCCAACGCTGGAGAAGGAAGCTGACGGCCTTCTGTCCCAGGAATACCCTTTCTATAGGGCACGCGGCATCGCCTGGACGAGGTGGGGTATTATTTATTTGACGGCGTGACAGCTGGCACTGAGTAATGGGCAGCCAGCAGAGCAATACGATGCAATGCAATGCCCGAGAGGCAACGACAGCCTCGCAGGATGCGCCTGGTCCAAGAACGACGATCCCTCTGTGCAGCATAACAAACTATCAACCCGGAGATTTCATGGTAAGTAAGATCTTGGGGGCTATCTGGCCTCTTGTCGATCTTTAAAGCTTCCTTCCAGCGGTCTGTCTCGAGTCGCTGTGTCGTGTCATGATATAGGGATGCTTGAGTCGACTAATTGAACCTTCGTCGAATCGCACACGTGGTTGAAGTGACAGCCTCGAGATCGTCACTCTATCTCAGGCGTGTCCCGGGCGGAACTTAGTACTGGTGGCGAGAATGTCGAAGACACGGCACGCCACGCCACCCCATTAAATAATGCTGCGATGCTTTTCGCACTACACTCGAATGCATTTCCATGCACGCCGTTCGGCAGCAGCAGTCGTCTGAAGTTGTCCAGACCAATGGAAAAGCAGGGCGGGAGACTAAGGTTAGTGCGGGAACTCTAATGTGCCTCGCCCTCGCCCCATCTTTCGGCTGCCTCTCTTCCAATTCCATCTCTTCGGCACACGCACACGCACACCGCTTCTCTGGGAGGAGGAGGAGGAGGAGGAGGAGGAGGGACTGGAAGACCCTCCCTCCCCAACATGTCCCCATCTGACTGGACTGGCTTTCTCATCTTTCGTCCTCGTCTCCATCGTCCTCCCCGTCGTTACGAGTACAGTAATTTACTAGCTCACTGCTTCCAGCCATCCTATCGGCGCCTCCAATTGCGGATCCATTGACTCGGACTCGTGTCTATGGCTCATATAGCGTTGCAGCACAAGTTGTCATGTCAGCTTCGTAAAACATGGAAGCTGGTCAAATATGGGAACAAACAAACAAAGAAACCAACAGATGTATCTATCTGCATCTGCATCTGTATCTTGCTTTCCGATCCAAAGCTTTGGCTACGGGGCAGTACCGATTTAAGATTTGCTTGCATGTCATCCTCCTCACAATTCCCCACCGCATGGAAACTCTACTCACGGACTCAGGTGCCCACTCTACTACTGTAGTGTAGTATACTAGCGTCCAAGGGCAATGTGTAGCTTCAAGTGAGGCTGATGCAGGTCGTCATTGGCCATGGGTACATGAAAGTCAAAAAGCAACTACCAATCTATTAGAGAGCATGCCCTGCTCCCCCATTTTCCAGAATCCACAACCGCATGCAGTCTCTTGATATATCTCTTGCGGTTCCTGCAGCTTGTCAGCCTTCTTCTGAATAGTTGTCAACGAATCAAAAGAATTCAAGGCTGCCAGTCCGTTTGTTTGTTATCCTCTCCATTTTTCTTTCAACAAAGGGGCGTTTGTTAGTAACAAAACGTCCTGCCACAAACTAAAGTCAAAAATAAAACTCTCTACATCCCGTTTTGATTTACTGGGGTTCCTTCTATTTGAGTATAATAGCTGTTCTTGTGTTTTATCTTTCTTTTCACACATTCATGGCTGCACTTCTCAAAGAGAGCTCGGGCCCAGAAAGCAACAGCAAACCCTCCTCCAGGCGTCGGCATCATGCTCGAACAATCGAATCCCGATCTTCACGAAGACTTCAGAATGACCAGTACCATCATTCGATGCGGAACTTGCCACCACGACAGATGCAATGGTCTGCTCATTCGCCGATGATGACGACGACTATGACAGCGAATATGGGCAGTTCCATCCCGTTGGAGGTTGCGAACGGTATCACGATGGAGCGAACCCCCTCAGGGAATTCGATCATGTCGGACACGTCTTATGAGCACCAAGCTTCCTCCAACAATACGTTAACCGACCGCGACAACGATGCCGCGCGTCGGGTAGAGTACAGTTTCAACAAATTTCCTCCACACCGCAAGCATGAGCGAATCCTCCGCAAGCTCATCCAGCGTGATGACCCTCGCGACGATGGTTCAATCGACGACGATGCTCTCCTCAGTATCCTCAATAGTGCAAACGCAGTATTCTTCGATGGTGTGCTCTCCGGGCGCGTACAATGGGAATGGTCCTCTCAATCACGCTACCACAACGAACTCATCGGTACCACCGCCCTGCGCCCTCGTGCCAATGGTGACGGGTTCGAGACCCTCATCGTCCTCTCATCGCCTATCCTCAAAAATCCAAATTACGACCGCCGGCTCCTTCTCTCCGCATTCCTGCATGAACTCATCCATTGCTACCTGTTTATCCTGTGTGGCTTTGAAGCGAGGAGGGAACGTGGTCATACGAAGGGCTTCCATGCTATTGCTGAGATCATCGATAATTGGGTAGGCCCTGGCTATTTGAGTCTGTGTAATATGAAGGCCAATCTAAATCACTTCCGGAAAGATGAACCGGTGCTGGCCCCGAGGGCTGAGATGATGGGAAGGGAGAGGAGACGTATGCATAGTCAGGGGCATGGGCATGAAGGGTGCCATCAGAGTCCGAGGCCGGATAGTGTACTTGTTGACATACCGGATGTGAGGCCAGGGTACTTTTGAGTTGGTGTTATTTGTCGTTTTTATGTTTTCATTGATTGTTCAATTGAACTTTGCATTGGAGTCTGGTGACCTTTGAGTTTAGTCAGTTTGGTTTGGAGCCTTGTCCTGCATGGTGTCGGGGGATCCCTGGTTCTTCATTTTTTACTTGGAGTTGGCTTGGAGTTGGCTCTTACAAGAACATATGCCGGGGCGTATCTTCTTTCTTTCTAGATTGTGTGTGGTTTGTATGTACAGGAACGCAGCCATTATTTGCTAGACAGATCTTTTGCCGGGACATGGCAGCAGCCTGCGCCCGTTCTTAGATTACCAAATGGTTAGATCGATGGATGCATGGACCGATGGAAGAGCGGGATACATTTTTCGATACAGATTCAAAAAGTTGGAATGAGCCGATTGGAATGTGGCTTGAAGGGCTATACGTTTGTACATATACTTGTTTGATGCGATAATGGCGGGAGGCTCTAAAGTCTTCTCAGTGGAGTTGGCGCTTCTCGTGTTCGCTGTTTGCTCAGCTAGAGATATTTTTAGCACTACGGTTGGAGAACCGAATACATTCGTTTCTGAACCCCTCGACTCTCTTCCATATCCACTGTTGTCCCCTTTGTGCAGAGTCTAAATGTGGTTTATGTGTCCTGAATCTTTCCCTTTCATTCTCACCTCGCTTCATTAATTCTGAAGCCGGCTACTAGTAGAGCCAAAGCACAAGGTAAACAACCCAGTCTCTAGCTGAGCTATTCATGCTCCATATGTCGCCCATGGATTGTTGAGCAACGAAGCGGTGCCACTGCAATCAAAGGCAAGTGGCTTTTTAAAACATCGCAGCCTTCGGACAGATATGCTGTTATTTGGCACTTAGTTATGATGGGAACAAACTTGTGGCACTCCACTAACTTTCACGAGCAAGTAATGAAGCCATGAGACAAGAGATTTTTTACTTGAGCTTTAGCAAAGGTTCATTAGCATAGGTGAATTTGATCCTTCGAAAGGTCAACAACTTTGCAGGGAAATTAGGAGCAAAAGTAATGTATTCCGCTTGTTGGATTTGCATTGGCAAACCAGCTTCATTTTCGAATGAGGTACAGAAACAAGACTCTGATGACTAAGTCCAATCTAAAGCTTCACGCAAGTCAAGTAAAATGGATGTGTTTCATTGTATAAACCAGGCAAATGCATTAATCCCCAGACAATTAGATGGAGCTAAATTAGCAACAAGGAACAAAGTCGTGGGCAAAGCAATCTTTATCTTCCATGACGCTTCCCAAGACCAGATGAGATGAATTAAATCCAAGTCCAGGCATGCTGCCTCACATCTTGAGACTCTTGATCGCCCCCAATCCGGCTTTCTTCCACACTAAACCAGCGAGCAAAACACTTGCAGTAGCTGCGGCCGAAAAGACGCCTGCCGTACTGTTCTCAACCTAGAATAGATATATCAGCATTGCTCCACTCAAATTCCCTGAAGTAGCAGCCGGTGGGTGATGAGTGGTCGTCATTGCCCAACCTAGCAGGCACAGAGAGATAGAGTCTCGAAGTGATAAGTTTGATGGAGAAATGACTAAAAGAAGACTGACCTGGCCCCTCTCCCATCCCCAGATCGTAGCCGCCAAGTCCAGTGCATCAACAGCTGCACTCGCCATCACAGCAGCACGTCTCGTCTCATGAGTCTTAGCACCCAAAAGGAGAGCACCGAAAAGAAGTTCTCGAGCGCCTACCATGCGGACCTAGAAGTTATCAGCTTACAGTCCACTACATTTGTGGGATTGCCAACAGAAGTTGGAAAATGTGAAACAATTGAAGGATTACTTACGGCTAGATTGGTTGACGCTGGGTCAAGATTTCGGTAGTATAGTGAGCTCGTTGTCCATGCTGGGGCGAGGATGAGGCCCATGCCGAATCCAGCTTTGAGGCTGCCGAGGAGTGTAAGTGGGAATGTGGATGTCATTTTGGAGGTGACCTGTGAAGTTTGGACTGAATCTGGATCGAGTGGAGTTTGGAGAGTTGGCTTTGCTTGAAAATGATAACAGAGTACTAGTGGGAAGTGTGAATGTCAGGATATTCAATCCAATTCAATTCACTTCGCTTGGTGATGTTCAGACTCTGGCCATACAATTTAACTGTACTCCGAAATGAGAATATCAGAGTGCAATATGTCTATTTATGTCCTTGCCAACATGTTGGCAGGTGCCTGATTGAGAAGTTGCAATGCGATGGGTGAAACCCGTCCTGCGTCCAGCCATGCCGAGTTGCGGTCCGGATCATTGAGTCCAGCCGGCTTATACCTCAGCAGTCTTGGGATTCTCTTGTGTCCACAAGAGTGATGCCCCGATTGAGATTTAACAATCTTCCGATCTGGCATTGGCCGGGCTTAAGCTGCTAAGCGTTGGGGTTATGGCGGGGGAAAATCAGGCCGTATTCAACCAATCAATAGCATGGAAGCTAAACTCAAATAAAAATAACAACCACGGTTTTGAAGACCACAAGATAGGTAGTTCCAAGCCATTATTACTGATTCCCTGTTATGCCAACCCTCACTGCCGACTTTACCACGCTATATTCCTAACAGAAATTCTACGCCAATACCAAATCCAACCCGTTCTTGCTCGCGAATACAGAAAAATGTAACGAAAGAAGCAGTCTAATAACACCATTCGCTATGCAATACAATGCAGTGCTAAGACTTTCCGGGGATGAAAACGCCAGACTGGCACAGGATAGCGACGTTCTTGAAGAACCGACGCCATTCCAAAGGATCACCCTTGACCTTCACGAAACGCACTTCTAGGAGATCGCCATCGTTTGTGGAGTACGTGTCTATGACGATGTCGCCGCTGAGACTACACTGCCTACCATCGACAGTCTTGACTTTGATCCAGCCTGCGTGCTCACGTCCTTGCATTTGAGAAATAGACGGAATAGGGACGTTGAGTTGGTGAAGGGCGTCGCTTAAAATTTGGAGTAAGAGAGGCGAGGAGAGTTGGGAGAAGAAGCGTGTGAGTGAGTAGTTCGGTACGATATCTCGGAATTGACGAGCATGTTGTGTCAAGCTCAATGGAACTGATGGGACAGGTGCAAATTGGCTCATACTTGGTTCGTCCGCCAAAGACTCGAAAGGGTGCGTACTGCCATTCGTCATCGTACAAATGTGGCTGTCGTTTACAGTAGTAGGCTGGCTTGCACTGAAATTGGCGGCGTGGACTCGTGGAGGCCTCTCCCAGTCGAACATAATATCATTGATAGGCGTCTCTGGTTGAGTGAAGGAGAATCTCGGTTGATGCTCGTCGAAGTCGACGTCCATAGCATCTTGACTTTGCCGTGGTCTTTGAGCCTGGGAGGGCTGTTGAGTGAAGTCAATATGCAGACCTTCCAACATCTCGGCTGCAAGAGTCAATGGATCCTTTGGCTTGCCCTCTGAGGTCATAAGACGATTCTTTCGAGTATACCAAGGGTGTTGCTTGATGTTGTTGAAGTTGAATCGTTTCGTAGTATCCACGTTCATCATCCCTCGCAGCAGTGACAGAACCATGTTTGGCAGCTTCTTCCACAGGTCATCCTCACTCTTTCCGCTCTTGTTGATATATTCCTCAAACTCCCAGCTTTGTGATGTTGGCTCATCCCAAGGAGTGTTGCCGACCAACAAGACGAAGAGTACCACTCCACAGGACCATATGTCTACCATGTTTGCCATGTAACCAGCTGGTTTCACGCCTCTTTGCTGTGTACCCTTGGAGCAGGTTATGACTTCAGGAGCAATATATGGAGGACTTCCGCACATGGTAGTGCTGAGTTTGGTCGATCCTTGGTATTCAAAAAGTGTAGCCAGTCCAAAGTCTGCGATTTTTAGGTCGCCTCTCTCCGAAAGTAGTATGTTCTCTGGCTTGATATCTCGATGTCCCACGCCCTTTGAATGCATATAACTGACGCCACTAATCAATTGAGTAAAGTAGAAGTGTGCAATATCCTCACTAACTCCTACGTCTGCCTCGATCTTGTCGAATAAGTCGCCACCCTCAGCATACTCCATTGCGATCCATTTCCAAATGGCATCCTCTCCGGTAGCAAACCACTCTATAATATAGGGATGCTGGCCGATATGAGAGTGCAAAGACACCTCCATGGCGATTTGTTTCGCTGATATTCGACCATGTTTAACAGCATAGGCTTTGTGGATGAACTTGACTGCAAATACAGGGGTCGAATCAGTTGGAGGAACTGCTTTTTTAATTCTGATATAAATTAGCACCCTACCCGCTCAGATACGGATTGAACCTCACGATGCATATGCCCCTCTTCCAATTGTCTTCGAAATAATTCGGAAAGGCAGGTCGCGGGGAAGTGGATCTAATTGCGACTGAAATGGTTCCATCATGATCAGCAAGTTGTTCTCAATTGACCGCCGTCTCGTCATTCCACATATTTATATACCCTCCGAACGTGGAAACTACTCACCATATCCAACAGATGGTCCAAAGACGGTCGGACACTCCAATACCCAATTATCTTTGTTGTGTCGCGTCCGCCAGGGTGGTTTCAAAAGTCGCGAAGTCAACGCGTATCATTGGTGAGGACTTGCAGCCTTGTCATGCGCAAGGCTCCGCGACTCGTTGCTGGGACGCAACCAGAGGTAAACAAAATCCAGCTGGAACTCCTCACTTCCTACAAAACCCGAACACCCTTTGTCGCTGACCACGACTTCGTACATTCACAATTCCTTTGCTTTCAAACATTCTTCACGACTAACGGCCGTTCCTTTGTCCGTTCGATTCACTGCCTTTCGTTTTGCAATCGCTTTGCTTGTCTCCCTGTAATGGACTTCGACATGGATACTCAGAATTCTGCACCAGGTGTTCTTCCAGCTGCTCAAGCCTCCAAGCTTGGAGCTCCTCGAAAAGGCGCCGATGCTCAGAGTACCACTAAGAGGTCAGCTTTTCTTTTTCTCATCCCAGGCGCAAATGGTCTCTTGTTGCGATTTTACAGTAGTGGGACTTGCGCCTCGAGACCACTGCCTTCAGAGCTATTACTTATTATAATCTAGATTGCAAACAGAGTTGATGCAGCTCATGACCTCCTCCGCCCCGGGTATCTCTGCCTTTCCATCTGCCGACGGCAACCTCCTCTCGTGGACTGCTACAATTGAAGGCCCCGATGATACTCCCTACGCCGGTCTTACCTTCAAGCTCTCCTTCGCCTTCCCATCCAACTATCCCTATGCCGCTCCAACCGTACTTTTTAAGACTCCTATCTACCACCCCAATGTTGATTTCTCGGGTCGGATCTGCTTGGATATTCTGAAGGACAAGTGGACTGCTGCGTACAACATACAGACCGTTCTGTTGAGTTTGCAAAGCTTGCTCGGAGAGCCAAACAAGTGAGTGGATGGCATACTTCAAGTTTCGAGTGTGGAACTAATCGCAAACAGTGCTTCCCCATTGAATGGCGAGGCTGCTGAGCTCTGGGATAAAGACATGGAGCAATTTAAAAAGAAGGTCCTTGATCGACACGTGGATATCGATGACGAGTAGATTGCTGGATTGTGTACTGCATTTGGGAGGACTGGTGGGCGTTTATAATCAGGGTCATGGAGAATGTGTATAATGAGACCTTGACTTGATGGTATGGGATGGTCGTTCTTTGCAGCATGCGTGCATTTGCCAGGGCAGCAGGGAATGAGTCTCGTCGGACACTGTATTAAATAGTCCGCTGTATTGAGAGAGTCTGGAGTAAATGCTTGGATCTTGAGTCTAGGAATTGAGGATATTCGCTGTACAAGTTTGCACCTACTGGTGAGGTTTGTGAGGCTAACCTCTATCTTAAAGGGATGGCTTTTGAACTTTGAGTTGCCACAGTCTATTCGGGGACAACTGGCTTGACCGCGATGACATGGGGGACTTTCATGGCAAGTTGAAATACAGTCCCAGTGAAGTCCAGCCAGCCGGCCTGGAATTGCCAATGAGATTTTTGTCAGCACAAAACTCTGGATCGAGTAGACTTCTACACGCTTGCTTTTCCCATACAAACCCCGCTAAGAAATAATCGAACTTCCGAGTCTTTCAGACGCTTTGAAAGATTGTACAAATTGCCATGTTGCCGACCCCGATAGACCACGGGCGGAATGCTCTGCTTTGCTCGGTGTTCGGCTCCATTTCCTTCACGTGGTGGACAGTATTTGGCGACCATATTCAAACGAGAGCCCCTTCACACAGTGGATACTGCAGTCCAGGTGTTTTGGGTTGCAAGATAGACCTTTTCATTCATGAGCTAGCCAGCAGAATGCATCAACTCCACCCAAACCATGCCACGAAAGAATTCACCCCCTAAGCATCCTCAACCAAAGCAGTCTGCAATCCCTTCGCATCCTTAACATTGACGGCCTGGACGTAGCTGTACAGACGCTCGGTAGCACCCTCCTCGTCGTTTCGCTTTCTCGAGATACGGACGCGGAGTCTGTATGGAACGCCCTTGATACCTGCCTCCCAGACCTTCTTGTTCAACTGGGGATCGAGACGAACATCGGTGGTGCCCTAGATTTCCAGTCAGCCCCTGCCTCGATTTGCCAGTTCCTTCTCTTCCATCGCAATGTTCTCAGACGGTCCGTGGCTCCAGTACGGGGTTCTTCTTACCATTGACTTGGTAGCGAATGCCTTGATCTCCTTGATGGCTCTTGGTGCCCGCTTCTTGAAGGTAACACCGTGGAGCTGTAATATAGTCAGCGCTTCGCCCTCCTCTAATTCCCAATTCCTTGTCGCCGCCCGGATTGACGTACTCTCTTGTGTAGATGAATGGTGTACTCTCTGGCGACGACGTCGGCGATCGCGCTGCGCTGGGTCTTGCCCGAGGGCTTCTTGGCTTTGGTCGACATTTCTGTGAGTCTGACGATGTTGGGGAGATGTTGTCGTGTCGTCGAAATTCGGGGTTGAAATCAAAAGTCCTGCAAGTTCCATTGTGGGATGCTAAGCGAAAATTCAGCGTTGCCTTGTTGATGCCTGAGGCCGACAAATTTCGCCAATGATCGGGCCTGAGGGGGCGGAGGCTGAGATGAACCTTAACGCGATGCATACCGACTCCACCTGTATTCACAACATACCTCTGCGCAGGACGCTCCTTCGACGCAGTGCTGAGATCTCAGCAATACTGTCGCACCCGATGCGCTGCTAAACACTCGTTCACCATCACCCGATAGTCCTCAATTGATTTCAAACATTGAATCTCAAGCTCAAACAACAAACCACTCCTTTTCCCGTTCAACCAGATCGACTCCTTTACCACCATCTAGTCCTCGAACAGTCGACCATCGATCATCTGTCCACCCTCACACTTGTTATACACCACCTCAGTCAACATGGCGCACAATTCTCCCTCCCCGCAGCCCGATCTCAATCGGAACAGGCTCCCTACTCTCTTCGAGGTCCTCAGCAGAAGGACTTTAGCGCCTGTCGATCTATTTTTCTACTACATATACATGCGCGATCAACAACGATCAGTGGACTATCTGGATTTCTGGTATATTTAGGATCTTGCGGGACTCACAATTATGGATGCTAACAGTGCACAAGGCTCGATGTTGCTCAACACATGTCAATCTGCCGCCATTATGTGCGCGAACTCCGCCGTTCTGTTATGATAGGGACTCCGGACGGTGACAAGTCAGGTTCCAAGCGGTCATCCGCACTACTCGAGGGTCTAGGTGACATGCATCATCCAGCTGGAGGACCGTCGATGTTGTCAAGTGAGAAGGAAAAGAATCAAGATGCCCAGATGTCAGCCTACTTGAGAGAAGAAGCTGCCAATGGAGGAAATTTGGGCCACTCTCCCGCTGGAAGTGTTGGATCAAATATTCGTCACACAGAATCCAACGACAGACCCAGGCCGAGTTTCATGAGCAGTCCGCAAGTACTCACATCTGACTCTAATTCTCCAGAGCATACCGTTGCAAGAGCAGACATCCGGTCGTCCGCTGAGAAGATTCTCTATACTTTCCTCCTTCCGGGCGCCGAGCGCGAAATCATTCTCCCAGATTCCATCACCCATGAAATAATTGTCTCCATCGAAGAGCGAGGTCGAGATGACCCAGAAGTTTTTGACGCTGCCAAGGATTATGTTTTCCAAGCCATGGAACGTGACGCTTTCCCTGGTTTCCTGCGAGCAAAAGCACTCGGTAATCTCGTGCCGCCTTCCTTGATGATGAGATTGATCATTGGCCTGCTTGCCATGTTTGGTGGGTTCTGGGCTGCGTTCGTTCTCATTTTCCTCAATATGAGCCGCCAAACCAGGATATGGGTATGTCAAACGCCCGACTGCTTTGTATATATGACTAACTCTCTCCAGCTCATTCTTCCCTTCACAATTGGTGTTTATGCTCTTTGTTCTCACCAATACGCCATTGATCCCATCCTTGCGCTCGCCGGTTACAGCGAGTACACGTTTATGAGCTTTTCACGCATCCGCGAACCATATGTTCGCAAACTGCTGAATAAGCGCGCGATCATGGTTCTGACCGTCTCGACCTTCATCACCGCCTGCCTGGTTGTGCTTTTCATTTTTGTTCCCGGAAAGAGGCTGTAAATATATCAGTTGCTGAGCTAAAAGAAAGGTGACGAAACTAATCCAGGGGAAGCTGGCACTCGGCTTGGAGGCGTTCAGGGGAGGATCAAAGTCCATGGGACTTTTAGCAAAAGGCTTTTTGCAGTGGCTGCTGGCGTTGAACGACTTCTTAATGATTTTCTTTTCGCAGAGCTTCATCCACATTGCTCAGACCGGAGCTCTGATAACGACGTTGTACAGAATTAGTGTAATTTTCTCTTCTTCAATACCCCGAATCAAACCAAATTAAGCTTTTCATCGGTTCATCGCTCTAGTATCTGGAAAGACAAATTCACTCTATATTTATGCTTAATGCTCAGCATCCTGCACGACGCTATCTTCTTGTGTCATAACTTCGTTTTCGTAACCACACCGATGGACTACTTGCCCATGCCCAGACCGAATCCTCGTTTCTTCGAAGATCTCGTATGCTTATTACCGTCATCGTCGTCATCGTCGATATCCATATCATCTGCATCATCTCCTCCCAGTCCCCCACTACCCCGCTTCGCCGCCGCACCAAATCCCAGCTTCTTTCCCACACCGTGAAATACACCACCCTTCTTCTCACCCTTCTCGTTCTCGTTTTCACCCTTCACCTCCATCAACTTCTCCACTTGGGCATTCCACTCGGCTTCCTCCCGATGCCTCTTCAGCGCCTCTGCCTTGATCCCTGCGATCTGCTTCTCTAGATCCGCAAGCGTGGATACACAGCGTGTAGACCACTCATTCAATGTACTGAGCATAGCCGGGATGGAGTTTGGTTGTAGATCTCGCAGTGGGGAGACAGACGACACGGCCACGACCTGATGATAAGGATCTAGAGTCGCCGATACCAAGCCGGCATAAATAGCAGAAATAACCAGATCCTCCAACTCTCTCGGCGTCTCCAGTCCCAGATTCTCCAATAGCTTCTTGTACGAGAGATCGGCCTGGTTCTTAGCTAGAGTGAGGAAGGAGAGCTGTCGCAGCTTGAGCGTTTGTGCAGGGTTGAGTTGGGGTAGGTCCGCTGCACTAATGTAGTCGGTGTAGGTGCCATAGCTGAAGGTCTTGAGGAGGGAGAGATGGCCAGAGAATTCAGGTGAGTTTGCAAGGGCTTGAATATTGGGTGCTTGGAGGAGCTCGGCGAAAATGAAGGTGTTCGGTGCGCTGGTGGCGCCTTCGACTAGGTTTGCTGCTGCGCGAGGAGAGTTGGCAGTTTTGGTGAGGGCCAGGAAGGGCTGTTAGATCTTATGTTAGTGATTGCTTTGTACGCGAAGCTGGAGCTGTGGACGGCAAAACGTACTGCGAGAGCATTCATAGACTTCATTTGCTCCATCTTCAATGCCGTTGTCGTGATTCGTTGCCTGTTCTGAAGCTCGATGTTTGGAGGCTGCTGAGGCAGATCTTCAGAAAGCTTGGTACTCTTGTCAAGCTTGCCGATGTACCGTAGCAGGTTTTGCCGGGCGTGATCTCACTTCAGAGGCGCAACTTGAAGAGATACTGTTGGTCAGAATGTATCTGTTTGTTTGTGACGAAACACAGTCAAACGAGCTTGCTCTTCAAAAGAGGCATGTTGAAGGTCAGGCACGTATCAGGTTGGTTCCATGCCGCCGTTAGCGTTCGGCTAGGGATGTACTAGCGCCGCGCTATTGCTGGTCTGGCCTGGCTCCTGGATCGCGGCATGTCTGGAAGAGACGTGATATCAGGCCGGTGTGAACAATACATCAGGAAAAGAAAAATGATTATCCAGTCGCCTCTAGACTACTCAGCACAGCTGATAGTCGGAGATTGCTAGAGAGTCTTTCTATTGTGCATGCATCAGATCGACTGTCAACTCATCAAGGGGCCTCGTCACTGGCCGACGACGCTCCAGCTTGGAGACCCGCTCCCGGCTAAGAAAAGAAACAGAGTCCCAGAATTGTCTCCTTGAGCGAGCGAGCCGCATTGACTCTATTCGTGGTTAGGTTCATGCTTCAACTCTTCGAGGCATTTGCTCCGTCCTTCTTTACCAGGGGTGTCTGGAAGGTCTCCTCGACTTGTACTTTTCCTGCGTGATATGTGTCGGATCTTCCGCTGTACTGTCCTGTACATAACCTATTGGACGCCCGGACTTCTCTAAGGCGCCACCAACCTCGAGCACTGTTTCTTCCTTTTGTTTCTCATCGCCGTATTTCTATCCCCTACACTACCTCGAGGCTGCCCTCGATAACGGTCACTGCTCGATTCTTCAAGTAATACTGCAGAAGTGGTAGATTTCTTCGGTCGCGGCATCCCTCCCACAATTCGGAGTTCCCCAGATCCGAGCTTAACCTGATTCGACCACGCTCAACCATCGCACTTGCTGTTTACCGGAGACAGATCAGTGACAAAAGACAGCGGCAGAACGCCGAAGGTCTATTGAAGTTACACCTTTTCCCCAGGAGCTGGACTTCTGCTCACTCTTATTAATGTGAGTTCTTCTAAATGATCACGTTCTCGGTTTCACCCGGGTCAGCATTTGCCACTGCCCCTCCTATCGTATCGCCAATGTCTTGCTGACTGCCCCATATAGTAAGGCGTAATATATAACTCTATCACAATCAGCCAACGGGTAATATTCTCGAAAACCTTCAAATCCCCACTGCCGCTCTCGAGGCGTAGCTGCTGAAGCAGCAGCGAATCTATACACGATGGCGCCGTCCCATTTGAAGTTTGAGCCGGGAGACAATGCGCCGCGACCGTCGATAAGTACTCCTGCACACATGGCAACGACAACGTTGAAGGTTGGCGGTATGACATGTGGTGCATGTACGTCTGCGGTAGAAGGGGGTTTTAAGAGCGTCGAGGGCGTTGGGAACGTGTCTGTGAGCTTGGTGATGGAAAGAGCGGTCATCGTTCACGATCCCCAGCGGATAACCGCCGAGCAAATACGAGAGATAATTGAAGACCGGGGCTTCGATGCGGAAGTCCTGGCTACAGACCTACCTTCGCCGATGTTCAGCAAGAAAGGATACCTGTATGATGAGAATATGGACGGGGAGGAAGAGGATGAGCCGACAACGACAACAACGACTTTGGCTGTGGAGGGTATGACATGCGGGGCGTGTACTTCTGCTATCGAGGGAGGTTTCAAGAGCGTTACGGGAGTGAAACATTTCAGTATATCGCTACTCTCGGAACGGGCGGTAGTCGAGCATGACGAGTCTCTGTTAAGTGCGGAGCAGATAGCGGAAATAATCGAGGACCGAGGATTCGGAGCGACAATCGTTGAGAGCAATAGATCGGAACCGACAAAGAGCTCGAAGACACGCCGCGGTAGTTCAGGGATTAGGGAAAAGATTGCGACCACCACTGTTGCGATTGAAGGGATGACTTGTGGAGCATGTACTTCTGCTATCGAGGGCGGTTTCAAAGACTTGGAAGGCTTGGTTCAGTTCAACGTCAGTCTTCTTGCTGAAAGAGCCGTGGCCATACACGATCCGGCGAAACTGTCACCTGAGAAGATTGCAGAAGTAATCGAAGACAGGGGATTTGATGCAAAGATTATTTCGACACGACTAGGCAGTGCCTCGCAGCCTTCCTCGGCCGCTGTGGCACAATTTAAAGTTTTTGGAGTCAGAGATGCCGCTGCAGCGACTGCTCTTGAGGCGAAATTACAGTCCATGCCAGGAGTCAACTCAGCAACCGTCAGTCTTGCGACATCCCGGCTCAATGTCTCACATCAACCGAACATTGCTGGGCTTCGTGCTCTGGTCGAACTTATCGAAGCCCAAGGGTACAATGCCCTTGTAGCAGACAATGATGACAACAATGCCCAGCTCGAATCTCTTTCAAAAACCAAGGAGATCACGGAATGGCGGAGGGCTTTCAAAACGTCTTTAGCTTTTGCAATTCCAGTATTTCTCATCAGCATGGTCATTCCTATGATGATCCCAGCTCTCGACTTCGGAAGTCTCTCTATTATTCCCGGTCTCTATTTGGGAGATATCATTTGTTTAATCCTTACGATACCCGTCCAATTCGGCATTGGCAAGCGTTTCTACATCTCTGCATATAAATCCATGAAGCATGGCTCACCAACCATGGATGTTTTGGTCGTCCTTGGTACATCAGCAGCATTTTTCTTTAGCATTGCCGCGATGCTTGTCTCTATTTTTTTGCCTCCTCATACTCGACCAAGTACGATCTTCGACACGAGCAGTATGCTCATCACATTCATCACCCTAGGACGTTTCCTTGAGAACAGAGCCAAGGGACAGACATCCAAGGCCCTGTCACGACTCATGTCACTTGCTCCTTCAATGGCGACAATCTATGCCGACCCAATCGCGGCAGACAAGGCCGCTGAAGGATGGGATGTTGCCATTGGAGCTGGGAGTGAACCAAAGAACGACTCCACGCAAGAAGGAAACGCCGCAGAGGAGAAGGTCATCCCAACTGAGCTCATTGAAGTTGGTGATATCGTGATTCTGAGACCTGGTGACAAGATTCCAGCTGATGGCACCGTTACCAGAGGAGAGACTTATGTTGACGAGAGTATGGTTACTGGAGAAGCCATGCCCGTCCAGAAGCGAAAGGGTGCTCTTCTCATAGGAGGCACTGTCAACGGCACTGGTCGTGTGGATTTCCGCGTCACCAGGGCCGGCAGAGACACACAACTCAGCCAAATCGTCAAGCTAGTTCAAGATGCCCAAACTACTAGAGCTCCAATCCAACGCCTAGCGGACACAATTGCTGGCTATTTCGTACCAATCATTTTATGTCTTGGATTTCTTACATTTGCAACATGGATGGTCCTCAGTCATGTTCTTGCCAACCCGCCAAAGATCTTCATCGATGAGGCCAGTGGTGGAAAATTCATGGTTTGTGTGAAGCTTTGCATATCTGTCATTGTCTTTGCATGTCCTTGTGCTCTCGGTCTTGCAACACCAACGGCTGTAATGGTCGGAACTGGGGTTGGTGCTGAGAACGGAATATTGGTCAAAGGTGGCGCTGCTTTGGAAACTACGACGAAGATAACTCAGGTTGTACTTGACAAGACCGGCACTTTGACTCTGGGTAAAATGACTGTGGCAACCGCGAAGCTCGTCCCAACATGGGAGAATAGCGAATGGCGCAAGAAGCTGTGGTGGGCCATTCTTGGTCTCGCAGAAATGGGTAGCGAGCATCCCATTGGTAAAGCTATCCTTGCATCAGCAAAAGAGCACCTGGGTCTCGATATCGATGGTACGATCGATGGCAGTGTCGGAGACTTCGAGGCTGTTGTAGGTAAAGGTATCAGTGCTCTAGTTGAGCCTGCTACCAGTGCTGAAAGAGCTCGATACCGTGTTTTGATCGGAAGTGTCCGGTTCCTTCGCGAAAACAACGTCGAGGTACCTCAAGCTGCTGTCAACTCTTCCGAAGAGGCCAACATCAAGGCGGCCGGATCAGCCAAATCCCCATCAGCTGGAACTACCAACATCTTCATTGCTGTTGATGGTGCCTTCTCTGGTCATCTTTGCCTCTCGGACACTGTTAAGGATAGTGCACGGGCTGCCATCGCTGCTCTGCACAGGATGGGTGTCAAGACTGCCATTGTTACTGGAGACCAGCGCGCCACTGCAGTCGCAGTCGCACGCCTTGTTGGCATTCCATCCGAGAATGTCCATGCCGGCGTAACTCCAGACCAGAAGCAAGATATCATCCGAAACTTCCAAGAGGCAGGTGAATGCGTCGCTATGGTTGGCGATGGAATTAACGATTCTCCCGCACTCGCAACCGCAGACGTCGGAATCGCCATGGCCTCCGGCACAGACGTAGCCATGGAAGCCGCTGACATCGTTCTCATGCGTCCCAACGATCTCATGGACATCCCCGCCTCAATTCAACTCGCCCGCTCAATTTTTAGCCGCATCAAACTGAACCTCAGCTGGGCTTGCGGTTATAATGTCATCGGCCTCCCCTTCGCAATGGGCATCTTCCTGCCTTACGGATATCATCTCCATCCCATGGCCGCAGGTGCCGCAATGGCATCTAGCAGTGTCAGCGTAGTCTGCAGCAGTCTTCTCCTTAAGTTCTGGAAACGCCCACGCTGGATGGACGACGCACTTGCTGAGGAGAAGGGACAATTGAGGAGGAGAGGGGCTGGTTGGGGCTTTGGCGGTTTAGTTGGAAAGGTCACTGATCTCGCGAGAGCGGTTACGGGCCGTAAAAGGAAGGAGGAAGATGGGTATGTGCCTTTGAGTAATCTCGAGGCTGTGTAGAAAAGCGGAGGTAGGAAGACTATACCTCTACCTCTTTTTTTGTTCATTTGTTATTTGTGTACTCTGGAAAGCGCTTAGCGTTGCATGCACATTGGCTTGTTATTTCTTTGCATCTTTTGGCTGTTGGGACAGGATATGGGATGGGTATGATGTGATGTGATAGTATCTAGAATTCTTTGGAGGCTTAGAAATGATATAAAGGAATGTCACGATCTGCCTACCTAGATCCCTTCGTCAACGCTCGTGTAACCTTGAGGCTGATGCTTTTACTCGCGAGAAATTCGACGGCGGCATTAACAGGCAAGCCAGCTGAGCACCACATTGGCTGCTCTTGGCACCAAGACCTGACGAAAGATCGATATAAGATAAGTGATCTAAGTGGAAGATGAAAATGTGGAAGGAGTAAGTGTGTAGCCTGCGTCCAGCCTCCTGGCGGACCCCAAACCCTAAACAGTATCCGAAAGAACGAAGGTCCGAAGTTCAGCATACGCGTGGTGGATGGCAGCACCCATGTCCCCAACTCAGCAGATTGGTGCGTAACTCTTATGCTTATTTAAACTCTGCCAGCATCCAAGCCTCTCTGGATCCCTCCAATTATTAATCGCCACAGCAGAACAAAAATAAGCTCGGCTAAGTACCTGTTCCCGAATCTTGCGAGACACTTAGGTACGAGCCGTATACGAAAGGCACCCCGAATCCGAGTCCGAGCAAGCGAACAGTGTACGAGCCGCAAAGACAAAACCTAGACACCTCGATTTCTACCCAACGATAAGGCTGGAAACTGAGGAATCTGTGGGATTCCTAGGGGAATCCAAGGTAAGAATGATTAAGAACCACGTCAATGGGCGTTCTTGGCTCATTAGTTATTGCGTTGTGTGGTTTAGTTGGTGGTAGATAGAGCTAGCTTTGAGTTCTAGGTTTTCTGGGCTGGGGGGTGGGTTTGGGATATATAGGAGTTGATTCCTGTCTTTGAGATTTTGGAATTGAATGTTCATACGCATTGCAAATCCAGAGGAAACTTCTTAGTTGCCTCCTGCAAATTTACTTGTCTCCTCCATCCCTCTGAACGAAACCCGAAGCTCGATCATTGTCTTCGGCAGTACAGGAACACCAACATACAAAGGTTCTAGACTCTGCTCCAGAATCACGCTCAAGTATCTCAATTCTCAAAGAGTAGAAACCGGAATAATGCCTGATCTAATGAGAGGCTCCTTCAAGACCCGCTCGCAGGTCAAACTATGGGCTCATCTGGTAGCATTGACACTAGCTATTTGCGTAACATCCATCGCCGTGGCACGCATGTTCATCACGAATAGTCAGAGGAGAGCTGCTGCTGCAAACAGCGTGACGGGAAATGGAGGACAGAGGAGCATGTCTGGGCAGATTGCACTGAGCATGGTATGTTTGTTTACTTCCGTCTCCCAGGTGAATGTCAAGTTTCCCATCCTGATCAAACGCTTCTCATTTGGATATCATCTTACAAAAAGTGATTGCAATAGGCTGCCAAATCTATCTTCTTCATAACATACCAACTTATGGCGGATCACAAAGTTTATTTCAAGGAGAGGCCGAGAGTAAACATGGTTCTCAACCTCATTGAGGCTGTCGCTTGGCCAGCAGTAGTGGCTTTCACAGTCCAGGGTATCTTGAAGAAGTGTACTGGCACGAATTGTATACTGAGTTGGATTATTGTTCCTCTGGCTGTCGTCATGAGGTATGTGATTGTCATTTTCTTTGCTTGGATTTCTTGAAGACTCCGCCTCAAAGCATCAGTGTATTGGAGACTGACGCTTGCATGTATAGTTTGGTTTCTGCACTCGCAGCTTTCATTTCGATTGGCGATTGGCAGTATTTCAGGAAAATAGGCTTGAAGCCAAGTGAGACCCGGGAGGAAACAGACGAGGTGAAGCTGGAGTCTGCTCAGGTTAGGACCATAGACATCGACCCCAAGGTCAGCAGACCCAAAGAGAGCAGGACCCGAGATAGTGGGAACAGAGATCATAGTTCCAGAGATACCAGGGACAGTCGGCCCTTTAGATAGGCTCGATTCTCCACGGTTGCTTTGGAAGGCCGCTTCAATGAAATTGAGGAACGATAGAAGGGGTCGGCAGACTTGAACAGCTGGGATATTTGCTTGGAAGACTTCATGAGGCGTTTGGCGTGCAGCGACCTGTGCTTGGGTTCTTCTTGGATGGTGGCTACATGTGGATGGATTAAGTCTAAATATGGAAACCTAGATATAGATATGATACATACTTGTGAGGTCTTAGTACAATGCAGGTGCCATGAAGAACGAATCTGTCCATACAAAGCCCCGCTGTCCAAGAAGAGTCAACCTAGGTCCCATTTAGTACTCCCGCAGAAAGAATGTCTTGGAGTGGGTGCGAAGGAGTAGGTGCTTCAATGTGTACCTCGACTAGAAGTCTTTTGATCTTAGATGGGGCAGGTGTGATGAGCGAAGGAGATATCCTGCCTCGTGCATCTGATAAAAGGTGCCTTTAAACTTCGGGGAGAACACGGTAACACCATGGCATTTCAGTTCCTCATGCTATTTTATCTCTCTTCTGGGGCCTCTTTGAGCGATTGGCATGATTCTGGACCCTTGATATTCTGTATTGATTCACTTCTCCAAAGCCACGCGTTTGACGAAGTGCAATTATAACCTCAAATAGTCACCAATTGGTCCGTGTGCTCTTGTCCTTTTTCATTGTTCCAAAGCGATATCATGGGTGAGCTTCGGGTCGGAATGTTCTTTCGCAGGCATTGTGTGGCTGAGTGAAGAAGGGGGAGACTCGGAGGAGTTCGTGGATAAGACAATGGAAATCGAATTAACCTTACCTCCCCACTCCAAGCCAAGCGTGAGCCTGACGGAACACGGCAAAGCTGCTGCTGCTACCCATTGAAACACCAAGATGGAACCATCTGTTCAGCGTAGCACTTTCCTATCTTGTACTGTAATCATACTCGAACTTTCATGCATCCATGTTGCTTGAGTTGAACGTAGACTCATACCGTAACTGCCGCGAGGCACGATCACGACTCAGAGCCCGCGGCCACGCTGGCTGCTATCAAAATCGATAAAGCTTCAAGAACGGACCTGTTGTGATAACAGGCAAAGCCTACGAATCGTAACCAGGTACCCTTCACATGTGTGTTTACAGAATCAGCAATCTTTTGAGCTCTGACCACTTTGCTTCGGGATCATTGCCGAAAGGCACGACATCGGCACCGAGATAATCGGGCCAACGACCTCTCCTGGTCCAAAATAGAAGGAGATCCGGCACAAAAGTTTCTTAACATGCAGTGATATCGAGCAGTTTGGGGCACGTCCCGACCCTCATTTTGGCTTCATTGAGGTGTTTCCTGCTTGGCGGGGCCATTCGTGGAGGGACAAGGACTTGCTGCAGGGACAAGCCCCTTTTCATCTCCACGCCACAGCGAATCAGAACAGCGAGTCACGGACGTGGAATGATCAGACGGAGCTGATGTGGGCAGTCGATAGCTTGCTCGTGATAGATCATGGGTCGAGGAGCATCCGGAGTGAGCATTTTGGACCAGGAGATGGATATCCAGGGGACAGCGTGCAGTTGCAGCAGTGAGATGCAATCTGCCTGCGCGTCAAATCGCAGCAGGGCAAGACATCGTGGACGATGAGATCCAGTCCATCTCGATCTGCTCGGAAACGGTGGAAGTACAAAGTCTGTAGAAGCCGCTCTCTGTGATGCTGGTCTTTCTTCTGCAGGTCCTTCCTCCGTACACACTCTTTTGTTCTGCATTTTGCGCCCACACTCGTTACTGCATCTTCACAGAGTAGTTTAATTTCGAAACCGTAGCCATGAAGTCCTCGTTCGGATTTGCGGCGCTATTCGCCATGGCTGCTACTGTTGTAGTTGCGCAAGATGGAGATGCTTGCGAGGCCGATATTCCAACCGGTGTCAAGGCTGCATCTGTTACTACAGCATCCTCTTCTTCGGTCAACATGGTACCTGTTCTTTCGGATGTTAATCCATCCACGAACTCTACCAAGTTGTACGTTCCTTCGAAGCGACCTCGCTTCGACAGACACAACCCCAAGAACGTTGTTCCCTCCAAAAACACATCTTGTTACTACTCGGCTAATTCGACCTCGGGAAGCATGGTGGTCAACAACACCATGAAATACCCTACCGTCGTCTTGGAGGATATTGCCTCTATCATCAACGTTGACTGCACTGCTGATTCAGTCGCGGTAACTTTCAATGATACAGCTACTTTCGCGAAAGCGCAAAGTGTTTGGTGAGTGATGCTTGACCTAAGAGAAGAAGCAACAGAAACTAACCAAGCTCAGGGCATCTAAATCAAATGCCTCTATGGTCTTGATCACTAACCATCTTGGTGACTGTGACGCTGAGCTAGAGAGAAGCTACTTCCTTACCAACAGCATCTCTTTCGACGATGAGACTCTGGTTGCTACTGCTAGTACCCAGGCCGCCAACATCTCAACTGTTGCTAGTAAGTTACCATCTCACATAATGTTTGAAGACATACTGACATCTGCCAGCCTACACTACGATTTCCTTTGGCAACATCGAAGCTGCTGTTGCAAACGCAACAAATGACAAGCGAGCCTTGGTGGTCGACCCCAAATACACCTTCAGCCCATCTATTGCGCTTGCTGAAGACACTGTTCTATTCGAGTATGACCCATATGTCACCATCACCGCCGATAATGCATCATTCTCATCGGACATCACATTCTCGGGTTATTTGGCATACAACTGGTGGCTATGGAAGTTGGAAGCGTTCTACTTTGACATTGATGCTGATTTCAAGGCTGATCTCGGTCTGAGTGCCGACGTCAAAGCTTCTTACGAGACAGCTTTCTCTTACGCTCCTGCCTCCCTCTACTACGGTGTTTCTGTTCCAGGTGTTCTGGAACTTGGACCTATGCTTCAATTCTCAGTTGGTACTGAGATTGGCGTTTCCGCTGCTGCTCAGCTCAGCACCGCATTCGAAGTTGCCCTTGCCAACGGAAACGTCCATCTCGATGTTCTTGACTCGAAGAAGACATCTGTCTCTGGCTGGACCCCTACATACTCAGCTGGCGCCGATATCAATGGTCAGGTCAAGGCTTACCTCAACCCCTCCGCATCCCTCACCGTTGAGATCGCAGCCAAGGCTTTCGGCGGCTTGATTGATCTTTCCACCGGTCTTACCGCTAAGCCTGGATTCGACAACAGCTTCGCTCTCACTGGTGGCGTTGGAGTTGACCTTGGTGGATTGCAAAATATCACCAACGGTGCCAGCTGCACTCAGGGGCTTCAACTCAACAGCAACTTTACATTCGCTCTTGATGCCTTTGCTACCCAGTGGTATTCTGCCAATTTGTATGAGGTTGCCGTACCACTTTTGGACAAGTGCTACAGCTGGGCCTAGATTGGCGTGAGGATCTGGTGATTTGAGAGAAGAGGTTACTGCTTCTACGCAACCCAATTTTTTCTTTTGTCAATGATTGATTCATGTAGATATTTCTAGGCGGGAGTGGTTGTATATGAGCACACAGAGACGTTACATGATATTGATAATAGATACCCACACAAGTTATATTCTTTAGCCTTAACGAGATGAGGCAGCGCGAGTGAATTTGCAGAATTCAGCTGACAGCCTAGAAAACAGGTCGCTGCGGATGACTATCTCAGCGCATCGTGGCGACTACCGGTCTTTGTGTTCCGTGACCTCCATAAATTTCTATTCACGACGCCATCGCCGCTGATAGTGCCATGAGCTACCCGCGCTATGGGCATTTCCCTATCTCTAGCCTGTCGTCCCCGAATCTTGTCTCTTCACCAATTTTACTCCCATTCCTTCTCGCAATGTCAAAAACGACTCAAACACTCTCTTTCCTCCCCGAGATAAGAGTCTGGTGTTCGCACTCGTTGTTCTCACAGCAGCAGTCACGTATCATCCTCTCCTCGTCTTCAAGAGTCACCGACGTACCTTCGCTACCCTGATAAGTAGCATCGAGTTCGATCTCCTCGACATCAGCGACCAATCCATTCTCAATATCCCTCCTTCTCTCTCTCCTAGAGTGACTGAAAATGATAGTACTAGCAAATGTCGTCCACTGCGCCACAAACATCACATCATGACCATCCCATAAGTTCTCGGATCTTGAACTTGGAAGTGGAGGACCAAGAGCGCAGAAGCGATGAGTTGTGCCATAACGCAAACATAGACACATATTTCCCAGGCTGATTTGGTCGTGAGCGGAGTGATGTAGTAACTGATGAAGCCAAAATGATAGCCCCGAAGAATGAAGGCCGCAAACCCGAGGAGCCCGTAAGCATCGTGAATTTGTCCGTTGGTACGACCAAGGCGATTTGGAGTATGGAGCTACATATCCAGAAGCCAATGAGTAACCCAATGAGTGAAATGACTAAACTTCGTTTTTCCTCGGCCGTTAGTTTGGTGGCTTGTGGGGTTTCAGAGGAAGGATCTGCAGGCATTTCGAATTGATCTTGTTAGGGATGCAGAAAGATTTGGTGGCATGCGGTTCTTTACATAGAAAAGATGGAGGATGTGAAAGACTGGTGTTTGCGTCAAATACCTGTGACGTGCTTCTCGGCATTACTGTGGATTTAGACCTAGTGTTTACCTCGGATCCGAACTCTGACACAGTGCATCGCTTCTGGAACAGCTCTAGAAGAACCATCACGGCTGCTGTTTCAATTGTCTCATACGTTATCGGCTTTGGATGCCTAATCTCACGTGGAAGCCGTCCGATATGTGAAGCATAATTCTACTGTAAAGGATTTCTTCATTCATAAGATCTGGTGCGGGAAGCGAGTATCCATGCTTTAAGCCGCAGCGAAAGCAAATACCTCTTTCCCAGTCAGGGTAGCCTTGCCAGAGGTTGAAATTCCAGCTCAAACTACCAAGGACACCAGAACTGTTAAGTTTTAACTCTATCGGAGATTGCTGAGTATGAGCAATATCTTCCAGTGTTCCACTCCAAAGAAAGCCCTCTGTCGAAGTCGGTTCCATCACTTCAAAGTATTGAGTCTCACTGTAATCTGGCTACCTTTAATGATGCGTAGCTTGAATACAAACTGATCAAACATCAGTTCAAATCCGTTTGTCACCCGAAAAGAAGCAGTGTATTATTCCTTCTCTGGAAGTGAGAATATATTGTGCTGTGAATGTTAAGCGAGCTGTGGATAGACCAAGCTTCGGTTCGTCGTCCACACAACACTACCACTTTGTACTTTTGCTCCATGCTCCTTGCTCCTTGCTCAAGGTTTTGCAGTGAAACTCTCTCATAGGAATGTAGGAGCCGATTTATCAGGTGAGCAAATACACAATCCCAGCCAAAATTGCTACGTGAGACCACCCACCTACAAGACACTAGAATGCCGCGCCACCCATCAGAGCCACAATAACAAAATCCCATGCTCATGCCAGATTGTCGAGATATGTGCGCAGACGATAGGTGGCCAAAGATACAGAAAGGTAAACCGAGGTGAAGAAGCAAGCAGTGAGCAGAGGATCTCAGTGAGTGATCACGGCTAGAACAGCATTTACATCTTTGCGTCTGTCATTACTGCCAGACTGAGCTGGTCCCTTGGATCTAACCCTAACTATTTGATGTCTAAGAGCGTTTTACTTCAACTTGAGCCTCTCAATCCTTCTGACAGGCGAGTTTGCTTTTGCACCTTCCAGTCTAACAACCTGCTTCCTCATCACCCAATGCCTTGGACCCCATTTGCTGCTCTATGCGCATCATTTCAGTACTTTCCCTAAACATCATTCCGTTAGGAACCACTACCATCAATCCATTATACGGATTTTTGTACGCGATGAAGGTTCCTTCGATCCAGTGGCTTTAATCCTGATCATGAGATTCGCGAGACTTGTCTACGTTTAATGGTTAATGTGGACTGAAGTAAATGTGGCGAAGTTGGGTTTCGACATGGGATCGTGCTCGTGAACGCAATAATTGACATTGAACTTGTGTCAGGATGAGCAATTGGGTAGCACCAGGCCAGGTTACAATAGAAAGATGCCATATCGTCAGACAATTTGGGAGCTGAGGTCCTGCAAGCAGTGAATATGAAATGCTTCTGACCAGAGTGGTAAGTTGAAGCGTACTGTACAAGAAGGGTCATCAGCGAGCCTTTTCTGAAATTGGGTAGTTGACTACTTGGTGCTGTAGGTGACACAATTACAGCACAGAATTTGGATCAGAGTTTATTTCTTGAAGGTTATCCTCAAATACTTCAATCGAAGGCTCTGAGCAGATCTTTAAGGAACAAAAGTCAAGGCAAGCAAAGAACATCTACAAGAACAGAAGTCTTGATTGCAAACGAGCTCATCTTCAATTTATATACAAGAATTTAAATCATGCAGAAGTAGTATCTCGCCCCATCTTCGTTCCCCTGAAATGAATATATGAACTGGTAGCTCGAGAGTCGAGTTGCGAGCATCTAACATGCCAAAGCAACGGGTCCTCCTGGTGGAGTGTATGTCTTGCCTCCATTGTTTGGTACGCTACCACTGTAGATATTGAGCTTGATACCACTAGCAGGTGTTAGCAGGTGTTAGTATTCAATGTTTTGCGCGCAGCATGTTGAGACTTACGGATCTTCACTGCTGTATGCACCAGGGAACCTGACAGTAGGGGAGCCAGTCCTTGACCCTGATCCAGTCACTTTAATGTTGGCGCATCTTGGAGTGTTAGTTGAGTCCAGCTGTTGGGTTTTGTGGGAGACATACGACATGTAGAATTGGGCCCCATTTGTCCCATAGGCTGAATGAAGAGCGAGAAGCTCTAATCGCATGAGATAGTCCCCGGGGGCAAGGCACGATGGCATCGTGAAGTCCCACCATCCTTGGTTGGCAATCATGGTGTCAACACCCCACTTCCCTTGTGCGGTATTGAGACCTTCTTGGGCGATCTTGAACCAGTTCAGGCCCGATTCACTTGCAGTACCAGCACTATCAACCTGTTGTGCTGGTCAATAATCAAAAACGAGTAGTAGATACTGTACGCATACCTTCGCAAGGTAGACCATAATGGGTCCCTTGTGACTGGCCGCGATAGGATTGTCTGGATCGTTTGCTCCTTGTGCGCCTCCAATGATGTGCTGGAACCAAGCTCCGACTCTGGCACCAGCAGGAATGGTGACGACATCCTTTGAGACTGGCTGCTTGAGGCCTGTGTTGCAAGTGATTGCTGATCCGTATACGTCCGTTACTGGATTGTTCACGGCTGGTGCTCGGATCCCATATAGCGATGGCTGCTCTGCACCATTTATACGAAGCTTTTGGAAGATACCATGTCCACTGACAACTGCACCGAAGGTAGCAAGAGAGAAAATGGTTGAAGTACGCATGATGGAATAGCTGAGGAGGTTGGGTCAAGAATTAGATTTCAGCAGAAAGTCGACTTCTCTTATACAGGTTCCAAGATACCAAGAAAAAGGACTTCAACTTCGGGGAATCGCCTGATCAGAGTAGGTGGCTTGAGAAATTAATCTATTGGCCTCTGAACCCCAGGTTACCATCATGAGAATCATGGTAATCACCTGGGGTAATTAATGGAAAACGCGGGGAGGGTTCGTTTTGATGAGAAAAGTTGAATACCGCCAGCAGGGTCTCTTCATGAACCCAGTTCAGTTACTTGAAACTGGTCGTAAGTAGGCTTAATTGAACGACAATTACATTCCTACGCAAGCCGAATAGATGAATGCAATTGGTCACAGGGGCAGGACCTGACACTAAGATCAACATACCACAGCTGTCACTTGACACCTTAGTGAACCATCCAACGGGCCGCATACCGAATATCAAATAGATTGTTTGTGAATAATTGAAATGCGGTGCTAAGGGCTGGGATGAGTGTAAGCAATATCAAGGCTAAACGGATCGATAAAACATGACCCGGCTTGGGAAGATTTAGTCTGGGAAGGATTCTTAAAGTCTTTATCTCCCACAACTGCCGGCAGATTCGTGTAATGAAGGGGAAGATTTTCAATGTGGGGCAGGAAGGAAGGATGCGTCATGAAGAGTTGTCGTTGAGAAAGCTGTGAAAGATAAACGTGCAGTCACCTGACCTCGCCCCCTACTTGCCTTCCGAGCGATCTCTGCTTTACCTTCACTAAGTTGTAAGAATTTGACATTATGTACTCGAGCAGTACATACTACGAATTCAATCAGGTAGGCGAGTTAACATCTTAATAGTGAGCCTCAGACTTCCGACTTGTCCCAATTCGGAAGGCTGAAGCTCCACGTACATCAGGTGATTACTGTTTGAATCCGCTTCATCCGACATGGCATTGGCCATTCGATGTGTGAAAATATAATTTATTCCTTGCCAGAAATAGATGAAGATGTGGAATGGTTTAAATCAGATGACGGTGAGAATTCGGTCCGCAATTATTTCAGTGCTATATTATGTTTTTTATCTCGCGGCTGAGTTCCCTTCATGCTGTTAAGTGACCGTTAGCAAGTACTTCTCTCACAGCAGCGTAAGCTTCACTTCATAGAGAATTGCTGCAGAATCTCTGGCTGTAATATTCTATTTTTCATGCATAAGTACTTTGCGTAAAGTGTGTAAATCCAACGCAAGGAAGCATTAAATCTCTGCTGTCGTGGCTTTCAGCTCATGTACCATCCCCAAGTGTGTAGGGCAGCCTCCACGGCGTCCTAGTCTCAGCTTGATCCTGTTGCATTTCCATCATTTCGTTGGCATGTTGGAAGATAGAAGACTGACAGACCGGTAACTTGGCGATAGCTGTCACAGTCTCGAGCCAAACTCTCGTGATTGCGTCGACATATGATATCGACGATTTTGTAATTTGTGCACCCCGTAGTGGCACATGTATACCGTGTACTTGTACACATGTTCGATGTAGTATTGGCGACTGAGGTGGAGTGAAGTGGAAATGGTTTGGTGTCGCTGAGGAGATGAAGTGTGGTTGGCTTTATGGAAAGTTGGAATGGCAGACCGTCGAGGTCAGAAGACTCTGACAAATTGTTGAATGAGTTGATACTGAATGGACTGTGTTGTTGTGGTGTTAAAGCCTGAAGCTGAGGGGATTATGTTTAGTTAGAAGCTCACCTTACGCGTGTTATTCAACCTCTTATACTGAACTCTGGCCCTCCATGTGCCAATTAGAGTCAGTGTGGATATTCACCAAAGTACTATCATGAATCACTGTGAGAATTACCTGAGAAAGAACAACTCACAGCTTGCTGTCAAGCCAGTGACTTGTTTGTTGATAGAGTCAATCCTCCCATTGGTCATCACAACCCATGAAGCGAGTGTCATGATGACGATGACTTTCCGGAACTCACATAACATTCTCCTTTAGAGCATAGGAGGATTACAGGTACTAGTCTGGTTTGAAGGCGACAGAGGTTTTTTGTATATGTGACTGTCTATGGTTAATTTAGACGTTCTCTGGTGGATTTTAGTTCCCAGACTCCCCTCCAACAACAAGCCTAAAACCGATCTCAAGACTGGTGAAGGAGTTGACTATCACAAGATCCCAAGTTACCCAATCAAGTTTTAGACCTAATTCACGTTCCCTTACCTAGGGACCCAAACGTGAAAGCTCTCCTAAATTCTCGAGCCTAGTTACTTTGGGTACAATAAGCGAGGTTTTTTTTATCTGAACATGCAAGTCCTTCAAGTCCCTCACGCTAGAGAAATCTCCCCCTTGAACCTTTGGAGAACATATCTCGTGATATAAGTAAATAATTACAAGGAAGGAATTCACGGCAGGTCAATCAAGTCAGACATGCCTATCCTTGGCTCTGTGTATCAACCACCACAAGTCTACATTCTTTGGCTTTCCGAAGCGACAATGTTGGGCAGCTACTAAAGCAGAGAACTTCACTCGTTCACGTTCCAACTGTTGTGGACGAAGTGGTCGATGTATGAAGAGTAGGGCCGTCTACTTACATCAGGATGCAGATAGCTGCATGATTCCTTCTGATCAGGGACATGAGGCGCTAGCTATAGGCGAGGCAGAGTAAACAATCGTCCTTTCAGGTGAGCGAGTGTATTCTGCTGGGCATGAGCCTTGTAAATTAAACGAACAGGAAATAAAACAGCTAATGATAATTTCTCACTTGTTGGACACCTCAGGAAAGAAGAGGTTGTCTGCCTGCATGAAAAGTGACGCACAACAGCCAACTGCACATGCACCTGCAGCGAGGCTTCGCTTCCAAGCCCCTCCAGCCCCATTCCCTGTGCGACACGAAGAGGCACCCTCCAGAAGTGAAAAAGAACGACAGAGACAACATTCAGATTCATCCAATCTCGTCACAACAATGGAGCCAGTATCCCTTGCCCTCAGCGTCGTCCCTCTCGCCGTCCAGCTCGGAAAAGGCATCCACAAACTCCTGGAGCTTCTCCAAGCAATCGAAGATGCACCATCTGAAATCTCATCCATCATCGACGAGGCTGAGTTCCTCCGACTGCTACTCACGCAAATAACAACGAACGATGAGACACTCGGAAAACATCGAGAGACGGAACTCGCTCTACAGCGATGCCAGAAATCACTCGGTGACCTCTGCTCGATTGCAGAATCCTTCGCTTCCGGATTTAGCTCGAAGAGAGGTTTGAAGAGGCGATGGACCGCTGTTGAGATAGTGGGTAAGAAGCAGGATTTTGTGAGGTTGAAGTCGAAGCTTTGTGATGCGAAGCTGGACCTTTTGATTGCTCAGCAGATTTCGTCTGCGTAGGTGTAGTCAGGGTTTTTGTATTGACCTAACACTGACGGGCCTTGTAGTCGGTACACGCAAGCTCAGAACTGTACGAATCAGCAATCGCTGTTTAAGCTCTTGCAGGGGTTCACGGAAGTGAGGCAATTGCTTGAGAATCAAAATCAGCTTGTGACTTCTCGATCGGTAGGAAATGCCACTGAGTTTGAAGAAGCTGTGATGGCTTTGCAGAAGCCATTTTCTGCCTCGTCTTGCCAGATTCGTAACCCAAAAGCTGTCGAGACAGGTGGCATTCGAGCGGAACAGAATAAACACTCTTGTATTACCACCCGTGAGCAGAGAGTGGCGGGTTTCCCTATATCTACCGTCACGAGAACGCCGATGGGAACATTGTACTGCTGGACGACGACCTATTACTTCATTCCAATCGACGAAGATAAAATTCTTGGAATTTCGAAAGCCGAGAAGACTGAAGTGGTGACGAGAATCAATTTCATTCCTTCGTGGTGGATCACGAGAATCGGAATGTCTCGCGTTATGGAGCTGATATCGACGAATTCAAGCACCCAGGGTTGGCAGTACCATCTTAGAACGTTCAATGTAAGTATTCGATAATTCAGTCCTACGTCCCGGCAGGAAAGTGATGGAGACATGGCGCTAACGAGCCTCAGTATGTTCCTAAGTCGTCTTTGATATTTGAGTTCTGCCGTCTCGGCAATACCGACGCTGTAAAGCACTTACTTGCAGAAAGGAAGGCTTCAGTCAACGATATGAATGAATACGGAGAGACTCCGCTACATGTAAGTTCACTGAAAGTCATCTGTGCATGGACTCTGACTCAGATATAGGTCGCGGCTGGCTATTGTCATGCAGATCTTTGCGATGTTCTTCTTCGAGCAGGTTCATGCAGGGATGTTCGCCAGCTTTCGTTCGGCAGCCCATTGTAAGTCTCGAGTTGAGAGCATCATGTCCGATGTTGTGACTCTAATAGTCGCAAAGCACAGCATTTTCGCGCGTTTTCCGCCCAGGTACGATGGTCGACCACAGAACCATGCAAATTAATACTGTGACAAGTGGGCAGTTTGAACAGACCATCCGAGCATTCTTGAGAAGCGGAGAAGAGCTCGAACATGTTAACGATGACTTCTTAATTCCCTCTCTTATCTACGCGGAGAACTTCAACAGTATTGCTGATACGAATTACTTGAGACCTTCCTTATGGATAATAGGAGAAGTTCTCCCGGTCACCAACTCGTCCGTGCTGGATTTGGCTTTCTGGGAGAGCTGTCTCCAAGCTGCTGTTTGCACACACTATGACAGACACCCCTCCACGGAATTCGTCCTAGGCCATTGCAGTGTTGAATCGATAAGAAGACTTCTATTACGTTTGCTTCAGAGTCTAAATGAGTCGTACTCGCTCTCACACAAGACGGGTGATATTCGACTCTTACTTCAGGCATCTGACGGTCTACACTTCTTTGACGAGGTATGGGGAGAAACACCAATCTCCCAGGCACTCAAGCATCCAAGATCTTTCGCTGCACTTCGCATTGCCCTGGCAGCATCATCCTATGATTTCGTAAACGTTGCTCAACAAGAAATACAGTTCCGGAGCAATGGGTGGACGGAGACTAGACTCCTTTCTGTGTTTGAGGACACGCTTAACTTGAACGCGGTTCCTTCTGGTGGCAAAACTTGTCGGGATTGCGGTGACTACAACAGTAGTCCCTGCAAAGAACAAGCTCTGCAATGGAAGAGGAGAGTTCGAAGGTACAAGGAAGGACTTGATCAAGACGTGCCATTGAACGAGGCTGAAACTCAAGAAGAACTGTCGGCAGAGAATGATAAGAAAGGCTCACGAAAAGGGGATATGTTGCGTGTGTCAAGGCACCCTAATAGCGAAACGTTGGCATGCATGATGCATAGCTCTCTTCCTCGTCTTCGTCCCCTGCTTGGTCTTCTCACAGGATAAGATCATCAAAACGACTGTGCGAAACGAAGTAGAAATTGACGGTCGAACAGAAAGATATCTTGATCCTGCTCATTTCTTTTATACTGATCTGTAAAGCTCATAAAAAGTGTGTTGAATGAGTAGAACGCTGTTTTGACATAAACCGAATGACATTGAATAAGTCCAGACAGAGATGGAGTAATCAATGGGGGAACGTACTCAATATCAACAGTACATAAATCGTAACAAATATTCAATAGCACTTACGAATCATCGATTTTCTCGCCCTCGTTCGATATTCGAGACTGGAACAAGTCCGAGCTGTGCTTTGTGTCAAGATTTTCGTGCTCTCGCAGCCAATATAAATTTGCGAAATTGAAGATGTGAGGTGGAATCCTCGTGGTGCAAATGGTCTCGCCACTTGTTGGTGCGAAAAGCCGAGTCTCCTTCCCTGCCTCTGCCTCTGTACGGCGAGTACGCCGAAGTGGCTGGGCCGGTGGAGACGATATAATATAAATGGAACGCTTGAAATGTTCAGTCGCAACGACTTCGAAGCTACAGCATATCGGCGCGAGAAAAGGAAGACCCTGAATATCACGTTCATAAGATGTGTCTTTCACATGCCATGGCCATGGCCATCAGCGTCCGGTTCCTCATGTGCTGATTTCTTCTGGTCATCCGGGTCAGATGATGCGACCGAGAAAGTCTGGAGAAGCGAAGCGAAGCGCGGGTGTGGTGTGGGGTGGGGACGGAAGGAGGAGCGGATCCAGCTCCAGCTGTGAAGCCTGGCCACCTCATCTTTCACATGCTCGCCGAAAGAAGGAAATTTCCCCGGGCCCTCCAGCTTGCTGCTTGCTGACAACGAGCGCTGCGGACGATGCTCGGGGTGAGGCTCGGGGTGAGGTAGGCCGGAATGGCAATTGTACTGTTCGTAGTCACGTACCTAGTGTACTGTCCGATTTCGCACTCAACACATTTGAAGCTCAAGTAAAGAAAGAGTCGAGATCTTGAGTGAGGTGAGGTGTGCGACTTTTTTCTCTCTGGAAGCAGCAGATCTCGCCCGTTTGCGCCGATGCAGCAAATACACTACTGTAACATCGCTGACAGAAGAACGAGCGCCCATTGGCCGAATAGCCGTGACTCTGCCCTTCTTGACCTCGGCATTGCGCCCATTCCCCAGGATCCCGCCAGCCCATGCGGTCTCCGTCTTTAGGTCCGCGTGCATCGTTGAACTAACAAAACCGACCTCGTTCTCCACCTTCTCCTCCTCTCTCTCACACAATCCAAACTCACAAGTTCTCCCTCCTCTCCATCCTCTCTTCCAATCTCTCACACATCCTGCAAAATGACACCCAGAGTTATTGTTGTTGGTGGTGGCTGTAAGCGCTTCAACCTCGATGACCCCACTCAATGGATTCCTAACGTTTGAATAAACAGTGTCCGGCCTCAGTGCTGCGCATACCATCTACCTGGCTGGTGGCAACGTGGTGGTTCTGGATAAGCAAGGTATATAGAATCTGTAAATCTGGTCTGACATCTGCTAATAGCGCTGCAGGTTTCTTCGGCGGAAACTCTACAAAGGCCACTTCTGGCATCAACGGAGCCCTGACTCGGACACAAGTCGACTCGAAGATCCAAGACAGCGTCAAGCAATTCTACGATGATACCCTCAAATCCGCAAGAGACAAGGCCAGGCCAGATCTGATCAAGGTCTTGACATACAAGTCCGCGGCGGCTGTTGAGTGGCTTCAGGATGTGTTCAATCTAGATTTGACCCTCGTGTCGCGGCTAGGGTGCGTATGATTCGTTCCAGATGCACAATCACATGCTAATTTTTAATTCTGCAGAGGTCACTCCCAGCCAAGAACACACAGAGGGCACGATGCGAAATTCCCTGGTATGGCCATCACATATGCGTTGATGCAAAGACTCGAGGAGCTCGCAGAACAGGAACCTGAGCGTGTACAAATCATCAAGAAGGCCCGCGTTACCGGACTGAACAAGGACGGAAACAAGATCACTGGTGTCTCATATGAGTTCGGTGGCGAGACGGACACTATTGATGGCCCAGTCGTTTTGGCAACTGGTGGATACGCAGCCGATTTCACAGAGACCTCTCTTCTCAAGAAGTGGAGGCCAGATACCTTTGACCTTGCATCTACCAACGGCGTTCACGCGACCGGTGATGGACAGAAGATGGTCATGGCTATTGGAGGTAACGGAATTGATATGGACAAGGTCCAGGTACATCCTACCGGTCTTGTTGATCCAAAAGATCCCGGATCCAAGTGGAAGTTTTTGGCCGCTGAGGCTCTCCGTGGTGAGGGTGGTCTTCTCTTGAATGGAGATGGCAACCGTTTCTGCGACGAACTTGGTCACCGTGATTACGTTTCCGGTGAGATGTGGAAGGAGAAGGACAAGGGAAAATTCCCCGTCCGCTTAATTCTGAACTCAAAAGCCTCAAATGTTCTCGACTTCCACACTCGCCACTACTCCGGCCGTGGTCTGATGAAGAAGATGACTGGCAAGGAGCTCGCAAAGGAGATTGGCTGCACACCAGAGCACCTCCAATCCACATTCAGCGCATATAACGACATTGCCGCAGGCAAGAAGAAGGATCCATACGGCAAGAAGTTCTTCCACAATGGCCCAGTAAACGTTGATGATGACTTCCACGTTGCCGTCATGGAGCCTGTCCTCCATTTCACCATGGGTGGTATCGAGATCAACGACAAGGCCGAGATTCTCAACTCAGAAGGCAAGCCATTCGAGGGTCTTTACGGATGCGGCGAGGTAGCAGGAGGTGTCCACGGAGCCAACCGTCTCGGAGGCTCTTCTCTCCTCGGCTGCGTTGTTTACGGACGTGTTGCAGGCGACACTGCCAGCAACTACCTCTTCCAGAACGCCCTTAAGGGCAGCGCAGGTGCATCATCACGTCTCGGCCAAATCTCCCTTCACATCGACCCTTCGCAGCCAGGCAAGATCTCCGTAGAGTGGGACAGCCAGGGTTCCAGCTCCGGAACGGGCTCCAAGCAAGCACAGCAGTCACAGTCTTCAGCCGGTCCTGTCATGAGCAAGAATGGCGACTCTTCCGACCCAGGAAAGGTCAGCAAGCCTAGCAAGCCCTCCGAGTTCAAGATTCCCGAGAAGGAGTTTTCAATGGAGGAAGTTGCTAAGCACAACAAGAAGGAGGATCTCTGGGTTGTGGTCAAGGGCGTCGTGATGGATTTGTCTGATTGGCTTGATGAGCACCCAGGTGGACCACAGGCTATCATGAACTTCATGGGTCGTGATGCGACCGAGGAGTTTGAGATGTTGCACGATGATGAGGTTATTAGAAAGTACGCGCCTTCGCAGGTCATTGGACGTGTGAAGGGCCAGAAGATTACGCTGGAGGCATAGATTGAAAATTGAGTTGGGAGCAGCGGCGGGGAAAGGATTAGGATGATGATGGCTTCGGTTGGGTGTATTGATAGCTAGCAAGTACTCTTTTTACGCCTACCTACTTCTTGGGTATCAGCCTCTCTTAAGACACTCATACATACAACACAAAATGCATACTCGTGTTTTACCTGTCGATTATTTTGACCTCACTTTTTGCATGTTTGTGACCCGGATCCCGGAACCACCTACCACGCACGATGAAGGGCAGTTAAGCTCACTGTATCATGAATTTGCCTGTAGTGTTGGAGGAGGGGGCGGGGAGGCGGTTAGGAAACACCAAACCAGACCACCAGCCCAACAGTCTGCGAAGTAGGCAATATTGAAGGAAGGAAGGAAGAAGTAAAAATGCAAGGTGGTGGCAGACATGTGGCCATGTCGCATCATCTCACCTCAAATGCGGCACTGGATGGGGACGGAATAGCATCCGGACCACTGACTGACTGAATAAAGTCGCCGATCGAGTGAAGCCGAGTAAGAATAAATGCAAATGAGACCTTTGGAGATTGGAGGAAAGCTTGCAATCGAGGAGAGTGACCAGTGACCATTTTCCCTGCCTTGTTCGCGTGGTGCTGGGGATGAAATGGGATTTTGGAATCCGGAGTGGGGAATGGAGGCTGGGAAAATGATAGATAGATAGGCAAGGTTGGATGAGGTATGAGACGAGGAAGGGAGATGAGAGTGAGTGATGAGAAAAGGTGCGATGAAAGTGAAGTGAGATGATAATGAAGGAACTGGCTGTGTATGTCTTACGCTGGGGTTTCTTCGGGTGGAGCAGAATGTGTTTATGAGGATTGATACGGAGCGTGAGGATAATAGGGAGAGGGACAGAGAGTGAAGTGAGAGCAAGATTAAGAGGCAAATGAGAATCAGAAAGTACAATACCGTACTCGCAGTACTGCCTCTGCGAGGCTTTGACAGGTTTTCGTTTGCTGGAGACAGATGGGTGAGAGGGCACAAGAGTGAGTAGAACACCCGGATTGAAAAAGAACAGAAGACGTAAGACATGAAAACAAAAACGAAAATTATGAGCAAAGCCCAACCATAGAGACAACTCCCATGCGCGAAGGGCGCCAAAAGTCTGCTCGTAGATCCACGCCCTGCATGCAAACAGGACAACGTACGTCTTGAAAATATCCACGCTGGGCAACCAACTTCATTCCAAGGTTTTTGTCAACTCACGCTGCGTGTGCGAAGAGAAATTCGTATGAGAAGAGAGGTCAAGATCAGCGACGTCAATGATGTGCTTCAAAAACACCGCCGACATCAAACCGACAACCCGCCCTCCCAACTCAGCCCCATCGCATCGCCTCTTTAATCAACCTGCCTGGTTCTTTTAAGGGTCCTCAATCCCAGCTACAGGTAGGTAGGCTCGGTAGGTACCTGCGGCGATACCAAATGCATGAACATGAACACCGCAGTGGAGGGATCCCCCCAAGGCAAGGCTCCCGTCCTGTCAGGTCCAGTCCAGCATGCACACGGTACTGTATCCACAAACGGCCCGAAAGAAGCTCCAGAGGAACGGAACGAAACGGACCCAGCGACCCGAAGCGATCGCTGGTGCAGGAGAAGTGTGGATGTGCGATACAGCGACTTATGCACCCCGGATTTTTGATGGGTTGGGGCTGGGTGTGCCAAGATTTCGGGCTTTGGACGTCGTTGTTGTTGTTGGTGGTGGTGGGATTGTTGTTGTCGCTTGATTTTGTTGATGATGCTTCGCGAATGAATTTGAGATTGATTCAATATGTTGCTACAGCTATAGCTGTTGGTCATGATGGATTTCTATGAGACATTTGGGACATGATGATTATTTGATCATAAAAATAGGGACGTCGCTTTCTGTTTCATGCTGTGGTGGGTTGTGCGCACTGTGGTTATTTTGGCTTTCGCTTCGCATCGCCTGGCCCTGTAGCGTTGTTTACTTGCGTAGCCTTGCATATCCGAGGATTTGATGGTCATACCTGTTGAGCGGAATTGTACTTCAGCTGTCCTCAAACACCGTGTAAATGTGTAGGCTATCTGGAGCACAGAGATCGAGATACTCTCGGTCAACTTGTTAATATAGCGTATTCGGAAATGCTTTGGCATTCTTGACCAGAGCAGAGCATGCGGGTTTTGCGAAGGACGCGGAGGACTTTGTAGCTGAGAGGCTAGACAAGTTTGGCGGAGTAGCATGCACTGAAGGTAGAAGAGCTTTGGAATCCCCTGGTGGAGCATCCTATTGTCCTTAGAAGCCTGGGAGAGATATGAACGTCTCACTGCTACGTCACCACTACGCAGAACTCCTGGTTCGAGATGCAAAGACCAAGAACCGCCGGGAAAAGATATTCGACAGCGAGAAATTCGACAGAGGTGGTTGCCATAGCCAACAGCCTTGCTTGCATCTGAAGCTGGCTGGTGCTCATGCTGGTACATATTTTGTTGATATGTAAGTGCATTGCAGTTTTGCCTCCGGGGATTATTCATCTGAATATTGTCAGATCATGATTTGTTTGGTGGCACCACAGGGCTGCAGAACAGTGTATCCTATGTTCCCATAGTTGATACAGAGCCAGGACCGAACCTGGAAGCCAAGAGCAAGTTCTCGCATATTGTATCGAGTGATCGTTGAGATTGTCAGTCCCTATCAACCGTGAATCCTGCCAATGATAGCTGAGGAGTACCTAAAAGGGGTAACATGTTCGCTTTCTTTGGCAATCTCTCCAACTCTACAAATCCTGGATTGTGACATGCAGATGTGTTGGAACTCATCTATTTCCACAACAGCAGGGATAAATGGTGCCCATCAAGTCGAATCGTGTGATGCTGGCAGGCGGGTGGTGATCATTTCCACCCTCCCGCCGCCGATAAATGCCCTACCCGACGACAGCCGTGGTCATGCCACAACCCTATTCAATTGTCATGCGGCATTGCGATACACCTCCTCCTAGCATTTCGAGTTCCTCATATCAACCTGTGTTGTGAGGGTAGCGTGTCATGGTGGATGATAACTTGATGCATGGAAGGATTGACCCTCATTTGGTGGCTTGAAAGTACCGAAGTGGATAGCCACATCCACATCCACTGATCTGACCGCTTGGCAGCACATATGTCAACTTGGCAAGACCTCCGCTTAAAACCAACTGCAAGAAACTTTCAATACAAATTATGACAAGACTGGACTTGCTGGAGGCGGCTGGGAGCGCGGTGCCCAAGGCTGGTAAAGAAGTTACTCCTCACTTGGCGAGCTTGGGGGTACTTGGCCAGTAGTCATAAACGAGGGCAAACATTACCGAGGCGGCAAATCAGTATTTAACATCAATACCAGTTTTGTAGTGCTTGCGTAACTGGTCCTTCCTCTTATCGAAGAGCATATCCAGAATCCAAAACCAACACGCAGAGCAGTCAGGCGATTGGCGTCTGTTGGTCGTGGCGGCAGACTCCGTGGAGATGAGTATTAATAGGTGATGTGGACGGTATCTCCCTTGCCGCGCAATTCTAATGAAACGTGGGAGTTTTGAATGCAGGGAGGGAACAAAAAGATGCAGGAGATGAAAAAGGAGACAAACATGGCTTGACGATATAATTAACTCTACCCTCCCTACCTATCAACCATGTTGCTGCATTGCGAAAGCAGACAGCATGGCAAGTCGACGAGAACACAAGCCTTGGGAGCTTCTTGGGACTCTTGGTTACACGAAGTCATACCGAGCTCCAGAGACGGTGAGCTGAAGACGCACAAGACGAGGAATAGCAATAGGGCAGACCTTGCGCTACAGAAGCAGAAGGGTACCCACCGATGATCACCACAAGGAAGGAAGAGAATGTGTAACGAGTGACAGAAAAGGGCTGCACTGCACTGCACTGCATTTCAATCCACGTCAACAAAGTTTGGTATCTTGTGGCATTATAGAAAGGTGATGAGTGTATTATACAGGCCATGTCAGCTGAATGTGTCATGTCATGACATTTGGGGGTTGGCACCTAGCACTTGGGACTCGCGGTGTGAAAACTTGAGAGGGGGAGTTAGTTACAGTTGCCCTGAGTTGAAGGCGAGCGAGCGAGGTTTCGGTTTCGGTTCGGCAATGCCAGTGTGAAAGTCAGGCTAAGCTCAGTTCAGCCCGTCTAAACTCCTTAGATACGTTTTCCAGGCGGTGTAAGGGGCTGTTCTGCCGCTTTTCACCTAATGCTTCACGGCAGCGCCATCAGTCCACCTTCAGCATTACCTAAGGTAGGTAGGTAGGTACCTTAGGTATCCTGCCTGCCTACGCTGCCTCCCCTGACCCAGCCATCCTATCCTACGCTATCCTATCCTATCCTATCCTGCGCGTCCGGATGAAAGAAGGAGCGCCTCATCTGCTGCTGCTTTACGCAAACTCCAGAATTAAAGAATCCTTCAACGTTGCTTTCCGCTGCACTGGTTCTGGTTGTATGGCTGGCTTGCTTAACGCGCTCTGTTCCCGCCTGTCAAAGTCAAACAGCCCCGGCCTTCTGGAAAACCACCCTACAGACTACAGTACAGTACTGTACAGTACCCCCGTCTCCGCACTCCCAGACTTCTGTCTCCCCTCGCCTTGCCCTGCCGGGCCTGCCCTGCCCTGCCCCTTCCCCGGGTCTGGTCTGTTCGAGGCTGGGCACTTCCATTATTCTCAACTCCCCCCAAGTTACCTATCACGATATCAACCACTGTGTCGACCATCACTCCATCGTCCATTGTCCACCGCTCCACTCCCGCCGGCCTCGTGTTTCTCGTCATAAACGCATCTTCGTCCTCCTGCTGTGTCTCGCAGGAAATCCTTCCTCGCCGCCTGCCCGCATCGGCATCGCACCGCACCGCACTGCTCATTTCGTGGCAATTTTTGACCCTATTTCGGAGCACGGAATGACCAGGCCCTGCAGGCGACGGTGCCACACCCTGCCTGCGCAACCCATCAGCTTCTCAGCTCCAAGCCATCGCGCCCGCCCCGTCCAGTAGCTGCAGCAGCCCAGCACTCAAGCCCAAACCCAAGCCCAAGCCCAGGCCGCTCTTTGCGACTCCAGCGCTGCACTTCCGCCAGTCCCAGTAGTAGTAGTCCCTCCACTGTGAGCAGTCTGAGGCCTGTCTGGCGTGTCTTCCATTCCATTGTCTTGCCTGCCCAGTGCCCAGCAAGCAGCACCCTCTGCCCTCGCCCTCTCCCTCACCTTGGAGTCTTGGACACTGCGCTTGCTCCTCTTCCCCATCATCCATACTCCCCAACTGCCTTTCTTCCCCACACCAACCTAACTCCCATAAACTGCCTTGTCTTCGCTCTTCCGGCATCCTCTCTCCCCGTCCTCGAGCCAGCGACCCGCTCTCCCTCTCCGACAGACCACCCCCTCGTCTCCTGTCCACTGCCCTCTCCGACTATCTCCACCCTCTTCGATCTTTGTCGACCACCTCTCAAATCCACGTGAGTCTGCGACTGGATTGACTGACTGTGGTGTGCTGGGAAAGCGTTGGAACAAGGAGGGAATGATTCTCACGACTACTGGGTACAACTCTGCGAGAACTCCCGGTTGCCAATAGGGATGCCTATTCCCATGCACCAGAATCCCGATGATCACAGACCAATCTTCAACCCCATCCCTTCGTCGACAACACCGACCATTATCTGCGCCGACCTGACGAACTCATCTATTGCACCATGGCAATAGCCATGGCCTGGCACAAACCCGACAATGTCGCTGGCTCATCAGCACCGGCCATCATGGTCGGGCTGTTTGTCGCAACTGGAGGACTGCTTTTCGGTTACGACACTGGGTGAGTAGGGTGGAAGAGGGAACATGGAGTAGATGGAGACTGACGGAGACATAGCACAATATCTGGAATACTGGCTATGAAGGCATTCCGCGAACAATTCTCGACGGGATACATCGATCCGCACGATGGCTTCCCCAACGTTTCTCCAGCTCAGTCGTCAATAATAGTTGCGATACTCAGTGCGGGAACCTTTTTTGGAGCACTGCTAGCAGCACCTATTGGTGACAAAATCGGCCGTCGTATATCACTGATCATTGCTGTGATTATATTCTCTTTCGGTGTTCTTCTTCAGACGATAGCAATGGCAATTACTCTACTAGTTCTTGGGAGGTACGATTGACCCTGCTTTAGCGCACTTTGCTACGAGACTGACCTGACTTGGACAGATTCTTTGCCGGACTAGGTGTTGGAATTGTCTCGGTGTTGGTTCCCTTGTATCAATCCGAAATGGCCCCGAAATGGATTCGAGGTACTCTGGTTTGTGCGTATCAGCTTGCCATCACCACTGGTCTTTTCCTCGCTGCTGTTGTCAACATCCTGACCGAAGGAATGAACCACCGCAACGCCTTTCGTATTCCACTTGCCATGCAATTCATTTGGGCTGGTGTTCTTCTCCTTGGATTGTTACTCTTGCCAGAGACGCCGCGGTATCTTATCAAACGGAACTTACATGCCGCAGCGGCCTCTTCTCTCAGTCGGTTACGCCGACTTGATATTACGCATCCAGCTTTGATCGAGGAACTGGCTGAGATCCAAGCCAATCACGAATATGAATTGAGCCTTGGTCCTTCCACATACCGAGATGTTTTCTTCGGTTCTCCCCATCTCGGCCGTCGCCTGATTACCGGATGTGGTTTACAAATTCTGCAGCAACTATCCGGATGCAACTTCATCTTCTATTACGGCACCACTTTTTTCGCTCGTATCAACGTCAAATCACCTTACGTTGTCGCTCTGGTAACCAATGTTGTCAACGTCGTCTCTACGATTCCTGGAATGTTCCTTGTCGAAACCTTGGGTAGGCGTCGACTTCTCATGATTGGTGCTTTTGGCATGGCTGTATGTCAAATAATTGTCGCCTCTGTTGGAACTGCCATGCCCGACTCCAATGCAGCCAGCATGGTCCTCATCGTCTTTGTATGCCTTTATTTATTCTTCTTCGCCGCTTCTTGGGGACCTGTTGCTTGGGTCGTCACCTCCGAAATTTATCCCCTCAAAGTCCGTGCCAAATCGATGTCGATCTCGACAGCTTCCAACTGGCTACTCAATTTTTCTCTTGGATATGGAACGCCGTATCTAGTGAACCCTGGTCAAGGTTACGCCAATCTGCAGTCAAAGGTCTTCTTTATATGGGGAACGTTTTGCGCCATTGCAGTCGTTTTCGTTTGGGCGATGGTCTACGAAACGAGCAGAATTAGTCTAGAACAGATCGACGAAATGTACGAGAGAGTTGACCGTGCCTGGAACAGCAAATCTTTCCAGCCAAGTTGGAGCTTCCAAGAGATGCGAGACGAAGGAGTTTCGGCGAGTGGGATTCAACTCACCGAAACCGAAGAGCCTCGACGGCGGACTGCTACGAGTACCAGCACCGCCGACAGCAGCACAACCATGACAGAGGAAGACAAGATTATTGCCCAATTAGGGGACGTAGATCTAAGTTATTAATATCCCGATTTTGCTTTTTGTCTCACTTCAGTGTAATTCAGCGTGGAGTTTTCTGTCATGGAGTTTATGGGAGGCGGCAACCACACCCTCGGAGTTTTGGGACACACCTCTATCAAGGAATTGAGGTGAGGGTATCTGTATCTGGGGGATCGGCTTGTCCAACATCATTTTCTTCGGCGATTAAATGGGGTTCCTTCAAAATTGGGAATCTTACGATGGAATAATCGTCGTCGGGGACAGAAACATATACCATGACTATGATACTATATCAAACCAGTCAGTTAGCTGCATGATGGCTAGTCGGACGAACCAGACAGACGCGATGGCGAGATACCTACCGACCGCTGCTAAGACCAAAATAAAGATGCAGTGTGAATGATATATACTTTATCTATGTATGGCATTGTTCATCTGCTCGTAAATGTACTACATGACACACAACTTGACTTTTCACCTCTCACGACTTGGCTGGGATGAATGAAGTCTTACAGCAAATACTACGAAATAGTCTACCAAGATTCAGATTCCCTAACACCCTTTGTTAAGACATATCTCCTGCCAGAGTTGACACAACTTCGTCCGTTTCCGCGTCAAGTCTTGAGCAGTGTAATCAACCCTCTATCGAATCTATCGAACTCGAGTTGCACGTCTTGCTCGTCTTGCGTGTCCGAGCAGGACACGGTCAAAAACCTCTCAACCGTTGTTGGAAGTTGCAATATTAACGAACGTGATTTGACAAGAACACCCTGCTCAACTCGACTTTGAGTCAATGGAGGACTTTGCATACATTTGAACTCGAAGAGAAGATGGAGTAGATTGCTCGTTGAATGATGAATGAATAATAACGGTCACCGATACTCAGAAGTGCGAAGTTCTAAAGCGAGCAAGCCTCAAAGAACCAAGTGCTACAAGCAACAGTCCTATTAGTCAGTCAATGCCAAGAAATGCGAAATCGAACCGCCAATATCGTCATGGCTCCACATCCAGACCTCCCCTCCATACCAACAAACTCAATAGCCAAACCCTTCCAAAATGCGCCTCAAGACATTTATCTACCCATTGCTCTGCGCAGCCTTCTCCGTATTCGCCGCTCTCCCAAATCAAAAGCCTCTCTCAAACCCCGACACCAACCTCGGACCCGCGATGCCCTCTCCACCATCTGCCTCCAACCCAGGCGGCTCCAGCAACAGCCCCAGCGACAGCGTAATACTCTCGGACGTCCTAGGCAATGACCGTAGTATCAACATATTCGCAGGTTTCACGCGCGACTTTGCGACCATCTCCCAGCGCTTCGAAGACAGCAATGCGAATACCACCATCCTGGCACCTATCAACTCGGCGATTATGGCGTTACCGCGCAAACCGTGGGAAGATCCCAAGGATTATGATGTGCTCGGCGCGGAGGCCTATGAGGGCGAGAAGGGGGAGGAGCGCGCGCATAGGAATATGAGGAGGTTTGTGGAGGCGCATGTTGTGCCGGTTAGTCCGTGGAGGGAGGGGGAGAAGGTTAAGACTTTGGCTGGTGGGGAGGTTTGGTGGGAAGGGAAGGAGGGAGGGATAAAGTTGGTGAGTTTGATCTTTCTATTATGGATTCTATCGAAGAATTTGGTTGCGGCGCCGGTAGATTTGAAGTGTTGTGGTGAATGGTGCTAACTTTCGATATGTAGATCCAACCGGGCAATATTGAAGTCAGTTCTGTGGCGAGTAAGGTGTATAATGGTGAAGTTTGGATCTTGAAAGGTGTGAGGAACTATGTGTAGTGGAGAGAAGGCCGGTATACTGAGTTATATTTATGCGTTGGCGTTGCTGGGCGTTTTGATTCTCAAGACTTCGGAAATACTGCTTGTTGAATATAGGCGTCTCGGAATACACGAATGGAGGGGCTTGTTTGCGGAGAATGAATTTGCAGTGTCGACGTAAAGTTATGGCATACATGGCATTCGGAATGATATACGGTTGTGTTTGAAAAACACCCTATTCAAAGAAATAACGAGATCTCTCAATATACAATGGGTAAATAGCAGACGATTAATGTATTGGAAGAACCTCAAAATCATGACATGTCTTCCACTGTTGCCTTTCATGAGCTTTGTTTTTCATATTGCCTTCTTGGTGAATCTTGGATACAAAGCAAAATTGGGAAGCCATCTCCAAGTCCAAGTCCTTACTTACAGTGAATCAATCTAAGCGAGACTCAAATTCCCAGAAATAAGAAGCGCATACTAGAATACACCAAAGGAAGAGTTATCAGTCATTGCATCAATCAAACAGTCTATCTGCTAAAGTAATTGGGACTGAATGGTGTCTCCACCTTGTGGCCATGGTTATTCAATATTTTACATGGCCTGCAGCACATCTCACATCCTTATAATTTGAGACAATTGAGCACTCGAGCTCAGTCGTGTATCACCTAAGAGACCCTTCTTAGACTCGTAGTCTACATCTTTCGCTTTCTTCTAATCAATAGTGGTGACTTCGTTCAAATGTGCTGGCGAGGCTGTCTATCAGCCTTCTCCAGTGACGGGATTTGCCGATTTTGGTCAGGGGTGGCAGTTATCGCATCACTTCACTCTGCAAGTGCTCTGCCCTCCTCTCCGCCTTTCATCACACTTCACTCTCCCACGTCAACCACTCGAGTAAACATTCGGCACATCGTAAAGTCACTCGGAACCTAGTCTCAAGCTTCACTGTTTACAACACTCCATGCCTGAGCCGTTTGGCACGTATGAGCCCCTTCTGCTACTTCTCTCTCCATTACCACCAGCAAAGCAAGAATCAACGAGGCTAACACTCAGTAGAGCGCATTATACCTACGCATAACGATAGACTGGTTCAACCATTTCTCCGAAAACTCCCCTGAACCCTTACGGACATCCACTTACTGATCATGAATTCCCAACCTCATGGTCCGCCTGGGGGCTTCGACCGAGAGCGCGAAATCGAAGAACATAACAGGCAACGTGCAATACAAGATGACCTTGCACAACGGGAACGCGAGCGCGAAATCAATGAAAGACAAGATAGAGAGAGACAACACCGAGACCAATATCAACCAGCTCAACCCCACCAGAATAGCGCCAGCTCGCTTCCCCTTCACCAACCTGTAGCATCTCGCCTACCAGGCGCCATTCATAGCCCTGGAGGACTTCTTGCAAACCACGGTGGCGCCCCTCCGTCTGGTCCTCTCGGTGCTCCCAGTGGCCCTGGGAATGCATTCGGTGGACCTCTTCATGGCGAAGCTCGCCCTATCCAGCACAACCCACAGCAAGCTACCAACCAGCTTCAGCAGCAGCAAGGCTTTGGGCCCAGCATCATGCACCACAATTCCGTTGGTGGTCCTGGGGGAAATGCTGCATTTGGAGGACCATTACAACAGCAGCAGGCCCAGCAGCAGCAACAGTCGGCTCAACAGCAACAACAGCAAGAAGCCGTCTCGCGATTGCAACAGGCCCTTCCATTTGGCGGACCTATTCCACAAGGGCATCAAATGCCCGGAGCTCCTGCGTTGGGACAAGCGGGACAACAACCGATATTGAATGTGAGTTTCCGTCTTATGACATTCACCCCCCTTCATTGTCACTATGCCTCCATTCTCCTCATATTATGCGCACATCCCCTTTTCGGCCAGCTGCCAGCACCAGTATGATCGATACAGCAGGTTCTCTATCTCTCACTGTCATTTTGGGGCTATTGATGACTCTGAATGTCATCGAACTTGGCCTTGGATGCAGGCTAGCACAGTCCCATAACCTTTTCTTACCTCACTCCACTAAAGTCTCAAAAAAATGTTTCAGTACTGACTGAATATTAATGGGTAGGACGCTCTCAGCTACCTCGATCAAGTTAAAGTGCAGTTCGCCGACCAGCCAGACGTGTATAACCGGTTTTTAGATATCATGAAAGACTTCAAGAGTCAAGCGTATGTGACGGATCTCTTTCAAAGCTTCGGCTCCGAAATTCGGAGACTTCTTGATGATCGCTTTTGCTGATTTTCATAGAATCGACACCCCTGGTGTCATTAATCGCGTTTCCGAACTTTTCGCAGGTCATCCGATGCTCATCCAAGGATTTAATACATTTCTACCCCCCGGTTATCGTATTGAATGTGGCGCTGGAAACGATCCTAATACAATCAGAGTTACTACACCTATGGGCACAACTGTTCAGTCGATTTCAGGCGGGCGTGCTCTACCTGATGCCGTTGTAGCTCAAGGCGGTGGATACTACAACCCCGGACGACCCGGTTGGCAACAGCAACAGCCTCAGCACAGCATTGAAAGTCCAGAAGGAGTCTTCAGCCCTCAAGCGCAAAGTGGAGCGCAGATCTATAACCCAGCTCCTCCACAGCACGCTTACGAAAACGCAGCGGCTGTCACTGCTCACCAGCAGCAGCAAAGAGGTGTTTCTCAGTTGACAAACGCAGTAGCAACGTTGGGACATCCTCCAAGAAATGCGCAGACACCTACCCCTGGTGGCCAGCCAGGCATGAATAACGGAGCGCAACCTGGATTGGAGAAGCGAGGACCTGTCGAATTCAACCACGCTATCAGCTACGTGAACAAAATCAAGGTTAGTAAATTTACACATTCACCATCGCTTAGGCAAAGACAATACTAAGCTTCTCCACAGAATCGCTTTCAAGACCGACCAGAAATCTACAAGCAATTCCTTGAAATTCTTCAAACCTACCAACGAGAGTCAAAGCCAATCCAAGACGTTTACGCCCAAGTCACCACTCTCTTCAACACGGCACCGGACCTTCTCGAAGATTTCAAACAATTCCTTCCTGAGTCCGCTGCTCAAGCAAAAGCAGCCGCAGCAGCCAAGGCAGCGGAAGAAGCTCAACAGACCCAAACTCCTCAAAGTCACGGTCCTCGTGGAGAGCCAAAGATGCCACCGATCGGCAATTTCGCCGTACCCGCAAGTACAGGCAAGGAGGGCAGAAAGAGACCTCGCAATAGTGGTGTTGCACCCGGGTCGCAGCCCAACACCGTCGCAGAGAGTTCGAGAGCAGCACAAGCAAATGCAGGAAATAAGGTACGTAAAATCGGAGCAATGACGCGAGCGCCGGAGCTATTAGACTCGACTGTTTTTTCGTCATTTATTACCCATACCCGAGCAAAGCTAATCTGAATTGTAGAGAGCAAAATTGACCCATAAATCAAACGCTCCAGATGCTCCAGCGGTATCTCCGACATTGACGCCAATCATGCCTGAACCCATGCCTCCAACTTCTACTTCGGGTGCCACGTCCGAGGAGCTCGCGTTCTTCGATCGCGTGAAGAAGTACATTGGGAACAAGTCAGCCATGAACGAGTTCCTGAAACTCTGCAACCTCTTCTCGCAAGACCTCATCGACAAAAACGTACTTGTGCACAAGGTCAGCAACTTTATCGGCGGCAACCCAGACTTGATGAACTGGTTCAAAGTCTTCGTTACCTACGATGGCCACGACGCAGTTGTCGATAATCGTCCGAGGGCACCACCAGGCAAAGTCGCACTGAGCAATTGCAGAGGACTGGGTCCCAGCTATCGTCTCCTTCCGAAAAGAGTACGTATTCCCGTCATGCCTCTTCCAAGTTTTCTGTTATTGTGGATGTCGTTCTGTTTTTAGCGAGGTCGCGGAATGGTATTGTGAACGCGATCGTCGTTGTATTGTTCCTCCCCTCAAGGTTGAAGACCCTTCCTATTGCTCTTGGCCAGTGTCAAGTCACATCATCAAAACATTTCATCTTAATTCAAAGTACCTTCTACGCCCTTCTTCTATTTAGTCAAGCTTTTCCCATTACGAAGAAACACTACACAAAACCCGATTTCATTCCCACATGGCACCACCATACACTTATGTACCCTTCGAAATCTCCTCTTGCAGGAAAGAATGCGCTCCCAACCCGGAAGGGCTAGGGGTCGGAATTACCTGCGTATAGGGCATGCCAGGTGCGCAAAGCGCGCCTTGGAAAACAATTCGCCAGGCGACGCCTTCAAGGAGAATTTCTCCAAGCGGAGAAAGGTCTCACCAAAGCTGAAAGCTGCTGTCAAGAAGAAGACAATGTTTTGGAATCGTATTGACCAGAACCACCAGGAACGTTTAAAGCCGTGTTCCGGTCGCGATGAGATGTGCCACGAAGTTCTCAACGATAGCTGGGCATCGCATCCTACTTGGGCATCAGAAGACTCTGGATTCGTTGCTCATCGAAAGAACATATACGAAGAGGGCCTTCACCGCATTGAAGAAGAACGACACGACTATGATTTCAATATCGAAGCCAATGCCAAAGTCATCCAGCTTCTGGAGCCCATCGCCCAGTCAATCCTTGCCATGAATACAGAGGAGAGAGAGAGCTTCCGCATGCCAATCGGACTCGGTGGAGCATCCCAAGCCATCTACAAGCGTGTACTCAAGAAGGTTTATGGTGAACGTGGTCCAGAAGTTGTGGCAGATTTGTTCAAGGACCCTTGCGCTGTGCTCCCAATCGTTCTGGCTAGATTGAAGCAGAAGGACGAGGAATGGCGCTTCACTCAGGTAAAATACCCGGTCTGTACTACAGGAAAACATGCTTACCTTCATTTAGCGCGAGTGGGAGAAGGTCTGGGCTGCACAGACTTCCAACATCTACCTCAAGAGTCTCGACCATATGGGCATTCAAGCCAAGCAATCGGACAAGAAGAATTTCTCCGCAAAGCACCTCATCGATGCGATCAAGGCCAAGTATGAAGAGCAAAGACGCCAACGAAGCCTGAAGGGACGAGCGCATGCCTATCAGTTCGCCTACAACTTCACAGATCGTGATGTCATCCTCGATGTCCTCCGTCTCATGCTTGTCTACGTTTCAAACGCCAGCCAACACAATCCAGCTGAACGAATCCGCATCACCAGTTTCTTTGAGAAATTTCTCTCGCAATTCTTCGACATCTCAGAAGATGACATTACTCGTTGCAGTGCCGGCATCGACCGTGGAACTCCTGATGACGATTCTGAGGACACTGCCCATGTCGAACTCACCAATGGCAGAGGCAGACGCGGTGGCAACGGCAAGAAGACCGATCTTCGTCGCGGCGTTTTGGACAAAGCCAGGAACGGAGTCAGAGGCCGGGGCCAGAAGGATGATAGTGCTACTGGTAGCAAAGAATCTACGCCAGACGTGGAATCTGTCGCAGAAGATGATGCAGATGCTTCAGAAGAGCCCATCAACCGAGTCACTGACCAACGCTGGACGACTCTTCCTGGTGCCATTGAGTTGGGTCGCACCGTACAATACCCCGGCCTCAGCCCAGACCAACCATTCAAGCGCGATTGGTACAGCCTCTACGCGAATCAAAGCATCTTCGTCTTTTTCAGCGTCTTCCAAACTTTGTATCGCCGGTTCAAGGAAATCAAGGACAGCGAGGATTCCGCGAGAGAGGAGGGCATCAAGGCAGCGAAACCCAAGCCTGCAAAGGTAATCGGCTTGGTTACTGAGCATGAGGACTATACTGCTGCAGCGCTCAACGACCCCACCTTCTACTACACCAAGACTTTGGAACATGTCACGCATTATATCGAGGGCGACGTGGACGACACAGCATACACAAGCTGGTTCCGACGATACTACTTGAAGAAAGGCTGGCAACTGTACACCATCCAAGACCTTCTTAAGCATATCTCCAGACTCGGCGCTGTCTGCTCCAGCACCGACATCAAAGAAAAGACACCTGACCTTGTTGAGGCCTTCTATCAGAACAGAAAGCACGAAGAGACTTCCTTCAATACTGAGATCAATATGAGAAAGCAGGCCGACAAGTATATCAAGGACCAAGAGCTTTTCCTGATCAAATGGGTAAGCCTGGTCCATTCTTTGTCCTTGAACTTTACTAACAAAATGTACAGTATCCAAACAAGAGTCAAGCCACATTGAAGTGGGTTCAGAAGGAAGAAACTACTTTTGACATGGACGACATGGAACGCAAGGAGCGTTGGCAATACTACAACTCGTCCTATGTGCGTGCCGAGCCAACTGAGGGCGTTCCTCGCGGCAATCTTCAGAAAGTCCTCCTCTTCCGCAACATTTCTGGTGCCGACAGTGACTTCGACGAGGGCAACCCAAAGAAGCCATTGATATACCACGAGGACTTGAACCTGCGCATCGAAGTCAACACATACAAGATTATCTACCGCGAGCCAGGTACTGAGTGGTTCTTCTACAGTGGCAACCCTCTCACTTACGATCCCGAAACCAACGAGAGTGCTGCTCGCGAGCGTCTTCGCAAATTCGAGAACGTCCGCACTGAGCGCTTTAAGGAGAAGTTTGAGATGAACAATGCTTGGATGAAGGGCCTCGATCGTGATGAGGTTGCTAAGGTCAACAATGACTTTAGAAAGTGGATTGATGGCGACCAACCTGCTGCAGCTGAGCCTGAGCCTATGGTCCAGTGATCTTCCTCTGTGAATCTTACACCTGTATCGCTAGGACGCAGGCCTGCTATGGCCTCTTCATCACATATCGACATCAATATGCTGCCTGATCATGTTGTCTACGAATTCCATTTCCACTACATCGCTCGATATCCGACTTGGTGCGACGCAATAGCCAGACAGAATTATTTCGAACATACATCTTTGCATGGGATTTTCAATTTGCTTCGCCTTTTCTTCATTTTCTCTCCTTGATCATATACAAAAATGGTGTACTGCGCAGGTGGATGGACGGCGTGTACACACCACGGGCGCGATTTTGATATTGATTCGTTTCATGAGTTTTCTTCGTTGGCTTACTATGGTGCGTTGCTTTGCACTGCGACTGGGTGGTGGGACGGCTGGATGGATGTATAATAGATCCGATCAATTGATCTCTGCTTATACTTAACAAAGGACCCTGTGATTCAAGAGAAGGCAATAAATAATCGTATGGGATCGTCTCATATGGACCGGTAAGTTCTGTCTCTAAAGACCTTGCTACTACGTCATAGTAGCTGTACGAAATCGCTGACCCAGCTTGTGAGTAGAGACTGGGCTAAACATCAGAGACCCTTACAACTAAACCTGATTTCTGCATGCCTCCTCGTGATCTCTGATTTTTCTCTTCTTTGACGGGCCTAAATTTTCAGCACTGCTCCTCTTAGTTTAGTTGGTACGTTCTTTCTCCAAGCTCCAGATCACAGGCGTAATACATCCAACCACCTAGCGACTTGTACATCATCACGTATCTGTGTAAGTTCATATGCTTACATTTCTCACATAATCCCTAGCAGCTAATACGATGGAGTCCGGAAACATCAATTGGGCTTTGCATTCTTCAGAGTAGGTATATCGTATCTCTACACAGTCACACACGTCCATAACAATGATCCTACACTCCCCGCATCGATCCAAAAGAGAGCCAGCAAGGCATAAAGAAACGCCATCCCATGCTTGCGTGAACAATCACCTAACCCAAGAGCTGGTATCGTATCCAAGTATATAGTACAAGAAGAAAAATTGAAATCTGCAGTTTTTAACCGGCCCCGTCCTCATGACCGCTGCTTTTGTGATCCTTGCCTTGGAATGCGCTCTGTGTAGCTGTGGGAGTCATGATTCGCAAGTGCAGAGCTGGGCTTTGGAACGTCGTTTTGTCTCCTTCCTTCCCTATCTTATCGTTTCATATCGAATCCAACATCGAGTTACAAGCTCATCCATACCTTGCCAAGTACAAATACACCAAGACCGCAATCCATGTGATACGCCACGTACTCGTCCAAACTTCCCTCCAAATAACACCCAAGGGCGTCCTCTGCTTTCCAATTACAAAATCACTTCTCTTCTTTCCAAAATCATCAAGATACCTTGTCGAGGATCCATTGCTCTTCGCTAAAGAAGGGTAACTCCCAGCACCGTTCATCAATGGAGGCGTAGCGAACCCCACTTGCGATGCTGGTAAGCCGTAGCCTGTCGCGGGACTGATGCTGCGTGTACGCGCGGCTGACGATCGAGGTGCAAGACCAGCGGTGGGGTTGGAGTGTGTAGATGAGGTGGAGGAGTTGGAAGTTGAGGCACGGTGTTGTGCCATTTCTGTGGCGGAGGGGGAGCGTTTGAGGTCTTGCTTGGTGGTTGGGAGGATAGACAAACCGGAGTCCTTTTCTCCTGGTGAGGATGCTGAAGCGCCAAAGGGTTCGAGGTGAAGAATTGGGGTTAGGATTGCGCGAATGACGATGGCGAGGATCGTGAGTCCTATCAGGAGCCCGTAGCGTATGAAGATGTCTAGCTGATCTGGGAGGAGACAGAGGTGGCTCTCAATTGTCAAGTGCCCAGTGGAAATAGATCGATGGCCGGACGGTGTCGAGTGCAACGGTACGCCGAAGGCATCGATAGGGTTCCACATGCTGAGCATGAGGAAACCTGGCTTTCGGACGCCCATGGCCCAGCTGGTGCTCTTGACCGTAATCTCGCGAGCGTTATTCTTCGCATCGGAATGTACGATTTCGCAGTAATCGTGGTCATCGCCAGAGAACACATGCCCTACGTTCCCTATACTCTTGATCACTTTGACTGAATCTGTCTCACTCAGGACATTCTGGTATTGATAGCCTCTTGAGATGGAAATGGCATTGCGGTGATCTGGTATCACGGGGCCAAGCTGCCCCTTTGGTGGTGTTTCCGGAGGCCAGTGTTCCCTTTTTGGTCCACAAGGAGTCCCTGGTTCTCGGTAGAGGGGAACATGTGTGAGCAGAATTGTCGGGAGTTCTGGTGCATCTGGGCCTGGGTCGAGCGTTGGTCGATTCTTGAAATCGGCTTTCTCTACATCCTCCACTTTGTGAGGATACTTCAGGACTTTCTCATCTCCTGCTATTATACTGAGCTCGCGGGCAACAGCTTTTCTCTTCATGCTCTGAACCTTGTCTAGAAAGTCCTCCACTGGTTTTGTGATATCCTTGTCTTCATGCTCTGAACCCCGAGCACTCAGAGATACTGCGTCGATCGAGACAAAGGTGTGGTTCCCAATGACATCCACCCTATTGCCTTCTCCAAAATACGTTTCGAACCTGTTCCGTATTGGGAGCTTGATCTTATCTCCAAAGCCCAAATCGTGATTCCCTGGTAATGTTGATATAATCTTCCTCCCTCTCTGCCACGCTCCAGCTTTCGATCCCGCCAAGTTCCAGAAATCGTAGAAGATTTTCCCAAATCGATCATACTCATGTAACCAGAAATCCTCACCATATCTCTTGCCCCACGTTTCCACAAAGCCCTGCTCGTACGACGGTCGTTGTCCGTTCGCCCAGGATGGATCATTCGTGTTTCCGTGAGCAGTTTTCCATTCCCGGCCCCCGTCAAAAAGATCTCCCAAAAAGAAGATCGTATCAGGATGCAGCATCTTCTGCAGGGATATATAGGACCTCTTCATGTAATTGTCCGTATGCATCATCGTGAACTTGTCCAGTGGCCAGGGCCGCCCTGGATAGCTATGAGGGTCAATGAGCTGGGGATCAGCAATGAGGATCAAGTGATGCGGCGTTGCTTCCTTAGGCTATTATAACATCATTCATCAGACCCAAATTCTTGCATATCTCAACTCGCTCTGGCAGCAGAACTCACCCATCTCTCCCAAGATCCCCAACTACAACTCTGTACACTGCTCTGGAATACCCATCTTTCACCCCACAGCAAAGCCAACACCCAAGCCAGCACAAACAAATGAGGGAGGCTCAGTAGCTGCCGCGGATGCCATCTCTGCCAGCGGCGCGGTACTCGTGAATGCGGTGTCGCTGTCGAGACTGGCGTGTATGCCTGCCTGTTCGTAGACGCGTAGCTCCAGAGTCGTTGCATTTGCGCTGCTAGACTCGGTGGAAGACTGAGCAGTATGCGCGAAAGGAAGGACGGCTGTTCGAGGAAATGGTCGCGGCTAGAAGAGTGCGAGTGGGAGTTGTAGTAGGAAGGCGCCATTGTTAATATCGCATTAGTCGATGAATAATGGCCATGCCGACTTGTGCTTTTGTTTTCGAATTCGTCGTCTGCGAATCACGTCCTTCCTTGCCTTGATATTCTCCTGTGGCTTGGAGATATTGGAAGCGGGTTGGGAAGGAGAGTGAGGAAGAGAAAGCCTTCACATGGGAGACGGTGGTGCAAAGCGACTTTCAGCTGGGGGTAGAAGTACAAGACAAGGTCTGGATGCTTGCTGGTTAAATTGCATGGCAAGCGAAAGTGTCGTCTGATGGTCTGGATCTCCCCCTGACCGATAAGCCGGACTCCGATAACGACTCAAGGGTGGACTAATAATAGACTCTTCCTGAATAGTGTAGATGTTCTGTAATTGCATATAAATACTGTTCTTTAGAAAACCGAGCATTCGCAAGCAAAGTAATTCTTCCTGTGCCTCGTCTTCCAAATATGAAAAATGGCATTGTTACTTCTCAACGTAGAGCTTCGCCACACAGCCAAGGGGTTACAGATAAACTAACCACACAGCTTGCTGTCCCAGTTCGTTGTATATTTGTCCTTTTACGTTGCTATCTCACAATTTATAAATCTTAGTTTGTAATTCCTGTCAAGCCAGGAAAGCAGGATCATAAATGCCATGAGTTCTATAAACCGTGCGAATTCCCCGGATGTTCCTTGTCCTTACCCAGAACGTCCAGCGAGGAATATTAGAAGAATAAATACATGATATATCTGATGCCAGAAACATTCAAAAGAACATATGAGATCCGCTCCTTCGGGAGTTAAGCAGTGTGTATCTCATCTCGTCTATCTCCCCGACCAGTCATATGCCCATACCTAAATTCCTCAGACCACCCATGTAAACGACTGTTTGACTTCGAACGAACTTTGTTCTCTGTGAAATGTGTTAGTTGGCACCCTGCAACGTTAGGGTTGGGAGCAAACTTGCCTGATATCAGCGGATGAAGAGCCTATCAACACATTGAACACTCCTTCTTCTGCAATCCACTCCTTCTCATCAGTATCATAGTAGCCAACAGAGTACTTGTCGATGCTCAGTACTGCATCTTGCGTCTCGCCAGGCTTCAAGAACACCTTTGCGAAAGCTTGCAGCTCCTTCTCTGGTCGTGGTAATCGAGACTTCTCGTCATGAATGTATGCTTGGACAATCTCGGCACCTTCGACACTGCCACTGTTGGTTATTGGCACCGTGATGGTGATCTTCTCACCATCGGCGAGGACTGTGCTGCTGATGACAGGATTTCCGTATGTGAATGTCGTGTACGAGAGACCGTGGCCGAAGGGGAAGAGTGGCGCGATCTTCATACGCTCGTAGTGACGATATCCGATGTACAGGCCTTCGCCGTAAACGACCTTCAGGTTTTCACCAGGCCAGTTGTGGTAGGTTGGGTTGTCTTCGAGCCTCTTGGGGAAAGTGGTCTAAATTGATGTCAGAAATCGTTACAACAATGGCTTTATCCGGTCACAGATGCCTACTTACGGGTAGTTTTCCACTGGGAGTCTTGAATCCAAAAAGTACATCGGCCAAGGCATTTCCAGCTTCTTGACCTTGGTACCAAGCTTGCAGAATGGAGGGTACACGATCTGCCCAAGGCATTGTCACAGGCGATCCGGATTGATTGACAACAATCGTTCTTGGGTTTGCCTTGATAACAGCCTCGATGAGTCGATCCTGGCTGCCATCTGCAGGTAGGTCCATTGATTTGCGATCATATCCTTCTGATTCCCATTCTCCATCTAATCCGACAATCACGATTGCAACATCAGCAGCTTTGGCAGCATCAACTGCTTCTTGCAGGTAGTCCTTCTTGTCCTCCTCTTTGTAGCCAATGCGAACACCGCCGTTCCCGTGAGTCCGGTTCTCAGCCTTCTGTCTCCAGAATGGTCGTAGCTCATTAGTCAGCTCTGCAACGAGTTGTATGGGTTTTCCAGCCTCTAATTGCATGTCAAACAATTGTTGTTGTGAATCATCAAACATAGCCTCGCCTTTCTCCGTCCAATCCCAAATGTCAACCTTGACCACGCCATCAACGTACAGGCGTCCAGCGCCAACACTTGAAAAACTCATGGTATGCAGGCCAGTTGTCTTGGGAGTGAGGGTTGTCTTCGCACGACACGACCAGATGTTGCCAACTTCCAGGGGTACAGAATCCCACAAGAAGAGATCTGTATTCGTACGATGTTGAATGACTCTTGGTTCACCGTCAAATTTATCACCAATGTAGAACTCGAGGCTGACACCTTGCTCACCAGCGGAAGTTGTGCAATAGTCAGCTGCTAATGGCAACCACTTGTATGTTTGGCATCCAACGGCATAAGATACTTCTTCTTCGGCGACAGCTCTGATGCTCTCTAGAGGGAGGGTGTTGTAGTATGGATTGAGACTGGCACTGCCTCCACCGCCTGCGATGGCTCGGTTGGCGTTTGGGCCGATGACAGCGATCCTGTCCGAGGGCTTGATTGGCAGGACGCTTCCTTCGTTCTTCAACAGAGTCAAGCCTTCGGCACCTGCGTCTCGGATCAGCTGGCGAGTCTCTTCTCGGTCATCTTCGCGTTCAGGTAGCTCCGCTGACATGTCGGTACCCTTCGTCCGCTCAACCAGGTAAAGTATATTAGCAACTGCATCTTCGACAGCTTTCCTGCTAAGCTCGCCGTTCTCGACAGCTCGGATTGTCTTCTCTCCACGCCACAGTGTCGAGACAGGCATTTCAATATCACAACCATGCTCGATAGACTCAACGAAAGAGTTCGTTCCGCCCCAGTCAGACATCACCATGCTGCAACATGTTAGCAAGGCCAGACCACAGGATCGGAAAGTTTACCCATCGTAGTTCCATTCGCCTCTAAGGATGTTTTTGAGGGTGTGCTCGTTCATATCTGCGTGTACGCCGTTGATGAGATTGTACGAGGACATCACTGCCCATGGGTTTGCTTCACGAATGGCAATCTCGAAAGGACGCAGATACAGTTCGCGTAGAGGACGCTCTTGTACCAATGAATCGATCTTGAATCTTTCCGTCTCTTGCTCATTGGCAACAAAGTCTGGATAGAACGTTAGAATAACACACGTGATCCGAAACGACTGGCTGAGACTGACGCTTGATCGTTGCTGCAACGCCACTACCCTGAAGACCGTTGATGTAAGAGGAGGCGAGCTTTCCAGTCAAGAATGGATCTTCTGAGAAAGATTCGAAGTTGCGTCCACCAAGAGGTCCCCGATGTAAACAAACCGTTGGTGCCAATAGCACTTGGGCAGATCGAGCCTTGGCCTCTGCTGCCAGATGTTTCCCGACTTGGAAAAGGAGGTCCTTGTTCCATGTTGCCGCTAGCGAGACTCCGCAAGGAAAGAGAGCGGCCTAGAAATCTGTTAGACTGATTTCGAACGTCAGCGATTTCAAAGTATCCTACCTTTGTGCCAGCCTTAAATATCGCACCACGAGCACCATTTGGGCCATCGCTAGTCTTGAAGGCTGGAATTCCTTTCTCGGGTATGGACTTTGATCGCCAGAAATCTGCAGCAGTGAGAAGAGAGACCTGCCATACCGTTAGCTTAGTTACTTCCAAATGTTGATGCCGTTCTAATGCCTACCTGTTCTTGGAGTGAAAGTGATGCGGCCAGAGCGCGAGCACCTGCCCTCTTGTCACTTGGCTGAGTGATATTTGCATTTTTGGCTATTGGACTGTCTGGTGGTGATAGCTCTGAGTTGGGTGTGTCGTTCGTAGCTCCACTTGAACGATCTTCCGAATCGTCCGCATACTTGTCGAAGATAGGGTCATTGATCTGGCTATCTGGGGATGCCGACATGGTGACCGGATGTGAATATGTTCTTGTCAGGACCAACACTGAGGGTATCAAAAGATGTCCTATGCCTTCCAGGCAAAGTGCTGAAGAGCAAACAGAACAAGGGAAATAACTTTTAGTCGTAATGTAAATCTATTGACCACCAGAGCGAAAGTAGAGGATGGTAGCTTTCCAGAGCAAATCAAGTCACGACGAGTTGGGAGAAAGGCTGTTATATACAAGAGAGCCTAGATAGGACTAGAGAAGAGTGTATGGATCAGCTGGCTCAGACGATATAACTCTAACCCGACGTTTAAGCGGATAAAGCAGGGCATGTTCCGCCAGTAATGAACAGGAAGAAAAGTAAGACGAGACGAGAATGGATACAACTCATTGAGGCGTGGCGGCTGAATTGCAAGGCACTATGGAGAGACTGGGGAGGCTGATGAGTACAAAGTCAACTGGCGGGCGAACCAGAACATGCTGTATGGGGCAACCGAGCATCCGTACAGACCCAAGTGTGGGGACTCTATGTGCATTTTCCCGCAGCCAGCGGCGGGAGCAAGAACCCAGTAGTGAGTCGTTGGGGGGGAGGGAGAAGATTGGGCTGGAGTTGGCATTGGGGTGAGAAATGGGTGACGGGGCTGCTGCGAGAAGACGGGTACGCTGGAGAGGTGTCCGAACAGGAGAGGGCGGACCGTCGACCGAATTCCAATTCTTAAACGACTTCTCTTCTCCTCTAGCCCGGCCAGGGATTGCGGTGCCATTTCGGTGGGGCAATTCTCGAGAAACGCTCGCAATGGAGAAGATGAGCGCAGGAAGAGCTTGAGGTAGATGGTTTTCCAGTTTGTGTCAGGCCAGCCTTTCATATCGAGTGTCAATCAATATTCCCCGTGGGTGTTACAGGCAAAGGGAGAATCCGATCAAGGCGGGATGCAATGGGATGTGGATGTGGATGTGGATGTGGATGTGGATGTATGTTGGGAGGCGAAAACACCAGTCCCAAGGGCTAGACCCAGACCCTGAGCGTGTGCACTGGATGCATGCTCGAGAGACAGGCAGACAGGCCAGTCACGTCTGCATGTGCAGTGCAGTGCAGTGCAGTAAATGCAGTGCAGGCCCAGCCACTGGCAGTGCAGTGTTGATGTTCAGCGGAATGCTCTCAGAGGATTGCCTGTTGCTGCCTGCCGCGAGGTTGATCTTTCTCAAGCACCGGCCGGAACACGGGCCGTTTCGCCACACTCAAGTTTCACAAGACCTGTCATGTCATCCGAATGGAAATGCAGAGACTACGACAAGTCGGACCAGACGACAGTGCTTGTTCCTTTTTGTAGTCCATCGCCGAGGCTATGGCTCTGGTAGGCGCTGAGTGCTAAGGTAAGTCGGTAAGTCTCCGCATACTCTAGGTGCGCAATGGGACCTTTAATGTGAGGTGGTGGTGGCAGCAGCCATCAACAAGTGAGAACGGGTACGGGTACGGGTACCTTGAACAGGGCAGGCTTGACGATGGGGAGGTTGCATACAGCAGACAAGGCGTGTATGGACAAGGCATGTAATTTGAATAATGCATGCTTGAGGGTTGCGGTGCGGTAGTGTATTACCCCGCTGCAGATGTGTAAATTTACCTACTAGATAGAGTATGCGCTCAGCACTGGCTGAAGTGCCATGCTGTCGGAGTCATGGCATGTTCGCATGAACAAGCATCGTGGCCAGGGAATTATTAGTTCAATAATAGAGGAAAATACACACATCGATGGTAATGTGCGCTTGAGCAAAGGGAAGCAACTCTGGTAGAGTCTAGTAGAGTCTGGTAGAGAAATCCGAGGCCAGGGGTCAAGACGCAGAGGAGTGAAAACAGATGGCAACGCGTGTGAGGCGCTGTCGGCTCCCTTCCCCGCTGCATCCATCATTCACCTCGTCTGTCCAGCCAATGCCTTCTCGGGATCTAATCTAATCTACCCCACTTCTGAAGTGAACCTGGAAACGTCCAGCACAGCAAAACACAATTGGCCGTCTCCCGCCATCAACAACAAATCTGGAAACTCCCCGCCATCTTCCCCGCGACTTCAGCCAAATTACAGACGAAGCTTTCAGCCTTTCTGTCTTATGTATTCCACCATCTCGTCTCGCCTCGCCATGAATCCATGTCCATGTCCATGCCCTTGTTCCTGTCCGTAACACCGCATCAGATCTACGCATCCGCACCCACATCTACACCCGCATCTCTGTCGCTGGTCCATTGCCATCATTCCGACGCTATGGCTGAGACACCCGGCAATAACCACTTAGAGCTCCCAGACGAGCCTCTTGAAGCTCTTGAAGAGCCCCATCAGGTGCATCTCAATTCTCCGGCTCGCACATCCGCGGACAGCCCTGACAGAAGCGCGCGTGAAGCAACAGAACTGGCGCGTATTCGGAGCAATTATACTAGGGCCTCGTCCTATCACCACGCAGGGTCTAGTACAGGCTCACCGAAGCCAGATGGCCTTCTGGAACGTTTCAACGACACCATCAGAACCTTCTGGCGCCGTCAGATAAGCATCACCGTTGCCCACAGCACATGCAGAGACCACCTTGGTATGTTACAGCAGTATCTTCCCCCTCCTCCCATTTTCTCTCCACCCGCTCCCATTGTAGCCCCCAACCCCCACTCCCATCAAGCTTCCCTTTCTTTATTCTCGCATTATCGGGACGACTCAGCACTTTGTCCATCCTTGCTGCCTGACTTGACACTCCGGAATTGGTGGCTGGCAAGCCTTCTCATGCAGATAGTCATCTGCTGTTCTTATTTTAGTGTGTCACGAAGTTCTTTGCAAGTCAAAGTCCTGCTGAAACCGATGAACAATCCTCGTCTAACCCCTTCTATCGATGAGGTAGTATGGGAGAACACGCCGGATCACGCACCGTGTCACGTTGTTCCCTGCCTGCCAGCCGTTGCCGCCGTTCCAGGAATCCTGTATGGGCATCCCATTTTAATGAATGTCACTAACAGCACACATAGCTTTGGAACGCACATTTCTTGGCTACTTGAGGACTTCTCTTGCCCTGTCGATGCTCGGCATTGTAGTGGCTCAATTATTGCAAGCACACTCCAACATTAATTGGCTCACTGGGATATATACTGACGGGTGATGTGGCCGTAGCCGACTTCAGCACTCTCCAACGCCAAACCCTCACTTCGGCTTCTTCGTCCTGGGAAAACCGCTGGCAATAATCTGCCAGGGAGCTGCAATTTATACAATATTAATCGGGGTCTTCAGGACATGGAGATCACAAAACGCAATCGTTAGAGGAAAGGCTATTTCTGGTGGCTATGAGATCGTTGCCCTGGCTGGAGGAGTCTGCGCCGTGAGTCTATCTATTAGAGTCTCTCAGTTAAGCAAGCCACATGCTGATTCCATGCAACCAGATCTTGATTATGTTCACCGTGCTTCTCACCGCAGTCGACATATCGAAAGAGGTCTGACAATCATCGACCCCCCCCCCCCCCCCATGATCAGAACTCGATGATAGGCAAACCGAGCCGAATGTACCCTGATAACGTGGTGACATTTGCCAGAAACTACCGGACGAAAGTGTGATGATTGGAGGCCTTTCTCGGCATGAAGAATCCTTCAATCATGACCATCTGTGTGATGCCGGTTAAGAGCAGCATCAGAGGGGACCATGCATGTCTTCACATGCCACAAGAGATATTAAAGGTAATATCAAGAAACTCTTCAGACGTACCGGAAAGGTTCCAGAGACAAGATAGCCTGGATCGGAAACAATGAGGCAACGCTTGGATAGAGTTTCTGGCACCTCGCCGGTTCATTTCTGATATTCGAGGGACCAGTTGATGAAACAGGAACCGTGCTCGCCGTTCATGTAACCAACTCGGAGCTAAGTGCCACGATATCTATATAAATTGAGACGGCAAATCCCAATATGCTGATCTCTACATTCGCCACTTGAGACAGTACAAGAAAGATGCTGAATTCTAATAATCTTAGAATGTCAGGTGCTTTGACGACTTTGCGAAATGGCCTCGTGAGGAGAAATCTTTCATCCCGACCTGTAATCCCGCTCATAATAACCTTTTCTAAGGATGTTTACCCCGCTCTCCCGACAAGTGGAGACGGTGGAGAAATTCGAGGCTAAGGTACCTATAGTCATGTACATACATACTCTGCCTAGCTAGGTAGCTTAGGTAACCTGCCTAAGATGTCGACTGATATGTTTGGATGCTGTCACGTGTGTTTTGTCTGCTGATGATGGTCACATGATATACAGTAGACAGCTTACTAAGGGCATGGAATGGGCCCACCTAACTGGTGCCTCAGTGAGCTCTGCATGTGCTGCTCAGTCCACTCGACAACTCTCGGATATCCGATTTCGCCCATTTCACGTCCTGGCTCCTGGATTCCCTTCTCCAAGTAGATAATTGAATTCTGTATAAACCTGTGAACTGCATAAAAGAAAACGCGCAGGCGCATTCCAACCGCTTCCAATCATACCTTACTCTTGCAAACACTCTTTGATATTCCGAGCACCGGTCGAACAGAGGTTGCTGTTGGTTTTCGCAAAGGCAGCACAGCACAGGGAGCACAAGTTTGCCCAATAAGTACGCGAATGCCTCCCCATCCTGCAAAAAGAGCCGCATCCGCATCACAAATCAAGAAGCACCCTTTCCCCCAGGAGTGGGATACAACTTCATTTCTTTTATCGAGTTCTCGCAACACTTTCGACATTTTGTTTCTCCCATCGCCCCGAGGCACCTGTCAAGATGGCGTGGTCGAAGTCAACGCGGATCTCGATAATGCTGGGCATTGATGCGGCATTCCTAGTTCTGGAGCTGGGGACTGGGATATGGGTTGGGAGTTTGGCACTGATGGCGGATGCCTTCCATATGGTAAGTAGATAGGAAGTGAGCTGCTCCTCAGCGGCAAATAGGCTTCCGGGACCAGGCGTTGATTTCGGAGCTGGAAGGCTAACGGCGATGTAGTTGAACGACATCATCTCCCTGGTTGTAGGATTATGGGCTGTCAAAGCTGCCCAACAGTCATCAACCGATAAATATTCATTTGGAGTCAGTACATCCATCCCATCCAAACGCGCGGGCTTGGTCTGACATTTCATAGTGGTTACGCGCAGAAATTCTGGGTGCATTTTTCAACGCAGTATTCTTAATCGCCCTTTGCCTCTCTATCGTTCTTGAGGCTATACAACGACTCATCGATCCTCCCGAGATCAGCAACCCGGAGTTCATTCTTATTGTTGGATCATTGGGATTGGCCTCCAACCTCGCTGGGTTCTTAGTTCTCGGAGGACATGGACATTCACATGGACCCGAGGAGCATGATCACGGACACGACGAGATCAGGGATGCGGAGGAAGGGCACGGTCATACCCATAGCCATGGACACAGTCACGAAGCTACGGCAAATGCAAACGACGGGGATGACGGACCTATTGGAGATATCTATCCTGAAGCAGTCGTTGCAAGAGCCAAGTCCAGGCAACACATTCGATTCACATCCAACGACTCAGATGCCATTACCAATGTTGACTCTCCCAAGTCTTCGAAGCAGCACCGAAGAAGAAATAGCAGTATCAGAAATGGCCGATATTCAACCCCGGATGACTTCAGTATCCACCCAGCCAGTTTCAGACAAGAGATTATAGCCGCCAGTAAATCGCAGCTTAACGGAATTGAGAGCGAGAATGCCTCATCTGAAGATGAAGCAATACTGGACGAACCTACAGAGAATTCGCCACTACTCACAGGGAACAGCTCACATGGGAAATCAAAGGGGCATGATCATGATCATGAGCATTCTGGACCAAAGGCAAGGCATGATTCATGGCATGCTAGCCACAACCATAATAAACCAAAAAAGGCTAAGAAGGTTGGCCACGGCCACAGCCATGATGATATGGGAATGAACGCCATGATCCTTCATGTCATTGGAGATGCTCTCGGAAACCTTGGAGTTATTGTATCGGCATTGATAATCTGGCAGACTACATGGTCAGGACGTTTTTATGCTGATCCAGCTGTCTCTCTTTTCATCACTCTTATCATCCTCAAATCAACCCTACCACTTACGTTTGCAACTGCCAAGATCCTGCTTCAGGCTACGCCGGATCACATCGATGTCACCGATATCAAAGAGGATATTCAAAAGCTTCCGGGTGTCATCAGCTGTCATCACGTCCATATTTGGCAACTTAGCGACACCCAGATTGTCGCATCGATGCACATCCAGGTCGAATTCCCAATCAGCGAGGCTAGCGGCGAGAAGTATATGGAGCTAGCCAAGGCAGTACGAAAATGCCTCCACGCGTACGGCATCCACAGCGCTACCATCCAGCCAGAGTTCTGTCTTGATAAAGCTCACGACCACACTGGCGAGAGACCAGGCGCCGTTGGACTTGATGGCATTGTGGGCCAACTTCGTTGCGGCCTCGACGATGATGACACATGTCTATTGGAATGTGTTGATGACTGCAAAGGAAAAGGGTGCTGCTCACCAAAAGCAGCGGACCCCCAACACGACCACTCTGATCATGACGGCCACGACCATGCACATTAGACTAGTATCGCCTACACGATTCCCCTTTTCATTTGTCAGAAGCAGTGCGTAGCAGCAGGAGGAGCGTTTTTGTTAGACTAGTTATTTACAAGCTAGGGATGCATCGTTTCTTGGAAGGCGTTAGGTCGTGCTGAACTCAAAATCTACAGATTCATACATCTTTTCTTTCTAGCGTATTGGAATTGTGGGTGAGGAATTGCTTGCTTGCATGTACGGGCCGATGTATATTAGCAGGCTTGTACTTTCAGCGAGTCAGTGAAGATGATGGATAGACAATCTGGCAAGCAGGCGACAGGGACCGGAAGGGCAAACGCATAATTATTTGATGAGATGATACCCATACTTTGAGTATTGGCTTCCATGGGATAAAGTTCTCTCGCTGAAAAGATCTTGTACAGGAAGGGTCATATCCATTTTAGGTGCAAAGTACCGTCAATCTTCAAGCTTCTCTGATGATTGTGACTTATGTGCGGAGTGTTTGTGTGTTCAAATTCTATTCCTTCCAATCTAAATGACCTTGCTATTTTGTCTTCAGTTTTGCTCTCCGATGTTAAATTCCCCTTTTCGTTTCCATCTTGAATATCATATCCGCTATTTCTTCGCTGGCGCGACGTCTGTCACATTATTAGTACTGTCGATACCTCCTCAAAGAAAAATACTTGGAAGGAACTTACTGAACTGGAAATGGATGATGTCTCCTAAAAGTTGGAGAATCGGTCAGCAAAACTACATAAACACGTACTGGACTCCTTCACTCCATCACGATATTCCCACAAAACCCAGCATCAATTCCAGCCCAAGCCCATACTAACGCCAACAGAGAAGAAAACTCACCGTCCTTGACTTCATATCCCCGTCCTTCCTGTCTGTACTTCCCAGCAGCTTTGATCGGCCCCATGGACTTCCCACCCTCACACAAATCATGGAAATCCTGGTAAGCAACGACTTCCGCTTTGATGAAGCCGCGCTCGAAATCGCCATGAATAGCCCCCGCTGCTTGAGGAGCGAGACATCCACGTGGGATAGTCCAGCAGCGGATTTCTTTCTCGCCGGCTGCGAGGTCCTGATCAGCGCACATCCACATATGTATTAAGAACAAAAACAATCAGGAAACACTCACCGGTAAAATAATACTGCAAACCCAGCTTCGTGAATCCTTCGGTAACAATCTTCTCCAACCGACTCCTCACCTTGCCACCACCATTCTCCTTCAACCATTCCTCCAAGCCCTCCTTATCATCCTTGAAGCTGTATACCTTCTCCTCGAATTCGATGGAGAAGGGAATGATGTCTCTAGGGAGGCCCCCGTGTTCGGTTACCCACTTTGCGATTAGGGGGAGGTATTTGGACTTTTGGCGGAGGTAGTCTTTCATTGTTAGGTTGACGAGGTAGATTGTGGGTTTGGTGGTTATAAGTTGCATCTAAAGCTGGTGACTTAGCAAGTATTGTCTGACGGCTTTGGATGCTTAGGTTGAGGGAGGTTATGCGTTCCAAACCTTCTCATTGATGAGTTCAATTTCTGCCGATGTCCAGGATCCGTCTCTGACAGGTTGATCTTTCTCTAGCATCTATTATGAATGTCAGTACTCGGTCTAGGATAAAGTATAATGCGAGTGACCTACAGCCTTGATCTTGGTAACCGTACTAGGGAAGAGCGGGTTCATCTTGAACTTCCCGCCTGCTTTCCTTACAACCGCTTCTTCGGAGACAATTGTTTTGGCAAGAATATCTGTGATTCCTTTTGTCAGCATTCTTTCTATTCTCACTCCATTTCATGTATCATAGATGTGTAAAAGCAGAGTTGGCTTACCTAAATCCTTCTTACAGAGTTCACTCTGGATGGTATCTACGCCGCCGCACAGTACAAATTAACGCCATTCGGGGAAACAAGAGCATGAGACTTGCTCAAATCCCTGACGGGGTCGATCGAATCATCAACATGCAGCACTTCATCATTGTCGAATGCTCGCACTATGTGGAACATTCCGTCCACGGCTTGGATGTGTGAGAGGAAAGCATTGCCGAGTCCTTCACCCTGCGAAGCTCCTTTAATGAGCCCAGCAATATCGGTTACTTGAAGGCTGTAGGGTGTATGTTGTTAATCAGAGTTATTTTTGTGATTCTGGTGTATTATGAGGGGATATAGGGAACGTACTAAGCTGGATACATGGAGGGTGGCTTCCAAAGGTCGCAGAGGAAGTCCTGTGGAAAATGTCAGATGAGTAGAGATTTGACTCGATATTCATTTTCTCGCTACAATTCAAAAACAAATCACACCGAATCTCTCTGAACCGTCCCCTCTGACTGTTTCCACGCAATTATGTTTACTCTAAACAAATGACCAGAGCTCATGCCTTAAACCATTGAAGATAGAGACCACTTCTATCATGACTAGACTTTCGAAATACCGAAATATAGTATCGATGAGATTCTTCACTTGAAGATCAGAGACGGGCATTGTTTGTACATTCATCTGGTTTTTGAATCCAGAAGCACCAAAAACAAGCCAACACTTTCATCTCAGCCTGGTAGAAAAGGGAACATAAACAAAATGATTTCATTCGGGATTCTCATGACCAGGATGTGATAACATCAGAGTCATAACCAGACAAGAAAATCAACGCTCACATATCTGGCATCCGGAACAGCACATCTCGCCTCATTCGGCTCAATCGTACAGAAGGGATAATTCTCTGCCGCAGCATTCTGATCCGTCAGGAGATTGAACAGCGACGACTTGCCCACATTAGGCAAGCCCACACATCCCATCTTCAGATTCTTTCGAACCCGTCCAAAAGCAACGACATTGCTCTTGACATCTTCGGTTGCTTTCTTTGGTGGCATGGTGATTTGTTGGGGTCGTGCTATTGTAGGAGGGGTAGAAGGAAAAGAAGGAATGGAGGGGTTGGAGGGGTAACTTTCATGAGTGATTGGGTTTTCAGCGTGCAGTGTGAGAGGTTGCATGAAATACGTTATTTGTGGGGTTGTAGGGAAGAATGACCTGATGTTTGGGTGGGGCGGGGCGGAGTGGAGTGGAGATTTTGGCGAGCCCCTTTTTTTGGCGCCAGGCGTAGTCAACAAACAGCTATGTCATTTGTCTTCGCCATGACAGATCCCAAAAAATCCATCGCATGAATCATGGATTTTAGAGAGTGGATAAATAAGTTGCTCAAAACAAGCTCTCGCCCTCTTTCGCGCATTTTGTTCTTGTAGCAATGCATTTTGACATTTCTACAGGGTCTTCCAAAAGCCAACGAAGTCAGGATGCTTCAACCTCAGTCTACAAACCTATGAAAAGGGCTCGGTTTAAATCTATCTAAGTTGTCCCCTTCATAAGATTTCGGAGAAGTTGTATCAAAGCACAACTATCCTCATGGTTGCCACCGAAGAAATGGAAAGAGCGGCAAGCGAATAGCATAAGCCATCCATGAAGCGTCATGCCTCAGAATGGGTCTAAGCTCTCCATTGTCTACTATTCATGGAAAATTTGCTGCCGATGTAACAGCATTAGCCTGTGGTACCATTTGAAAGCACATACGCAGATACTGAGATAATCCCATGACTTTGGGTTCTCGTCATGTTAGTTTAGTGCCACCGTTGCTCACGGACGGGTTGTTGGCTTCTCCAAAGTTTTGTCGGACCCGGTGCATGTCCATGGCCAAAATCTAAATGAGTTAATGTTTTCATGGCCCTACCAGGTTCGTACTTCACCGCTGGTGATAGGCAAGTTGACTCGAGACCTTCAATGCTTACGAATCTAAGAGCTGGGAGCAGCTCAAGTGTACAAACTAGACATTTTCTGAATGTCTCTGAGCCTGCTACATGTGGCGGAGCAGATCTTGATACAAGGCCTTTCTGTTTCTATATGATGAATTTTCTTTGAAGGAGAAGTCAGATGGAGATGGTTCTATTCTGATACGGAGCAATCGATCTCAGTGGAGCAGAGATCGCTGTCAGGTTTCATGATCCGCTTCGAACACAATAAGGTTATCGTACGAAATTGAAAGTCTGTATCTTGATCGAGGAAAACATCATCACAGTCTATGACGAACAATCCTAGCAATAGCAACTTCGCCTTACTGCAATATTTACGCGCCGATCTTGATCGTCAGGCTTCAAGGTACAGTTTTGGTTGGAACTCCTAACGCAGGTGGTGGCAGCAAGTCTTGCAATTTCTCCGAAACGCCCTCGCTTATCGAGAGAATGGCCAATCGGAGAGAAGTTCTATGCACATGGAAAAGTCAGGGGTAAATAAACACGAGCCTTGGCACCACTTCTCCAATATTCCTATTTCTTTGGTCATCTCCGAATAGAATAATCCGGCATACTTTGTCACGACTTTGCAAATGAATCTTTGGTCAATAATGAGATAACCCTCCAAGGTGTTCTTTCTAGAAATATTCCTTCTGGAAACCAGTTGAGAACATAGATTTGCATGACTCGGTTAGCCGCTGGACAGCACGAGGCAACAGTGGGGTTGCGAGGCACAGCGGGATCCACTTCCTGCCCCTTCATCCAGGGCAGTAGTTTCCCACCTCGGAAGAAGACAGCAATCCACCTGGAGTCATTTTCCAATGGGGATGCAAGCACACACTTGGCACAGTTCATCTGATCTCTCGTTTGACCTACTGTCGCTGTTTTGCGACTGCTCAAAATCGAAAGCGAGCAATCCGAAAGGAGCTAATACGCGAACTAGATTGAAATAGGGGACAGGATAATTGTAAGTTGCAATTGGCAGTATGTATAATCTCGTGCGGGGTAAATATGTTTTCGGTAATATCGACTGTGGCTTCTTTACAGATCTTGTATTACCTTACCCACTTGAAAGGTGGTAGTGAGCTAGCATTTGGTCCACCAAAGATTTCTTGGTGCTCTGGCGACGAGTTTGGCTCCGAGACCAAAACTTTATGAAATCGTTATTGCAAATGCCATGTCTTGAGAGACATTGTGGTCAGCCTTTATGTTTTGGGCAAGCCCAGATCAGTCGCTCGGGTCCGAAACTGAGCTTGGCATCACGCAGTTCAAGGATGAGAAATCTGCTTTGGGAATTGAAGTCAAAGCACAGACACAAACACTGATCATTTCAAATTTCCTGCGCTGGCATCGTTAAGCATATCTCCACAGAAATTGCATCACAGTGACTGTTTCCTGTGGAGACAGGCGGGAGAGGACAGAACTGCTGGCTAAACCAGGGTGTAAGGGTCGTTGTTTTCTCGGCTATTTCCCCCTTTCAGGGGTAAACAAGCTCCACAGCACAGATGGGTCAATAATCTTCACTGCAAATACGAAGCCATGCATTGAAAACTCTGGGTCAGTTGTGATCAGTGCACGATGTTGGTTATTTTTGTCGCTTGGTTATAAGGAAGGCGTTGGGCGTCCAATATTGAGGCTTTCCTTTCCGCCACCACCGACCAACGTTTGTTCTTCGAGCATTCACCACATTCTTTTGATACTTTAATAATGGCTCCTTCCACACTCTCCGGTGCTGCTGCAATCTTGCTTCTTAGCTTGAGCACAGCATCTGCTGTTACAACCTGTGTTGCCAAATCCTCCCCTTCATCGGACGCGGTCTGCGGAACACTTGGCACCATCTCTATTACCGATTATTATCTAGAAGATCTGTTTGACGCTCAATCTACCACGGCTGAGGGTTGCGCAGCTGCATGTGCCGCAAATAATGCCTGTTTGTCTTTCGATCTTGAGGTTGGAGCTTTCTGCGAGTTGCAAAGCGGAACAAGAAGCCAAGTGGGATGGACTTCGAACGGCAGCAAGGATTGGTACACAGGATATGATCAATCCTGTTTTACCTGCGTAGATAGCACAGCTACATCGAGCTCCACCAGCTCCTCCGCAACTTCGATTTCCTCCGGCTCGTCCAGCTCCTCGAGTTCTTTAGTTCCAACAAGTTCAGCAGAGCCAACAAGTTCTTCAAGCTCTTCGAGTTCCGTAAAGCCCACAAGTTCCGCCAGCTCATCCAGCTCAGTAGAACCAAGCTCATCCAGCTCCTCAAGTTCTGTCGCATCCACTAGCTCCGCAGAGTCTACAAGCTCGTCCACAGTTTCCAGCAGTGAGCCCACATCCTCCGCAATCAGCAGTTCCGACATCTCCTCGTTGCTTTCAGCATCGACTGTATCAACCGAGAGCTCTTCTTCCCAGCCAACTTCAATTGAAGTGTCCTCGTCGTTCCCAACATCGACCGGATCCACTGGAATTTCTTCCTCTTTTCCAACAGATACACCCTCGAACTCGTCATTGGTACCAATCTCCACTGGATCTGTCTCAGTCTCCGTTTCCCATCCAACGTCGACCCTATCATCTGGAAGCTCCCTTTCAACCAGTGATGTTCAATCTTTCCCAACCTCGACAGTAGTATCCAATTCCACGACAGCTATCTCTTACACCGTGTCGTCGATCGCCATCATTACACCAAGTGGGTACCCAATGAACTTGACCAGCTCAGCTTCGGAATCTGTAAGCTCTCCAGCCAGTGCTTCTGGATCCAGCTCTTCGGCTCCAATTCTCTCGTCTTCCGCCTCATTGCCGTACGTTACTGGATCTGCTTCCATCTCAGAGTCGTCAGACGTTCTTACGACTTCTACCGTATTCGCAACATCAGTATACACAATCACTAGCTGTGCCCCAACCGTCACTGATTGCCCAGTTGGATCGGTCACCACCAAGACTGTCGCTATCTCGACGACTGTCTGCCCAGTCTCCTCGACCCATTCTGAGCCTTCGGCTTTGAGCTCCGCAAGCTCTGCAAGCTCCCTGTCTACATCATCTCAAGTTCCAACCACAGCAATGACAACATCTACTGTGTACGCCACTTCAGTGTACACAGTCACTAGCTGCGCTCCAACTGTCACCGATTGCCCAGTCGGATCGGTAACAACTAAGACGGTTGCTATTTCCACAACAGTCTGCCCTGTTACAGCTGCTGAGACTCAAACTTCTGCATTGGGTTCCGCCTCATCAGCAGTTCCAACTTCAATCGCAACACCGATGACAACTTCCACTGTATATGCCACATCAGTCTACACAGTCACCAGCTGTGCCCCAAGCGTTAGCGACTGCCCTCTCGGACAAGTGACTACAAAGATCGTTTCTCTGTACACCACAGTCTGCCCAGTTGCCCTTACCCAAACCGAGACTCCGGTAGCATCTGCAACATCACTCAAGCCAGTCCCATACAGCTCTGCCCCAGGTGTCCCAGGCACAACAAGCCACTCCACGAGCCACTCTACCTCAACCGTGTACCACACAGCTGTGCAATCTTCCCCAGCTGAGTACCCCACAGGCCCAGCATCAGTCTCGACCATGACTGTTGTTCCCAAGCCCGAGGTTTCAGCCTCGTACCCTGTAAACGCAGCATCGACTCCAGAAGTCCCAGCCACCTACCCAGTTGTCGGAACTGAAGAGCCCACTCCAAACTCGTCGCTCATCCCAGTCACAAGCACAGCTACCATCCCAACTTACCCAACTGCCGCCGCGGTCATTCCATCTGGATACTCCAACGGTACTGCAACTTCGTCGGCTCAGGGAGCTGTTGGAACTGGAAGCTCAACATCCCTTGTGCTTTCTATTACCGGATACCCTACGACCGCACCAACTTTGGTTTCGGCCAATGCTGGAAGCGTCATTGGCGCTAAGGCGTGGGGAATGGGTGTTGTCGCCTTGATTGGTGCTGCTCTTGTGTTGTAAAGGAGAATTAGATTCTTGTACATCGACTTCTTGGAGGGGAGGGCATTAGTGGAATGTTCAAAAGTGCTGTGATGTATATAGGTAAGATATAAGTCAGCAATACGATATAGAACATAATATAGAACATTCAGACTTACTTAATGTGCTTCCATAATCTCTCTTGAGGTGCTGGGATCAATAATGTAGAACTGTAATCAGGGCATGGGAAATATCATTGCATTGATCCACCGGCTCACCGAGCTACAGTATTTCATGGTCATAAAGCCATGCACCACAACTTAACGTCCTACAAGTATTTCAGACTTACTGAAGGAACTTGCTAGCCATGGACAACAAGCCTGCAGCTCCACTCGAACCGCCTCCTCCCTGCATTTGACTCTTCATGTACATCTTAAGAGCCATCTCGCCTGCCTTTTGGACCGTGGATTCCTTGCTGGCATTCGAGACGTTGCCTTGGGAGGACTGATTGTCGAATAGCTTGCTAGCCTCGGCCATAGCCATACCGACAAATGCGTTCTGCGAATTGCCTTGATGGGTGTTACCTGATCCGCCGCCGGAAAACATCTTGAGAGCTTGCATGGCTGCTGCAGCTCCCATGGAGCCGGAATCAGCTTGTCCACCGCCTCCACCGCCGAAAAATTGTTGATGGGATTGAACAGCATCTGTTGGATCAGCTAACTTGTTTTTGGGAAGGTTTCAGAAGGCTGGCATACCTTGTTCATTGAGATTTGAATTGGCGATGCTCTGCTTGTTTTGGCCAAGAGAGCTCAGGATATTGGAGAACAGGGACGAATCCCCAGAACTACCAGCATGTCTCTCAGCATGCTCAGCAGCACCGCTCAGATCATCATCGTCTCCTCCACCATATCCCGCCCCACCTCCATAGTTGTTGTGTCTGCCCTGCTCAACTGGGCGACCGGAGTATTCGTTCTCCCTCCCTCAGGGCCTCCTTGTTGATAGTTATCGTCATTGTTGCGGCCACTGTATCCGCCTTCTTGGCGTCTTTCTCCACCTCCGTAACCTCCTTCGTCACGTCTTTCGCCTCCATAGCCTCCACCCTGGCCAGATTGGTCGTTGTCGTAGTAGTCTCTTGCAGACATGTCTTGACGATCTATCAGCGGGGTAGTTCAAGCATGAGTACGCAAACAAGCGATGGCTGATTCTTTTTCGGGCTTTATCGGAGCACTTACTGATAATTTGTGGTCTTTGTTAATTGCTCTTGAAGCTGAAAAATTGTAGTTGATGATGTGTTCGTATGCTTCTTTGGAAATGTGGATAGATAAGTGAAGTCAAACGGACGAAGTTAGGATGACGAAGCTATGGCTCTGGCGGGGTTACGTCGCTAATCGGCTCCCTTCATTCCCCTGCCGTTGATCTTGCGCTACTTTACCCGTTTCCCCTGCCGAGCCCTTGGCACCTGTAAATTCTGATATTGACTTGGGCAAGGAAGGCCAATCTATTGGATTGGAAAACAAACTGGAGAGTATCAGATAACGATCTTGGACTTAAGTTGAGTAACTTGTCCGGCCTGATTGCAACGGTCTATTTCACTTAGGTCTGCTCATACGCTCTAGCTTTCCGCCTCCGGAGCAACTCTCCTAATGGGATGTCGTCTTCAGAGAGAACTTCTGCATCCTCATCAACCCCGTAATCGTGCAACGTATCGCCATCTCTATTGGTCCATCTCTTCTGGGCCTCCGGATGGGCAATTTCCTCTTCTTCTCCCTCACTTTCACTTCCTAATTCCTCAGCTTCGCTTTCTTCGCTGTTCTCAGTTCCTTTCCATCTCTTGTGATCTTGCTGCTGCCGTTTTCTGAAAGCAGCCATCTCTTCTTCGGGAGTACCATACACCCTTTCATCTTCCTTTTGTCGTTCAACCCGTTCGCCTCTTGACATCTTATCCGGATCTGGCGGAGGCCATACTTTGTCTGCATCTTCAAAGCCATTGACTTCCCAATTCCCGGCAGTCTCTACCCTCGGTCCTCCTCCGAATGGCATGAACCACATCAAAACATTCTTTGTTCCCATAGCTTGACACAAGTTGTTCCAAATTCCAATATCGTATGGGAATTCTTGGTGTTGAATCCGCATTCGTTGCCCACCACTCGCATACACATATCCATTTGTTCTTAATGATCTGTCCACTAGAGCTTCATGGCGCTCAATTTCCCAACTTTCGATCATTGTCGTGTTAATCACAAGACTCCATCCAGCTCTGAAAAGAAGAATCCCCAGAGCAAAGAGGGTGAAGCTGTTGGCCACAGACAAAACAAACAAGTGTACCATTGCCCATACTGGGGGCCCGAGATATGATGGAAGGTTACGACTATCCCATATTACCATCAATCGGATATAAAGGTGGTATGCAAGAATTGACATGGAGAGTACGGCAAAGAAGACGAAACGATAGAAGTGTGGAAAAGTTGTATGGGACACGCAGTTCGTGGTCCATGGACAGTGGTGATCCATTTTCGGAATACATCTGCAAAACATCAGCGGTAGTTCAATTTGCAAGATACCAGTGGAACGAGTAGCATACCTTCCACACTTTCTGCAGTGATGTGCCCGGGGCGGCTTCACTGCATCGCACTTCTTGCACCATCTTAACTTTTTGTCGAATGTCAAGACGCTCCCATCTGCCTCATTTGCTTCCCTAACTGGAGCAACAGTATCCACCCATCCTTCTCTGCCTGGGTTCGTTGTACATGCCCGCCAATAACACCACCATATTGCAGCGATGAAAATATTGAACCACAAAGCCTGCTTTTGGCTCAGGGGTTCTGGTTCGATAAAATAGAACAATACTTGAGAGGAGTAGCTAAGAAAAGATATAAAAAGCGTGACAAATGGTATGGCGATCTGCTCGGCGGCGGGCAGAACGAATGGAAGGCTCAGACCCGGCATACCTGGTCGTCGAAGAGCCACAAGTTGTGGGATGTTGACATGATGCAGCCTCGCAGCCTTGCGATGAAAAGCTCCAGCAATAAATTCCCGTCGGCTCAAAATCAAGCCGAGTCGCTCTCGGCCGCGGGCGGCCTTTTGGGCCTGAACAATTCTTGCTGAGTCAGTGCCGGATTTGCTATGATTGGCTGCACCGCAGACGGTGCAACTTCACGCCGTTCTACAAAGGAAAGATTCTTGTCCGCCGGTCGCAAGGTCCACGGACTCGCAATCGCTTTCGCATTTCCAGCCTCTCTGTCCGAATGAGGCTTGTCTACCAATGCGTTAGCCGCACATTACAGACGACTCTGAAAGCAGACAGCCTGTAGTGGAGAGGCGTGATAAAAATGCCACACACACGGCGTAACTATCTGTGCGTAGATAGCAGTGTTGATTCACAATACTTGTCTTTTGGTCTTTGTTAACGTCATTGAAGCTCCAAGTTCTTCTTACTTCCTATGTATAAAGTAGTTGCCGTTCGTCATCCAAATTAAACTGTGTCGTGCCATCCAGTCTTCACATTTGTTCAGTTCGCTATCCATTAATTGAACCATTCCTACACCCTCTGATTTTCCCACCCATCCTTATACTTTCACAACAAACATGAACGCTCCTCCATCAGCTCATTTGAGCGAAGATAAACTAGACACAATACTTCCCTCTCCATCAAGCGCAAGCCTATCAGATGCCAACCAGTCTACCGACCTATCGCCTCTCGAGAAAGTCCAGCCTGTCTTCAAGCCAACTCGAGGATTCCTCCTTGCTTTCTCCTCAATATGTGTTATTACACTTGCAGCAGCTCTTGACGCAACATCGCTCAGTATAGCGCTTCCTATCATCACGCAAAAGCTCAAGGGGTCGGCTATTGAAGCATTCTGGTCAGGAACGTCGTTCTTGTTGACTTCGGCTGTCTTCCAACCAGTAATTGCTGGTCTGAGCCATGTATTTGGCCGAAAAGAAGTAAGTGGTGGATCAAAGTGGTAGAAAATATGCTAACATTACCAAAGTTGGTGCTCGCTTCCATTGTGTTTTTCTTCGTTGGATCTGTTGTGTCTGCCTTAGCCGAGAACTTCACAATGATGCTGGTTGGACGATCAATCCAGGGTATTGGCGGTGGTGGGATCATGTCACTTGGTGAAATCCTCATTACTGATCTTGTTCCTCTTGCCGTTCGAGGAGGTACGCTTTCCAAGCACCACTCAATTTGTCGCCAGCTTCGCTAACATCTGTCAGCCTGGTTTGGATATCTCGGATCCATGTGGGCAATTGGAAGCGTTACAGGACCGCTGATGGGAGGAGCCTTCGCACAAAACGTTACATGGAGATGGATATTCTGGATAAATGTACCCATAATCGCAGTTGGAACCGTTGCGATCGTCATGTTCCTCAGACTGAACAAGACACCTGGCGAACTCATCCAAAAAGTCAAAAACTTCGACTGGTTGGGATCAGTTTTCTTCGTTGCCTCGAGCGTTTCCTTCCTCATCCCACTAACATGGGGAGGTATTCAATATTCTTGGACATCCTGGAGAACGCTGTTTCCTCTACTGGTTGGCGTTGTTGGTGTCATTGGATTTGGTTTCTACGAATACTGGCTCTCGAAGCGAGCCTTCGATGCTGAAGGCAACGCTCTCCCTGGCAACTATACCGAACCAATCATTCGATTTACGATCTTCAACAATCGGACCATGCTCATTACGTACCTCGAAACTCTCATACACGGCATCGTTCTATGGTCGCTCCTCTACTTCCTTCCCCTGTACTATGAAGCAGTCCAAGGTTACACACCAATTATCTCGGGGGTAGCTATCCTTCCTGAAACCAGTTTTGTCGCTCGTAAGTCCCAAAAATACGCCGTGACATATGCAAAGACAAGTATCTGACAACCTCCCAGCCATGTCTGTAGTCGTGGGTATCGTCTGCGCCAAAACCGGCCGCTACAGATGGGCCATCTATACGGGTTGGCTGCTCACAACCATGGGCGCCGGCGTACTCATTCTTCTCGGTCCAAGCACATCTATCGTCTCCTGGGTCTTCCTCAACTTCCCCATCAGCATCGGCACGGGAATGCTATTCCCCGCCATGGCTCTCGCCATCCAAGCTGCAGGCCGTCAAGAAGATTCCGGACACGCCGCGGCCTTCTACTCATTCACCCGTGTGTTTGGTCAATCCCTCGGTGTCGCAATCGGTGGTGTGATTTTCCAGAACCAGATCAGAATCAAGTTGCTCAGCTACGAGTTGCTTGCTCCCCTTGCAGATGCGTATAGTAAGGATGCGACGGCGTTAATTGGCATCATCCAAACAATGGAGAGCGGTCTCGAAAAGACGCAATTGATCCAAGCCTATGCTGATGCTTTGAAGATGATTTGGATCGTTATGTGCGCTCTGAGTGCTGTAGGCCTGGTGGCGAGTTTGGCGACCAAGGGGTACTCGCTTAACCAGGAGCACAAGACGCTTCAGGGCTTCAAGGATAAGGAGAGGTTGGCTGACCCGGAGAAGAGTGAGCATTTGTGATGCCCAGGCTGGCTGTTCGTTCGCGATTGAGTTTAGGAAACTAGGTTGCTCTCGGTGTTCTTTGAGGAGCCTAGCTACGGTTGTTGTTTTCAACTGGCAGGTCGGGATGGCATGAGATGTTGGTCAACGGCATAGCGAGGCGTTCAGGTAGACCGGGCAAGAATATGATAGAATGTGCATCAGAGCACATATATATAGATATGAACAGCTCAAACTGATGTAATCATAAATACACTTCACATCTCCAACAGAGCTATACCTCAAGTTCGCCAACAAATCCCCCATCCTCATGTATAGAACGTCTAAGTCAAGGGTAAAAGAGACCAATGTCACAGCACGATTATATCAGGATGAGTGAACCCGACTCAAACAGGTCTCATACATATCATCAAATTCTATTTACGTCTCCAATCCTTTGTCCGTAAGCTGCCGCCCACCCGCAAAGCGGGTCCGCAGTACAAGAAGAAAACTCATACAAGAAGGTCCATGTTCTATCACACTCAACATCCATCCTTTCCATTCATCAATTAACGTAGTTAATCCATGCCTATTCTCACACAAGCAATCAAAATCGCAAAAGAGTCTTTTAAAGTCATAAAGCTCATCCATCTATGCATCAACGCTGAATCCTCCCAGAAAGTAAACATGGAACCAATTTCAAGAATATCAAGCACTATACGCATGTACCCATCTCCGAAGCTAGGAAGCAGTTTTGAAAAACCACTCAATTACCAATCTGCCTCTTCGTCCCTATCGCGCTGCATGGCGCTCTGTCTAGCCTTCAACGCTTCAGCCAGTCCACCTGCGAAGCTAGGCGTCGGTGTACTTCGGCCGCTGTCAGTACCATTGACACTCAAGCCAGAGTCACGAGGTGCAGGAGGAGGCGCGGGCTTGCGACCTCCAGCAGCGGGTCGCTTCGCAGGAGGAGCAGGAGGAGTTGGCTTGGCGCGGACGACCGGGCCGTGACCATTTGATTTCGCTGCCGCCGGTGGAGGTGGGGGGGGCATTGGTCGAGCCGCTGGAGCAGCTGGCAGCGGTGGTGGTGTTTCTTCTTTGAGATACGCCGAGGGAGCCCATCCTTGTTGTCCTGATGGGTGCCTTGCAAGCCACCAACCTATTCATATTAGCATATTGACAAGGCGAGAATACTACGCCGAAACGTACCGTTGTTCTCCTTCTGGAGGATGGTTACAAGCTCATCCTTTGCCATGGTGATCTCGTTGGCACTCTGACCATTGAAGTCGTAAAGAACTCTGTATTGTGGTTCTCGCGGAGGCGCTGCAGCTGCGGGTGGAGCTGGAGGTGGGGGCGGTGGAACAGACCTGCCAGATGACGCTGAAGGGTTATTGCGCGTGTGGTTGGGCATGGATACTGCAGCAGGAGCCGCGGGCATATTTCGTGTTTGAGTGGCTCCACCATTTGGCTGAGCAACAGGCTTAGTATTCCGGTTGGTGTTGGAGAATTTGGAAGGCCTGCCACCAGGTCCGCCTGGCTTGATGAGCTTGCCCTTGGTGAACGGCTTTGCAGCGATCGGTTTCCCTTTGGGCATAGGTCTTGATACTGAGTTGGGAGGCTCTCCCCCTTTCGTATGAATGGCACCACTCTTGTAAAAATCTTGCTCCGAAGGTGAATCTTTGACGACCTTGATGACTTGCATCTTGCCTGGCTTCTTTGCATACTCGATTGAGTCTGAGATCTTGAGGCTAAAGCCACCTCCTGGAATGGCCATTGACATATGCGTAAAAAGCTCAGTTTTAAGCACACAGTTCAATAATGGATCTGCCTCTTGTGGTGACCCGACACCAAGTGAAAACCAGTCATCTCGACATGTCGAGGTGCCAACAAATTTGATGGCACCAAGTGGTATTGATCGCTCAACAGCAACTTGAACCTGTTTGTTTACCAGATGCTGGGAGATGATATAGAACTTACTCTGGGTCAACACCAGAATTCGAGGACTAGCTTTACTCGATCGACCAAATTTCGTCTCCAATATTTCGCCTCGGCAGGACAATAACACTTTTTCGTTTGCCGACAGGTTGATCGCATTGCGGATCCGAGAACCAGGGCCACTTGTGGCAGCAATACCAAGGTAGTCTCCCATGAAACGTCTCGAGCCGAGAAGACTCATTCTTCTTCGCTCTTTGCGGCCCTGCAAAACTTTGTGACCACGATCTCTAAGCGCGAGGAACTCGGCACCGACTCTCTTCTTTCTCCACATTCTCTGGATACGTGTTGCGGCCTCGATACGGATTCGGAGGAAGGCCCTCCAGACCCGCTGAATTCGGATGGCCATATTGTGCCAATATCTATCGCGCATATGCTCTAGAGCGAAGAGTGTCTCCGGGGCTTTGATGAACGCCTTCGTTACACCCATTTGGAACTCCTCGGCTGGAATACTGGTATCTTTCAAGATTTGCTTGGCACCCGACTTTGCATCTCCGGTCCAGGTATAGTCACCAGCGTAAGAAGTCTGAGGAGATAGCAGATAGAATCGTTCCACGAACTTGTCAAAAGTTTGTCGGTACGCGAATCCAGCGCGCCTAATTCGGACGTTCTCTTGAAGACCAAGATACTTGATCTGATGCATAACGTTTGGAACATTATACTCCGATGGAGACTTGTTCTCATTGGGCTTGATCGTTCGAATGTATGAAGGTTCGGCTTTCATCAGTGTTGCTACTAGATCATTTGCCGAAGCCTTGATCTTGTCGCCGGCTGAAGGAGGCTGCTTTCTGTTGTCTTGGTCGACTTCGTGGGGGAAAAGGGTGTGTACAAATTCGTTCTGACTGTTACCAAAAAGGTTGAGGAGACCTTTCAGAAGTTGGTCTTTGTTCTTATCCGTTATTCCATCCACGGTGTATGCCACGTCGCCGGCATAATGCTTAATGATGAAATTGCCCTGTCGAGGGGTTAGATGGGGATTCGACATGCTGTTGATAGCTGTCATGAACGTTCGATCACAAGCAGCAGGATCTGCATGAGCGGTCTTCGTGGCATCTTTCATAGCAGAAAATATTCCAGGCGGCCGCACGGATTCGATCAAGTCACACACAATCTTGTTATCGAAATACGTGATAGGTGTCCACTTAATCTGCTCTCGCGCATATTCCTCCTGTTCCGTCTTCAATGTCAGTTGAATGAAAATCTGTTGGAGCTTCTCATTGACATAATTGATGCACAGCTGTTCAAAACTGTTCTTCTCGAAGATCTCAAAGCCATAGATATCAAGAATACCAATGGAATTTGCAGTCGCCGCGCGTGCCTTCAGTGAAACATTGACACGCTCCACAATCCAGTCAAAGAGATTGTTGTAGAGTGCCTTCGCAAGAGCATCCCTGGTAGCCAAAGCTTGGGCGGGATTTGCAGGTGATTCGATGACCTCCCCATTTCGAGGAGTGAGGATTCGAATAGTGATGGCCTTGATGACATCCGCTGGTTCCACTTCAAGCAGATATGCTAAGAAGTCCACAACATATTGGTCGACCACTTCAGCATAGCCGTCCTTGTCTTCCCGGAATCCAATATTGCCCGTCCATAGAATCGCAGCCAACACTCGGAAGATCTCATCCTGTTCCTGTTGCGACAACCCAATGATTTTCATCGCATTAAGTGTATCATTCCACTCTGCAAGATCATCAATACCATCGACGTCCAAACACTTCGAATTACTTGTGTATGCATATGTGCTAGGGCCTTGGATACCGAAGTTTTGCTTATAAGTGCTTGATGCTCCTTTTGTAAACTGATAGAAGATGTGGAAATTTCGCTCGTTCTGAATCTGACCAACAACTCTCGTCTTTTCCAAGAGGTAATTGGTAATGTCCGCACCAACAGGCTCGCCTTGCGCGTTGAATTGCAATTGCAAGTACTTGCCGAATCTGGACGAGTTATTGTTTCGCAACGTCTTTGCATTTCCGAAAGATTCCAACAGAGGGTTTGTAGCAAGGACCATATCCTTAGTCTCTTGAATCGAAGAATTGCTGCCGCCAGAAACGTTTGCAATATACTGCATAATTCGCTTTGCAGCCTCTGTCTTTCCAGCTCCCGATTCTCCCGAAATGATTACACATTGGTTGTCCTTGTAGGCTTTCATGTTGTAGTAGGCAGACTCCGCAATGGCGAAAACATGAGGGGGCATCTATTAAGGTTAGCTGGAGTCGCCCACGGGTCCAAGTGGTGTATTACACACCTCCAGTCGGTTCTTCCCCCTGTAACTGTCCAGGACAGCATCTGTATATATCCCCACTGTAACAAAATCAGCGCTAGTAAGTCAATTATCTTTCATTGTACTTACAATCCCGGAAAGGATTGACTGAAACCAACACATGCCCAATATATGTCTACCAAATGTTAGCAAGAATTGCCAGGTGTGATAGTGTTTCGGATTCCGTATGTCGTACATAGATCTCTGCATTCTCGAACCGCTTCTTGAGATTATCGTTTATTGCCTCGTTGGTTACTTTGCTGATCAGAGTAAGATCCGATACCCCAACCTCTTTCTTCTTGGTTGTATCAAAGGCTGCTTTCTTGATGTTGGGTTTCGAGCTGCCTGAAGCCGCTGCACGACCACCACCTGGGTTCGCGGCCTTATCGCCCTTCGGTCTTCTACTTATACCCTACAGTAAGTCTGCTGTTAGTTGAATATCCTTCAAGGTGCAAAATGGGACTGCTGTTGATATACCATTTTGGATAGTTCCCCTTGACAGGAACACCTGCTTCAGGATGCGCCCAGCTCGCTGGTGACCGCTACCGGTGTGCGAGAAAGCCAGGGCCTAGTTATGATGAAGGAGAACACTTCTAGGATGTGCAGGAAAGTCTCATCAAGAGAAAGCCGTGGCGTAGAAAACTTCGAAATATTTGGTTGTTGAGAGATGCCCATCCGACAGAGGTTCAACACCGAGAGACGGTTGCGTTCCGTTGTTCGCTCCAGTGGGGTCGGGATTGGCGCCCAAGGCCAGGCCACCGACTTTTCTACGGGCAAAGCTGACGCAAGTGGAACACAGCTCAGCCTCGTCCACGTAAAGTTCCTCTGCGCAGTTGCCACCTCATGCAGCATGCTTCAGTCAGCAATGCGGACAACTAGGTAATGCTCCCAACACGGTGCCATTTGGACTTGGAAATATATTACGTTGTGCCGGGTTATTTACAGCTTCAGAGGAGGAGACTGACCTTCCCACCCGCGACGAGAAGCAGGTGCAAGGACGCGAGAGAGCCTGATGGGCAGAACTCAGCAATCGCATGTTAAGGGCGTCGGTCTACTTGATTGACTAAGTGCGCAAGACTGCATTTTGCACTGCTCTACTCTGGAGTGTCCGTCCGAGCTTGCTGCGGAGTCATCATGATCCAAGTGGTAAGAGGTAAGCACGCAGTGTCTATCGATCAGAAATCCATCTCCCATTCAAGTATTATTCAGCATCCATCTTATGGAATTTCAAGGGACACAGTTCTATCAACCTTGATTTGTCGGACCGCTTTCTTTCGAAAATTGCAATTGAAGACCCCTCAACGCAGGCCACGGAGATACATGCTTGATGGAGACAATGAATCAAGACCGAGTTTTGATAACTACAGGTTGTCTAGCGACCTCAATTTCTCTTTGTGCTCGAGACCTCGAGATGACAGGTTCGACATTAGTATGCCGGAGGGTTCGCTTTCAAAGCCCTGCCGCGGCAGTATAATGGCAGTTTGCAATTTTGTTCTTTTGTCCTTTGGTATCCCTTCCTATTGATCGGATAAGTTAGCGCGCAGTGCATGATTTCAGATGGTACTGCGGCTTCTTGTATTGTTTACTTGCAGCGTCTGCCTTCCCTTGTTCCCCAAGGCATTTTTGCTCCTTGTTCTCTGTATCTTGACCACCCTTGGAAAAGCTGCTTCGTCAGCTACAGTATTGAATATTGAGAAGCTCTTTTCAAAACTTGCAGGTGAATGTTGTTCAAGTGAGTGGCGACTGCCAGAGAAACCCATCTCCAAACAGCTATCAGGTACTAAGGCTAGCGCCGCCATGTGGATCTGGCAGTTTGGTTACCGGGCACTGCTCGGGACATCTGCAAGGCCCAGTGACAAGAGGTCGTGGAAGGACTACATTCCAGCAGCATCGTCTTAAGGTTGGACAGGAGAAGAGCATCATATAACTAGATGTGGTATTCCGCCATCGAAACAATCTTTCGAAAGTAGTGTGCTGCTGAGTGGGCCTCGGGTTCCAGGACGTCTTACAGTATAAACTCTCACAAGTATCGAACATTTCAGTGATTGTCAGTAGTGTATCCACAGGTTTCTCCCAGGTTTAACCGACAATTTTAGTGCTCTTCCAGCAATTCCTAGAACCCAGAACCATCCCTTATGAAGATATATGGTCTGTGACGACTGCCACATGCATATTGTCGGTCTCTAACCGGCCAGTTTCTTTGTACCACATGCATCAACAGCCTTTACTCACCAGGCACAGCAAAAGTTCTAGATTCCTCACCACCGTCACGAAAAGTACGGCTCTTGTCACTTCCACAATAGTGGAAACAACTTCATATTTTCCGCTCGACAACCGCTTCACTTATGCAACCTCGGGTACCCAGCTGCCAGTCGGTTTGACCAGATTCCAGGTTGTAGTCAATCGTTCCATCATTCGATATTGTCGCCTCATCTGCCTACTTCTCAGGGGCAAATGCTACCAAAGTCGAAGACAAGCGGTGTCGACTAGTCTCAATGTAAACGCTGCTTCATGCTGAATACGACTCTAACTTGCCAGCTCAATAGCCGACTGGTACAATGTTCATGCTTCCAAGGTTTGGTCGGGGATGCTGAAGCTTGGCCAAACCGGTCAATGCCTTCGCAAGTGACTTGGCGGCACGAGAGTTCCCCCACGCACGACAGGCGAATTCAAACTCGACATCAAACGGGTACGCTATACGTGAGCTTGCAGCTGCTAATGACTGGGATGACGCTGCTTCTTACACAACTTCCAAAGATTCCACGTTGAGATACGCAGAGCCTGATACAGGACGAGGGACACATTTGATATCACGTGAAGGAATACAAGGCTGAAGAGAAGGCTGGGATTTAACGATCCACAGTTAACGTTCTCCGGGTCCCGGCATGCCGCAGATAGTGTCCACTTTTGACCACATGGAGTGAACCGCACCAGTGTTCGACCCTATACCACATGCGACAGTGCTGAATATCCGATTTGCAAAAGAAGTCGAGAGTCCTCAGATCGAATAATTGGTAGCATTGTCCGCTGTTTACTTTACTTTAGATTTACTGCATTGTCTGGGACCTGTCAAGATGTCAAGTAGTCAAAGTTGTGACGAATACAACAACCCTTGCCTTGACAGGTGCGGCAGCCAGCCACTGCAAGCATGGAAGGCCACCAACCCTTTGGGCCCAGTTTAGCATGCCCAATCACCGAACTTAGCGCCCGGCCCAACATTAGAGGCCTGGACCTCGCTATTAATGGAATACAGTACCACTTTCTGCAGCAGCCTGATGGTTGGTTTGCAGAAGACTCGAGGTTTCCGGTCCAATAATGGGTTGCTCCAACAGCCCAGTGCCAGTACCGTAGAACAATCGGCCAGTGCAGGAACAGATCTCGTTTTCAGAAATCATGGTTCTCGGGTCCAAGTTTCCAGGATTCCGTCGTGCTTGCTGTCGACACGATTGCCGCGATGATCAAGCAATTACCTCATTCTCGAGGACTTTTGTTTGAAGACAGCCTCCAGGCTCCAACAGATAGTTGCAGTCAATCAATCTGCGCCTTGCACTTGTCGTGGGGTTGAGACGAGGCGCGAGACAATTCCTCCTTCCTCCTCCGCTCTCGATCCTGGATTGCTTCCTTCATCGACACTCTCGTCTGGTGCACTGACTACTGCTGTCCTCCTAGCCGAACAGAGTATCTCTTGCCCGTCCGAGGTGGCGGCTTGAATCCAGTCCATCTCATCACGGCGGCCGAAGTGCATGGGAACTGGAATGGCGCACAGTGACTGGTTCGGATGCACTGCGTCGAGGCCTGCCAGACTGGCCCCATCTTGGTTGACGAATCCCTGGCCAGCTCAAGCGCCGGGATGGCACGAGGCGGCGCTGAAGCCTTTCCAATTGATGGTCATTCGAAGATGCGCTGCGTCGTTTGCTCTGCTCGAAGTCTTAAGGGTCCTCGAGAATTCTCGACGACAACAACAGGAATCTGCCCACAATATATCTCTTCTCGACATACGACTCAACATATCGTACGATTCTTGCATCCTCTGACCTCACTTCTGCCCTTCTCGCCCGAACTCAAAACATCAGACAAGATCGTAGGGGGGCCCGCTGCGACTGTGTCGGTTGTCAAAGCGGCCGGGCGACTCTGTGACACTCCACGTCTCAAAGTGGCACTCTCGACAGGCCAAGCTTTTTGACACTGCCCAAAAATCCTGCGAAACGACCGCTTGCATCTGAATTTCTCATATCGGATTGATCTGACACAGGGCTGCCAGCTCTCGAAACTGTCTGCTACGTCTGATCTTCAGCACAATAGTGGGATTCGACCCCATCACGGCCCATACAAGCTCAGATGGCATGCCAAAGAGGGCCGTGACAACCAGGTAGCGAAGGAAGATTATTACTCGGGGGTCTTTTAACCTCACAGGAACAGTGTCAGGGTTTCATGGGAACAGTGGTATCCGATATCAGTGCTTGCTCTGCCCCGCATAGAACATCCATCCGCTCGAGCCCAAACCACCACGGCTTTGGACGGAAGCCAGCTGGTTCGAGTCTTTATCATCTCTTCATCGCCCAAAACCCCTGGATCCCTTTCCTCTTTTTCTACGGCAAGGAGAAACAAGCTTTCACCTTCAACCTTCATAACAACCTGTCCTGCTGGCTCAGTTCTTCTTTTCTCGGGTGTCGTCCATTCATTCAGTTGCGCAGGTGGGAATACAAGTTTTAATTCTGAGGATCGAATTTAGAGGCACCGTTCATTCGCTCACCGGTTGCCTATACATATCGACGACTGCCTTTTACGACAGTTCCGTCGCTGGTCGACATTTAATATAACCTTGGGGATTGGGAGGTGTTCAGGAAACAACGATATCACGATGGGGTTTTCGGATGAGTTAAAGGCGCAGACGAGGGGGTCCAAATTGTTATTCAACTTCCTGTTCCATGGCTTTCACATCGGCCTTTTCATTCTCGGATGGTAAGCATGGTCGAAGGGATAACGGGAACTAGGACTGAACTGACTTAATACACAGGAAGAAACAACAAGATGACCCTAGGCTGGCGGGTCTGAATACCCTGACTTTCTCGGTTTGGATATCTCGAGGTGCTGGTTTAGTTCTGTCGGTAGATGGAGCAATGATTCTTCTACCTATGTGCAGGAATATCCTGAGGTATATCAGACCGAAGGTCAGATTTCTCCCGCTCGACGAGTCGCAATGGTTCCATCGACAAGTCGCATATTCAATGCTGTTCTATACCATTCTCCACACTACGGCCCATTATGTCAAGTAAGTAACCAATGTTTGGCCTTACGACATATCACTAATTCTGAACAGCTTTTTCAACGTTGAAAAGACACAGATTCGACCAGTTTCCGCCCTCCAGATCCACTACGCTCAAGCAGGAGGCATCACGGGCCATATGATGCTTCTGTGCATGCTTCTCATGTACACGACCGCACACGCCAAAATCCGTCAACAGTCTTTCGAAACCTTTTGGTACACTCATCACCTGTTCATCCCATTCTTGTTAGGACTTTACACTCACGCCACCGGATGCTTCGTTCGTGATACCACTGATCCGTTTTCTCCCTTCGCTGGTGCGGATTTCTGGGGTCATTGCATCGGTTATGAAGGATGGCGTTGGGAGCTATGGGGAGGTGGACTCTACCTTATTGAGCGTCTGTACCGTGAGATCAGATCTAGAAGAGACACCTCAATTGTACGAGTCGTCCGTCATCCATATGGTAAGCTTGCCTCTATTTGATCACCTGAAATGACACTAACAGTGATAGATGCAATGGAAATCCAGTTCAGAAAGCCTTCCATGAAGTACAAGGCGGGACAGTGGCTCTTCCTCAATGTCCCATCTGTCTCTCAGCACCAATGGCATCCATTTACCATCACCTCCTGCCCATTCGACCCCTATATCTCTGTCCACGTTCGTCAAGTCGGTGACTTCACCCGTGCTCTCGGTGACGCTCTCGGAGCAGGTCCCGCCCAAGCCAAGTTGTACGACAGCGTTGACCAGAATGGCATGTACGAAGTCGCTCTCCAGAATGGCCAACAGATGCCTGAACTCCGCATCGACGGTCCCTACGGTGCACCAGCCGAAGACGTATTCGACAATGAAATTGCCGTCCTCATCGGAACAGGTATCGGAGTCACCCCCTGGGCCGCTATCCTCAAGAACATCTGGCATATGCGCAATAGCCCTAACCCACCCACCCGTCTCCGCCGTGTGGAATTCATCTGGGTCTGCAAAGACACCACGTCTTTCGAATGGTTTCAAGTCCTCCTCTCATCTCTGGAAGCACAAAGTCAAGAAGCTGCTGCACGCATCGGTGGCCAGGACACCGAGTTCTTGCGCATCCACACCTACCTCACCCAGAAGCTCGACATCGACACTGCACAGAACATCGTACTGAACAGTGTTGGTGCCGCGCTGGACCCTCTCACCGAGCTGAAGTCTCGTACGAACTTTGGCCGTCCCGATTTCGGGAGACTGTTTGAGGGGATGAGAGATGGTATCTTGGATAGAACATATCTGAGCGGATTAGAAGGCGACATGAAGACGAATGTCGGTGTCTACTTCTGTGGTAAGTTACTCTCCTCTCTACTCACATGACATATCACTGACATATACCAGGACCCAACGTAGCAGCACGAGAGATCAGGAAGGCATGCAAGAAGGCAACGAGTCGTGAAGTAAACTTCTCATTCTGGAAGGAGCATTTCTAGATATCGCCTTGTTCTTTTTGTCTGTATCAAACTTTTTTTTCTACTTGTCCTACCTAAATACATGATTGATTCACGATCGATACCGAGCGAGTTGGAGTGGGTGTCTAGCGTTCCAGCCAAGGAAAAAAGACTTCCTGTGGGCAAATGGATGATGCATTTTGACGAGCGAAACGGTGTATATTTGGGTGCCCATATATTTTAGTGTTGCAAAGATAGCATAATCTTTACTTCACTTGTCCCCTTCGAAATTCATAGTCTTTTACCTCGCTTCAGTGTCTTGTATGAAATTCTGTGAATTGTACTCAAAAGTTCTATGGCCTAAAAAGTATGTTCCCACATATATGTATGATCAAGATTGCAGATCTACAACTTACTCTGTCCTTCTTGTGGCACTTTGACCACGACCTTGCCCCATGTCCCTCTACTTCCCAAGCTCTTCAAGGCATCAGGTACACTCTCGAGCCCAACAAACTCCTTATCCGTGAAAACAGTCCCTCTGAACTTCCCTTCGTCGATCAACTTGAACAACCCGTCCCAGACAGGCTCGATCATCTCGGGCTCATTTAGGGTATAAGCACCCCAATGCAGCCCAACAATGCTGATATTTTTCAGCAGCACCTTATTCATAGCCACCTTCTCAATAGACCCTGCCGCAAACCCAATAACCAACAAGCGACCATTCCACGCTATACACTTCGTACTCTTGTCAATCATGCCCACCGGATCAAACACAATATCGACACCTCGTCCTTTCGGCGTAATCTTCCTGACCATCTCGGGCCACTTAGGATCCGTATAATTGACCGCATAATCCGCCCCAAACGACTTCGCTACTTCGAGTTTATGTTCCGTCCCAGCAGTAGCAATGACCGTCGCTCCAAACGCCTTCGCTATCTGCACCGCGGCAAGTCCAACTCCACCAGCCGCCGCGTGAACCAGCACATAATCCCCCTTCTTCACGCCAGCCCTCGTAACCAGAGCGCCGTAACTTGTTGGTGCAGTAACGAATAGACCTGCTGCCTCGAAGAAACTCCATCCTTTCGGCACAGGCTTGAGAGCTTGCTCTGTAGCAGCAACTTTCGTTGCGTAGCCACCTTGTGAGGCGCCGAAGACTCGGTCTCCAACCTTGTATTTAGGTGATTTGGAGAAGGTGGGCCTGGAGATGATTACGCCGGCGAATTCGGAGCCGGAAATCCAGGGAAGAGGGGGTTGGTGCTGGTATTTGCCGGCGATTTGGAGGAGGTCAAAGAAGTTGGTAGCAGAGGCGTGAATTCCGACTAGATATTGGTCTTTTGAGGGGACTGGGTCAGGAAGATCCTGGACTTTCAGGTCGGATGGCCCCTATTGTTTTTTTGTTTTTTTTAGAATATGGTTCTATCGAAGTTCTGAGATAGAGAGAATGGACTGGCTTACTTTGACATATTCTTTGATCTGGATTCCTCGCATTGTGCAGATACTGGTACTGGTACAGGAATAGAATTTCTTTTGGAGTGAAGTTTTTCAATCACTGGTTTTCAACTTAGTCGTACGGCGATTGTACAAAGCAAGTTTGATTTGGGAATGTGTGAATTAGGAATGTTTGAAGGATTAAGTTGGATCTGAAGCTCCATCGCGGGGAACCGAAACTGGGGAACCGAGGCCGAGGCTTCCCACGTTCTCACCCCTGACAACATCACGTGCAGTGGTTATTCCCACTTCGGATTCTTTACCTAGGTAGTAAATTTAGGTACGAAAGTACCTATGCAGACGTTGTGGCGACCAAATATTGAGTATCTTGCTGCTCAATACAGTGTTAGAACCGTTCTGCAGAATAATGGCATGCGGTTGTGGACAGAGCCCCAATCAAGCCAACTCTGGCCTGAGAAGCCTGTAGACTGAGATGGAAGGCGGACTGGTAAGTGATCCGTCCGCCGGCCTACCTGCCAGCCTGCCTCCCGTCGTGTTCAAAAGGCAGCCTCAAATGATCTTCGACTACTCTGAAGTGAAATTCAGCAAGAACGACACTCAGGGCCCAAAGGGAAGCCAAAGTCAATCAATCACAAACAACCCGCGAACGCTGTCTCCATATTCAAATTCATATTTATATCCGTCCCAAAATCGACTTCAGGATTCAAGACAGCCGTCACCAAAATACGAGACCCCTGCTTTAGCGACAGGCTAGGAATCAACGTCATCTGCCTGCCGCCGTCTCGTCTCGTCTCGTCTCGTCTCTCTCCACTTCACTGGATCTATTGATAAAGAAAGATAGAAGCAACTGCGCCTCACCGTGTCCTCAGCCGAAGCAAGTAATCTAACACCCAGTTACCTTTACCTTGAGCTCCAACGAAAACCCGTTGACAGGTACACGAGACCCCATACTATCTCAAGGCTGCACCAAGTGCAAGAAAGTGAAGATGGCTACCGAAGACGCCGCCACTGTTGAGAGCGCTGATCCGCAAATCAGCTTCAAAGTCAAGACGTCCAGCGATGGCCTGCATAGCATTACGATGCCAGAGACCGCAACCGTCCTCGATCTGAAGACGAAGCTGTCAGGAGGAGAATTTGAGAACGTATCAGTAGACAGAATGCGCTTGATCTACTCCGGTAGAGTCATGAAAGACCCCGAACAACTCAGCACATACAAGATCAAGGCGGGCAACACAATACACATGGTGAAGAGCGCGCAATCAAATGCTGCACAAAATCCCCCAAGTGCAAGCGCTGGTACTGGCTCAGCTGCCCGAGCTGCTCCAGGAGTACCTACCAATATGGCTGCTGGAACCGCCAACAACCCTCTTGCTGGTTTGACGGGAGCTAGATACGCTGGACACATGGGACTACCAGGAATGGACATGTTTGGTGCGGACGGTGGAGTGAGTATACTCGTCACTTAATATTCGAGGACAAAATACTAATCATCTCTGCAGATGGGAGCCCCTCCAAACGAAGACCAAGTTGCCGCTATGCTCGATGACCCCAACATCCAACAAACCATGAACGAAGCCCTCCAAAATCCGCAGATGGTCGATATGATGATAAACTCAATCCCACACCTACGAAATGATCCTAATGCCCGAGCAATGTTCAATAACCCTGAATTCAGACGTATGTTGACGAATCCAGCGGCTCTTCGACAGGCTGGAGAGATGAGAAGAAGAATGCAACAAGCAGGAATGGGCAGTTTCCCAGCTCCAGGAGCTACAGACACTACACCGACTGGTGCGGCCAGCAGTAACCCCAACCCAAGTCAAGCACCGTTTAATCCCTTTGCTGCACCTGCAGGATTCGGAGCTGGAGCAGAAGCTGGCAACAACCCATTTGCAAGCCTCTTCGGTGCACCAGGCCAGACACCTGCTCAAACACCTCCACCCCCTGGATCTGCAGGACAACAAACACCACAATCGCCACCAACAGCCGATCCCAATGCCGCCAATCCATTCGCCTCTCTCTTCGCAGGTGCAGGAGCTGCTGGTCAGAATCCGTTCGGTCAGATGCCTCCAATGACTCCAGAGATGATGCAACAAGCCATGCAGATGCTCCAGAATGGTGGAATGGGAAACATGTTTGGCGGTGGAAACCAATGGGGTGCAGGAGGTGCCGCAAGTCCGCCACCACCTGCCGATACAAGACCTCCCGAGGAGATGTACGCGGATCAATTGAGACAGCTAAATGATATGGGTTTCTTTGACTTTGATCGTAAGTATATTCGCTCCTTTTTCTTCCAAATCACTTGACTCTCTACAAGGTGGAGTTGTCAACGAATACCCCGCCGACCCCGTTTTCGAAATTCCGAGATGTTGTTTATATTCATCTAAGTCCATCATTTGCTAACGTCATATTCAGGTAATGTTGCCGCCTTAAGACGAAGTGGGGGAAGTGTCCAGGGTGCAATCGAGCAACTTCTCAGCTGAAGTGGCTCCTTGGTAATATTATGGTTCGAGAGCAAGTGTGTTTGTCGGGCACTCTGAAATGCATCCAGGTTTGGGATTGGGATGCTGGCAGAGATAATTGTATGGCTCGGTATTTGATGACGCATGATGAGCAGACGTAGCTAAGACGAAGAATACTATTTTGGTGCAGCGGAAACTTGAAGCTCTTACTGTAATGTGCGTTCTGGTGTACAGGAGTGGTAACTGTGAAATATGAATGACCAGTCGTAGTGGGATTTCGTGAAAGCAACACAATCGTCATTAATTGATACTCTATTGTTATATGTCAGGCAAATCTGCTCAGAGGGTAGAGGGTAGCAGGAACAAATATCGATGTCCGCAACACCACTCTCGCTTGTACCTTTGATGTGCCTACATCGAAGTATGACATATATCTCTAAATTCGACAATTGCCCGGCACGGTCTCTAATTGAGCAAATACGCATACTTACATAACTTATAAATTGACTTCAGCGTTCTTTAAGTTTTGCGTGTCTACAGACACGTACATATTCCTGACGAGTATACTAACTGTAGGTGAGAGAGAGAGAGAGTCCAGGTCGGGTGTTCACTTACTTCCTTTCTTTAAGTGATATGACGATAGAGCCAATTCCACTACACGAGCACACAGTGATTGACTTCCAGGTTATCAAACTCCTTGTAGCTAGACAGTCCTCATATCAGGGACAGAGTGATTGAAGCAAGGAAAACTTTATCAGAGACTCGTCACTGCCAGATCTTTCCCCCATCCTCCATCGACAGATATCTGTCTACTCAACACCAAGACCCAATTCCTTACACACTCTGAGTGCTCTCCAAACAGCCCTCAGGTCGCGAGACTGAGTCTCATTGTAGCAGGCACCTGCATCTAGTACCCTTCTCAACTGCTCGACAGTGTTCTAACCCGAAATATCGATAAGCGATGGACCATGTAAGTACATCTAATTAAGATGTAGTCATTCCCTTTCAAGATAATCATTATACGGCGAATACCGAAGACGGTTTACAAAGTCTGGCTTTATGTCGTCGCCTCTCGTTCTAAGGTATATACATCTCTCTATCCATACCAAGATTTTCATCTTGCCTTCCTTGTCCCTGTTGGCAAACCAGCTCGCATTCATCTGCTCGAAAAAATATTCATGAAGAGAAAACCATGCCAGGCCTGGAACCCAAATGCCGCTCGCTATGCAAGCAAATCAAACAAGATACCAATCGACAAACTGTACAACCCAAATCTCAAGTCTTCTGATCCATCCATCAGACCGATATCCCCAAATTAAAAGGTAGCAGCCCCTAAACTCCACCCATCCACCCACCCAACCCAGAACTCAATCATACAGCTCATCTGTTCCACTCTATCCTTTCTTTCTTGTCTCATCATCAAGCGTCGTAACCGTCCTATCACTATCCCTCCATTTTCTCCCCAGAGTAGGTCGCTCCTTACTAGCACTCCTCCTGTTCTCCTTCTCGCCCATTTTACTCCTATCACTCTCAGGAGACTTCTCTGCGCTCCCCGCTTCACGGCCCATGCTGTTAGCCGTGACAGCCATGCTGGCCTTCCGCGACTTATACTCAGGTCGTTGTGCTCCCCCCGCCTCACGTTCTAGTTTCCCCACATTCTCCACGGTCAGAGCCTGGAAAGATCCATCATCGCTTCCCAGCGCATTCGGCGTCAGGGTGACGATCTCGCCAGGTCCAGCAGCGGCAATGACTAATTTCTCGTCCCGTAAAGCGGTGGCTTTCTCTTCAGCTTCTTCACGCTTCTCAGCTCGATCGCCTTCGGATTCAGGGCCTGGGAGGGTAAGTTGATGAGAGTTTTGACGCTCGCTCATGCTCGGTCTCTGAGGCTGGAGAGCAGGCAGTTGCGGTTCAGCAGTTGCAGAAGAAGGCGGGCTTTGTTTCGCGCGCCCAAACATAGGCATCGCAGATGTGCCGCAATTATGCTCTTCAGATTCTGGACAGTCACTACTATCATACTCGCTACCACCTGGCGTATTAGGAACGCGTCTGCTGATTGCCCAGCGGACTAGCATTTTCTCTAAAGTCTTTCCTTTGACGGGTTTAGCAAGATAGTCGTCCATTCCGGCTTTCTTGCACTTTTCGCGATCACCTTGAATTGCAGAGGCGGTCATGGCTACGATAGGGATATTTCGAGTAAGTGTATTATAGGGGGTGTGGTGGCGCAGAAGATGAGTAGCACGATATCCATCGATGATGGGCATTTGCACATCCATGAGGATAATATCTGGCTCCCTGTGAGGTGCATCCGGAGAGTCTGCTTCAAGGACGTAATCGAGTGCTTCCTTTCCATTCCAGACTGCTGAAACTTCGAATCCCAGCTTTTTGATTGTTTTCAGGGCGATTTGCTGGTTGATAGCACTATTTCCTAGTCAGTATATGAATAAGAAAGCCTGGACCTAGAGAGATCTTACTTATCCTCAACAAGCAGAATCTTGACCTTGGCTCTCTCTTCACGAGACAGCTCAAGCTCGGGGGGTGCTGGCGGGGCCATGCTAATCGACCTGGATTTCTGCCCAGCTCTGTGCATGTTGATGGGACTCTGCATCGGTGGCGTGCCAACAGCTTGTTCATAATCAGAACTACTGCATGAAACGCTCATTTCAGATTGAAGGCGGTCGGGTAGTGAGCCAATATCGATAAGTGCAGTAGTTCCGTTGTGATACTGAGGCTTGTTGAAAGGAATCGTGAAGGTTGCAGTAGTTCCAGCGCCGAGAGTCGATTCCAGACGGATCTGCCCATGCATAAGATCCACAAGATTCTTGCTAATTGTCAATCCAAGACCAGTTCCACCAAATCGTCGCGCTGTCGAAGAATCTGCCTGACTGAAAGGCTTGAAGAGGCGTTGTCTGACTTCTTCCTCGATGCCGATGCCCGTATCCTCAACCACGAATTTCACCTCGAAAACATCGGCTGTTTCCCGCTGCTTCAAGACTGAGAACTTTACATACCCCTCGCTTGTGAACTTGATGCTATTGGTAAGTAAATTCGTGATGATCTGGCGGACGCGTCCTGGGTCGCCCATGACAATTAGATCCTTGTCCATACCTACAGCAATATCTGATTTGAACATGAGGTTCTTCCTCTCAGCCGCGAAGCCAAGCATCTTGCTGACATCTCTCACTACGACGGACAGGGAGAACTGGACTTCCTCGATATCTAAACGGCCAGATTCGACTTTGGAGAAGTCGAGAATGTCGTTAATAACCGTTAGTAGGCCATTGGCAGAACGCTGGATATTCTCGGCACAGTCTCGTTGCTCTTCATCGAGATCCGTGTCCGTAAGGAGCTCTGCCATTCCAATGACGCCTGCGATCGGGGTGCGAATTTCGTGTGACATGTTCGCCAAAAATTGACTCTTCAGTCGACTGGCTTCTTTAGCTGCTGCTTCGTTGGCCAAGAGTCTGGTATTCTCTTTCTCTTGTGCTTGCAGTTCTAATTCGCGGTCTTTGATCTCAGTAATATCCATACTGACCCCAATCACGCCGTCGATCCATGCTTCGTTCACACGGCCACCGTTATCTTTCTTTCCGAGGACAGGAACAAACTTCGTACTATACCACCTATCATCGATGCAATGTTCCTGAACTTCCTCCATGGATTTTCCAGTTAGAATATCCTCGATCGGTTTCAAGGAGGTCGGGATGCCGTCTTTGTCCCGTGGCGATTTGCTCTGGCTAAGAACCTCATACACGGATTTGCCAACGAAATGGTCTCCGGGAGTGGGCTTGCTACTGACGCTCTCGTCACCGGATTCAATATCTTTCTCAAGATCCCAAATGAAGGCTCCCTCCAGAAGCGTAATCATTCGATTCCGGTCAACAGCGAAGAGTGTAACTTGAGCATGCGTGATGACAGACAAAAGTTGTTGCCGCTAATATATGGTTAACAAATATCAATGTGTTAGAAGAAGATGATCTCTTACCAGTCTCTTTGCAGCGAATCTTGTCTCAACCGACTCATGGATATCTGTACATGTCCCATACCACTTCTCAATAGCACCTGTCTGCAGATTCCTCATGGGTAATGCGCGCCCCAACATCCATCTCCACTCGCCATCTTTGTTTCTGCAGCGATACTCGGTACTGTATGGATCTCCCGTGTTGAGAGAATGCTCCCATTTCTTCCCGGTACTCACCATATCATCTGGATGGAAAGGAAGTCTCCAGCCCATACCGAGAGATTCGTCTTCTGTTAGTCCGGTGTACTCGTACCTAGGAATTATTAGCCAGGTACGTGAACGACGAAGTCGGATGTGATACGAACCATCTAGGACTGAACCAATCATGCAATCCCTCTGGAGTCGTGGTCCAAATCATTTGGGGCATGCTCTCACAAATAAGTTGAAACCGTTGTTCGTCTTTTGCCTTGATCTCGGTGATCACCTCGGTCATCGTAGTGATATCTCTATTCTGAGTATTAGCACAACTTCACCAATAGACCCAAGAACGGTGAAACCATGTCTTCTGAGGGAACCCGACTTCGAGACACCGTCAAAGAAAGTCAGAAAGAGAGAAAGGAAAAATAGTTGTGCTGACCTGCATGTAACGACTCCTGCCAGAAAATTTCCGTCCTCATCCCGAATCGCCTCGCCCAGACAGTCGAAGACTAGCTTGCGATTCGTTTCGGGGTCAAAAAGCCCGATTTTACGGCTAGAGAACGGTGTTTGAGTTTTAATAAGGACCGAGATAGGATATTCTGACGGATCCAGTCGCGTGGTGAAAGTCTCGTCCCATACATGCCACTTTGTCACCAAATCGAAGCCATCCTTGACGTTCGAGAGATCCGCTGTAGGATGGAACAGCCTTCTGGCAGCTTTGTTCGGGATAGTTAGACTCTCATCTCTCCACATAGCCAGAATCGGCACGGATGTTGTGTCCATGAGTGCATCTTTCATTAGTATTATTTTTTGAAGTGTTGACGGGGCACTCGAGAGACTCGATTGTGATGGTGGACCCAAAGGTGGAAAGGGACTCGTCGACATTGAAGCGTTTGTTGGACTGGTTATTGCAGATGACGAAGAGCTGCTCCCTCCTTGAGAAGATTTTCCTGACCCACCAGAAGATGGACTAGAATGTGATCCTGATCCCACTGAACCAAATGAGCGATGTTTGGCTGCCCTCATTGCTTGCCTCGGTTGTCTGGATTTTGGCAATGATGTCTGCTTCGCCTCGGTATTTGTGAATGTCAGAGTATAGAAACTCTCGTCCTCGATGTCCCATACAGTAATGATCATTTTAGCCAACGTATGCTTCACTCCTTTGGCATGGTGAGTTACAAAAGCCGACTGAGTAACCTTCTCCTGGGCAATTATCACCTCAACCACGGCATCGTGAACCATCGGGCGGTCCTTTTGCGAACTGGATGATCCGGTCAGAGGCTCTGCTCTCTCTGCTGTTGGGGTCATATCCCCTTCGCCAGATTCGGATCGAGAACCATCTAGTTGTTCCACCAAACTCTGACCTAAATCGTTGGCAATACCGTCCAGAAAAGTATCCCATGTTACCCAGATAGGTCGTCCCTCTTGAAGCATATCAATACCGAGTTGATTCAGAGTCTGCCCCCTCAATTTATCGGATACAGAGGTCCCATCATCACTCACAACATCCCCATCCTGGTCTTCTATTCCAAGTAGTCTTCCCATAGCATCGTTTGCCATCACCAAAGTCTTCATGCTGTTTAGAATCATGACCGGATATGGGAGATATTGTAACGCTGACATTGCTAAATCGGCGGCCAAGGGAATTCGAGGTATGTCGAGATGGAGGAGACTATCACTGGAATTCCTTCGAGTCGGCGATTGGCCCCTACTCTTGCGGTAGTTGTCCGCTTGTAATGATTCCAGTCCATCGATCTGACCTGGGGGCATGTGGAGGGGCGACATGGGCCGCTCGTACTCATCGTCGTTTCTCGGAAGGGCATGGTCGAGGAGGGGTTGATGATTCCCAGCCGGCATATGGGAGACATCGTGGAAAGTATCGAGAGTCGACATGCTCATGAAGCATGAACTTCGAGCTGGTAGAAGCACAGAAAGGTATCGGGTCCAGTACTCGTAGTCGTGAGTTTGTCAGCCAAGTAAGTCACTGCGTCATATCTCCACGTCCAGAACCAGAACCAGGTGCGATTTGATTCGACTTCACTTGACTTAACGACCCCGGCAGCGACAACAACTCAGCGATTCTGCGTGCTCTAATCCGCTAATGCCTTCGTTTGGACGTTTGCGACAGCCAGCGATCACATACCAGGCAATGTTGACAAGAGCGGACGAGCAGTTGAAGAAACTGGACAGCGACTCGGCGGCGCTGAAGGCGGTGGGCTTTCGTACCTAGCTCGCCTAGGTAGGATAGCCTCCCGTTAGAGTTTGTGAGAAAAGCGATCAGCGATCAGCGATCAGCGATCAGCGACGGTTCGAGGATTCGAGGTTGGTCTGCGAGATCCAGGCCCTCTGGAGTCTGGACCAGCGACCTAGTGGGGCGCCGGGGGCATGAAGAGACACCGGACCGGGAGAAGGCTAGGCTGTTGGTGAGCCAGGTGAGGTGCAGAAGCGAAGAACAATGAAAATAGCGAGAATACCTAGCTACTTCGGGTAATCCTGCGACACTATTTCTTCTGTCGATGTACGTACCCATATTATTTATACATTATACGTCTTTTGCAGTGCATGCAGAAGGAAAACTCAATTTGAGTTCTTGGAGAATAAATGCCATAGGCAAACCCGGACACTACTGTACAAAAGGCATGTCATCTTGGACCCCTGGCTCGCCCCTGGGTTTCCCCGCTGCACGGAGGCGAGGCGCTTTACTGTACTGTACTGCCCCCTGCCCTGCCGGCTATCTGGACAAGACATCCCCATGACGCGGTGGCTTGTTGCACGCCACTGCCATCACATCAGGCACTCACTCTCCATTCGTAAACATCACATGAGCTGTACTGTACTGTGCAAACTTAAACATAACTACAAACTACAAGTACCAAAATAAAAATAACCACACTATTTCCAGTCCTACAAACAACGAGATCTTCACGCACAGAAGCATCCACACTCGCGAGACTTGGGTGTCTGGAAAAAGCGCAAAGACCCATCTCGCCCCAGGGCCCTTTGCTGATCGCTGCGCTCTTGGCCGGAGATTTTCACTTGGATTGCTTCTTCTGCCTCCGATGGCCGTTGGGATCTTCACGACTCCGTGCATCTCGTGTGTCTGCCATCCAATGCAGACCCCTGATTGTAGCGCCCCCCCCGCTCCAAGGAGGACTGGCCACGCAGGGGACGTTTGATTCATCATCCTTCCGTCGGACGGATATCATTCTGCTCAGACTACGAATAGGGGTCCTCGGGTTCTCTTATGAGGTCGCTGGTAGTGTTTTTGCAAATGAAGATACAACAAATAGGGTACTTTACGACCTGTCAGATTTCTTGTAACTGTGAGTTGGATGTGGTAAATTAGACGAGCTGTGCAGTTCGAGGCTTGAATGATGGCCAAGCCTGCAGTAGCCGAGCGTTTGGTGTTCATCAAGTGTTACCTTTGTATTGTACTTTAAAGACAGGATATCTCTCAAAAACGGAAAGCAGTGTCTATCTTACAAATAGACAGCATATTAATTCAGGGTGGTGATATAACTTATCAATTTCAAGCTTGATAGCTAGACGAAAATAAAGAAGGGATGATATGGATAGGTTTGCGTCAAAGGTTATGGTAGTATTCGACAGATCTGGGCTACCTGGTCATAAAATATCATTGAGTGTCTTCGTTTAAGGCCAATGGTCCCGGGGAAAAGACATAATCGCCTCACATGAGAGCTGAACACGATGTTGAAGATTGATGGTTACTCGGGCTAAGCGAAGGGTCCATCTTCCCAGCAATAAACACAGGGCCAATCTTACCCACCGCAACCCAACCCTCACTCAAACCTTCCTAACAAGTGCCCTCAACCTCACATACCCAATCCACTCTCCACCCCCAAGACTCGCACAAACAGTCTCCAGCACCTCACAAACCTCCTTCACACACTCCTCCCTCTCCTGCCCCTCCTCAACCGCATCAAAAAACTGCTTCCCCATTAACCTAACCCAGCCCTCAATCCCACCCTGATCCACCTTCGTAGGTCTATACTCCCGCTCTATCTTCTCGACCTTGAATCCACCAACTGTCCGTTCGAGCATATCCGTCATCCAGGTTTCGTCAGGAAAGAACCACGGATCGACTTCTCGTGCTTTTGGAAAGCCGATTTTACGGCCAATTACACTGAGGAGTGCGGTGCGCATCTAAGTTGGCATTTTTCAGTACATGGTCTTTCATTCTCCTCATATAGAGCAAGATCTCCAGTAGAGACAACGTAAGAAAGATTCTACACACCTCAGCTACATTCCCCATACCGCCCATCTCAAATACGAACGTCCCACCAGCTTTCAAGGCACCTCTCACACCCTTAAAGAAATCCTTCCTCGTGTCCTCATGACGTAGAATCCAATGCATGGCTGCGTTGGAGAAAACTTTATCGTACTTCTCTTGCTGGAGTGAAGGGTTAGTGGATAGTTGGGTGGCGTCGATCACTGGGTGGTTATTCAGTATTTTAAAGATGCTGAAGGGCGGGGGATGAGGGATGGACTGGGATTTGCAGTACCTTCGAAGGAGCAAGTCTTACTCGCGGCTGGATCAGCAGCTGCAGCTTTTTGTGCGGATGCTATCATTGCAGGTGAGGCGTCGACACCATGTATTTTCCCCTTGCCCTTCGCAAGGGTCTGGGCGAGCTGCACGTTAATGATACCATCTGGATGATTGTATCAATAAAGGTATATTACAGCAATAAAATAATCCTGGGACGGTCCAAACTGTAAATTTTGAAAGGAGCGGGAAAGTAATTGGAGCCCTTGTGGTGGAATAGTGCAATGCTTAAAAAGCAGAGAGAACGACGTGGAACTCACCACCACACCCAACATCCAATATCATATCATCTTCCTGGACATCCAACCACCCAATAACTTTCCCCGCCAACTTTGGCACGAAACTAGCTGAATTCTGATATGCCTACTCATATCAGCTTTTCCTTCGAATATCTCCTTGCCAAGCAGCTAGAATTAACTAGCAATGACTATAAAAGTGAGAACGCACCTGCGAGCTCCAGTGCTCCTCATTCTCTTGCTTGGTCGACATATTTACGTAGCGAGTAAGAATTCGCCTTAATTAATTTGATAGGCGTAATAGTCACCACTCAAGTCAGATCGCGGTGGAGTGTTTTCTGAGAATCAAAGGAGAGAATGAGGGAAGGTAAGAAGCATGGTGCTCGTTTGAAGAGCTTCAGCTGATACTTAAATGAGGAATGAGAAGCGAAGTTGGGAGATGTTGACAGAGACAGAGGGGTAGCGACGTCCGGTGTCGGAGCGAAGTGCTGTCTGGTCGATCATCAACAAACCTGTCTTTTAAGATAGAGCAATGTGACTGCAAGAGATAATCGAAGGAATCGACGGTCTTAACTAATACATACTAATGCTCTATCCTAACTTCAGTAATATATGGAGATATTTTGAGAAGCGTGCATACTTGTCAAGTGAAGCAGATAAACTAGGCTTGTGAGTCGGGTCTTTCGAGATAACGATGACATTTCAATGTCGCTTCGATAGACTGTTGACATCTACCAGATACATACTTTTAGGCTACACGCAGCTTTCAACAATCCCAATTATTATACTCCCCGAATAATTATACCGTCAGTCAATCTCCAACAGCTGGTATTTAGCATCCCCGAACGCCTTCTCGATCCTCGTCATAACAGCCAATACCTTCTCCTCTTCGAGTCTCTGTCCCACAACCTGCACCGCAACAGGAAGACCATGCATAGCCGTTGCATCATAATGCTTGTACGCGCCTTGTGCGACACCATTGAGTTTCTTGAGGGAGAAATCTGGCGGAAGCTGGTCGAGTGCTTTGTCCACATGCGTAATTGGCATAACACCGCATGTATAATCAAGCTTTTTTTTTTATCAGAACTGTTCCCCCATTATGAAAGAGCGTATGACGGCTAAAGAAAAGAGTAAGAGACGAGAGACTTACCAAATTGAACAAAAACGTATACCCACAACTACTGACAGCATCATGCATGCCGTCATGCGGGACGGCAGGCGTAGCATTCGGGGGAGTAATCAAAACATCAACCTTGGCCTCCTGCTCCCACCAATCATGCCACCTCGCCTTATAACTCTCTCTCTTCGCGACCAATTTCCACTGTTCATAAGCACTCTTCTCCTTCCAGTCTGCAATTAGGCCAGCCCAGACATCATCTCGACGCACATACTTGACCCAGAGATAATACACGTATTTGAAAGGAGAAGGCAAGGACATGAGCCAGCTCATCTGTTTCGCGCCTGAATCTTCCCATTCTCCAGTCCGGAAGAATGACTTGAAAGTTTTGCAGCCATCTGCATTGAGGAGTTGAGAGGCGAGGTAGAGAGCTTCGTATGGCGATGGTGGATTGACATCGATTACTTCGTGACCTTCGTTGTTCAACACTGCAACAACTTCCTCAAGTGCTCTCGCACATGCTGGACTGGGATCTACTACTCCATCGGTTCGGAGGACACCTACTCGGAATTTCTTCTTTTCAGTAAACTCCTTGGCAATATCTTCCCTCCATGGAATGGGGTGGACCGAGTGGTCATACTTCCATGGCTTCATGCTGATCATGGATTTCGTGAAATAGGAGAGATCTTCTAGTGTTCTTGTCATTGGTGAAAAAACGCTTGGGATGCCCTCCTGACCAGGCATGCTAGTCACCATTCCATTCTTCGGCCATCGTCCAGTCGAACATCTCAGACTGTAAATGCCAGAGAAATGAGCAGGTACTCTCACACTACCTGCAACATCTGAACATCCGAGTCAGTAACAGATTATGAAGTGATCAAAACATGTTGAATATCAATGACCTACCAGATCCAATACCAATTCTCCCACCTCCAGCAGCCAATAAAGCACTTTCTCCACCAGTCGAACCACCAGGTGAGTACTTATTGTTGTGTGGGTTCATACAACGACCCCAAACATCATTCGTACTCTCGAAACTCAATAACGTGATCGGTAAGTTCGTCTTAACATACGGGATAGCACCCGCATCCTTCAAAATCTTGACCATCGCCCCATCCTTCTCTCCCTTGTTTCCTACATTTGAACTGTACCCGACAGTAGTATCAAAACCACCAACGACAATCGAGTCTTTCAGACTGATAGGGATGCCTGCCAGAGGACCTTTGAAATTGATACTTCCATCTGAAGTCCAGCCTTCAGCAGCGGAAATCATCACTTCCGTCACGGCATTCGTTTTGGAATGGGCTTTGAGTGCCGCTTTGCCGTAGGCACGGAGAATATCAATAGGTTGTACGATTTGCTTGTGTACATCTTGAACTAACTCCTCGATGGGCTTTGAGAGGACATGTCTTTCCGGACTAGTAAAAGCTCCATGGTAACTTTTCAAGTCCTGTATTCTCTGGCTACGTTCTGCTTGCTTGAAATTGCTAGTAATCTGATATCAGTATCGGCTTCGGACTTCAATTTCAAACACTTGCACTATTCCGATAATGCGGGGTCAAAATAGCGGGGTAGCGCTCTGTTATGCTGTAATCTTACATACCAGTCACGTTTATGTTGGAAGTAATCCAGGAGGAAGACCATTGTGAAGCTATTTCTCTCGAGTTGTAGATCGTGGTATTGGGTTTTCCAATGAAAGGAGAGAAAGGAAAAGGGTCGGAGGAAATCTTTAACGTAAAGAAGTGCCTGTGCCCCCCGCCATCCATTCCGTACAGCCGGCTGTACCTGCCTGATCAAGACCAAGCCGGAGCTTATCTTTCTCGCTTGGCATCGCTACGTATTTTGGTGCAACCTAACCTAAAACCATCAAACTTCCACTCATGCATGTCTTTCTTTCCGCGTCCTCAACGACAGGCCAGACAGGGGTTTCATCATATTGTATGACTGCAGACGCAAATCCAGACCCGGCTGCAATTGCAAAGAAGCTCTGTTTCCCCGCACCAATTAATGATTATGTGATTGCGGCACATAGAAACTACCCCGCAATATAGAAGAGGTTAGTAGAGCTCTTCCAGAGCCTCTCTATAAAAATGTCTACAGCCTCTATTCCTCAGACCAACTCGAGCCATACACCTCAGGCAAAGACACATACACCTACGACAGTCGATTTTGATACCCCAAGGGTAGAAGAACTATTTGAAGCCCCACTCCACGAATATAACATTCACACACCAGACGCAAGCATGGCATCTCACACTGACAATCTACTCATTTGCACTATGGTATTATCCCATCTTTCATCGTCTTTCGAGCTTCATATCAAGTAAATCTGACCTCCGTAATTTCCTCACACACCACCATTCCCACTTTTGTCACCCCGAGAGTGATGAATGAGAAAGCAGTGCTCACACTCATCTAGTGCGGTACACAATTCGACGAAGAATCCCGCACTCTGTTGACTCGATGTCGGATCTGTGATGACCCTCGCCAATATGTCCCACCAACAGGCCAATCCTTCACCACAATGGCCGGACTCAGAAAGGGCCCGTACAAAAACAAATGGAAGAAGTTCGATGAAGACGAAGATCGCTTCTGGATGATCTATACAGAACCGCAATTCGCTATTGGCCAAAGAGCAATTCTCGTCAAGACACCTCAGGTAGGCTGCCCATCTAGCTATCTCATTCCATGTAAATGATGTTCTCAAAGCCATGGGCTTCCATGTCACGGGTGCATAAAACTCATCTCAGTTCAGCCATGAGTTCAGCCTCTTTCTTCAAGTAAATGTCCCATCACTCCTAACATACTATATAGGGCAACATCCTCTGGGATTGTATAGCCTTCCTTGACAGCCCAACCATCGACTGGATCAACGACCAAGGCGGTCTCGCCGCTATTGTAATTTCTCATCCTCACTACTACACTACCCACCTGGAATGGGCTGCCGCCTTCGAGTGTCCCGTCTATATCGCCTGGGAAGATAAAGGTTGGCTTAATCGACTCGACCGTATGGGCAAAGCACGTACTTTCATCGAAGGCACTGAAGAAGAGATCGAAGTCCGCGGCGAGAAGACCGGTGTTGTAATCTTGAAAACTGGTGGTCATTTCCCGGGGAGTTTGGTATGTCTTGCATATGGGAGGTTGTTGATTGCTGATACGATTGTGACGACGCCGTCCGGGAAGGGGGATTGGAGCAAAGGACCTGGTGGAGGCGAGGCCGCGAGGCCGGAAGGAATGAACACGTATGTCTTCATGTGGAGTATCCCAAATATGATTCCGTTGAGTCCGGACGTGATTATGGGTGTGTGGAATGTTGTCAAGAAGCATGAGTTTACGCACACTCATGGTGCCTTCTTTGACATGGAAGTGAAAGATGGAGGGAATGGTTCGAAGACCACCGTAAAGCAGAGATTACTAGAGAGTATGCAGATACAAGTCCGGGCTTCAGGATGGAAAGAGCATGCATTGCTGAAGGAGACATGTCAATAGAGCTTGCGATCGCATTCAATGATGGCTTACGAAGGATGAATAACTGCTAAATAAAACACAATTCATGGAAGATGGCGAATGGTATTTAATTTTCCCAACCGTCAGTAAATCTTACACTTCTCAATAAAGCTGCGATACAGTACCCCTCTCGGGGCTGGAATAGATCACGAGTCAGATATCCCATATGATCAAGCCTATCCAAATATGTACCAGAAGATCACGAAAGAACTCCAAGCCCAACCCAGGCGCTGGGTTTGCCAACTCCGCCAACGGGCAATGCTCTCCGTGTGTACACCCACGAACTGCCAGAACTCCTTTTCGTGCTTTTCGTTAAACGTGAAAATTCAGAGATGACCCCAGACTCCCACAAATGCTGAGAATCACGTCCGTTGCGTCAATACCTTTAATCTTGACACCTGCCCCGCCCACCGCCTTCCAGCCCGTTTTAACAATTACATCTGATCCATCAGCTGTCCGATCAGTCCCAATATCTCCCATCGGCGCCATTCTCGTTGTCCATAGTAATCATCATTCATATTATCTTGTCGCCGACTCGCAGTCATCGTGCTCGTTTCGCAACATTCTCATCGTAGTCCCATTGATGTTGCCTCTTCAGCCCACCCTCATATACACTTGCAACACTTTCTTGCCACATACTTGGGCTGACGAATGAAGGTATTGCAGGCCCAGAATATTGTTGTGGGGGAAGGGTATGTGGGTTCGGCTGTAGATTTGTGTTGGGTAGACTTTGCAACTCAGGCAATGTGGGTATCTCTTGTGCACCTGAAATCGGAATTTTTAGAGGGGTGACTTGGGGAGCGGAGGTGCTTTGAGCAGGGGTCGTACCAAATGTGGTGTTCCATTGACTGTCGGAAATTAGTACGAAGACAAGAATATGTGAAAGTATCTTGAAATACTTACTCAAAAATGCGCGAGGGGTTCCATGTTGACGGGTCGGACATCGGAACCCCTGTTGAGATCGGTGGCTGAGGTTGAGGACCTCGTTGACCAGTGGCCATCATAACAAGAGACTGTACGGCAGGAGAGTCACTCTTCGTGTCCACACCTCCGGCAGAAATAGGTGGTGAGATAGGGTGGGCAGTGTAACTGACTTGTTGCGGTGCATGTTGTTGCTCCAAACCTTGCTGTGACGATGCATGCGGATGATACTGAGCATTTGATCGTGGAGGAGTGCTTTGGATTGAACCTCCTGGGCTACCATAGGGGAAGCTTGGCTTGAGGACAAATGGTTTTCTGGTATCGGCAGAGAATGCCTCTCGGAGAGCGTCGATCTGTTGTTGCATGTCCGGCATCGGCCAAGAACTAGTGCACTTTTCCAATATCCTCATATGACGAGTGAAGTATTCACGTGCATCGGTGTTGAGGTCTGGGTCTGGCGAAGTGAGAGCAACCTGAGGTATCTCTTTTAGCAAGCTGGTCAGTATCAAAACCCGTTGTAACTCACCAGATGGAGGACTGTGCATGTCAATATGCAGTAAATGGTAAAGTTGATACCCCTGAGCATGCACAGAAGCCCAGTCATTCCAAAGGACTCCAAAGTTGCTTCCTGTAATCTGCACAATAACTTTGCTGAAGAATAGCAAATCATCATATGATGCTTCCAACCTCCATCCATTCCAGTTGGTTCCATAAATGTGAGCTGAGGTCGGTGAAGCATGATGATACTGAGGTAGTAGTACGAATGGAGATTTCCGATGAAATGAGAAGGTAGCCATGGCCGTGAGCCATCCGGAGGAAACGTTACCTGCAGATCGGGCGGTAGATCATTCATCCAGGATTCGAAAGACGGATTCAACTGTACGAAATCCGGATCGATACCCCAATCCTTCTTCTTCTTTATTTTTGCGTACACATTATTCGCCCTTCGAACATTGCGAACAATTTTGGTGAAATAAGCGAAGTTTCGGGTGACGTGAAATTCAGCTTCGTCGTTTCCTACAACAGATCTTGGTATGCTCAGATCCAATGACTCCATGTCAACAGCCAGATCGGTCCGACCTTTGTTTAGTTAGCTAGAAATTAGTGGCAAGGGTGACAGTGGAAAGCGAACCTTGCGGTGAGCCAACCATCAGTTCGCAAGCAAAGACTGTCTGCCATATTCGGGTTTTCGTTATGCAGTCTGCCAGATCAGATCCACACGGTCTTCCAGCCTTGTGCTCGTCAAAGTGCTCATCTAGCCCAAGATCTTTTGCCATCTGCACACACGCCACAACAGTCATCCAAGAACGGAAATAGTAGCCCCTCTTTGGTGCCGACTCCCTGGCTTTCAGAACGATGAGCATCCCCTGGAGTGTGCTCAGCCGAGGGACATCCATGAATGAATCGGCATGTTCTGCCAACCCGTTAGCTTTTTCCTCAATCGCGCGGTACCTCAAAACTTACTGGATGCGAGTGCTAACCACTGGTGTCCTTGTGATGGTTCATCTGCGAGTCTTCCAGCAATTGCAAATATAGCCTCTAGTATCAGAGGAGATAGAGAGTCTCGATTTGTGTGCCATTGCTGGTAGAATAGTGATTTATTCAGGACCGGAACGTATGGGTGAACGTTCATGAAGAACATATCAAAATACTCCATGACTGTCTGGTCATCTGGCATCAGTTCAGGCGGGATCCTAACTTTTAGATCAGGACCAGATAGAGTAGTTGGCAGGGCGAGTTTGTAATCATCAGCATCTTCGAAAGCTGGCTCTTCTTGCAAAGTCTTGTTCTTGTTCTTGTTGTTCAGGTATGGTGCTATGATCGATTAGTTGTTTTGTATTCACCATACTTCCAAGAATCCATACCTGAACCCGCTTCGTTCATTCTCAACTCGCCTAATAGATCGGCAAGATTCTGCTGCCCGTACTGATCTTGCTCGTATGCTTCCGGTGTCTCTGGATGAGAAGGTTGTGGCTGCAACGGTAATGACGAATAACCGGGCTGAGGAGGGTAGTTCTGGTGCTGGTCGACAACGCTTACAGGCGTTTGCAAGTTGCTGTAGTGCATACTAGCTTGGCTATGACTCGAGGAAGGCTCACCATAGGGCCCAGGATGGTACACACCGGCGGAATCTGGATATGGCATCTGATGTGTATAAATCGGGGGAATGTTTTTGTGTGGCCCGCTCATCTGCTGCTGCATTGCCAACTGGTGCTGGTAATCATCGTCGCCACTACCGCCGCTCTCATATTCTATTCTTTCTCCCTCGAATCCTTGGTTTCCAGGGAAGTCTCGGTCATAATTAACAGTCGGAGGAACGCAGTGCAGCTTCAATCGAATGCAAGCCGAACAGGGCCATGTATTTGTAGTTGCGGCATCGCATTTGATTTTCCGTCTCCGACATCCTTCACATGCTCTCATTACTATCAATTGTCAATAACTAGAAGCCAGGGGATGCGTGTCATTGCTCATACCCTTCAATCGCTTGTGACGGTTGTGCTCATCGACGAAAACATAATCTAAACGCGCATTAGACTTGAGCGCGCGCTGGGGTCCCGAAGGGACGTACTCTTCTGGTTTTCTCTTTGCCCAAAGTTATTGGGCGCGAAAGAGAAACTCTGCATCTGTGAGTTTTGTGGGAGTAGTCTCCTTGTCCCCGGGTCTCCAACCATTCTCCCTCGAAACTTATTTTGTTACCCCGAATTCCCGAGATCGGGCTGACAGAGCTGTGCGCAATGTACAGCGCCGAATACGCTATGAAGGTGGTGAGTCGGGCGAACTGCTGAGCTTGAAGCTCGATGGAAGTATCTCTTGAGACACGAGTGGCGGCCGACAGGAGACGATGATTGTAGATATGATTAAGTTCAAAGCAAGGGGATTGTTCCGAAGGCTTCACCCGATGTGGCTATATGTCCTCTGGTATATATATTAGCAAGGCCACGAGTCATCGGAATAATCCCAGCTTTAACGTCCTTAGGTATACGAAGCTACTTAATGCGAACCAGACATACCTTTCAAGGGGGCCCGATCTTGGAGGTGGCTACGAGCACTTTGAGTTCACGCGAGCTTTGTAAGACGTTGAAGCCGCAGCTTACCCGCGCGAACAGCAGACTGGTGGCTGCTCAAGTGCACTCGAGAGCCATTCAAAATGAGCGGCTTGACTGAGAGAAGCGTCGTATCTGAAGCCAAAGAAGCCGAGAGAGTAATGCTGTAGCCGTGGACAGGACAGATGAAGGCAACCCAAACACTCTTCGGCGCAACGAAGAGGATGAGGTCCCTGTGGTATACTTCTGGCCCGTCGAGGTTCTAAGTTCCACTGCAGGATGGGCAGTCGTAAGAGGGGAGGGGAGGGATTATGGGCGTCTGGGGGGTGTCAACAGGTTAGTGGAAACTCTAGTGGGTAGTCTAGCAGCGGTATTGTGTTCCCTGCAGTCTGGACGGGGGTGGCATGCCCCTCTCTGGGCTGATAAAATAAAGAATTATAAAAATGTCGTTGCAAGGCCCTAACCCCTGACCATGGGGGTTCTGCGGCAAGGCGTGAAGGCTGGCAGGCGAGAAAAAGGTCCCTTCACGTGCTAGAGATGGAGATAGCCTTCTAGGTATCCAGTCCCTGCCCTCCTTGTGTGCCCTCTTATTCCCTGCTGTGCCTTAGAGATGCCGAGGAAGCGATACGATGCGGTACGCAGAAGGAAAGTGGCTGATGGCAGTTTGTGGCCCCCGCAGAAGCTTCAAGGAAGGCTTGGAGGAACAGTCTGCTATGACTTGAGCTGTGGCTCGTTGCGTGCCGGACAAAGATGCAGCTGTAGTACAACCACATTTACATTGGACGAAAGCGCAAGAAGCCGTGGTCGTGGGGCGCTGGGAGATCCGAGGCTATTTCGAGGCGTTTGGAGAGGCGACCTCAGGTTGATGATTGCCGGAAGAACTCTACTGTATAACTGTCGCCATGGAACCGGGGCTGAAACGCAATGAATAAGGCTACTACTACTGGCGCTTGTGTCCTGGCACGTCGTCTGTTGTCGTTGTCGTCCTCGTCCTCGTCCTCGTCCTGGAGTAGTGGCTTTGCCGGAGGGTTTCTGCTATGAGAAGAAGGCGAGGCGAGGGCTCGAAGGAGGGGGTTCGAGTGGTGGGTGCACCGTACCGCACCGCACTTGCACCAAGAGGCAAACGCTAGCCAGCTGCCGCTGTCAAAGCTACTTTGCGCGATAGTGCCTTTGCCGCAGCGCTAGAATTTGCGTGAAACCTTGGGTTCCAGATAAGTTGCCCGAAGAGGCCTAGATCTAGGAATACCCAAGTCCTCAAAGGACTACGACCTAAGTGGCGTGATATTGTCGAAGTGGAAGTGGACTCGACTTGACTTGACTTGACTTGACCTGACAAAAAAGGAGGAGGGAGGGGAAAGGATCTCCAGCCCCTGCATTCTGTAAAACCAGAACAGTGCGGTCCACTCACTACGGAGTATCCAAGGCTACCTACCGTGTTGTCACTTGTCAGCTTCAAGGTACGAACCAGGAACGCCGCAAGCAACAATCCTGCTGAGATGGCATGGCATGGCGTGGCGAGAGTTGCGAGACCAAGCAAGGTAAAGCATGGCACAGATGGGCTGTTTGGTGGGTGGTGGTTGGTGGTTGGGATCCGGGAGTCAGAGAATTCGTAGCAGCCACTGAACGATACAACGGCTTCGTCCATTCCCGGCTGCCCGTTTGGTTGGAACAAGCTGGCCTGTAAAAGCAAGACATTTCCCCGCTACCAACGACCACACAGAAGGGAAGGGAAGAAAGTCGAGTACCCAAACTTGGGCCAGTAGCGACAGCTAGATAAAAAGGACAATAAACTGGAGTTACACACACTTGGGCCAGACCAAACCATGCCTATGTGTCCGGAAACCAACCAAGCCCTACCTTAGGTAGTCCACGTTTTCTGTTGCGTGGTGCACACTTCCAAAAATGCAGGACGCCATGAGCCAGCCTACCTTACTTCCCAAGCGGCCGCTCCCATATTGAGCTCTTTGCAAGCATTTGACATGTTGTATTACTCACCTGCCGTACCTAGAGACTGCATACCCCAGTGCCAACTGTTATTCCACAAGATGGCCTGGGTTAGCGCTCCTTGGGCAACAGCACCACTACTGCAAGAGTCGGGCATGCGGATGGGAGCCCGGCAGTCACCGCAAATGTTCCAAGTACCACCTCAGCACCTTTACTGAGCTTCCTCTTAGGGCGACTTTAGTAAGATAAAAGGTAAGCCGGATGTAAAATAGGCATTGCGCCCCATCGAAGATGATCAGCTAGAGATCAATACTACCCCGCATACATACTAGCGGTTAAGCATCTATCGATGCGCTCCTCTTGAGCGCTTGATGTCACCCTATGGAAGCGTCCTGGTGCTTGGAATGTTCGACAGGTTTTCCACGGAACTATTGAGCAGGGGCTGTCCTAGCGGTAGAACAGTGGTCATTGTTCTATGCATAATCGGCTTCATTTCAATGCCTCGTCATGCGCAGATGAATCCAGACGGCAGAATGGTGGAGCTGGTAGGTCTCATTGCGGCTGCATTGGAAATGCAGAGGTACCTTGCTCCACCAGAATTTCCCACAGACCACGAACTGCAGTCGAGATATTTCATGCTCGCACTAGTAATCGAAAGTTGATTGCGGTAATATACCTGTGAAGGTGAACGAACCATCCTCGTCTTTCGCGATCGCCAGTGGATGGACGTGGACAATGGAACCATGACAACAGTACTAACGACTGGGCACTGATACTGACAAGACTCGGATAAAGACCGAAAACGAACTCTCCGAATTAGACTCGCGGATTCAGCCGCAGATGGAGACTCAGAAGTTAGATAGACGCTACTGAATCAACATGAGGAAAATACATGAACCTAATCTTTCGAACACCACCAGCCGCGTGAGCCAACAATTCCAAGACACCCCTTGAAGATTCAGCATCACACAGACTTTTTAATGACTCTGTTCAGCTGAAAAGTCATTTTGGAAGAACTACAGCATAAGTGAAACATCTAAGTGCCGTTGGCGCTGAAAAGGGGACGGCTCGTAGTATTTCCTGACTCGACTCCTGGATCTCGCTTGGTAACTTTGTTTCTCAATGAGCGTTATCTAAACACGGCTTGTGTCTTGCTTTGCCTTTGCCTATCACTTCGGCCCGGAACTCTCAGTGCCGAGCCATTGGCTTGATACTCGTATTCTTCGTTTATTTATTACTGACTTTTGCGACAGAAGTATGCAACAGTACGGATACGAGAACACACTTTCGCACTGAGTGCTCGATGGCGATCTGCTTCCTTGGCAAATGTCAGCAGCTGATTTGGGCGAGGGCGAGAGTTTACTTCTTCAGTGGAACTGGAAGTGGTCCAGAAATTTGCGATAAAACTGAGTAAAGAAGGGGCTGCCATGCCTGTTCCAACATTCATCTGTCACTGTGTATGATACTGGGAATACCACTCGGTGACCAAAAAGCAGGCATTCTTCGATGGCAGTGATACTGCGCGCTGTATGAACAACTGTGTACCGGTTTGAATAATAGGCTTGAAGCACCATGAACCTGCCCACTCCTTACCCTCTTCAGCCTCGCGCCAGGACCCTCGCTTCAGGTTTCTAATCCACGGAAGCGATGCCCCGATATTCTGCCGATACTTTATCGGATAAACTCATCCCGAAAAAAAGTACCAGAAGGCTGAACGACACCTCGACACACTCACGACTGCAACTACGCTGCACCTTTACACCTTGAATCATACAGTACTATACCATCGGCAAGGATCCTCTTACTCTCACCAGACACGACCCAAGTAGATACATTCCGGGGGCCCCAAAGCTTACCAAACGAATCTTCAGTCCAGCCTCGCCACTTCTGCAATGGCCGCACTCGACAATGCCAATCCCACAATTCTGAGCGAGTCTGAACTTCCTACGCACAGACAGAGACGCAGGAATAGGGGAGATGGAACCAAGAAAAGCGGCATCCGGGAGCTCTTGATGGCGAAGCCCACTTACGCCTTGGATCCGTTTTACATGTCAGACTTCTCAGACACCGATTCCGATGATTCCAGTGTGGAACCAATTGATGAACAAGAAATATACGGTGCGTTACGTTGCCTCCGCTGCAAACGGATGTCGCGTTATACTTACCTTGCCAAAGTCTTCTTCCCATGCTCAGATTTCTTACCCTATTCGAGATCATGCTATAAAAGCAAATGTTATTGCCCTTGTCATTGCAGAATCCTTTGCCCCCCGATCTCTTTGTTGAGCAATTGAACTTTATTTCACCTTTGTTGTATCGACGTTTCCTTCTAGAAAGTCCATCGCTGGAAAGCTGGAGAAACGCAGTGTCCCCTTCGGACGGGCTGACAACTGACGTTTCAATAGATCTCATTGCACCGATATCAGACCCTGAACACCCTCTCTCACTGGAATCTTTGGGCGTGGTGAAGCTGCAAGATGTGCACCTCATCTCTCCTCCAGACCTTACGAATTCAGCCGCCTTATCACGCGTCCTCGTTGAGCTCACCCCCACGGTAACGCATTGCTCACTTGCGACGGTTATAGGCCTTGGCGTTCGGGTGCGTTTGGAACAAGCTTTACCTCCAAGTTACCGGGTCGAAGTGAAGATCAAGGAGGGTACGCATAGCCAAGCAGACGAGGTGAACAAACAGTTAGCGGACAAGGAGCGTGTTGCTGCGGCGTTAGAGAACGACAATCTTATGGGCATCTTGAAGAAGATGATGAAGCCCTGCATGGATACATAATGTTACTTCCAGCTGCACGGCTTCTCAGGCGTACATAGCATTCTTTCTTCAGGACAAGCGCGCGCATATTTCTCCATACTTTCAATTTCAAAAGTGGCGATGCTCAAACTGAATATATAGATATTATTTGCAGGGGGGTTCTCGCATGGGCCAAAATACTCTATATTATAGCCCCTTGTCAGGGTTCTGTGTACTTCTTCACCCCTGAGAATTGCGGCAATCGCCATCTGCAGCTCAACCGCTAGCCCTGTGCGTTCCTCCCTGTCATCTGCAACCTCGTCAGCGGTCACAATTCTCAACATCGTCGATCAACCAAAGCCCTTGGCCGGGCAGCACCATAATCACACCCCTGAGTGCATTTCTGGGCAGCTTCTCCAGGAAGCGAGCTTATCTCGTCCTACCCAATCAACAAAGACGTCCAAATGTCAACCGTACCAGCCACCCAATCAGGGAATCCAGACCCAAGCCTCCTTTCCTCCGTCCATGATCCTGCAGTTCTGCCCCACCATCGTCTCCAAGCTTGAAAGTAGTGGAACAGCATGGGATGCTGCCCTGCGGTGTCCCAAAGAAATCTGAACCCTGCTTCCCACCAAAAGGTTCGACGGGAAGACGATTGGGCGACTTAGTGCTACCAGCCTCCTCATCCAATCCATGAATATAAGAACCACGAATCCACAAAAATTGAAAGTGAACCAATCTTAGGGAAACCGGCAAAACCGTTCTTCCTTTCCCCTCCCTCGCTCCACAAACCCACCCTCTCCTCTCCCACCAAAGTCCAAAAGCAAAATGCAGCCAGGGCACTTTCCTTTTCCCGACTACCCTGTCCTGTCCTGTCATCCAAATGTGCCTCGGTGATTTTGTTTTCAAAGGCGTCATGTTCATTTAGCCCACCTCAGCTTCCCCAGTCTAAAAGGTACGCGGCCAAGTGGGTATTTAGCAAAATCGATAAAACAAGGTTGGCCCCCCGCCTATATTTCGACGATATATAGAACTATTCGGGAAGCTCAAGAGGCATAATAAGAGGGGGGGTAGAGGGGCGGCCAGCGGCCCGACTGGGAATGACAAGATGCTGGGAACGGATCATGCGTGGAAAGAAGAAACCCTTGCGAGAGATAAGCATAATTCTCCTTTCGCAAGGCGGGAATATCGGGGACCGTCATCCACGATCTTTCTAGAAGATAATTTTACATCCTCGTGGAAATCATTCAATAGATCTTGGTGTATCATCGCTCTTGTTTTGGTTTCTCGGCATCCGATCATTTCAAGTGAATTACGTGGCTACTATACCTGGGTGTGCATGGGAGGATTCGTCTATATGCGAGCCAATGATAGATTTTCCACAGTGAGTGAGCGCTATTGTATGCTGTTTGGCGCAGGTCCAAGTATGGATGTATGATATTGTCCAGGGCTTATTTCGCTCGTTTGAAAGTTGTGGGTTCGTCGAGGAGATGCAGATGAGCTGGAGCGACCGTTGCTAGTGCTGTATGTTCAAGTACACGGGCTCGGCTACGTCGGATATCCCGCCTTGCAGGAAGGGGGACCAATTGAAGCAAGAGGTTGTATGTAGGTGCAGCACATTTCAGGTTGCGTTGGTGGTGGTGTGGGTGTGTGGAAAGCATCCCATGCTACCAAATCTTGGTGCGCCAGTACATTGGAAAGTGCTCTAGGGCTATCCTACAGCTATCATTCTCTGAACGCCAGTTCACCAAAAATGCCCCATATTATCTCAAGGTAGAGATCCCATGCCCATGCTAACTCCAAGACTTATCTTTGCACTTTTGTTCGACCGTCCCTCATCAATCTCCAAGGACTCCACTTTCTTTCAAGCTCGAGAACAACTCAGGCTCTAGGAACTTGGCCACACTAACGTCTTCGCTTAGTCCCTTACGCCTCCTTGTTTTTAAGACGAAGTCTCTGGCAGTTGCTTGAGCACTAGCAGGCTCTAATGGTCTCAAGATAACATCCTTATCAAGCGGGTCGCCAGGTACAATACTCCAGCGATCGAACACTAAGCTGACAGTGGCCTGGCCTTGTGTATGGATTCGAAGATCGGTTTCGAAGCCGAACGAGTCAATGACTGGAATGAGCCCACTGACGCGGTACAATGGCGTACCGGCAATTGGGCCATCAGAGAGGACGTGCCCCCGGCGACGAGCGAGGACAGTGTAGAGTGATGTGACCGAATCCGCAGGTCCAGTCATGGAACAGGAGTAGACAGGCTCCATAAGTCGTGGAGAAGCCATTAGGAAAGAAGAATAACAGGCCCGTCGGGAAGTGGGGATGATCTGGCCACCACCCCGGAAGATCGCTTCGGAAGCCAATGCCACCTCCATGATCTTGAACCTGCCATTCCGGATTGCTACATGGATTGTCAGAGAACATTCGGACTGTATTTGGTATTGACCAATCAATTGAGATCACGGCTCTCAAAACTTGGCAGGTGTAGAGGGGCCGGCACTGCAGAAAGAAATCTGGGGATTTGGGAGACTTACGCTCTTCACACAAAGGACCTTCTCGTGTTGCCCAACTGAAGCCCTGGCGAATTGTGTCTCTCACGCTTTGCAGGAGTCGCCTGTCAACCTAGTTGAAGATCAGTAAAAAGGACCGATTACATGGGGTGGCGGAGCCTTGTGGATACTCACCTCAGATGGCAGGGTGTCATTCTGGAGAATATTCGGCCCCAGATCATCGGGCCCAAATGCCCAAATGTTTCTTGAAGCAAGTAAATCCCATCCATAGTTTTCTTCGAAAAATTTGCCAATGACCTTATTGGGGCTCTTGATACTAACCTTGCCGCTCTCGATGTCCTCCGCGATGCCTTGGTCCAGCGGTTCCGCAATCATCGTGATCTTGTTCCTCTTGTTTGGGGTTTGAGCATAGCACTTGATGGCTGACTGCTCCACGACAGTCTCACAGAACCGTGTGACTGGATCAGAAACCTTTATTTCCATCTCAGCATACAATCGCCGGAGATCATGCAAAACACAATCCATGTAGAGCTCTCCTGTGCCTAGAACAACGTGCTCACCGGACTCCTCGACTTTAGTCGTGATCAGAGGATAGCTCTTGTTGATCTTTCTAAGGCCGTCCAGCATCTTCGGGAGCTCCGAAGGATTGATTGGTTCGACAGCCACCTTGAAGACGGATTCGGTGAAATGCGTGATAGGCTTGAAGATGTAGGCATCCTCTCCGTCCGGTAATATGGGAGGAACCAATGTCGCCGACTTGACAATGGAATTATCAACGCCTCCAAGTAAAACCCAATTTCCTGCCGGCACACCATCTGTGGGAATGCTGTACCGTGTCTCAGCTATCCAAACGTCTGAGATAGTTGCCAAGCTCATATCTTCCTCGTCGTCGATAGAATACCCTTCGCCCAGAACTCTGACTTGGGAACCAGGGGTTGCTATCCCGCTCATGACCCGTCCAAATGAATGGAACCCTTTCGCGTCGCTTGTGTTGAACAATTTCGAGATCTGAACAACTAAGGGGCCATCTTGCTTGCATCCTATCATAGCTGTCGCAACTTTGGTGTCCAGAGGTCCAGTATAATATCGCTGGACCTTGTCCTCAGCAGCCTCAACTGGAGATGGAATATGCTCAACAACCATATCAACGAACCCATTTGATCCTCCAAAAAACTTTTCGCAAACAAGTTTCAGGAGCACATTTGCATCGGTTTTGTATTGTGAAGGTTTGAGTGTTATGCCGAGAGTTGCCAATGTATCTTTGAGGTCCTCGGGACTTTCACTGATAGTATGCGAGTACAATTTGTAGATCGGCTCAAGAATGAAGTTCACGAAAGAACGTTTTGCCCCTTCTTCCACAGCTTTTCGGGTGAATGATCTTTTCCGCGAATTATAGAAGATATCTCCCCAGAGTCGACGAGCAAATTCTGGAACGTTGATTCCTGGTGCCCCTTTGGTCTTTGGTGGAAAGTTTTCCGCGTACATCTTCGCAAATGATTGCAGGGTAAAGCACCAGCCCATGCTACTGCATGCAAACAGTACATTGCCTTTTTCGGGGCTCAGCCGCCTCTTCTCTCCTTGGCCTGGAATGGTGTTCTCAATAACAGTGTTGACCTCTTCGATAACATGCTTGAGCTTGAAATAGGCGTCGGTTGGAGGGATTTTGAGCTCCAAGATCAACCTGTCCATCTTATTCACCACAAGAGTGAGCGGCAGCCCTTCAAGAACGGCATGCTTTATGATCTGCTCAGTGTTCACCTGCACGCCTTCTACGACATCGACAACCAAGACAACGCCATCAACAAGCCGGAGAGATGATGCAACTTCATCGACAAAATTAACATGGCCTGGTGTGTCGAGTATGTTCAAGAGGTGTGATTTGCCTTGAGAGTTTTGTAGTACCAGGCTCATGGGGGCCGACTTGATCGAAATACCTCGATCCCGCTCTAGGACATGCACATCGGTGTACCTCAACTGTTCATCCCTCTTCTTCCCAGTCTTCTTCTCCAATCGTTCCGTGATGTCGTGTGGTTCCAAGACCAACATATCCATCAATGCCGTTTTCCCATGGTGAAGATGCCCTGCAAATGCAGCGTTTCGAATTTGATCGGGATAGTTCATAAGATCTGTCATGAATCTCCGTTCGAAAAATACTGGGGGGAGATCTGCCTCTTGTATGGTAAACTTTTTCTGCTCGACAGGCGCAATGATAGGCTGTGTAAGAGGCTGAGCATCTTCCTCCTGTACCATCGTCTCAACATCTTCTCCATATACTTGTTGTGCAGTAGGATAGTATTGCTTGTCCTCGTGCAGTATAACGGCGTTCGATGGTCCTTCATCTGCGCACGTAATTAGCCGTACAATCGTTATCTGGTTGAATAAACCACCAACCGTCGACTTCCATCAACTCCTGGCCAGTGACTTCTGGCTCCTCCTCCGGGTAGTCTTCATCGTACACATAGGCCCCTGCATCAACACCATGTTGACTGTCGTCCTCTGATTCTTCAGCTTCACCAATGAAGTTACCAAACCTGGAAATTGATTAGTCGCAAAAAAGAACAAAGTGCACAGGAAGTTGCCATACTCATCATAGAGGTCATCCATATTGGGCAAATGAGCAAAGAGAAGGTTCTTGGACGTGGGTGGGAAATGCGACTCTCTTCGACCAGTCAACTTCTCGCGACGACGAGCTTCAAAAAGTTCAGCCAGTCTTCACTAGCGCGTAGGTGCTCTGCCAGGTGCTCTAGCGTGTTCACGTGACTTCAGCCTTGCCCCTCTCCGACATGGGATTGTACTCCGATCGCGGGACCAGATATGGCAGAAAACCCTCTGCATGGATGATAACGTAAGATGTCCAGAGAAGATGGATGCTTCCTGGTGTCTTTTGAGGTCAAGACATCTCGATCTTGTATCCGTGAGTGGCTGTAGAATGATGCCGAAAACGGTACAGGCGGGTACCTGAATGCGACTCTAGGCGCTAATTTTGAGGGGCGGTGAAGCAACTGTTGAGCTTCAAAAGTAGTTTTGCCATTATTTTGATTACTTTAGCTTGCCCACTTCTTTCCCTCTAGTCCTCCTTTCTCTTTCAGCTCTGCACTTGAATAACCCCCAAAATCTCCATCGCCTTGAAAATATCAAAGCCGGCAGTATGGCTTCAGCACCAGTTTACATTGTTTCTGCAGTGCGAACTCCGATCGGGTCATTCTTGGGGTGCGAGCTCCGCTTTCTGCCAAACCCTGAACGATTTACTGACACAACGACATCAGATCCCTCTCCAGTCTGAGCGCAACTGATTTGGGAGGTATTGCGATCAAAGGTTGATACATACAATTTTATGAAACTGTCGATTTGCTAAGAATATCCATAGCTGCTGTCGAGCGTGTACCTGAAATCAAGCCCGAGGATGTAGAGGAGGTCTTCTTTGGAAATGTATTGTCTGCAAAGTAAGCATTCTCTCTTTGTCCCATCCAAGATTACTGACACAGTAATATAGCCTTGGCCAGAACCCTGCCCGTCAATGTGCCCTAGCTGGTGGCCTGACCGAAGCCACTATTGCCACAACTGTCAACAAAGTATGCGCCTCTGGACTGAAGGCCATTATTCTCGGGGCCCAAACTATCATGACTGGCAATGCCGACATTGTCGTTGCTGGCGGTACCGAGTCTATGTCGAATGTTCCTCATTACCTCCCAACTCTTCGAAACGGTGCTAAATATGGTAACCAAACCTTGGTTGATGGTGTTCTGAAGGACGGTTTGACGGACGCGTATGGCAAAAAGGAGCACATGGGTATGGCAGGAGAAGAATGCGCATCAGACCACAGCATTACCAGAGAACAACAGGATGAGTATGCTATCAAGTCATATCAGAAGGCACAGAAGGCCACTGAGGCAGGCATTTTCAAGACCGAAATTGTTCCAGTTGAGGTCAGCGGAGGCCGAGGCAAGCCAACAGTCAATGTTGAGAAGGATGACGAAGTCAAAAATCTCAATATCGAGAAGCTGAAGGCTATGCGTCCTGCTTTCATGCCAAATGGCGGTACTGTCACTGCTCCAAACGCTGCACCGATCAACGATGGTGCATCCGCCTTAGTACTTGTTTCTGAGGCTAAGTTGAAGGAACTTGGTATCAAGCCTCTTGCTAAAATCCTCGGATGGGGAGACGCGGCTCACGCTCCAAGCAAGTTCACTACAGCTCCAGCATTGGCAATCCCCAAAGCTCTAAAGCATGCCAAGGTTGATGCTTCGAGCGTTGATTTCTATGAGATCAATGAGGCTTTCTCGGTTGTTGCTTTGGCGAACATGAAGATCCTTGGCTTGGATGAGACCAAGGTGAACATTCATGGAGGTTCAGTGGCCATTGGCCATCCCCTTGGTTGCTCTGGAGCCAGAATCGCAACAACTCTGATCAACGTATTGAGAGAACAGAAGGCAAAGATTGGTGTCGCAGGTATCTGCAATGGTGGTGGCGGAGCTTCTGCGCTTGTCATTGAGTCTTTGCAGTAAAAGTTTTGATTGTGGTAATAAGACTACCCCGGTAAATACCTTAAAAAATAATGGATGAACTTTCTGGCAAGCTTGAGAGAACCTGTCGGTACAGCACATATTGTCGTCTGAGCATGAAGTGAGAGCGAGTACATCTTCTTGTGGCACTTTCACGAGAATACCAAGCATTTTTCAGAACAAATCGGACTATTTTTTTCCTTTGCAGATACAAGAGTAAAAAGCACTGCATAACTGGAGGAGGTGGCAAGGCTGAGAGGCTGGTGACGCTAGTGTCAGCCTTGTCGTTATCGGATCCGCTAACGATTAGGAGAGCTTAATCGAAGCTGCTGATAAAAAAAAGTTCGCTGAGTTGCCAGCAACATCGTCAAGCCTCCGACTTTGTGCCAGACCCTCGAGATTCTCGTTCCAACCTGCAATATGGTCAAAAAGGCAATGTAAGATATGATTCCATTTTTGATTAAGTTCTGCCATAGGTTAACTCGCATCCAGTGACTCGCGCATTGGAGCGCTCATCCATAATGGCATGCAGGAAAAGAAGCGCAGCTTCTTTGTGGTGGTGGGGGACCGCTCAAAAGACATCATAGTGAACTTGCACTACATAATGTCGCAGAGAGATATGAAGCAGAATAAGTCGGTGCTGTGGGCATACAAAAAGGACCTCCTAGGTTTTACGAGGTATGCAAAAAGTTCCAGTTGTTGTATCCCAGAGATTAAATCCCAGGCAATATCTCCAATTCATTTCCAAAGGAAATTTTGATGTAAATTTGCTAACAGCCGCAAGTCATCGAAAGAAAAGAGAAAATAAAATCAAGAAAGAAGTGAAGCGCGGCATTCGAGAAGCCAATGCTGAGGACCCTTTCGAACTTTTCGTCTCGTTGCACAATATTCGATACACCTACTACAAGGAGACAGAGAAAATCTTGGGAAACACCTATGGAATGTGTATTCTGCAAGATTTTGAAGCCATTACGCCAAATCTTCTCGCTAGAACCATTGAAACAGTAGAGGGCGGAGGATTGGTAGTACTTCTGCTCAAGGGAATGAGCAGTTTGAAGCAGCTGTACACATTGTCTATGGACGTCCATTCGCGGTATCGAACTGAAGCGCACGACGATGTCACAGCAAGATTCAACGAGAGATTCATCCTTTCGCTGGGAAAATGTGAATCATGTCTTGTTATAGATGATGAGATGAATGTTTTACCAATCTCTGGCGGAAAGAATGTTACTGCTCTCCCACCCCCAGATCTGGACGAACCGAAGAGTAAGTCACAAATAGAATTGGAAAACATGAAGGAGGCCCTTCAAGACACACCTTCCGTTGGTCCTCTTGTAACACTGGCAAAGACTGTCGACCAAGCAAAGGCACTGCTTACTTTCGTGGATGCCATTGCGGAAAAGACCTTGAGAAGTACAGTGACTCTTACTGCTGCAAGGGGACGAGGAAAGTCGGCCGCGCTCGGTGTTGCTGTTGCTGCAGCTGTTGCCCATGGTTATAGCAATATCTTCATCACATCTCCAAGTCCAGAGAACTTGAAGACTCTATTCGAGTTCATATTCAAAGGTTTCGACGCTCTGGGATACTTGGATCACGAAGACTACTCCATTGTGCAATCTACGAACCCAGACTTCAAAAAGGCCATTGTTCGTGTGAACATCCACCGACAGCATCGTCAGACTATCCAGTATATCAAGCCCCAGGATGCACATGTACTTGGGCAAGCGGAGCTTTTGGTTATTGATGAAGCCGCTGCCATCCCCCTTCCACTTGTACGAAAGCTGATTGGTCCCTATCTGGTATTCATGGCCTCAACAATAAATGGATATGAAGGCACGGGAAGATCACTGTCGCTGAAGTTGATAGAACAACTGCGTCAACAATCAAGCGGTGCCAAAGTAAATGGGTCGGAAGATGCACAGGTAGCTGACCGATCAACTGGAAAAGCTGCCAAAGTTCAGAGCACATTCACCGGTGGTCGCTCTCTGCGGGAAGTGTCCCTCAAAGAACCGATTCGATATGCGGAAGGTGATACTGTAGAGAAATGGCTAAACACAGTACTCTGTAAGTTATACCCATGCCTATTGTCCGATCTTACAAGTTCCTACGATCTACTTGAATCTGTCTTACTGATTCTACTTCTAAGGCCTTGATGCAACCCTGACTTCCCTACGAAACGTAGGATTTCCTCATCCTTCTGATTGCGAGCTGGTTCTTGTCAATCGTGACACTCTCTTTTCTTTCCACGACGTTTCCGAAAAGTTCCTGCAACAGATGGTTGCCCTCTACGTTGCAAGTCACTACAAAAATTCCCCCGACGATCTTCAGTTGATGAGTGATGCCCCAGCACATCAGCTCTTCGTCTTGATACCGCCGGTTTCTGAGACTAGCAAGCGCCTTCCTGAGCCACTTTGTGTTATCCAAGTCGCTCTTGAAGGACGTATCAGCAAAGCAAGCGTTGCTAATAGTCTCAGCCGAGGAAAAAGAGCTGCTGGAGATCTCATCCCTTGGATTGTCAGTCAACAGTTCCAGGACGACGAGTTTGCTGGTCTTTCAGGTGCGCGTATCGTCAGGATTGCTACGAACCCAAATTATGTCAGGATGGGTTATGGCAAAAAAGCTCTCGAACTGCTTGTTGATTTCTACGAGGGAAAGTTCGCCAATTTATCCGAGGATGCCACATCCTATGTCGAAGAGACCATAACCAGGGTGACCGATGAAGAATTGGCTAATTCCTCCTTGCTTGATGACAACATCAAGGTCAGAGATTTCAAGAAGATGCCACCCCTCTTCTCCAAGCTCTCTGAGCGTCGCCCTGAGAAGCTTGACTACGTAGGTGTAAGTTACGGGCTGACAAAGCCATTGCTCAAATTCTGGGGCCAAGCTGCATTCGCTCCACTATATCTGAGGCAAACTCCAAATGATCTGACAGGGGAGCATACTTGTGTCATGGTTAAGGCTCTTGGATCTGGCGAAGACATTTCATGGTAGGCTTTGCCCCTATCCAATGAATGTGCATGCATCCTCTTGTAAAACCGAGTGGGATTCGAGTAACTCAATGAGTCACAATGCTCGTGTATCTTTCGATATCACGGCCCACATAGACCAAAGCTAACTTTACAACAGGTTGGGCTCATTCTCACGGGATTTCCAAAACCGATTCGTCAAGCTTCTTCAGTTTCAGTTCAAGGAGTTTCCTGCCGAGTTGGCCCTCATCATTGATGAACTCGCCAACAAGGGAGCAAAATTAGACACATCCCTCCAACAACAACGATTTTCAAAGCAGGATATTGACCGGATACTAAACCCTTGGGATCTCAAACGGTTGGCGTCGTACGCAAACAACATGCTCGACTACCATGTAATCCTCGATCTTGTACCTGACCTCGCAAAGTCCTATTTCATTGGACCTCTGAAAACAGAAATCACCCTTAGTGGTCTACAACAGTCCGTACTTCTTGCTATTGGACTGCAGAGTAAGGATTTCGACATGCTGGAGAAAGAGCTCGAGAAAGTCCAGTCATCACAGTTGCTAGCCTTGTTCATCAAGACGATACGCAAGATGAGCTCACACTTCAGCGAGGTAGTCTCCGGAGCATACGAATCGGAGCTTCCAGACCGAGACAACATTGGTGTAAGTCGGGAGAATGCAAGCGGAGCTCATGATGACGAAGTCGTGGATGACAAATTCGTACCGTTGGAGCTTGGCCTTGAAGAGGAACTTGAGGAGGGGGGAGATGAGGCATTGAAGGCATTAAGGGAGAAGCAGAGAGAGCTGATTAATGCTCTACCTTTGGAGCAATATGAGATCGAGGAAGGTGCGCCTGGATGGGCAGCAGCAGAGGAGCAAATACGGAAGTCCGGCAAGAAAGGCGCTGTGGTCAGCGTGAAGAGTGCTAAGAGCAAGAGGAAACCAGACGAGACGGCTGCTGAAATTTATGCAAAGGAAATGGGCGAAAAGGCGCACAAAAAGTCCAAAAAGGGGCCCAAAAAGGATCGTCCGTAGTTTTGACTTGTAGTGTAGATTCAATCGTATAACTAATACCAGTCTTGGCGGTCAGGTGCCCATTGTGTGTTCTCAAAAATCCAAAAGCTTCGAAGTCTAGCCCACTTCACATTTCAGTTTCACGAATAATAGTGAACCATTCTGTAAGTGCCCATAGTGTCAATTTTCTTGGTCATACATTTATTCACATTAGCTAGCATTAGTCACAATCAAGATTCAGCCTTGACGCAAAACTTGACTCACCTTGAAAGTTCAAGTTCTGCCTAACAAGCGCCATAAACCGATCCTTTAGATGTCAAGACGTCTTTCGTCCTCGGCTCCATCTATCGACACATAATTTATCAAGAGACAGATGGCCGAAACACAAACAACACAAACTGGGAATTGGTGGGACGCATTCCCAGCGCCTCGAGCGAAATGCACGGAGATGACGGCGGATGAGTTGATGAAAGCCTTTGATGATATGGATCTTACGCCAGAGCCGAGATCGTTTTTGCTTGTTGATGTTAGGCGGAATGATTGGGAAGTATGTGGCTCTTTAATGCTCGAAGCAAATCGTAAAAACAATACTTACATTTACGAATGTTTTCCAGGGCGGAACAATCCAGTGTTCTCTCAACCTCCCAGCGCAGAGCTTTTACCAGTCTCGCAAAACCCTTCTTGATCTTTGCGACAGAGCCTCCATTAAGCAGGTCATCTTCTACTGTGGTAAGTAGTCATGCAAGCATTCGGTAGAATCATCACTAAATGGCTAGGATCTTCGAGCGGTAGAGGACCCCGTTGTGCAAACTGGATGCAAGACTACATTGAAGATGTCTCTAAATTCGGACGGAAGAGTAACCTTAAAGTGCTTATTCTGAAAGGTGGCATCAAGGGATGGGTCAAGGAATTTGAGGGCTCAATGATGGACGCCTTCGAAGAGAAATACTGGGAACAGTTCAAGTAGCCACGGCTGCCCTGACTTGGGATTGTCATGCAGAGAAACTGGTATCCATTTGTTGACATTTTGCATATGAGAAATGGTATTTATCGAGCCTGCCTTGCCTTCCCTTTCACAAACGCCTTGATTTCAGAAGTTGCAACGACTTTTGACCTCTCCGATTCTCCATCTAGGTCTTCTCGAGAAGCTTCTTGCTAGATTGTGTTGTCGATACTTCAGTCTCCTCTGTTCTCTCGTCCGCCGCCTATTCTCTCCAATGCTTCGAGCATGACTACGGAGTTTCCTCGAATGACCTAAACCCATATTAATCCAACCGAAATACGTAGGAGACTTATGACAACTAACCACCATCCCTAATCTGACCTTTTCTCCACCATCTTTCTCCTCCACGGCGTCATCTAACACAATATTCAAGAACACCTGGGGCATTCATTAGCCAAAGCGCCCCCACAGCGGGGTAAGGAGAACGTACATCGTAACCTCTCAGAACTCCGATGACCTTCCGGCTGCCGTTCAACTGCACGAAGAGTCGTTTATCGAGGTACTGCAAGACCGGGTTAGGCACGCGCTCAGTACAATACTCATGCCTTGGAGAGAAAGCATTCCTCTTGTCACTCGTACGTCGCGCACCGCGAAAAGCGAGGGCTCTATAGGCTCCGTATGGCTGGATCGGGGAGAGACTTACCTTCTTAAGCTCTGGCTGAGCTTGAGGCATCTTGCTTGAGTTTGTTGGTTCTTTGGAAATGCCACTTGCAACGAGTTGCTGCTCGTTGAAAGTTATGCGATTTGAAGCGCTAACTGATAGCGTCACGTGACGATAAGGACAGCCCTGAAATGAGGCTCCGATATTCATGAATATCTTTTTACTTCGATTGGTAAAAGGATTTAAGAGCAGTATAATAGCCAAATAATCTGGTACGACGCGACTTGCGATTGAGAAGATGAATTCTGCCTTTGGCTCGAAGCGGAAAGCTCGCAAAATTCAAGTGGACGAAGATGATGAGGATGGCGCAAAGAATGTCCAAGTCGTGGAGCCTGTGAACACTCGTAAGTACTCAGAAGCTATGGCAGCTACGAGCCCTGCTGATTTGGAGAAGCCAGCTGACCCCATAACTTTAGCTAGTACAGGAGGGCTAAGCTCGTCGGTCCCAGGCCGAAAGACATTCAAGAAAAGCTCTTTACGACAGAGTGTTGCGTTTGACGATCAGTCGCAGGATGGAGACGAGAATGATGGACTGCAGGTTGTGAACAAGTCTACTATAGGCCGATCAAATTCGTTGATGAAAAAGAAGAAGCCAGGTGCTTCGAGACTCTCGTTTGGACCAGGTGAAATCATATCTGGAGATGCAGCAGAAGCATTGGAGGACGACGAAGAGTTCACCCTCAAGAAAGCGGCGATGGGACGACGGGTGATTGAAGGAAATGCTCTGAAGAGGACTTTGCCCTATCAAGGGCTGCCAATGCGCTCGAACGAGGATGACGAAGAACGACCGACTTACAGCAAGGATTATTTGAATGAACTCAAGAGCTCGACGCCAACTACCCCCAAAGATCTGACCGCTTCCCACACTACGGCTGAAGACGAGCATGGCTTGGATGCTTCGGAATTGGAAGGTGCTATGGTTGTAGATCTGGATGAAAATATGGGTATCGACAACGCGCCAGCTTCCATACCCAGCGAGGCCGAGATCAGAGAGAAGAAGGAACGCCGAGCCCGTCTTGCTCATGAGCAGGACTTTATTTCTTTCAACGATGACAGTGGTCGCGATAGGCAACAGGTATCTCTCTTGCCTCAGAAGAAGAAACAGGAAAGTAGATTAGTGAGAGAAGATGAGGATCTGGGGGAAGGTTTCGACGAGTTTGTCGATGACGGACGAATCTCACTGGGCAAGAAACAGGAGCGAGAAGCGAAGAAACGCCAAAGAAAGGAAATGGCCGATATGATTCACCAGGCGGAGGGGAGTTCAGATGATGATTCAGATGATTCGGAAGCTGAGAGACGAGCCGCTTACGAGACTGCTCAGACACGCGCTGGTATGGATTGCCTTCATAAGCATGATGGATCGGTGGAAGTCAGTGCGACGCAAATGCCAACGAAGATCACGCCTTTACCGGCTTTGTCCGAGTGTCTTGAGAGACTGCAGTCGACACTCAGTTCAATGGAGCAAGAGTTAGCGAAGAGGCAAAAACAGATGGAGACGTCCAGGCAAGAGAAGAACGAGATTGCCGCGAGGGAAATTGAGGTCCAGGACTTATTGAAGCAAGCTGGGGCACGATACGCTGCATTGAAAGCCGATACCAACGGCGCTGTGGCCGATCCTCAAAGCATAGGTGGCACCCGGAATGACTTCGCCATTCCCATGATTGTCGATAGAGGGCTAGAAAGTTTTGGGAATACGCCTACAATAAGTCCAGCGGTGGAGGACATAGATTAGAGATAACCGATTCAATACGAAATTTCCGAGACTTGAAATCATGTTGGGAATTTGACAACGCGACATATTATACAGCTATCCGGTATCTAGCATTTGGAAGCGCCTTATCCCGCAACCTGGGCGGCTTTTCTACATCACGCCTTCCAGGTTTAATAATCCCAGCATGTGGAGTAGCTATCACGCTGTTAGCATGTAAAAACTAGACATCTGTCACTGGGAGCTAATATTGACTTACTCTCGCCAACTTCCTTAGGCTGTGTGACAAGAATAATGTACTGTCCATCCAGTTGGTTTACCTGCGGTACAACGACCTTATCTTCCGGCAACTCTTTCACAAATTGTACAAGACGATTAAAAGGTAAGAATGTTCCGCTTGTTGCGTTCAAAGCTCGTCGGCCGACCGTCAACATAGTTGAGGGAGAGGACCCGTCAGGTCTCAATGCTGTGAGCATCATCCTGTTGACTATAGAGAGCGGTTAGCCTAGCAAGTAACAGAACGCAGAGCTACATACAAGGTACGAGCATTTCGGCATTGACTCTCTCAAACGGCGCGCTTGTATTTATGATCCACATGTACGAGTTTAAGGACACGGTGTTAGGCGGCAATGTCCCTGGGTTGATACCATGCTTGAGCTCAATGTTCATCCTCAGGTCCACATTCGTCTGGACGGTAAACCTCATCCCGTCAATGAACTCTGCACATTGAAGCCCAGGACCAGCAGTCATGTTGGCCGTCCTCGATTCTCCTTGTCCATACTGTATAAAGACATTACTAGTATCGACGGTCTTCCGAGCCACGAGTATGAACTCTCCATCTATGGAGGTCATCTTCACTATCCGCGTGTTGTTTTCGCTACGATGAACATTCCGTGTCTGGTCGTCCACAGTCCAGCTTCTCCCATCCGGTGCCAAAGAGGCAACGAAAGTATTGGCTTCTAATAGACCTTGTTGTTGTAGTTCGACCGGGTCATACGGTATCTCTATCTTGGCTATGAGATCGTTGGCTGTCTCGTTCATCTTGATGATATAGGAGTAGTTGGACACAGCGACAAAAGGTCCGCCCGTTTCCCCTGTCATAAATATTGCTGCCAAAGGCGCTTTGTTTTGCGTAACGACCAGTGTCCTGGGCTTAGGAGAAAGAATATCGAGGGCGAGGCCGTCTCTGAAGTCTTGATCTGTTCGTTCCATCTGTACTTGTTAGTTTGAAGCAATTTCGGACGGCTGCTGCTCCGGACTTACATTTCCCAAAACCTGGACTGTGTCCCCGAAGCCCGGTAAAGTTTGGTTCTGTCCTCGCACTCCATTACAACAACATTGAAGATATAAAAGAACGGCGAGCGCACCAGGCATTCTCGGAAGGAAAGCCATCCCTGCGGTCATTACATCAAAAACAAAACAATGGAAAGGACATGAAAAAGGAACAGTAAAGAGGGTCAAATACCCCAGCGGGTTCTGAAGAGACAACAAACGTGCCAGCAAGATTCGACGAACGCATTCCAAGAGTATTCAACCTATATACAGCAGTATTCTGCGACGGAGCGTCGTTCGTCAGATTAGGTTCAAAGTATGCGGGTCAAACTTCAACTTTTCCGGATTCGACTCTTTCCATCGGTATGGAGAGCGGGAGATCGCCTTGAGCGCACGAAGGATCCCAATCGTTTGTAGATCCGGATCTCGTTTGACTCGCCAAGCCAGGTAAGGTCGTTTGAGAAACAACGACGAAACGAACTTCAGAACTCGCCGTGACGAGCACGGGCTCGACTTCTGCACTAGCCGATTTAAATGAAGCCAGTGGCCATTAAGCTGTCAATATCTAAGGGACTTCAATGTAGAATATCTATTCCTTCTGTTCTTGAGTGGCTTGCGAGGTTCGAAATTACACTAATAAATTTGAAGATATATCCCATTCCTGAAATAGACTACAGTCTGGTCGATTTGTGGGGTTGCATGGGATAAGCGGGTCAGACAACTGAGATGCACAGAAGATCAATCTTGCTCCTTCATCCTGAGAGACCATTACCTCGACTCCAAACGACTGACCTCTTGGAAGGTGATAGTCCAAACAGCGAGAAACGCTGGATGCGAGAGGGCCACTTGGTCTATCTGCTAATTCAACATCAACATCAACATCCACGTGGTGTTGGAAAATGGACTATCTGGCAAAGTATCTCAGAGCAATCTCATGATGAAATTCGTACATCCAAAAGTTGCAAGTACTAAAGAGTTTCTTGAAGTCCCTTGGATTGCACTGTCGCCGCCAGAGAGCGATGTCGGCTGGGGAAAATCCTTACCCCTGAAAACAGTACGGCGGTGAGTCACGTCACCAGGCAGAAAACAAAACAAATGGCGGGATGTTTCTCAGTCAAATATATAATCCTGGAGTATACTCACAACAATCAATTCAACTCCAATTGACAAAATAAAGCAATATGTCTGGAACAATTCTTCATCTTCGTTCCGAGTGTAAGGCTTCAATGTCCTGAAATCATGCTGCGACAATTACTAATGCGTTCGGCAGTGGGTAAGGCCCTCGAGCACCGCTCCGCCCTCACACCGACAACCACCAAGGCCCTCATAGATGCTGGCTACACAGTCAACGTCGAGCGCAGTCCAGAGCGTATATTCGAGGATAGCGAATTTGAGGCCGTAGGAGCTACGTTGGTTCCAGAGAATACATGGCGCGAAGCGCCCGCAGATCACATCATTATTGGGTTGAAAGAGCTTCCTGTTGAAGAGTGTATGCCAATGGATTTCTCATTGCCGCAATTGCAATATCTGACATTCCCTAGTTCCTCTTAAGCACGTCCATGTCCAATTTGCACATTGCTACAAGCAACAAGGAGGCTGGGAGAAGGTCTTATCTCGATTTCCTCGTGGCGGCGGTACACTCCTCGACCTCGAATTCCTCACCGACGATAAGTACCGCAGAGTTGCAGCCTTCGGATATCATGCTGGTTTCGCCGGTGCAGCTCTTGCTCTTGAGACATGGGCATGGCAACTCTCACATTCTGCCTCAGAGCCTTTCCCAAGCGTATCGAGTTATCCCAATGAAGATGCCTTGATTGTGGACGTCAAGAAGGCAATTGCAGCTGGAAAGGAAAAGACTGGCAAGGAACCCCGGGTACTGGTGATCGGTGCGCTCGGACGATGCGGTAGCGGTGCTGTGGACCTCTGCCTAAGAGCAGGCGTTCCCACCGAGAATGTGTTGAAGTGGGATATGGCTGAGACCGCTAAGGGTGGGCCATTTCCCGAGATTGTGGAGAGTGACATCTTCGTCAACTGCATATATCTCATGTCCAAGATCCCCAACTTTGTCGACATGAAGAGCCTTGATACACCCGACCGCAACCTCTCGGTCATCTGCGACGTCAGCGCCGATACAACCAACCCAAACAATCCCATTCCAGTCTACACTGTCGCCACAACCTTTACCGAGCCAACTGTGCCAGTTGAGGTCAAGGGTGAGCCTAGATTGTCTGTTATTTCCATCGATCACTTGCCCAGTCTGCTTCCCAGAGAGGCAAGTGAGGCTTTCAGCAAGGATCTGTTGCCAAGTTTGTTGCACTTGAAGGAATGGAGAACGCACCCAGTATGGTCCAAGGCCGAGAAGCTTTTCCAAGAAAAGGTTGCTACTTTGCCCAAGGACTCTTTGTAGATGGATAGGTAGGCCCTATGCCGGAAAAGTTATATGCTAGATCTTCTGGTGCCCAAGCAAATCCAAAATCCTCTTAAACCACGATCACAGACATGCTCCATTCACCTATCTTGTTCTTCTGGCGCCAGACCAATGCTATAAATGATCTTGAAATAAAATCTCTCACTTTATAGAGACCAGATTACTTCATGCGAGATTGTTCCCTTGTGTTGCCACATGTCTCAGTACGTGGCTCAACGTACCAAATGTTCAATATATTGCGAAGTAAACAAAAGTTTGCCGTGGGCATGGATTGTGACATACCTTACTGTCCGTAAGGTATGTGGCACATCGTGCGCGAACCACACAACAGAAGATTTTTTAATTATTCTGGTAACATTTCTGCATGTATCAGGCCAAACTGTTGTATTAATAAAGACCAAAATCTACGCTTGGGCAGATTCAAGCAAGCAGGCACTTCGACTACATCCTGGCTCGATCCTCTCCACTATCTCCACTTCATTCACGCACCAGAACCAAACTGAAAATCTCAAATTTTGCTATCAACTGTATCTAGTGAGATAGGGAAATTTTAGCCATAACATGTGTTAATCAGGGGATATGACGAAGTGGTATCGTGCATCATTTGCATTCTGCTTTCCAGCAGTATTCATGACTTGATGAAATCCCGTGTTCGATCCGCGGTATCTCCATTCTATTACGCATTCAATGCCTGAGCACTTTCATTTTTGCAATATTTTAATACTCTCCTCATTTTTCATCGGCTCTCTGCTGTCTATTTTTTTTGGCGGTTTTCTATGTGCCCATAGTTATTGTGGGCAAATGCATGGATAAGCGATCAAAGGGTAAGGGGTTGGTTCGATTTGCTACCTGTAAGCGAATATAAATAGACCCATAACTTGCCACAACTGACGCTAATGAATCTATGGGATGTTCAGTAATGGATCCGACCTGCCCCCAAAAGAAGGAAGCTGCCTGCTCCTTGGGGCGGTAATTTTTACTGAGCTCAACCCTTTCTCTCATGTGGAGACTAAAATAGCTGGCAGGGTCAACTACCTTCGTTGAGGAACTACAACTTCCGCTACTTCATTCCATCTCAAAAAAGAAGCCAAAAAAGAAAGACTTCTTCTGGAGCAGGTATGATTCGAACACACGGCTTTTCCAACATTCTCTACAACAGAGTGTAGATGGTTATGCGAATGGAACACGCTACCACTGCGTCACAGCCCCTATTCCGAAGTCGATGAGGAGGATAGTGCGTAATTGGTAACATGACCCTCACAGTAGAATCCTAGTTTTTCTGACAAATAAGATGAGCATTCTACCCCACCAGGAGACCAGGGTTAGAAGCCAGGTAAGAAGAGAAGATATCGTCATTTTCGATAAAAGTCCTAATGCAGATTCCCGGTCCATTTAGTGTGTTCAGCTGCTTCGACCATTGAGAGTGTTGAGATGGGCCAACTTATTGAAACAGGAATTGGGCAATATCATAACTTTCCATAATCTCAAGGAATTTGAATTCGGAATACCAGTGAAGATTCAGAGTCCCAAACTCAAGTATAGCAACTATAAGGGAAGAACGCTTGTGATTTCAGAAGTCATCAAATCCCTCTAATGTAAGCAGGCAAACTACTCACCCAGCTCTGAAGCAGATATCAGCTTTTCTACAAACGACACTTAATTTCTGACAAAAAAATCCCAAATCCGCACTTCAGTTCCACGAACGATGAATTCCCGGGTATAACGCCTTCCCTCATTTCCATCACTTGAGCTTCTCAGCAAGCCACTTCTCCGCAGCAGCGACACCCTCTTTGATCTTATCTGGATTGGTACCCTGGCCAGTTCTCGTTGGCTCCTTGCCTCCTGAGCGGCCGCCAATAACTTCGGAGACTGAGGCAGCCCAGTGCTCGGCGGTGACACCGTTTGAGGTATGATCCTACAAAACTTTAGTACATATAATAGAAGATGGAAGAGAGGGTGCTTACAGTGCCTACGTAGACACCATGAACGATCTCTGTCTCAGTACCAGCGAAGAGGTAGACAGACTTATCCTTAGCCTTGGACTTGAAGTGGTTCATGACATCCGAGATAGCCTTTGAGTTAGCAGAGATGGGTAACTGGCCAATGTAGACCTTGCTCTCCTTGTTCTCAGCGAAATAGGCAGTAACAGTATCAAGAGCAGTCTTCGACTCGGCCTTCTGCTTTTTCTTCTGCTCGTCCAAGAGACCCTTCTGCACCTTGGCGAAACGTGTCTTGAGCTCCTCCTTCGTCAGGGATGAGATTGTGAGCTGATTCAGGTCATTTTGAACAGACTTAACCTCGGCTTCTTTCTCCGAACCATGTGGCATTTGTTCAAGAGTCTCGATTCGCTTGCCGAATTGGATGGCCAGTCGTTGAACTTCATGGGCAGCGTCTCCAGTGTAAGCAATGATACGTCGAATACCCTTGGCGATACCACTCTCTTCCACAATAACAAGATCCTTAATGAGACCGGTCTTCTCGACATGAGTTCCACCACAGAATTCGACACTTACTTCTCTCCACTTTGGATTCGTAGGGTTCTCTAGAAGTTCATCAACAGAAACGCCAACGGAAACGACACGGACTGGGTTTGGATATGTCTCTCCGAAAACGGCACGAACACCTTCGATACCCTTTGCAACATCTAGGTCCACCTCCTTGGAGTAGATCTCGCAATTCTGCTTGATGTATGCGTTTGATGAATCCTCAATCTTCTTGATCTCCGGTAAGGTAACTTGAGCCTTGTGGGAGAAATCGAATCTCAGCTTGTCCTGGTCAACAAGAGATCCCTTCTGGTTGATGTCTTCACCCAGGTGTTCTCGGAGAGCATGGTTGAGAATATGTGTCCCAGTGTGGTTGTTGCGGATGGGCTGTCTGCGTAGTTCATCATATTCGCAAATGATCTCATCTCCAGCCTTCAACTGACCATACTCCAGGTAGCCATTGTGGACAATATATCCTCCGTAAGCCTGGACATCAAGCACCTTGAACTCAGCAACACCATCAATGATGATCTTGCCTGTATCGGCGACTTGACCTCCTTGCTCAGCATAGAAGTTTGTCTTGTCTAGCAGGATGCCGAAGGGCTTGTCGGACGGAAGACCCTCAGTTGTCTTCAGGAAGCTCTTTCCATCATAGACGAGCGAAACCTTGGCGGTAGTGTCTCCCTTTGAGAATTTGGCATCATCGTTCGGTCTTGGCACACCCATCTTATCCAATTCCGCGATTTGATGTACGTCAAACTTGGCGAATGTGTGAGACGCCTCCTTAACAGACATACTGGCCAAACGTGCAGTCTCCTTTGCGACCTCAATCTCAGCATCGTCGGTTTCCAAGCCTCTCTCCTCGGCCATGATCTTGGTCAAGTCCTCAGGAAATCCAAAAGTATCGTATAACCGCCAAACATCTGCACCAGAGAGCTTCTTGGCACCATTCTTGACCGCAAGAGCAGCGTACTTCTCGAACTGCTTCTCACCACGATCGAGTGTCCTCGCAAATGCCTCTTCTTCCTCGTCCAGAATCTCCTTGACATCGACTTGCTTCTCGACAATGTCAGGGAATTGCTCACCCATTTGCTGCACAAGAGCAGGCAGAATCTTGGAGAAGAAGCTACCGATCTCAGCATTGAAATACTTTCGGGCGTATCGAGAACCACGACGCAAAACTCGTCGAACGACGTAACCTCTGCCTATATTGTTTGGTACACCTCCATCGGATATGGCGAAGGTCAGTAAGCGGATGTGATCGGCAATAACACGATATGCGGTATCAATACCATCAACATCGTCCTTGCCGTACTTGTCAGTATATTCCCTAGCTCCTGTAACTTCCTGGATCTTGATAAACAGTGGGTGAAAGACATCCGTGTCGTAATTTGAAGCTTTGTCTTGCAACACTGACACTAATCTCTCAAAGCCCATACCAGTATCGACGTGCTTTGCCGGAAGCGTCTTGAGAGACCTATCCTTCTGCCTATCATACTGAATGAAGACGTTGTTCCAGATCTCGAGAACATTCGGGTCATCCATATTGACTAGACTGGCAGCATTTCGCCCACCACCTATCCTGTCATAGTGGACTTCACTGCAAGGTCCACAAGGCCCTTGGTCACCCATCTCCCAGAAGTTGTCTTTCATGTTGCCAGGCAATATGTGATCATCTGCAACACCGACCTTCTTCCACAGCTTCTTGGCCTCCAGATCTGGCTCCAATCCGGCAGAGGCGTCGCCCTCGAAGTATGTGACATACAGACGGTCTGGATCTAGGCCGTAGACTTTCGTAAGAAGCTCCCATGACATCTCAATGGCACCTTGCTTGAAGTAATCGCCAAACGACCAGTTGCCCAGCATTTCGAAGAAAGTCTGAGTCACTTTAGCCAAATCCACATGAACCATAAAGATGCCACTTACATGATGGTAACTGTCTTTCCCGACATCATCCAAGTCCTATATAGCACCCATATCAGCCATGCCTTTCTGTTCCAAGAATATATCCTCACGTTATGCTTTCCACCTGCACGAATACACTGTAGACGGTCAGCATGCCCCTCAATTTATTCGACAACAGTTGTGCGTCACCTTCTGCGAGTCTACAGCTCTCTTCAACTGAGCCATATCATCGGTCTGGCCTATTGTCCCCAGGAAAATAGGCTTGAACTGGTTCATGCCAGCATTGGTGAAGAGGAGAGTAGGATCATTGTGGGGTACGACTGACGACGAAGGCACTGCAGACACAGCAGATTAGCTATATGCTCTTTCAAAGCGTCAAGGACAGAATAGAGCGAGTAAACAGTATCCCTTAGCCTCAATTGAAGCCTCATATGTGTCGTGAGTTCTGCCCAAAAAAGCTCCCCTCCACAGCAAAACTACCCCGCTACGTACCAATCGTGTGTCCCTTCCCCTCAAAGAACTCTAAGAATGTCTTTCTGACCAGCGGGGCGGTCCATTTCTCCTGCGCCATCCTTGCGAGCGTCGTCGAGAAGTTTCTAGATGTGCGGGTTGGAATGTTGGTTGTTGCGCGCGTGCAGCCACAAAATGTATTAAATCGCGTCGTCGTCCTCTGCTGCTGCTGGTGGTGCAGGCGTTGCTCGGTTATGCCAGAAAATCGTCGAAGTCGGAGGTGACTCAGGCGGATTCTGCAACTGACTCTTCGCAAGTCATTCATCCGCGCCCTCTCCTCTGACCTGAACCTCTGTTATACCCGATCCCGATAGGTATCCTAGGCGAAAGCACAGGACTTTGGACTTATTGCAGCGACGGATTGCGACTTTGTATTCGTGATTGGAGAGAGTGTTGCATTGCCCGGTGTTGAAGTGGTTTGGTCAGGGAGGAAAGATGAGAGGATGGACCGCGTAGCGAACAGCAAGATTAGGAAGAGAAAGGCTGAAAGTCAAGACAACGAAAGATTGCACAAACGCCTGAGCTTACTGAATTTAGGTTTGTATACTCTATTCCCAGTTCTTATGGAAGGGTTTAGCTAATGTTTACTTTCTGGCAGAGCGTAATGGCGAGAAGCTCTATGTACCAGTGGAACATCCCGCCCCAAACACTACGAAGCCCAAATCGCCCGCGCAACGACCAACTCGAGATGATGATATGATGCAGTTGGACGACACGAAGCACAAAGTTTACATCTACGACCTAGACGCTGAGCTATCAGACAGCGAATCCTCCGACGATGGCAAGCTTGTCTTCCTACCAGACATTCAAAAGCACCTTCTTGAAACGCGCATTCCTCCCATGGTATTGGCAAACAGCGATGGCGAACTGGCAGGCAATAACCAATTAGTGCTTTATAATATTCCAAGTTCATTGACGGTACCCGAGGAGCAGGATAGTGTTCGGAAGGCTATTATTGAAACGAGAGCTAGAGCTCGGGCGGCGCAAGAGCAGAGACAGAACGAAGAGGCTCGACAGACGGAGCTGAAGAAGACATCTAATGCCCAAGACTGGTATCGACACGTGGAGAAAGGCGGAAATACTTCTCAAGCACCAAGTTCTGGATTTCCAACACTGGAACCTATGGATGGGGAGCCTACCGTACCCATGATCCAAGGACCTCTGGACGATGATCCAGACGCCATGGACTTGGGATGAACAAGGGATTGAGTATTAGGAAACATCAATAAAGTCGAATCTTTCACAAGCTTCCATTCTTTTTGACTTATCTATTCCTGATAGTGTCTATGGTACTCTATGCTCTTCCGTCCGAAAAACGCTCCATTACCCCCCACGGATTACAAAAAGTACAATGTGCCAAAGTCGCTCATGCCCAAAACCTCTGCTCAAAATCTCAAGTCCTGTATGGATTGTTGCTCACCGTGCTCGCTCCGGTGTGGTTTGTTTGAACGGCTGCTGGAGGAGGTCCTGGTGGAGCTTCATAGGCTGGTGAAGGTTCACCCGCAGATTCTGCTGGTCTTCGTGTCGGCTCTGCGCGCCATTGTGATGGATCGACCTTGGTGGCTCCAGCAGGTGGTTGGTAGGTAGGTGGAAGGTCCGAGTTGTTGTAAAGAGGGGGTGGCATTGGATACATTCCATGCTGGCTGTTCTGCTGTGGTGGGGGATATTGGTTGTAGTAGACAGCTGGGTTTTGGTAGTTTGGATCGTATCTGGCTTTGTCCCGTCTGCTTAGGAGCCACTGTGTTCGGTCAGTACTACCCGCAAGCCAGCCAGGGAAGGGCAACATACACGATGGTAACCTAGAGGTACAAGGCCTTTGTTGATCCTTCTCTTCGCATGCCAGTAGCCACCGATCATGTACGCCATAAACAAGAAGAACAATCCAAAGAACACCGACCATCTGACGATTTGTCCGTCCTACTGAAGGGTCAGTAACCTGGATTGGAAGCCTCGTTGGAGTGGTAGCACATACCCTGGTCCACCAGAAGCTATTCCTGTCGTCGTAAAACACATCATCATTGAAGTTCTGTCTCTCCGCAATGACTGCCATCTTTTCCACCCAAGGTTCCTGCTTCAATCACAGATGACGAACTGTTAACGTCGGCGTTTGCGAGTCTGGCTGGATGTCTGGAAGGATTTTTGTGAATGTACGCAAGGAAAAGGTGGTCGTAAGCTATCGCCCTGCGTGCTGTGTCGTGGTCTTGTTTCGAAGTGGGGAAAGAACGCTTCAGACTATTATCTCCTATATCTGTAACTATCAATCTACGGCGTCGTCAAATGAAGGAAAGTAATGAATCAGAGGACGGGAGAGGAAATCGAGCCAAGCTTTCAGAATGCGTGAATGGATTTATGTAAGGAAAGCTTGTTCTTGAGCATGTGGCTGAGCTGGCTGGATCGGGGTTGCGTTGCGTCGCGTTGAGCCAACCGATCGAAGCTGGAACAATGCTCGTGCGATGCGAGGTTTCAGGTGCGTTCCGAAGTGGTTTGCCTGGCGATCTTTGTTTCTGTTTGCCGAATGTCGACGCCCAACACACACCGAAAGCGGCGATATTTGGCTCGGTTTGGTTCTGTTCTGTGATATGCGATCTGTCTCCTGAGGGAATTTCTTTTGGTGAAATGTGCTGTAGCTCTGTCACTTGGTGCAGTGGACTTCGAATTTCCGTTGCACAGATGAAAGTAAACAACGATCCAATCTTCATGCGTTACTAGTGTCACTGGCAAGGGAACGGCTTCAGCCGCGCTTTAAAGTCGGCATGCATACCAACAGCGCAGCATGCCCCTGACTAACTTGGAGCCTCGTGGCCCAATTGAAATTTGCGAATTTGGGAATGTTACGCCACAACTCTGTGACGCTTCTCTAGACTTTTCAGTACAGAGTTATTTTTCGGAGAAATAGATTCTCTGCGGCAGGTCAAGTGAACATGAACCGAATCACATCAAAATACTGAAGGCATTGGTGCCTTGTGCTCGCTTCTATTGTTTCTTTTGGTCGTGACTGCACGTCTCCAATGCTGATCAAGAAGAGTTGACTCCTATGACAGCACATGAAAGCTCGTATTTTTCAATCACCCCATCACATATCCTGAAGACCACGAAGCAACAAATGATCTGTATAGACGGCATGTTTTGAACAAGTAAATTAGTAGTAGTATGTGCTATCCATCTATTGGACATCGGAAGTCCCTCCCGTCAGTCCTCACCACATCGTCAGCCTGCATATTCTCCAGGCAGCTCTGGTGATAGATATGTCTACAGGCCAGGACCACCAGCGGTCCCAGATCCGGCTGCACCTTCGCCACAGCATCACTGACCATCTGCTGACCCTCCTCTTCCTCCCCGTTCCCGGCACATTTGTCTTTGCTCTTGACCATATCAGCAACGCTGGCTTTACTAGTATTGCGAGAATGTGCCCGTCCTTTTCCTCGCTCGACCTCTGCACCTGCTAGCTCAGATCTGCGCTCTTTGCGCCTCTTCGTATCGATCTTCTCTCGTTCTTCCCATTTGGAGAAGACGTCGCCTGACACGCCAGGACCCCAAACTCGTCGACCACAACCCTCACAAGTGGAGCCGCGGGGCCTCCAGCCTCGTTGTCGAAGAGCGGTTGCTGACTGCACGTTGACGAAAAGATCTTTGTCCAGCAAGCGGTTCGCCAAACTGAGGATGCTTTCCTCATATGCGTAAGCAGAGAAAACTGAAGCGAGTACGGCTCGAAGGTCACTGAGATTTGGTGACGAGATGGAGGCTCTAGTCAAGAACGCTCTGAGGATTCTCAAAAACGACAGACTTGCTCCAGATGGGGATGGGCTGGAGGTCGCAGTTAACAAGGCAGTAAATGTTCGCTGCACAAGAGTTCGTAGTTGTGCGAGGAGTTTGTCATGGTTGATACCTTCGGCCTCCAGATCAGCCAAACTAGCCGACAATTTCCTGGTGATGTGCACAGTGACATCAATGAGGTCAAGCCAAAGTGCCTCATCAGGGAGAAGATCATTCTTTGACGATGATTTCCTCCGAATAGGAGAGCTGATCGCTCGCGGCTGCAGAGTTTTGGTATGATCTTGACACAACCAGATGCCGACGTTCGTGTATTTCTGTAAAGCCTCCAATAGATCTTCGATCGCTTCACCTACATGCATTGACTGCATGTCTTCAGCTGAGCTATTCATGAGGCCAAGCAAAGTACTCTCTAGTTTTCTGAGATGCCTGATAAGTCGATCCATGGCTTCTCGTAGCTGGCCTTCTCGGGCCATCAAAACCACAGCAGCATCGATTACTCCGCTCTCTTCCATATATGGAAGAACTTTGTCGAGATTGAGATCGCTTGCCTGTACCAGCTCCACGTATGCCGCTACATGTTTTGAGTCAAATTTGCACATGAGCTGTACATAACGCTCAGTGAACTCCGAGAGTGGCTGCACTTTGGTATCCGCCATGTCATCATCGCTTGGCTCGAACAGAGTGTGCAAGTAGTTGTATTGCAACTCGGAGTCATCTGGGAGGGAGTCCAAGAACTTCTGATGAAGTGTTGGTGCATATGACTCAACAGCCTGTGCAGCTTTCACTGCGTCTAGATGTACCATGTCGTTCGCATGGAGTTCGATAACCTCATGCACGTCTCGAACCTGTCGTTTAGTCAACCCAGAACGGGGCCTTAAGCAGTCCGCAATGCAGTCAAACACAGCTTGCCGGTCTTCCGGATCATCGAAGTATGTCTGGACGAGTTTGCTATACTGTTTGTCTGATCTGTAGATGCTCTTGAGCACCCTATAGAATCCAGCCTTTTCGAATAAAGGAATCAGGGCTTCCAAGTCCGGAGGATGGTAAACAGAAAGTAGATACTCGGCACTCAATTGAGCATCATCCGCCAAGTCTTCGCCTGGGTACTCGCACAAACCCGCAAGAACTTTATGCAAAGCTGTTCCTGAAAGAAGTAGATATTGAGGGAATTTCGGTAGATTTCGAGCGATGAACATGTCCAGATAGATTATGTCTTCAGTAGCAAAGTCGTTGTGGTTCATGACTTCAAGTAAGATTGTGATCACGTACTGACGGTTCACGGAGAGGCCAAAGACGTGCTCCTCTGACAGATCCCGACTCGAGCCTCCGTTGACGGCTCGCTCTGGAGTATCGTTCAGAAAAGAATCCTCGAAAGCCTCATTCAAAGCACTCAGAAAGCTCGGGGCATCAAACTTCAGGATCATTCGGAGGTAAGGAAATGATGGCTCGTCCTGTTGAGTGGGCTGAGTAATGAATGGCTTCCCGGTAGCCCTGGGCCATGTAATTGTCCTCCCTGAGAATATGAACCAGTACAGTTCTGCTTTCGCGTCCATCGCTTCTTGCTCTCCAAGGATCTCTCCCGTTGGATATACACGTCCCGTGAAAGTGTATGACATGTATGGAAACATTTTCAACGCGTTGACACCAAATATGGGGTCTTCCATGACATTTCCGTTTGTAAAATAATCTCCTTCCTGCACTAGGGGTATCAAAAGCGTCAAAAGATCTATCAGTGGCGTTATGTAATCGTGAAGTGCTTGGTTCCAAACATAGATAAGGGCGTCGTAAAGATTGTGCTGTTTGCACAGTGTCGTAACTTGGTCGATATCGAGAGTTGTTGTTTCCATGTTGCAGATCATCTCTTCGAGTCGACTTTCCAGTCCTTTGGTGACGTAGTGCGTTACCATAGCTTTCACGACGGTTGGTGGTATGACAGTGATCTGCTTCTCCAGGATGTGCGGTTCTAAAGTCTCAAGGAAAATGCCCTCGGAGTCCCCATCCTCATACCACTCATATGCTTCTTCGAAGAGGAAATCAACATCGCTGATACTGAGGCATGCTTCAAAGCACGCTTCGGCTAGGTCCTTCAAGGGAATATCATCCGGGGAAACTGCCTGTTTCTGTTTCTGACCGAAGGCAAATTTCAACGAAGCCGTCATAATTTCAACGAGCTTGTCCTGGACCATTGAATGCCGCAGCGCTGTGTCCTCAGGCAATCCGATGGTGAGCTTGTCTGCGGCACCCGTGTAGTATGATGTAGCAAGTTGGATTGCTCCAATGTAGTCACCATCTTCCATCAATGCGATGAGACGGTCGGCCCAATTGGACAATGTACCAATAGAAACATCGTTGAAGCCAAGCAAGAACATTCGACTCTTGTACGCCTTAAAGCTCATGTAGAAAGCATCAGCCACAACGCCATGCATCGATTCATCTTCTTCGTCTAGCTGCTCTACAAGCGTATGCAGCTGTTTCGAGAAGAGGTCTTGGTGGTAGATGTGCTTGTGCACAAGGTCAAAAGCCTCTGTCATTCTCATGCTCCCATCTTCCAGAATGATCAGACGTTGAGTGATGGTCAGCACAGTCAGTACAGACCGACTAAGCCATTGCACTGCAACGATAGCTTCTTCCGCTTTCCACCTGCTGCGAGGCTTAAAAGAAAGACTCGCAGGTTTGTCTTTGTCTAGTGATTCAACCTCATCAACATCCAGGACAGTCAAGACATTTGACCAGCAATAAACCAGCTTAACTTTTGACACGTCACTGCCAGTCTTCGGATCTCTCACTTTCAGCTTCACAGCTGGGAACCATGCGAGGCAGCCACTCAAAGCACTATGAGCAGCAACTTCTTTTGGCCGTGCTGCCTTGTGCTGTGTCTGGGCGATCGGAGTTGTGGACACAATGACCAGAAGATATGGAGTGAGCATAGCAGTCAACCCCAAGGTATCAGTCCCACGCTCAACATTGCCCAAGGGGAGAGGTGCAAATGCCAGAACAGTGCTCGGCTTCCTTGACTTTCCCCCAGTCGGCAGATCGTTAGGGTATCGTCCTAGTATTCGGGTGGTTTTGACCGTACGTCCAACAGCACCTAAACCTCTCGTAGCGAGATGAGAAAAAGCCATACCCCTATCATCAGCCGAAACAAGGGCCGTATGTCTCGTGCCCAGAAATCCCAAATGCCGAATGGCAACATTCGGCACATGCCCGTCCATTGTTCTGTTTACCATCTGCCCAGCTTCCAGACTAGGAATGTGGAGAAAGGGACGAGCCGCCCGAGCAGTTTCCCATGTAAAGATGCTCCCATTAGCATGTCCACCAGCAACAATCAAGTGGTCGGCCGAGATGGCCACTGAAGTGATTGCGCCGGATTCCACAGCTATAGTCATCAGCATCTGTTGAGAAAAAGTCAACAGATCAAGCACTCACCTTTGGTTCCTGGACCAATTATTGACTTGAGATTCTGATGGTAATCGAAAATTAAAATTATTCCTTTGGAGGTCCCCAACACTATAGATGCAGAGACTGATATACACGTCGGCACGCCAAAATTTCGTTTGCCAACCTCGGAAAACGCCTGCCCATTCATCTTCTTGAGCTTTGTCCATCGTACAACTTCCCATGGCGGGGATGGCGTGTCGGTGTCTCCAGAGTCTGGTAGGAGCTGGCTGCTGAGGGAAGCAGTGCGCGAGTGGCTTTTGAGAAATGGGGAAGAGGCGCGGGGTATGGAGAGACTTGAGGTAGAGAGACGGGATTGGAAGCGTCTGTCGAAGGGCCGGAATGATGGAGTCGGACTCTCGAGGCCGGGTCTGGAGGCCACGGAGGGAAGTATGCTGCTTCCACCAGGTGATGATAAGACGGAGCCCTATGAAATGCGTCAAGAAAGGATCCCAATCTGTGTTGCCTAAACCTACCTGTACTGAAGGAGAATCGTCCGGAACAGATAGCAGCGAGTCAATGGGGCTTCCAGCTCTCTGAGGCAGAGCATCCAGAGATTCATCTTCAGAAGGACTGTCTAGCTGCCGCACAGTCTTATACCGATTGGCCCCGTTGCCCAGCTGGTTTGGTGTTGGAGCGTCATCTCTTGCCTCCTCCAACAGCTCAACGATTCGTCCTACAGCAGGTCTGCCATTATCATCCGCGTTTCTGGTCGGCGTATATTCTCCTCCATGCTGAAAATCTCCGTTTATCGTAGCCTCCTCCGCGCCACTATCGTTTTCCACAGAGGAGGAGCTCATGGGTTCATGGTTCCACCAGCCCTCACTCACTCTCGTCGTTGCGCCGCAGGCCGTGGAATCATGAAAGCTCGAACCCTCAGAAGCTCATTAGACGGTGCGTATCAGGAAGGCCGTCAGTACAGATAGCCGTTATCCGAGAAGTTGTGGAAGCTCTGGAACTTCAATGTCGAAGTTGGTGATAGCTACAGCTACCCAGACTGGGGTCTTGCTTGACACGAGGCTTCGCTTACAACTGGTGGATCCAGGCGGTTCAGGGACAGGGCATGTGAATGCAGTAGTTCGTGACAATCGAATTGTAAGTGGTCTTGACCGACCGAACATATGATCAATGGAAAACAAGCAGTCTGTTCAAGATATTGATCACAGTGTTGGTGTTACGTCCAACAACGACGAATAAGGCGCAGCAAGCAACCAAGGCTACCGGAACTTGCCGATAACTCAAATATATTTCGATCATCTGCGAATCGCTAAACAAACACAAAGCTTCACAGCACATTTTGGAACTCCCCGGTAGTAACGATGTCTTCCGTTGGCCCTCAACTACCACCTCACCTAACCAAAAGGAAGCGGTCCTCCGATGAAGATGAAGGACCTCACTCTCCCCCTCGAAAGCTCCAAGCAGCAACAGCTCCCCCTCCACGAACCCTCGGTCCAACCCTCCCACCAAGTGCCAATCCAGATGAAGTCAACATTGACGACAGCTCAGAAGATGACTATGGACCGTCGCTTCAACCCGCCAAAGCTCCCAGCCCACCACCAAAGCGCGTCCTAGGACCTTCTCTACCACCAACCCAGAACCCCGACGAAGTCACCCTTGAAGATAGCTCTGAAGACGAATACGGACCCTCCGCCCCAAAAGCACCAACAGCGAGTACAAAAGCCTCCTCACCACCTCGAAAACGAGTCTTAGGTCCAGCACCCCCTCCAGCCTCGCTCTCCGAGCGCCCCCCTTACCCCGCGAACGACTCCTCATCAGACTCTGAAGATGACTACGGGCCCTCCCTCCCACCAGCCCCTGGCTCCGCCGCAGAAAGGGAACTTCTGGCCTCTCAAGCCTCTGAACGAGAACGCTCGGAAGCAGAAACTAAGAGCAGCAAACCACAGCGTGCGGAGTGGATGCTAGCGCCTCCTACAGACAGTGACTGGACCGGGCGAGTTGACCCAACGAAGCTCAAGAACAGAAAATTCGCATCTGGCAAAGGCGCAAAAGCACCAGCTGAGAAGAGCGGTATCAGTGCTATCTGGACTGAAACGCCCGAGGAAAAGAGACAGCGGTTGGAAGACGAAGTGTTGGGACGTAAGGAAGCGGCTACGAGTGGAAGAGGAGGAGGAGAGAAGAAGGGATTGAGTAAGGAGTTGGAGATGGAGGAGAGGGCTACGGCAAGGAGAATACAGGAATACAATGAGAAGAACCGTGGTAGGAGTTTGTATGAAGAGAGGGAGGCTATGCAGGAGAAGAGGGGGGAGAAAGTTGAGGAGGATGATCCGAGCAAGAGGGGTTTTGATAGGGAGAAGGATATGGCGCTCGGTGGGCGATTGGGCAATGGTCAGAAGAAAGAGATGTTGGCTAAGGCGGCGGATTTTGGCTCTAGATTCCAGAAGGGGAGATATCTTTGATCTTTGATATATGTTGGCGGTTACTGTAAATATACAGTCTTTGACGCTGATGCGATACATTGGGAGATTTAACTCTCCAGATGGTGCGCCTTCTTTTGATTGAAGTAGCATGATGCCAATCGTTCTATATCGCCAGTCGCTGCATTTGCTCGCCACCCAGCAAGTATGCAAGTCATTAAGCTGGGCTCAGATCTTAACATTAGAACCAGTGTATGAATGTCCTTAAAGTCCTGAGAAGTTCAAGATATCTGCGATATCCCTGATATCCCAGATGTCGACAATACTGCAAGCATCGCAAACATCGCAACCAAAACAACACAAGCGAAGGCACTAGCATCTCCATTCGCAGATACTCAAGCATACAAGTAAGGGGTCACGTTATGCACATGGCAGAAGCCGAGCTTCGTCAGTAAAGATAGCTCACTCACCATAAAATTCAGCTAGCTACTGTCAATTGATCTCTCATCTAAAGATTAGATGGCGGCAGCTGCAAGCTTTTGTCGCCGCTCGCTCCTCGATTGCTCAATCCGGTTCCTATATACACATCACATCGTATTATAACTATCCCCCTCACTCCCTCCGCTTCAACAGTTGAATGTTTCTCTCATCGAGGTTCTCTCTGCCGCCCCCGTCGCCTTCCCCCAACTCAAGCTATCTGGAGCAAGTGACTAGGACCCAGAATCGGCCCAGCGTCCTTCCTCTCCATTCGATTCAATTCCTTTGCCGTTCGCTCATCATTTCCACACACGCACGGCCAGCCGATCACTCGATGGATCAACCAACCAACTAACCTATTCAACAGAACGCAAAACAAACATGGAAGCTCAAATATTGGAAAACGCTAAAAGCACAAACGGTGTGTGTGGGAGGTGCAAAGTCGTGAGTGGCGGAGGTGCGCATATGAATGTCACGCACGTAAAGATTGTGTTGTGTTGTAGTATTGTATTGCATACAAGTCGTGAGATGTCGCTGCTGTGGCGATGCTGAAGTGGCAGATCTGTGGAGTATTGGTATCTCAAAGTAGAAATTACTCATTTTGTCCTGAAAATGAAAGTTTTGCACAATTGCCTATGTGCGAAAGATCATCTTACAGTGCCCGCCTCCAGCTGAGAAGGCGAAGCTTCAGCAGCCGCCGGCTGATTTCGTCTAGGCAGGCGAATTGCGGGCATGCTCACGTTGCTGAAAGGATTCCATCGTCTTGGTGCAGCGGCTTGAGCATTCTGGTCAGCACCTGCAGCTTCCGCTGGTGGAGCAGTGTTATTGCTTCCTTGCTCAGCGGCGGCCTGACGAGTACGACGTCCAACTCGGCCAGGATGGCTATTTGCAGCGCCATCTGCTCCAGATGCTGGTGCTGCATTGCCTGCACCCATACCGAAGCGTGCTGGGATCATGAACCTGTTGCCTCGAACAGCAAGCCAAGCAACTGGAGGTTGTTGCAGGTTGGCGTTTCTTCGGCGCCCGGTCCTATCTGGCTCTACAGTCTCTCCTTCAGGGCGAGGCTTGGGGATGTAGTAGTCGGCTTTACAAAGTGGACAGCATGCACGACGGCTTGTTAGCCATGGATCTAAGCATCCGGCATGGAAAGCATGACCACAGGTTAGTCCTCTGATATCATCATCGTCCTCCAAGGTATCGATGCAGATGGCGCAAGAGTCTCCAGGGTTTGTAAGAAGTTCAGGCGGTACAGCTGTATGGATATGATCATCCTCATCTTCATCTTCCTCGCTGGTAGTTGTTGGGTGTTTGTTGATCGTCTCGGTCGTAGTTTTCACCTGTTCCAGTCTATTCTGTTCTTCAACGGTTGGCGATGTAATGCCCTTCTCAACGACTGCAGCATCCATACTTTTCCGCTCCGCCCCAAATTGGCCCCCAAGATTGTTTGTTGCAGGTGAAATCGTAACTCCTCGGTCAGATCCCGCGGTCTCGGGCCTGGTATTGACGGAGTGCTTCGTTTCAGTCGGCGATGATGGCATGACCCCATCCACTTCCCTCACGCTTCCAGGACGACTCGAAGGTGCTGTAACGCCACCATTTGTTGGGAGCCCTTCCCTTGCCCTCGATGCCACCCAAGTCTTGTACTTTGTCAAGGGGAATCGTTCGTTCACTTCCTCCATCGTCATGAGCTTCTTCTCTCTCCTCCTGCGATGTGGTCTCGCAGGCATATTCTCCAGATTGATCGGATCCGGATCTTCGCCATTTCGAATGGCACGGTTGCGAGCATTGTACCTGAAGCAGTACTTGACACCTACGATGATCCTTTGATTGTTGTCAGCACATGAGACACGTATCAATCGCTGCAATTAATTCTCACCATAAATTCGTGAAGACAACACCAAAACCAAGCGCAACGAAGAACAGCAGCGGAGAGCTGGTAGGGCCACCTGGGTTGTTGTTCGTCTGGGTCATGGTCGGAGTTGGAGCTACGGTCGTTGCTTGTGACAGAGGCGTGGGAGAAGCAACTGTCGATGTCTGGCCAGAGTTCAGGTTTCGATCAACAAGTTCTCTTCCCACGACTTGGAAGGCCTCGCCGATGAGTTGGTTTAGGACAGCCATCTTAACCAGTTGCGAAGTCGAACCCGATGACTGCGGAGCGGCTAAGAAGCGGAAGGAAGGGGTGATTGCAGTACTCGCTTCCCTCGATGTTGGACGAGGTCGTAGAGGAATCGACTTGTCCCGCCCAGCTTCGTCCTACAATTGCAAGCTGAAATGTGTCGACAACATTCGATGTGATACAGCCGGTGCAGTGGATGATCTGCTGGATTGATGGCTGCGAACGAATGGGTGGTGCGTCGTGAAGTTCCGTCAGTTGGTCAAGTTCAGGTGATGATGGCGTTGACGACAAAGAGAGGAGGAGGTCTGGGAGCGCTACAGTACAATAGCTTCGAAACGGTGCGACACAGATTGGGGAACTTGGGAAGACTCTGGACTTGGACTCGGGTCGCCGAATAATGCGCTGCTGGTTGGTGGAAGAGTAGATAACGAAGCTAAATTTACTTCGTAGTACGTGCGATGCCGTGCCGTAGTGTCAGCGGTCAGGTTTTAGATTTTAGACGTTCAATCCGAGCGCAGATTATTCACGGAAAGTATGAAGAAGAGTGAATCAAATCTGTTGACAACTGGATGTATCCTCGCCACCAAAATACAAGCTCGACAAGGCGGTCCTCGTATGACAAACAGGAGCAGCAGATCAAGCAACGAGCGGAGGGGGTGGCTAGGAAGAGGAGCAGAGGAGAGGAGAGGCGAGGAGAGGAGGTGGGGAGAAGCGGAGAAGTTGTATGCCCGACAGCCAGGTGCGGTGCGGTGCGGTGCTGCGGTGGCTCTAGTTCTAGTTCTGCGTGGGCTTGGGCCTGGCCGTCCTAGCCTAGGGGATGATGCATTTTAGCTGCAACTACGAGTACCTAGCTAATCAATTCGCTGGGCTTGCTTCTGGTTCTTTGGAATCTTGCACCTAGCGACGCCAGGAACCTGACTTGAGTGGTTGCAGTGACACAGAGTCCGCCGCGCTGTGCAGGTGTTGGTGAAGGGGGGTCAGCAACAGCAATGATAGGAAGAGGAGGCTGGGTGGAGGGCTGGGCTTCCTCCTGGGCTTGCCTTCAGATGGCGCAAATCGAAGTGATCAGGAAGGTGTCAGGATGCAACGAGAGTTCGTCCACGGCCCCAATCCACCACTGCACTGCTCAACTTTGTTTTACTCTGTAGCAGAGAAGCGAAAATGCTCAGGCCACGGCGTTAAGCTTGCCCAGGCCGATTGCATTCGGATTTCTCTGAACCGGATGCAGTAGGCGAATCACAAGCCCAGTCCGTGAGGAGGAAGCGATGCATGGATCTACAGAAGGACGAGACAGGAACAGCTAGGAGATTATAATGATGATGTGCTTGACTTGATTCTTGCAATCATGATGACCCAAAGTCAATCCATCGAAGATTAGAGGAACAAAGGATATTACAGAGTGCACACCCAGTGCCTATCCTATCCTCCTACCGTAGTCTCAATGGAGTAACCATGCATGAACCTCTTGATACCCATCTAGTGCTCTCCAGGTACAGACAGTACAATACTTGCATTCTGTCAGACAAAGGGAAGCCGCATGCAGCTCATGCTGGCAATAATCCACCTGCCGCTTCTCCTCTCAACCCCATGCCTTGGGACTTCTCTGAATAGCAGCAAAGCGAGCTGGAGGTCCCTCACCTCCGTACAGCATCGATATCCATTGGCCTACAGTACAGCTGTGAACCTCGTCTCCACGAACTCCAGTGCACAATGCATGTAGGGTGCACCAAACACAACTTTACAGGCGGACGCGTCGGTATGTTTGGGCCAGGCCTGCATCTCACGGCCATCCGCGCAAGAAATGACAACTGTACGAGATAAACAAATTCCATGGAGGAAATAGATCCCCTTCTGCTGGAGCACGTTCCAAGATATACTTCCGGAGCAACAATCTGTGTTTGAGCATTTGCGAAGCCTTTCCCATCTAGTTCATCTGAATTATCCGTACAAAGTGATAATTCATGCGGCAATCTGCCAAGGCCCTCCTCAATTCCAAGAGTCCAAGACTAAGCTCATGCCGTTCGCTTACCAGGCAGATAAACTCAGAAACTCAGATGTATCTATACCTTCCTAATTGATCCTTCCCTCCCCTCATGATCCAATCAATTCCACCTCTGATATCTTGCGGCTGTCACACAACCTCGAGTCTCGGTACCAGGCCCAGATCTGCTTCCCTCCCAAAAAGCTGTCCGAATTTCGGCCGTTCCGCCTTCCACTTGAGCTTCGCCACCACTAAATCTTAGTGGCGCGGGGTCTGCCAACCTCCGTGCATTCGTTCTGCATCATCTCTCCACTTTCCACACTCTTAGCGTCGATCATAACCCTGCACACTCAGCATCGTGAGAGGCTGGATAAACGGCACTTACCATATGGAGTCGAAAAACATTTTCCTTCAATGATGAGTAGTTCAAGCCTTGGAAATGAAAATCATGGGATTGCGCATAAGGTACAGGATCGTGATTTGTATCACTATTGCCGGAGCACTTGTTTTGATACTGCAGCATAGTCGGAATATGATCCGAGTGTGAGTTTTAATCTATGGTTTGCGCTGCGAGGCAACGGGACTGACGGCAATACTGTCAATAATTGAAAGGGGTTTAGTTCCGGGACTAAGCTGGTGCTGTATTCTTGGTGGTGTGAAACGGTATCGGAGCTGAACCTTGGATGACAGCTTCCGTCGTCCTTGTGCCTGCTCCACTTATACTTGTCGGTGACCTAGTCTCTACATCCTTCTAGCTTTGAATGCTAGATGCTAGATCTAGATGCATTGGAAGTGCTGGACGTGAATTGCGAAATATGTTATTTATCCTTGCCAGCTTCAAGAAAAGACTAGTACTGTACTGACACTTCCTGCAAACGCAATCAGAGTTCTCGCCTACCAGAGCCCTGGCATTGTCACAATCCATGTCCTCAACTAAGTTGCGAACAAGAATACTGCAAACAACAGTGATCAATATATGTGTCATGGATACATCGCCCATAGAATGTCCTAAGTACATCATTCTCGGCAGATGCAAATCAGCTCCCCGCAAGATCTTCAATTTAATCAACACATGGCTAGTACAAGACTACATGCAAGGTATCATCCAGGGAGAAGATTCAACAGTACGGTGTGATTCAATACTATGATTAGGAGATTTCCAAAGTCCCTTCCACTCTAATAATCAGCTATCAGCATTCTTTAATCTTTCAAGTCGGCTCTCTTCCCCCGAACCCTCATCTGTAAGTCATGAGCGACTACAGAATAGCTTGGACATTTACTTCACAGGTTAATATCTTTGACAGGAGTTTAATTCTGTATACTAGGTCAAGAATGTTCGCGAGCGGGTCAAAAATGACGGCAAATATCAATGCCCACTCCATGGCATTGATCATTCATATTCTCGATGGACTGCCTGGTTGGGTATCCACCTTGACGCTCGGATAGCTTGAAGCTCCTCAATTATTATTTTTGCGGCAGAATATCATCTGCAAGATGACAGTACTCACGATAGAAAGGGGAGGACCGAATTCAGGAAGGCTGTTCGGAGAGAGCCAGAGTTCTCGCCTGATACTTTGTGCTAGGTTTTAGTTCATATTCACAGGCGATAGCCCTCCCAAAATATTTGTTGACTTCGCTCAGTCTCTTGGATAGAAACAGTGAGTATAGTTGTTAAGCGGGAAGAGTTCTCTTCCTCAATTGTTCACAAGACTTGGGAGTTATTTCCTTTCTCCTGTCTGAGGTCGTGGACCCCTATGGTGAATAAGCGGGGCTTGGGTATTATAATCCGAGCTACATGAAGTGATCTAGATTTCTAACTAGACTATGTTTTCATCTTGATTGTTTACTGTCCACGACCATGTTAGTCTTTCAAGTGTTTATCCAGGACGTTGTTGACATCCACCTTCTAGCCTCAGGCCCACTTCCAACCTAAGCGAACGTCTCGCAAAACTGAACCAAACCACTTGCTGCCGTCAACCACAACATCAACATCGACATCAAAAGCCCCACCAATACCTCTTTATCCATAGCCGCGACTAGTCAACCACACAAGACTGAGGTATAGACAACAAATATGCCTCCTACAGTTCTCCCCGCGTCTGGTAACCCGCTGTAAGTCTCCATATTCCGCACTGTCACGAGACCTTTCTGCTCACCTTCGTCGCAGGGTTTTCTTCGATATTACGCTTGGAGGTTAGTTCTAGCCTCCTCTTCATCTTTCCTCGTGTTGCATCAGTTCAAGGTTCCGCTTGCTTCATACCAAAGGCCAGCGCTGCAACAGCACACCCTTTCCGAACCTTTGTCGCATCACGTGATGACCACAGTGCCTCCTTTCAACGACTCTTCCCAGACCATGAGCAACGCTGACAAGAATCACAGGTGAGAAGCTAGGTCGCATAAAGTTTGAGCTTTTCGCGGATGTCGTGCCTAAGACAGCAGAGAACTTTCGGCAGTTCTGCACAGGCGAATCGAAGAACCATTTGGGTCGGCCGCAGGGATATAAGGGGAGCAAGTTCCACCGCATCGTAAGTCATGCCTTTCTACTTTAGCATGTTTCTCGAACTATGTATGGAACAATAAATGCTTCCAGTAGAATTCTAACGATGTATCGTATGGGTTTCGAGAGGTGAGGCACGAAGCTGATGGAGCACAGATTAAAGATTTCATGTGTCAAGGAGGCGACTTTATAAACGGAGACGGCACCGGCTCAACATGTATCTACGGCACCAAGACGTTCGCCGACGAGAATTTCGAGAGAAAGCATACTGAGGCTGGATTGCTATCAATGGCTGTAAGAACCCCCTCTTTTCCTCTCGTCGCCGTCGCAAGCAATCTCCCAAATCACTCTCAATCTTCAATGAAAAATTCTAACCACAAAAAAACAGAACGCTGGCGCTAACGGCAACGGCTCTCAATTCTTCATCACCACAGTCCCAACTCCCTTCTTAGATGGGAAGCACGTCGTCTTCGGCAAGGTGGTCGACGGTATGGATGTTGTGCGGATGATGGAGAACACGAAGACTGGGTACCGGGGCAAGGATGTCCCGAATCAGGAGGTTGTGATAAGTCTTTGTGGGGAGATGTGAGGTTGGTCCCAAGATCGGAATGGGAGAAGGGATGCTGGTGAGCCGGCATACTCGCGAAATTATTCTTCTGAGCTGGCTATGTCAAGAAGACATGGAAAAATAAAACTCAATAGACACCCCAATATCACTTCCTATTTTTTTTTCATTCAATCTCCTCAAAATGTTGACGCAGCTTTCGAGTTTTGTCTCGTCGAGTCGATGTAGTGCTAACCTATCACCTTTTCAGATCAACAGCCGTCAAGCAGACTAAATATCCATAGCTCCATAGAACTTAATGTCGAGTCGTCGCGCTTCGCTTTCTACCCACGTACTCGGTCCATCAATGCAAAGCAGCTTCTTTCATGATGAAAATAGACCCTACCACACCGCACCTTGGAGTCATTTCTGGTCTCCTTCAGCCAGCACCAGACGCCTTTTCAGGAGGAGCTACTGAGGACGGGATTCTGCAAGAAAAATACGCAGCGTCTACGAAGGAATCTTGGCCAAGCATCTTCTCACTTCGACTTGTGCCTGAATTCAAACTTCCTCTAGAAAGCCATGCCACCAAGCGATTCAAATCCACCTCCTACACCCCGGATTCAAATGCTCATCAATCCTGTCCCACGTGGCCTCAGTATCATTGCCATCATGCTGCCACCGTCCCAAGGGCTCAAATGGCGCCACATACCTCGGCGGCAGCGGCGCCCCAGGTGGTATCAGTCCCGGCCCAGCCCATTGCCTGATACCCTGTGGGATCGCCTCCGGTGTCCCAGCAGCTTTGTCAAGATGCTTAGGAATTCCCCACTCATCAATCTCCACGAGCGGACACCTTCTCAGATTCGACCTCTCAATCACAGCCGGTCGTGCCAAATGTTGAGGTCTAGTCATTGGCCCAGCGTAATGAGGCGGCATGTGTTTCTCGAAATGCCAGGAGGTAGGATGGTCGACTTTTGGGCGGACGGCGCGGTACTCGCCGTCTTCTTCGAGGAGGAGGAGGATCTGTTTATTATTGTGCTCGCCTCGCGGGACGACGGTTTTGTGTCTTGCTCGAGGATTTCGAGTTGCGGGGATATGCGCGATGATGACCAAGAGTTCGATCTTCAGCGCGTCGGCGACGAATTGCCATATTTCTGGGCCAGGAGGCTCGAGGGTGTATGGTGAGCCTGGGAGTCGAGCATCCGGCTCGACCTGCTCGCCTATCCTACCGAAAGGGAATCGAGTTCTTGCGGCGTAGGCGATGAGAGCCTGATACACGTCGTGACGAGGTTCGGCTGGGCTTGTAAAGATAGAAAACGTGTGTGTGCAGACGGTCTCTTTGAGGCCCGCCCAGAACATCTCGTCGTCGTACATGGCCATTGAGAGGGCGTACCAGAATGAATACTCCATGTTTCGAGGGAGTAATGTCTGTGTACGGTCCATCTTCACGAATTCGGTCCTCGTGTAGTATTCGACGCCGGTAAAGACATTCGTTAAGCCGTGGGTGATTGGGAATTCGGTATTGACAAGAGGTTCACCTACAATGGATGGGAAAACACCAACTTGGACAGGAACAGGTAGAACACCTGGGACAGTGGCATTTATTTGATTGTCGTGAATTAATTTTAATGCTGGTGTATTTATCTGGTTGAAGGCGTTCGTAACAGCTTTCAATTTGTCAGCATTCTGTTCTGTATTCCATTGCGAAAAGGCGGAGATGAGGAAGAAGCAGCATATCTTCAAGGATTGAAAAGAGATAAGAAGAAGATTGGCCCACCAGTCAAAGCATTTGCTCTACTAGCACATGTGCAACCTGTCCCAGCTGCCAATTCCTCAGCAAGCAAATCATGATTACGTTGATGATCTTCATGGCTTTTGTACATCGGCAGCATTAGAGCATCGTAGACTGTACTACCAGCCTGACCTGAAGCGAACATTAGATCTGATATTAACATTCGCCCATTACCGTGATTGCCAACAGGACACGCGGCCATGTTGTTGGTATTCTCGCTTAGCTTGGAGATATATGAACAAGTATGGGGGCACGCCTGTCCCTGCTAGCTGACACAATGTAATTGTGATTGAGAGGACACTCATTCATTAATTGATTGAACGCTTGGGGGTTCTGTAACGAAATGAGGTGGGCATCGTCAACCCCCAGAAAATCCTTGTGCTCCTTGTTGTCAACAATCCACTTCTTTGAACAAAGGGACTTGTGAAAGCTAACCTTGTAAACCAAATTCGGAAAGGACAAAGGCGCTACCAAGTGCCTTGAACATGAAGAACTCTACAAAGACTTTGGGATGAAAGGTGCGTGTCGCTGGAATCCTCCACTTATCAGGGGGTATCTCTTTGATTCATATATACTTTGTCTACGGCTGGGGGCATTGTAGCTATTTTTATGGAAATGGAAGCATGATCCCGTTTTGCAGGAAGACAAAGCGTACTTCATACAGGGTCTCCCAAAATAGACCATGAACAGAGATGACTTTATCAAAGGCAACAACTATACCGGGCAAAATCCGCCATTGCTAAGACGGTACCTGGGTACGTACTTTTTGGAAATTGATCTTCACGTGCGATAATTACTTATGTTCACGATTTTGTCACATTCAACTCACATGTAACCCAAGATACCGTTCTTTTAAGTTTTTTATTTATGTGCATGTCATGCCTCAAAAGCATCCATGAGTATGTACCGTGGTCCATTTCTTCCTTTCCTTTTTCCTTCCCATTCCTTGTGAAGCATCCGTTGCTCATCATTCATAAACAAGCCCATCCTCATCCAGGAGGCAGGGCAAAAACAGATCTTTCTTCAATATGCACAAAACGACCGTTGCATCATAACATCCCAAGAATGCAGAACGTGACTGGGTATACCGTCTAGTTTGCCCCTAAACGCCACGCTGAAAAGCAAGGAAAAAAAGTGTTCAAATGCTGTGAGAGCTCCCTTCCCGAACGCCGATGCTTCTCAGTTGCCTGAGTCGTGCCTATGTATATGTACTCTCTCTTACAGGGCTCATCTCCCCGTATTTAATATGTTGATTCATCATCATTGTTACAGTCACTTCTCGACAGAGCGTCTCTCAATGCGTGACCGCCTCTGTCGTCCTGCAGGAGTGGGATATGATGATGAAGATGTTGCAGGATCAGCAGCCGCGGCACCTGCGCCGGCCTGCTGGACTTCATTGTCTGGAGTGAGAAAAGGAGATGGTGTTGGAATGGCAGTTGCGAGCACAGAGCTCATTGGAACCGCTGTGAATGAACTGAAGGCGGAATTGTAAACTGGAGGAGCTGATGAGCTGGCAGTGGCGCCGGGTGGACGAACGGTTACCGTGCTCGTTACCACAACCACAGATACTGTATTGGCGGCTGTGGTAAATGAAGTGCGAGGGGATGAAGTGGGAGAGCTAAAGAGAGTCCGGAGTCAGTATTTATTTTTCAACAAGCCAAGCCAGACAAGATGTAATGAATTAAGTGACTACTTACGACGAAGGTGCTCCAGTGACATAGACTGTCTCGATCTCTTTGGCCGTCACGGTGACTGTCTTGAAGCCTTGAGCTGGTGGGGATGTCGGTGTTGGCTGAATCGTCTTTGACTTTGTGAGAGCAGGCGCTCCAGACTTTGGGTCTGCTGCTCCATTGTCTGGTTTTGGTTTCGGAACAGGTACCCCGGTTGCCCCGACTGGGAGATCGTCAGAGGTGGGCTGTGGAGGAGCTGTTGGATTGATGAGAAACTGCTCGTCGCCAAGCTGGGCTTCGATGCCAACAGAATTGGCTGCTTTGCCGCCAGCCGTCTGTGCAACGAACTTCCCAGCAGCAGGTACACCTTTCGATGTCAGACTGATGTCCATACATGAGGTGTAGCTTTCGTTGGTGACGACGTCTCCGTTGCTGTTCAGCGTAGGCCACTCCCATACCCAGTAGAGTGTGTAAGATCCAGACGTGCCAGCGTCTGAGGGAATTTTGAAGTCGTTCTGGCAAAGGAGATCACTGCCTCCATTTTCAGCGGTAAAGCCCCCAACTTTAGCTTCTCGGGCACCAGATTTTCCATTTCGCTGGAAGCACTGGCCATCATCGAAGGGGCGAGTAGCGATCAATTTGCCTCGCTTGTCACCTCCAGTGCCTTCGGTGTTCCAAACTCGGTGGATACCGAGGTAGGTATCTGTCTCTTGACTTTGCTTCGTAGCGTAAATGAAAACCGTTCCTCTTCCTGCTGGTTTGCCCGGCTGGGTAGTGAACAAGGTGACATGGCCATTTTCCAAGTATCGAAGTGCGATGTGATCTCCGGGGGCCGCAGTAAGTGTTGGATAGTCGGGGGTCTGCTGTGGCTTGACCTGGGTGCTTCGACACATGAGATCTGTAGGAAGGAAAGCATTACCTCTCCCGTTAGGAGGTAGGAGCCACAGATTGGAATTGGGATCGACTCCAGCAATTCTTGGACCAAAGTTGCGAATATAACCTGGTGCGCCAACGAAGCTGCCATTAGATGCGACAAGTCTGAGTTCTTCTACCCATGTATGGGCATAGACCGCAGTGTTGTATGCCAACAGGATGGCGGTTGTTAAGCCTGCTGGAAGTAATATTGTCGATCTCATACTGACGTCGGTGTTGCTGGTGTTGTATGAGATGTATGTGGTGGTCTGATTCCGCCAATAACCCGCCTGCGAGCTTGAACTGTTAAGTCGATGGAGAACAGGTGTTGTGTTATAGATTATTTTGGAAAGTGTTTGAAGCAATTCGAAAAGGCTGAATTGAGGATTTTCGCGGAAGTGCAAAGTATTTAAGAAACAAATTTGGGTGGAAATGAGGGTAATTAAATAGTCGGAGAACGGCCAGCGCGGACAAAGAACAATAGGAAGAAGTCTGTGAATAGCATTGACACGATGACTATTGTTAGTTGGCGCAAATTTCGTTGTTCATGATTCAAAGGTGAAGATGAAGATGACCATAATAAGAAGGGGTGACAATAAAGAGAAAATTAGGCGAGGAAGCTGCTCTTAAAGGACAAAGACAGGACGAAAAAAGTCACGAAAGACCAGGAGTCCTGGAGAAACAAACCTTGTCATGTATCTTGGTGTTGAAACAAAGAACGCATAGTCACGCCAGAAGAATGGATCTCAGGCTCATGACAGTTCTCAAGGGACTGGTATTCGAGTGTTCGAGAACGGATTGGGAGATCGACGTCCTATCGTCAGGCCTTAGCGAGGATTTTCTGCGGTTTCAGCCATATCGCGGGGTCACGCAGGGGGCGGCCACAGGCAAAACCCACCTAAATAGAATAGCAAAAATGCATCTCAAACGACAGCCAGTCAAAGCTTCCGACGGCTGTGAAGATGAGATGCAGAAGCGTTACCGTGTGGAGCCCAGGATTCCCTGGGTTCCAGCCACCTTGCTCCACTGGCCTTCCACTGGGTGGCGGCACGGCGCCAACGACAACATGGAAGATAGGTAGGTGCCCAGGTGTGCTGGTGTGCTGGACGCGCCAAAGGTACACGCGACAGCCACAGCATATCCGCGAATAGCCCCCAGTCCAGCGCCTAGGTAATATACGAAGTCGCGCGAGTAGAGCTCCAGCCAGATGTGGTTGTGCGGGCTGTACTGGCTGTGAGGACAAAGAAGAGACGTCGACGTCTATTCAGTATCTATGGGTGCGGTGCAGTGCTCCTGCACCACAATTAGATCGAGTAGGGTTCAAGGCATGGCGCCGGTGTGGAGGGTTCCGATTGACCTGGAGAGCCGTGCCAAATACCAAGTACCTGTCTGTGGTGTGGTTGCAAATATCGGGCATGGCATCCTTGAAGCTTGTCTGCTCTCTTCGCCTGACAGGGTCGAAGCGACAGCGATCACACTCGAACGGAATCTGGAGTCTGGTTCGCTGTCGAGATCCGTGATCCGAGCAGGCACAATACAGAAAACCGGTATCATGGTGGTCCAGACCGAAGCTCCAAATGGGTTGGATGGCGAGAGAGCAAAGGAGTCCTAGGGCCTAGGGGTCGACTTCAGCGAGATGGGACGTCGCGCGTTTCGGGCAATTCTTGCTGCAACGGTTGAGGTGATCAAGGATCTAAGGTCCGTGGTAGGCAGCCTTTACTCCGTTAGTGGGGTGTACAGCACAGGAGTGTACGGGATTCATGTTTCTCTGTCTTGGTGTTCACTGGATATATGTTTCCTTGACTTCCTGTACCTGCAGGGCAAGAATTAAAGTAGATTGCAGCTGCAGCAGGGCCCGCAAACGCGATGGGTCCCGTGACTCCCGTCTACAGCACCCATTCACAGCATCCCTTCCATTACAGTACCAACGCCCTGCGCCCCTAGCGTGGGTGCGGTGCGGGCCAAATACAGTATGCCGTAGTCCCGGCTTCATTTTCATCCTCGTCTTCATCTTCGAAGATCTTCAACTCCATCTCATATCTCTCATCCCTCCATCCTCCATCCTCCTTCCCGTCAGTTTCTCTCACGACGGCTCTACTTCAAACAGCCTCCTCTGTTTCAACCTCGACATCTCAAATCCTCGGGCCTCCACCCAAAGAGAGATAAGGTTTCTCGGCTGTCTGTGATCTCTGTGATCTGTTCTGCAGTGACCTCTTGTCTCAGATCAACCCCCACCTTCGTGTGTTTACATCCTTAACGTCGGAGGTCAGTGAATCCACTCAACAATTTCTTATACAAGAGTCTCTCCTCGCGAGATTCTTTCTTCATCACACTCACGCGCACGCATTTCCCATCTTAGTGCGCGCTTGAAGTTTGTGCATTTTACCGCGACCACTTGGAGGGGTTGCTCGGTTTCACAATTTATCCTCATGTCAGGACTTGGTTGTGCGACAGCACACCATTAGCACGAATTCATCAAGCTTCGGCCAGTGTTTTCATGTGAAGCTGGCAAGAGTGCCTCAATGTTCATATATCTGGGCTGCTTGACTAGGCGGTTGCGGTACAAAGGCTGACGATGACATTCAGATCGGTGGAAGTCAAGCCACATCGTGGGACGGGAACATCGCTGCAATAATGACAGACCTGTTTGAGCAGCAACCAAGTACAGGCTTTTTTAGTCTACGGGTCAATAAATCAACTTTCCTCATCATCGAAGACGATTCTTATGGTGAAGAACCTTACATTTACGTCAAGCTATATCCAACCCACGTTCTCATAACCGACACTGGCTGCAATTCTCCCCGCAAGAAACAGCGCTCCTTAACCTCTTTGCGTCAATATTTAGAGAACTATCCTCTCCCAAGTTATGGTGGGAAATGTCTCAACCCAGGTGGCGAGAAGAAATACATAATAATCTGTTCGCACTGTCATTACGACCACATCTTGGGGATAACCCAGTTATTGGAAGTAGAACCGACCATTATTGCTTCGAACTTCGAGCAGTCTTTTATCCTTGATGGGCTTCCAACACATTCCCTCTGCAAATATGTAAATGTTCCGACACCTAAATACAAAATCTCAAGATGGGCCGGTCACATGGAGCATTTGTCCATTGATGACCATCCATTTAGAATTCAGTTCCTACATGTTCCAGGCCATACACCAGACTCACTAGCATGGTATGACATTGATGAACACCATCTTTACGTTGGAGACACTTTCTACGAACGCAAACGGGCTGTTGAAATTCCTGGCATACCGGATAACGCAGGTCAGGTCCCAGGATTGCCAGCAACTCAAGCTGCGATCATTTTCCCTGAAGAAGGTGGCAATTGGATACAGTTCATGTCATCGCTCAAAATGCTCTACTCGTTTGTATTGTACCGGAATGCTGAGCTTCGTCGCCAGCACGGATCGAATCATGCCCCGACCCCAAGGGTCAAAGTTGGATGTGGACACTTGACATACAATGCAGATGCCGAATGCATGATTCACGAAGTACAGAGTCTTTTTGAAAGAATCATCGCGGGGAAAGTTCCAGTCACAAGCAGCGGGGAGAAGCGGGGAGTCATTCACGACTTCTGGCTTGAACACGAGGACTCACGATACAGCGTGATGGCACCTAGACACCTTGCTACGGAAGCCAGAAAGTACTTCCACAAGACAATTATATAGTTACGTTCGAGAAATTGTGTCTCCCGTAGTTGTTCAGCATCAAGCATGGGAAATATATCATACTTGCAGATGAATCCCTATCAGTAGATTCCGCGCGGCTTTTCCGGCAGTCCAATTGGTGACTTTGTTAAAACCCAGCCTCAACATCTAAGGATGTAGCCGCTCAGCGTCCCGCCTGAAACACCTCGCTCCGAGGAGGCGAGTCAAACAGAAACATTATCGGGACATTTTGTCTGGAAGTGGACGCATAAAGTAATGTCTCATGTAGGTTCTCTCACAACATTATTCAACTAAACGTCTGTATCTCTGCCGGTGTTTACTTCACCATGCGAGTGATCTCGCTTGGTCTTTTGCCGAGGCTGTCGTCTGGGCGGCGGTCCTCGTCTGCGCAACGACGCGGCATACAACCCCTTGACACTTATCGCGGCTCAAACGTCTTGCGCATCCATCTTTCCATCAATATCTTCCTTTATTGCTTGTAGCCTGAGTATTGTCATGTCCCAAACAGCAAGCAGATGTTGAAGCCGAAAGCCAATGATGCTGACCTCGGGATGATGAAGCCGAAGGACGATCACGCCGGATTTCAGGACAAGATGGAAGTTCCGGTCGGTAAACTACTACCATATATCGTGACATCGGTGGAATGATTGCGAATTGGAAGCAATGCTGTGTATATCACTTAGTTCTTCGATGTCTCGATAGTATCGGGCTTTCCATCTACAGTGTGTACCGGAGCCGAGCAATACAGTGCTAAGTTATTTCAAGATGTCTAGCGAGGTCGAGGAACTCAAGCAGCTTGTTCAGAAGCTTAGCAAAGAAGTTACAAGACTTAGTGGTAAGTATTCTACGAAAGTGATGTCACATGTCAGATACTAATCCAATTTACAGATGAGGCCGAGATCAAGAAACTTCATTTCAAATATGGCTACTACTTAGACAAGTGTCTCTATGAAGAGGTACACCCCCCAGGCACTACACAGAAAGGAAACCACTAATATCAAATTAGGTAGTCGAACTTTATGCCGACCACCCAGACACCTTCGTAGAATTTATCGGCGGTCGATACCGTCGCAAAGCAGGCGTCAGGCGCCTCTACATCGACCGCTTCGCCAGCCGCTTCGTCGCAGGGCGCAACGGTCCAGTTCACGGTTTCCTGCTCGACCACGCTCAAATGCAGGACGTGATCACGATTTCTCCCAGCGGTGATTGTGCCAACGGACGTTTCCGCGCTCTCATGTCAGCCGGCACGCACAAATCAGTGAAGGACACTCACCCCCGTGGTTTCGTGCAATGGTGGGAAGGCGGCGTGTACGAGAACGAGTATATCAAAGAGAACGGCGTCTGGAAGGTTTTCAAGCTGAAGTACTTCCCGTTCTGGCATGCGGATTTTGATAGGGGGTGGAGTAACAAGGAGATTGGGGAGTTTGTTCCGTTTGATACGACAACGTTCCCGGAGAATGAGACTGGTCCCGATGAGATTGTTGAGCAATTGATGTTGTGGCCTGACACGAGGGTTGTGCCGTTTCACTATGGTCATCCGGTTACGGGAGAGATGGTTAAGGATGATGATTTGAGGGCTCCGGAGTTTGGAAAGCCAGTCGAGAGCAGTTTGCCACCGTTGAGTTTGGGGGAGTCAAAGAGATTGGGTTGAAGGGGCCTAGCATGTAGGTATCAGACCCTTCGGATTTGTGTTCAGTAAAACCACTCGTGACATTATGAAATGGAGTATGAAATGGAGTAAAGGATCCCGAATTCACTTGACTGAACAGAATTTCAGGCACTTTGTTTGGCTTTTGTCTGTGAGGCGATACATCAATTCTGAAACTAGTCAAACACTTAGCAAGATGTTCAGGTGATGGTACAGACACCGTGTCGAGCAATATAGTACATGCTAGCTGTTGGACAAAGCCTGTCTGAAGAATGGTCATCGGTAGTTGTGTGAATGTCAGCGCTGGAAAAGCATGTACCCTAGTCACAATTTTCGGTTCACTTGTGATTTCTACACACATTGAGCGGTCACAACACTTCGTTACTAACTATCTATCACTCCTCCAGAGGCAGCTTGAACAGTCGGATTGCGTTTGTCCTCGCAACAGCTCCTTTCTGGTCAGCCGGTAGATCCACGCTCTTCCACCAATCCTGGCCCTCTTTCACATTTTCGTACGGTGTATCTAGTGAAAGTCAGTATTCACGTGAGCGAGACATGTTTTAGATAACTTTACCAATGGCGTACAAACATCTATCAACACCGATCTCATTGATACAAAACTTCAATCCCGTGGTCGAGAAGTTACCAGATGTCGTTATGGAGACATTGTGCTTGAAGTAGTACGCATAGTCTTCTTTGGATGGACGAGTGTTTTTCTTGTATGGGTGATTATACCAATGCGAAGCTCGCCACAGGTTGAATGGTATTCTGTTCAATATCAGTACCAATCCCGGCTGACGTGCACACAGACTTGCTCACCCTTCTCCCAAATGTCCAGCCACGATCTGAACCTTGGGAAATCTATCAAAAATGCCACTCGAGCACACGGCATACAAATGGAACGATAGATCTAGATGGAACTGAACACCTGCACCGAGCAGGTGCTTCCTCGCTCCATACTGCGTCTCTGGCTCCAGATCCTGCTTGATACGATATCTTGGATGAAAGTAAATCGGCACATCAAGCTCCTGCACTGTTTCCCAAAATGGATCATATTTTGCTGTGTCGAAATACTCCTTTCCACCTGCATCTTCCCCAGTACTCTGGAAGTCGTTTACCAGCCCACCAAACATACCCAGCTCCTTCACAGCTCTCCTCAATTCTCCGGCTGCCTGGACAGGATCATGCATACTCAGCGCAGCCAGGGCTCCAAATCTTTTAGGGTTTTTCTTCACTTCACCAGAGAGATAGTCGTTTGCTACCGTAGCCATTTTCTCTGCTTTGGAGGGGTCGGCTTCGCCTTGGCAGCCGGGAGAAGTCAGGGAGAGTAACATGTATTCGACGCCTTCTTCATCCATGCTTTTGAGTCGCTCGTCATGGATGTCGAGGAGACGACGTTCGTGTGCGGTCATGGTTGTTGATGCATTTTGGGCTGGGGAAAGGAGACTTGCCCACTGTGAGAGGGCTGAAACTCCAGCAGGGTCAATGATTGCTTCTTCTACTGCGATTGTACCGCGAACCATATTTCAAAACGAAAGTTGATTTTCGTGAGTTGTAACTCGATATTGGGCAGGTCAGAGAGTCTGTACATAGACTCATTGATAATTCATTCCCCAGTTGGATTAAACTCGTGATTTTCGGCAGCATCTTGATCCTTGTCTGGATCCTCTCAATCATGAACCCGTCCATATTACAAAGATTCCGTCGTCTCAATTGCATGACCAGCGAGGAGGTCGGAAATCAGTAATGACCGACCGGGACAATGGACCCGAATTAAGCGAGAGAACACGAGAGCCAATCACATAACAACCAGCCAACCAGAATTGCCAAGCAGTGTGATGGGTTCCCATCGGCGTTTAGAAAAGCACAAACCTGGTTAGCTCATTTGCCCCATATGGCATGTGGAAGAACTCAGAAAGCATACATCATCGTCCAACTTTCTTCTCTTCCCAGAATTTCTCTTTAAACAACCGCGAGGACACCTTCTCGAACTTTTCGTCTCCACTGTTGCCCACCATGACAGGTGTTGTTGATCTCAAGAAGATCGAGACACGACTCTTCATAAATGGCGAGGTCCGTGAACCTAGGAGGTTTCCCGAGTGAGGACTATCTGTTGACAGCCGCTTCTAGTTCGTCGAATCTTCGAATGGGAAGACGTTCGATTTGATCTCGCCAAAGACTTTGGAAGTTGTAGCTAAAGGTACATTCTCCATCACCTCATGCGAGCGTCAATACTTTGAATCCTTGCCCAGTCAGTTCTTCAAAGCCAGCTTCTAACATATAACAGTCCATGAAGCATCTGAGCAAGATGCGGACAGAGCGGTAGCGGCAGCAAAGGCGGCGCAGCCCGCCTGGGCGGCCCTGTCTGTTGAGGAGCGGGCCAAGCCGTTCAAGAAACTCGCTGCTCTGGTTCGCCAGCACAATGCAGAGCTTGCTGAACTGGAAGCTCTTTCTATGGGTCATCCAGTATCGACTTATTTCCATGCTCACGCTTTTGCGAGTACCTTTGACCACTATTCGGAAGCTGGGTATAACAATCAGGGGACTTCGAGTTTGAATACTCCCGGGTTTGTCAATTTGACTTTTAGACAACCTTTCGGCGGTACGTGTTACTGGATTTCGGTATTTATAACTTGTACTGACTTGAGGGTTTTCCTGTAGTTGTTGCTGCAATCATTCCTTGGAATGTGCCGTTGCTATTCTTTGCTGGAAAGTGTGCTCCTGCTCTGATTACTGGGAACACTGTCGTGCTGAAAAGCAGCGAAAAGGCACCATTGACGGTAAGTTCGTCTCCGAAACCTGGTCAAAGCTTTGCTGACACTCTTATCAAGTCTGCTCGAGTAGCTTCTCTTGTCAACGAAGCCGGCTTCCCGCCAGGAGTGCTCAATATCATCACTGGATTTGGCAATGTCTCAGGATCTGTTCTTAGCCACCACATGGATGTTCGAGCCTTGTCCTTCACTGGATCTACAAGAACTGGAAGACATATCCAGGAAGCAGCAGCAAAATCCAACTTGAAAGTGGTCATGTTAGAATTGGGTGGAAAGTCTCCAGCTATCATTTTCGAAGATGCAGATCTTGAGAAGGCAGCAGAAGCCACTCAACATTCTGTACAGACGAACAGTGGGCAGACATGCATGGCCAACTCGAGAGTGTACGTCCAAGATACCGTCGCAGACAAGTTCATTGAGCTGTTCAAGACGAAGTTTGCTCCAGTGTCGCTTGGTGACCCCACCACGGCAGGCGTAAATCATGGACCCCAAGCAGACAAAGTACAGCATTCCAACGTACTGAAATACTTGGAGATTGCGAAGAAAGACGGCAAGGTTATCTTGGGTGGTCAACCGAGCGATGAGAAGGGATACTTCATCAATCCCACAATCTTCACCGGCCTGCCAGAAGACTCACAAGCCATGAAGGAAGAGATATTCGGGCCTGTCGTCAACATCAACATCTTTAAGACCGAGGAAGAGGTTTTGGCAAAGGCAAACAACACAGAATACGGACTCTACGCTTCAGTATTCACCAAGAACATCGATCGAGCTATGAGATTTGCGAAAGGCCTAGAAGCAGGAACAGTTGGAGTGAACGTCACCAGCCCGGTCACTGCACGCGATACCCCATTTGGCGGTTACAAGGGTTCAGGAATCGGACGAGAGGGATTTGCTCATTCGATGGACAACTTTTTGGAGACGAAGACTGTACTCATCAAGCTCGATTCGTAGCGAGGTGCTTCAAATATATGCTGTATCACCAGACTTTAGGCACGTTAACCCTACCGGCTGCACCCCACAGGGTAAACAACAGTTCCACGCGGGGTTATCATAACCGAAGGTTGGTGATTTGGAAAAGAATACTTCTCTTGTTCTGCTGATGTTCTGACTCGAAAATTCATATTCTCATATTGCAATTGCCGAAATGGCGGATTGGTCATGTCCAAGCCATCCCGTTGTTGCAACGAATGAATAGTTTCATACAACTGCCGCGAACACCTAAAACTCACAGGCGGCTTGTGGCTTTGGACGGCCTCCCCCTCCCGAGCCTCCCTCGTCCATCTGCTAAGCGGGGCTTCCCCGGCGTCCTCAGGGATGCTGCATGTGGGGCAAGCCCCCCCCTGAACAGTCTTGAGCACCACTGTGCAGTGCAGGAACTACCCCGCATCTAGCAACTAATGCTCCCCAATCTAGTCCGTTGGAACCCTGAAAAGTTCCTCCTCCCCGAGAGACAGCTCTGTCTTTGGTCTTGGTTCTGTAGTTTGGCGGCGACGCGTCTTCCCGACTTTACACTTTCTCTGTCTGTCTGTCTGTCTGTCTGTCTGTCTGTCTGTCTGTCTGTCTGTCTGTCTGTCTGTCTGTCTGTCTGTTGAGGTTCTGACTCTTCCTCTAGAATTCAATTCCTTCTCGGATTTTGCAGCTTTTCAAAAATCCTTTTTTACCCTTCTATTATCAAGCCTAGCGACAAAAGGCTGAGATCCAGTCATGACTGAGAACCGAGTCGCAGAAGTCCGCAGAGGGAGCGGGGCTGGTAATGGCCAACTGAAGGCAAAGAAAGTCCGCACGCCGAAGAGTTGTGATCGTTGCAAGAGCAGGAAGACCAAAGTGAGTTGCCTCTTATTTTCCACAATGTATATGCAGCAATGCTGACCTGAAAAGTGTATTGACCCAGGTTCGTCGACCTTCAAAGCAATCAGCGCACTTGGTTTCTTCACCTGTAACAGAGATCATGAACTGACATTCTGAAGTCCCCGGGCCATGTCGGTACTGCGCACACATCGGAGCAGAATGTGGAGTTGCACAGCGCCCAAGACAGAGGCCGTTTTACCATGTCTCGGAAGAAGAATATCGCTGTTCCATGCAAATCCTACGACACTTTCTCCCTCGAGACGACCTCAATCTAGAGACCTTGAGATCGATAGCGAAGGAATTGAATATTGGAAACAGTCCTGCTCAAGACTCTACCAAAAGTAATAGCGTAAAAGACTCAAGTGAGCAGGCGGATGGTTCGGTTAGCAATGAGTCGATTTCAGACACGGAAGAGATTGGAGATCTGCATCACCAATTAGGATGCTTAATGAAGGATTCTCTAGGAGAGTATCGTGAGTATTTTATCCCAAATCTCTGTATGTTTACTCCGCCAGCTAACTCGGCTCAGGATATCTCGGAGCATATTCAGACATAGCTTTCAACGCAGCAGTCTGCTCGATAGCCGAAGCACCAAGCCCGGAACAAGAAGAATCCAAAATAATTGTCCCTCCGAAAGATTCATATCCACCTCAAAAGCCCTCGAGAGTCAAGCTCCTTAGAGAACCCGCATCACCAAGCCATCCGTACCTTCCACCGCGTCAATACTGCGACTACTACGTAGCTCGATATTTCGAAGAGGTGCATTGCATATACTGGCTGTATCCAGTTGAGCAATTCCATGCACGGCTGGACGATACTTATATGCAAGGTGGTGGAGCAGCTACAAGCTCGTGGCTTTGCTCATTGTATGCAATATTCGCGCTTGGTTCTGCTTCGGGAGAGAACTCAAGGAGTACATTGTACGCTGATTTAGTGTCTGAGGAGGCGAGGTTGAATCCAGATCCCAAGAATTCGGACGATTACCTAGCTTTGGCCAAGACGCTCATACCTGCTGTACATGATGAAGCGGATATTGACAGTATTCGGGCTCTTGCCATTTTGGTAAGTGTTCGCACCCAGACGTTCGAGTAGCATTGACTAACCAATACCTTTAGAGTCTTGCACTACTCACATTCAAGTTCAGAATCACTTCTTACCTCTACATGGGAACCAGCATGCAGATAGCTTTTTCACTGGGCCTTCAGCATGATCAATCACCGACAAATCAGAGTCCAATGTCCAGACAGCAAAATAGACGGATATGGTGGACATTGTACATTCTAGATCAAGAAATCGCGTCGCGATGCGGAAGTCCTTGCGTAAGCGACGAGAGAAGCGTGAGAATACAGACACCCCTACCCTCTGAACAGGTATGACTCCATTCTCGAGTAATGCTTTATGCTATATACCCGTATTGATATACCCAGCTCCTCAACCCGGGCACCAATACACCTCTCGGAGCCCTTTCCGTCTCCACTTCGCTCTGTCGTCTCAAGCGAGAGATAATACAGACGATCTACCCTGAACGCTCATCCGACTCCCGGACAATTTCTTTCCAGAAAGTCACCAGCTATGTCTCCTCACTTCAGAAATGGCAAGCCAGCATGCCCTCACACCTCAAATGGGGCGTACCCGTAGCTCCAACCCATCGTCGTTCCATCGGTATCCTACATTTGAATTACTGGAATGCTATGATGCTCCTCACTCAACCATTCCTTCTATATTCTGTGATTCGAGGTGCAAGTCTGAACGATGTACGGAAAGCATGGTTCGAGAAACTCGGCGAGATATGTGTCGATGCAGCAAAGAATGCTATTGTTGTGCTAAAGAGCATGGAGAATGATGGGAGCTTGTCGAGTCTGGTAACTTTCGATTGTACATGTACATTGAAAGTGCTCATGATTTTGTGTCTCGCACTAGCGAAACGCGAGTCTACTGAACTGCGAGCCGAGTATGAGTTCTGCTTGGGGTTGATTGACAGGATGGAGCAGATTGGATTCTGCAAGAGCGTCAATGAGGAGTTGCCATCACATCTGGCAAGGCTGGGAATCAAGAAAGAGAGAAGAGAGTCGGGTGCTAGTATGGAGGTTAGCCCAAATGCTGTTTCGCAAATGTGGTCTGGCTTCGACCCGTAAGTCCTCGCTTTCGCAACAACCAAGCTTTGGTGCTAATAAGATCTTAGGAATCACAACTACATCAGCACCACAGGTAATCTACAGGGTATGGAAGATGTTGGCGATGCTTTCTTGATGGACATGGATCTGTTCATGGATATGGACATGCATGGAGCGGGGGATCTGTTCCAGCCGAATTTGGAGTTCTTCAATGGAAGTTTCCAGGCATTTGATACTTTATAAACATGATTGTATATATGTTATTTACATATGTGGATTGAACTGAGAAATCTTTGGACTGGCACGCTCAACATTGTGATTAAGCGAGCGGAATCTCTAAACAACAGAAGCGAAGAGCCATTGTACATCCCAGAACGCTGCAACACTATCTATCCTTCATTGCAGATCAATCACACTGATAATGTTAGCCATAAACCTCGAAACGGATACTAAAAGGGGGCTTACACTCTACCCTCCATCTTTCCATCCGCCATCTCCTGAAATACCTCCGTTAACTTATCCAGCTTCTCCACCCTAATTTTCGTCTTAACCACACCCTTGGCAGCCAACTCCAGAACCTCAATCGCTTCCTTCTGACTTCCCAATGAACTCCCCACAATGCTCTTCTGCTGTGTCAACATCGCCCCTGGATACGCACCCCCAAGTAAAACAGGTTCGCCCTCCGGAATACCCACACATACGACCGTCCCACCAAATCCTACCATCCCTAAAGCCTGTCCATAAGCTCGATTACTCCCCGCACAAACAATCACCGCTTTCGCGCCTTCGCCTTCCGTGACTCGGTGGATTTCCTTAGCGATCCCAGCGTCGTCGAAGGATGTCATGTCGACGAATTTTTCAGCACCACAATCAGTGATGAGGGCAGACTTGGAAGGGTGATCGATGCCTATCATGCGGAATTTCATGCCACGGGATCCAATTTGGAGAGCGATGTGCCCAAGACCGCCGCCAGCACCGCTAACTGCTACCCAGTCGCCTGGTTTGGCGTTGGCTTTGAGCAGGGCAGTATACACTGTGAGGCCGGCGCAGAGCATGGGTGCTGCGTCGATGGAGCTGATGTTTGCAGGAATAGGTGTCACATAGTTGGCTTGAGCAATGGCGTACTGAGCGAAGGTGCCAGGTGTATAATATCTGTACTCCGTCAGGTATGGTCTGAAGCCGATGTTGAATGAAACCAAATCAAGCTTCGCTCGCATCCAACAGAAAAAAAAATTAATCACAGCCACTCACCCAGAGAACTTCTTCAACACACAATGTCCATCAAACCCATTTCGACATGGTCCACAATTCTCACACATAGCAGCTGCCCACTTAATACCCACGCGGTCTCCCAATTTGACATGCTTCTCAGCTCCAGCTCCTAATTTCTGGACAATTCCAATGCCTTCATGACCGCCCACTTGGCCGCTGGGTGTTGGTGGTAGGCCAGCCCAGCCGCACCTCATAATACTTAGGTCTGAATGACATACTCCTGAATGCTGGAAAGAGTTAGTGACGTAAAGAGGAAGTAGGATGAGGTTTAGTGTCCATTGGGCTGGTAGGAACATTCAGAAGGTGGACGAACTTACGGTTAAATGGACCAACACTTCTCCCGGTCCGGGCTCGGGCGTTGGAAGTTCCTCAATATGAGTGCTGACTTGTCCAGGATTATCTAACTGACAGTCAGCTGTGGACGTTCTACAAATTTGACGATATCTATGGTCTTGATGAACGATGAGGAGACTCACCATAAACCGCCGCCTGATAAGTCTTTGGAATCTCGACACTCATGACTATGAGAGTGTTCTTTCTAGGTACCTCTGTTGCTGTTCGCTCTGAAAAATTCTCGTTTTCTCTTTCTGAGAGTGTTTACAAATTGAGATCGTTGAGGTTATAATTGAGATAGCTAGATTTTCTCGAATAATACATTAGCCTCCTACCCCGCATCCATTTCACGTTAAGTACTGAGCTCAGCTTATTTTTCAGCTCATGTCTTACGCTTACTACAGTCTTGAAGTAGAACAATGTAGATTTACGAGCTCAACCTCGGTCTTTGGGCCAACCAATTGAAGAAGGCAACACTCACATTGGTGCTTGACCGTATCTAAACATGGGCTATCGTCAAGAGCTTAACCGAGTTTGTTTGAAATGGAGGGTACGAAGCGATATCAACGGATAAATGCACCAGCATAAGTAAAAAATGTTGCTTGTGCATACAAACTCAAGAGGATGATTACAAGGTCATATAGAGTCGTCGAGCCACTCATGACAGATTTTAGTGGCCACTCAGTAGGCGTTGCGGAATTTCGAGCGCTCGGTTGAATTGAAGCGGTCTTGCTCGGCACTATCAACCCGAGTCAGCTCACAATGGAGGTCTTCTATGCCCATGGGAGAGAACGTGAGAAAAGAATAAGAATGTTTAGTCGAACAAAAAAGAAGTAAAATTACAAATAGAGGCATCCAATATAACTCAAAAGCAATTCTCGCGTTCTCCCATCCCAGTATCTGACTTCAAGTCTTGATCAAAAATCCAACCCACGTGATGGCACATCTCTTCTCTTACCTCCCCGTTCCAACACCCAGCTACATATCAGGCAAGAAATCCAGCACTCAAATCAAATATCCTGACACCGGTGTTTTCCAAGGCTTCAACCGACCATCCCGCCTCGAAGGTTCCATATATGACCTCGAAGTCTCGGGTACAATCCCTTCAGATATCAATGGGACATTCTACCGAATCCAGCCAGACCACCGATATCCGCCTGTATTCGAAGAAGACATTCATTTCAGTGGCGATGGCAACGTCTCAGCTTTCAGGTTTGAGAACGGTCATGTAGATTTCAGTCAGAAATATGTGAGGACTGATCGATTTGAGGCGGAGACGAAGGCGAGGAAGGCGCTGTTTGGGAAGTATAGGAATATGTATACGGACAGCGAGATGGTGAAGGGTGTTATCCGGACGGTATCGAATACGAATGTTGTGTTTTGGAGGGGTATGTTGTTGGCCACTAAAGAGGATGGGCCACCTTTCGCTATGGATCCTGTGAGTCTGAAGACGATCGGACGGTATGATTTTGAGGGCCAGGTGGAGAGCCCGACGTTTACGGCGCATCCGAAATTTGATCCTGTGACGGGGGAGATGGTGTGTTTTGGATATGAGGCTGGAGGGAATGGCCATGATGGGAGTTGTGATATTGTGGTTTATACTATTGATAAGTATGGGAAGAAGACGGAGGAGTGTTGGTATAAGGCGCCGTTTTGTGGGATGATTCATGATTGTGGATTAAGTGAGAATTACCTTGTGTTGCCGATGACGCCGCTGAAGTGTACGAGCGTGGAGAAAATGAAGAATGGTGGGAATCACTTTGCTTGGGATCCGAAGGAGGATCAGCTCTACGGGATTGTGCCAAGGAGGGGAGGGAAGCCGGAGGATCTCGTGTGGTTAAGAGCTGATAATGGCAAGTATCATTACTGCAACAAAGATATCAATTCGTCGTTACACTTACTGACTAAAGCAGGATTTCACGGCCACGTAGCAGGCTGCTACGAGAACTCATCCGGCCACATCGTATTCGACCTAACCGTCGCCAGCGACAACGTCTTCTTCTTTTTCCCACCCGAAGACACACCACCCGAAACCCTCCAACAGCGCAACAAGCTCGTCTCCAACACCTACCGCTGGATCTTCGACCCAAAATCCAAATCTAACACTCGTGTCACACCAGCCGAAATCTTCCCCATCAACGGCGAGTTCTCTAGAATCGATGATCGCTTCGTAACGAAGAAGTACAACCATTTCTGGCAAGTCCAGATCGATCCTACGAAACCTTACGATTTCCAGAAATGTGGAAGCCCAGCCGGAGGGCTTTTCAATGCGATTGGGCATTTCACGTGGGATGAGAAGGTCAAAGATGTGTACTGGGCCGGCCCAACGACGACTTTCCAAGAACCTGTTTTCGTGCCTCGGGGTACTGGCACCAAGACAAACACAGACACCGAAAACGGGACGAAAGAAGAGGTCGAAGGCGACGGCTACCTGATCGTCTTGCTAAACCACCTCGACGAGTTACGGAATGATATCTTGATTTTCGATGCTTTGGAGTTGGCGAAGGGGCCCGTGGCGGCGGTTCACATGCCATTTAAGCTGAGGCTGGGTTTACACGGAAATTTTGTCGATCAGAGGGATATTGAAGCTTGGAAGGAGTTGAGGAAAGAGGATGGGGAGGTGGGGCCAGTAAGGAAGGCAGAGAAGCCGTTGAAGTGGCAGCTGGCCCTCCAAAAGGAGACCAACGGGGTAAACGGGACGAACCGAACAAATTGACTTGAAGAGTCTATGAAGTGATCAAAAATCGGAAGCAAACGAGCTGGCTATGGTGCATGTTTACGCTCGCTTAACCTTAATATTCGAAGTGGAAGGAGAACAAGCAGAGATCAAAGTCGAAATGTCCGAAAGGAACGTTTAAGTGTCCATTTACACACTATAAATTCCACATACTAAACTCGTCCCTATGTATCGTATCGTGCTGTTACCATCGCTCAGCCGATACGCAGAACTATATACAACGTGAAATGCACACAATGGATCTCCTCCAACCAGAATCGAAGGTAATAAAGAGTCTCACCAAGCAGAGCGCAGGAACCGATAGAAGATGGGTCTCATTACTCCATCTTTATGTGCGCTCGCTTATAACACCCCGTATTCAGTGTTAAAACAAGCATGAAGCTTCGTCTCAAAATGCAAAAGTCCATGCAAAGCCGCCCAAAACGTGCATAGTACCCATCCGTGGGACGCGCCATATCCCATCCTTGTGCAAGCACCGAAAAAAGATCAATCGCTATGCAAAAATCAAAGCCGTATCAAGAAGTAGGTAGCGTCGTTCATCATGAGAAATCATCATCTCCACCTTGGCCTCTGTCGCCGTCGATTACGTCCACACGCAGCACCAACTCTTTTGTTTCGCGAGCAATTTCAAATGCTATTGGTGGTAGCGATTGGTTCCATGCTCTCCAGGCTCGTTCGCCCTCATCATCGTCGCGACCCTCGTCTGCGATATCTCTACCGGTCTTTCCTGCGTCGATCAGGCGTTGCCGAATGCCTGCTAGTTTGCGAATGATAGGCTCTCCTTGTGTTCTAAGAACGCCGTTGCCGGTTGAGGACATAGCAGTTTCAGTCGAAGAAACAACTGTGCCAACGACATCAGCAATAGCGTTGATTTGTGTTGAGATAGCAGTTATCCCAGCCTCGGAGCGGATCGAGGATACGAGAGACTGAATATTCTGCACCAATAGGGCAGTCTGATCTTCGAGATAGATCTAGAGATTATTAGCATGCCGTATCCACAATAGAGAATATCCATTCCTACCTTAAGTTCTTCAACATCACTGTCTTGTGTTCTGATGCCGAAACCGACTCCCATTGGTGCTGGAGGAAGAGCTTTGTTGCCATTCGTGTAACCGTTTCCATTCTGAGCACCCCGAGACATAGATCGTTGACGACCCGCCCACGATTCCTTCCCTGAACTTTTGGGTCGCATGGTAGATTCCCGAGGCGAGTTGATCGGGCTATACATCGAAGAATCGGCACTCATGCGCGCGAGACCTTGGAATGGCGGTGGAACGATCTCCTGTCTTGGGTCACGGACGGGAAAGAAGCCAGTCGTGTCGACTGGAGCCAGACTTCCATCATCGTCGTCATCTAGCTCGCCGGCAGGGGTTGGGCGAATTTTCACGGTTCTAACAAGCTCGACCACAGCAGAGGTCAAATGTGAAGCAGCCGCATCAAGTAACGATACGGGAGACAAGCCCTTCGCCGAAGCGAAGTTCTTTGAAGCTGTAATTAGGTTGTTTGCCGTAGCCGACACCCTTGATTTCAACTTCGTTTGCTGTTGGGCCAAGTCTTCACTGCTGGATGGTGCCTCATCAATATCCTGCGTAATCCTTCGCACATTTACGACGACTGACTTCATAAACTCTATCACTCTTGCTGGATCATCAACTCGTGCCGTTCGTAGAAGCTCATCAATCGAGATTTGAAATTTGGTAACATGGACATCCTTGACCATTCCATTCGCCTCTGTGAAACCACTCTCCTTGGCATATTTTGCTGCGTCTTGTTGGATAGTGAGACCTATAGAGGATGCTCTTAAACTTCGGAGCTGTGTCTTGGTCCGGGCGTATCGATTTCTCCAATCCTTGACTTCCTCTTCTAATTTGTTGACAGTATTGGAGAGCTGTTCCTCCCTGTCGTACGAAGATTCGCTCCGTTCAGATAGGACGCGCATTTCTCGAAGGAACTCTTGAGCTTCCCGACGAACCTCATCCGTAACTATCTGCTGTTCTCGCAGTTCGTTTCTCAATTCTTCATTCTCCCTCTCCAGGTCCGAGCTGCCCGCCCCTCTTGAGCCTGGTGGAGGGCCCGCTGCTCTTAGCTCGTCGATTTGTGAGCGAAGCTCTCTTTCGGTATTTGCCTGTGAAGCCCTCACACGATCCAATTCCGATTGTAGCGACTCGCTCAGATTTTGTGCATCTGCAAGCTTACTCTCCAAGTCCATTTTCAAGTCCGAGAACTCCTTCTTTTCCATATTTAGTGCAGTCGCTCGACTTCTCTCGCCATTCAGCACGTTATTCAGCTCATCGTCTTTCTGCTTCAGGGTATCCTCCATAGCATCAAGTTTGTCCCGTAGCTCGGCAACTTGCGACTGGTAGTCATCGATGAGTTTCTTATCGGTCTAAGTATGTTAGAAAGTGCAGTAGAACAAGCGATGTAAAACATACTTCTGAGGAGCCTCCGACACTCTTATTCCTACTCCGGGCAGCACCTTCCAAGCCAAAAGCATCTCCATCATCTTCATCATTATCCTCGCCTCCAGTCTCGTCATCTTCAACCATTGTGCTCTTATTTGGCACTATTGTATTACTTTGGAATGTCTTTGGGGTAGGTCGACCATAATCATTCGGGGGCAAGCCTGGGGAAGGTGGCACGCCAAGGCCTCCATTCATTCCTCCATTCATAGGTCCACCGTTCATTGCCCGTGGCCCATTTCGAGACTCACTCCTCATTGAGTATCCTGCTATAGAACTTGCATCTGAAGGTCGGCGCATACGAGGCATTCCATTTACAGGTGTACCGTTCCCATTTCTGCTTGGTGGTCCTCTCATAGAGGCAGGACTACCCATTCGACTGATATCTCCTGCAGCGAATTTGGGAAACCTCCTCTCCAACTCGTAGTATACATCTGTCGCTAGGTCACGAAATCTAGGTGGTGGGAGGGTGGATAGCTTTTGTCTGGCTTGATTTCTTTTTGGATGGAAAGTATCCTTCGGTAACAAGTATGGCGGTGGTCCTCCATCTGGTGTCCCTCCATTTGGTGTCCTTCTCCCAGACTGCTGTCTCCGTAGCAGTTCGTCGAACACATCCGTGCTCAGTTCTTGAAATTGCACAGGCGACAGCCTCAGCAGTTTATCCCGTGCCCTATTTGGTCTTGGGTTCCCTTTCTCGTCCCGCAGTGACGCGGCCAGATATCTCTTGAGGGCGACATAATGTTCGGACAGGGTACTTTCGAATTGCTCGTCCTTCCTACTCCTGCCACTCTCGCTCTGCGCATACATGCCCGTCCCAACACTAGATCTCGCTATAGAGCTCGGCGGCGAAGGCTGACCAGCGGCTGGACTCCCCGCAGATGATCCTCTGGGGGGAAATGCTCCTCCATTCATCGTGCCGTTTGAGCCACTTGATATTGGCGGTGAAGCAAGTTGCCCACGATTATTCGGTGGGAAGTAGGGCGAATCGTTCTCGATACCTTGGTATTTCGAAATGCCAGACCATTCACTATCTCCTACAGAAATAGGCGACAAGGGGCCATTTCGGCCATTCATTGTAGATGCTGCTGAGAGTGTGGTGTCTGACCCCTTGAGGGGAACCTCAGTTCGTGCGAGAATCCTCCACAATCCGATTACTGAGCGGCGCAAGCACTTATCTCCAGCATTCGCGAGATTTCTTGTGAGAGATAGGATCGGAGACTGGAATACAAAACTGCCTCAGAGTGCAACGATGGCGGCCGTGAAACGTCGTAGACTGGCAGGGTTGTCAAAGCGAGCGAGCGTGTCGGATCGTGAGTTAGTGGTGCCGGTAGGGAATGGGTGAGTACCGAAGGCTTGTGCTAGAGTTTGGACGGATGAATGGCTGGTAAGGACCGTGGGATGTGCTGTAGTGTTGCACAGAAAATAATGACAATTGCAGAATGAAGTGGAAAAATGTTCAGAAATGAGGACGATGACGGCGGAAAGGGGTCGCAGCGCGTGTGTCGATGTGGGTTGGACTGGGCTGGCTGCACTCGATTCGGGAAATTCTCAAGTCTCTCCTCCCCATTGACGGCGGGCAACGGCGTTCGATGGGCTTGCGGCGGCGCGTAAATTAGGTGCTGCTTAGGCACAGTTACTACAGTACCGAGAGTACCTACGGTCCTCCTCTACTGTTAGTAGAGTGCGAACGAACGATAAGCTCCCGATTAGACTTTGATCAGCGGCAGAGGGAGCTCGGGAAGCCACAGAGACTGAGGGAAGCAAGCAAGGGAGAGTCGGTTTCGATTTGGTGCGGCGATGCAGATGGCTATGCTATGTGACAGAGATAGAGTTACTCTACGCAGTTAAGAGCAAGTGTGAACAGAGGAGCCGAGGAACAGGACACCGGCGGTGGATTGAGAAAAAGAAAAGAAAAAAAAACCCCCCCCAGCTTTTGCACTGACTGTCTGTTGTTTCTTACTGAATTTTAACTCAATACCTAGGGCCCTTCCAGACGCATTGGCAACATACTTTCATCCCCAGGTCGGACAATCGCTTCAGGGGTTGACATACTTTTACTTGCTGGCTGGCATCCAGGGTCTCAGTTCGGTGATTGGCCCGGCCACAACCGGCATTGAATCTCATGATTCTCATCTCACCGATTTCTTTTCTATTCCGCTTTCTCTCGTCCCTTTGCAGACAAGCTTTGTGTTGGTGTTGATTGGATGCCATGTTGTGAAGAGTGAGTTGGCAACTTGGCAGACTAGAGGACATTTGACAACGAGACGTTTGGAGGGTTCTTGCTTGTTGTCCAGACTTTTCGAGTCTGCGACCAAGACCCATACCCAGATCCAACCCCCTGAAGGACCAATCTTGTCCTTCGAGGTCCGAACTATGGGTCAGGCCAACCCACAGACATGGGGATCATTCTATCCCGGACCAAAGTTGCCAAACTTATCCAGCCCTATGCAATGTTATTGACTCTGGCATAAAAGCTCTGGGCGAAGAAGAATTTGATGATTTATCCACACTCCTTAGCATCACAATTGCCTGATATACGGTACAGAAACGACATTTGACTCCTTAATATCTGGAGCATTTCTAATGCAGGTATCCCCCGGAAACGCCTCTGTTGGGTATCCCGGTCCTCAACGCCAAAGGCAATCTAAGATCAAAATGCAATTCTCAAAACCAAGCCAAAGTCCATACCGCAGGGAGATTCGGCCATCTCTCTTGCCACTCTCCAATAATCTCTGGCACCCGCTCATCAAAGCCGCTTCTACTTGCTGCGTTCCCGCTGTCAAAACCAGCCGGGTTGCGCTCTCTCTCCTCTATGGCGGCCTTGTTTAACGAATCTGCCAGGTCCAGGATGCCTCTACCGCCAACCAGCGCTTCTTCATGATTATCTTTGATGTCAACATTGATGACGTGCACAGGTCGGTTCAAGGGAGATCCTCGACTCATAAGATCGTCAATAACTGCGTCCCAGCATCTTTCCTCACAAGTGATGACCACGTCGACCACTCCTCCTTCTACACCTTCACTACCTCTATCTTTGTTGTGTTCCAATCGTGGTACTCCAACATGCCAGTCCTGCCACCTCTCTGGACCCCATTTGACATTTCTGTTTCGCTCCAGCATGTTCAAAAGACCATTGGCACGGTAGAGCCGTGGATCTTTGGCTTCCAGTTCTTTGTACATGCTATCATAGGATGTTTTGTTGAATTGGTAGACATTTGGCTTGTCAATCGAAGGCCCTGGAAGGCGGACGAGAGAGCCCGTACCGAATGAGATGACAGGATAGTGAGCTGCGGCCAATCGGAGATGCGATTCCATAGATCTATTGTGGTTGTCAGCTTACTTGAGATACAAATCAGTCGTGCGCACGACAAACCTGTTTTGGTTGCTCGCGCAGACAGTACAAAACTTGAGCTTGAACCCGCCCGGATCTGGCCGCTCTCCATTTGAAGATGCACCATTGCTGGCCGAGCTTTGTGCTTGTGATTGAGCCATAATGGCAGGTATTGAGTAGTTTTTTCTGCGGCGGACGAATGTCACGTCGTCGTACTATGAGCAGCTCACATCTGCAACTGTAGTCTCCTGTTAGACTTTGTTCACAACTGCTAAGCTGTCAGCTTTGCCCGGAATGCAGATTCTCGGAGAATGGTAAGTAGATAGAAAGCAATTCAGTTAAGCGTAAAAAATGTGTCTCCTCAAGGGGAATAGGACAGCTCCAATATGGTATATCATCATGTTGCAGAAGAGGAAATGGGTAGCGTGCACAGAGAATACGTACTCTATGAACTTGCCGTGGAGATGTTGAGGTTGAAGACCAGCTTTGAAGCTTTGGGAGCAGAAGAAAGAAAAGATGTGGTTTGTCCCTCCGTTTAGCGCCTCGCTTGTTAATGCGGCGACCTGTGCATGCATTTATGGCAGAACGTAGAAACAATGTCTGTGGTAGTATTAATAAGATGGTGCACCATTACCTTATTGTTTGCAATATTGGCACGATGATGAGGCAAAGTGATATCTTGATTTATCCACTTCATACTTCACATGGAGAAGTTAAATTCTACAAACGGCGGTGGTCATCATCCATCGCTCCTCTCCATCATCATGTCGTTCAACTTCGCTTATTTGAATGTCGCAAACAAAGCCGATGACTTCCGTGGCAAAGCATCCATGCTCCTAGGTCTCAGCGCTCTATATCAAGTAGTGGAGCCGATTCTGACTTGGGTATAATCTATCTCTCATTCCTCCTCAGGTGGTCGCAGCTTTCTCTTTATTTTTGACTTCCATAGCTGAGATCCCGGAATTCATCTCAGCTGAACCCTCGTGGCAAGATCAGACTGGCGAACTGGATATCGATCTATAGAGCCCTTGGCTATTACTAGATTCGTGTACCGTCTGATCTATTTCTACGAACTCCTCTGATGCGTCGAACCCGGAGTCCTGATTGACGTAATTATCATATGGTTTTGCATCAGACTTGAGGTAGATGGCGACTTTACAAAGCCTACACGTGCCTGCTGAATAGCAAACACAAACCGATCAAATTTGTTACCGGAGGCCCTTCTTGGAGGCAGAGAAGGAGATTGACGGTCGTTCAATACGGGAGTATCTTTCTTTAAAATAATACTTGTTGAGCAACAGCAGAGCTTCACAAGCGGTTCGATGCCGCCTCATGCATCTTTTGCGGATGTATTTTGACCGCACGACTGGATTGCACTGCTACCTGTAAGCCCAGCCCAGCAGCGTGGAAACATAGGTCGAATGCCATTGGTTCAGGCTGGACTTTCCCGCTTGTGCTGCCCCCTAGATGTTTCAAGTCAGGGTGTCCTCGACTCCTCGCAGCTCTATTCCGGAAATAGATTCATTTCGGCCTTTAGACCCATGGAGATGCCACCCCCCGAACAGCCCTTTCCAGAAGCATCGTGGGCGTTGTGAAAAGCCCTGCCAGCCAAAAGACAGAGCCCCAATGTCGTCGCAGGAAAAAGACCCCTCTCCTTTTGCAGCGCGACAAAAATCAATTGTAGAAACACGTCTTGCACCTAGGCAAGACCCTCCCTCACACGACATTCACGCTCCTGGCTGTTCTACATTTCGCGTTGCGGGGTTCGGATCTTGTCTTGTCTTGTCCTGTCCTGGTATCGAGGATCTGTTGCGGCGGCGTTTGTGTCTCGGCGCTTGTTCTGTCACTCTCCCACGCACGAATAGACAGCCCTTGTCTGGCCCTCCCACTCCCACTCCCACTGCAGTCCGTCAATCAGTCCAGCTCCCAGATTCAAGCAAGCAGAAGCAAGCGATCTGAGCGCCAGGCAATTCAGCGCCTGCCTCCCTGTTTGGTCCTCCTCTCCATCCTGCCGCTCCCTGGCGCATTGGTGCTTACCATTGGGTACATAAATTTACATTGGAGGCCGGTGGGGTCAGCGCTCCCTTGATCTCTTCAAAGATCAGATTTGTCTGTGTCCACTCTCCAAAGCATCAGCCTGGTCGAAAGTCGCGACCGCAGTCGAACATCCTCACATCTATCTCGAACAGCCAGACGTAGCCTCCACTGCGCGCCTGTTGCGCCAATATTGACTTATTGTCGCATCGACTGTTCTTCACCTCGTCCATTCGATCCTACGAGCACCACGCACGCGCGGGACTGTTATCCTACCATCGTTGCTGATCCCTATCCCGGCATCAATCGAACCGGCAGAGCAGACCCCGATCTTCTCCTCGTTGCTTTTGCGCAAGCCTGACTACGACACCTGGTGGGAATCGAGGCTTGCTGGCAAGCTGCCACCGATTTCGTATCATCACACACGACGGACTTACATAGCGCGCCTTTCGAGGAGGCTGGTCAAAAGGACGACTCCAAGATGACAGCAGTCATGTCTCCTACGCTGGATACATCATCCCCAGCGACATCGCCTTCGCCAGTTACGTCCCCCTCATCGAACCCGAACCATCCTCCATTACCACCTCTGATTACCTCTCCTCCCGCCCGACGGTCAAATCTTCAGCGACCGACTTCACATGCGTCCAAAAACAGGCTATCACAATACTCGAACTACTCGGTGCCTTCGAGATCGAGGCCACCATCACATATCTTCCCGGTCTTCCATTCGAGTCTGCCATACACAACAGTGCGTGATTTTGCATATCCAGTCTTGCATCCTATGCACTATGGACCGCCATTGGAGCCTTCTCAACCACCTTCCGGACTGTCAACCCCCGCAAGCGAAACACACAGGCGGCTATCTGATCCACCGACGTCCTGGGATAGTAGAGGAAGCTGGGTGCCTGGGTCATGGGCAACCGAAGGTCTTATGAAGGGCGAGCAGTTGGCACCTATACACTTTGGAGACGGCCCGCCTTGGAGCGAAGACGAAGATCTTCAAAGCCCTGTGGTAGTCAGTTCGCGCCACAGAAAGCACAAGTCTTCTACTGGTGGGTTCGGAAGTTCACAAGGGCGTGGTCGCGGACGGAACCGTAGGGAGGATGGCGAGCGGACTACCAGTATGCTCAGTCAAGAGAATTACGAGCAAGATAGAGGATTCTTCGTTGGCAGGGGAGGCGATGGCAGCGAGAGGTATTATGTGAACGAAGGAGATGAGGCAGATGGTCCGGGAGGAGAGTTCGTTACTTATCCACCAGAGCAAGCTCGACACTCGAACTTGGCGCCTTATAACGTCCCAGGTCAGAGAGATTCACACTTTGCTGGTACACTGCCTAGTAGGTCATATACAGACGAGACAGGGCTGGAATACCGGTCCGAATCGGATGCTTCGAGCTCAGCTTCTTCGCCTGGACTGACACGACATGATGAGTCCCGGTACTCGAGGGACTATCAGTTCACAATCGCATCACCAGATGAGGAAATGCATGGAAAAGCTGTGGCACTTTTCGATTTCGAGCGGGAAAACGAGAATGAGCTACCTCTGGTGGAGGGGCAGGTCATATGGGTATCTTACAGGCACGGCCAAGGATGGCTTGTTGCTGAGGACCCAAAAACCCAAGAAAGTGGTCTGGTTCCAGAAGAGTATGTTCGTTTGTTGCGTGACATACAAGGAGGACTAAACTCCTTAACTGGGCAAGCAACCGATCAGTTGCTCAGTCCTGTCGCACCGGATTCAGGTACACCAACGCAAGCAGAGCACGGCCAGGGCTTTGGGCATACACCAACACCTAGCAATGGGAGCAATGGATATCAGCAGCCAATAGTTTCGACCTTTTCTACCTCCTCAAAAGATCTCCACCCATATCCCCAGCATCTTTTAGGGACACCAGCTGGTCAGCCACCACCACAAGTCATCCATTACCATGGCCAACGGGGCGGGAGTCAAGCAAACACACCGACGTTGTCAAGCTCCCAGGAAGGCGCTAGAGATGGGACTACCAGTCAAGATACAAAATCTCGCAAAACGGAAGACAGCTTGAACACCACACCAATCGCAACTCTGCCAGGCACAAGGTTAGAGACTGCAAGCAAACAACCAGGTAGTCCTGATAGTGATTCGACAGAGGGGTCTTCTGATGCGGGCAAGGATATCTCAAGTCCATGACCTCATGGCACTGCTTTGGATTGCTTTTAGAAGAGGACATATGAGAGTTTCTAGCGTTTTGGTTCCTGTGCATTTTTGCTTCTTCGTTTTGCCCATACCCATTTATCGCCGGTCGGCTTGCATATTCTTTTCTGGAAAGAAGAACATTCGCTTAATACTTTTTGGCCTTCCACTGTATTATCACATCTTTTATTTGGGTGGTCGGACGAGAACTGCAGGGCTCCGTTTATAGGTGGATCTGAAGAAAGGGAAAGGAAAGAATTGGTGCATAATAAGGTTATCATGAGCTTATGACGGACCTCGTTTTCTGGGGTTGAGCTTGGGGCTGTGGTTAGGTCATGAACTCTCCTGGACTGGGTTGGATCAGCAGATGTATGAGTTCAGACGAGCTGTTGATGAATTGGTATAGTGGTTATAGAGTAGTTGGTACATAGCGGAGCAGAAAGAACATTGAATCGAACTCTTTTATTGACTTACAGAGCCTGTAGGCTCTATTCCGTGGATCAACAAGGCATTTGCATGCCGTTATCAAAGAAGCATTCAAGATCAAATCTAGGATATAGGACTTCAGTTCGCCTAAAGACTGACCTTTGTTCTGAGTTGTCAAGTACCTGTTGAGAAAGTGATAAGATATCAGGATGTGATAAGTGATAAGTAAGGTACCAGCATCTAGCGGGGTCGAGGAGGGGTAGCGGTAATGACCGCATCGCTACTTCTCTTGAACATTTTTGAGACACATCAGATAATTAAGCTCCTATCATCCAAGCTTCCTAAGGTAACGACCCAAATTCTAAAGCTCATCACCCCAGGCTCATCCCGCCAAAGTATGCTGGCACATCAAACATGGCGGAGCCCACATTCAAACCCGCTCTGATCATCGTCGATCTCCAGGAGGATTTCTGCCCACCTGTATGTGCCCCTCCTCCACTGCTTGAATACCTCTGTACCCACAACAAATCCTCGAGGGGTCATGTTTTAAGTACCATGCATGAAAACATATACACATACACCTATAGCAATGGTACCTGGTCAGAATAAACTAACCTCGAATACAACAGAACGGCTCCCTCGCTGTCCCCTCGGGCCGCGACATAATCACCATCATCAACCATCTCCTCACCCTCCCCTTCGCCCTCAAAATAGCAACCAAGGACTGGCATCCCGCTGACCACATCTCGTTCGCCTCCTCGCACCCCCAGAAGAAACCCTTCGCCGACACCGTAACAGTTATCAACCCGTACAACTCCGCGGAGACTTACAAGTCCCGTCTCTGGCCTGACCACTGCATCCAGGACACGCCCGGCGCAGAACTCGTCCCGGAGCTGGATGTCAGTAAAATTGATAAGGTAGTGGAGAAGGGTATGAGAAAGGAGGTGGAAATGTATTCTGCTTTCTATGATCCGTTTACTAGACCGAGAGTTAGTGATAGTGGATTGGCGGATATGTTGAGGAATGCGGGCATCACGCATGTTTACGTCGTAGGACTGGCCTTTGATTATTGTGTTAGGGCGACGGCAGAGGATGCTCACCGGGAGGGCTTTAAAACGGTGATTGTGAGAGAGGGAACGGCCGCTGTTGATCGAGATAATTGGGCACATGTGGACAGGGAGTTGGGGAGCATGAATGTGAATGTTGTTGGGCTGGAGGGGAAAGAGGTTCAGATGGTAAGAAATCTTTAGAGATTCGTGTTTGCGGTTATGATTACACTATCTATGAGGTTGCATGGGAGCTGCCTCTGAAGAGGGAACACGGTGTTAAAGGAGTGGAAGGGCTACGAGATATCCCGTCTTATGATTTTGGAGGTAGAACAGCAATGGGCTTTGAATAAGCTATCTTTTGAGCGGGCTTACTACAGATGCAAGTGATAAATAACCACAATAATATGGGTTGCTCAGGTGTTTGTGTGGGACATCCGGATTTCTTTATAGTCTTGTTATTCTCAATGTTGTTGATCACGAGACAATCCAATATTCCTCTTTCGAGAATGCTGGTTTACAATCGAACATAGAACACCAGCTGATAGCTTGACTGCCTGTATGTGAATTTGACATTTATCCAGATGTCCCGAGCGGCATCGTTTGTTGGTTGAAAAGATAAGGAGGGTTGCTTCCTGTGTCTTTATTTGGACCAACAAGGAAGAAGTCACCACCGAATACTTCTCGGCCACCCTTTTCTAGTTGTAAAGATCAATGAAATATACCATAGATACTGTTCATTTAGAACATTTGAAAAGCTCCGATGAGTTTCATAGGCAGCCAGTAACTGCTGTCGGATCAACACCAACAAGTTTCGGTTTCGGTCACCGACAAAAACATAGGATTTGAACCGAAGAATAACCACCAAAAAAAGATGCCCATCAACAGAGATATAAAACGAACGCCGCATGAAGCGCAAGAAAATAATGCACTTCGTGAAAATGCTTTTTTTCCCTCCTCATCGGCTCGTCTGCGGGATCATCGATTCACTTAGTCACGAAATAGGGGTCGCATTCAAGTCGCATTCTTGTACTGTAGCCACCCTCGCCCCCCACTACCGACAAACCCAACGACATTCGCTGGCTGCGCCTCCGTTGATCGGCTTTGGAGATGATGATTTGCTGGTTGCAAGATCAGCATACGCAACCCCCAAAGATTGTTTGCTCGAGGGGGAATAGGCAGAGAGGTAGATACAGTAGGAGAGAGCGATAGATAAGAAGGCATCAAAGAAGTCGAGGAACAATATCAAGACTCGAGCTTGATATTGTCTGCTCAAGTTCTTTGATCGAGTGTTGAACCGCTGCCCCTTTCTCGGGACAAGCCTTTATCAGTCTGCATCGCTCTAACCGTTCCTTGCCTTAGTGTGCTCGCTAGCCGATAGATTTGGCAGATTGTCACTCTGCGTGCAACTCTTGCCCCATCAGTCAGTTATAATACGCCCAGCGCAGGCAACTTTAATTTACCTACCTACGCTACCCTTCTTGCCTCGATCAAGTTTGCTGCTTCTCTTGATTCCTCCCTCCTCCTCAGCCTCAATTGACCAACTCACGGCGCAGAGAGTAACCAGCCTGCGTTGCTCGAGTCGGATTCAACATCAAAAGCTTCAGGGCCACCCAACTCCTCGTCAAGTCGCAATTTCAACCTTCACCGCAGAACCTCAGTGAGTACCAACAATTCAGTCTCCTCTCAACTCGACCTTTCATTTCCCCGTAGTCAATATCCCCGATTCGATGTTGACCTGCATGTGTACGGAACTCGGAGGATTCCTCTCTGCTTTTCTTCTACTGCTGCACGTTGTTGGGCAAGCATAATTCGAAGGGTTCGCAGCTCCGCGGCCTTAGATATTATACAGCGCGAGATTGTCTGTTGAAGGAGAGAAGGATCCCGACCTGTCAAATCGCACACTTCAACGTCATGATGCACGACCACATTACAGAATTTCCTCCTTTGTGGCAGGGAACGTTTATGACAGGGGCTTGGGTTTCATTACATTCGTTGCGTATGAAGCTAACAGTTTTTTCCAGAAGGAACCCCGCCAATAGCCCGTCGATGGCTTTATAGGATCTATTGAGTGCCTCCGAATTCAACAAAAATGGTTCGCTCATTACTTGGAACGTTTTTCGTTCCCACGAGAGCCCGCGGTGCTTCCACCACAGAAGCCCCTGCGACTCCGGTTTGGGTGAATAAGAAAGTCACTCCCCTCCTCCAAACTCTCTCTCGCCGAGCATGTCTCCACCCCATACACACAATTGTTATTGTTGCGGTCCTAGCAAGCACGACATATATTGGACTTCTCGAAGGCAGTTTATTCGAGACTGCGACGACGCTTGGAAAGGCGGATTGGACATCATTGAACGAAGGAAGCAGACAGTTAAGGGTTGGTGCGGAAACGGGGTGGAAATGGCAGACATCAGAGACAGAAGCTCCAGTGTCCAAGGATGTGGATCACCTGGCTCTTTTGACGTTTGTCTTCCCGGATTCTCTGGCTGCTTCTTCCCCACAGAACGCACCATTGTCGCATACCATTCCTCTTCCCCAAAATCTTTCCGTCACAGAATTGCCTTCGACTTCCAATCCACTTTCTGCAATCTCTCAGGACACGTCTCTAGCATATTCAGTACCTTACGACCAAGCTGCCGAATTTCTAGCGAGTGCTCAAGAGCTCCCAAATGCTATTACTTCGCCAAAGGATGAAAGTGCCCGCCATGGTCAGGAAGCAGAAGCTATCAAGGAGCAAAAAATGTGGATTATGAAGGCTGCAAAGTCTTCTACCACCAACAACAGTGTGAAAAACTGGGCCTCGAATGCCTGGACCGAGTTCGTGGACTTGATTAAGAACGCCGAGACTTTGGATATCATCATCATGGTTTTGGGTTATATTTCTATGCACCTGACCTTTGTTTCTCTCTTCGTTTCCATGCGCCGTATGGGATCGAATTTTTGGTTATTCGCCACGACTCTGTTTTCTTCGGTATTCGCATTCCTCTTTGGTCTTATTGTTACAACCAAGATGGGTGTCCCTTTGAACATGGTTCTCTTGTCTGAAGGTCTTCCTTTCTTAGTCGTCACTATCGGATTTGAGAAGGCAATTGTTTTGACAAAGGCTGTTCTCTCTGCGTCTCTAGAGACGAGACGACCCCAACCACAAGGCAGCCCGAAACTTGCAGGAGCAGATCAAAAGTTTGGCGTTTCGCCAACATCAATTCAGTATGCTGTTCAGGTCGCCATCAACGAGAAAGGATACGAAATTGTCAGAGATTACGTTATTGAGATTTGTATTCTGGTAGCTGGAGCTGCATCTGGCGTGCAAGGAGGACTGCAACAGTTTTGCTTCCTGGCCGCTTGGATTTTGGTCTTCGACTGTATCCTCCTCTTTACATTCTACACCGCAATTTTGAGCATCAAGCTCGAAATCAACCGAATCAAGCGCCACGTTGCACTCCGCCAAGCCTTGGAAGATGATGGAGTCAACCACCGTATTGCTGAAAATGTTGCTGAGAGCGATGAGTGGCCTAAAGCCGATAAATCTGGAAACAACGAGACCAACATCTTTGGTCGCAAAGTTCGAGATAGCAGCGTTCCAAAGTTCAAAGTTCTCATGGTTTCCGGGTTTGTCATTGTCAACATTCTCAACCTTTGCACGATTCCCTTCCGAGGGGGAAAAAGCAATGCTGAAGCCCCATCTGTAACCGGACTCTCTGGACAGGGATTCGCCAATGTTATGACTCAACCACCAATGGACCCATTCAAGGTGGCGTCAAACGGTCTTGATGCTATTTTCGAGATGTCGAAGTCTAATGACAAATCTACTGTCGTCACAGTTCTTACCCCTATTAAGTACGAGCTAGAATATCCTTCGGTCCATTATGGAAACATGGCCCCTCGTGACCCTGTTGACATTCAGAACGCCGACGACAGCGAGTATGGTCGTGTTGTTGACAGTCTCTTGAAGAGTCTCGAGGACCCAATTCTCTCTAAGTGGATCGTGTTCGCCCTTGCCCTCAGTGTTATTCTTAACGGGTATCTGTTCAATGCCGCCAGATGGAGCATCAAGGAGCCTATTCAGATGCCGCCTCACCACGCTGTCGATCCTGCTGAACTCCACCGTGCGGAACGTTTCAATGATGCGGCTACTGCGCAGCCTCCTAGACTTCCAGCTATTGGCAATGGTGCAGCAGATGCGATTCTCCCCTTAACACCAGCGACTACAGACGATGAAGAGGATGGATTGACCATGCGAAGACGCCAACCGGAACCCGTCACAGATTCCCAACCAGCTCTTCGACGAACACAAGCTGAAATGGAGCAGATGCTCAAGGAGAAGCGCGCTCGTGAGCTTACTGATAGGGAATTGGTGGAGCTGTCACTTCAAGGCAAAATTGCCGGATATGCTCTAGAAAAGACCCTTGGTGATACCACCCGCGCAGTCAAGATCAGGAGATCGATTATCTCACGTACCCCAGCCACTGCCGAAACTACCAGCCTCTTGGAGAGCTCGCTGCTTCCATACGAACACTATGACTTCGATCGTGTTCTCGGTGCATGCTGCGAGAATGTTGTTGGTTACTTGCCTCTTCCACTCGGTGTCGCCGGCCCCATTGTCATTGACGGCCAAAGTTTCTTTGTTCCCATGGCCACCACCGAAGGTGTTCTAGTCGCAAGCACAAGCAGAGGATCTAAAGCTATCAATGCTGGAGGCGGCGCTACTACTGTACTAATCGGCGATGGAATGACTCGCGGTCCTTGTGTCTCCTTCGAAAGTCTGGCTCGTGCAGGTGCTGCTAAAGTCTGGCTCGACTCAAAGGCTGGCCAGAAGATCATGACGGATGCTTTCAACTCCACCAGTAGATTTGCCCGACTACAATCGATCAAGACGGCTCTGGCAGGTACATACTTGTATCCTCGATTTAAGACCACTACTGGAGACGCTATGGGAATGAACATGATATCAAAGGGTGTGGAACATGCTCTTAGTGTCATGGCCACTGAAGCCGGCTTTGATGATATGGAAATTATCTCGGTTTCAGGAAACATGTGCACTGACAAGAAAGCTGCGGCTATCAACTGGATTGACGGCCGGGGTAAGAGTGTTGTTGCAGAAGCTATCATTCCTGGAGACGTCGTTCGCAAAGTTTTGAAGTCTGACGTCGATGAACTGGTTGAATTGAACATTGCCAAGAATCTTGTTGGCAGTGCTCTTGCTGGAGCTATGGGTGGATTCAATGCTCATGCTGCCAATATCGTCGCTGCGATCTTCTTGGCCACTGGACAAGATCCTGCTCAAGTCGTTGAGAGTGCCAATTGCATTACCTTGATGAAAAAGTAAGTGACCTCTTAACAGCTATCATCAGAAATAAACTGACCATGCTAGTCTCAATGGTGACCTCCAAATTAGCGTCTCCATGCCTTCGATTGAAGTCGGTACTCTCGGTGGAGGCACCATTCTTGAGCCACAAGCTGCCATGCTAGACATGCTAGGCGTTCGAGGCTCACACCCAACAAACCCCGGTGACAACGCTCGCAAACTTGCACGCATTATCGCAGCTGCTGTTCTGGCAGGAGAGTTGTCACTTTGCAGTGCTTTAAGAGCCGGCCATCTGGTTAAGAGTCACATGGCGCACAACAGAAGTGCGCCAGTGACGCGATCAAATACCCCTGCTCCAGCTGGTGTTCAAACACCCGTCACATCAGCAATCGCCTCAATGCAGGAGAGAGCTGGTCTGGCCATGTCACCCGCAGCAACACAGAGGGCTGCTGAGGTGAGAAAATAGTCCCTAGTATTGTACAGAGAAGAACAGATGCATTGGCATACACTGGAGTTTTGGGGCAGGCATTCAGCGTTTTTTGCTAGGGTTGAATAGCCCTTGATTTTTCGAAAGTGCTCCAAGGAAGAGCAAATCCATGCATGGATCGTTGCAGACAAAGCTTTCTTCGTGTTTTCAGCATTGGCCACTAGAATGGCCAATGTAAATAGAAAAAATATAGATTAATATATGATCGATTGAACCATCTTCCATTTAGAATTTTCCCTTGTATTTAGACTTGAGTTCTAGAGATAACTTCTCAACAGCTGCTTCAAGTCTATACTCTAGTACATCTCTTATGAGGACGAGACTCCACTCTGATACGATTGGCAATGTGTTTGAGATTGCCCATCTCGTCATGGAAGTAGATAGTGTCAGTGGGAGAGGGAGGACCTTCCTTCTGGAACAAACCCTTCCTCACCACAGTCCGAGTAAGAATAATTTAGAAGCAGGCATAATAACATGTGCCCCAAGAAAATTGATTGTCGGTGGCCTCCTGAAATGCAAGTCGTGGGCGCGGCACTCCATCTCAATGAATTTTGAACAACTGGTCCAGGCATTGTTTTCATAGAAAAGGGGGAGCTAAGCGAGCTGGCAAGGTTTATTTTCACGTGATCAAGGCGGTGAATTCTGCCGCTCCTCAAAGAACCTTGGAAAGCTCTAGAAGTCGAAGGTGCTGAATGCTTGAGAGACTTGAATTTCAACTCTTTCAACTTTCCTCAATTTTCTCATTTTCAAAATACGACCAGAAATACCCACGATAAACTATTCTTCCCAAACACCTTTAACATGGCGGACGAACTCAAAGCTCTTGGTAATAAGGCGATCGCGGAGAAGAACTTCGACGAGGCTATGTGAGCAAAACCCCTCTTGTTTACTTTCGTTTTCGAGGTATCTCCAGACTGGAGCACGCTCCTCGTGTAGCGCAACTCATGCGTATGCCTCTCTATTCATAGGATTTAAGCTGACTGTATATAAGCTCCAAATTCACAGAGGCGATAGAAATCGAACCTACGAACCACATCCTGTTCTCGAATCGTTCTGCTGCCTACGCATCAAAGAAAGACTACCAACATGCGCTGGAGGATGCTGACAAGGTTACAGAGATCAAGCCTGACTGGGCCAAAGGCTGGGGACGTAAGGGAGCTGCGAAGCATGGCTTGGGAGACCTCATTGGAGCTATGGATGCGTACGAGGAGGGTTTGAAGCTGGATCCAAATAATTCGCAAAACAAAGCTGGCCTTGCTTCTGTCAAGCGCGCAATCGATGCTGAAGCCAGAGAAGGTGAGAACCCGGCAACCTATGCTAGCTGGGGATATTACTGACCTTAAATAGACGGTGTCACCGGCGATCCATCTGCCGGCCTTGGAGGCATGTTCAACGACCCTCAACTGATTCAAAAGCTCGCTGCCAACCCAAAGACAAGCAAGCTCCTAGCAGACCCAAGCTTTATGGCAAAGCTCCAGCAAGTCAGAAACAACCCAAATGATACCCAGTCGATGTTCTCCGATCCAAGAATGATCCAGGTACTTGGTGTTCTCATGGGTGTGGACATGGATATGATGGGAGGCATGCCAGGTGCGGGTGGAGAGCCAGGATCTGCACCACGAGAGACCGAGGAGGATATCCCAATGCCAGATGCGCGCCCTGCTTCTGCTCAGGCACCACCACCGCCCAAGAAGGAGCCCACCCCGGAGCCGGAGCCTGAGGATGAGGAGGCCGCCGAGAAGGCCAAGGCCAAGGCCGCTGCTGAGGCAGAGAAGAAGTTGGGCACGGACAACTACAAGAAGAGGAATTTCGACGAGGCTATTGCACACTACACCAAGGCCTGGGAACTCTATAAGGATATCACCTACCTCAACAACCTTGGTGCTGCCCATTTCGAGAAGGGAGAGTACGACGAGGCGATCAAGGCATGTGAGAAGGCTGTTGAGGAAGGTCGCGAGATTTATGCGGATTTCAAGATGATTGCAAAGTCATATGCTCGTATTGGTTCTTCATACGAAAAGCAGGGAGATCTGCCCAAGGCCATCGAGAATTACAAGAAGTCTCTCACAGAGCACCGTATCCCAGAAACCGTCAACAAGCTTCGTGCTGCCGAGAAGAGTCAAGTTGAAGCGGCAAGACAGGCACTTATCGACCCCGAGAAGGCTGAGGAGGCCCGTGAGCTCGGTAACGCCAAGTTCAAGGAGTCAGATTGGCCAGGCGCGGTTGCAGCATATACTGATATGATCCAACGTGCGCCAGAGGACCCACGAGGCTTCAGCAATCGTGCCGCTGCTTTCATCAAGCTCCTCGAGTTCCCTAGCGCCATCGATGACTGCAACACAGCTATCAAGAAGGACCCTAAGTTTATCCGCGCCTACCTACGCAAAGCCCAGGCTTACTTCGGCATGAGAGAGTACTCCAAGTGTGTCGATACGTGTACCGAGGCTGCGGAGGTCGATGTCACCAAGGCTAATGCGAGAGAAATCGAGCAACAGCAGCAAAAGGCTTATGCAGCTATGTACAGCGCACGTGAGAACGAGACTGAGGAACAGACGAAGGAGAGAATCCAGAGAGATCCAGAGGTATGTCGTTGCCTTGATCCACCATTTCAATTTATTTACTAATATGTTGTGCAGATCATCGGCATCATGCAAGACCCAATCATGCAGAGCATCCTTCAACAAGCCCAAGGCGACCCAGCTGCTCTTCAAGAACACATGAAGAACCCCGGTATCCGCGTCAAGATTCAGAAGCTCGTCGCTGCAGGCGTGATCCGTGTCGGTAGATGATCAGCTCGCTGAGCCAACAACGCTTCAAGGAGATTTGCGCCAGAGGAAGATAATGCAATGTCTAGCAATTGAAGTGCCTATTGGTGAGAGTGGCAAAAAGAGCTGATGCTATCAAATCTAATGGAGATCTTAAGCCTGTTTGTATGGCTTGACGATAAATGAGACGTTCTCTAGTCATAAGCTAGGTAGGAGGTGTACTTTAGGTGCTTGTGTGCTTGACTTTCGTGCTCGGGTTTTAGCGTGTTCATCAATCAATTGCATTGCGATGGAATGAAACCTTATATTATGTATGATTTACGTGACTTGCAATAGTGAAATTGTGTACTGACTGCAGGATGATGAAGAATGGCTTCAGTTCTACCCAACCTATCATCATCTCGGAACAAACTCCATCTGTCGCCTCTCCTTCAAATAGAATGGTAGAAATTTTCCCACTGGCCAGGGAAGGACGCATGGTTCTTTCGCTGTATGATTTTCTGTCTTGTTACCATTGTGAACTCGGAAGATGATGTTCATGACATCCCATAAAAGTTCTTCCCAAGATGTGAAAGCATTGTCTAAGTATCTGTCACCACAAACTGCATTTCCTTTAGAGAGGTGTATATCCGAGCATTGTAATAGATAGACTGCTTACCAAGATTAGAATGTGGCCACTAAGAAATCTAGAAAGAGCTCTTTGAGTTGTACTCTGGTCAAGGGAATATCAATTTTAGAGTTGGCTGGCTCAATTGTTCGCGAAGCACACGCAATAACACAACATAGGTCTCCACGTTAGCACACAAGCAACTGCGCATTGCAAAGTGGGATGAACCAACAAAGAATATCGTAGCGCATCAAAACATTCACCAAGTCAAAGAAGGTAGAGCAGGTCAGAATATCAACGCGGATCTATTGATGCATTATTAGGACCTGTGTCCAATTCAAAAACTCCAGTTGCCAATCCAATTATTACCCATCAGTCAACAACTGATTATTCTTCCACCTTTTGTTAGAACAAACGAATGTGTAAGCAATACGAGCCACCATTTGTGCCGTTGAGGCCCTGTGAATCCGTCTCTTGCGTGCCTTTACAACCAGTCCCTTTCTTGCTGTCCACTGAAGAGGACGTTGAACCCAGGTTCTGCCGTAGCGGGTTGTGAACAGCCAGGAAAGAGAAGTCTCAGTTCTCGATGTCCTTTGCTGGCCCGACGACCTTCAGCTTCCTCCAAAGGCAAACACTGACCACACTGCTGAACGCAAACAGAATGCACAATGCGATGCTCAATCCCCAGATACTCTTCAACTCAAAACACGTCGTCTTGGACGCACCTGCCCAGACCCAGTAATTGACCTTGCTCATGTTCTCACCAACGGAAGCGAGGAAGGATGAGGTGCTGCCGCCATCGTTGGAGAGCGCAGCGCAGTCGAGGTATGAGAGAGGCTTGCCAACTGTGACAGCGACGACGATCACGGCGATGAGGATGGTGGAGTCCAGCGCCGTTGAGACGAGGAAGGGGAGCATGCTGTCCCAGTAGAGAACGTAGGAGATTAGGATGTAGAGAACGGTAATCACAGTCTAAGGATATTGTTAGTGGGACGTATGGAGGAGATGGAATGGGATATGTGAGACATACGACACTGAGAGTACCGATCAGAACAGACGGTGGCTTTTGGTCGAGCTTGACCATCTGATCAATGAAGTTCGAGGTCATGCCGATGATGGCGATGAGGGAGACGAATTGCATGGCACGCACGACGGTGAAGGTAGCACCAAGAGCTCCGAATTGTGGTCCTGGCATTTTGGCGGTTGGGCGTTGAAAGTCGGTTTGTGTTTGAAAGTCGCGAGTTGGAGGTGGAAAGAAAGATTGGAAATGACTAGAAGAATTGACTTCTGGCTGATGATCTTCGTCGTGGAAAGAGTGAAAGCTTGCTGGTTTTGTGACCGGTTTTGGATATTCGACTATTTGTGGATGGTGGAACTCCTTTGATGGTTGAGGTACTTTTGGAGTAAGAGGCTCGGAAGAAGGTGTGTAAATGATACCGTTGATGACGACTGGACCTATATAAGGAATGAAGGTTGACGATTTGGCCGTGTTGGTGTATGAAAAGTGATCACTGAATTGATTGAGTGAAAGTGGCTGGGCTAGCAGCGAAAGAGTGACCAAGATAGTATTGTATCAGAAGAGACAGTCTCAAGGAGATGCAAGAATGAAACGCAAAGAATAGGAAAGAGATCGTTTTGTAGTGGTGAGAGGCGCGGAGATGAGATGAATGAATGAGATGAAGAATGGAAGCAAACCAGCGGACTCAATCCTCTTAAGTATTCATCAATGAGACACGGTGAGGAAAGTCGAGACCACGAGCATATCTGAGCAACAGATGAAAGCTGTGACTCTATAAATTGCTGATACAAAAGTCATGTTATGACAGCCGCTGAGGTGGCCAATGGGAACGCATCCTGGGCAAAGGTCGCTTGGTGGGCGGGCGCTTCAATAACCGACCGACGACTGTGAGCCAAACAACAGGACCAGCTTCGCGGTTACGACCAAGACACCCGTGATCCTATTCTTACATCGAGTCTGAGATGAGAGGCTGTAGACCGGGGAGAGAGCCGGAGACTTAGGCGCGCCTGTGGGCCGCGCTACAGGCACTGGAAACATGAGGCTGGCAGCGCGGTAATGGCGACAGCATGCAGCCTATGAGACCTGGATATCGAAGTGCAGATCCTCGGAAGCATTGACGGCTTTGTGGTTGTCCTACGGCACTCATCCTTTTGTGGAGCCATGGAGGAGACGAGACGCAGGTCTCAACTTGAACCATCTCATCTCGACTCGACTCTTAATCTCTCAAACTGTTGGGACGTCTTGTCATGCTGCACAGGATGGAAGGAATACTGTATGACCGAGCCAATGATGAGCCTGAATGCGCAGCAGGCTCAGAGCGAACGCGAACGCGAAGCGAAGAGTTTCGACACTTGCTGCATGTGAAAATGACGATTTTGTTGGTGCCTTGGTTGATTGTGATTGTGATTGTGAATGTGAACGGCAATGATAACGAAAGAGGGTGATACTTATATAATACTGTAACTTAGAAGGCTATCAAACTGCTTCTTAGCGGCTGCCGTGTCCCACACGTCCCAGCCTCGCGACCCCTCGCGTAGAATTTCCCCAACTTGATGACTCGGCGACGACCAAACCAAAATTTATTCGAGCCGAATATAATCTCTCAAACCACAACGCAGAACCCCTCTTCGAATCTCCGGCTCACTATCTAATTTCTCCAGTAATTCAATGTTTCTCTCAAGCCAGTAGCCCCTCGCCCTCAATCTGCCACGCCCGAAACCCCGCGACTTGGCACACAATGGCGTCTTCTGGCAGTGCTGCTGCATCAGAAATCACAGCCTTGAAGGATGCTGTGTACAATGGCTGTTTCGCAGTCTGGGAGGAGAATGGATTGGATCCCAAAATGACGTTCCGGCAGCAGGATATCATTGACTTGGATGTGATTCCTGGGGACGATTTGAATGTGCTCCTGCAGGTGGTGCAGAAGCTCATTGATGACAAGTTCTTCCGAACTGTTATGACGGATGGCGTTGCTTGGATGTTAAGGACTGCGGAGGATGCTAAACGGTACGTTTGAACCGCTGTAATTTGTATTTATGGATTTCTTCCTTGTCTGGAAGTGAAATTGGACTTGCGACAGGATCTGGATTGGATTCAAAGTGTAAAATACATGGCTAACTCCCACCCAGCTACCGCGGCCTCACAGCAGAACAAGAAATAGTCTACGCCCTCATCGATGAAGCCGCCTCGGACGGCGCCTGGTCCAAAACCATCAAAATGAAAACCAACCTCCACGACTCCATATTCCAATCCGCAATTAAGCACCTCAAAGCCCGCAATATGATTTCTGAGATGAAGTCGGTCGAGCACCCCACCCGCAAAATGTACATCTTGTCTTCCCTTCGTCCAAGCGAGCGCGCCACAGGTGGTCCATGGTTCACAGACGGCGAGCTAGACGAGGAGTTCATCAACACGGTCATCAAAGTCCTGTTCGACTACATCATGAAGCGCACATTCTACCACTCCAAACACAACGTCAGTCCTGTGCGCCAGGCGAAGAAGGTACATAAGAAGATGACGCCTGAGGAGATCAAGGCCATGCGTGATCAAGGTCTCGGCGCGAGAGTCAAGGACGAGCCAGACTCGGAGGTAGCAGCCAAGAAGCGCAAATACGATAATATGCTTCCCATGCCTGCAGGATATCAAGGTTACCCGACACTGGATGAACTGACTCTCTTCGTGGAGAATGCCAATATCTTCTCGCAGACCCTGGCGGCGAATGACATACAGCAGCTGCTGGATATTATGTGCTACGACGATCGGATCGATCGGGTGATAAATGGTAGTGAGGGTGTTTCGTACAGGGCGCTGAGGAAGAGCTTGATGGAAGAGGAGGAGAGGTCCAGTTTATTGAGTGAGGTGCCCTGTGGGAGGTGTCCGGTGTTTGACCTCTGTGAGGAGGGAGGGCCAGTTAGTCCATCGAATTGCGAGTATTTCAATGACTGGTTGAGCATTTAAACGTCAACAGCCCGTCAGCGACTGGGGCCATTTGGAGAGATCTGTCGTACATACAGATGTATAGATGGCAGGCATTTTGCATTGGAGTCATACTGGATGGAAGGTCGAATGGATAGGAAGACAAAAATAACTTTTGAATTTACAAGCATAGCGTCGCCAGATGGCTGGATGGAAAGTGGGCGTTGCCATTTGATTGGTTTTGGAGTTTGGGAATTGAATGGAATGATACCAGGACACATAAATTGTCTGCATGTCTGTACTGTATGTCTCGAGAGAATTCAATTACCATGAACACAATGACAATATAATTGATCTATGGCAGCCACGGCATGAGGGACTCAGTGATGGGAAGAATAAAGCAAGCAGTTATGTTTCACTCTACCTACGCGACTGATTTTGAAAGTCAAAAGATGGTGATGCTATGTGTGGTGCGGGTAGAATTGCGCAAGAGTATCAAGTTAAAGACTTTTCGTTGCAATCTTAGCAGATTTGCAAACGAGTTTGCCCAAAGTGATGAGGCGGTTGAGCACTCAGTGTTGGTCATACGAAAGTACCTAACCGTAGCGAGGACACGGCAAGTAAACAACTCGGTTGACGTCAGAGGCGAGAGAGTCATGTTGATGCAATCATATTCAAAGTCAATGCACAATATATGGTGTGTGAAAATCAGTGTCATTTCGGACTCATAATTAACTTTTCGTCCCCTTCAGCACCCTGCCAAATCCATGCAAGAGAAGCAGCACTATCGTATCACCAGGCCATATCTCAAGTATGATTCGCAGCTCACACCACGACTACGGAAGGCAAATTTACAAGACACCAGACTTGACGATGGTTGGCTTCTTGTTGTAGTTAACCTTTCCGCTGCCGGATCCGGTAGCCTCGAGAGCCCTGACGACAGCCAAGGATTGCTCATCAGCGACCTCACCGAAGACAACGTGCTTGCCATCGAGCCAGCTGGTGACGACGGTGGTAATGAAGAACTGGGAGCCGTTGCTGTAGAAACCCAATGTTAGTTATTGTTATGTCTTGGATCGAAAGGGGCGTGCGTTGCTTACGTGTTTGGTCCAGCGTTGGCCATGGAGAGAAGTCCTGGCTTGGTGTGCTTTCTGGAGAAGTTCTCATCGGCGAACTTCTCACCGTAGATGGACTTGCCACCAGTGCCCTGTATAGATGTGAGACGATGGTATGTGTTGTTGTGGAGGAGAGGTACGAACGTTGCCACGGGTGAAGTCACCTCCCTGAAGCATGAACTGAGGGATAATGCGGTGGAAGGCAGAGCCAGCGTATCCGAAACCCTTCTCGCCGGTACAGAGCGCACGGAAGTTCTCAGCAGTTTTTGGGACAACGTCATCGTAGAGGATGAAGTTGATGGTGCCGGATTGCTCTGTTGAGAGGGAATTGTCAGCCCATGTTTTCCATGGCGGGAACGAGGTGGGGTGGGGTAATGCATCAACGGCATCATCAACAACAACATTAACAGTAACAACAACAATGTAATATAGATGAAGGTGAAGGTAAATAGATGCCAGTGCGTGCCAAGGAGGAGTACTTGGTGACCGAGTATGAGGTTGTTGATGATGATGTCGATATTCAATGGTGAGGAATGAGGCAGGAGTAGAGACTTACCAGCAACCGCTTTGGTCTGCTTTCCGGATGCATCTAGAACTGGGCCTTCCCAGGTAACGTCGAAGAAACTATGCTAGTCAGTATTGATGAGACACGTACTCGATACAGCTTGGGGACTCACGTCTTGATGGCCATGTTTGCTGATGTTGCGTGGAAGTATCTGGTTGTGGATGGTTTGTTGGTGAAGGATTTTGCGAATGGGGAGGAAACAGAATGGAGGGGTTGTCGAAGAAGGCGGGGCATCATTTTGACCTGAAGGGAAGAAAGACGCTAGCGCCCGATTGGTTAGCTTGGAATCCACTCCATTTCAACCCATTTTCAACCCATTGTGCACAGCTGATTGGCGGGGGGCGGTGAAAGCAGGGCAGCGCATGGCAGCGCAGCTGCAAGTCAAGGAGGTGGAGGTGGTAGTCCTCGGGGCGGTGTTGGGTTGGGTTGGGTCGAGTGCCAGGCAAGGCCAGACAGGCCAGGGATGATGACAGGATCGGAGGAGAGGAGAGGGGAGAGGGAGGGGCTTCCGGCGGTTGCTGACGGAATGGAACAGAAGAGCCAGGCCATGGTTGAGCTTCAGCTTCGGCTTGCAAGTTTCAGGAGCTCGACTCGCTCAACTCGCTCGACTCTCTTCTCCTGTCCTGCCTTGAGCTCATCCACCCTGGGACCTGCTCAGTCGGTTCTCTCTTTGGGACATAGCCCCGTGTGCAGAGTGCACCGCTTGAGCTTTCCCAGGGGGAGGCAAAAGCGCGAAGCTGCTGTCTGCTTCCAGGATCGGGTCTTCTGGAGTCAGAAGCTACTTCTGCAGGCAATAAGGGAGCTCCCGTTTCCGCCATGCCAGTCAAAATCTGGAGAGGGGAAGAGCAAGAAAGGCAAGAAGAGAGCTCGAGAAAGCAGCTTTCCCACCCTCCTCTGCGAGCTCACATCCACCGCAATGGCTGTGATTCAGGCCGCATACTGCGTCCATCACCGGTCTCCCCATGCATCTAAAAAAGTGTACGTACCTAGATATGGACAAGTACAAGAGCCGGGGAAGCTAGCTACGTGGACGAGCTTGTAAGAGAGAGAAGGAAGCTTGTAAAGTACAGTGTAAGCACAATTGAGGAATTAGAAGTGGAAATCTAGAGTTCAGGTGATGCAGCTGGTGTTGGTACAAGATCAATAATCGATGGTTGTTGAGAGGATGAGTTGGAAAGTGTTGATGCTCTGACTTTTTACTTGAGTCTATCAGGGGCCAGACAGGGGTTAGCTTGGAAACTCGCCTCGATATTATGGTCGATATTTACAGCATCTGCGATGCATCCACCTATTTCTGAGTGACTGTTCAATCACACCATTGAGTCTCTAGATTCAATCCATATTTCTTGCATCTTTGTTCCTGCTCCCACTATTGTCCATCCAATGGAAGCTTGGCCTGCTGGTCACGTGTCCATCAAACCGGCTGGGTTTCCACAGCCTTGGCGCTCGTCGGCTCCCCTGTCCTCTTGCTCAGTGACAACTCTTGAAGGGGACACGATAATTATATCCTTGCGCAACCTCACAACATCTCCCAGCCGTCAAATCTAGCATCTCAGCCATGGATCTCAACAGTCTGAAGGAGGCTGCGGCCAATTTGACCTTGTACGACCTCAAAGCCGGTGTGCGAAAGGTCCAGAATGGTAGGGTCCTCGATTCCCGCCAGCTGTCCGGATGCTCACATGGGAATTTCCAGCCGTCATGAACTATACCGAGATGGAGGCCAAAGTTAGAGAGGCAACAAATAACGAACCTTGGGTATGTGATCCAGTCTATTCCCTGGCTTGCCCGCTTTGTTAGACCCACGTTGTTCGTACGTTACCTGATGCATGGAAATGCTAACCTTCTGGCAGGGCGCAAGTTCAAGCTTAATGCAAGAGATTGCCAATGGCACATATAATTAGTAGGTTAGCATCTCAAGTGTCTTGAATTCTGCTAATCAATACACTAGTCAACTCCTCAATGAAATTATGCCCATGATCTACAAACGATTTACAGAAAAGGCCGCCGAGGAATGGAGACAAATCTACAAAGCCCTCCAGCTTCTGGAGTTTCTGATCAAGAATGGCTCAGAACGTGTGATTGATGATGCCCGCTCTCATCTTACGCTGCTCAAGATGTTGAGACAGTTCCACTTCATTGACCAAAATGGCAAAGACCAAGGACTTAACGTTCGGAACAGGGCGAAAGAGCTTGCAGAACTTCTCAGCGATGTTGAACGAATTCGAGCAGAACGAAAAAAGGCCCGGGCAACGCGAAACAAATACACAGGTGTTGAGGGTGGAGGTGGGTTGGGCGGATCCGGCTTATCCAGCAGCAGCCGTTATGGAGGATTTGGCAGTGAAGAGGCGAGCGGAGGCGGTGGAGGGCGCGAGTATGGTGGCTACAGTGGCGGTGTGTATGGAGACGGAGGTGGATTTGGAGGTCAGACCAGTGACTTTCAAGATTCTGGCAGTCGTGGAGCTTCTGGGATTGGTGGCCGAGACCGATTCGAGGAATACGATGAATATGACGAAGGCGCACAGTCTACGCCTGGGCGGAGGCAGGCGGAAGCTTCATCTTCATCTGCGAGTCGACGAAAGACAACAGAAAGACCTGCTGCCAAGAAACCAGAACCGCCAAAGAAGAAGGAGCCGGAGGTGGACCTGTTCTCCTTCGATGACCCAATACCAGTATCTGCCCTAGTGGCTGCGCCTACAACTTCCAATACAGTCGACGATGACGATGATTTCGATGACTTCCAATCTGCGACCCCATCGGCTCAGGCACCCGCTCCATCTTTCCCTATCCCAGCACCAACTGCTACCACAACTTCCAATACCCAATATGCCGCTCCTCAACCTGTCTCAGCTCCTAAGGCCGCAAACCTAAGTGACTTGGTTGGGTTCTCATCCATATCTCCAGCATCCAGCACCAATCCTACACCAGTCAACTATTCAGCCTTCTCACCACCAGCAGTCGCCCAACAACCCAGGCCAACAGCCTACCAAGGTTCCCAGCCAAATTATTTCACATCCGTGCAAGCACCCTCGGGACAGGCTGCCAAGCCAGCTTCGGGAGCCTCATCTGTCAAATCTCCAGGGGCGGCAAAGCCGGCTGGTGGAGATGCCTTTGGATCGCTCTGGTCAACAGCGAGCGCTGGTATCAAGAAGACAAGCACGCCTACTTCTGGTCCTGCTCTTGGACAGCTAGCAAAGGAGAAGGCTAGTGCAGGGATCTGGGGTGCTCCAGCAGCGAGCTCTACACCAATGCAGACGCAAGCTCCAAAGCCAGCACAGAACCAGCAACCATTAGGCAATGGCTTGGATGATCTACTGGGATGATGATTGATGGTGTGTTGAGTTGGGCTGTCGGTACTTTAGTGGCACATATGGATTTGGGCGTTATTATATAATGGCGCATAAAATACATTCAGTTTGGTCGAGCAACGTGTTTTCCCCCAAGAGTGTATATTCGATTCAGATTCTGAACATACGATTCGTTTTCTTTATATTTGATAGACATGCCTGTCATTGGCAAGTGTTACTTGGCTAGAATCAATGCTTTCAAAACTATGTATCCTATAGGATGCTTTTCGGAATACCTTCATTAAGTGGGCTAGGTTCAGAGAGATGGCTGATCCAGACTCGTGCGAGCGTTTAGCTTCAAGTATCCCAAATCGATACATATGACAGCCATTTTGAAATCAACATATCGTGTGGTTTTGTTTTTCTAGCAGCACTACTTATATCAAGTATCTGACTATTCGAGCCTTGTCATGGTCCTTTTGTTTCCTCCTCTTCCTTAGCAAGTATACCCAACTTTCTTTGACTTGAATTCCGTTTGTCTGCTTCCAATTGCTCCCTCTGGCCTACAGCGCTACTCGCTAGCTTACCTCTCATATTCCCCGGCAGCAGCAGGCAATTCCAGTCTCAATCTCAGTTCCAATAAGCTCTCCTCTGTAGCATGGCTCGGAAACAACTTCTCCAAATTTTCCTCGATAAACTCCTTCCCGAACATCATCTCGTAAGGACCCGAATCGATGAGAAACAATTCAGTCAGGCGAGACGTTGCTTCCTCGTTGCGATACCTCGTAAGCGTTATCTTGTGCATGACTGAATGCAGATGATCGCCTGAGTTTGGCTGGGTGGGGTTGAGTAGGCCGGAGGAAAAGGCGACAGATTTTTTGATGCAGTGTCCATTGCAGCCTGCATTGGTTTTTGGCTCGGCAGGCACGGTTAGGTTATCTTTGTTGGGAGTGCTTCTACCGAAGGTTCAACTGGTGCAGGAGAGATGACGTGAACGAGGCCAAAGTATAGTGACTTTCATTAACGTCCGATTGACTCATGGATCTGCTGAGAGTATTCGGCACAGGAAACATTGGGGGCCTTGTTTACCTTTTGCAGACGCTAAGCGAGCTTTCACTGACACGATCTCAAACAGAATTCACGAGTCCTACACATCTAAGCTGTCTTCCCCACCAACTCTTGAGTTGCAAGTTACTCTAGGATCAGACTTTCGTGTGACAGAAGAGACACACCTATGATACTACTCTAGTACTATTTACCGTCCGGCGTATGATTGTTTGTATTGGAATAGAGGCGCTCAGGCTGACCCTTTCGTCTTAGGATCGGATAATTTTATCACATACACGACACTGGTCAAGCTGATGGACAGCTCTTAGATCGACCTCACTCTGTGACTTGTGCCTTGTACCCCGTTGATATTCAAACTACATAACTGTAAAAACAACGTCACAGTGGGTACTTATCGTTCTTCTATAAGCGAGCTGTCTTCTGAAGACAGCAGCGGAATACGACTGAATGACTCTTCATTAGCAATATTTAGGAAGCGTGGAGATCAGCAGTCTCTTTGGAGAGAGGGATGAAGCAGGCAATTGAAACTTATACACCTACTACGCTCTCACGCGACCTGGGATAATAGTCAAGTAACAAAGGTAAGGAAAGGATAAGTCGATCTTTTACAGTATTTCAATCAATAATCGAGAACTAGATGGAATTTTGAGATAACATAAGACTCCTTCACTCAATGGAGCATTGGCTCATGGTTGGGCACTACGTAGGAAAGAAGTGGAGCGAAGTAACGGGAAACATGGAAAGTAGATGTTAGCCGCAACAGCCAAGATGAGATATACAAAACCCTCTTCGCCAAGTAGCATACCCCTTAGTTGGTGATTCTAGTAAGTTTGTTGTCCAGTTGCTAAGCCGTCCGGCTCTAAGTTCTCTTTGTCTAAGCCCTCTTCATTTGGATGTTCTCGGTGCCATATTCTAAACCTTGGAAAATGTATAAAATATGAGTAATAGTAGGACTTCTCATGGGTATTTCATAATACACAGCTCAACAACGTTCAAATCCATCGGCGATACCCACACAGTTCTATCCAAGAACCAAATTTAAGCAGCCAACGCAAGAATAAATGAACAAAACAGCAATGATTAATCATTCACCTCCCGAAGTGCTTCTTCTCAAAGTATCTTAGAGGGATATAAGTTATAGCCGCAAAAGCAAAGGCCAACTCAAACCCAACATCTCCTCCGAAAGCAGTTCCACAAAGTTTTCCAATCGGACCGACAAACCACACTTGCGCCATTCCGAGGACAGCTCCCATGACACCGAACAAGAATGCAGTCACAGCTGCGATTCCAGGTGGGAGGAGCTTTGGATCCATGTAGATAGATGGGTCATAGCCAGTGAATCCACGCTTGAATATCACGTGCTCAGGGATAGAGATACCCTCGTAGATTGCAAGCCAGTAAGCAATCAACAACATGAAGTTCTCAAGCACGTTCTCGAATTGGCCATATCCGGGGATGGCAATTGCGCAGTAGACGAGGGTTCCGATGAAGGTCCAGATGAACCGAGGAACACGTTGAGACTTCTTTGCCAAAAGCTGGAGCGAGAGACCGACGGAATAAATGTTAGGACAGTTGTTGGCGATAATTGAGAGGGCAAGGACAACCAGGCAGAATTTGCCGAAATGACCAAGCGGAGGAACAATAACAGCGGCAAGGAGACCTCCGATATGAGACGAGTGATATCCCTCCATGTAGATATTATGTCCATCATTGGCAGCCATAGCTGTCGCCACTGTCGCACCGAGCATCTCAGTGAAGAGAAGTGGGAAAGCAAGACCGGCGTAGGTCCAACAGAAAATGGACTTGCGTGGTCGATCGACTGGTTGGTAGACGGTGTAGTCTGCAGCATATGACGTCCACCCGGTAGCAAATCCGAAGACACTTGCAGCAAAAGAGAGTGCTGAGCCTGCCTCAGAGAGTCCGACGCCCATTGGAATGTTGTAGAAGTGACCAGAGTGAGCAAACTCCCCAAGAACAATCATGAAGATGATGAAGCATGGAATCCAAGAGTAGCGTTCGTATGTATGCACAATCTTGTATCCGAAGAGCGTGACCAAGAAGGTAGCGGCAGCGATGACAATAATTCCTGCCCATCCAGGCATGTTGGGATTGACGGCATGGAACAATTGGGCTCCAACGATGACATTTACTGCACTCCAGCCGACACAAGCGAGGACGTTCAAAACAGCAACTATCTTAACACCATAGTACTGCAGAGAATTAGTATTTTCTTTTTGTAGACTTTTGCAAACAACTTACTCCGAAAAAGTATCTCGACAAAACCATCTGTCTTAGACCGAAGCGAGGACCGAAAGTGGAGAAGAAAGCGACAGGAATTATACCAAGAAGATTGACGAAGAGGATGATCAAGATAGTGTCGACATATCCGAGATAGAATACAGGGTAAGCCAGAGCGCCAATGGCGAAGGACGAGACGACCATGTTTGCAGAGAGCCACATCGTGCCGACTTGGGAAACAGGAGCGGTTGTTCTTTCATCGCTGGGCACCCTTTCGATACCTCTTTGCTCAACACCCATCTTCCCAGCGAATCTTTGGGTCTTCGCATACCAAGAATCTCCAACAACAAATGTCTCCGCTGCAATGGCCCCGTCGTCGGGGACATAGTCGAGGCTATCGATAGTCTTCTCTCCGGCCTCGACATCAGGCTCCTTCTTCGTCGTGAAGATAGCCATCTTGAAGTACAATTACTTCTTTTCCTATGGGCGACCACGAATTGATGAGGGAGAAATGGAATGATAGCCGGCTCTATATCAGATCAGTGCCGAATATTGACTGTGGAGGCCTGCTTGATATTTCATCGTGGAGGGAGAAGTGGACTATTATATAAAAATGTCATATCTCTCAAGTGCCACTGGTGCAAGGATGGACGACCAGGATAGCTTGAAGACAGCTACCAAAGGTCCGGCCAACGGACAACGCCGGCATGATCGAAGAGGGGGGGTGGAGTGAGCCGTGAAGTTTCCCACCAGTCGGCAATCTGCTACTGAACCCTACCGCACATGGCTTTCAACATCAAATTTAGTCACTGATAAGAAAACACGAGACAACCTACAACGACGAGCTAGAGAAGTATCAGCATCGTCTAGCCGGCTCTAGACTCGGGCACTACCAAGAGCGAGAATGTTTGGAATGCGCCAAAATGAAGGAAAGACAGCGTCACGACAAGGGGTGCGTGCGGACGAAGTTGTTGGCCACTGCGCGATCAACAGAGCTGGCGGTTTCTCAGATCCCTCGTGTCTCGACAAGTTTTCATATCGGTATCTTCGGTGGGTCACGTCCATGGCCTGTGTCTCTTTCCCGTCCTTGACAGCGCGCTCAAGCTTTGCTTGGCTCTTTGCGCCGCCAGGTTATGTCGCATGTCCAATCAACCGCGTGGCGACTACAACCATCACGAAGTGCACTTGTGTGAAGGTTGTCGGCGGACAGCTAGAACACTCCAAGTGCGGCATCCGGCGCTGCATGAAGCTTGCCTTTGCACTCTCGATGTTTCCCGGCCATAGGGATCAAGTGAGATATGCATGCAGGTTCGCACACCAGTGTGTGGAAAAGAAAATAGTCGCCTGCCACTTGGTTTAACGACCTCCTTCCAGGTGCAGATCTGGGTGCTGCCTATGTGTAGCTCTGCGATATGTAAGAAGGCCGCTTGGGAGAAGCTTACAAGCATTCGTGCGAAGCCGTCCTGAAGTCAACGGCATTGAGCATCGTGACAAGTGTCGCAAAGGCGGGGTGAAGTCGGGACTGTGTCACGACTCACGACAGCTGTTACTGCTGGATTGGCTTCCGTCGATGGAGCTGAACCAGATGAAGTCGATCCAAGTGATCTTAATAGTAGTCATAAAGAAATGGGACTAGACAGCCGACGAACAACCAATCAGATTGGTGTTTTCCCAAAAAGGACTATCGCATAATCTGAGATAAGTTGTCGTAGGATCTTCCTAAATCCTTATCAACTTTTCCATGCGAGTTGGATAGCAGTTGCATACAATTTAAGATCATCGTGTTCCAGCCCTGTAGATCAAAATCAGGTATCGCCGGTCTGATGCATGGTATGTTCAGGGAGGGCGGCGGCAACCTACAGTTGGTGGTGGCGGCCGTAAACTTCCCCCTCTTGCCGGGTCAGCTCCAGGATTTATCCCGTCTCGTAGACGAATCATCATTGACATGCATATCAGGATATTTTGTTGGCTGATTGGTATCGAGTTTCAAATAGTTTGCTTTTCCTCGCCATTCAAGCCACATTCAGGCGGAGGCTGGTCTGGCACGTCGGAATCGCCCGATCGCAATATCAACAAGGTCGTCGTTGCCCACTCCAGCTGTATGAGAATGGCACCGCTTTCTCCCATCGTCTGCACAACATCATCATATGCTACTGCAAGAGCCCATGACAGCGAAGAACTTCGATGCATCCATCCGGTCCTATGGTATGTGCCTTGCATATGTATGTCGCGACAAGTTATTCCATGCTCAGAGTAAACGTCACCCAGTTTCTCAGGCATTAAACAACCTGATTGCTCATCACGAAACGCTCAGATCAAGGATAGTCTTTTGGTTGAAACAATTAACCTACTGAAGCAGTGGAAGATATTTATGGTCTAACTCTTCGTTGCTGTGCTTGTGAAACGTCGAGGCTTTTCGACGTGTCACTTGCATAAATCGGCGCTGCTGTAAACTCCTAGAAGGGGAAGATATTGACGAGAGCCTCTGAAAGTCTAAGTCTAAGTCTGCATGCACTCGTGGTGCTTTTGATTCGAACAGAGTCTATCACAATTCTATTGCTCACGCCGCTCTCAGTGTCCCTACCGAATATTCCCCAAATCTAACAATGCGATCTAGATCCTCCAACGTCAAACAATATAACTCCAAGGAAGCAATTACTCCATCTCAAAGCTTCTTGCTCATGATCCAGTCCGTCTGAATGCAATCCCCCATTTTAAAATCATGACTTCCAACCTTCACGTATCCAAGCTTCAGATAAACTTTCTGTGCCTTGAAATTCTCCTCCCAGACTCCCAACCACATAGTAACAAAGCCCTGCTCCCTCGCCATCCCCTCAACCCTATCAACGAGTTTTCTCCCAACTCCAGCACCATGACAATCCTCTGAGACGTATAACCTTTGCAGTTCTACTGTCTTTTCAACTCCTGCTAGACATGGTTCCGTTGTACCTCGAGTCAGCTGGGAGAAGCCTACAACGTGATCGTTGGAGTCCGTCGCCACGATGGTATCCATGTTGGAATTTGAGAGATCGGATTTAATAGCTGTATGACTGTATGCCGATTGAAGATATGCTTCGAGGTCGACGGGTGATAGTGAATAACCAAAGCTGTTGGAGAATACTCGTGATCCCAGAGCTGCGATTGCTTCAACATCTTTGGGCTTGGCGGCACGGATCTTGAATTCGCGTCTTACAGGCGAAGTGGATTGAGGCATAGTTACGAGTCGTCTACGAACTGTTGAGGAGTTGTTTGCGTTCCACACGGATATATGACTTTTTGAGGTTGTCGACCAGAGACTTGGCAGCTGGTGAGCTTTTTTTACTGGATGCAGCAGCACTTTATAGTACTTCGGGATCAGGATCATGACTACCCGAATAAGACTTCTCCGCAATATATTCTCAACTTTAGAAGATGAAAGAAATGTTCAGATCTAGACCTGTCAAGTCTGTTCGACGATGTCGAAACCTGACACGAGAAGGGCGTAACGTGCGAGCCTCTACCCGGTTCGTGCGCCGGAACAGGAATCCACACCCGACGGCAGCTGGAAAGAAAGCCGATTCCGAACCCCGAAACGCATTGCCTGCCAGTCATAATTCTGCCATGAGAAGCATTCTAGAAGGCTTGGTTGAAATATTGCTGTCACCCCTAGAGCCATTAATTTCAGAATATTCTACAAAGATCTATTAAATTCTTCTTGAAGACCAGCTTTGCGTCTCTTTCTCTTAAGTCGAATCCCACATCTCAGACCCAGGATACACAGAATCATTTCTAGTCACTGTTGTAAGGCAAACTAATCGTTTCCTCACCAAAAAGCCGAATTAAAGATTCCAATCTCAGATATCAACTATGTATCTCAGGGCAGTCCACACGGATCTCAATCTTCCAACACTCTACCAATTCATCCGAAGCAATCCCCTTGGAATCTTCACCACCTCAATCACCTCCCCTAACTTCCACACCATCCAAAGCTCCCATATCCCTTGGGTTCTTGACATTTCTCCAGAGGATGAATCTATCTCACCCCCGAAAGCACGACTACGAGGTCACCTTGCAAGAGCAAACCCACAAACCAAAGCCCTAATCGAGCACGCCACCCAGACATCCTCCAACACCCTCCAGCAAGAAGTCATGATTCTGTTCAATGGCCCATCACACCACTACGTCACGCCCAAGTTCTACGTCGACACTAAACCTTCAACTGGCAAGGTCGTCCCTACGTGGAATTACAGCGCCGTCCAAGTCTATGGGAAAGCCACTATCTATTTCGATACCCAATCTCCCTCTACTGGCGAGTTTCTGACAAGTCAGATTGATGAACTGTCAAAGCAGAGCGAGGAGAAGATCTTTGGCTATACGGGCAAGAACGGTGCAGCTAAGGCTTGGAGTGTGAATGAGTCGCCAGACAGCTACATCGCTCTGCTGAAGAAAGCTATCATTGGGATTGAGATAGAAATCGAGAGTATTGCAGGGAAGTTCAAGATGAGCCAGGAACTGGCAAAGGGAGATCGAGAAGGCGTAATTAAGGGATTTGAGGCGTTGGGGACGGAAGAAGGTAACGAGATTGCGAGGACAGTAAAAGAGAGGGGTGAGCTGAAGGATAACGCGAAGGCATAGGAATGATTTGTTGGGAAATTTTGGCGTTGGGCGTTTCGATCTTAGACGATGAGTTGCTGTTCCAAAGAGACATAGCTCCAGATAGAGTGAAGCTGGTCCATTCCATCCTGAAAATAGACTTCGTATCTCAAATACACTTTTGGTGTCTTCACGTCATAGGATCCAAGAGTTTACTACGGGTAAAAGTCCAATCCATATGTCCAAATTGCACTTTTCGGAATCTATTTTCTCTTATTTTTCATCCTCAAGAGTTGAGTTACCACAAAGTCGGCGGAAGCGAAGGCAGCCGCAACGAATACCCTGCGTCTCGATTTACCGAAACCGACTTGTCATCTAAGCCCAGACAAGGAAATGTAGTCAATGATTATTAACAGGCGCTAGCATCGCAGGTCTCTCTCTACCGTATGGAGTACTCTCTTTCAATGGCCAACACATCACCGTTCGTTGACCAACTACCACCAGCTCCAGCCCATCCCCCAGCCCACCTCGCTAAACCGCCAATCCAAACAAAGAGGTCTTCGAGCGTTACCAGCTATCCAACGGAATCAGCATCGCCGTAACCATCTCTCCAAACGATTGTCGCGTTCCCCTCGCTCTAGGTTTGGATTTCTATGGTGTGGGTGGAGTCGATATTTCATATTTGCAGACGAACCATGCGATGACATTTGAAAAGCTGCTTTGGGGGGATTTTGGTGACTCGGGAGAGATTTGTAGAGAAAAGCATCACGCTATGGATAGACAGGATTTGCATCGTCAGTCAGGGATATTTGTTTTTCTATCCGAGGTATGTAATTGAAGTGCGCTGAACCTCAGGCAAATTAAAAATAAAAAGCAGTTGGGAGCGTGAAGATAGTGAAGGGTTTAAAGACCACTCGTAGTGATGCCGACAACGCCGAAATCGACTCGGTGATGGGAGAGTCTTCAAAGGTGGTCTACTGATTGGAGCTGATGAATTTAACTCTGAAGCCAGGGTTCAGAGTTCAGGCAAGAGGGAAGAGCCTGCGTGGGGATGCCCTTGAGAATGATGGTGTGAACCCTTTGAAGGTGGCGGATGACCTGTTGGAGAAGGACATGGATTTGCCGACGAACGCGAACGCGAAGGTTATTGGTATGGAACATAGACATAGAATGTTCTATGGTCCCAGGTGAGCATGATTCTTCATGCCCATATAGAGAGTATATATGGCTGACAATCGTATGGTTATGAGATCTTTGCGAAGTGTCAAGAGGCTCTTGCTGAAGTAAATATTGGGTGGAAGGGAGTGAGAGATCATGGCAATTGCTGTCATGCCAGATCCATGCTCGGCTTAATGCCGTGAGAATATGGCACTGCCACGCACCCCGTAAAGTAACACAGATTTGGAACTGCTCGCATGTAAAATTATGAACTTGCTACCCTTATGTATACAAGCAAACGCCATCTACATCGTAATGTATCCCAGATCCCCGTCCCTTTTCCATGTTACAGTCCTATCCAGAAACGGAAAACACAATAAAGAATCGCTCAAGAGTAAAACTGACTCTTTTGGAAGCTGTCCACGCTCATATCACCTGCTTTGCCGGTGACAACAGGAGCCTTGGTCTGGCTCGTCATACTGCTCGTTCTGCTTCCGCTCTGGCTTGCAGACTTGATCTCAGCGACCGCTCCACCTGGCCGTCTAGCTACCTCGAGGTAAACACCAGGAAGATATCCCATACGCCCGTCACGAGCACGACATCTCCACCATTCGCTTGGGTTTCCCATAGGGTCGCTCTTGCTCAATACTGCGACCAAGTCGCCTTTCTTGACTTCTAGGTCAATGCCCTGCACTGCTGCTCCCGCTTCAGGTGTGAAGTCGTAGAGTACGCGGCAGAAGTCGAGCTTCGAAGGGTCGATTTGCGCCTGAATTGGTTGGCCATCTGGCCCAATTTGCATCTGTCCCGATGCTGCCAGTCTGCGCTGTTCTTCCTCCTGGGATGCCGCAAGTGCCTTGATGAGCTTACCCATCAAGTATGGAAGACCGAAAGCCGCGGCTAGGAAGAAGAGGAACGGTTTCTTGCTTGGTCGTGGTGCTTGGGCTGGGGTGCCATCTGGGTGGAACTTGCGGCCCTCGAACGAAGCAAAGGCGCTTGGTGTCAAAGCCGTTGCATCAGCTGGTGGTGGCCGTCCTGTTATCTTCGCGAATAAAGTCCGCAGCCATCTCATCAGTGTAAATATTCCCAGTATTGATCCGAGTGTATTTCTGAGGTTTCCAAATTGTTCCGCAACAGATACCATTGCTACGAACTGTTAGCTTTCTGCACAGTGCATTTCGTTAAGGAAACTTACCAAAGAAACTAGAATGGGTAGCCATATATGTGCTTTCCAGCATTTGAGCAAATCCTCCAAAAGCTCCCACTATACTCTCGATTATCTGAAATGTTGCCTGGGTACTTTGTGTAAAGCCATTCGTCAAGCTATTGGGATCATTTGGATCTCCCTGCATCCCTCCCATACCTCCATACATCCCTCCTCCATATCCTCCGTATCCCATGCCTCCCATTGCGCCCATCCCGCCATACATGCCCCCGCCGTATCCCATCCCACCCATAGCGCCCATCCTTGAATAAGGAGACGTGTATGCTGAGCCTATCCCTCCATATGGAGACGCCATCCCGCCGAGTCTGTTTGCGCCGTACGGAGAGTACGCAGATGCGTTTCTGTTGACAGCGGATGTGAGAGACGACGGCCGTTCAGGAATGGCTGGGGCAACAGCTGTGGCGGTCGACGTCGTTGTAGAGGCTGGATTTGTGATTGCGTTGCCAGTCGAGATTGCTGTAGAGGATGGTAAAGCTGAAGAGTTGCGCGGTCAGTCAGCGTCTTTCATTTCAAAGCAATCGCGAGAAATATCCGAGGTTCACCAACCTGAGTTTGCGCCCGTGGCTCCAGCCCGTTCCCACGGTTTTGGAGGTGACACTGTCGCCATTATATCAACTTCACGATCACTCTCTGCCTTGGAGGCTCGAGTCGACCGTTGGTGGGCTTATCGTCTCGATTTGATGGGGGATAATCAATCGTGAAGTTGTGGTCGCAAGCTTGTGACGTTCGGAGGCCACAGCCAAGCCCTGCTAGATATGTTTTGCGGGGTTTCGGTGAACGCCGATGGTCAGAAGCAAATTCGAGGACGAGAGTGAATGAAGTATGGTTGGACTATTACTGCACGGAGAAATCTATACTTGTCACTTCTCTCTATATCATTTATTCAAAGCGAGGAGATCCAGAGAGGCATCTACTCCAGTTCTAAAAATCAAGTGCAGCTCCTAGGCTCGTGGGTTCATTTGGAGGCTGGGAGCCTCGGCACAACACACTACCAAGCGGAGAAACCCAATTCGTTCAAATCTGGGGAAGATGGAAATGAAGCCCCTTTACTACTTCACAAGCACAGAAATCCCCCCAAGCCTCTAGAATTGTTTGGTCCGTTACTGACTTGGTAGATCAGCTGTGTCTTCTCTATATTCTTCTCTGTTCTGCTACATTACTCAAAAAGTACTTCTTAAGCAGGTATTTACACGCTCACCTGCTTGGCAGAATTGCACCTGCTTTATCTGACAGGGGAGCGCAGGATCCAGTACACTATTTTATCTATAGTTGTGGCGCAGGCAATGACTCAGTTACTGTCTAAGGGCTGTTATCTAATCTTTTTCAAGGTAAATATTTCCTATCAATTTTGATCTATTGCTTTAGGACAGTGTACCCAGGGTAAACTTTCATTCTATGCACGTGGGCTTTCCCCGAGATACACTAGCTATCATCGCTCACGGTTGAGCTATGCCTGGGAAAGTTGATAACATTTTACTGTCTTGTACTAGCTCACATTATTGCTGCGAAATACTCGAAAATTAGTGCCAGCAGAGCAGCAAAGCCAAAAAACAGAGCCATATATAGACAAGACCACGATACTGAACTCTGAAAAAGGAGAACGAGATAGAGCAATTTCTTGTTTCACATTGTACAGACTAAGATAGTAATACAGTCGCCCCAATGTCCATTACTTCAAGCTTGCAAATGCCGGCGCTTTAGTAGCCATGAATTCCTTCCAAGTCGTGAGCTTATCGACCAAGATCTACTCGATATGTCAGTTTCTTCTATGGCGCTCATACACAGAATGACTTACCGAATGGCTCTCGTCCAAGCTGCTTCCTCCATAGTATCCAAATTCAGATAAAAGTCTCATATTTTGAAGCAACTCCTCTTGTGTCTCAACCGGCATGCCCTTGGATCCTAGAGCATCTTTGTAATCTTGATGAGAAAGCTCGACAGCCTTGGCAGTCTTCCCAGCTTCCGGGAATTGCTCTTTGAATTCTTTGACAATCTCGTCGATGGTGTAATAGTCTGTAGCGCCATAGATACGCTTACCAAGGACTTTCTCGCGGTTCAGTAGGATGCCCTTAACGAACTTGCCCACGTCGTCGGCGGTGCTCAGAAGTGGGATGGGTGCAGACGTTGGAATTGGGAGGGCAAGAGTCCAATCATTGTTGATTTGGCGCAAAGTTGTGCCCGGAAGATTGGACATGTAGAATCCTGGCATGAAGAAGGTTGCTGGCATGCCGGTGCTTCGAATGTACTCCTCAATATGTGCCTTGGAGTCAAAGTGCAGTACCTTGGTCAAAACGCCTTTGGTCACTGGATAATGGTCAATGATAATTCCTCCAAATCAGTAGTATGGCCTTACATTCAGAAACATTCATCAAGCTGCTCCATACGAAGTGCTGAACTCCGGCTTCTTTTGCGGCATCCGCCATAGCTTTTCCCTGCTTCATTTCGACATCCGCACTGTGACTTTCCCAATAATTGGTAACTGCGAAGACGGCATATGCCCCTTTCAATGCATTCTGCAGAGTTGAGGCATTGTTGAGATCGGCCTGGTGTAAAGATTCAGCAATATAGAACTATAAACATATCTTGAAGACATACTGCAACGGTTTCAGCCCCCAAAGACTCTAAGGCTTTGGATGATGGCTTGGAAACATCTCGAGTAACACCCCGAACAGTCCAGTTTTCTCTCATCTTCGAATCTCCAAGAATCGCCTTGACGACTGAACCACCCTGAATCCCAGTGGCACCAAATACCACAAGAACCTTCTTTGCTGCCATTATGGACTGTATATGAAATATGTTACTTAACTGAGGAATGAGACAGGAAACAGGGTTGATTCTGTTGTGTGTGGCTTGCTTTGAGTATGGGACACTGTGATGCAAAAATGAAACTGATGATAGTAGAATGCTGAGTGCGAATTGCAGGATATGGCCGGCGTAGTATATATACTTACCAATTGAAATATCTGTAAGTGTAGTTTGTTTGTTAGATCTTACCAATTCCAACCTACATTCCGTCGCTGGCTTGGAAAGCATTGAATCCCCTCATTTGCTAGCCAGTCTGCCCAGCTAGCCAAGGTACGAAGGATGACAAAGTACCAGCCAGCCTCCCGCTTATGGGCTACAGCAAACTACGCATTGGGAATAGTTGCAAGGTCTGTAGAAACGTCCTCCTTTGGAGAATAGTTCATCCAATCATTTTACACGAATGACGAGCGGGCGTCCACATCGTCGCGATGCCGAGAGCGAAAGAGCGAAGAGCAAGACGGTTGAATAAGCAAGGCTGCAGATTCTAGGTGTCTCCGATATCTGTGGGGTATTTATAAGGAGAGCTGTGTCATTGGTGGCTGTGGCCTTGAGAAGCCTGTTGAAGCCAAAGACCGGCTTACCAATTTCAAGGGCAAGCGCAGGTTGTGTAGTTGTGCCTCGGCGCGCCTTGTCACCACCCACTTCACTGGTCATTATTCTGGCCCAACATCAGACTCTAATTCAACAGCCGTCGTTCAGAGGTCAACTCGGCCTTCGGTATCGCTGTTTTCTTGGTCATTTCTGTCTTTTGGATTCTCAGTTGTTGACTTGGTCGTCAAGTGTTCGGGCATGCTTTGATGAGGTCTCCCAAGTATTGGTTTGGTTGGATGAGCCGAACCAACAGGGCCAACAGTCACAAGTTTGGACAATGTGCATATTGCTGTTTTCAATCAATTAATTCTTGCCTATTTTTGCTTCTGTTACCGAAGATTTGATTCCGTGAACCAGAGTCTGCGTCTATTTTCGGAGCTCTGCGCTGATTGACGCCCCCGCTCGCCTATCTCTCCTCTACGCGCCCGGCAAGATCACTGGATGAAATGTCTGTCTGCAGTCGTACAGTTTCGCCAAGGGAGGTAACATCCGTACGGGATATTACTGTCAATCTAAAGTATAAACCATGTCCAAAATGTTTTCGGCGGCTATGCTGCCAATCGTTGTGGCCACGAAGGAACAGCAGTCTGTTAGGCCCCCAAAGAGTGCCTAGCTAGGCGATTGAGGGGTCTTGAAACTTTGTGGATGGGCTGTTCATCAACATCGTTGCACTGGAAGGATCTCCGGCATAATGCAACGAGCTGGTTTGCAGTCGGCCCTTGGCTGTTGGTTTTCACGATGGTCTGTCCACTCAGATGCCCGCAATTTCACCACCTACTCTGTCGAGGATCTTATAGTACGTGCATATGAAACAGTCCTGCATGTTGAAGATAGGCGCCACTCTGCCTTATTGTAGGCTCACTCGTGTTGTGTTTTATTCATAAGGCTCGAGCCCACAGCAGGAGGAATGTCTGGTCTGTGTTTTCCTCGTCATTCTTGTGTTCTATATCATTATGTCATATCGCAACACATTAAAGCCTGGCCAGAAGCCTGACTTCGTGACTGTACGTGCCATGCGAAGTGAGAGTGAACCATCTCTACCCTCTCGAGAAACTGTGAGCTTTGGGCCATCCAATAAGGAGCCTGCTTTGATTACATCGAAATGGACTATTGGCTGGCAGACACCGACTTTGATGATAGCATCATATGCCCTTGGTACGCAGCTCTTCCACCTTGAACGCACAATTTGGAATTGATGTGTTTAGCTCTTGCAATCGCAATCGCACATCTGCTTTTCTTCCGGTATCTGGACGGAAGAGAGGCAGATAGACCGAATCGTGTAGCTCCACAAGCATACATCACAACAGCCTCAAACATTCTTGCCAATGCTTTCGGATTTGCTTTAAGGGCTTCTTTAGCTGTGGCATTCTGTCAGTATTTATGGCGACTGTTTCGAGCTCAGGCCATGAAAGTATCCACTATCGAGCTCCTGTACTCGATTCGAACGAATCCGTTCCAGCTATTCCAGATAGCAGTTCTACGGGCAGCACCAACGCTATGTGCGCTTGCAGCTATCATGTGGTTGTCACAGATTGCCAGCAGTTTCCCTCCCGGCGCCATCACTATCACGACGGCGCAGAGGGTTGAGTTCAGTTCGGTCTCCGTACCAACTTTCAATGCATCTTATGTAAGTCCATCCTATCTGTTTATTGTCTATAATCCCAGAGTTAACTAAAATTTTGATTGCGTAGATGGGAAATGGATCTGGGGCAGAAGCAAATGCCAATTCCCTCAATAGGTTGGTCATAAGCGAAACTGCAAATGATTTCGTTTCTGGGTAAGTCACTTTGTGTCACTTTGTCTGGGAAGAGGTAAATAGGAGGCTACTTACAGCTCACTTTAGCGAGTTTAATTCAAGAAAATCCTCCAATCAACTCAGTCGTTTGGCTCGACAGGTACTCGTTGCTGGAGAAGCATTCCCGGTGTCGTCACCATGTGGAATGAATTGCTCCTACACCACACAATTCGAGGCACCATACTTCGAGTGTAACAAAACAACCAAGCCAAGTTCCCATCGGGCCCAAGACACTCTCAATGTCTATTCCGGACTGTGGTTCGCACCTACTGCCCCTAAACCAGCAATTGGAGGTCCACGATACAATGGAACATACACATTGGCGAATTTCAACAGTACCACACTCACACCTGTTTTGATTAGTAATAATACAGGAAATGCCACCGAGGCAATTGTGACTGTGGATGAAGAGAACACAATCTGTGCACCCGGGCGAGCAAAATATACAGTCCACAATATCTACGAGAACAACATCCGTACTCAAAACTTCACAAGAGAGCCAATTGACCGACTTGTCAATTTGGCACTAGCTACAAGGGATGGGGCTATTCTTGTCCCTAATTTTACTTTGAATAGAACACGGGTATATGGAACGACACCAGCGAACTGGACTAAAGCCACGCTGGATATCTACAGGGACAATAACATGATGGCAATTCTATCCGCTATGATGTCCTGGCTCCATGGAGACTTCCAAGCCTCGCTGGCACAACTTGACAATGACGATACCCGTAATGTCACATTCAAGAATGCATGGCACGAAGCGGTATTCTTCGAGCGTGAGGAAGGTGTCCTGTGGAGTGATGGAGGTATGTAATATCCTTTGAAAGCTTTTCTGAAGCCTAACTGACTCAACTCCTTTCAAGCCCAGAATAAAACAGTCATTGACAACACCCGATTCAACTCGGTTTCGCTAAATTTCAAGCGAACAATGAGCCTCTATTCAACATCACTGCAGACATGCTGAACGACTATGTCTTTAATGCAACCACATCAGTCATGGCAATGTATAGGAGATGGAACACAACAGCTAACGCAACCACATCGACCACTCTCAACGTTTATAGCTTTTCAGAACCCCTCAACCTTATCATCCCATATTTTCTCACTTTGCTTGTCTCGCTCCCTTTCGTTGTCATGGGCTGCCTAGCACTCATGAAGAACGGTGTCTCTGCCACTGACGGCGGATTCATGCAGCTTATCACAACAAACACAGGAAGTGCTATTGTTGACAAAGCAGCGGCTGGAGGATGTCTTGGAGGTGATGAGAGCGCGCCACAAGAACTCAAAGACCTTGAGATAAGATTTGGGGAATTTATTGGGAGGGACGAACCTGGTCGGATCAAACGAGCAGGTTTCGGTGTTGACAGTGAACTCACGTCGTTGACCAAGGGAGCTGACTATGGTATTGCAAGATGGATATAGGTGTCTTTTACACTTTTACGTTCAATTTGTCATCTGCTCATCGTAAATGCAGAAACATTTAACGAGCTAACCCAAATCGGTTCTGGGAACTTTGCACTAAGTACTTCAAAAGCAGGCTTCTCTTGCCCTCTCCACAGCCTTTGTCTACGCACTAATGACAATGAATTACTAACGAGGGCCGTGACGGCTCACTGACCCGCTCTACTCAGAGCTTCGTCTTGAACCATGAGAACATACTATGGGGGACTACCATGCGGAAACACTAAACTATCTACTGGAGGTAAGACTCCCGTGGTCAGCGACATTTTTACTTTCCGTCGAGCTAATCCTCTCCTACTTTTAATCCTCATATCTTGCTCTCCACACATTTACACCTTGCCACGATGATCAGTGCTTCAGACATCTCCTCCTCGAAAGACACCCGATTCAGCACACAGACACGAATGAACGAAACCACACCACATGCCATTCAGTTACCGCGGCGAAATTCAGGCAAAGCTCTGCGAATCGACTCATTTGACGGAGCCTCAGAGCCGTATCTAGAACAGCTTCGGAGCGCCACTACACGCAATAGCCAAGCATGCAATAAATCGAGAAGCTAACTCGGCCACCATCCAGCACAAGAGTCACAAGCATATTTTCTAAACCTGGTCGCCTAAATCGAGGCGTGAAGAAATCACAGTCAATTGCTTTCGAGAGCATTCAGCATTCAAAGAACTCCAAACCCGACATCTAGCTTCCCCACAAGTCCTGTTATCAAGAACTATTGCGAAAATATTCCCCGTAACACGCTGTACAGCATCAAAAACCAGTCATTACTACCTGTACACGAGTGCTTGAGCCTTGAGACCTGGGTCTGAGATGAAACATCCCAGACGAGAGGGCAGCCCGCCGGCTCAAGCACTCCGTGAATGCTACTACCAGACTCTCCTGCAACAACGCCTATATCAATATACGACGATAGCAATAGCGACAAAGACAATCATACTCTCGAATCCCAGCCCAAGACTTGACACTTACGTCAAAGACAAAAGCTCGCGGAATCACCGACAAGCTTCCGCTTTGTTCAATGCTTGACCACCTATTGCCTACGGGTCAAACAGCAGATTTTGAGCAATTGTCAACAGCGCCGACGACGAAAAGGATAAAACACGACAGAGAGAGGCAAAATCTGTTCACTGTACCATTGCCATCCCTAACTTACTAGTCCAGACTTTAAGCTAAAGGCAACAGATCGGGCATGCAAGCAGCAGATGCTGGTCACGGTTTTGAATAGGTTATCAACCTTCTTCATTATCTTTTATTAGCCCTTCGAGAATCACCGCACCATATTCTAGTCCAATAGTAAGGTACTCTCCAACACAAAGACCTTATGCAGGCCCCCAACACTGCGAAGGAGACCTCACCAAATTTGCCCACCCATTGAAGCCCAGCGCTGAAGTCAATACTCCAGAAAACCGAAACCACGAAGCAGAATACCAATACCTTCAACAACTTTCTGATACTGCAAAGGGAACTCGCCTCTATTCACTGCGACAGTACCTCCCATAATTGGAAAGAAGCTTGCACCAGAAGTTTCACCACCAAAGTTGAGAACCCAAACATAAGATGGGCGATGTACCCCCAGAAGCATTGCGCAAAAAGCGACTCCAATCAGCGCCATCAATGACCAGGCTACAACAAGCAATTCGATTACCCCTTCGGAGAGCTATCAACAGTATTGAGAACGAGGGAGGCATCGTCCATGCACCAGAGCGATTCCCAAATCTCATTATCTACATCACTCAATAACACCCACGCGGCTCGAGCTCCATCAATCTCAACTAGCAGCAACAAAGTTCAAAGACTCGATGAACACCAAGAAGGCTCCAAAAGAAAAGCCACGGTTGTCATTCACGACATGATAATACATCTCAGATTCCAACACTCATCGTCAGAAACCTCCATCCAAATGCCCCACTACGAAGCAGAAAGAACGAATGGAGGGTAGCGAGAAAAGTCCTAAATCTCAATTGCGACATTATAACTGCTCGTCATACACCATCCTGGGACACATCCGCTTTCCTCATCATCTCCCCGAACCTCTCAAAGAGGTAAATGTTACTTGGAAATTGTACTGCTACAGGTTTACTATACGGAATGTCACGACCCGCACAGAAGACATTACAAATACCCTTTGCGATAGAGAACTATGGGTCTCCGAGAGTGCTGGACTGAAACATGGAAGTTCCAGAATACTGTCGCACCAAAGGGACCAGTAGCAAAGTCGCAGGTTCTGCTTAGTGCACTTGACTTTGCGTCTCAGCCTGCTACACACTTTGGAGGATGCCGACATAGAGAGGTAACATTGCATTCACTCCAATGTCTTCTACCCAGCTTCGACATTTATTACCGAGAATGACATTCATAAAAAGGCATATACAGCATGTCGGCCAACTAGGCCAGTACGAGGATCAAATATCACAAAGAAGACTACTGAAAATCCTACATTACGCCAAAGACATTCATTGATGAGCCTTTTATTCATTCTCAACTTTCGTTATCCTACCCAGAAGCCCACCGGACACCGCATCCACAAAGCAAAGCACGCCTAGCTACAAAGGTTCATCATCCATCCTTCATGCGCAGGAACAAATTCCACGCCCAGATCGAAAATCCAACCAATGCAGCACCACTATCGTCCAGCAAAATCCACCAGTCCTTCGTCCGGTGGGGCAAAGATCCGAAAGAACCACCAAGACGTATATCGGTAGGCAGCTTAAGCAATAGAGAAATCGGACTCGCTCCAGGTGTTCGACTCGATCATCTTATCAATGTCGCTACCGTTGAGGTTTTCTGGAAACTTCTCATTTGCTACAACACCAATGTAGATCTCATCCTTGCGGAAGATAGTTACAATGGTTGTGGTTCCAATGACAGGCCGATTGAAGTAATCTGAGTCACCTCCTGCGGCATCGGCATGGATTGTGGACTTCATGTAATGAGAGCCAACGGAAAGGCACTCGGCAATGTCGATCCTGGAAGCACAGATTGTCAGCACATCATCACATGGCATCTTGGAAGATATGTTTATGTGGAAATGCAACACAGGAGAGATATGACTTACTCGCCACAAGAAGGCCAGCAAGAACAGCCACCGTATTGCTGAGTACGTGGGACCTTTGCGTTCAAAAACCAGACAGCAGGTTGATCGCCTTCGAAGCCATTCCTTCCATCATAGGGCATGCCAAATTCAAGGAAGAAGACTTTATCTGCACCATCAAATCCACCTGATAAGCTAGGAGATTAGCAGATGAAGAGCATCAAAATGAGCATAAACACCAGAAAGAACTTACGGTATGAAACAGAGCCAGGACGAGAGTAGCCACAGCTGTGCTTGTCACATTTCTCTCCAGTCATGATAGCGATCTCATTCCCAGATGGGATGACGGTATCGGCAAGAATCTGAGCAGAAGGAGAGCCAGATGTTCCCTCATGGTTGACATACGACAGAGAGGCTCCGAAAGTGCTATTGACGTGTTAGAAGGTAGTCTCCATTTATGCTGTTTCTTGTGTTTGTGTTGTTTGATAGGATTCTTCTGTTGATAGTGTTTACAAGAACCAAACCCATAACTAGTGTTAAGGGGCAAGAGTGGGTCAGAAACTTACTAGTCAAAGACACCAGACCCTTGACCACCATGATTTCCGAGGAAAACAACATTCTCAGCAGTCTGCGAGGCAGAGTCATAGTACGAGATTCTTGAATAAGCGTTCTTTGATTTTGAATCACTGTTGTCGATCTTGTCATCTGCAGCTGCTACAGCAGGAGTATTGACTAGGGTTGGGACGGCTGGTAGTTATTAGTGTTGACACCACAAAAAAAGCCTCAAGATTTCTGCGTCGAGTTGATGAAGACCTACACTGCTTGTTTGATTTCACTTCACTAACAGTGCACGTGGTAGCGGTAGTTGTTGCGAGGGCAGTGGTGGTCGTAGTAGTGTCAACGTCGCCGGCGACCTTCACTCCAGTGGTGATCAGAGTAGTGGCAGGAATATTTGTCGCGTCAGGACCGAACCAGTTATTCTCCCAGGACTGAACTAGACCATCGATAGTCGCGATGACCATATCCCTCTTCGCGATGTGAGAATGACGGACAGCGTTCTGGAGATGAACATGCGCATAGTCAGGAAAACCTCGCTTCTCCTTCTTGGAATCCTTTGGAATGTAGGCCGCAAACTGCTTCACAGCAATTGGTCCTCGAAGGTGGAGAGACAACTGTGGAGGCTTTGTTAGCAATCGCGAAGCTAACCTGGATTCGAAACTTGCGAATAGCTTACCTCTTCATTGAAAGGAGCCAGATGTCCAGCGAAGTGCTTTGCCCGGGTCTCACAAGTACCAGTTCCATCCATACCAATGACTTCTTTGTAGACACCACCTTGCTTGCCAACATTAAGGTATTTAACTGACTTAACCTCTTGGCAGTACGAGTTGCCTTCCATCATCTTGGATCCCTTCGAACAGAGATCGGCAACAGACAGTCCGAAGAGCAAGAAGACGACCATCAAGGCCAGGAGCTTATCAAAGGAAACACTCTTCATGTTGAGCAGACTTCTCTACTACCAATGAGCTGTGGACGTGACTGACGGAAATTCGAATGTTGACCCGTCAACTTGGGGAGCAAGAGTCTCGAGCTGACCGCGAACGAATCCGCGGCAGCGAGGGGAAGAATGTAGGGAGTATCAACGACTGAGTCTATAACAGCGATCAGCGCGTGGATACGCAATAGATGTATTAGAGAAGGAATGTTTGTGATAGATAGAAGAGAGGTGGTGATGGAAGAAGGTTGGAGCTCGTTTATTTACTCACGATAGCCTCATTTGTCGAAAACTGAACTCACCAATGGGTGGCTCGGGCTAGCGGCCGCAGCTACCGTACGGCAGAAATCCCAGGGCCATAAAGAACAAAACAGGCAGGAACTTCTTGGTTCAATGGACGTCGTTTACGGAAACCAATGACGACCATTTGGTGGGAAAAGGGACTTGTCTCCAGGCATTCACGCGGCTGGCAAGAAACTCTGTTCCAACGACGTCCAACTTATACAACAGCAGACAGGATGGGCAGTTTTCCTGCCCCCAGACAAGGTTTGCAAATGTATGGAGAAGAGGGCGAGGGATGAAAGCAGACCCTGCACAATTCACACAGGTGTGCAAGGCCTGCTTTGAGAAAGGAATGCAAGACCTGAAGCGATTTCTTGTGTTCATGGAAGGAAGAGGAGTAGAGGGGAGAAGAGGTGGACTTTAAATAGACTTCCCAGCACAACAGGTGTCCCTTTTTAGGGCGGAAACAGCATTCACCAAGTAACAACGCTCGGTAGCATCTCTTCCTTCCTTGCACTTTTCACTTGCTGACAGTTTTAGTTCTAGAACAGCGACATCCACAAGATCAAGTCATCAAGTATGAAAGTGTCTGCATCATTACAGCTCTGAAGTCTTCTATGCTTAAGCCAGATTCAGAAAGCAGCGTCTCACTTGATCTACTGCTGAGCGGCATTGCCCTTTTGTCACACTGTTATGATTTCCATGTCAATTGCAACAATACTCGCATGTGTGCAAGCAGCCATGTCAAAATCCGTCAGCTCTTGGTCCCGAAATCACATTCCCAACAACACCAGCATATCAGCAACCTTGCACTGTATGGGGAACCACAGATATACTTCGGGAAAAACAAAACTTTGAGGCTATGTGGAAGGCAAGATTAAAGCATGGCTTGAGGGAATAGTTGTTCCATGAAGTCACTAGATCCTTCACCCAAAGATGCAAGGCACCCTTTGGCAGTGGTAAACATTGATCTTTAAGATTTAACTATGTCCAAGAATATCCCAAATATACACCAAACACCCCTCCATCTATTCTCCTTTACGAGATAACTCCTCCCATCTTTGTTGTCAAGTGCATGGTAGTACCTGGAACGTAGCAGCTTCCGTCACTGCCTCCAATGGGAGTGTACTCGGCCAACCAGAAGTTCTCGGTTCTTGAGCTTACACAGGAGTTCTCCTTGGAAGTGATCGTCATATCATAGTTGTTGCTGTTCTTGCTCAGGATGGCGGAGTAGTCGAATCCACTGCCCTGGGAACGGAATTGAGCCTCACCCCAAACGGTCGCATATGCGCCGGAGGCAGTAAGGTCAGATGTGACTTCAGCCCAGGCCATTTGTGTGTTGTCCTGGAAAGCAACAATCTGGGACTTTCCTGGTTTCAGGGCAAAAGTGAGAGTAGTGTCCTTTGGCGCAAGAGCTGAGCCAGAGAGAATCTGTCCATCAGGACCAATCTTGTTCCAGAGGTTGATGACCATGGTCTTGGAACCAGTGTTGACGAAGGTATTGGTAAAGTCGTATCCAGAAGTGGAGGACACCTTGATGATGTTCGATCCGTACGGGATACCACAGTTTCCACGGTAGAAATCGCCGAGTTGTCCTTGCTCAGCTGAAGGAGTCCCAAACGATGTGCGGGAATTTGAAGCACCGATCAAACCACCCAACAACGAGGCATCGGAAGCAGTATCAGAGACAACAGAGCTGGCGCTGACAGTGTCGGCGGCGCTGGACTTAGCAGATGGAGTTGCAGCAGCGGGCTTCGCAGCGGCGACAGTAGGAGTTGCGACGGCAGCTGGGGCCTCGGAGGTTGGCTTAGCCTGTCCAGCTTCGTATGCGGACTTCCAGTCGATTCCCATGTTGTCCCAATCGAGAGACTCCCAGTCAACACTGCCGATAATGTTAGTCCAATCGTTCATACCCAGACAGGGAGATGCTTACTCCTTCTTCTGGTGAGCACGACGGTGAAGATGAAGGTGAGTAGGACCAGCCACGGCGTCGCCGATCAAGGCGGCCATCATCAAAGCGGAAACAGTTGAGCAACGCATTTTCGAAATGGGTTCGTGTAAATAAAGTTGTTGATAAGGGTATGCTTGATTGTTGTTTTGTGTTATGCGGATATACCAAATAATGGGATCTAAGTCGTGAAAGGGAGGCCGTTGGAAGTCAAGGAGTGTTGTGAGCGGTGTATTGCTCGAGATATTGGCAAGAAGTATTGCGAATGTGAAGTGAAGGTGTTCAACGGCGACCTTATGTCCTCTTGTGGATGAGAGAGGAAGGGAAAGGAGGATCCAGGGAGGGTGGGCTGGAGTACATAAGGGAAGACTACGGACACGGGTGCGGGTGGATCTGTGGTGTGGATGCCCGGGTGGGCTTTCATTTTGGCTTGCTTTTTGGGGGGGGGGGGGGGGTCGGGGGACAAAGAACTGGCAGCGTGGGCGAGCTGGGCACGATGCGATGAGCGAGATGGGTCAACAGGGATGAAATTGAGATGAACCACGCCAGTGAAGTAAGACTGGCCAGTGAGACGACAGGCTTGCTCTAGCGAGCGGACTCGACGCCAGGCCCAAGATTCCACTACTGTAGCACGCGTACCTGACCGACCCCTTGGCTGGCGTGTCTTAGGGCCCTTATTCGTTAGGGGCCGCTGTGAGTGGACACGGCCAGCCACCAGGGACATGGTTGAGGCCTGCTGGGGACAGGGGCAGCTTACCCTAATTCCACCCCATTTCCCACCCAGAAATCAGCAACCATCTCATGATTCTCATCACAGGCATCGCATCATCAACCCTGGCCCGGCCCAAGGCCTCGAGTCCCGAAAGCCTCTTTCTCTCCTTTCAGGCTCTGAGCGTGAGGCACACTACTACTGGCACTGGCAGGCCACTCTCCAGGCCGCCTAGGTAAACCAAACAAAGCACACCTCCATCGACATCCGACCACAACATTTTGTTTCATGCTCCGCGGTGAACTTGCTGATTCGAGCCCCGACAGGCCAAAAGAGGAGTCGTCCGGCTGCTCGTCCGGTCTTGCAATGCGATGCTACATTCGTTCACAAGCCGTGGACTGGATAAACCTTTGCTGGCAGTCAACTGGCCTCTGTTCGAGCTGTCGCCAGCAGGCCAGCAGGCCAGCATTGAATCCTGTTTGACCCTGGGAAAGGGACTGCTGAGATGAGTTCTTATTACTCAAAGGGATGGATAACATCAGATCCACATACGGCAATCATGAATCAAGGAAAATACCCAGCACAGTGAGGATTCGTCGAGAGGCTTCTCTCCATAGAGTCACTGTAACTTTCGCATTGGTCCACAGATTTTGCGAAATTCTACAGTAGCTTTGCAGGTCCAAGAAGATCTCAGCCGCTGGGATTTCTAGTCCGATCCGATCACTTACAGATTTCTTCACGAAAACTAGAAAGATGCAAGAAAACGCCAATAATCACCCCAACAAAACTCTTAGATTACATCTTATTTTCCGGTTACCGAATCGTGCAATATGTTTTCGCACAATTGGCCAAACCAGCGTGAGCAACAGCATCATGATATCTCATGACTTTTGATATGCCTCCCACTGACACATGTCCCGCCCAGCTCGGCAGATCTGATCATCATCACACACATCATCGCAGGAACCCTTCATCTCGCCGTCCCCACAGCCAATCCAAAAAATAGCATTATTTCAGTCGTCATCTACGCCGATATCAATCGCTGGATCCGCAGTGAAAAAACCCCAGTCAAAAGTTCGTAGCGTAACGCTCTAAACTGCTCTCGCTCTAGATAGGCCTAGAAACTGATTGTCATGTCTATCAAAGAGTCCAGAACATAGCGAGCGTAGGTTCAGGAACGCGCGTGTCGCACCAAGAGATCAGGAACCACCAACCCATTTTGGTTTGGTTTGACTTGGTGAAGGAAATGGCACGAGACTCGGCAGCTGCACGAGAAAAAGGGAGCTCAACGAGCTCAAGTCGCCCAAGGAGACGAGAAGGAATGCTCGCTGACGGAGCACAAGCACCGTGCTTAGCATGTGCATAAGTAGTAAGGTAGTACCTACATTTTTGTGTGAGCCATTTATGTACAGCCTATGACCTGGTCGGTAAAATGTGCAGAGTTTGCACAACTGACATTCTTGTGTTCCTTTGTCCCGCTCTGTGCAGATTCCCGATTGGGCCTTTCGGCGTTACTAGGGGCGAACAGGGCAGCATTTGTGGAATTTATGCAGCGCCAGAAAAGATTTTTTATGCTGCATAAGACTAACAGGTATGGAGGGTCTCATGTGATGCGGATTGGACAGGTCGTCTTCCCTTCTCGCAACCGAATGCCTTCATCGCTTGGGCGACTGACTGAATACCTGTCTGATTTTGTTGAGTTGTACCTGCGCTCCAGGCCACGTCAGTACCTGCATCCACGCTCCGAGTACCTGCAGGCTGCATCAATGGTAAAACACCAGGAACTGAAGACTGAGCGAACAAATGGCCTGACGGTTATTCGTAGGGAGACTCGTGGCGAATGGACAAAGGTGGACCAGCACTGGAAATCAAGGAAAATGCACCCATCCATCATTGCTCCCACCAAATCCATCCTATCAAGCTCCCTCATATTTCCTATCTCTGAATTCTAGTCAGGTCTCTTCATTATCCACAGCGACGTTGTTTTTACGTTTTCGTTTCAAGTTACCATCTCGTTTGGTCACTGCCGGCCAGACCTATACTGTCAACATCGTGGCCAGCCTGTACACCAACCGGCCTGCATGTGTGGCCATTGAAAGGCCGAAAAACATTGCTTGAATGTTCCACCGTCCGTGGCGCTGGGAAAGTATTCCAGTCCTGCGATAGAGTTAAATTTTGGCTCAGCGGTAACGGTCGCGACCTCCTCGCAAGCGACCATCGTCAGCCAAACAAACACCGTTCCTATCTTGAGCCATTGTTGATTCGCTTGGCGTTATGGTTTATTATTCAGCCCCAATCCTGTTCTTATGTCTCGGTCTGCGATTAGAGAATGCTTACTCGTTAACGATATTTATGGAGATGTTTCTGTTTCTGTTGTTGTTCACCCGTTTCGTGTCCTGTAGTGGGAGGCTTAGTCTTGTCGCTCATTTGTTGTGGTCAGCGGCGGTCAAATGCACACGAGCTGCATTTAATCCTCGATGGGACTCTCACTGTGCGACAATAAGCGCGTTATAACGCTGTCATGAGAATCTTGGCCTTAAAAGTGGTTAACTGGCATTTTCTTGCCTGTACTTCTGAAATAGAACATCCTGTACGATCCGAGAGCAAGGCAAATACATTCAGCTTTCTGGGAGACTTGGCGGATGATCTCGCTTGGATGTACGCAATTTGCCTAGTAATTTTTGATGAGCAGTGGCTATGTCGGGAATGTTATGTTTTGCCCGACAATTGACTTGTGAGACAGCACAAGCAAATGACGATGGTGTCAAAACAAAGCGGCTGGTCATATTTTCGGTCACTTGGTACGGCTACATACTGAATCACCAAGGTGGCTGAGGATAGGCTTGTGCCGTTAAATCTGCTAAATCCACGGTCAGATGCGTGCCAGTAGATCCAGCAAAGAGGTTACACTTCAGACATTTGGTTGTTTCGTGCCGCTCATGGGCCTTGTACCGCGGAGGCAAGTGAGTACCTGGGTGCACGTCGTTCGAGCGAATCAGCCCTATTCATCTGAGGCTATCTTCTATCTCATGCTCTTCACATATTAAAATATTACCATGTCAAACTTGGTATCCCTCCGTCCATCCGCTCTGCCGAGACCTTCCGTTATCCTCGCTTGAGAAAGTCAACAAACAACAACCACATCCACACCCACCCTCGGAACGGGGAGAACGAAAAGAAGGGTTAGATAATCTAGATGCGCTCGCTCTCCACACGTGTATTTTCAGGCAGAACTATAGATAGTAGTTCTAAACCAGGTACGCGTCAGCTTTACCAACCAGCGAATCTATTGTTTTGGGCCATTGCGGAATTGTCGCCAGGTGTCGCTGCCAGGTGTCACTACCAGAATCTGGAAGCGAGGGACCTCCTGAGTCCCGCTTCTCAGCTTCACTTGGCACATGCCCGTTACGACTGTGGGTCGATGAAGGCTGAAGAGTGGTACGTCACAGCGTTCCTCGTAACAGGTCGAGCGGTTTGTTGACTTTCAGAATGGGTTGTATTTGGTCTGTGATATTCAGAAGGCTGGTGAATGTCTCTCATTATCTGATGATGCATGGATTCTGTCACACATATGCGCATCGCAGCTATCGACTGTCATATTTTGAAACGCAAAGTATCTTGGTAATCGATATTTCCATTGTAAAGCCTATTATTACGTTCCCATCCAGATCCTCTTTCCGTTACTTCCGTAATTTTGTCCACCCGCTTGTCCCGGGCTTCCTCTCCCCGTCACCACCAACCATCTCCACAGCTTCCACCACCGTCCTCATGCTCATGAAGCTTTGCATGCCTAGGTTCTGAAGGCGTTCTGCCGCCTCCTTCCTTGCTCCGACGACAACCCCATCATCAGCCATCTCATCATCCACCGTCCAAGCATCTGCGTCAAGCATTTCCCATTCAGCATTCGCGACTTCGCTCAAGAGCTTTGACTTCAGCTTGTCGGTGAGTTTCGTTGGACTTGGAAGTTTCCAGCTGCGGATAAAGTCTGTACCAACTGCACCGCCCAAGAAAGAATGTGCGGTGCCGTGAGAGAGATTACCCATAGTTGTAAACGCCGAGCTCTTCCTGTCACTCTCACCGTCTGTCTCTCGTCCACCTTTGGTCGGCGTGCTTTGAGCAGACGATGCCCTGCTTCCAGGTGAAGGTCTCGGCTTGGTCCCAACGAGTAGATTATAGAGATTCCGGCCGAGGTTACAAACATCTTCGAAGCTGCTCTCGTCTCCAACCGGGATTCCCTGACTCTTGCAGACCCAAGCTATGTCGTATGCGAGCAGTGTGACGCCCTCTAGGAAGAGGCCATAGCCTGAGGGATCTTCTGTGGAGAGGAGAGGGAGCGGCTTCTTGAGGAAGAGTGGCCGTGGGTGGGGAAGATTGCTCGGGGCTTCCGCATGCCGTGAAGCTGTGGGACTTGTATTTGAGGATTGGTTTGGTGTGCTGCCTGGGAAAGGTACATCCGTGTATTTGTAAGATGAAGCGATAGAGAATATTGTAGGCAGTGGGTAATCTCTATGAGGAAGGATGATCTCCGCTGGAAGTCGTATTGCTAGATAGTGTGTAGACAACATCAATAGATGTACAATATGGGATAATGCCGTTGAAATCTCAGCCGGACTCGCTGCTAAAATGTTGCTGTTAGTGATTTTCTCTCTAACACGACAATACCCACTGTTCAAAGATCTCAGATCCACGATCCGCACCCCGCCTATTCTGTATTCCTCACTACCACTATTCCTTCTGCCCTTCTTGAGCCCATAGAGCTTCGCAGCTTCGCCGCATAGGAAAGTCCTCGAGGAGGCGGTGGTAGAGTGTCCAAGATTCCATTTGTGTTTGGTCATACCGGTGGACTTCTTCACCTCTTCAATCTGCCGACTTCTACGAGCCTCAACTCCGTTGGAAGCAGAAGCTAAGTCAGACCTCCTGCGAGCCACAGTTGCCTTCTTTTTGACAATCTCTTCCTTGGCCAACTCGACCTTTGCCCTTAACTCATCTGCCCTTGTTATAATCTGTTGTGTCCTATCAAACGTTCGTTCCTTCTCGGCAGATACAGCAGCTATATCTATAGAGCTTTGTGAAGTTGGAGAGGCTTCGCTCATCTGCTGAGCCTTGTCACTGGGAAAGAGGTTGATTATTTGCTTATTAAGAGCGTCGTTCTCGAGAAGCACCCGAGCATTTTGGATTCGTCCATCGTAGAGCTGGTTCCGAGCATCTGTTGCGCATAAGAAGTGCAGCTTTTTGTCTCCTTGTCCGCCTGTTCGAAAGCAGATATCGCACTGCATGGTAGTAGATTCAGGGAGACTCGCGGTGGGACTGCTTATCCGTGGAATGCTGCTATATCGGTATATTCAGAGAGAGACTGAAGATATTATGCTTTCCAAGTTGATACATGTCGTAGAGCCTTGTGGCGGAGAGAGGAGGGCATGTTATGGCAGCTAAGCAGTGAATGACTCCTAAGATGGAGGCAAGGCTGTTGCGCCTGGTCTCAAGGACAGCAGCTGTAAATCTTATCGCTCACTTGGGTGTCTTATCGGAGTCACGTGTGGACGTGCCAGAGCCAGTCGCGGTTGGGCACATCTCGGTCTTATCCACCAGTTGACGCAGCCAAGCGTCTGTTCTGTCTTCTCCATCCTGCAAAACGCTCCCAAGTAGGTCTACCGTCCAGACAGAGCCTGGAAGATTAGAGAAATTCTCTATCATGTCATCCACATCCGAAACCACTCTTGGGACTCCGTCCAAACCTATATCGAATGGTAATCCAAGAACTCCTCTACCCGATGGTCCACCAAACTCCGCTTCTTCACCGACCATAACGGTATCACCCAGGAAGGTCACCCCTGAGGCTTCTGGAGTAGATATTCAAGTCCCGTCATCCATAATACCACCTGAATCCGAGTCTGCTCCGGTCAAGAAACCTGCAAGGGTCGACAGTCATGAGACCCAACAGCCCGAAGAGACTGATGAGGAGGACGAGGACGAGGAAGATGAGGAGGACGAGGATCAGGATTTGCCAAAGTTTGACTGGAGTGATTTTGAGCATCGTTATACGGAGACGCTCAAAAGCCAACATGAAGAAGAGGTCGAGATCATCGATGAATTTGACTTATATGCAACGGTACGTCTTTGACATCCTTGTACAGCCAGCACTTAACTGACTCGGAGAATAGTCTTTTATGGTCTGGGCTCAAGCTGCTGCTCAGCGAGATAATGGTAGAATGTCCAAGAGGTGAGCCATTGTAACTAGCTGCCCTCCGGCATTACTGACGACTTATAGACTCAAAACCCGCGTCAGATTTACCCAGCTAGCTGAGGAATCCTTGGAAGACAAAAAGAATCATTGTATGCCGTTTCAAGAAATGCCCGAAAACCTATGGCTGTGGCTGACAGAATGGCAGATTTGGAAGTTGTTGGTGCTTTCCAAACGGCTATGAATATGCTTCGCCGAACATGATGAACAGGCGAAAGTCTTACTCTGTCGCGCCATAGCCTGCCAAAATCATGTTACATATCGGTATGCCTTGTTTTTGGCGTTGTTTGTCCCGATTATGGCAGGCATGGAGCATCTTGCTGTTCTTGGGGGCCAGATTTCCATAAAGCTTCCGTTCTTCCATGTTACTATAGCTAGCTAGCTACCGAGATACCCAATTGCACAGCCTTTCCTTCTGTAGCAAATTCAATTTAAGCGCTTTGATGGTAGGGAATAATCACCTTCGCCAATGCCTGTATATCATTGGTAGAGCGGCTCTTCTTATGCATTTCAAGTAGCTACAAGAGTCTTCAGATAAGTCATGCAATTTTTCAAGGAGCGTTCTTTGTTCGGTCAACGCAGTCAACTATGCCTTTCCAGATGATGGAACATCTATTGGTTTGTGTACGTCTGCGAGCACGACCCCATCTCACTATACGTTATCGCATCAAACAAATCCGTCACTTGTGAAGTCATGCTCATGAGGCAGTACTTCAGATGTTGACCTCAAGCTTCAGGTATTTCGATAGAACCTCTGGGGAGAGTGGAGTGTGCAGACAGAATGGATAATAACTCTGATCTATGAATGCTTCACGAAACGCCCTACAGTTGGCATTGCAACTTAAAAATCCCACATGATCAAATCCAAGTCAGTGGTATTTCTAGGGCCAGCTAAATCCACTTAGGCAAATAGCTAAATCCACTTGCCAAGCCAGCCAAGTCTCGGATATGAGGTGTGCATTTAGGATACTCGCGAATACGTATAATTAACTACTAAATTCATGTATCCTGAATGAAATTTATCGTGCACCTTCTTGAGTACTCCTGTCCCTTAGTTGCTATTAAGAATCAACCTTGAGTGTCAGCTTCAGTGAGCTAACGCTCTATAAGTACCGAAGACTAGCCTGCTAATAATTGTATCTAAGACACCTGAATAGAGAACTGTTTTTGTACTTAGTACTTAGATTAGAAAGTGTAGTAACTAGTACAGCGTGCTCTATACTACCTAGGTACCTATCTAACGAGTATTACTAAGAATTTTCCGTGCAATACCCTCATATTAATCTCCCTTGCGCGCCTTAGTAATTAGTACAGGGTGGTGTAGTTGATAAATATACGGGTGTAGTCACTTGAAAATCTAACCGAAGCTTAGCAAGTGGCTATAGCTATTTGCCCAAGTGGATTTAGCTGTGGCCTATTTCTACCATGAAGTTCTGCCCGAAGTGTGGTAGCACGTTAGTTATTACTCGGTGTGCAATACTGCAAGCATACTCTCTTTGGACAGTGATAAATCACGCCCAGATATGACACTGGCCACTTTCGGCAGGTATCACAGCTTCGCTCTTTGGCGGGGGATGGGGGGGGTGGCATTCGGCAGTCTTAGCCTGTCATATTTCCTGGTATCCGAATGGCATTTAGGATAAAATAGTCCCCACTGAGCGCCAGCCAAGGATAGAATACGTGCGTTATGACTACTTGAATCGACGGCTGTAAGTGCAATGCATGGTTTGGACGTTCAACGGATATCGAATCGTCATGTGTTCTCAAAGGTTATGTTTGCTTACGTCCGTTGGCTAGAGCGGCTATATCCATCGACCGAAAAGCGGTTCCAGGGCTAAGCGAGTGCGGACAGGACGGGAGTTGTTAGCTCGTGCCGTAACAACAATGACGAACTTAGAGCGTGTCACAATGGCATTTCAACTCTATAAGTATCTCAGCCTTCCACTGAAATCTCCTGTTTCATCATAACGGCAAGCTCCGAGCATAGCTGATTTGTCGCTTTTCTTTTTCTCCCCCCAAAGTCCTCACAAATACACAGCAACATTTACTCCATCATGGGCTTGTTTTCAAATACAAAGCCCCCGCTCACTGAGAAGAATCTCACAGACCAGTCGGGGAAGGTTGGTAACGTTTTCCCCCTCTGAAAAAGCTTAACTCATTCTCCGTGTACCAGGTCTTCATAGTCACTGGCGCCACAGGTGGTCTTGGGAAAGATCTCGCGCAGATACTTTATGCTCAAAATGCAAAGATTTACATGGCAGCTCGCTCGGAAATCAAAGCACGCAAGGTTATAGAAGAGATTGAAGCCAAGTGCCAAAAATCGAAAGGAACTTTGGTCTACCTCCACCTGGATCTCAATGATTTGACAACTATCAAGACCTCAGCCGAGACCTTTCTCGCGCAAGAAGAGTCCTTACATGTCCTCTGGAATAACGCTGGTGTCATGCGACCTCCTCAGGGCAGTGTCACCAAGCAAGGCTACGAGCTTCAGATTGGCACCAACAACGTTGCTCCATTCCTCTTCACTAAGCTCCTCACGCCGCTTTTGAAATCGACTGCCAGGGTCTCACCTCCTGGTAGTGTTCGCGTAGTTTGGGTATCTTCATCCGCGGCAAAGAATTTCTCTCCAGAAGGCGGTTTAGATGTCACCAATCTCGATTATCATATTGACAAAGGTGTCTGGCCAAAGTATGGTATCAGCAAAGCCGGTAATATCTATCATGGAAAGGAGTATGCTAGACGCCATGGACAGGATGGAATCTTGAGTCTGGTAAGTTTGGTACTGTCTCGACATTGAATTCCATGTACTGACTGCAGTAGTCTGTGGATCCCGGATTTCTGAAGACAGACCTGTATCAGAATCTTCCCCGATGGCAGGCGCCAATCATGAACCTGATGCTTCATGATCCTATCTATGGGGCATATACAGAGCTTTTCGCAGGTCTGTCGACAGACATTAATATGTCAAATAATGGCGATTTCAGTAGGTGACCTAAATCCCGGATCGGTGTTGTAAAACTGACAACTTGCAGTTGAACCTTGGGGGAAAATTACACCAGCAAGAAAGGACATTGAACTAGGAGGCAAGCCAAAGGAAGAAGGAGGGACTGGAATCGCCAAAGACTTTTGGGACTGGACAGAGAAGCAGATTGCGACTTATGCATAGACCATTTGCCCCCATGCGTCGCAATTCAAAATCGACTTTCTCTACGACCTGTTGGAACCACGAAGACCAGGGGAATGTACAGTAATCAGGCATCGTTGTCAGTAACATTGGAATTTTTCGACCTCGGATTTTCGTTCTTCTTTGAACTTGTTCTTGTCATAATTTTAGTGCGATCAAAGAGCATACCAATGTTTCATCCTTAATTGTGATTCTTCAATAAGGTCACTTCCTTCTTCACCAAATAACTGTAAAACAACCAATTTTGTTAATCTATGCATATACGAACGGTGGCGTCCAATTGCCCTGCAAGTGAGTACATTTCTGAGTTGGTACAGCTCTTTACGGCCTTCAACGCCGTACATTCGGCGCAGCCTACTCAAAATCGTGTTCATTGAAGCCAGCCGACCAGAAGGCAAAGCGCTGGACTAAGTTGGAAGACGACATCATACGCGGAATCTCCAAAGAGCAGCAAGAGGTACTCCTCTGTCTGTTATGCAAAAGAACAAGTGGCAAATCAGCTCCAAGACAGCCCTGCGCAATCGACGGCCTTCAACACCGTACTATCAACTCGATTTATCACAGGTTCTGTGAGCTAAAGAGGGCAGCCCAAGGGAGCAATGTCATCCCATCTTTCCGGGAATTTGATATCCCTCTAAGCAGAATCGGAGCCCACTCAAGAATTCACCCACTTTTCATCCAGAAAAGCGGTCAATTTGTCGGGGAAAAAGGAAGACGAAATTGTCCGTCGACTTACAAAAGAGGAGCTCAAGGCGTTGGCTTATCTGAAATGCTTAACCAGAAATAAAACATCCAAGAGGCTCTGCTATATTCATGGCCTTGAACGCCGTACAGCTGGCGTAGTATACAGCAGTTACTACGAACTGCTTCCGCCGGCTTGCCCGACTAAGGATTATACTCCTCAAGAGCTGTAAGCGATCTACAAACTCACAACAGAACAGCGCAAAGAATTGATTGCTCATAGAAATAGCGATCGAAGTACATTATGCCATTTCCCTTAGTCTCCAGAGTCGGACTGTTCATAATGTGTTGGCCAAGTGGTACAAAATACATTCCTTGGCGCAGTGGACTGATTCAGAGGTCGATACTTTGCGCCATCTCACAGAACATCAGCTGGATGAATTCGAAGAGCTGGAAAAGAAGTATGGCGCCACAGTTAATATGAAAATGTGTGACATTGACGGCCTCCGTCGTCAAACATTTGGCTCGGTTGCCTATCGCATACACGTGGAGTTGAGGCATGGCCGACTGGAAAATGATAGTCAGATTTCTCCGGCCGATGTATCGCCACAAGAGGTCTTTGAGAAGTTGGATCACAGACGAATCTAAAGATGGATGTATTAGGAGCTGAAATCCTGATCCTGATCCTAGAACATGATTTTTGTTGTAATAACTCTCTGTAAGTGTGGTGACCGTACAGGGGCAATCGCAAAAGTTCTCTTGAACCCTAGTGCCTATGAAGACGCAACTGATAACAATGGCCTCGCACCAGTCCATGTAGCTTGTCGTCAGGGCACATTTCGCTTTTTGAAAAGACTGAAAGCAAGCGGGGGAAACCTCAATCTTCCTGCAGAAGCTCTGTGTCTGCTGCCCAGCCACTTTGCCGCTGCTTTTGGACATAAGCAATGCCTAGAATTGCTGTTAGAAAGGCGGGCTAAGGTTGTCTCGAGAACAACAGAAGGCGCCTCGGTGCATGCATTACATCTGGCAATTGCAAATGGGCATGAAGCCTGTGCTCGTGCGATCTGTGATACTCCTGAAGAAAAACGTTATGAAGGCTGGAGTTTGTGTATCGTCATCGAGTCTTCAGGCCCAGTTCTCCAATGGATGTACCTTCAAGTTAATGAGCAACACGGGTTTGCGATTGAAGACCCTAGGCACACTGCTGGGACGGCAAAGTTTTCTTGTTTGAGCAAACCGGACATGTCGCCCAAGCTGTGGGTTAGACCTGAGATGCATGAGAATTCGAAAGCAGAGCATGACGAGAGTGACGTGGAGGACGACAGTGACGAAGACGCGGAAGCTAGTCCAGAGAATGATGATGACAAGGAGTCTGAGTATCTGACAAGGATCAATAGCAACGATACGAACGTTGCTGTGGTAGCAGAAAAGGAGACGTTTGTGAGCAGGACAGCAAGCTTGGAACCTAAGCAATCGGGACTCAAGAAAGCTGGTCGCTTGATGAAATCAGTCTTTCATAGCTAGTGATTCTCATGGACTCAAGTAGCAGATTCAGCTATAATCTTTGCCGACGAAGAATATCTATGCGCTTCTACAAGATTAAGAGTTGACGCGGGAGGATTTCAGGGGTCCATCTAGCGGCTACTCATGAGTCGTTACGAAGTTAGCGACACGAGCGCGAGCCCCAGCCCCAGCAGGTGCCTGAACCAGAAGCTTTCCTGCCTGCCTGCGTACCCAGCCATATTTACCTTCGTACCTACACACCAAGATGTATATGCCAACGTACCGGCTGCCACTGACCATCAGGGCATGCAGAAATCTGCGATGACTTCTCTCAACATCTCTCAAGTAAGCTTTCCTTGCAAAAGTCATTGAACCTACTGACAATTTGTAGGATGACCTTGCATCTTTCCACGCCGCGCATTTTTCTGTGACCTCCGTTGATCACTTCTCAGAGCACTTTCTCGGTCCTGTAGAAGAGGAATACTACGAAGAAAAGGCTGTCGACGATGGCTTGGGTTACTACAAAGATGGTGTCAAACGAACCTTGACCGATGAGCAGATCGCGATATTTAGACACTCCGAGATCGAAGCTCTTCTGCGCGAACAAAGACATGCTGTGGAGGAAAAGGAACACCAGAAGACCTATACTACTGGAGAAACTGTCTCTGATGAAGGTGCTGTAGAGTCTAAGTACCCTGTACCAGACGATGTGGAGGATGGAGAGCTTGAGGAAGAGAGTCCTGGTAGCAGCGTCTCAACTCCGACGGCGTCGAAGCCCCACACGCATATGACGAAGAAGGAAAAGAAGACACAAAGGGCAAAGCAAATGGGCTTCTTCAAGCAGAATGTGAAACCCGATCTACGGAAGAGGACGTGGGATAAGGTCGATACTGGATTGGGTAGTTTGGACTACGACGAAGACGAACGCGCACCCAAGCGTGCCACCGCGAACCCAGCACAGAGAAGACGGATATCCTATGATGATTAAATGCTGTCTTTGTGTCAGTCGAAAGCAACTTAGGCGATAAGGAATGCCGTGGCTGCTACTATTCATGTAAAGCAGTAACACATAGCTTCAACGGCAAATGAAAGGTGTACGACCGTCCAGGTATGTTGTCACATCTCCTCCAGACTGTGTCTCGCTTTGAAGTACATGATGAAATCCAAATGTATCGTCATCCTTAGTCTGAACCCCTGAATAGCTCTAGCCATCACCGTCAGTTGGGGTGCCTATTGTGATTCGGATATTTGATGAAACAACAATCTTCTCTCTGAACTACTTCACATTCTTCCTGGCAAACTTAATTCTATGGTATAAGTATGGAAGCTAATGCGAATCAATGCTAGGATCTTCAAGACAAGACGAAGAATTAAATTAGTTGCAGACCTGAGTAACTTTACCACTGGTGTGCTATCTTCGCCGTCCGTTCTGAGCATTTAGCGACTCGAGATTGGCTTTGAGAGGTATCGTGACTGTTGTGAGAAGCTGTACGAGGATCGAGGCATCACGAGGGTCTTGGAATCCGTAACGGTTCTGTAAACAGTACCTACCTTAGGAATCAGGAGTCACAGGTCACGAGGCTGTGTGTCAGCCTTGCAAGTCTTGGGCATGTGGCTAGGTAGTAGGTAGATTAAGCGCAAACGGATCTCTTCCTCCAACAAAACATTTCTTTCCACGAAAAGATCAACATGATTATTGTTCAAGATGAGTGACCCCCCTAGCTATGATCAACACCTGTTGGACCGCTTGAATGCCCTCAAGAAATCAAGTATCGCAATAGACTCAGCCAAGTAATACATCCACACAAACGTCACATCACATGCTTACCATCACTAGACCCAAATCCATCTCTCCTACAATTTCAACCCCAGAAATCGATCTCTCTGCGCGCCTAAGGAGTCTTCGAAATGGAACTCCGTCCACCTTCCCATCTCCAGCACCGAAGTACCAACAGCCAAAACCCACTGCTGATTCAGACTCTTTTTCGTCAGCACCAGCTGTGGATCCAGACCCTTTTCGCGACGCGTTCAACACAGACGACAAGACCCTCGACGATCTCCTGGCTGATCTAGGACCAGAAGACCAATGGACGATGAATCCGGATGATCCAAAAGATATCCAGAAGCTACTCGATGAGGCCAGGGTTGCCTTACCCCGCGATGAGGAAGCCAAGCCCGAGTCTAAGATTTTGGATTATAGAGCTGAACCGGAAGGGAAGGCAAGACAGCAGGATCCTCGGTATCTGAGTCGTGATTTGGACATGTCTGCTTTTGCACTTGATGATGGTGAAGGCGAGGAGCAAAGCAAAGGGGAGGGAAAGCTGGACCTCGAGCTGGAATCACGTGAGGCTCAAGATATCGTGGCGAGGATGCTGGATGAAGTCAATCTTGAGAGAGCCAACGAGCCAAAAGGAGAAGAGAGATCCTTAACTCCTGAACTTTCAGCGGATGACAAAGGGGATGAAGATCGTGGTGGTCTCTCACTGCCCTCAGCGCCATCCGCCCTCCCCGAACCAGTGGGAACGAGCAAGAAATCGCTCGATTTCGAATCAGATATAGCAGCACGGATGGCGGCTCTCTCTGGCTTATCTACGAACTCTCCGGGTCTACCATCAGCGCCTACCTTCAAGCCGATTGATAAGCCTATCAAAGGGGTGATGAAGAAGTTTCCGGATGAGGAGATAGATAGTTGGTGTATCATCTGCCAAGACGATGCAACGGTGAAGTGTATGGGTTGTGATGGAGATCTTTACTGTGCGAATTGCTGGAAAGAGGGTCATATGGGCCCAGATGTTGGCTGTGAAGAGAAGATGCATAAGTGGGTGAAGTATCGGAAGCCGAATTAATGGTGTACGTGAGTTTCGGCGGGAATTCCAAATCGCGAATAACAAACTCATTCCACAGCACTCCTAAATCGGTGCTAAATGCGAAGGCAAAACCAAATCATAACTGAGAGTATTATTCAACATGGGCAACAAATGCGCTGCCGCTTGACGAAGGCAACAGGGTATCATGTATCAACGACTAAGCACGCCCACCTTCACAAACCCTTTCCTCACCAATTCATCCCTCAAGCAATCCCTAAATTCCTCCTCCTTTACAAATCTTGTAGGAGCCCTCACCATCACAAGCTCAACTTCAATTTCCTCTTCGCCCAGCTTTCCCTCGCCACCCCTCCCATACTGCACCCCACTCAACCTCTCCAACGCCATCTGATCATCTCTATTCCTCTTCTCCTTCTCTCTCTCCCTCCTCCTTTCCCTAATCCCCACTACCCAGCCTAAAAATCCTTGATTGCCACCTTCATAAGCCGTATCGTTCACGATCTTACTATGAAATACCACACTCCGCTTCCTGTCTTCCCTTATCCACTGTAATTTCACCACAGCCTGCAAAGGCTGCATGCGTGTACACCACCTCTTCTTACACAACTGCCACAAATCACCCAGTTTAAAGCCCTCCGCAAAGAACATAACACTATTCCGCTCATACACACCCGCCATCCTTCCCCTTCCAACCTCAATCGATTCCTTAACCCTCGCTCTCGTAATGAGCGGCAAGCCCGTAAGAACTAGCATACGTCTCCAGCTCGCATTCTCATAATTGAAGCGCTCGAGCGGAGTCGCTTCTGTTGGCTCTGGACTTCGATAAAGAAATGGATCGTGGAAAGCGCCAGCGAGCCCAGGATGCTGGCGTTCGTGGCGCGGGAACTGGAGATAAAGTGGAAATAAGTCTTTTTCTTTGAGGAATGGGTGTAGACCTGTTGGAATATGAGGCTGTGCGGGATGCATGTATAGGATACGGAGGAGGGAGGGTGTGGTTAGGATGGTGTTGTGCCATGTTTTGGAGACGGCGGTGCAGCTGATGAGGAGGTCTATGAAGGGAAGTTGAGAGAGAATTATAATAAGGAGTTCGGGGGTTTTGAGGACGATGTGAGTGGATGTTGGCTCCATAGTTGCAGAGGTATGAGATGAGAACCAAGGAGCCGTAATCTGTTTATTTGGGTGGACTCTCAGCCTTATGTATGGAATGAGGCTTATGCCGAGAGTGTGTATGATACAAGGCTGAAGCCATGGACTCAGGCAAGTCGTGACCGACATAATGGTGTAGTTTTTTGAACGTTGAAGGATTTCCGATTTAGCCGATCCAATCAGCTTAATCTGTTGTACGACCTTTGAGAATAGAATAATCGAGGCACTTCATTACCAAGTTACAATTTCATAAAGTAGACACCCTTATCGTGTACATGATGAAGTCCCATTGGTATACCAAGCGCCCACGTCAGCACCATCCCGTACCAACCCTAGAGACCAGAAACGATCCATATTCAACTACAAATAATCAGATGATGATTCCATACCCACCATTTCATCAATGTCAATCAGTCGTCAGCGCCATCGTGACCATTATCATCTCCCCGAATACCCCGTCCTGCAGCTCCGGTAGTTTTCTTTGTCTTGCCACGTATATCTTGCCATGTGGCTCCAAATCGTCTGCCGGTGCTGGCAAGAAGACCTTCCTCCTCGTCTGCCTCGGCATCCTCGTCAAATTCGCTGAGGTTGAGCTTCGGTGTGCGGAATAGCGATGTGATGAACACAATCAAGAAAACCGCAAGGAAGACGAATTGCGCCCAGAACGTCAAGGCTCCGAAGAATGAAAAGTTGATAGTGACCCTGTTAAGGAAGGTCGTAACGACAGTGGGTGTGCAGACGTGCTTAGAGCCATCCCCTGACGAAAGTTCGGAGCAAGGCTTGACCAATTCTGGGTGCTTGGAGCAGTCCGGTTGATCGCCTGGGAATCTGGTCGGGTGGCTGCAGAAAGTTTGAGCGCCATAGATTGCGTATTGAGGAGCGACCATCATGGCGATGGAGTAATTGATTGCTAGCATGATCAAAGTCAACATGACAGTTGCCACAAGCATTGCCTGGGGAGAGGTGTGACCCTTGCGGATCTCGAATAGCTTGACCCAGAGGAAGCGGATGCCAATAGTGGCAATGCCGGCGACGGAGCTGCTAAAGAAGAAGAGTACCAGCAATAGCATCAATACGTAGTCAATAGGGAATACTCGTGAGGCTTGAACGAAGATCCAATTGACAGGTTGGAAGACATTAATGCTAGTTCAGGTCAGCAGTCTGATGTTGAAACTTGGTCATTTACGCTCCTTCCCAGAATGTAACCACAATGCTGCTTGCAGATTGAATTTTTGGCTTTGTCGATTCCAGTGATCAACATAGATACCCAAATTATGATTGAAAGAATCAAAAGAAGGATTCCTCCAATGAGCTTTAGTGGTCTGAAGACGGCACAGACCTTAGTCCAAGACCGGACAATGAAGCTCTTGCCTTCGCCTTGTGCTTCGGCAGCAAGGCGCTCACGACGGACAAGAGTGCGTTCCTCGCGAACGAGTGCTTCAAGTTCTCGTTGATCCTTGGCGGGCATGCCGCCATCACGACCAGCATTGCGCCCCTCGAGTTGACGCTGTCGCTCCCGGTTCTGTTCAAGAGCTGTTGCTGTTGTTTCCGAAAGTTGCGGAGCACTGATAGCTGGTGCCGACTTTATGAACGAGATTGGAAGAAGGGCGATTCCTGCTGCGGTATACAAGATGTATAGCAACGTGCCCAGAGATATGAGCAGTCCAAGGGCAAAGGTCAATGCTCGTACCCCGTGGTTCTCTACAAGAAGGCGTTTGAAGTAATCCAGATCATAGTGGGCACCCTTGCGATCCTTTGCGACTGGCACGAAGAATCCGACAAGGAATAGAATGACTACGAGGATAACGAAGATAACGGTATACTTCAGAGCGCCGAGGAATCTCTGTCCGAAAGTCTGTGTGCCTTCCTCATCTTCGACATCGTCGTACTCTTCGTAAAAGAAGTATGTAAACGGAACCACAAGAAGGCAGAGTATGGCGTCGAAGCTGTACAGGCTGTAGTAGACAATCTTGAGAGTAACCAAGATCCTGTGGACTGCTTCTGGTGTTGCCCAGTCCTTCTTCGCTCCAAGCTTTGTAGAGTTTGTAGAGCTGACAAGCGCAATATCGACGGGTAGGAGAAGGACTGTTGCCAATAAGGATGTGAGAGTTATTATGGTGACTGTCGAAACCAGTGCAGAGCGATCCCGCGGGGTTTGGTATGTGTAGGTAAAAATGGCGGCGATGAGTGCTACTAGTCCTATTGCGACTGCATAGGCCACCCAGATGAATGCCATTTGGATGAGAGCCATTTTGTGCGATTTATAGCCTATCCAGAGGGGTCGAATGGAGGGTGATATCCGGCGGTTTGATCTGATAACGCGCGGTTAGCTGTGATCGCACGACTTCTGCCAGCAGCAGACAGTGATATCAAACGAGCACTCACTGACAGAAGAAGGATCCTGTCCTTGTCCTTTTCGTGTATCGTCAGAACTATCCTAGGTGAGGACTGGGAGGACGGAGGCTTGGGCTGCCTTGCTGAAGTGAAGGTGAAGGTGAAGCGACCAGAAGAGGAGTCGGTGTTGCATTGCACTAGATTTCTGACGTAGCCACGGCTAGGAGCTCTTGTAAACAAGGATCTGTGGAAAGCTCCAATCCCTGTCAATTGGCATGCAAATAATGCGGCCGCTAGCGGCGATTATTGAATCTCCAACAAGAACGAGAACGAGAACAAACGGCTCGCGAAGTCAACAATAGCAACAGCTACCTTACTCAGACACCATCATTACGGTACCACCAAACCTCGCTGCTGATTCGAGCTCGAGGACATGCGGCGCGCTGTCCCTCCACTGCCATAATGCAATGCTATACGGAGCTGACACCTCCGACAGCTGTTACACACTCACTGAACCTACCCTTCACCTCAGTCAATGCAAACAACCTTGTCGTCGCCAAAACCTCCTTACTTCAGATTTTCACGACCAAGATTACCTCAATCGAAATCGAAAGTCCGCAAGATGCACAGAAGCAAAACGAGAAATGGGATCCAACGGTTAATAGTGGTGATGGGTTAGAAGCATCGTTCATTGGGGGAGAGTCGCTCCTGCGACCAGACCGCGCGAGAAGGACGAAGCTGGTACTCGTGGCCGAGTATACATTATCCGGCACAATCACATCGCTTGCAAGGATAAAGACTGTATCCTCAAAGTCGGGCGGAGAAGCACTTTTGATCGCATTCAGGGATGCGAAGCTCAGCTTAGTGGAGTGGGATCCGACACGACCGGGAATTTCGACAATCTCCATACATTTTTACGAACAAGACGATCTTCAACGGAGTCCATGGGCACCTAGCCTTAAAGAATGTGTGAATCAGTTGACTGCGGACCCGAAAAGCAGATGCGCTGCACTCAAGTTTGGAGGCAGGAACTTGGCCATCATCCCCTTCAAACAAGATGACGAGGACGTCAATATGGATGACTGGGATGAAGAGATTGATGGACCTCGTCCAGCCGACCAGACAGTCTCCAAGACTGCAAATGGTGTCGGTGGTAAGGAGGAAACACCATACAACTCCTCGTTTGTTCTACGCCTTGCCGCACTTGACCCAAACCTCATCAATCCGATACATCTTGCCTTCCTTTATGAATATCGGGAGCCAACTTTTGGGATTCTTTCGTCTACCCAGATGCCAGCTTCCTCCTTACTTTTCGAGCGAAGGGATCATCTTGCATATATGGTGTTTACCTTGGACCTCCATCAGAAAGCGTCAACAACTATTCTGTCCGTCAATAATCTGCCATACGACTTGTTCGAAGTCGTTCCACTTCCAGCGCCTGTTGGTGGAGCCTTGCTCATTGGCATAAACGAATTGATACATATCGACCAGGCTGGCAAATCCAATGGAGTTGCCGTCAACGTTTATGCCAAGCAATGCACCTCCTTCAGTCTTGTCGATCAATCAAATCTTCAAATGCGACTGGAAGGTTCGAAAGTTGGGCAACTATCAATCCAGAGTGGAGAAATGATCATCATTCTCCAAAGTGGGGAGATAGCCATCCTCAGTTTTCACATGGACGGACGCTCAGTATCTGGTTTAAGTGTTAGACGAGTGTCCGAAGAAGCAGGCGGTCTGGTGATTCCGGCTTCTATATCCAGTATAAGCCCTCTCACCCAGAACACAGTCTTCATTGGAAGCGAGTCTGCAGACTCATTGGTACTTGGTTGGAGTCGGAAATCAAATCAGCTCTCTCGTCGAAAATCGCGGGTCGAAATTGTCGAAGATGCAGATGACGATCTCCTTGATGAATTGGATGACGAAGATGATGATGCCGATGATGACTTATACGGCGACGGCCCGTCAACAACACAGGCGACCACGAATGGCATTGCCAAGTCCGAGACAGCGAATAGCAAAGCTGGCGACTATGTTTTTCACATACACGACTTCTTGGTTAACATCGCTCCAATTGTGGATATTGCGTTTGGCAACGCAAGCTACTTTGCAAGAGACGAAGATAAGGTCGACACGGAAGGCGTCACTGGTGACCTAGAGCTTGTCGCCGCTGTAGGTAAGCAGAAAGCAGGAGCTCTTGCTGTTCTGCATCGAAACATCCAGCCTAAAGTGATTGGTCGATTTGAGTTCCCAGAAGCTCGCGGAATATGGACCATGAGTGCGAAACGACCCACGGAAAAAGGACTTCAAGTCGAGAATGAGAAATCCGCAATGAGTGGTGACTACGCTGTCGATGCACAGTATGACAGGTTCATGATAGTCTCGAAAGCTCTTCCTGATGGCACAGAGACGTCAGATGTGTATGCATTGACATCTGCAAACTTTGAGGCTCTTGCTGGAACCGAATTTGAGCCTGCCGCCGGAGCAACAATTGAGGCTGGGACCTTAGGGAACGGCATGCGGGTGATACAAGTTTTGAAGTCTGAGGTCCGAAGTTATGATGGTGGTAAGTCATTCCTCTTCATCTCAGTCTTACATTCCCGCTCGGCGATTCCTCGATCTGGTCGTGTATGGAAAATGTCTCATGGCAGCAATTTTTGGGCATCTCTGTGTTTGAGGTACTTTTTCCTGCTTTTCGGGGCGCTATCTGGCATCGATTCGTGTCCTATAGCATCAATGAAAGCTTTTACAATACCCTATTTGTGCCTACCTCGTGCTATTGCTATCAACTACATGAGCACTCAAATCCAAACTAACCCGATGAATCACATAGACCTCGGATTGGCTCAGATCTTGCCAATGTACGACGACGATACGGGAGCCGAGCCACAGATAGTCAGCGCAAGCTTTGCAGACCCGTTCTTACTCCTCTTCAGAGACGACGCTAGTATTTTTGTGGCCCAGTGCGATGATAACAACGAGCTGGAAGAAATCGAGCGGGAAGATGATGCTCTTCTCGCAACAAAATGGCTGACAGGATGCCTGTATATCGACACAACGGGAGTTTTCGCACCAGTTCAATATGACAAAGGTCAAGCATCTGGAGAGAATGTGATGATGTTCCTCCTCAGCTCTTCTGGAGCGTTGCATGTAATTTTGCCAACCCACAGAATACAGTCGTCCGCTAACAGCATTAGATATATGCTTTACCCAACCTTTCAAAAGCGGTGTATATTGCAGAAGGTCTTTGTTTTGTGCCGCCAGTTCTTTCCGCGGACTATGCTGCAAGACGATCTGCCGCTCGAGAGACAATAACGGAGTTGATGGTAGCAGACCTTGGCGATGAGACCTCGAAATCGCCCTATCTTATTGTAAGTATTACCAAGAAATTGCCAGAACTTGGCTGACTGGGTTCAAGTTACGCCCATGTACTGACGATCTAACGATATATGAACCATTTCGAACTACTTCTGAGTCGACTGCGCCCCTTTCCTCCAGCCTGCAGTTCTTGAAAATCCATAATCCACATTTAGCTCGCAATCCCGATGTTTCTGCTATAGAGACTAAGGACGATGTAGCAGGTGATAGGGATGAGCCAATGAGGGCTATCTCAAACCTGGGCGGATATAGCACTATCTTCCTTCCTGGTGGATCACCAAGTTTTGTCTTGAAGACTGCCAAGAGTACACCGAAGGTTCTAAGTCTGCAAGGCTTAGGGGTAAGGGGCATGAGTAGCTTTCATACGGAAGGTTGCGATAGAGGATTTATCTACACTGATGTAGATGGAATTGCCCGAGTATCCCAACTTCCACAGGACACGACTTTTGCCGAACTTGGTGTCTCATTACAAAAAGTACAATTAGGACAGGAGGTCCACGGCGTAGCATACCACCCAACATCGGAATGCTATGTTGCTGCAACTAGTACACTCGTCGACTTCGAATTGCCTAAAGAAGAGGATCATCATCATCCGAACTGGGCAAAAGAAGAAATTGTCTTCAAACCAACAATGGAGCAAAGCCACCTGAAGCTCATAAACCCCATCAACTGGTCGGTCATCCACGAGATCGAGCTGGACCCTTTCGAAACCATCATGTGCACCAAGACACTCAATCTCGAGGTATCCGAAATCACAAATGAGCGGAAACAGTGTATTGTAGTTGGAACGGGGATTTCAAAGGGCGAGGACCTTGCAATAAAGGGCCGCATACATGTTTTTGATGTGGTTAGTGTTGTTCCTGAGCCAGATCGGCCGGAGACCAACAAACGCCTCAAGCTGATAGCTAGAGAGGAGATTGCTCGAGGAGCCATAACTTGCATTTCTGAGATCGGAACCCAAGGATTCATGCTCGTGTCGCAAGGGCAGAAATGTATGGTCCGTGGTCTCAAAGAAGATGGAACACTTCTTCCAGTCGCGTTCATGGACATGAACTGCTATGTCACCTCCATCAAGGAGCTGCGGGGCTCAGGAATTTGCATCTTTGCTGATGCTATCAAGGGCGTCTGGGTTGCTGGTTATACAGAGGAGCCATACAAAATGATGCTCTTCGGCAAGTCGGCGAAGAATATGGAGATCATGGAGGCGGATCTCCTGCCAGATGGAAAGGAACTGTACGTCGTGGCTGCGGATTCGGATTGCAATTTGCATATCATGCAGTTCGATCCTGAGCGTAAGTCGGACCTACATGAGAGAGAAAGAATACTTGCTAATACTTTCTAGACCCCAAATCTCTGCAAGGTCATCTCCTACTGCACCGCTCGACTTTCGCTCTCGGAGGTCATCTGCCAACAAGCATGACTGTCCTGCCACGCACCAAAGCCGCAACTCTACTTCCTCCCACTCCAGACGCAATGGAAACCGCTGCCGAGGATACAATTCCGGAGCACGAGATCCTGATGACTTCCAGTACAGGTTGTATCTCTCTCCTCTCTCCCTTATCAGAAGCTCAATACCGCCGACTCAGCACTTTATCCAGCCACCTCATCAATACGCTCTACCATGCCTGTGGACTCAATCCTAGAGCATACCGGATCGATAAGGATGCGCCCGAGGGTATGGTGGGTAGCAGGACTGTTATTGATGGTACTATTCTGATGCGATGGATGGAGTTGGGGAGTCAGAGACGAGCGGAGGTTGCGGGGAGAGTTGGTGTTGATGTTGAGGAGGTGAGGGATGATCTGGCGGCTTTGATGGGAGGTCTGGGATATCTGTGAGACGTTGATGGTGGGACAGGCATGTCTTGCTGGATTTGTACTTTAGGTAAAGAGGTAGAGATGCTCAAAAAAGATTACACTCTCAATAAATGCTTACACAGCCCTTGAATAGAAGGCAAAGTTTATTCAAGCCTTCGTCGAGGGTTGGCTGAGGCTCACTTTACTAACCTAGCCTGGCCTCCAGGACCATCTTGAGTCCTCGCCAACAGGAGAGCATTCCACTCATTCCTGGAATTGTCAAAACTCTTTTTAGAACTTGATCTCGCGTGATTGCCCTAGATCTCTCATCAGTTGCCTCACCACGAGAACAGCATCATAATCAGCGTCCTCATCATCTCATCGATTCTTTCAGTACCATTTTCGCATGGTAAACTTGGAAACTGACACGGAACCGACACCGACAGCGCCATATTGTTTACCTACACTGCAGAAAGTAAGCGAGCCCCCTTTCCTTGCTCCACTCATTCCCCATTCCCCACCGACTCCACCCGGAAATTCGTGCCTCAACGCCCATCAGCATGTAAGATGTCCTGTGTTGGTCAGGCCGCTCATACCAAAGGTCTCTGCTGATTTTGATAGCATATTACTTGGCTTTTTCGATGTTAACAGCGGTATTGCAAATTGAGTTCTTGCGGATCGAAGGATAGAAGCTACACCATCGGCGAGGAGCGTGAGGGTATGTGGACTGATCTGCGGCAGGACTTAGGCTTGGAAAATTAAGTGATCTGTGTGATTGAGGTTAAACCTTTGATTCTTCTAAGCAGCATGTCTATAGTATGCACGGTCTCATTTAAACGGTGGTGTGCATTGGATGTCCGTTGAGGGTGGTGGCGTTTGGAGTTTGGCGTTCTCTGCACATGTATTGACATCAACAGAAGCTGCTCAGCGTGAACTCAAGGATAGAGAGGACAAATACAGTTCGTCAAGTTAAAATAGACATTTTATGTATTTCATTACCCATATTATACATTTGTTGTCATGTTTCCCTCATTGTTCCCTTCTGTTGCCCAGCCTAAGTCTAATGTCGTTGATCTGAAAAATGATATTCTTGTGAATTCATCGTCGTACTTCCAAATTGTGGTTTTCAATTTCCCCCATTTTTTTCGTTACTCATGGATCAGTGGCATTCTTGCTTCTCCTCAAACTTCCAAAGCGTCGCTTCAATCCCTCTCCGAGACGTCGTCCAGTGGTGTTAGATCGTCGCATTCCGTCTGCACTGTCAACTTCCAGGAATGCGCCTGCCGATGGTCTCCTAGTATCCCTGAAGTCTTCGTGGTTTCCACTGATGCTTCGTTGACGGCCAGCTCCTGGTCGTTGTGGTTGCATCTCATAGGAGCGACTGTCGGGAGACAGACCGTTGCGGGCGCTGCTCTCCTTATGATCCTTTAATGCCTTCTCGATTGAGTAGGATGGCTCTCCTTTGCCCTTCAGATCATCAGGAAGATATTTCTGCTTGATTGTTAGTTATAGTTTGTCACAAGTACAGATTCCCACATACGACATGATCCCATCTTTTGTACGCTCCTCCTGCCGCGTCTGGCTCGCGCATCAGATCGGCGCCTTCTTCGTAGTCCATTCTGCGGCCCGAGAAATCCTCGAATCCTGGCGGGATGACTGCCGTTCCCTGTAGAGGTACATGTTTCGTCAAAGAGTCTTTGATGTACTCTTTCGGTGTGGCGCGGATAGCTTCTTCATTGGTACTCTTGACAGCTTCAACCGGAGGATATTTGACGTTTGCATTTCGGGAAATCAGCGTTGCGTCGTATGGCCCTTCGTGGTGATATAATCCTCCAATCATAGATTTATCCAGCTTGTCGATGCTATCTGCTCCAGGAATATGCTTCTTCCTCAGATGTGGTGCCCGATTGGCAGCTTTCGTCTCCTTCCGCAATTGGTCAAGAGGTCGATGAGACATGTCTCCCGGGAATCGTTCACCTAGAGAGCCTGGACGATGTTAGACCAGATTTCGCTGGAAGAAGCTTTTAAAGCAGCCACTCACTTCCTCTTCGACGGCCATGTCCACTGTTTGATTGTTCACCAGAGCTCTTCCGGCTCGGACCGCCTTCATTGAAATCCCCAAAAGCTAGCTGTCTGTGAGAAGGGGAATATGGGTTCGATGGATGGAAAGAGGACTTGGTCGGGCTTGCAGAGGCTGGCGGAGTCGGATATGATGATACAGATGCCTGCTTTGAAGATCTGCCGAATGCTGGTGACTTTGAAGTAGAGCTGGATCTGTTGACTGATGATGTGAAGTGCGTTCCAGGACCGGTTTCCTGGCTGGGCTCGGGCGCATTCAAAGGATCGAGGAGATACTTCGCAGCCTGGAAATTGTTACTAAAACATGGCAGATTGATGTTGATCGCAGATGCTGGCACATTTCAAGCTGGAATGCCTGTGCAATTCTGCCAGCATCCATCCATCGAGGACTTACCCAGTGTTTGTCATCGTGAGATTCCATGTTGATCGTGGCGTGAGGCTTCTAGGGATTGTGGTTTTCAACAGGAAAGTTGTCGTCGTGGTGGAAGATGAGACGAGATGGATGGATGGATGAATGGACGGATGGAGTCTTGAGCCGGGAGAATTGGAGCTTATCTAAGTTGCTTTAACAGTCATCCACCCTCCCGATCCCTCCTGCTGGTAATGGTACGAGTACAGTAGCGGTGGTAGCATTATTGGGTTTGGTTGGTTGGTTGGGGTTGGGGTTGGGTTGTCCTGCTGTGCCTGGAACTTACGAATCCGGCAGGGGCAGGGGTCACCCCACTAGGCTCGGCTACGTCATTCGCTGGGCCGGCGTTGACCCTGCAGCGCAGCGTCGAGGCGCGAACGACACCTCGACACCTGGGCACTTGGGCACTGGCCAGGGAGCCAGGGAGCCAGGGAGCCAGGCAATCGTCGATGGGGAAAGCGGATGCGCGGAGAGAAATGGAAATAAGGAGATACGAACAGCTGACGAAGTGCTGATTGGCTTGAACTGAGTATATTAAGACTCGAGGAATTATACCTTAATTTACCTATGCAACTGATATATCCCGTCATTCGTTGCCAGCTACCAGGAAGCTTCTTGATTCGTCTCAACATAGGTATCTACTTTGGGGCATTCGTCTGTTCCTACCTTTCCTGCCTCGCCTGCGTACCTACAGTAACTCACCTACTGACACTGTACAGCAGGCTTGCGCTAGGCTGGCCTAACAAGTCATGCCAAGCCTCTGGAAATAGCAAGCGAGCATCTAGAGCTCGCGCGACGCGTTTGTGCCGACAAATTGAACAGACGGATCAATTGATCAACATCCTTCGTTTCTGGAGGCGGTCGTCATCACGACTCTACTCTACTCGCAAGAGCCTCTGGCACAGTTGTTACCCATCTATTCCCGTCTCCATACGGATATGTAAGCAGGAGCCATGGCTCTGGTTGATTACCCGTCTTCTGATGAAGAGGAGGATGAAGATACTGCAACGCTTAAAAGCAGTAAAGAGAGCTCCACCCTCAAAAGAAACCATGAAGAGCCGTCAAACTTACCTCCGCTGCCTTCCAAGTTCCATGATCTCTACGCTTCGACGACAAGAGTGAGCATAAGAGACGACCCAAGCCTGCATGAGGGCAGAAAGAGAGTGATTCCACACATTGAAGGCAACTGGCCAACCCATATTTATATTGAGTGTATGTGCTTATTACCCCTTTTCGTCCCTTATGAACCCTTGGCTGACTCTATCGAGGGTATCCATCGACAACAGAAGATGCCTCATTATCAAAGCTGATCTCGGCACTGCAAAAAGAAATCTCACTTGATTCCAACTCCAAAGTCCACTCCTCCGTGACTAGCGACGTCGGTGTTCCTCTACCACTTCATGTCAGCCTTTCTCGGTCACTTGGATTTCTAGCACCACAGAAGGACGAGTTCGTTGATTCACTGGGTCGAGTTTTGAAAGTGTCAGGCATTCGACCGTAAGCCCCCTCTCAACCTCTCAGCCTCAGCCACGTGACTGATGATTAAGCTTTGACATCACTTTCACTGGCTTGAAATGGGTTGCCAATTTCGAGAGAACTCGCTGGTTCCTCGTTCTGAGTATTCCCAAACCGGAGTCTGACGGGCTGAACAAGCTTCTCCATGTCTGTAATTCGGTAGTCAAGCAATATGGGCAACCGCCTCTTTATCCAAAGCCACCAACTGGGCCAGCCTTCACTCCTCGAAAGAAGCATCAGAGGCGAAAGTCGCAGGAGAACAGGAGAGCACCCTACGACAAAAGTCACAGTAACATAGATTGGACAGACATGCAAGACGCTACCGATGCCCTGCATATTAGCCTGGCGTGGACGCTACAAAGCCCGAGCCAGGAACTCCTGGAGCTGACCGACCACGTTGCCAAAGATCATCTTGATCTACTTCAAAAAATAGAAGTCAGTATCGCTGAGATCAAATGCAAGGTGGGAAACATTGTGACGAGCATGCCTTTGCCACGGCATGCTTCAGAGCACGAATGAAACGAAGACTAAGAAACAGGCCTTGATTGAGCGATGAGATGCCAGCACTGGTCCAACTTCAGTTAGATGACTGCGCCAATTACCGACCGCCAAAACTACATCACTTGAATATGTCGTTGGAGCAACCGAAAGCAGACCAAGATCATTCTTCATTATTTTGATAACCAGCCAGCAACGTCTCCAGGAGCCGCGGGAAGGAGTCAGTCTTGATTTTATTTAGGATTTGTCGGGCTTAATGGCAGATATTAAGTAACATGGACCCAAGACTATCTACATTGCTTGCCCAAGTGGCAATATCTGACACCATGTCATTGTTCAAGTCCTTCGCGTCAAGGTGGCTAGATTTTCGCAGATCGCCATATCTTAGCATGTCGTTTCCTTTCCTACTTGCCAAGTATTGCGTGTACTCAATTTCCCATGACGCGCAGGTTGTTGCCTCCCACATTTCTTTGCTACACGTCAATGGGAGCGTATCGAATTGCCGGCAAGCGGTGATATTTGGACTGCCAATATTGAAGTCTAATACTTGGTCCATAAGATGTATCAAGAGCAATGTCCTGCACAAGTGTGCCATGTTAGCTCGATCACAATTAATTTGATTGCGGATCATACCTTCTACTACTCTCAGCAAACCTCCATTCATCCCAGGTTGGGAATTTTCCCATTCTCTCATTTGTTGAGAAGTCGCCATTCTCGTCGACCAATTTACGGGCTATCTCCTAAGAATGCGGTTAGCAATCTCGCGATTGGGATTCAACGCCTGTGTATTACCCCCATTGCAACTCTCGTCATGACACTCAATAGATTGCAGCGTTTTGGATCGCAAGCGAGAACAATCACATACATGGCCAGTGCTTGAAGAGCTTCAAGACGGGAATGCTTGTCGCAGCCGCCGATCTGCACAATGTCAGCAACTGCTTCGACTAGTAGAGGTCGAGATCTGGTCAAGGTATTTACCTCGTCGTTCAAGGCGTTCACTTCATGAAACATCGCGTTCAAAACGATGTTATGGCATGCTGAAGTCTTTTTGAAGTACATGCCTGCAAAGTTTTGGAAATTTTCAAGTGCCTCTGGAATAGGTGATACTGTATGTTGAGATGACCATTGGCTTGGCAAGCTGCTCTGGTGCATGAAGGGAGGCACGCGGCCGTTGCAGAACTCTATCGGGTACGTTTTCAGTTCAGACCAGATATTGTTTGTGACCGTGACCTGCCATACTTTGTTGACCTTCTTCCGATTAAGTATGTTTGGAATCATATCTGGAACATTTTCAATGATATTCCGCGGCTCCGAATGGGAAGTAAGTCTCGGGATAGAGATCATCGGTTTAGTGGTGTCAGTGTCATTCATTTACATATTCTTCTGCAGTGCCTTGTCTAATAAGGCGTTCTGGGTGTTCATCTCTGCAAGCAAATCTTCATTGCTGCAGCCAAGGACAGGACCAAATGAGCAGACATCGTGCAGGTCGGTTGCAGAGAGTGGCAGTTCCGGAACTCCGTAAAGGCGCTCTTCATTCCTATCAAAGATAGCTTCAAGTGGCACCGCAATCCCCCTTCCAATGGTCTCCTTGTAAGCATCGATGTTGGGGTGCGTCCCTGGAATTAATGCAGCCTTTGAAAGCGGCTGGTCGGGAGTTGGCGTCATGCCCACTGGCATATGGCAATGGCAAGCTGTTGCGGATATCTCAGGTCCTGTTGTTGTGGTCTCCACCAACCATGTCTGATAGGTCCCATTTGAGCTAGAAATGGCTGGTACCGACGCCCAATTCGGCTGCTCATATCTGCAAGCGAAGCCCTTCTTCTCGCAACGACTACATTGTGTACGGAGGTCACATCTGGTTTTCGCGTACCTGCATTCTCTACAGGACTTCTTCCGTGAATGTTCCATTGTACCGTTCGAGTTTGATATTTTGAACGTTTTGATATTTCGTTTCTTTCTAAGATTCGAGGTCAGGACTTGAATTGATTTGAACTCGCTGACTGTATACCACGAGCTAGACATCGCTGCTGTCTTGGCCATGCTCAATGACAAATAGACGCTGTTGCGGACTTCGACCCACAATTAGCCAAATCCGGCCAAGCTTCATATTCTCGCCGTCTCGCTTACTTGCTTCGAAAACAATAGACCACATTGGGATTAGTGTTGTGACTCTCCCTTGGTTGAGATGTGCTTTGAAATGTGAAAAGGAAAAGGTTAGCAGGAGATGGTTGTCTGCGTCGATCATACATAAACACTGCAAATCTGCCATGCTATTGCTTCTAATTTACCTCACGCTCATTGTGATATCTCTCCTCATCGTTCACACCCATTATCTGAATCATCATCGTCTCATCATGCCCTCACCAATCCGAGTCGGTCTCGTTGGCCTAGGTAAAGATCCCTTCAAGATGGGACCTGGTATATGGGGCGCCTCAGTCCACCTTCCATACCTCATCACATCACCAAAATATACTCTCGTTGCCGTCCAGAACTCAACAGTCGAATCAGCTCTTGCATCAATTGAATATCATAACCTAGGACCTGATATCAAAGCATATGGTACCCCAGAAGACCTGGCCCAAGATTCAAACGTCGACCTAGTCGTCGTTTCCATCGTCGTCACGCACCACTACGCCGTTGCGAAACCTGCTCTGCTGGCCGGCAAGGACGTTTTCGTTGAATGGCCTCTAGCGACCACAACCGCTGAAGCAGAAGAACTGTCTAAGATCGCCGAAGAGAAAGGCTGTAAGACTATTGTGGGCTTGCAAGCACGAGCTAGTCCTCTAGTACTTGAAATCAAGGAGGTACTGCGGAGTGGCAAGATCGGGAGGATTCTATCATCGACTGTTGTTGGACAAATTTCCAGCCTGAAACCATTCGGGACTTGGCAAGAGAGTGCCAAGTATTATGTTGATATGGATAGTGGTGCGAATGGTTTCTATGTTTCGTTCGGACATTGTGAGTTCCCCTATCCTCAGGAAACCATGCATGTTCAAGGTGCCCAACTCACGCTCCTCCAGTCCTCAATTCATTTGTCCAAATTCTCGGCCCCTTTACCTCCCTCTCTTCAATCTTACACACGCATTACCCAACCATCGTGAGTATACATCCGTTTCCAGACTCCCTTTCCGTATAATCTCGGAATCCGTCATCTCCTCTACATCCATCCCTCGAGTCATCTCTCAAACCTCTTCAATCATCTCCCTACTCAAGAATTCTCAAGGCAATATTCACTAACACTATATCCTCATACAGTCACTCATCGATGACAACGGCTCCATCACTTCCCCCTCCCACCCCAAAACCTCCCCAGACGCCATCTTCGTCTCCGGGACCCTCCATTCCGGCGCCATCGTCTCACTCTCTCATATCACCGCACCAATCGATCCCGTCGATGACACCAGCCTTCGCTGGATCATCACCGGTTCCGAGGGAGCGCTAGAAATCACTGTTCCCAAAGATCTGCCTTGGCAGATGGGACCACCTGCTGTTCTGAAGGCGAGATTTGGTAAGGATGCAAATCAGGAGGTGGAAGCTGTGGAGTGGGAAGGGCCCAGAAATGGGGAGGGGAGCGAGGTCGGGCAGTTTCCTGCGGCCAATACGAGGAGGCTTTATGAGGCTTTTGCGGATGTGAAGGGTGGGGATAGGGCCAGGAGGGAGGAGTATGCGAGTTTTGGAGAGAGTGTTGAGACGAGTAGGTTGTTGGATTGGATTAGAAGCGCGGCAGGGAAATAGAAAGATGGTGTTGGTCCACAGGCATATGACTGGGGATGTGGGTTTGGAGTCTGAGGCGGAAAGGTGTCGGTTTCAATTATGATTGTGCAGTCAGTGAAAGCAGTTACAACACCTTTATCAACTCTGGGAATTGTGTGACAAAATTAAAGTAGGAAGAAAGCAGGCGAGAATCCTAGGTAATCTCGGGGGGCGTTGATACTGGCGTTAGTCGTCTACACCTCCTCAACCTGGCAACCCGGGCGGAACGTTGCAGTGAGATAGTGTTTGCTCGCTCGTCGACCATGACAGTAGGAAGGATGTTTGATCAAGACAAGTCGAGATCGTGCCAGAGGAAGGAGCGAGTCGAGCGAGCAAACTTTTGCAAATTAGTAGCGAATAGAAGTAAATAACTTCCAATGGTGTATGGCGAAGATAATATCAATTTGAGAAGGAGCTATCTGCTGCTCTCGGGGTATCAGAATATGTTTCAGCTTATGACTTTCTCTAGAGGGTCAAGGATTATGGGAAAAGGTTAGACACAACGCACTTCAAGGATCTAGGTCTTGAGAGGAGGCGGTGCACACAAAGGTCTATATTGACTAGCCAGCAAAAAGCATGCAGTTTTGACCCGCCACTCCTGATAAAAACTTGCAAACCCACCACCAAGAGAAGCAAACACCTGATCTACCATCCGGAATATGAAGAGATCTCACTACACAGCTACAAAGAGCGAGGGTCTTCTCTTCTCAATACATGGATGTTCTAGCGCAGAAACTCCACGTTCTTGCTGTTGATGAAAGCACACACGCTCTGATCAACTGCAAATCTCTCGACAGCTGCTGGGGTATTTCCACGCTCAAACACGAGGCTACTTTGAGTGAAGGAGTCAAATGTCTCCCAAGTATCTGACGCAGGGATGCCATTAGGATCAAGCTTGTTGATAAAGCTGATGATCGAGCGTTGGAACTTGGCCATTACAGTCAGGTCTGCTGGGCTTTGTTTTGACATGTCGACACCACTGTTCCGAATTAGTTAAATTCATGTATATTGGTAGAGGGAGCATACCCAATGGGGAATAAGTATCGGAGGTCGCTGCCTTGTGGGACGCCTTCCCATGATTTAACAGGAGATGATTGAAGGACGGCGTTGAAGCGGTACTTGAAAACGTTGTTTACATTGGAGACTTGCAGTGCCATGGTGTTTGCTGGGCAGAACATCTGTAAGTCGTTCAGGATGGCGACAACGCGACTCCATTGAGCACCGGAGAGAGGTGGGCCGATGTTTCTGTATCGGGAGACTATTGGATTATTAATTTTGAGACAAATATTTTTGAGAACCAACAGTGGTGTATGGATTAGAACATTCATATCCGCATAAAGCTAAATCCAAATACACTGAGAAACAATGAGGATGCATGCTTACCTGGGTAGTACGACAAAAGGCTCTGAAGTGTTGCATCACTGACATATGGGAAGAGCAACTTCAAGTAGGCGATGATGCTCTCATCGGTTCCAAATCCGCTGTATATTGGTACAAAATTGACAACTAAAGAAGAATTGAGAAGTTAGCATTGGTGGACAAGTATGATTACAGGGTACAAAGAGTTTTCAAGAAGATATCTAGAACAGCCCCCAAGTCCCCCTCCCCCTCCCCCTCTCCTTCCAAGAGCCTCGTTGAAGTTAGCAATATGGAGACTCACGTTCGCTTGTAGTTGTTCCGATCAGGATTGGTACTTGTGCAAACTTTCCTTCCTCCATAAGAGTGGATGGGAAATCGGTCAAGAATGTACCGTCAACAACTGGAGAAAATCTAAAAAACCAGTCAGGTACACAGTTCCAAGAGTGTTTTGGAGATAGATTCCAGAAATGTTCTGAATATGAGATAAGGCACTTACACAGAAGCGGGATTAGCAAGCTTCGTATCAGCGAAAACTTTGCTAGATGCCTTCACCAGTGAATTGATCGGTGCAATTTGAAGGCAGGACCAAGTCTCAGGATAATTGTTGCAACTGTGCTTGTTAGCACTGTCTTTGAACCTGGATGGAGCACATACCCAGTTGCTGAGGCAATGGCATCGTAGTGGCTCTGCCATTCAGTGTGGTTAGGGCGAGGGATGGGAGAACGACCAGCTGCAGAGCCACTGTGAAGGATGGCACCATGAAAGAGGCTATCGGTCTTGGCTCCATAACCCAGCAAGTGAAATGCAACCATATCAGCTCCACTGCCTTGTCCACCGATGATGACCTGATTATATAAGGTGTCATGTTAGCAGCTGTAGCTCGACTTATCTTGAGGGTGCTAAAGGAAGGTGTTTATTGTCATTACTGTCAGAACGGAGAAGCGCCGAGGAGGAAGACTTGCCTTCTTTGGGTCTCCGCCGAAGTATGAAATGAACTGTTGTAACCAGATCAAGGACCATCTCGAATCAAGAATACCAAGGTTCGTGGCAGAATGAGATTCAGCCTCTCTGCCACTTGGAAAGCCAAGGAATCCAAGCCTGTAGTTGACAGCGACATAGATGATAGGATTACCCAAAGCAATGCTAGTCTTGACGAGGTTACGACCATCGTAGTCAGACTTATCACCAGAGTTGAAGTCGCCGCTGTGACAATCAGAGTCAATCTTTGGAAAAGGCATGGAAGAATAGAAGGTGGAACTTACCCATGGAAGAAAACGTAGACAGGAAGAAGCTTCTTTGGTGGAGGTGACATTGGATTAGCCAGGACAACGACAGGATTGCTTTTACCACTCGGGCCAGTTGAAGGACGAATGAGATCAAGAGTCAAGCAGTCCTCCGAGCCAGCGATCGAGGAGGCACCTGGGCCAAGCTCGAAGCATCGGTTGCTGATAGACTTATTGGCCAGGACAACTCCCTGATCGCCAGATAGTGGCATAGGAGCATGGAGACGAGTTGGACGAGAGACGTATGGCACGCCAGTGAAGACATCAGTGCCATACTCCGGGTCGTGGACGCCCACAAAGGAGTCCGCGCCGCTAGAGGCAGCAAGAACCAGAGCAAAGACGAACATCAGCGTGAACTTGATCATGGTGATGAGTGATGCTTGCCGAGAACGCGTGTGTTTCAAATGACAGTAATCATAGGAGAATCAGCGAGCAGAAGAGATTATGATGTTCGGAGCTGAAGTACCACTCACGTTGACGTTTAACCGAGTATTTGGGAGCCAGGAAAAAAATCCACACCATTCACCAATCTATTCTCTGACCTACATGTGACTCCTTCTCTGAGGTTTGTTGCAGCCTTTTAGCCTCCCGTCACGGGCCGGTGAGAATAGTCTCGCTGGCACAATTCGCTTTCCAAAGACCAAAGCATTTGACCCAGCACCACAAGAAAGAGCTATTCTCAAGAAGGTTGCGCTCTGTATGCCTTCATAGTTTTCCCAGCAACAGAAGTGACAGCAGAATACTCAGATCTCCGCACCGAGTCGACACTCCGCAAGGACTCAAGTAGCAATAAATCACAATTCTACAAATATTCAAGCATATAAGAATAAAGGGGGAACGCAGGTAACTCCTTTAAATTTTGTAAATTGAAAGTAATAAATTGAAATGCCTGACAATGCAATTTAAACCGCTTCCGGATCAAAGAAAAATGCAACGCCTCACGCTGATGCTTGTGCAAACAAAGAACGCCGAAACTATGTATTACCAAGTCTTCAAAGTTCATCCACTGTAGGCCGCCGAATTTTCCATGCCCTTGGCCGGACGGGTAGACCAATGTAGTTATTCCAAGCCCTCGAAGCCTCCAGGGTGAAGATCTGCCAACTGATTGCACATTAGCTAAAGCGTCATGTCATGTAAGGGGGATAGAGACTTACGCTCGAAATGGGAAGTTGATCCAGCTTTTGACCACGAACTTGGACACTCTCCATATTAGGTCCAATTCGGCATAGAAGGCTTCCGAGACCGTGGCGTTAGCGGCAAGCCTCTGGCGCTTGAACGGTTCACTCTCGTGAGCCACATAGTCGGCCTCAGTAGGATCTTTATACTCCTTTCCAGGTATAACGTGGTGAGGTTTTATGACTCGATCAGAGATGATCTTCTCTGCTTCTAGAGACTCTTCAGCTTCCACCATACTCCTGAACTCGGCGATCGCTCCAAGGGAATTAGAGATCCGAGCAAGTGTGTTAAAAAGTGCCACCAGCTCTGTTCTCTTGAGCATGGGAATATCATCAGAATTATTCTCGAATTCGAAGAGGACTTTCAAAGCTGCTCCGTAGCCAGCAGTTTGCAGCTTGCCCCATAGCCGACACTTGTCACAGCCAACGCAGTCCATGATTCGGCTAACATTTCTGAATCTGTTACGAAAGTCTTCCTTCAAGCTTGGGCCCTCGCCATTGACGAACATGAGGCTCTCGTCAAAGATCTGTGGCACTGTACCCGCTCTTGATGTGAGAGCTTGTACTTTAGCCTTGGTTTCACGATCTTGAATTGGATCGCCAGAGCAGAAGGTGTAGTCCTTCAAGTAAGGCCCAAGTTTGGTGACTGCGCGGAGAACCAAAGCATAATTGAAGTAGAGGTTGGACACTCTGTCTGGATATCCATGCAATCTGTCTTTGTAGCATTGCAAGTTTGGTCCCCAAGCTCCAGTTGTCTGATTGAGATACTCCCAGCAGATATGGGTACTGATGGAGGTATGCATACCAGAAACAACTCTGTAGAAGACCCGTTTCTCTAAGCATTGATCCTCATGCTCAAGACCAGATTCCGTTACGAAAGGTGTATTTGGCGTATGCTTTTGGTGCTCCTCGAGCGCTTGTTGCAAACCCCGTTCTCTCATAACAGATTGTAGCTCGCTAATTGCGGGACCTTTCTCAGGAAACGATGAAGTGCCAAGAGCCGCTGACTTAGGGAACGATGACTTCGAAAAGCAATTCTCTCTGTAAATGGCATCCCAAACCTGCTTGCTGCCCTCTCCTGCATATCCCGTGAACCTCTCTGGATTGTCTACCAAGCTCACATAGTCTCCCTTTGAGCCAGCACTTTCATCCTCCGGAACACAGTAATCCCGCTCGTCGCATTCGTCGTCATATTCTACAACACAACTCTCTCCAACATCCTCACCCAGCATTCCTTGAAGTGGCCTCACTGGCCCACGTTCCTCTTGTAACTTTTTGCCGGGGTGCCCTGCTTTAGGGCCTTCCAACTTGCCCAGTTCTTCCGCCCTCCATATTTCGGGTATATCCTCTTCATTGTCTAGAGTGTTTACGGCGCAAGCAATATTTCCACACATGCCACTATCATCGTTCCAGAATGGGCACTCCTTTCCAAATAAATTGAGCCGATAGTATGCGAAGAAGTCGGTGGTTTGTGTGATATCATTGAGCGATGGCTTGAGCTCGTGGTTGAGAGTGTCGAGGGTGGAGTAGGAAGCGCAGGCATCTGAGACAATTGCTTTGGGAGAGATCTGAGTAACGCTATTAGACAAGCATGTCTGATAAAAGAATAAAATTGCGTACCGCGCAAACATCGGGGCTAGGGGTTTTGGCCTTTGATGCTACTTTGGAGTCTGCGCCATGGGAAGTCCCAAGGAGAGAGAACACAGCAAGATAAAAGACCTGCGCTGCCGTCTTCATGATCGATTATCACAAGACAGTTGGCCTTTATCCCACGTCGTTTTAGGCGAGAAAGCCAAAATATGGCTGAATAGGATCGCACGTAAATTGGTGGTGGTGGGGTAGTTGGTTTGTTCTTGGAGGTTGACAAAGGATCGCAAGCTATTGAGGCTTCGAAGCGTCCATAAGTCGGTCGAAGAAATGTACAGGAAAATTTGAATCCAATTTCAAATTCTCCAAGTGAGCATCGCTAGGTAATGCGAGAGTTGGAACGAGTGAAAGGGCGACATGTGTACAGTGTTGATTGTAAAGCACCCTTGGTTTCGGTATATCTGTCTGTTCGGCTTGTGGTTCGATTACAATTCCATCAGCCTACTCGGTGCCACTAACAAAAAGACCAGGGAACAGCGTTTAACGCCACTCTTGGCAACATCCAGTCGTCCCGTTCCTGAGCTTTACCAAATTAGGAGACTGGCTTTGCTTCGTGTACAGTAATATTTTGGCAGGTTTACATCATAACGGCGAGAGTAATGAAACACCGAGATTTCTTGTTTTTAAAAGGCTTCCAAAAAAGTCATCTGCTTCACACATTTGTTTCAAGAAACATTCGGTCTCAAATGCGGTCACTATCAATACGACCTTGGCAGTACTCTGGGAAGGCAAAATCTGAACTCTAAATAAATCGTGTGTAGGCAGTGGACATGTGAAGATGAGCGGCAGATAAAAAACATTGGGAGAGGGCGAATCGCTTTCATGCATGATCGTTTTGTGTCTCTATGATCAAGCTCTATTTTCCCCAGCTATCAAGCTTAGTATGCAAAAATACAAGCTCAAATGGGAAGCCCTCTGGTACACCATGGTGATACGATCCACAAGAACACAAGTCCAAGGGCGTCGAAGAAGCCAAGCAGGGGGCAAAAAGTTTCGAGCTCCGTATTTTCTGCCTACACAGATGCCCTATCCAATATCATACATTCCGTTTGCCTGTCCTACCAGATGGAACGGTATGAAGGGAAGCCGAAAAAAGAAGAGAATGTCCATTAGCCCTAATCTAGTACATCGAAAAGGAAGGCATGAGGTATGGTGTATCGAGAGAGACATGAGACGTAAAATCGTCAAAAGCATAGGTACGCCATTGTTTGCAAAGTCTTGCGCTCCAGAAAAACCACCAAATTCAAATCGAGGCCGTGAGCAAGAAATCATTGTATTTATTGACCTGGGGGAACATAGTTGATTGGTCTCCTAACCTCAAGTTAATATGAGCAATCTGCCTATTCATCCCGTGACTCTTACTTGAATAGAAGTATATGCGGCTCGGGCTCGTGAACTTCGTAATGTTCCCATCCAAGACTCTGCAGACCGTCAGTTTCAGCACAGAAAGTGGCCGTCGCGTGCTCAACGTACCTGTGTAATACCTAAAGCCCTCCACTCCTCCTCCCACAATAGTTTCAATGTGCCTTTCGAGGAATCATGGTACTCCTTGGGAATGGCCTTTAGCATGTTCTTTGGAAGCTGGACATGTCGATATTCGAATTCGTTGTCGGAGTACCTGCATTGACCAGTTAGCAGTGCATGAAGGAAATCCTTTTTAACACGACCCCGAAAATTCATTTCCAGAACCAGTTCATGTGTTTTCTCCATCACGTATCTTTAAGACAAAGCACTGTACACGCTGATGACCGGATGTTCAAGAAGATGTCGCTATTCTACTTACCTTGCTGAGTAGTGGATCGAGTCAATGAACTCCTCCAGGCGCGCCTTTTCCGACTCTGTGAGTGGTCTCGGGTTCTTGTTTCTTCTGTTATAATCCATGTCCGACATCTTGGCTTCGCTTTATGTTTCTCGTCGTCGTCGTCGAAATGGCTCTGCAGCTAATGGTGGGGCACGCGACAGGAGCTTCCGAGAATCCAAATTCGGAGAAGGACCTCAGGACAGTGCAGAACGGGAATCGGCGGATTGATGATGAGATAATAATCTGCCGGGTATTGTGATGGGCGAGCAGGATGTGCTTGAGAAAAGTGCGAGGAAAGGTGTGGCGGGCGTGTTTGTTGCAGTGAGGATGTTGAAATTGTCCAGACGAAGTCGAGTACTCTGGCGCGAGCAAAGGAATAGAAGCAATTGTGAAGAAGAAGTGGAAGCGATCCAGAGCCCGGGGCAAGAGGGAGGACAACAAGAAAGGTAGTGGATTTGGGTTGTTGCGACCAAGAAGTGAAGTTATTGATTTATTAAAGTAAACAATGCTCCTCCCCACAGCCTTGCCGACGCTATCTGTAACAAGCTTAGCGTCGTATCACATGACCCTACAGCAGGTACTCTCAAATGGATGAAGAGCGTGGGCTCAGTCGAAGGTGCTATGGTGAGCGAAGAAGATTGAATTGCACAACAAGTGAATCATATTCCCTGGCACTATAACAAGTTTTCAGCGTTACGACGCATAATATAGGCACGAAGACGAATTTCGATTTTCGGTTTTCGTGAACCTTCACTCCTATCCCGTTTCGGCAAACCCAGCCCAGGCCATCCAACAGCAAGCAAGGATCTTCTCATCCTCACTCCACGACGGACGCGCTGCCCTGAGTGATCGCGTCGCCCAGCAGTCTGCGCCAACACCACAGCAATTGAAGATTCGATACCTACAATCCACAAGAGATTCCGCGGCGCATCAATAATCGGAACCGGCTCGGCGACGCACGACCGAAAAGGACAGCATGGACAAGCGCAAGGTGAATGGCGGAGGCCATGCGAGCGAAGAGTTGGACGATCGCGCTGCGAAGAGAAGAAAGATGCCGAACAGTGTAAGTGCTCGTCGCCTCGCTTTCCTTTGCTGCGCGGTGTGAAGAAAGATGGAGTGCGCGATGTGGGTTGTGCTTTGTATTGGCGATGCGGACGACGGTCGCAGGGACTCGAAGCGGCGCACTGAAGGTTCATGACCTGCACCATATTTCGTGCCTCCGCGTTACTTATTTATCGAAGATATCGGACAGGCCAGGCAAGGCTGACAAGATGGCAGGACATCGACCTAATGCAGGGAGAAACCGCGGAAACCACCACGCAAATGGGTCTGAAATTGATAGACACTTTCCGGCAAACAGCAGACAAGAGGTACGTTTTATCGAATTCATATTGCGACAGGCGCACTCCAGCCTCGTGCAAGTAACAGGTCCCTGTACACATGTCGGACTTACATGCTTCTGCACCTTATATTATGTACCTTCCTAAAAGCAGATTCCAACAACACGTCCCAATCATTGATTGCAGTCTGCACATTTGATTGACATTAGCAACAGTGGACGCCTTATTGCTACACCCTTCCTCACTCTACCAAACAAACGACAATTCCCTGACTACTACGAGATGATTCGGATGCCTATTGCCTTGGATACGATCGAAGCGAAACTCAAGCGCCGCGAATTTCCGACTCTCACGACCCTCGAAAGCTATTTCAAGCGAATGATTGCGAATGCAAAGGAATACAATCAGCGAGGATCTGAGATATTTGATGACTCTGAGCGCCTGAGAAAAGCTTTGAGTAACTTTATGACGAGGTGGAATCCGGCATATAAATTGATTCCTGGTTATACAGCATTTCCAACACCATTCCCCGCCACTCCTGACCCAATACCTCAGACGGAAGGTGGTGATAGCGATGAGGATGCTCCGGGAGAACCTGAATATGAAGTTCCAGCGACGACCACTAAGAAGGGACGCGGACGACCACCAAAGAACCCTCAACCACAGAGAACGAGTGTTACTCCTGCTTTATCCGAATTTACATATTCGGGAAGCGGTTTCCAGGGCCTTTCATTCCAGGATGCCCAAGAGAGATTCGTAGATGACTGTATCGTTCAGAAGGAATACGCCGAGTAGGTCAATTGTACATTTGAAGAAGGCACTATACTGATCCGGAATGAAGGGACGATTTCCCAGCTTTCCAACCATTTATTGATCTTCCATCGAAGGTCGATTATGAAGACTATTACCGTGTGATTGACCACCCTGTCAGCTTGAAAACTCTTAAGAAAGGCGTCAAAGGCGTCAGAGGCAAGTATGCCGCAACCGGGAAATCACTCTTTACGACCTGGTCAGCATTTGAGACTGAAGCGAGTTTCATCTGGAAGAATGCTTTCAAATACAACGAGGATGGCAGTGACATTTTCGTACTTGCCCTCGAGTTCAAGGTGAGTCACGCAGTCATGACCTTTATACGCATGCATTGCTAACAATCTTGAGACTTTCTTCACGAAGCTTCTAGCCGAAGCTAAGAAAGCTGCACCTGATGGAGCCGCGCCAGCCATCGAAGCACCGGCTGCTCCACGGATCAGCTTGAAGATCAAACAGCCTCCCCAGCCTAAGTTTACTCTGAAATTTCCAGGCAGGCCTACACCTGTTGATTCTCCTACTCCTCAAGCGGCAGTTCGTGCAAACGGGTCAGCCGGACTTGCTACTGCTAATGGCCGAAATCCATTTGCTTCTGCAGCGCCTGCTCCTAGTTTGGATCCTCTCGAGCGGGCTAGAAGTGCATGCGGATCTGTCCCTTCCCCAACGCCTTCGAGTGCTGCCCTTGTCAAGAACGAGGAAGCTGGCCGCAACTCACCAGCTGTCCCGAGCCACTTTAGCAATCTCCGGGGGTCGAGCCAGGCCGTAGCATCACCTGCTTTGGCTACGAATGGTATGCTGCCACCGACAACTCCTGGCAATACCTACAATGCTGGTGGCTACGCTCAAACCTTCAATCATCAAGCTCAATATAACCCGCCAAATCCCAGCTTCGATTCGAAATGGCGTCAACCTGGTAAAAGTAAGTACCGATGTAGCTCAGCGTTGGACTCTGGCTAACAAATTAGATGCTTCTGACGCTATGATCACAAATTTGAGTCTTGCAACTCACCCAGGGCTCAATATCTCTCGCCATTTCCGTATGGATTTGCCACCATCTGCAACGATGGCCCAGCAGTCCATCACCATAAATCTTCCATCGACTCACTACTACCTTCAGATCAAACCGACAATCGCCCAGTCTTTGCTTGACCGCCAACACAAGTTATTTGTCACTTCGGGCACCCAAAGACTAAATGCGATGCCTCTAATTCCAGGACATCCCGTTGATCATCGACACCCCTTATTCGAAGCCCGACTTCTCCCAGGTGTGAACAGAATCGATATTGAATTGATCGCAGCGCTCCCAAAGGGTGCTGCCAAACCTGCTAGTGGTCAGGAGGCTGAGTTGGAGAAAATTACCGTGTTTGCGAATCTTCTGAAGGCTTGAGAAGGCCGCTGTGTATCCATCTTGACAAGGATGGACTCTTTGGGGACGGCGTTATTTGCAGATATGGCAACGGCCATGGGGATGGCGCATTCTGGTCTTTGCCTAGCATAGGGGCGTTTGTATAGTACCACAACCTGTTTGAGTCAATGTTCACTTATGAGAATCTTCAAGAAGTATGGGCCGGAGCTGCTTCATTGTTATATTAGCTCATAGAATAGCATAGCGTTGTCCCATTTCAGACTTTAGGACAAGTGATTCGGGAATTCTTCGCTCCTAGAACGAACATTCGACATTTTCAAAGCCTTCGTTGAGACGAGATCTGGAGAACAGTCCCAAATCATTCCTCGTAAAATCGTGCACAGTCGGGGCGGTGAGCGGTAAATATTTCCAGTGGCTTCCACGATATTTGAGCAGGGCAGTCAGAGGCCCGAGTTCTCGAACCTGCTCAATTTATTACAGAGAATCTCAAATTTGCATTGTTTAGTTTTGGCATTCCTATGCCTCTCACTGCATCTGGTCGGTCCGTTGCAGTCAATCTTGAAAGTTCCTTTCCGTCGTCAGGACATTCGACGGTGGGTTCATTGACTGTGGTGAGACTTTTGACTCTGGACATCACGAGCCCAGACTGCCGAATTTAGACCGTGGAGCGAAGGCTCAACACCAAGCTTTAATGTACCAAAATACGCCAGATACATAAAATAAACGACACCGGTGGATCAATATATTGCCGCATTTCGCAAATAGTTTACAGTTGACGGTGTAATAACGGTACTAGCCACTTGATTTGCTTGTCCATGTTTTGCACCACTTATCAACCTTTTTCTCATTGGCTGGCTCTTAGCGTCGCCATAACCGAACGGCAGCTAATCCACCCTGCTGCACACCTCTTTTTGAACTTTTTTCTCGAGGTTCCATTTTCACCCTCCCCGCCATATCTTCAACTCCCATTCCTCCAACCCCGAAAACCACAAAACAATCATCATGGCTGAAGAGATCTACGACGGTGCGATCGGTATCGATCTTGGTACGTTTTCTGCCCGCTATTGAAGGATACTCGTCGTGTGTTGAAAATCAAATTATGCTGACCAGTTATCGATCAACAGGCACCACCTACTCTTGCGGTACGTTATCGACATTGGATTTAACAACGGATCCACGAATACCATCTACACCGGATACTGATTGATGATAGTTGCCAACTATGAGGGTACCAACGTTGAGATCATTGCCAACGAGCAAGGTGGGCATTTTCCCGGATCCTCTCAACATTTGTCGGGACTAATGTGTCTCCAGGATCTTTCACCACTCCTTCATTCGTCAGTTTCACAGACAAGGAGCGTTTGATCGGAGAGTCCGCAAAGAACCAGGCTGCTATGAACCCAAGAAATACCATCTTCGACATCAAGTTAGTCCATCCACCACTATCGCTTAGCGACATGTACTAATACACCTCAAAGGCGTCTGATCGGTCGCCGCTTCGATGACCCAACGGTCAAGAAGGAGTAAGACTCATACTCTTAATGTAGAGTAACAAGTGCTGATGATATGTAGTATCGAGTCATGGCCATTCAAGGTCGTTGACCAGGAGGGTTCCCCAATGGTAGAGGTGGAGTATTTGGGGGAGAACAAGATTTTCTCACCCCAGGAAATCTCCTCCATGGTTTTGACCAAGGTACATTGACTCTCCCCACAACACGCAACCGGAACATGAACTAATATAATACCCTCCTGCAGATGAAGGAAGTCGCCGAAGTCAAGTTGGGCAAGAAGGTTGCTAAGGCCGTTATCACTGTCCCCGCCTACTTCAACGACAACCAGCGTCAAGCTACCAAGGATGCCGGAGCCATTGCCGGTCTCAACGTCCTCCGTATCATCAACGAGCCTACCGCCGCTGCTATTGCCTACGGTCTCGGTGCCGGAAAGTCCAACAAGGAGCGAAACGTCTTGATCTATGATCTCGGTGGTGGAACTTTCGATGTTTCCCTTCTCAACATCCAGGGTGGTGTTTTCACCGTTAAGGCCACCGCGGGAGACACACATTTAGGCGGACAAGACTTCGACACGAACTTGCTTGATCACTTCAAGAAGGAATTCACGAGAAAGACCAAGAAGGATCTGTCTGGTGACCCACGTGCCTTGAGACGTCTCCGTACCGCTTGTGAGCGTGCCAAGAGAACTCTCTCCAACGGTGCCCAAACCACTGTCGAAATCGACTCCCTCTTCGATGGTGAGGATTTCAATGCCCAGATTACCCGTGCCCGTTTCGAGGATCTCAACTCCAAGGCCTTCAATGGCACTTTGGACCCAGTTGCCCAGGTTCTCAAGGATGCCAACATCGACAAGAGCAAGGTTGACGAGATTGTGCTTGTTGGTGGATCTACACGTATTCCAAAGATCCAGAAGCTCTTGAGCGACTTCTTTGATGGGAAGAAGCTTGAGAAGAGCATCAACCCCGACGAGGCCGTCGCATACGGTGCAGCAGTCCAGGCCGGAATTCTGTCAGGAAAGGCCACCTCTGCCGATACCGCCGATCTTTTGTTGCTCGACGTTGTACCTCTCTCATTGGGTGTTGCCATGGAGGGTAACATCTTTGCCCCAGTCGTCCCACGTGGACAAACAGGTGAGACCATCGCCCATCTGCTAATGACGTTTTGCTAACTTTTGAAAGTCCCAACCATCAAGAAGAGAACTTTCACCACTGTCGCCGATAACCAGTAAGTAGCCCCACAGAAATCCACTCCAATGTCACTAGTTTGTCCAGTGACATACATTGTCCCTTTGCAGTGGAATTGTACCTGCTCGAATACCCTCCTGGATACCCCGCTTTCTGTTTTTGAAAGTAGCAAGTCATATGTCGTCCGAGAAACTGGCGACATGTGGCATTTGACTCACCAATTCCGGACATGGTCTTGTCTCTTGCATGACTTCTGCATCCTGTTTAATTTTTCCTTGCAAGATTGGTCACTAACCTGGATTCCGCCCTACAGACAGACAGTGCAATTTCCCGTATTCCAGGTACTTAATTGCCCTCAGAAATCCGCTCTTACAAGGCCTACAAGCTAACTTGCATTTCAGGGTGAGCGTGTCAACTGCGAGGACAACACCTCCCTCGGAGAGTTCACCTTGGCTCCTATCCCACCGATGAAGGGTAAATCAGATTCCGAATCCTTGCGTCTTTACATTTGCTAACTATATGGCCAGCCGGAGATGCGGTTCTCGAGGTCGTTTTCGAAGTCGACGTCAACGGTATCCTGAAGGTCACTGCCACTGAAAAGACCTCAGGACGCAGTGCCAACATCACCATCTCCAACTCTGTTGGCAAGCTGTCCTCGGGTGAAATCGAGAGCATGATCAACGGTAAGCAGGATAGAACGATGCGCTCAATAACTTTACTAATAATCGATTAGATGCCGAGAAGTTCAAGAACAGTGACGAGGCTTTCAGCAAGAAGTTCGAGGCAAGACAGCAACTTGAGTCATACATCTCGAGAGTTGAGGAGATCGTTTCCGACCCAACAATGTCCCTCAAGCTCAAGCGTGGAACCAAGGAAAAGATTGAGTCTGCTCTTAGCGACGCCATGGCTCAACTTGAGATTGAGGATTCCACCTCTGATGACTTGAAGAAGAAGGAGTTGGCCCTGAAGCGCGTTGTCACGAAGGCTATGTCTACCCGCTAGATTACGAATTTGCTACACAGCACACGGAGCAATGGTTGGTGGTTGATGCATGATTTTCTCGGCATGGATTGGCTAATCTGGTTTCTGGCTCTTCCTATGGGTTCATAAAAAGTCATTTGCGAGTTTCTGATCTGGCTGCTTTGTGATCAAGGAATGTTTTTCTTCCTATTTTACGGGCATAAAGCGCGCTTGTAGAACAGGAAGGGAGAAAGTTAATCAAATTGAACAAAAACATGAAAAATACCTGTCTATCCCTCAGTCTGTCTTTTTGTGATGTCAAGTACTAAGGGCATTGCGAGGATTCTTGACCACTCAGTCTTCAGTTCTATGCTTATGACACCAACACTGCAGTTCCATCTGTTTTAAGAAGTTCTGTTACATCCTTGGTCCTTTCCATGGCTCCTTCCCCACAATCCTCCTCAAATGTCCCAGCCAGGAGTCTGACTCTTTCCCAATACGGATCCCTTAACAAAGCAAACAGCCTCGTCCAATTCTCAAACCACTCTCCCTTCCCCAGAGTCTTCAAGAATCTCTCTTTAACCACTACCTCCACTTCCCTCAACCTACCATTCAATACACAATCTTCCAGCACCGGCAGTAAAGTCTTGCAAAAGAAGTCCTTCGTGCCCCATCGTAACACCACTATCCTCAGCGCATGGATCTGGCGTCTATTATCGAGGAATGAAGGACACAGAAAGTATGACCACTCGTCGTTGCGCCGCCGTATTGTTAGAGAGAAGGTGTTGCAGGTGAAGTAGATGGGTCGAAGTTCGTGGTACAGTTGTGTGTTGGCTAGTAGCAAATTATGCGGGAAAGTTGGGTGGATTGGTTCGGAGAAAGGAGAGGAGATTGAGGACAGTGAGACGTAGGGTTTTGGTGAGGTGCAGAGTAGTATGTAGATTTTGGTGCGAATTTCTGGGGGAAGATCGAGGATTCGGAAAGGTTTGGACATGGTGTAAATTTGAGAGTATTCTTAGATAACTCATGGATACAGAGCCCTGGAATGAGCTCAGATACTACAATACATAGAAAGCGGCGTAGATCGAAGGTATGTAATGAGCATCGAACTGTCGTCGCCACAAGCTTGATGCGAAAGAAGGCTGAGATCCGAGACGAGGCGCTGCCGACGCCTTGTCAAGTTGCCAAACTTTTTGGAACGTCAGACTTCGCCCAATAAACAAACCACTTTCACTGTCACAACCATGCCTCCACCACTACCTGTGCGAGCAAATGTGCTCAGACAGCTTATATGTAAATCTACGGCTCGTGTAGAATGCCAATTGATGTAAGAAATATCAACAAAGCTCAATTGGCAACTGCTAATAACCCCCAGCCTCAAAACAACACCCCTCACCCAACCACTTGCAGCAAGATCAACAAATCCTCACGTCACATTGCAACGCCAATTCTCACAAACGCCCCTTCTCCTCAAGAAAAAAGGACGCGCTGATCGCGAAGAAGCAGCATCCTCCCAAGCCACAGAAGTCGAAGACCCGTACGATTTCTCAACCTTAGAAAGCGGGATCGAGAAAGTCCTCGAGAAGCTGAAAAAGGATCTATCGAAGTTACGGACCGGTGGCAGGTTCAATCCGGAGGTACTGGAGAATCTGAGGGTGCATTTGGTGAAGGATAGTAAGGCGAGTGAAAAGCTGGGTGATTTGGCGCAGGTGCTGCCCAAAGGGGGAAGGAGCCTGATGATTTTGGTGGGGGAGAAGGATGTGAGTACTATTCTCTGAGAGATCTTGTTGGAAGCTGTGGAGGAGGTGTGATTGAGTGGTCAGTAATGGAATGCAGCATATCAAACCAATCATATCAGCAATTCAGGGCTCGAAAGATCTGAATTTGCAACCGATCCAGGATGCTAAGAACGCTGCTCAATTGAACGTACCTATACCACCACCTACGAAAGAATCTCGAGACTTAGCATTAGCAGCAGCTAGCAAGACAGGAGAAAATGCCAATGTAGGAATCAGAAATGCAAGAGGAGCCATGCAGAAACGTCTCAGGGCTATGGAGATCAAGAAGACGATACGGCCAGATGATCTGAAGAAGGCGTCGAAAGAGATGGAGAAAATTGTAGAGAAGGGTGTTGCTGATGTAAAGAAAACTGTTGATGCTGCTAGGAAAGGCATGGAACAGGCTTGATAGTATAGTTGTATATTCTACAGAATCTTTTGTACATTATGGTAAAACATTTTTAATGTAGGAGACTAGGCTGGACGCTTCGCAGCTTGTGGCTTGGGTCCCAACATCTTTGCTGGTAACAGTGCCCTTAATGTCTCCTCCAACTTCCTTGCATCAGCTGGCAGATACGTCTCATTCCTCCTGGTGTACGCCGCGACCTGTGCCAGCACATCTCCTGGCTCCGTAGCACTTTGCGGCGGTACATACTGTCCAGCAACCCACTGCTTCATCATGCCCTCCTTGTCCTCCTGAGAAAGCTTGTCAGCCTTCTTAAATACCGCCTTTGCCCTCTTTCTTTCAGTAGCATTCTCGAACAGCGTGCCTGGTCCAGACATCATCTTGTCATGATGATTTGCAGCGCTCTTGAACTCGGGATTCACGTTATCCGTTGCCACAGCCATCTTATATACCAGCGATTCCACCACACCTCTCGGACTCGAAATGACAGGCGGTCCCCATCGAGCTAGATCCTCTGCACTTGTGACTGGTTTGTACGGTGCTTGGAACCCTCCGACCCTGTCATCGAGATACTCCAACTCCTCTGGCGTAAGCGGTACTGGTTCGGAATCATCCTCTCCTTTTTCCCTCTGGAGCTTATCCTTTGCATTTACCTTTCTCCCGCGTCCTCTACCTCTCCCCCTGGCCGCTCCTCGTTTCCCCCGTCCTCCCCGCGTACCGCCACGCACTCCTCCACCTCTACTGAATCCACCAGGTCTAGGTCCTCTAAAGTCTCCTCGGGGTACAAAACTGGAGCCAGTACGATTCCCTCTTGGCATGGGACTATCGACCATCTCTCTTGTGATCTTGAGCTGTTGGGGAGGTTTGGCGGCGAGAGAACGGGCGTCAATGCCGCGTGATGGGTTAGGGATTAAGGAGGAGACTTCTCGGAGAGCATCGGAGGATCGAGAGGGTTTGGTTCTGAGGGCATCTATGTGAATTTTTAGTGAACTGATCAATTGAGATGTTTGAATCGTAGATAAGTGTCAAGAATTTTGGGAAAATACCTCCATTTCCATCTTCTTGAGCATATCGAGAAGCAGAAATCGAGAATTGCCTCAGTGAAGCAGCAATTCCTTCTGCGACCCTGGCAAAATCATGAGTTGCAGGTCTGCCGCGGCCTATGGCCGAGTGAACGTGCCATTTAAACATGTTGTTTGGTATAGAGTTGACAGCTCCTTAATTGTAGCTTGCAGACGATATTGGCTGCCGATTGAAAAATGTTGGTGCCTCGTTCACTCGAGGTTGATGCCTCACAGCCTTCTCCAGACGGACGTGCTGTTGTCTCCATAGTTTCGCGTCTAGGTTGAGCTGAAGACCTCACAAGTACCAACTACCTCGAACTTCACTCAAACAGACCAGTTTCTCAAATTTTGAATTCAAAACATTCAAAGCTAAAAGGACAAATTCTTTTACTCGCACCGTCGCACACAATCGCCCCTTCCAAAAAGAATTCAGTACTTGCTGAGATCGCGACCATGCTCCGTCGCAAACCAACAGCAATCACGCTCACCACGGAGGATATAGCTACTTACGAAGACAGGCGCGCACACGAAGCCCAATTGCAAGAGCAGGCCGCTATGGAAGCAGAGATGCGCGCTCAATATGGCACGCCACAACAGCAACAAAAATCTCAGAACTTTCGCGATCCAAATGATGAATTGCGACCCTTGCCAGGTGATAGAGCCAGGTCACAGGTAAAGACAAGGGAAGAGAGACTGGGACTCGGAATGGGGAACGCGGGTGGCTCGAGAGGTTGAGATCTCGAAGGAATGCACATGTCAAGCTGCTGCATGTGGAGATGGGAGGGGAAGTTTGACGGTGACATAACGAGGGTGAGGGAGTTTGGAGGACCGCGGAAAGAGATCACGACGAAACAAATGAAAGCCACTGTGCGAGATTTGGATTCGTTTCCTTTCTCCTCCACTGAAATCCTTCACTGTACAAGCTCGCTTTCAAGCGCCAAATTCTGGAAGGAGCCTCCATGTCATGCCACGTTACACAGAATGACTATGCAACGCGCAGCTAGTTTTACTTCTCCCACATCCAACGGCCTTTGTTCCTCAGTCTTCACCAATACAGACTGACAACTATCTACGAATCAAAAAAATCAAATGGAAATCATCGTCCCGTCGATGAAAATGTCCCACGAACGCCTTTTCGCTAAATGCATGTGTAAAGTTTCCTTTCCCAACCTAACGCCATTAACCAAGTCTCCGCAAAAAGTCCCTTGGCGCCGGTAGTTTAACGATTCTGGAAGGCCTCGCAGCTGGAGTAGTGGTAGAAGTAGAGGTAGAGGTGTTCACTGGAGGGGCTGTGTGAGTAGTTGGACGTGGCACAGCGTCCGGAAGAGGCTTACGGATTTTCAGAATCGTTCGATTCACAACGGAAGCGTTCTGGGGTGCTGGAGACATGGAGTGATTACTTGATGGCGCAGGACTTGGAGGCAGTGGGTGCCGGGGAGTAGAAGCAGCTTGAGGAAGTGCGGTTCTGTGTGCCGAAGTAGCTGCTGGGAGTGTAGTTCTGCCATTGACTGAAGTCTGGGGGAGGGGAGTTCTGCCAGCTGAACCTACTGGTAGAGGAGTTCTACTGGCCGAAGGAGTGCTTGGCAGGCCTGTCCGCTGTCCTGTATTGCCGGAAGGTAGTGCATGTCGTTGTCCAGAGGTTCCCTTGGGCCCTGGGGATGGTCTGGGGGACGGTCGAGGACCAGGGGATTCGCTCTTTGTAGATGACTTCGCACGAACCGGTGCAGGGTTAGGTGGCAACCGTTGTATCTCCAAAGATTTTTGAAAACCTGATTCTGTGAAGTGTAGTGCAACTATTTTCACTCTCTTTCTTGGACGGTCATCCACACTTGGCGTACGTTCTGGTGCTGGACGCTTTGGAGCAGATTTGGGTGGCGGGGGTGCCATAGATTCGACTGAGGGTGTTGGTGGCTTAGGACTTTGCGTGTAAACCGCTCCACCTCCAGCACTGACGGCTTTGTTGTTAAAGGTGAGTTTGAGATTCTGAGATGAATTCGTTTGAGCAGGCGGAGCTGGTTTTGGTGTTGACATTGGTACCATGACAGGAGCTGGTGCGGGTGGCGGTGGTATTGGGGCCGCCTTCGGAGGTTCGACCACCAAGGTAGCAGGAGGAGGCTGCGTAACTGGTTTTGTCCGGATTTTGTCTGTTTGGCTGAAGACAAGTTTGCACTAGATTAAGCTGATTAGCACAGTAATGCAATAGAGTGTAAATGGTAATACATACTTTGCCCAAGTGAGTGACCTTCCAGTACTTGGGGTACACCAACTTGACTGTCAAGGACTCCACTACATTGTAGATGACCTGGCAGATATCCAGGATATCCAGCTGCTCCACGAAACCTATGACTGGTGATTTAACAGCTTTCCAGATTGCTTGCTTCAACTCCTCGTTGTCCTTGAGCTCAAGCTTTAGTGCTGCCAGGGCACCGTCAAGAGTCTTGGTCCGGGCGATGTGAGCTGCACGAGCTTCCGTATCACGAGTTGCATCTTCCTCGATGATCAATCCACCATCTCCACCTTCTGCTCCGGCTGGTGCAGCTCCTGTACCGCCCATCACAACATCATTGTCCCCATTCACAGCCGCAACACCATTAGTCTTGGGCTTAGATGGTTCGGGTTTCTTGTCGTGTCCAAAGGCAATTGCAGCAACACCTACACAGAAGATCTCAAAAAGATGTCTACGGACATATGGCGAGGGGTCTGTGCTAGCACAATTGAGGAGGAGAGAGGCAACCGAGTTGTTTGTCAGGAAGCCAAGTTCGATCAGAGCAGAGAATGCCTTGATCCGGACATATTCTGAACTGCCATCATGGAGATACTGTGCAAATTCCACTGCATCAAGAGGAATAACTTTGGCCTTCATGAGGCGCTGCTTACAATCCAGAACCGTGACTGTGAAGGAGTTGTGGTAAGAATCGATCCACTCATCATTACGACGGTAACGATCCAGCTCGTCGACAACAGCCTTTCGAAATTCCATAGGCTCAGGATCGTCGTCATCGTCTCCCATGTCGAGAACGTTATTCGCGTCCTTCTTGGGGATGAGGGAATCAGCGAGTGCAGACAATAAAGTTGTGATTTTGAAGTTGTCCGAAAATTGGTTGCTGGAGTTCTCATTGAATCGTAGTATGTCAAGGAGAATTGCACGAGCTTTCTTGGGGCAATTTCCGTGGTTATCCCGAATCATGGAGAATGACTTGATGATAGCCATCTCGACTTTGTAAGCTCTCTTGTCACTGAAGTCGTTGGGTTTCGGGGTCGTGCTATTAGGGTAGCAGAAGAATTGCGAGTAGGCCTTCGCAAGCTGCTTCATACCGATGAACTGAGTAGAAGACCCGGCATGGGTTTTAAGGGCCAAAGCCGCCATGGTGCGAATGCCATGGAAGTAGCGAGTGTCCATCATTGTTCTGGTCAAAAAGGTCGAGACGAGTGGATGAGGCGGTACGGTTTGAAGGTACAGCATTGACTCTTGCTGAGCAACAACATCCTTATCCTGCTGGAGCTGGGAGACGTACATGTACGAAGCCATGCTCGGGAAGTGCTTTTCACAAAGCCACTCAAAATCGGCGTCAACACGAATCCACTCATATGATTCCATATCCATCTTGGCCTCGGTATCTGCATCCCAGTCTCTCAGTCCCCACTCATCCTTATCCTCGTCTCTCTGTAGCACGTCACCCAAGCAGTACAGAAGAGAGTCATCTCCACCTTCGGCATTGGGATCTGCCCCTCCAGCATTTAGACGCTCTTTCTGCTTCCGACTTTTCTTCAGCCGCTTATACTTGGTGTTATAAGGAATATCAATCTTCTGTGACGCTTCTCGGATCTCAACGATATGTTCATAAGGGGTTCCATCAGCCTCATGGATCCGAATCGTCATTGGTCCAGTGAAGACTGCTTGAACGTCTGGTGCGTAGATGTTATGGACTTCTTCCTTAACTTCTCGGAGAAAGGAATCCTTCTGTAGAGCTCTTTGGGTTGGCATTGTGTCTTGCTTCTGAGATATCAGTAGCTCAACACACAATCTCTTTTTATTGAACTTCTGGTTGATGGTGAATCTTGGGCATCCAGAACCCAGAACCCATTGATTCCAGAAGGTATCAAGTTGTCGGTATTTTGTGATCTTTTCGCACAACTTGCGAAAACCGTCTGTAGATACCGTATTCTCGGAGGCAGTATTAGCAAGGACGACAAGTCTCTGGATGACTCGATGGAGCCCGCCTGAGCCCGTAGCTTTGAGAAGTCTTCTATCCAGAATGAACATAACAAGGGGTGCCTTTAGGCTCATGAACTCGTACTCAAAAGATCCGAGGTTGAGGACCTCGCCTAGAGCGTAGAGAGAGGGTCTTTGAAAGTCTAGCTCTACCAGCTTGTCCGACAACGTCTTTTGGCGAAATGCATATTCGTTGTTGCCACAAAGGGTCTTCATGAAAACGCCAGTAATGTAATGAGATAAGCCAACCGTAATCCATCTATCGTGAGGCTGTGCAGGGGTAATACCAACACCAATCCACTGACTTGCAATCCCATGAACCAGTGTGCGGACGTTCTCGACTTCCGGGTCAGTTATCTTCTCAGGAAACAGAAGTCGATTACTGCAGATGGTAAGCGATGCTGCATGCTCAGTGTCATGAACCTGGTCATCAACGAAGATAAGCCGACAGTCTGAGAAAGGAAAAGCTCCAAAGGCAAGTAGGAAGTAGTCTACTGTGTGAGCCAGTGGAGCACAAAGATGTCGAACTTCAGGAGAGCGGTTCGGTAGACAGTACGCCCATACTGGGATGACCTGGCTTTGCCCAAGCTTCTCATCATCTTCCACTTCGCGGAACTCTGATAGATCGACTTGCTCAAAGGGACCAATAGAGAAGCCAATGTGCTGAGGAGCAACAGGCTTCTCTACGTAGAAGGATACTATCTTCTTTGAGCTATCCTGAAGATCTGTAATATCGTTCGTCAACTCGCCGGAACAAACAACTGTCAATTCCAACAGCTTATCATCTTCGCTGAGAATCTCCTCTTGCTCTTCATGCTCTTCGTGATGCCCACTTTTAGGAAGTCCATTAAGCTTGCGAGTCGCCGGAAATGAGCGACGCTTCAGCGCATCTCCAAGAGTCCTTGAGCATCTGATAGAAATCTCCCAAGAGCATCTCATACTCGAGTCATCAACACAAGGGAATATGCAAGAAGCAATTCCTCGGTCAATGCTGTGTCTAGTATAGACATGCGGATATCGCTGGTCGCTTTCATTCACGCCGACCCAGTGGAGACCTTCTCTGAAGCTATTGACGGCGAAGTTTATGCTGACGACGAGAGTCTTGTAGTTTGAGATTCCACCAATAGCTGTCCTAGGAGCCGCCAAAACCGCTGAAGGAGGCGCGTCAAGAGCAACTGAAGGTGTCCGCATGCCTGGCAAGCCCGCTGCTCGAAAAGCGGCGAAAGGGACAGCGCTCTCAGACATGGGATCTGCCTCCGTGACTTTGACACTAGGTGGTAGAGTGATGACCAGCGAGCCATTCGATCTCATGTCCTCAGTCATGGCCACCGGCTTCAGTCTGGACTTCTGCTGCGTAGCCTGGTGGACTCCCAAAAGCCAATTCTCAGGAACGTTAAGCATCTCCATAGGGTCCTCGTACGAGAACTCCGCAGCGGTTCCTTCCACCTTGACCTGACCCGAGTTTATGATACACTGCCGGGCGTCCAATGTAATCTCCTTGAGCTCGTTGTGATTTGGCAGAATGGTGATCTCGCAGCGCCCCGTCAGGCTTTGTGTCGCGAAATCAACGTCTAGTTCCACCTTCTGGCTTACTACGACGAAGCCATACTCGGGTTCGAGCTTGAGCTTCTCACCCACGGGTAGGCCATTGGCGTCCATGTCGTTCGACCTGTCGGCGCAAGACCTCAAGATTTAAGTAGTCGCGCAAGTGCGCCTCTTCGAAGTCCAGCTGCCCTGGCGCGACGATACCTCCTACGAGCCTCTCATCCGTTCTCAGAGGCCCGACCACGGTCTGTTGTGTACAGATATGAATGCGCTCGTGCTCTGTGATCGAAAAGAGCGTAACTCGTAGATGTGGGCGGAACAGCGACTGAATCGACCTGGTGGATAAACGTTACAAGATCGATGAGGTTTGTGGAATTGCGTGGCGGCAGGGAAATGAAGCTCGTTGCTTGTCGCAAATTTCGAGGTTTGGGTTTGTGCGATCGCAGTTGAAAGGATTGTCGCGGATTATTAAATCCAAGGGCAAAGGTGAGGGAGGGAGTGACTGGAAGGTGAAAGGCAGAAATGCGATTTGGGAAGAAAAGCTTGAGAGCACCAAAATTATTTTGTGAATTTTCTCTTGAACGGAATCTCTGCTGCTATTGTTACAATGGCCTCCGAGTACTTTGAAGCCCTTCAAGGTCGTTGGCAAGCTCCAAGATGCTGCTCAAGCCAGTTGCGGAGAGAAATTGAGGTCGACGCGACATTGAGCGCACCCCTGCAGCTGATCATTATCACGTGTCGTAGCCTCGCATCTTGGCACAGCCTTGCCCCCTCGTCAAGGAACAATTGGCTCGGCGAGGGTGAATTCATTCCATTCTATCAGTCGTTTTGAGTTTGCATTTTGTCACCAGTCGAATATCCTTTAAATACGCCATACTGATGGCATTAAAGCTTTCATTGAGATGTTTTCTTTGCTCCATATTGGAGTCCTATCATACAATCCTGAAGAATCATGCACCCTCAACGCCTGCCGTCCATGATATCCGCTCCTTCACCAAGACCCCGATACACCAGACAAGCCGTGCCGAATGAAGCACTTTCATTTCGACCCTCATTTTTGTCCTTCCATATTCGCATCCTTGTTAGTGTATGCCTTCAAGATTTGCTAACCCTCCTGTCTCTACGTTTTCTCCTGGCATGAATCTTCAACGTCTCCTCATCTCGATACTCTTCGGGTAAGTCGAAATCGGTCTCTGCAACCTCGGGAACCGGATGACCCCATGCCACCGCGCTTCTTCCACTCCTCCTATGCCTTCCCAGAGCTGCTTCTCGGAGGTGTGGCTTATTGTAAAAAGATTTGAACTCCCTTTCGACCGTTTTATACTCTGGTATCAATTCGACTTTTGGCTTCTTCTCGGGGTGTCTTGCAGAGGGTGCTGATCGAGCCACTGCCTCTTCATGCAATTGTCTTGCTGCAGATGCGTCGACGTCGCTATAGTCAGGAGGGTCGCCATCACTAACGTAGCCTTCCTCCTCCCCCTCAGCCTCCTCAGGCTCTTCTTCCTCTTCCTCTTCTTCTTGTCCTTCCTCCTCCGCCTCTGCCATTGCAGCTTCCCTTTCAAGCTTCTTCTGCTTCTCTAATTCCTTCCATATGCGAAACTTCTCTATGATTGCTTCGCAGCCCTTGAGGAAGTACTCCCGTGCCGGTTCATACTCCTTTTTCTTGCCCTCCGTGATACCACTGACACCCATGAGCTTTAACCAATCATGACCTTGCAGTCCCTCTAGCAATCGTATCACTTGATCTTTTTCATGTTGGGCTCGACCTTTGTCAGTATTTCTGATGGCCTTCTCCTGTCGTTCAGGTTTTCGATGTATCAATTCAAAATACTCCTCGGACAAAGGATCTTCTCCACCATCCTCCTTGTAATTCTTATCCATCCATGAGAAATCTACTCGTTGTGCATCGTGTAGGTCGGTGAAGAGGTAGTCGGAGAATTCTTTCAAGGGGTAGTCGTGAGTGGTTTGTTTTCGCGGAGGATGTTTTGAGGTCTTGGCACTGTCGAGGATGATTATGGGGGTATCAAGGTTGAGAATATCTGTACCAGTTAGCAGTTAATCCAATGCATGAAAACGTGAATCTCGTGAATCTTACGTTCTTCCTTGGGCTCATTGCCAATTATCTCGTCGTACTCTGGAAAGTACGCGGATAATTCGCTTTTGAACCGCGTGCCTTCCTGGGATCGTAATTTGCGCTTTTCGTCCTTGAGATCTGCAGAATTAGGCTGCAGACGATCGAGCTCGTGCTTGATTCCATTGACAACCTTATCATGATGATTTGTGTGTTTGCGCGTGGGTGGTGAAGGGGCTTCGGTCTGCGTGGCTATCTCCTCTTGTTTTGGTGATGCGGCACGCTGCTGCTGAGGTGGAGTGACGACCAAATTCGCGTTGATGACGAGAGATCGGGTTTTTGGCTGTGCCTTTGGTCGTGGATGGATCTCAATAGCAATGCGAGCCTTCTTCTTCGCAATAAAATGATCTTCTTCGTGATCGACTGAATCTCTGGGGCGCTTCTTCTTCCCAATATTCGATTGCTGCTGCCTGTGGTTGCCTGGAATCGTCGCGACGTTGTTTCTTGTGCCAGATCTTGTCGTGAGGCCCTCAGCTCTTTTGGAAGCCCGGGTAAGATGAGAAGCCATTGATCTGGAGCGACGCGCAGGGCATTCTTCTGCGAGGAAGAATTGGTGAGTCTACTGTCTTCCGCGATAAAGAAAGTAGCCTGTAGTCATGACTTCCGCTGTCAACGGGGCTTTAGCGACCGGAGAGGATGAGATGAGGCCGGGGCATGGCGTTTGAGCAGCAACAATTCACTTGTTGCTCAATTTCGCAGTTCAATTAATACAGTCAATAGATGAAGAATTATGTGCAATTTTGGGCTAAGGAATAAAACTTGCAATGCCAGTGGCGTTGAAATTTCCAACATTCAGGCAAGCAAGCAAACAATGTCTGGGAGGGAAGCTGCGACTGCTGTTCCGCTCACCACAAGAATGTCTGACAGCTATCAACAACACCTGAAAAGTGGCATTGTCCTCAGTCAATTAGTGACATTTGATAAGTTCATCTTGATCCACGACCGAATCAAAAGCATGTAGTTCTGTTGTTCCATTGTCATTTCAATTAGTTTCTGCATCTCAGGAGCTCACAGGGTGTCTTGTACGAAGTAAGTCATGAGCTAAAAAGCAAAAATCCTCTAGGTCAAGCAAAAACAACGGTTGCTTTTACGAGTTTGTGATCATGGTCACAACATAAATACTCTTCGGCCAGAATCAACTGCTCTCGCTCACACATTCCAAGACATCTACGACTTCTTGCTGAAACATTATCTACATGGGGTATCAACTCATCTATCATCGCTCATTAAGTATGCTCTATGAACGCCAAACTCATTCGGCCCTCAAGCCCTCTGGCGCGATAGCATTCTCAGGTCCAGTACCCGGCACCTGCACATCAGAATCTGTCTTTCTATGCATCTTTTCCTCGGAATCATGTGTACGAGCATGAGACCTTGTGAGGTGCAACTTCTCCAGAATTCTAGCATTATGGTTCTCCTTCTCCCTTTCCTCGGCTTCTCGTTTCAGTTCCAGGAATCGCGCTTCTTTGGCTGCGCTCTCGCTCTTGTCTCGTGCTGCCTCTTCTTTCTTGGCCAATTCTTCGGGCGAAAGAATCTTTTCTTTGCCATGTACCAGTTTCCTCATGAATCTCTTGCCTCGCCGTCTGGTCTTGACATAAGCTTCGAGTCCCAAGAGAACTGTATAGGAGCGAGATATGGAGACATGGCTCATATCTACCCCAGCATCCTTCAGAGAGTGGATAAATGCCCTGAAGTTGGAGACTGGTGGTCTGTAGTGTCCACTGAGAGGGCTCAGCTTGGAAATTCGGCCGTTCTTGACTTTAATCAATCCCGCTGCTGATATACGAGACCCGTGAAGAAACGAAGAGTGCTGGAAAGCTCCGGACTGTTTGATTCCAACATATAGTCGGAAGGAAGTATCTGCAACGAATATCCAGGTATTCTTCTTGACAGACCCTCGCAGCAGTTTGTTGAAGATAGTAGCAGCAGAAACATGAGTTACTTTCTTGACTCCTTTGGCTTTGTCAAATTCTGGAGTTGCATATTTGTCGGCTCGGGCTGCAGTATCGTCTGTGTCTTCTTCAGAGTCAGAAGAGGATTCCGAGTGGTCTTGGAGTCCAGTGGCAGCTTCTGCTTCTGGTTGTCGGTACGCTGGTGTCGCATCATCTGCTGGTACCTATGTTGAAGTCAGACTTATTTAAATCCAAGCCAAGTGTTGGTATATGTGATGAAAACGAGTGGGAGCTTACGATGCCATGGATGGAATCTTTGTACTTCTCGGTTGTATCGATTCGAGCTCCATTCTTCGCCCAGCATAATCTCCCCTCCTTGTCAATTTTGACCAAATAGTCCAATCTCTCTTCCTTTGAAAGATACCTGACCTGCTCCCTGTCCAGTCTTTCCCTCGGGCACCCTTGGCAGTCGATAAACCTCCCTTCTCCATAATCCAACCAGTAAAAGAAATTCTCTTTAGTATCGGCCTTCTTCCATTCTTCGTGGTAAGTCCTTAAATTGCTCCCATAGCGATGCTTAACATCCACCATCTCCAGGAAATACTGCAAGTCCATGATCTTGGCAGCCTTCTGTCGTTGCATCTTAGCCTCCAATTTTCGTTTCCGCCGCTGCTCTCGTTCCTGCTCTGGCGTATTTTCATCATCCTCGCTACTGTGACTATCCGAATCCTCATCACCTCCCGCTCTCCTAGTAATAAGCCCAATCTTCTTCCAATTTTGCCTTGCAACACTCACAGTCCCAGAACTATGCACGTTGCTCGCTGGAATTTCTTTTCCAATATTGCTGTGCTCCAGATTTCCCCTCGCCCTTGGCGTCGTCAAGTTGCGATACTGAGCTTCCCTGATCGCTTCCACCCACCGAGTACTCGGATCCAAACTCAGCCCGTTCAACATCCTGCGCTCCCTATGCCCTCTATAATTCCTCTGAATCACATTGGCCGCTTTCTCTCGCTCTTCATGATTCAGCTCTCCATATAATCGCTGCATGATTTCCTCTTCTTTGCGCTCCTGAATCTCCCCAATGCGCTGCACCATTTCCTGGCTCGGCACCTCGAGACTGTCTAGGTATTCCTGGTGGCTACTACTGCGCGTCGAACTTCCCGTCGACACCGAAATTTTCGAATCGCGCTTCTTCCGCTGTAAGGAACTCGATCTCCTTGGCCTGTGAGTGGGAGCTGGCCGGTTATATACAGTGTTGTTGTTTTGGCTGTCTTGGTAACAGGTTTGGTAAAGCTTACCGGGAACCGCGGGGCATTTCGTACTCGAAGTGGGACGGAGCGTCATAATTTAATTATTGTTGGCAATTCGCTGCCAAGGCATGGGATCTTTTGGAGGGGCAGTTTTGGGCACGCTGCAGATGCATGCGTTTTCTGTGGCTGGCTGCAGCTGGCGGGGTAAAGTTGTAGCTTGAATCCAGCCTTCCTCTCCTTTCCAAATGAGAATAGGAGCAAGACAGAGCTGAAATATCGTGTTCGACTACTAGAGAGCTTATGTCCAAATGTCGCAAATGCGGGAACTAGAAGTCCCCGATCGTCGATTGTTTGTTCGTTTCCTGCTTGCTGACTTTGCAGAACTTCTCACTCCGTAGCTCGTTGATTTGGTGGTTCGCTGCGTAAAATGCGCAACTTGCGTAGGCAAGTGTGCTGAAGTAATACAGTCGAGCTGTCAACCTCGTCTTAGAGCAAAGGTGCCGACACCCACCTTCTTTAACATTTTCTCAGCTCGAATCGGACCAGGGACTAATCTCTGGCAAGGCTGAGCAAATGCCCCCTCGATGTACGCGTATGACGTTGGTTTGCCGGGCGTGCTCTTGGGGATTCTTGGGGTTGCCTTGCCTATACGAGAGTCAAAAGTGGCCCTGCAGCTGTACTATCCTCTGAACTTGTGGATCTAACGGCACTGTCAGCGAGTTAGCACCCCCACTAGTGATCTTTTTACATCGGTACAAAGCTTGTCCTGGCGAAAATTGGGCCCGAATTGACTTTTCGGCTGTTGTACGATGCCGTACGAGACACGGCTTTGAGCTGTGGCAGGGGAACCTTTCGTCGAAGCTGTCTATGTATACATGTGTTTTCATTCTTACAGCTTGACAGGGGATTTGGAATACCCATAAGTGGATGTGCCTTGGGTATAAAATACTAATATTAATGTTATTGTGAAGTCGGCATCATGAGTAAATCATGTTGAGGCTTTTGGAATACTCGCTATCATCTACTGATGCACAAAAATCCTACGACACCTGTCAACATGCGTCCGACCCGCTCTTCTCGAAAACGCCTATCCAATGCTTGATTTTGATATCTCGAATCCTTCTCTCCTCCAACCTGTCCTTCCTCCGAAAACTCGAACGAACAAGTCTATTAATGCTTATGTGGTTGATATAGTGCTTTAAATGAATATATCTCCCCAAGTCATGACTTTCGTGATAGTCGCAGTAAAACGACTGCAACATCTTCTTTGCCTCCGCCCCTCAAGGTATTTGAACGAGGCCTCTGCGCCAGCCCGCACGCACTTAGACTGCCGTCCTACCCGTCTAGTCTGCTCTTTTGCCATGCCCGTTTATTGACTTGGCATTTCCGTTCGCAGCCTTGGCTTTCTCCTGGTTGGCAACCAACTTGTTTGTTGGAATTGTCAAGCAGTTAATGCCCAGGTAATCGCAAATGCTGTTAATGACCAAAAAGGCCCAGCGGAAGTAGACGATCAATGCAAAGACAAAGTACCCTCGTAGGTACCAGAGCTCAACCGAGGCACTGACTTGGGGCAGGCCAATTCGTGGAAGGTTTCCCAGAACGGCCCCGCCGACCAGTGGAGTGAGCATAACAGTCCAATATGGGAATGGCTGCCTCGTAAGATGCGCCAGAATGATCTTGGTAGTCATTCTACCGAAGACAAAAGACATGGTCAAGCAGAACAGAACCAAATGGTTGTCCGGCATCAATGTTGAGTATGGAGAGAAGAGCCAGGCGCCGATAGAGAAAGTGAATACAGCCATCGGTGTCCACTCCAAGAAGACCGGCATAACTGGGAGGTTGTCTCTCCGGCGAGCCTTGACGACGTTGATAACACAAAATGGAACATGGGCTCCAAATAGAGATACAACGAGGATAGGGACCCAAAGATCTCGGACGGAGTATGTACCAAAAAATTCGTGGTATCCAAAAAAGTAGTGATGCCCGACTAAATCCGTGATTCGATGGGTCCAGATTTCAGGACCGTAGTATCCTGAAAGAATCATAAGGGTGCAAGCAAGAATGAGACCTTCAGTAGGTCCGTTGAAAACACCCAGATACAAGGTGTGAGTGTGGTATGTCTCCCAGGTAGAGAAGAACATAGGCAGACATGGTATGAGCGCTGTGAATATTCCGGCTTTCGAAGTCCCAAGGCCCATTGCAGCAGTCTCGCATAAGCTGGCCAGAGTGCAATTGAGTGAATCGATGCCGTGGTCGAAAAGTTCTCCAAGACCACTAGATGTTCCAGTCCTTCGTGCTTGCTTCCCATCCACATTGTCCATTGTCGAATACATCCACAGACCAAAAGCGAAGCTATAGTACAGCCATGACGGACCCTAGAGCGCGAGTATCAGCATTTGACTCTGCCATAGAAGCCGCGAACGTACAGGTCCCACCAAATCCGGCATCCATATCACAAGGCAGATCACATTGGAGAGGATGAAGAAGAATCCCAGCAATGTGACCATGTTCGGTGCAAGCCATAACGGTAAAAGCTCCACGAAAGCATTCCACTATATTCGTCTCAGCCTAATTGTTCCGCGTCATGTATAGGTCATCAATCGTACATAATGCTTGAGGATATAATTCGAGATCAGGGACTTGTCGACACTTGAATACTTGTAGGACTTCAAATGGACCAGGGCTTCTTCAGAGACGCACTCGTGCGCTGCCTCCTCTACCAAAGTTGGACTCGTTAGCTAGGGATTCTGCCCGCAAGTCTTTATGCTTGGATGTTCTGATACGTACTTTTGCTCGGCGCCATTGGGGACTTGGGAGTTGTGACAGGTTGAGGCAAGAGACCTTGCGGCTCCGTCTTGACCGCAAGTAAATTTAGGGGTCGAATTCTGTATAGGGTCAGTCGGATCACGCTCCGACGTCGGCGACAATGGTGAGATATACAAAGTTTGTTCAAAGAGGCAGCTGGTCATCGGTGCATGGTTTTGGCAAAAGGGGAGGAATTGCGGATCTGCCGGTTAATAAATGTTGAAATTGGGATTTCGTGAACCCTGCAAGATTGATTCGTGGAGTCCTCGGCCAGTGGTCATCATCCCTTCGGCTGCACGTGAATGAGACTTGGTAGACCTCATCAGCCCCTACGATGAGCCAAAAGGGTGCGCTGTGAACTATTCAGAGCGATTCGGTCTCTTCCTACGTCTGGTATCAGTAAAGAATTCATTTGGTGTGACCTGGCAAGTGCCTTCCTTATCAGTTCCTCGGGTTGTTCCTGCGATTTTGTAGGGTTGAGACGGAAGAGCCAACAACAGTTTGGAAGAGACCGGGCCATGGGAACTGATACTCATCTCAGACCTTCCTATCGAGACCTTCATTGGCGGAATCTCAGTACGTCTATCTCCTCAGGTTCTTCCGACCGCCTCCATTTCATGTGAAAGAAGTCCAAATTCTGTGTCTACGTATGTCGGGGCACCACCAGATTGAGCTGGCAATCCAAGGTTGTGCAATTTCTATCAGGTGGTCATCTCAAGTAGGACATCGAAATCAAGGTTAAGAGGTACCAGAATTAGCAGATAAACAGTCGGTTGCATCTCAGTTCTTGTTATTTCCATTCAAACTCTCCAGCAAAGCTGCTATATTTACCGCTTCATTATCAATTATGATAGAGGCTGAATCCCTCTGTTCTGTGATAAATGCAAGTAAGAAACCGCTGAAAATGCTAAGACCAAATCCATTTCAGACCATCGCTAAACCAACGCAGGTGTGTCGTCGAGACGTGTGGCCCCGGAACCAGGCCAGTCGATACAGTAAATCAAATACAACGAAGGGCAACGTCGTCCTACATGACCAAAGCAAATCCGGCGAAAAGACCGGCGAATACGACAGCAAAGCTGTAGCTGCGCCCAACGTCCAATGCCATCTGCGAACCATTCTTCTTGGTGTCATCGGTGCCAGTGGCCTGAGCACCAGAGGCAGCCGTTGTTGTTCCGGCGTCTCCTCCAAGTCCATTGTAGACAACCTCTCCTCCTGCACCGGTTGTTGCGCCTGCTGGAGCGTTGGTGGTGCTCGAGGAAGCGCTGCTTGTGATGTTGACTCTGGTGGGATTCTGTGCACCGCATGGATGATCGTCTCTGCAAGCACTCTGACACGGGGTGTTTCCGTTGCATGCTGCCACGCACTGGTTTCCATATTCTTGGCACTCGAAAAATGGCAGCGTCTGGGAATACTCGCTTGCATTCGGGCTAAGACCATTGCCACACACGCATTGATATGATAATACTTCCTGCTCAGGATTAGCACTATACTCTGACAACTGTACAGAGCTCTTACAGGATCACAATCATTCGCAGCAGTGGTCGAAGATTCGCCCGAAAGTTGCAGGCAAAGCAGAGGACATGCGGCAGTCTGCGAGGAGCACCATCCTTGGCGGGTGGGCAGCGAAACGCTGTCCGGGTCGATTGTGTAGATGGCTTGGGAGTTGACAGTCATCGAGAAAAGTGCGGCGGCCAAAACGGCAGCGGAGGTCTTGATTGACGGCATATCGAAGAATGGGTGGATGGGGTATGTTGGGAATGAGATTGAGATTCGAAAATTGATCTGAATGGTGTTGTTAGTCACTGATTCTCGAAGATGCTGTTACCCTCGAATCGAGATCTCAACTTGACTGAAAATGCAATTGTACGGTTCTTTCTGCCTGAACAATGCCAGTCCACATTGACGATACTTTTCAACAACGCGGAATGCCCAATACATGTAAGTGAGAGACAGCAAGGTCGTGGCGGAAAGACAAGAATGTGGTACGAGACGATCGTACCTTTTAATACGGATACGAGGACAATGGAGATCGAGCGAGTGAGATCCCAAGAACCAAGCAGAAGATTATTAGAATAGAATCACAAAGACACAAGTAGGTGTTGAGATTCAGTCAGCGAGAGCAACGGACGACGAAGTGAGGAGAAGGAGGAGACCAGCACATCTTAAGAATATCCCCAGCGCAAGCCCCGACCACCTCAAATCAACAAAATCACCCGAATCGAGATGTCGCGCCTTCGCTAGGCCCGCCACGGGAGATGCAGAAGACTGATGTAACTCGGAACAGTTAGTCATTTGCGGCAGCCAGCCAACCGGAGGTTTGATGGTGAGCTGGCCCCGGCCAAAAGAAGTGGTAGTGCGGAAAGGGTCTCACTTGGCTGCACAGCTTTCGACTCTCGACCAGCTTCCCCCGTGCTGGTGGTGGGACGTTCCATGATTAGAACGGTTCACATGCACCAGCCTTCGTGTTGAAGCCATGTGCATGATATATCGTACTGTATGCAGCACTGCTGAAGAATCCACTCTACTCGCCACCTGTTTCCCCCATGGATAAAGGAAGGTAAATTTATATGAAGAGTGGGAGACCAATTGAAAAGAAAACACAGCCGATGGAGGGGAGGGCAAAAGTCTCGCTACAGTACACGGGGCGAAATTGGGGACCGCCCGTGGTGTGGTGCCCGAATCTTAATACGCAATCCCTGTCAAAAATGAATGAAAGCTTCAGAGTTCAGACTCGGAAAGGGGCGCGATATCTCCACCATTTGGACAGAGTTTAAATCCATGCGCTAAGCTCACACCAACATTTACCAGATCTGCAAGATGAACTGCTGTGTTTCAAACAAAAAGGAAGCAACTCCAAGCTGCAAAAACTACTGAGTACTTATAAAGACGAAAGACGAGATCGATCTTGAGCGTGGACTCTGGAGACGAAGTTGTGTTGGAGACCCCTAAATATTTTCGGCTGTTGTTGGGTGGTGGACAGCCAATAATACTTATACTTGACGGGACTCGGGCCAGGAGGCTGAATGATCTGGACAACAAAGCAGGGATGACAACGGCAAGTAGTCGGTAACCGGCGTAGTGCTTGTCTGGTGCAGCATCCCCAACATTCTCATCAACACCAAACTCGACCTGATTTCAGCCTAGACTCAACCCCAGACAGTTCCCAGGCTACTCCAGCCTGCCGTTGGCATGGATGGAGGCCATCCTAAGTCAACAATCGAATCATGGCGCACATGGTGAGCCTGCCGACACGCGCAAATTTGGACTCAGTACAACGACTACGTCACACGATGAGCACGAAGCAGGCGACATTGATTCTCCTGTAACATCTCCTGTGAGCTCGCCGCCGTATTGGGTCCAGTCGCACACGAGATCGTTCTCTAATATCTCTGCTGAATCGATACTGGCTGGTGCGATAACGCTACAAGACAATACGGATGAGGGCGACTCGAAAAACAAAGCGTGCTGGGCGAGGAGTGTGTACATCGAGGATCATGTAATAATTAATGGAAGTAGAACCGGCATAGGCGCATTTGTGGTCTGGAACATCACAGTGGAAACTCTGCGGGTACGTTTGCGAGGCGCAGGAGCAGTAGATGGGCTTGTGCTGACAATGCATTGTAGGGCGGTTCCATGCGGATTCGAAAACGATACTCAGAGTTTGACGACCTGCGAGACAAGTTACTACAAACCTTCCCAAACTCCAAGGCTGCCATGCCTCCGTTACCTCCAAAGAGCGTCATATCAAAGTTCCGGCCCAAGTTTTTGGAGAACCGGAGGAGCGGCCTACAATACTTCCTCAAGTGAGTGCTCCGAGTTGATGTTACGGAAAGGTGTCTAATTGACATAGTTGTATCCTGCTCAACCCCGAGTTTTCTGGATCTCCTGTGCTTAAAGAGTTCCTATTTTCCTGACCAGACTTTAGCAACTGTACTGTAACTGCCTTATTGTACATTGAATACGGCGTTCTCGGATGGGCCACGAATACGGACTTAAGCATTTTGCGGGCGTTGTTCCTCGGGTCGTTCAAAACACATAATGATAAGGATAATACCCGAATAATCTTCCATTGCGTGAACTTTGAAATAAAAGAATGTGTAGTTCAAGTTCTGTGGAGAGAGCAAACTTGGGAAGTGATACTGGAGCTATTTTGGGCTGCTTTGGATTCTCGGTCCACTTCGCCCAGACGATAGTAACTGTCCTGTGCTTGAGTTGCATAATATGAGCTTGTCTGTAGAGCTACAACACTGGTTTCTAGCTTAACGGCTAGGTGTCTTGAATCTGGCACAATACATAATCAACCAACCTTTATCCTGTGGATCCAAATAGCATCATGTCACGTGAGGCTTAACGTCATCATCGTCTTCGCACTTTCGAGAAGCACTTTGCACATCACTCAACCTCATCAACTGGACGAATATCAAATTCTTCGATATCAAAAACACTACTCAAAATGGCTCTCGCACCAAAATTCGCCGGCCAGAAGTTCACCGCAACGAACGCCCCCACGCTCCATACATTAGAGCTTTATCTCGACTATGTTTGTCCCTTCTCAGCCAAGATGTACAACACAGTCTATACCTCAGTCTTCCCATTAATCAGGCAAAGATACGCCTCAAAGGTTCAAATCTTATTCAGACAGCAAATTCAGCCCTGGCATCCATCCTCAACTTTGGTCCACGAAGCCGGAGTTGCCGTGCTCAAGCTGCAGCCTAGCAAGTTCTTCGAGTTCAGCAAGGTCAGTTAATGCAACTCCATATATTGTGGTTATATATATTTAATTTTAATGAATGGCACATAGGCACTCTTCGATGACGCTAAATCATTCTATGATGTCAATGTTGTCAACGAAACCCGCAACAAGACATACGAGCGTCTGGCCAAGATCGGAGGGAAAGTTGGCGTCAATGAGCAAGAGATGTACAAGTTATTGCACATTTCTGACAAGCCAGCTGAAGATGGATCTCTCAATAGTGGTAACGGTGTCACGAATGAGCTGAAGGTCTTGGTCAAGATGAACCGGATGCAGGGCGTGCATGTCACTCCTACTGTCGTCTTTGATGGCGTGGTTGAGAATGGTATCAGCTCGAGCTTCTCAGCTGAGCAGTGGGAGGAATGGTTGGAAAAGAATGTTGCGTGACTCGATGGGCGTGATATTGAGAGAGCTGGGGCTCAGAAAGGGAGGTTATGAATGCAAGAAGCCCACAGCTTTTGCACCGCTAGCTTCCGAGATGCTTCGCCTCTGTCGATTGCCTTTACCATCAGACAAGAACGCCTACAATGTTCTTAAGTTTTGATACGATACTGCTGCAAGGAAGCTTGGTTTCTGAGGAGTTCCAGACGTTCAAGTTCTTCTCAAATTCTCGGCTTTCTTGCTAACAGCTTTCTCCCATTTCTAAATTCTTACTGAAATCAAAGTTCTCAATAGTCCAGACATTTTCTCAACTGCGGGAACTACCTTTCGAGCATCCAAAACTTCCTTGTTCGCCAAAGCATGCCTACGATACAGTCCCAGCACCATGGAAACGATCCCACCTGATTCAACTCCAACAACCCAATAAGGATAACTTACAAGAAAATGATGAAGTTCTAGATCGCCTCGCAAGTTGAACGAATCATGAAAGTAACCTTCGTCACGTGAAGCCACAAGCTTTCACATTATCACCCTGGCTAACTCTGCTGACCATACGCCACCATAAAAGAGAAGTACCTTATGATTTGTGGGGGGAAACGGTAATCTGTTTCCTCGTCTAAAGGGAATGCTGTAACAAGTGCAAAGTCTCAAGGTCCGTTCCACGTTCTAGGTAACCCTATTATGTCCTGTGGCGCAAAGCTTTGGATCATCGACCCCGGTTTTCATCTCTCTGGAGTGGCCAATATCTTCAGCAGAAGGAGCCGCCCCCAATGTGGCTGAAGATATCTATTTAAACCTGCCGCAACTAGATGTGCGATTGGTTAAAATTCCCAGTTTCCTACCATTATCAGCATGGTGAGCTGTCAGCACTATCCCTATGAGGGAGAAATTTGGCAGTACGTCAAGATCCAGGTCTGGTTCATGGGAGGCTGCACCAGCACCCCCAGACTTTGTCTCGACAGCTCTTGACAATCGCAATCTTCGATTATTCAACGTCTAAATCTCCATCTGAAGTCCTTTTTTTTGTTCGCGGCTGTCTTGTATCCTTACATAAGCTCTCCATGTTCATATGGCCAGCAGATGCTTTTGTGATGAAAATGATTCCGGCCCTTGTATCAGCTTCAGCCTTGCTACTATCTACAATCCCTTTCCTTGCAACGATTGTTTTCGCCCAAGACGCACCAACAAAATGCTATGTTGTTGACGGAACAGCAGCCGATAATTCTGGATACCGATGTGATAATTCGACGACAGGGAACAGCGCCTGTTGCGCTGCGGGAGCAACTTGTTACTCCAACGGCCTTTGTAAACAGGACAATGGTCCTGTGGTAGATTATCTACGTGTAGGCTGTACGGACCAGACATGGGAAGATCCAGCATGTTTGAATCAGTGCGCAGCTTGTAAGTGTCATGTTCAATACAGAACATCCAATGATTAGCTTCTCACTATTTTCCAAAGTTGCAAATAGCTCAACAGCCGGTGTCCGATTCTGCAACGGCGATATCACAGACACAACCTCATACTGCTGCGACGATGGCTCTCAAGGCATAGGCAGTTTTCATTGCTGCGACAACCCAACATCTATTTTTCGGATCAGTCCAGCTGCTACAATCCTGGCGCAAATGCCATTATCACAACTGAGCACCACAACAACAACCTCCTCTTCCTCATCATCCACATCCCAGACCTCAACAAGTACAAGCATATCTTCAACTACAACCACCACCAACGCAGCAGCAACAAGCACAAGCGCGTCGCCTTCATCTGGAGGCGGATCATCAAACAGCGCAGCGATAGGCGCTGGAGTCGGCGTCCCCGTAGCAGTCATCGCGCTCGGTATCGTGGGCTTCTTCGTCTGGAGACACAGACGGAATAAGAAGCGCAGCCAGACTTTTGAGTTGCAGAATAATGAGTCAGGGGATGGATACGGAGCGGGTAGAATGGGAGGAGCAGCAGCAGCAGGCGGGTATCGTGATAATCATACGCCGCCAGTGCTGGAGGCGGAGGGCTCGCCTATGCCGATGCATGTGCAGAAGAAGGGGTACTTTGGAGGCAGGGAGTATCAGTCTGCGCCGCAGGTACGTATCTCGTTCTTGGAAACTGCAGATACTTCGTTGATTAACTGGCATGCTGATTTGTTGATGTAGGAGTTACCGAGTCAGAACCAGGTGCATGAAATTGGTACTTGATATTCGTTGATCCTCGGCTAGGTGAGTGGTGTTGGGCGGCGGAGGCGTTCAGGTCTGTCATTTATGTTGATAGTGGGCTGAGAGAAATTCATTGAAACTCAAAGATGGAGAATTTCCGTTCGTGAGTGGTGTTCGGTTTTCACGGCACAAGGTCATTGTTCTGCAAAGCGATGGCGTTGTGGAAAACAAACCAGACGGAACTGTTTGGAGTGGAGCTTCTGCGTTGGGATTGACTTGGTCATGTTTTTATTCCAACAAGCTCTTAATATACTCATACAAAGAATATTTTGGGAATATTCTGGACTACTGCTTCATGTCACAGATCGGTTAGGTACTTTTCTCTACAACGCTCTGTTCCGTGTCTTCTTTCCCTGTTTGAGATACAAGCTCTTTTGAAACGTTATGTCCCTATTTGGAGGGATAGTTACAAGTAAATTGATCGAAAGGTAGAACATCTACCGCAGAGGCTTTCGGATAATGTGAGTCGTATACACTGGACAGTGCTTGTGGTGTTTCAACGTTAAGACATGCATAGGCCACATGAGTTTACAAGGTTAAAACGGAGTTGATGAGACTGTTGGAGCCATCGGTGGGTGTTCTTAGCTGAACCTGTGTATTCCTTGAGGGAGGCACTGAATTTGAGCTGCTGTTATTGATTATTATTGTTCCTGATTGTTATTGCTGGTCTCTCGCTTAATTGCCTTTCAACTGTTATGAGTTCGAATTGTGACATGCTAAAAAGGCTGAAATGATTTCTCTACTAGAACTAATCTTTGGAAGAACGGTTATTATCTTTGTCAACTTTGCAGGATAATGATCTTCGAGATGTGAGTCCTGCAATACTTCAATTCTGAACCTGTATCTTCAAGACCTAAGTCAGATCCATTACAAGTACAAATGGTGGTTGAAGGAGGAAAGGATAATTATGGCGGAGTGACGGGCGAGTGAGGGGGAGAAGGATCGGAATGTTTGTTTTGTCAGTGGCACAGGTCTTCATTTGTTTTTGTTTGCGGGTTTGTTTGGAGGGATAGGCCGTCTTTTAGAAAAGTGATTCGGGGAATACCATTTCAGCTGAGAAGGGACGGAGACACATCCTCGACATCCTAGCTTACTCGTCGGTCCCAACTACCAGGCACGGAAAACTTGCCAGGCCTGGAGGAAACGTGTTTTGGAATCAGAAAATAGCCAGTTCTAGCCATTGAAGACTTGGATGTGTTCCGGTTCAGTTCATGGCAGATCCATGCAGGCAAAAACATCTGATATGGCTCGAGCTAGGTCAGCGAAGCGAGAATTCCTCGAATGGTGGTCGGACACGGAGAGAGCTCCGCAACCGCCGCGGATTCGATGTCCCGCAGGCATCGCAATCTGAAAAGCCCCATGCACTCACTCGATGCGGCGGGCACCCGGGCACAAGGGCATGCATGCAGCTGCAAACTCCCGTCTCCACTGACATCATATGCCGTGGACGTGAACGTGGACTTGGACCTCTTGCTTCCGCGAACTCTTTGGGTGCAGATAGCACAGATTGGGGAACACAAACAAACCTAGAGGTTAAAGTCGCTCGCTGATTGTCTGTCAAATAAGTCAACTTGGTAGGTACACTTTACTTGTATGCAGCATGAACAAAAGCAATGAATGAATGGGTGGTAATGCACCGCATCAGGAGGACAGCTTTTTCGGACAGGGAGCGGTGAAAACCCCACGTCCAGCCGCCATTGCAGCGATTTTGCAGGCTTCATGCATGATGCGGTAAGGTCAAGGACAGGCCAGGCATGGCATGGCTGACCAGAAAGGCGGCTAGGTATGTCGTGCCAGAGCAGAAACAACGGAACAATCAATAGACAGACAAATCACAGCTCAATAGGATAGATAGATAACAAGAGTCGTGTTGAGCAGCATGTCAATAGACATTTACATAGCAAGATATGGAAATAGCTATGCTCCATTTAATGCGTCTCATCTCTCCTCTTCCGTTTCCGTCATCAGCCCGCTGCCAATAATGATGGTCTAGGAGTTTAGAGCTCTGGCAAGGGAATGGAAGGTTGAAACTCAAATTGGCATGCCAATTGCCTCCTTGCCCCTCCCTCCACTTTCTGCTCCACTTCCTCAATTCCCCACGTACCTAATTTACCTTACCTTACCTTACCTTACCTTACCTTTTGCATTGGATCTTGACTCGCGAAATATCAACATTTCCAGGGCATATACACACGACACGTAAATTTACTGAGGTTGCTCTATTTCATTGACAACAACCACAACGCTTTGCCACTCCGAGCCTGTCTCTTGCCTGGTGCCGGAAGCTACACCGAATCGGTTTACTCTACTCCTCACAATCAACCAGCCCTGCTGTACCTTGCCTGATCTTTGTCGGCGCAATTCTCAATTCGAGGAGGTGCTAACAAACACCCTGGTCTGCTACACATCGAAGCTGGAACCTCAGTCTCCACACCTCACCAGCCAGCCAGCCAGCCAGCCAGCCATCCATCCTCTTCTACCACTCCTCCCTTCAGCAAGGAGCCAGCTTCTCCCGAAGATCTGGCACTGGCACCCGCGCGTCGTTACCTCGCGCTTCAGTCCCTCGACTGCAGCTGCCGTGCGTGCATGCAAGGTCAAATATCACGGTGTATCCTTTATTTCCTATCATCTTACTCCACAGGCCCAGTCCAGGTCGCTGTGACTCGCCATCCAGTTCCAGTTTGTCACAACGTTTGTCGTCGGCGTTCCCAAAGGAGCTGCACGTCACTCACTCAGCCGCGGCAAGAACTCGGTGTAACCCTGTCTTGCTCGAGTCTGCTCTGCTGCGCGGGCCAACCTGACATTCATGAAGCCAGAGCCAAAATCGATCTTCACGTCTGAGAGAGATTTCACCAGTCAAGCAATCCGCGAGCGGATAACCCCTTCTTCGAACCCGAGCACAGCTTCTCACATCGCGGCGCCTACATATGAGCAGGGAATAATCAGGGAGGAGGCCCAGCCTGTCTGCCCAGAAGACGACCCCTCGACGTCTAGCCAGAGAGAGTCTGCAGAGTTGAGAAGCGGACACAGAGGCCGTCTACCATCTCTCAAACTCGCTGAAATACACGCTCAAGCATCATCAAACGATACACCAGGTATTAAGTCGCCTAACCCAATACAAGACTATTCCTCTCCGCGGACGGCCCTATTACCACGAGAAATACCGCATGCCTCAAAACATCCAAGGGTGGAGGATAAAGGTTCAAGGCCAGCTTCTGCAGAGCGGCCGCAGAAAAGGAACCGACCCAAGTTTATAAACGCACGCCAACATACCCTTGATTCGGAAAGTTTTCAAACAGTGGTATCTAGGAAGGTACAGGGTTCTCCACCTTCACCTCTATTCTTTTCGTCGCAACATTCCAGAAAACGCCCGTTACTTCCTCCAAGCTTCTCCAGCGCCGACGCTGCAGCAGCTATGCTGAATAGAGCTCGAGATGAGCCTGGAGGGGTTACAACACTGAAACTTGCTCGAGGAAGCCTCAGCAATTCAAGCCCCCCTCGTGCTTCAAGTACGCCTGGGGTATCTAGTGAAAGAAGCAGCGTATCCCAGAGTCCCAACTGGAAGATGAAGTCCTCAGCGGGAATGCAAACATTAGAGAGCGTTGGGGTCGTTGAAATCCTGGAGCAAGACGAGAGGCCTACATTCATTATCGATCTGGCAAATACAACAAATTTTACACCAGGTAGCCCGTTGCAACTAGTTTTTGCAAATGCCGCACTTCGGGCGTATGAATCTATCTTGGAAATGGTCACGGGCAAAGCAGACTTAGACAGCCCTGGTGTAGCCGTGACGAACGATTTCCCTGAATTTAAGGCATGGGCATTGAGTTATGTCAAGAATAGTGAGAGTATGGATGTTTGCCTACCCTCGATGAAGTATGGAGGCTTCACATGGAATTGCAGCACACTACGGAAACGTTTACGTCTCATTAGTGGGAGCAATAACACCAGCAACCCCGCGATACCGTCAGGAAGCAGTTCAAATGGAGCCTTAAGCGGCTCATCTACGTTGAGTGAGCGGCTACGGGGATCAACCATCACCCGTCTTCCTCGATCGCCTCTGGTCCAGTCGACTGAGCCTTCAGATTACTTTGGCGATGCTGTTCCAGCTGCGAATTCTGGAGCAAGTACACCGGCTCGGCAGGAAATCTCAGATTCTGTAGAAGTGAACAAAAATGGCGTGGTCGAATCGCCTCCAAGACAGGCAATGCTCGCTTACCAAAGCGAAGATTTGACGAGCGAAATGATGCGCATCCGATATCCTGAGAGCTCCTCCTTCGACTGGACAAGAATTCCATTATCTGCGGCCCTCCCCAGACATGTTCAATTTGCTCGGTCTATTAATTGGTCTGCAACAGCCCTTGGTCCAATTCAGAGTTGGGCATTTGATTTGAGAGCGATGTGCAATCTGTACTGAACCCCTTTAGGTGCTCTCCTTGCGAGGATAGTCAAAATCTAGTCGATGGATATTTGCTGATCTGATGGTGTCTAGCATCATGGGTTCTCCGCATCCAGCTGCGATGTACTGGGGTGATGAATACATTGCTATTTACAATGAGGTGATTATTGAGCGCCAGTCGAAGTAGCCAATCTGACGAGAACAGGCATATATCCTACTAGCTGGACAGAAACATCCTCAATTAATGGTTAGATATTTCTCGCGTATTCCAAGGCACGAACAGCGCATTTATCAACAGATCTAACGTAGCGTAGGGTCAAAGTTACAAATCTGCATGGGCCGAGATCTGGCCAGAAATTGAAGGAGTCTTTGATAATGCAAAGAATTCAGGCCAATCGACAATGAAAGACGATGACTGTTTATTTATCAAAAGAAATGGGTTCCTAGAAGAGTCCTACTTTTCATGGTCAATCATTCCTCTGGTCGGCGAGGATGGCACAGTAGTTGGGCTTTACAATCCTGCTTTCGAAAAAACCCGGCGCAAGATTGCTGAAAGACGAATGTTGACGCTGAGGGAAGTTGGAGAGAAAACTGCCACCGCTCGTGAGGTGAAAAGCTTCTGGGGCCAAGTCATCAAGGGACTTGAGTACAATGGTGTGTAGCACTTTCTTTCGTCCAACGGCAACTAACTTGCTCCAGAGTATGATGTGCCGTTTGTATTTCTTTACTCAGTGAGTGAAGACACCGACAGCGACTTAAGCTCTATGCATTCTGGTTCACTGGCCCAAGCGCCTCAGTGTATCCTGGAAGGCACTTTAGGAGTTCCTGCGGATCATAAAGCAGTCATCAGTCCGCTCGATTTGAAGGCTAGCGACGAGAGCTTCGCCCCGTATTTACGAGAATCGATGAGATATAACAAGACAATTCTGTTAACAACGGAAGACGGCACTTTGTCTTCCGATCTGATCGATGGTCTCGAATGGCGAGGCTTTGGAGACCCTTGCCGAGCAGCTGTCGTTTGTCCCATCCATCCTACTACTGGGGAAACAATCCTCGGATTCCTAGTGATGGGCATAAATCCTCGGCGGCCATATGATGACGACTACAGTCTATTCATCCAACTCCTAGGCCGGCAATTGGCGACGTCCATGGCGTCCGTTGTTCTTTTCGAGGAGGAGATTAGACGTGGTCAACGTGCTGCTCAACTCGCCGCGCTTGACCGCCAAGAACTCTCGAAACAGCTTGACTTGCGGACTCGAGAAGCTGTAGAGAGTGAGACAAGATTCACACGCATGGCAGAGTTTGCGCCTGTGGGGATGTTCATCGCGGATGGATCCGGTGCTATAACTTTCAGCAACGATACCTGGTGGGAAATAACGAGACACCCAAGAGGGGTTAACAGCGCAAATACTTGGATGGACAGCATAAAGGATGAAGATCGTGCCGGAGTTCAAGCCATCTGGAATAAACTAGTCAGCAAGAAGACAGTCGTCACCCACGAGTTCCGCTTCAAAACCCCGTGGCAAGATCGAAATGGCAACCGAAGCGATACGTGGGTTCTGATGAGCGCTTATCCTGAGAAGGACCAAGATGGCAAGTTGAAGAGCGTGTTTGGTAGTATCACGAATATCAGCCAACAGAAGTGGGCCGAAGATTTCCAAAAGAGAAGGATGGAGGAGGCTATTGAAATGAAGCGCCAACAGGAGAACTTTATCGACATGACCTCTCATGAGATGCGGAATCCACTTTCGGCTATTCTTCAATGCAGCGACGAAATCACTACTTCGCTTATGGACCTCAAGGCCAGTGATGAAGCTTCTAAATCATCCGAGAAGCTCTTGGATACTCTGGAGAACAGTATTGATGCTTCTCAAACAATTGCACTCTGTGCTCAACATCAGGTGAGTATCTCGATGTCACGTGGTGTCTCAGTGTCAGGTGTTATAAGCTAACTTGGGGTTCTTAGAAACGTATCGTTGACGACATTTTAACTCTATCCAAACTTGATTCGGCCCTTTTGGTCGTGACTCCAGTCTCAGTACAACCTGTGAGTGACGCCCTTTCCGCAGGCAATTGCCCAAAACTCACGGATTTAGGTTGCTGTGGTCCAGAGAGCCTTGAAGATGTTCGAAGGAGAGCTGGATACTAATGACATCGCCATGGAGTTTATGATGGAGACGTCTTATCTGGATCTGCAAGTTGACTGGGTCAAATTAGACCCTTCCCGGTTGCTACAAGTTCTGATCAACTTAACTACGAATGCTATCAAGTTCACCCACGGCCAGAACAAGCGAACCATCATCGTTAGTGTTGGTGCTAGCAAGGAACGTCCTGTTGGCGAGAGTTCAGACGTTTCCTATTTTCCAAGTCGTTCAAAACGGAAAGATCTGATTACAGAAGATGCGGAATGGGGAACTGGTGACGAGATATACCTTCACTTTGCTGTTCAGGACACAGGACGAGGATTAGATGAAAAGGAGAAGACGCTACTCTTCCAGCGGTTCAGTCAAGCTTCTCCTCGTACCCACGTACAATATGGTGGCTCAGGTCTCGGACTCTTCATTTCGAGAGAACTGACTGAACTACAAGGAGGCGAGATTGGCGTATCATCGGAACGTGGGGTAGGCAGCACCTTCGCTTTCTATATCAAAGCACGCAAAGTCGACGGCTTTGCAGAAGATACACCAATATCCACGACGATCAATGCTCTTCGGAGAAACTCGTCCAATTCTGCTGTTACGATCGAGAGCAGGAAGAACTCTTCCGGTAAAGCAATCCACCGATCTCATACCACAGGTCATCGACGTCGTTCAACAGTCACTCCGCCAATTTCATCGCCGCCACCACAGCCAGTTACTGGAATTACAATGGATCATTCTAAGCTGAAGATTCTCATTGTCGAAGACAATCTGGTCAATCAGAAAGTCCTCCAGAAATCACTCAAAAATCAAGGATTCATGACTGAGCTTGCCAATCATGGCGGCGAAGCTCTCGAGATTCTCAAGACGTCGAACTACTGGACTGGTCGAGAGAAGGATGGGATGGAATTGGCAGTCATCTTGATGGATCTTGAGGTTCGTGTATCGATGCTGACAATCAAAAGACTACTCGCTGACAGACATAGATGCCAGTGATGGATGGCCTCACATGCACTCGGCAAATCAGAGGTTACGAAGCAGACGGAACTATCGTAAAACATGTGCCAATCATAGCAGTGACGGCAAACGCACGTCTGGAACAAATCGATACGGCGCTTGCTGCTGGGATGGTACGTAGCTCTGAGTCCATTGATGTGCAATGTCTAACCCGTCAGTAGGACAATGTTGTTTCGAAACCATTTCAAATCCCACAATTGATACCCAAGATCTACGAACTCGTGACTAGAAACAAATCGACAGAGGACCCGTCTCAGACGGCTCATACAGAAACAGAGGCAGGACCATCATAGACCTGGAGAGGATGGCATGTACAGTAGATGAGGAATAGATGACAGAGGAGCATGGAGAACTGCATGGAGTTGAGGGCGTTGCATTTGGGTAAAAGTCACAGAAGGATATATATACCATTGTTGGCTGGGGCATGCGCGGGCGGGCGCGCGGGTTTTTGGATGTACTGCATAAGCGGGGTCGTGCTTGCGGAATACAGAACAAGCTTCTAGGCTTTTGATGAGGTGAGATGAGTTAATGAGGGAGATTTGTAGATATGATATGATACGAAAGATCAAGATGAATGATAATGTGACGGTGGCACGAGTCGCCGTCGAGAATTTAGGAAAAGAAATGAAACTCGTGCTGTGGCTGTAGCTGCCTGAATGAAGGAGCGACTTTTGGAGAGCTGAGCTGCAACTGCTCAGTCCTGAACCAAATCCCACAGGTCCGATCCAAGTACAATACGAGCGAGTGCTCTGATCCTTGGGGGCTGTGACCCTCTCCCGGAAAGCATACATCATCATGTACCACATCGCATCGCATTGCACGCCGTAGTACAGTACATTACAATTCAATTTCTTTTCCAAATTATCTCATCGCCATCGTGCCAGCACTCACTCACCCCTCGTGTCAATTCAAGTCAAGTCAAGTCACAGTATCCAAGGCAGGTATAAGAATAGTAGTACTTTAGAGGTGCATGTAGATGAGTGTGCATTAGCGATACGATGCGATGCACGCGTCGTCTACCTACCCACCCTACCTGGTGTACCGTTCTGGTAAATTCATTCCCAAGCGATGGAGGGGTGGCGATTTCATATCGAGGTGGTTTGCCCCTCGCTGCAGTTCAATGGAGGAGTGGACTGTATACGGAGGGACAGGTGCAGATGCAGGTGCAGGTGGATGGTTGGAGGTAGGGAGGTGTGGATTTATGCATGCATGTCAGATTATTATTGTGTGCCCACATGGAGGGAAGGAGAGGTATCTCGTCTCGTCTCGCCTTGCCTCCAGGTTGATAATACCCGGATGGCAAATTGAACCGCCATGCGCGCGCCCAGATGGAGGTGACTGCCGAAAATTATCTACCGTGCTGGCGGTTCTGGGTTGGTAAGTACTTATTGTATTGTATTGTGTCTGTTGGCTGTTGTTTTGCGTGTCGGGATATGCCATTTGGGCTGAGGTCAGCTCGATGGATATCGCGGACGAAGCTTCTCACTTCTTTTTGCCTTCCACTCCTCGCTTGATATCCAAGCAACAGGCGAGTCGCTCAAGTAAAAGTCAAGCCAAAGTCAAGAAGAAAATGAGACGAGATGAAATCGATATGAGATGCCGCTAGTACTTGGCGCTGCGATTTAACTACTCTCCGTACTTCTGTTCCTGGCGCTGGCGCCATTGAATCGTCCCCAATACAGGGGAAAGCCTGGGATGGACATGCACTCGAATGGAGAGCCTCGAGCTTGTTCGAGTTCTCGGCATGATCTTGAGGGGTAGTGAGGTGATAGCACTAGAATGTGGTACGGAACATGTTGGGGCAGGCGCCCGGCATGCGGCCTGCCTGCCTGATGCATGGAGATGGAGATGTGATGCACATCGCAAGAGGGCCAGAACAGAACAGAAGGGTTTCTCGTGTAAGCAGGTGGAGAGAGCAGATTCGCAGATTCCAGTCGAGGGGGCCAAATCGTGCTAAGCGAGAGCCGGGAGGGCCTTGAGGGTCCGGGCATGGCGCTGCTCTTGGTCACATTCAGCCTAGAGCTTGAGCATGCCAGCGGACACAGCGGACGGACCTGGTAAGGAAGGAAGAGAAGAGTCCCTCCTGACTGGCCAGGCTGAACAACTGAAGGTCTTTCAGTGGCTGCTGGAGGTCGCTGATTGGGCTACAAGCAGTGCTGAAGAGCGTTGATTGGGCTGTACAGAGTGACATCGTCCTCTTCCCTGCACGCCTCTGCAGCGCCTCAACCCCCTCTCCGCCCCTCATTGGACCCCTCTCGTGCCCGCTGCTACTGCATGTAAGCGCTGAACTTCCCATCACCGACTCTCCATTGGCGGCTGCACCCTCATCCCGCACTCTTGCACCAATTGCTGACCACCGCGGCGACCACAAAGAGCGCAGGCCATGGGCATTCATAATGGCGGCGGTGCCGGCCCTCCAGGAAGCCTCTTTCTCTTCCTCGGATCTGGACTTGCTGCTTGGTTTGCTCTTCTCACTGCTACTGCTGTTCAATGTCAATGTGAAGCTTCAATATCACGACGACGTCGATTGCGTCTGCACAGGATCTCGCTCGCTCGCTCGCTGCTCACCTGTATTGCATCTACCCCTCTCAGCCTCGAACAAAGACAGGGTTGATTGAGTGATTGAGTGATTGAACTTACCCGAGCTCTCCACACCAAATCCCACGACACGATGTTCAAATTCCCACGGATAGTGATCTCCAGGCGGTGGAAGTGGCCGCGAGTGCTCATCGCCTTGATGGTAATCGAGTTCGCCGGCACGATAGCAGCCCTGGCCCTCTTTGGCATCGCCCAACCGGATCTCTTTCGTACCAAGCTCTGGCAGATTGGTGCTGATAATGGCTGGAACTCGAGTCCGAAGACGAGATTGTATGCCTATGCGAATTATAGACCGGTTCCTAACACGCCGTTTGTTTGGTCGAAAACGTATGTTTTGTGTTGCTCCCGGTCGTGCATGTTTGCATGGCATGTATGAGGATTGAAGGATAGTGGCTAATTATTATTTTAGAATCACCGACTTCAATGTCGCTATCTCAGTACTTAGTACTTTTATTCTGCTCGTCAAGGCAGTCATGTTCGTATTGCATGTCTGGTATCCATTACTGAGCACGATCACCAATGCTGTTATCGTTGCCCTGTGGTGCGTAAGCATATATGGACAAATGGGACCAGACCACTCGGACCCAAAACACTCGTCAGATATCGCTTGGTACATCTCCAAGAGCTGTGATGTGGCGAAACCATCTGGTAACCATCATAACTGTGTTCTGGCTAAGTCCACTTTCGCGGTGACGGTTATCATGATGTAAGCTTTCCCCTTATCCTCTTTTTACTCTTCAGAGCCATTGAAAATGGTAACTAACGCATCACAGGGCCGTCTTCTTCTTCAATTTCCTCCTCGGCGTGTGGTCCATGATCCCCTCGGCCGTGGAACGGGCAGCCGATGGCGTTGAAGTCGACGACATGCAGATGACCAAAAGCTCACCTGTATCCGACAACGGCTCTGCGGAATGGGAGATGAAGAACGTACCTAAGCAACCTGCTGTGCCGTACACGCCGAGGACGTTAGCCTTCAATACTCTGGATCGGCAATTACCGTTGAGGTCACAGGAAGGGCCTAGATGGGCGTGATCTTATTTGGTTGGGTTATCGGATTTGGAGCGGGGGAGTTGGGGATCATCTTGTTTGTGGCGAAACACTCCTCGACTAGGGGAAGGGAATTTGGATGGAGGCTTACGAGCCATGTTACGATATGATATAACGACACTGGACACGATCGGGTTGAATACGAAAGGGTACAAAGAAGCCCAGCTATCTATCCTCCAGAAGTCTCTGCAGCAGACTAGATCAGATGTCTGATCTGCTTCCTTTACTTATTTAATATTTTTCCTACTGTACCTGGCTAGCCTGTTACTGTTTGGGGTGGTCTCAGGTCTGGTATCTACCATATCTCTCAAGGATATTTTCTTGTGTAAATAGCATATAAATACAGCTCCTAGACGAGATGGATGATCCAACAGACAAAATTAAACAAACACACTAGTGCCAAATTCCTCTTCGATTTCTAGGTGTTGATCTCCTATGTGATGCTGGACATCTTGGGAGTCAAAATCGGGAATGTTGATTTGGAAAGTGCCGTCTCATGTCAGATCAGCTTACATCCGTACGGAGTGGTTGTCTTTGCAAGAGCTTGTTTTTGCCTGCTTGGATGGAGATCAAGCAAGTGTTTTCTTCCCTTTCGCCTGCTTCCTCATGTCAGATTCATATGTACGCCACCTTGCTTCGTGACCATGCCTTCTATGTAGAATGTGTGATTAGGTAAGTGAGACCAAATCGCGCCTTCGTGGTTTTCTTCTGAGCAATATGCTGTCACGTTTTGGCTGGGATAGGCGGCCTCTGTGGTGTTGTATGGGGGGGTGAAGAATCAATATTTAGTCTTGAAGAGTCGTGAAGAGTCGTGAAGAGTGATAAGAAATAGCACTTTGCTTTTTCATGCAGATCTAAGAAAGAGACTTATGAACACTTCTGGATGTGGTGGTGTCAACTTACCTGTTCGAGACAGTGCGAACAGAAAGTGCCTCGTGACGAGGCCATCTCCGCACCTTCTTCCTGAAGAGACTTTGTATTCAACGTCCTCTTTCGCCGTTCATACATGTTTTTCCAAATCCATCATTTCACCAAACTTGCTTCTTTTGTGCACGATACTTTCCCATCTCCTTATTCGTCAATCAAGCCAACATGCAGCAAGAACCGGTGACCAGAATGGACTCGAAATCAAGGCGTATGCATCATGCAGGCTGTGCGACCCAGCCTGGCCTCACTTCATTACCTGCTCTTTAGCTACGCGCCAGTATCACAGACCGCATTTTTCAGTTACGATGCTCGGAGTCCACGCTATCAACATTCTCAACTAAGCTCATGTTGTTGGCATTCGACTGTAGTCGCTCACTCTATCAGGCTCCCTTCTATTATTGATTCTTTGTGAAGTACATTTGACGAGGCTGCGAGCGTCACAAGTTCCCCTCAATCATGTCGCAGCCACCCTTCTTCGTTCTTGCAGAGGGGAAGAGGGATAAGTTCTCTTCTCACGATACATCACGGGCGGGCTATCACCACCAGGATCTAGCTGCTTTCTCAAGAGATGTAAACAATGTAGGTGTTTCTAGTCCAGATTCAAGATGGTTCCTGACCTTGAGTAGGCTGCGAGGAGAGCGTTTCCGAACCGCGGAAGATCGCGATATGGAACTGTAAATATCTGTCTCATACGTTGGGAAGACGACGAACTTGGGGTCCAAAATGAAGTCAGTGCTCTCGACAATGTCCTTCAAAGCTACGGTTTCCAAACCAATATTTTCCTCATTCCTGGCACAAACTCCCACTGGGATTTGATGAGGAAGATGATTGATTTTATTCAAGCTTATGACAACGACCAGAATCTGTTTGTCCTGTATTATGCTGGGCATGGTAGAATGAACAGCGCTCGGCAGGCTGAATGGGTCTTCAGACAGAATCCAGATTCTCCATTCGTAGACTGGTCTGCCATCCAAGGACTATTCGGAACAGCCAAGTCGGATGTGCTTATACTTTTGGATACATGTGCTGCAGCGAGTTCAGCAACAACATCTCAATTTGCCGTGATGGAGACAATTGCTGCTTGTGGATTCGAGAGACGAGCTCCGCCACCTGGAGAACATTCCATGACGAATACTCTCGTCGATGTACTTCGCGATTGGAACAACAAGCCGTCGTTCTCGGCCGCATCTTTACATACCGAGATCCTCTTCCGACTTAAGCTTAAAGAAGCCAAGAAAGGTCGTGAGGGTGTACCACTAGAATGGTGTGTCACGCCCATACATTGGATCAACACGAAAGACTGCAAGGCATCTGGAATTGAGTTATGTAGAAGGACCAAATTACCGTTAATATCTGACGCATGTTCTACTGCAACATCTGACGAGGATGACATCTCGACATACATCGATGCCATGGAACTAGATATTGACGACAAGAGCTCAGGCTCAACACCTTTGTCCTCCGTGTCTTCCAACGGATCTTACAAAGTCCCCCACGTCTTGATCAGCCTTCAATTGGAAGAGGACCAATTATTGGATGCTAGGCAATGCGCTCGGTGGCTTGACAAGTTCCCGCTGCTGGCAAAATGGGTCAAAGTCGATGCCGTTTTCCCAAGCTACTCTACCCTGATGATTATGTCTGTTCCGATGCCGATATGGGACATGTTACCGGATCACCCTGCTTGTTCTTTCATTGGATATACCACTGGTCCGAATATTAAACGCACAGAAGTAACTTCATCAAATGATTCCGCCATACGGGCGACCTCAAATCAAGGGGTTGGCGAAACTGCACGAGGCGAGCACCTAAGGTACGAAATGTCGCTACGCATTGGAAAGACAGAGAGTGTTGTCAATAAAGAAGAGTTTCAGGAATCATCAAGCTGGAAATCGGAAGATATGAAAGATGAGCTACTGTCTGATAAAAGCGACTTGCTTCCGAAGCAGAGCTATGCTATGAGCGACGTCTACTCTTCTGGTAGTGGAAATGATAACGAGGAAGCTCAGCACAATAAATGGATGGACCCTTCCATCTCACATCCCTCGTATCCAGAACGCCGGAGATATTCGAGCAGAAGAAACTTTATAGATAAGCAGCTAAAGAAGGTAGAGAAGAAACATAGCGACCGTGTTCCTGATCACAAGGCGGTCGTAACAAGTGATCCCGAGCGAGTCAGAGTCCATAGCGATATAACTACGCTGACGAAGGGCAAACATATTGGCCCAGAAGTCAGTCAAAGTAAGAGGAGCCATCTTCCAAGGAAAAATGGATGTTCTAGATGCCTGTAAGTTCAATATACTCCAGAATTCTTGCTATGTTGCCAAAAGCTCACTCTTTTAGAACGCGGCGAACGATATGTGATGAGATTAGGCCACAGTGCACTCCGTGTACACGAGCAGGGAGTCGATGCGAGGGATATCCGTCAACCATACCCATCGCGAATGCTCCTGTTGCTGTACATCCACCAAAGAAGACCATTGCCCCAGCGGGTCCTCTCGTTCCTGACATCCTCGGCTCCTTGCAATTTTCCTTTGATTCGCAAGAACGTCAATATTTTCAGGGCTTCCAGGATTTCATGAAAAGAGATTATTTTGGATTTTCCACTTCTCCATTTTTTATTCGCACCATTCTCCAAGAATGTCATTCGGACAGTTCGATGCGACCTGCTGTTCTGGCAATGGGAGGTCTGTATGAGACCTTCCACAAACAAAATACTCTACATAATGATTTTGCATTTAAACAGCACAAGAGGGCTCTGGAAAAACTGCTAGAAAGTCTCGAAAACAAGGATACACCATCGAATGGGAATATTCTCATGTCAATTGCTTTGTTCTTTTGCTTTCAGTCTGGCATTGGAGACCCCAAAGCTGCCATCTCACACCTCAAACGTGGCCTTCGTGTCATTGCAGATTCGCAGCATGATTTTGAGCTTGATCTTGATGATGAGACTGTACGTTTGTTTGCAAGACTTTTCATCCAGATAAAGTCCTGCGACGAAGCTTTCAACTTCCCTGACGAAATACAACTCTCTGTCGCTGAATCCATTACGCACCCGCTCTTTCCAAAACCATACGTTGATGAAGCCGTCTTGGATGCTCTACCAAAACCTACAAGATTCACCACTACAGAGGATGCAAGACGTCATCTGGAACACTTGCAAATATGTAGGATAGAGCTCAGGGATACTCTCACCTCGTCTCATGTCAGGTCTAAGTCTCAGGTATCGGTCCGCATGAGCAATTCCGCAAATGCCCTCAAAGAACAACTTTTAGGATGGTCACGGGCTTTTGACAAACTTTTAGAACTTCGCCGGGAGCCTGGAGTCTCAAGTATCGAGAGGATCAAGCGCGCTATCCTCAAGATGAACTATCTCAGTATCGCAGTTTTTCCCAGACTATATCCAAGAAGCGAGACAGAGTTTGATACGTTCTACCTCGAGTTTCGTGAAATAGTGAAGCTCGCTAAAGAAGTCTTGGTAGACGAAGATGTGTCATTTGGTCCTAGGATGCCTGGCATTGCTACAGATCATAGCTCACCGACTTCTTCCAAAATTAGCACTGAACACTCAAATCTCCTTCGTCAGACGTTGCGCGACGAGCAATGCGACCCTATAGGGACCCCTCAATCAAGACTGCAACCGACACCTCCAGCCTCTTCGAGTTCTCAAAATGTACGTGCCGACTCTAGAGCAACTTTCACAACTGCTATTGGAATCGTTCACCCTCTCTACGTGGTAGCAATCAAATGTCGAAACCGGAAACTCCGTCGTGAAGCTATTCAAATTTTGCTCTCTTCACCTCGACGCGAAGGCCTTTGGGATAGTCTTTTATGTGGGCATGTAGCCCAGTGGGCGATGGTTCTCGAGGAAGAAGATCTTCCCTCTTGGAACCCGAGCGAGAGAGGAGACTCAGCGGTCAGCGGAATGATAGTAGCTGATGATAAAAGAGTTATAATAAGAGAGGTTTCGTTCAATTTGCAGGATAGGACAGCGTACTGTAGATGTGGGAAGAGCGGTGCTGCTGAGGGAGACCCGGATGATAGGGTGAGATTGGTGACACTCAAGTGGTGATGAAATGTATGTGGAACAGGTAGAGATATGCTATGGGATAGGATAGAGGCCATGACGGAGGTAGAACCCTAGCTAGCTGACGTTGGTAAAATGCTCTGCGGGGAAAGTGAGAGGAATCAGGACTCGGGACTCAATGGCTTGAGCTCAAGTAAGATAAATGACAGGTGGATTCGAATGTAAGGTGCACAAGAACAGTCTGTGGACTCGCTTAGTCTAGCACAGGAGGAGATTTCTCCATTGTCAAGCAATGTTGACATGTTTCTCGCTTAACAGTCACGCCACGGTAACGAGGGAATTGCTCGAAACTTCATAAGAACGAAAGGACATAGGAACGCACAACTTGAAGTACAAAAAGTACTTGAGTACTAAATATCACGCTCAAGCGATATGGAATCCCTCTATCTCTTTGGATGACGCTGGACTGCACAACACAATATTCGCTACGCATTTCACCACACACACATACTCATACGTCTCATCCCTTATTGAATTCAAACCATCTAAAGAAGAACGCCGCATGTATTCTGAGTAAGTTTGTCTGTCTGTAGGTGAGAATCGTCTAACATCCCACCCATCGCGATCAATTGATCCAAGCAAGCAAGCATTCCACCCGCGCACCCATCTACCTAGCCATTTATCCGTCATTCCTCTCACTCACTCACTCATTCATTCATTCATCCATTCATTCAGTTATCCAAGCACTGAAGCCCATGAATAATGCTACTTTGTGTTATGATCTGTTTGCGAGAAGTAGGATATGCTTTTCTTTTCTTTTCTTTTTTCTAATGCTTGCGCCTTCGATCTTTGGTCTGCTTTTTGAGACTGCTTTGCTTTGCTTTGAAGGAAAATGGAGATGATGAGTAATGGAAATGTGTGATGTGCAAAGTGGTAACCGGTTCTTGATCCAAATGTAGGTCTCAGACTTCCTTTGTCCTGATTCTGGCATTAATCCAGGTCAGGATAAACAATCATGGTTCTCGTGTTCTGTTGTTGTTGATGACATCCAAGCAATTAAGCCCATGATGTTGAGAAGAGAGAGAAGTCGGTTGGTTCAGTGCCTGGTATCTGAAATTTGGGCTTGAGATTGCGCCGTAGTCTTTTAATTGATGAAATGCGAAGGTTGTTGGAAATAAAAGTACATTCTTTTGGTTTGATTTGATGTGAAAGAAAATTCGCTGTCGTCGTGAAATATGCATGGAGGGACATCCGTTTGTGTGCCACTGAAGATGTGACGAAAGATGCAGATGTGAGACGTTGTGCCACTGCATGTGTCTAAGTTCGATCGAGGGTGCGGAGAACAGAATGTCGTCAAAATGAAGAAATTTGCAGGCTGCAGGCTGCAGACATTGAGAAAGTTGCTCCGAAGCATTTCCCAACGCCGACAGACATCAAGTTTGCTCAACTTAACAGCGGAAATGCGCGTTCCGGTTGTCCATATTATGGCGACTCCACTGACTAGACTCCTTTTCCTCGGGAATATCGGCAGTCGGACTGCGCTTCTGAGAACCATGCTTGCCATATGCCTCCCAGGGAACGGGCTCTTGTCGACAACCATACTCGGCGTCGTAGTTCTTGTTGGGGTCGGTGCGGTTCATGGCATGCATGCGCTTTTCATCGAGGGCGTCGGCTTTGAGGATGATTCGTCGGGTGTGGAAATCACTGGGAGGGGAAAGTGGTTAATTGAGATGTTGCATGTAGAATAGATGAGAATTAGGGCGAGAGGGACAGAGGCATTTCTGGAAATTGGAGAGGGAGAAAAAGACTAACCTAAGAGCCTTGCTTAGGTCCGCAGTATTCCAACCATCGTCACCATCTTGCAACCAAGCCTTCATGAGTCTACGCTTCGACGGCTTATAGTGGTCCTTCTCATGTTGGCAGGCAATCTTGAGCTTGCAGCCGAGACATGTCAAGTTTGCCTGGCGGGCGCTGTTGCCATGAAAGCTCTGGAGCTCGAAGATGTCGTGGAACTTGAAGAAGATACCTAGGACTTGCTGCTTGCAGTAGTTGCAAGGATACTTCAAGGTATATCTGTGGGGTTGTTTTGTGATTAGTATGAGAAGACCAATGGTAATGTCGTGGGGCAAGAGTATGGGGACGAAAAAGGGAAATAAAGGGGATTACTTACGGCTTCCAACCTTCAGGACGACAGCCAATATTATCTGAAGCCCAGCGACGCACATTACCGTGATGATCCGGATTACGACTATCTACCAGAGCACATATGACTCTTGGATCAGTGTTTGGGTTTTGCAGAGCCTGTAAGGTTTCCTCGACTTTCCATAGTAAACCTTTGTCAAGCCATTGTCTGAAAGCACTCTCCTTGCTAACGATGTCAACATTTTGAGTGCGAGCCATGGGCAAGGCACGCAGCACGATTGACCAGACAGCAAGAGGGGTGTTCATATCTGTGTTGTCCCAAGTAGCTCCATATGTACCAGTGAAGGCCGGGTTCCATTCCTTGCCATTGATGTACGGCTCAGGACCTTGGTGCCACATTGGGTAGAAGTCCAGAGAGATTTGGTTCTCCCGGCCCAGAGGACGGTCGGTCTTGATGATTTCCAGGAGGCGGATGATCTCAGCGACATGCATCAATTGGCATTGGTAGATGCCGAGGACTCTGAGTTGTGTCATCTTAGGAATGAGAAGATTTAGAAGTTGAGGCGTGAGGAAGCTGATACGGTGTAGTTGGAGGTTTTGCATGTTTTCGGCGAAGTTGGACATGCTGATGCCTGTATCATCATGTTAGTCTCGCCTGCATGTGAACATGAGGATAGAGGACAGAACTTACTCATAGTGTAGATGTTTCGGACTTGCTCATAGTATGAAGGTGGGCCGCTAGGTCTTCTGAATGGAGCGATGACTATGACGGGAGAGACTGTACCTTGGTCCCATGGGTCGGTTGGTGCACCAGGTCCATGACGAGGCTTCTCACAGTTGTGAAAGTAACCGCCATCTTCGAGTGTTCCAGTCATATCCCAAAGATGCTGAAGAAGGTCAGTAAGGTAGTACGAGAAGATATTGCAACTTATTTGGGACCTACCAGATAGCTATCGTAGATCTGAGTCATCTCTTGACAAGTTGACCAGAATTTCCAAGCTGTAGTATGCTTCTCGAATATCAACTGAAGGAGCTTGCGTGAGATAACGTCATTTGAGAAAAGTTTTGTGAAGAGCGGGGAGTGTTGAGCGACTTGTGCCAACTTGAATCTTGGTTCAATGTTCTGTCCTCCATCGGCGGCGTAGTTCAGAGCATAAGGTCCCTGCTCTGAAGTCAGTGCTCGGTATGGCCCCAATGAAGTTGCACTCTCACAAGCAGAAGGAGCTTCTGGGGACAATCATTCCATGGCCAACCAGTCAACTCCTGCTCAACTCTCTCCTTGATGAGCTGCTCCTCCGTCTTGACATCCACTTCAACCTCCCAGGGGCGTTTGGGGAGCTTATCGTAATCGATGTCGCCCCAGTCGAGAGTTCCGTAGCCTTGAAGTCTAATGCGCTCCTCGATCTCTCGGATCTGAGAGTCAAATGCCCGCTGCAACTCAATCTCGTATTTCGTCTTGTTACTTGTCATTGTGATTGTTTTCGATCGGTTGTGAAAATGGATTCGGTATTCTGTTGTCACAGGACATTAGCAAATACTCCGCAAGGCTTCAAAGCTTTGAGATTCGGCTTCAGGCTTGAAGCAAGCAAAGCTGAGCCTGGAATTGGATTGTGACAGGTACAGATACAAAGGAAAAGAAAAACATTATGCTGTTGAGGGAAGAAAGAAACTGATGCAAAGAAAGGGAGGGTAGAAGGTATTTTGGAGAAGCAAGAGGGCGGATGTACCACAAGTGTGCGTAGGATGAGCAAGGCTTGTGATGAAACGAAGGAAGGATAAAGATGTTATGCTGATGACGAGAAATTTGAAATGAGCTTTGCTGCTCTGAGATAGGAAGAAGAAGAAAAGGGGAAGTACTAAGTAAATAGAGACCTGCTCAAAGTGCTCTGTGGCAATAGAGAACGAATGCTGAACGACTTCCAGTACAGTTGCCTCTTGAAAGTATTATCTGTGCACCAGCACTAGGCTCATATGGAAGGAATGATGATGGATCGTAAAGCAAGAACGAAGTGTCAAAGAATGTAATCTGTTTTGCTGTAGGATTGCAAAAAAGAGTTGTTGAAGGGAGGGAGAGGAGGAACAATAAATAGAGACCTCACTACTCGAATTTGCCGCCAAGGCGTTTTCAATGTCAACAGACCCTGCAGACGTGGGTCTCAAGGATAAAGAATGACACTCGAAGCAGTGAATTCGAGGGTTGAAAAATCGAGGAATTAAGATCAATGAATAACAATTGTGATAAGATTTGGAGCGCATCAGACATTGGCAGGCCCTCTGAACGTGAAGAGATGCTTTGGGATGAAGGGTAGATATGCCAACGTTTGTTATTGGAAGTGTTCAAGGAATCTCCAGAGTGGCCTCTTTGTTCATAGTTTTACAAATTACACTGAGAAGATAGCAAAGGCCTTTAGCAAACAAGATTGAACAGCTGCACGATAAAAATGAGATGCGAATGTAACTGGGAGGATACAGCTATTGTGATCGGTCCCATTAAGGAATTCACTCGACGAATTGCTTGTTGGCTAGGAAGGAGATAACAATGCACATTGATGATAGACCACCCAAGACCATTTGATTGGATTGCTCGTGATGTAAAGATGACGTGAGATAATGAAGCATTTAGAGAATAAGAGCTGTTTGAAGGCAGAGGTGACATCCACGTACCACTTGTAGCTCAAAGCATGATAGGTCGGGCAATGCCGTCCGAAGTAGGAAGCAGCTCAGGATATGTACAATATTCCTGTATAGTTGTCTGGAGAGTAGAATCTTGTCACAAAGTCCCTTGGACGTCAATGCTTAGCGAGAAAGTTCTTGTAAGCAGTCAGATGGGCGGTGAAGCGGGTAGGCATGAAATAATGAGTCTTGAGGCTGAGAGCATCAGAATCCTGAGCTGACGATGATGAAAAGACTTACTCAAATTAAGTACTGAGAACTGAGACCATTAATTCTTGCTCTAGAGTATTGAGGAGATTGTGCTTTTGGTCATATCAAAAAGTGGAGTTTGATTGGAGTATAGTGGAGGACACTGACTGTCGAGAGATAGATTGGAACAAGGCAGAGTGTGGCGATACAGAACGATCCGGTGAGCTAGTGGGCTGATTGACGATGAACGGAAGCAGAAACTTTCTACAGAGTGGCAGGCCTCTTCCACTGACTTACCCTGCCTGGAGATGGCAGCAATGTTGAGCAACTGGGGATAGTGGAAAAGAATAATTTTGGGCTGAGTTCCACGTAATCATAGTATCGAGATGGGAAAAAGGTGAGCTTCATACCAAATACAATTTGATGGATGGTCGGGGAGAAAATTATTCGGGAGCCAAAAAAGGTTGATTTATCCTCGGCAACGCTAACAAATAGCAAGCGATCATCCATGCTCCTCGACTTGAAAGTAAGAAGAGAAGAGGACAGCGTTGAAAGGAATGAAGTTGGAGATGGACCTGAAAAATGAAGTATCATAGAACATTGTTGTTATCATCCAACACCAATCGCAGGAAACAAGAAGCGCCAAAAGATATGTATCACGTGTTAAACATCACCATCCCGCGTCGAGGGCCGCGCGATGTTGTGTAAGTTTCAGGGCGCGTCAGAAGTAATCGAATCCTACAGAGTCAAGAATATGGCTCATGAGGGCACACAGCTAGACACCACGAATATGGATTCAAACAACCTGAGAGACACCATAAGTTCACGTGACTATGAATCACCGAGATCCTGCCCTCTGCCGAAGTTCAGTCTCAAGCGAGAAGCAAAGCTTAGATAAACAAAAGGGCTGCATTTCCTCTGGAGCACCCAATCTTCTGTGAATAACGAAGCAGCTGTGATTGAAAGCGACGGTTTGAAGGTGACATATCCAACAAGCGAACAAATACATCGCAGCTTACTCCGATCATGTTAACAGGAAAATTCTGAACCATGAGATGCGAATCGCTATCAGGCCATTTCCGACTTAGGGAGAACGGCCTAGGATAATACGAGCAGCCATGTTAACTAGACGTTTTGAAATCTCATGTTCGTGAAGTTGCAGACGGTGTGCATCGTCATGATGCAGAGAACCTGAACGGGTTTAGGGACAAAATCCCATCCGCAACAGCCGAAACAAAGAGTAGTAGAAGCAATCTGGACTGACTCATGGATAGACGTATTCTGTCGAAACCTGCCGCTTGTTTGATGTTAGAACCTGCGAATGAGAAGTGGTGGCCTTATCTGAGCGGTGTATGTGGCCTGACGATCCATCTGGATATTCTTCGATCGAAATATCCGGCCTTCTGATACGCCCTCAACAACTTCTTCTGCAGGTTTCGTCTGTTGTGCCTTCAGTCAGGATTGCACAATCGTTGTCTATACCGTACTGGGCTTGACACCACGAGAAAGAGTGACTCTCCCCTTGCACGGCTGTATACTACCACACTACTGTGAAGCTGTGCTGCATAGTGACATAACTGATGCCAATGCCACACACATGAGATGCAGACCCCGCGAAAAGGGCGTCGCGTGCGTTATGTGAGGACGTGAGACCCATGTGAAGGGTTTGCAGTGTAGTGGTTTTTGGGTTTACATTCGGTCTGTTATTGAAAAATGTTGAAGACTTTTGAGGTCTAAGCTGATCAGGACGGGAAAAAGTTGTCAATAACTCTTGAAAGAGTGGAGCCCTTGCAAGAGATTTCTGGCCGTCTTTCTCGATTGAAAGTTTCGTGCACGGCGCTGGTGAGATGAGTGGAGACCTGGGTCCGACTGAGGTTGATTCTGGGTTTGGCGCTGTGGGCCTTGCATTTACTGAGGTGGATCCCTGGCGTCGTGCTAGACGCTCGCTGCCGGGACTTGGAGAGCTTGTAGGGATGGCGCGTTAGTGGCGCTGCAGGGAAATTTGAAGTCTGAGGTAAAGACACAAAGAAATCGAGGCTTCGCGGAAGTCAGGACCTAAGGCTCGGACCCAGGAATCAGGAGTTTGGTTTGTGTTGTGTTGTGGAAACTGTAAGACGACGAGAGCCTAGTGGTTTCCGAGCCGATATACGAGCGACTCGACAGCTGGTGCAGCAGATGATGACAGTCTTGATGGGAAGGCGGCCAAGCGATCAAGTGAGCCTGTACACAACAACTCTTACCTGAAACGAAACAGCTGAAGGGTGGCTGAAGCCGAAGAGCACAAGCAGCAGACACTACACTCCTGTTGCAGTTGCATTATTAATGCAGTCGGCTTGCCAAGAGGCGATCGAGCAACGGCCCTGCGGAGTGTGGTTGGTTGGCTGAGGATGTTTTCCCTATCATATCATATCGTGCCAGCCTGCTTCATGTGCTATTGAAACTACTCGAACCGCCTGTCACTTGTGGCAGGATGGCGCACCCACGGGAGTCAGTCAGCCTAAACCCGTCTGCCGAGCACAGAGAGTAGGCTATTGTTCTAGATCTGTGATCTCCCAACAGAAGCCACGATCATTGTACTTTCGTACAACTAGTTCTAGGCTTGTAAGCGAGTCGAGGTCGAGCAGATTACCCACGGACGAGTCTTGGAAGCCAAAGCTTTTGTTCTTGAATTGGTGACTGGAGGCATCCAATTTCCCGACAGCTTCATTTGGGGTTGGGCGAATCGGGGCACCGCGGATAGCTGACCTGACCGCTCTTAAATTTAGTATTCTAGGGGCTTACCCTAGAAAGCGGTTTGGTTGTTGTTGGGTCAGCAAGAATCGATAGACAAGGTCGTCGGCGTACACGCAGCGAAGCCTTGCCTTCAGACTCCGTCCGACATCTTGAGGGCGTCCTTTTTGCCACCAGCAACAGCATGATGCGGGCAGGATGATGTAACGCAAGGCATGGCGGAGAGGGGCCGGAGGAAAGTTTCTGTACGAGAGAGGAGAGGCGTGCTTGAGAAGCAGGAAAGTAGTGCCTGTGTGTTGCTAGTGGTTGTGCAGGCCAGGTGCCATGTGAACAAAGTGCCAATATGCGGGCGTGCACGGCGTCCAGTCGAGGCGAGTGGAGGACACAGGAGGAGTCAGGGAGTGGAGAGGGGCCCAGGGGGACACCACCCTGGGCTGTTCAGGTGTTGATGCCGTCCAATAGCCGTCTGGGTCTGCCTTGTCGGAACTTCCAAACAGCAAGGTGCTCGCATGATCAGGATGGCGATCTCTAACTCTTGATGGCGTGTTAGGCCTGCGGGTTGACGATGGCGGCGACGGTGTGCAATTTATCTTAGGCGTCGACAGCAACGGTGAGGTGCGGATGTCATGCACGTAGAAAATGCTTCACCTAGATTGACCTTACCGGTAGATAAAAGGACTGAGTCGGGCAGAACTGTGTCGTGTACGGTCGTTTACATGATGCCCAGCAGATCCGGCTCTCAAGATCTTCGGGATATTGAATTGGATGGAGTGCAGTGGGCAGGGAGAAGTCGAGCCCCATTTGGCGTGGTCCGTTTGCGTATTGGGATGGTTTGGTTTGATTGATGATTTACATTTGGATCGGAGGTTGGAGGACGAGTGAGCGGGCTGAACTGTATCGTAACTAGGGAAATTTGATGCAAGTTGATGGGCGAGTTGAGTTGCCTGGCTCTTCTGGCTCATGGAATAATGTAATTTACTTCCTACATATGTCTTTCGACAACTTTGCTTGACTTGGCTTGCTTGTTCTCTGGTCTTGTATTTACAGTCGTTCGCAGCCTCTCCCTCTCCTCATCCCTTCATGATCCCACTTGCTGGTCTCTTCTGGCCTTGCCTGCCGTTTCGTACTTCTCTCTGGTCTGATCGTGCTTGCCCTTTCTGTTCTGCTTTGCTCCAATCTCATTTCGCCTAACTGCTGTAGCCCCGAACTCCTACCCCTACCCCTGACCCTACCCCTACCCTACCTCCCTAGCGCGACGCTCCACCATCCCTGCACTATACCCCTGCGCAGTCTCATCCCTGTCGCTGGCTGCCTCCTAATAATAAAAGTCTGCCGTCCTATTTTTCTTTCCCGCTTCCATCCCACAACTCGATCTTCTTCGAACGAACAAAAGAGCCTCACTCCCTCCTTCACGGTTCAGTTTCTTAAACCTCAACTTCAACTTCAGCTTCTTCCACTCAATACCTTTTGTAATAGATACCCATATACGTTGAATCACCACCACCTATACCCATCTCAGATATGTCTGCCGAAGCAAAGCCCGTCGAGGTTGTCCCTCAAACCGAGGCACCTGTCGAGGCCCCAAAGCCCGTCGAGACTGCTCCTATCGTTGAGCCCACCACCGCAGAGCCAACAACTGCAACTGAGGCACCTGTCGTTGCTGAGGCACCAAAGGAGGAGGCTACGGAAGCTGCTCCGGTCAAGGAGGAAGTGAAGCCTGTCGAGGAGGGTGTCCTTGGATACAAGGGACCCGGTCTTCTCAAGTAAGTTATCTGTCATTCATTCATCGTGCTAGTCATGAAATCGTACCCAATACATGGCTATTGCGTTCGAGCTGGAACCGTGTTCTTTACGAGCTCCAAAATGTTTCACGCTTTGGGCATGTTTACGAGGGGCTACCAACTATTCCTTGTTGACTCCTAGCTCAACTTCGAGTGTTACACTCCGAACTCTATCAGCGGCCATACGCCCAAGCACTCTAACTAACACCCACTTCTTTCAGGAGCTTCATCTTCCAAAAGAAGTTTTTCTACTTCGGTTCCGAGCCAGTTGAGAGCAAGGCCTTGTCAAGCTACCTCCGTGGTGAAAAGGCACAAGACACCGCCAACAAGAACGTCGCTTGGGCTGCCCACACCGGCAAGGGTCTCCTGTTCTTCACCAAGAAGGCTAGCGAGAAGGCAACCCCTGCCGGCATTATCAATCTGGTAAGAAACACTCGACATCGACGAATTAAGCATCAGCTGACAGTTGACGTTTCTAGTCCGATGTTTCCGATATCACTGAGGAGGGCACTGTTGACTTCCACTTCACCCATGGTGGACACAAGCACACATTCCAGGCCAACACTCTTGGAGACCGTGACAACTGGGTCGCTGTCTTGAAGGCCAAGGTCGCTGAGGCCAAGGAGCTCGCCCCAACTGTTGTTGAGACCGAGGAATACAAGAAGGCTCACACCGAATTGACCAAGCCAGCCGTTGTCGCCGCCGCTTCAGCACCAAAGAAGTCCGTTGAGAAGCCTGAAGCCCTGAAGGAGGAGAAGAAGGAAGAAAAGGCTGAGGAGAAGGCTGAGGAGAAGAAGGAAATCAAGGAGGAGAAGAAAGAGGAGAAGAAAGACCGCAAGAGCCGTAGCGCATCCCGCAAGCGCAACTCCATCTTCGGCGGTTTCGGTATCGGCAAGAAGGAGGAGAAGACTGAGGAGAAGAAGGAGACTCCAGCCACCGAGGAGACTGCTGCACCAGCTCCAGCTGTTGAGGAGCCCGTCGTTGCTGCTACCGAGCCCGCTGTCGCTCCCGAGACGGCACCAGCTACTACTGAGGCCACCCCAGCAACTGCTGAGGCAACCCCAGCCGTCGCCCCTGTTGAGGCCAGACCAGCTGCCTCCAAGCGTAACAGCATCTTCGGTACCCTCAAGTCTCAATTCTCCCAACACAAGGAGAAGAAGCCAGAGGCCGAGGCCGCCCCAGCCGTCCCTGCCAAGGAGACTGAGCCAGTCAGCGAGACTGCCCCAGTCATCCCAGCTGTTGAGGAAAGCGAACCTTTGGCTACTTCGGTTGCTTCCCCAGCCACCGTCCCAACCGAGACCTCCGATGCCCCAGTTACAAACGGAGAGACCAAGGCTGCTGAGACTCCAACTGTCAAGACTGACAAGCGCAAGAGCTCTCTCCCATGGTTGAGCAAGAAGGAGAAGGCCACCACCAGCGATGAGGAGACCGAGAAGCCAAAGTCCCCATTTGCCAAGCTCCGTGCTACCGTCAAGGGCAAGACCTCCCCAAAGGCCGAGAAGGTCAGTGAGAAGCCAGCCGCTACTGAGGAGGCGGAGCCAACCACTGCCACCGAGACCGCGAAGCCTGAAGCCCCAGTCGTCTCTGAGCCAACCCCAGTTGTTCCTCAATCGACTCCCCAGGTTTCTGCTTCCGCATAAGCACCAACCACCTACATTGTCCGAAATCGCGTCATTTCTCACTGATGAACGAATTCATTATCGTCGGGAAACGGATCTCCTTGAAATACCCCAAGATTGATTGTTTGATTGATACCACTCTCATTTTGCATTATTGTGTCGTTTTGTTTCGTCTTTTAGTCTGCGCGTTGCATTTTTGCTGCGTATTGATACCCTATACCCAGGACTTGTCTTTTCGCAATCTGCCACTAGGGCAAAAACTCACCGTTAATACCTAATAAAAAGTCTCTTTGTTGTCGACACAACTACTTATTTCCACCATTGTGCTTTGTGACCTTGATTTGAATGTGAATTATACTTTGGGAGCAAGAGGCCAAGGGCAGTTGGTGTCTTGCATGTTGCATGACTTACCCCATAGTTCCGGTGTGGGTCTAAATGAGGTTAAGCTTGATTGATGCTTTGACTTGGAGACCATAAGTCTTCGTACATATCTTTTATTGATAGGGTTCTTCAATGCTATTGTTACACGGTGTAACCATCCGGACAATTCCGTGAAACGATGCCGCTCTCCATTCGATGCATCTGTACGACTTCTGACAGCATCACCCGAATGCTTCATCGCTTGTAGGGAGGTCGTCTGATAGATCTGGGTCTGGGGGTGGGATGGATGTCCTACGACAGACACCAGCGGGTGGTATACTGAGTTGTGGATATTGTGTGATATTGTTGGAGATGCTGCGGTGGAGGGGGAGATCGGGAGGGGATGAGAGTTTGGAATTGGAATGGAAATGGGTCATGAGTTGAGATCGGAGGCCGATGCTTTTGCTTTCCACAAAATTGAGCTCAATTCTTTCACTTTGAAAGCTAGTACAAAAAGCAAAGTTTTTGTCACCAGCCATCAGTAAACCCCTTCCAGTTTCAGAAATTTGGCTACTCAACCTTTGAGGAGAGAAATAGCAATCTGATAACCCATAGCCTGTGTTCTACTCTGTCTGTTTCTGCTTGAGTAATTTTCCTGGTTGTAAAGTATCTAGAATATGAGGACTTGAGTTACATGAGCGTAGCAGCGTTAGAGGAGAAAGAAAGGTTTATAGTGAGGTAGTGTAGGTTGTTATGCTGATTGCTGTGACGGTAAAGAGGGCGGAGGATGCATGATATGTTAAGGTGAAGGGATAGCAGGATTCTCGTTTCATGTTATGATTCACGCTGGAGCAGAGCCTGTTCGACCTGCTGTACTTGAAAGCTCCATGGCTAAGGAAATGAACGAGTGCCCACCGTGAAGAATTTCCCACAAAATAATTGGAAGAAATGTCACCTTGGAGGAGAATAGACGAGTGAGTGTTGGCGAAAGAATAAGGATCTCATCTTTCTATTCTCTAGAAATGCTATGACCGTTCGATGACAGTTCTATCGCATCCGAGTCTGGTTTAATCTATAATTCCACCCCATCAACGACACGCAAGAAAGCAAGCCAAGGAACAGAATTCATCTAAAGTAAAGGATTGTTCCTGTATTCGGGGACAACGACCGAGTTGCCTTTCTCGGCTGTCTCAGACTCGAGAGGGTTGGCATCTTCTTTTTCAGCGAGGTACTTCTCGGCCTCGAGGGCGGCTATGCATCCAGATCCTATGGAATGTTAGTAAATCATAATTGTATGAGCATGGAGGAGGTAACGTACCAGCACTGGTGATAGCTTGTCTGTATCTCTTGTCCTGCACATCACCAGCAGCGAATACACCTTCGATGTTGGTGTAACTTGTTCCTGGCTTTGTGATAATATAACCCTCCTCATCTGTAGTAACCTGGCCCTTGAAAAGAGCAGTAGCAGGATCATGTCCCACAGCGTAGAACAGACCATTCGCCTCAACAGTCTCCAGCTTTCCGGTCTTCGAGTCCTTGATCACCATATGGCTCATCAAACCCCGATCGTCACCCTTGATCTCTGCACCCTCGCTGTTGAACCGAACAGTAACCTTCTTGTTGGCCAGTAACCTCTTGGCCATTGTCTTTGATGCCCGCAAGTAATCCTTCCTGACCAAAACCGTAACGTGGGATCCGTACTTCGTCAAGAACATGGCCTCTTCGGCAGCGGAATCTCCACCACCGATGACAACCAAAGGCTTATTTCTGAAAATTGGGACCGCACCATCGCAGACAGCGCAGGCTGAGATTCCATTCTGCCAGTATTTTTCCTCTCCTTCGAGACCCAGTCTTCGTGCTGAGGCGCCAGTCGCAATGATGATAGCGTCTGCGGTATTTGGTTCTTGGTCCTCGGCATATTCGTTCCAGTACTTAAAAGGGCGTTGCGAGAGGTCTACCTTTGCGACGGTCTCGGTGATGATTTGGGTGCCGAACTTCTCGGATTGTTTGCGCATGGCATCCATCAACTCGGCGCCTCCAATTCCGTCGGGGAAGCCAGGATAGTTCTCTACGTCCGTCGTTGTTGTCAATTGACCCCCTGCTGCGATACCGTTTGCGAGGAAACCTTCGTAGAGAACGGCTATTTGGCATATTAGCATGCGTCAATGTGGCTTCAGCAGGGAGACTCACGCTTCAACTCTGCTCGAGCAAGGTATACAGCGGCTGTATGCGCTGCAGGGCCGGAGCCAATGACTATTCCAAAAGTATCAGTTAATGTATTTACACCGAAGTAAGTACCTTTTGCAAAGATACAAGACACGCGACATTGTAGGCATTGGAACGCGGGGTACTCACTGACAACCTTGCTATGCATCTTTCTTTCTGCGCTCCTGAAGAGGAGACTCGCACTATTCGTCTGTTTCACCGGCTTTTGCTGTACGCTCGCTGCTGATGCTACAGAAAATCCAGAAACGCCTGCTCGTAGAGTCCGTCTAACAAAAGCCGAGGAAAACAGCTTGACCGATTCTTGACAAAGTTGGGGGGAATCGAGGGTCGTTTCGTGGTACGAAAACTCGAGACAGTCTGCGCGGACGGTAGTCTTTGTAGGAAATAGAAAAGAGGAAATAGAAAAGAGGGGACCGGGAAGGTGATGAGTTGGCTGTTGTACGGTGTTGGACGAAGATTCCAGGTTTGTTCTGGCAGTTGTTGATTTCTAAACGGCCAAAAGTTCGCGCGTCGAGGCCCTCGCTTCGCCCCGCCCACGCCGCGGTAGCCTCTCGATAATCGGCAGTGATTACCTACACTTTCGATATGCCCTGTGTGAGTGCCATCGGTACGTAGGTACCAAAGTAATTAGTAACTGAAGTCGAAGTCGCAACACCTCGATGAGTCCACGACACGACCACCACTTCACTTCTGCATGGAATCCTAACGCCAGGACCGACGGCGGATCGCGAAGATGACGTCTTGGAATGATACAAATGGCGCCTCGCAATACTACGAATATTCACCGTCAAGCTCGTCCTCAAACGCTGCACAGGGACTTGGGTCGACGGGAAGTGGAAATGTAACTTCACAACAGCCTCGCCTCCATGCAGCCGCGCACAACATGATGCCGTCGCAGCCTCGTAACAACAATGGCTCTTCAAATGGCGACAGTCCCGCTCGTCCGTCGTCGAATATACCTCCTGTAAAGGCAAATGGCACTCCTGCTTTCCCCTCGCCACCGCAGAGAAATGGTTGGAATCCCAATGCGCTCTTGAATCCTCGAGGCTACAACTCCACACCTTCTGCTCGCCCTCCCTCACAGAACAACTTCTCGAATAATGCTACACATCAACCAAGTCAGATGTTTCAGTTCGATAGTCCCAGTGGTGAGCAGCAGATCTACCAGTCACCACCTGTTCAGCTCAATAACAACCGGCTCCCACAAAATGGGGCCAACGGCGGCTTTTCGGCTTATGCCAATGGCAATAGTACAAATGGTATGGGAGGTATGGGAAATATGCTGGAGCGAATCCATGGCGTCACCGACCGGAGCATGGTTCCTCAGAAGCGCAGAAAGATGAATGATGAGCAAGACAACCAAAGGAAGGCAGAGTTCAGTGGTGGCGGCGGGAAAGGTGGGCCTATTGGGGAATATATGAGAGAAAAGCGGAAGGAAGGTCAACGGGAAGGCATGGCAAATGGTACTACTGTACCTGTCAGTATCGATGACGACGAGGAAGTCCAGATTGTTGCAGACAGTGGAGACAAGGAGGTTTGCTATGGTCGAATTGAGGGCGTTCAGATCAATGCTTTCAAGGTCCCAACTCCAAAGCAAGGAGCGAGGGCAGTTAGTGATGCATTTTGGCCACAGGTTAGTTTGTTCCTGCTTGTCTGTCCATGGCATGTCTCAAGGATACAAAGGTCCATTGTCACATGAACTCCGTGCTAACGCCAAATAGGTCAAGATTGTGCTGAGACGAAGATTTGGAGACAAAACGACAATTATCCACGCTGTTGACGGTACGAGAGAAATTATTGGCTGCGTGGATGTGAGCACATCTATAGGATTGACCCCTATTCTTGACTCGAAATATGGCATTCGAACATCAGCAAGAATTCTTACTCGACAGAAAAAGCCAGGAGACTTAGAACCAGGAACAACAGGCATATCCCGTAAATACGATCTTGATCTGGTTCTCTATGGAGCGAAGAAGTGGGCACTTGCGATTGGCAAGCACCTTTCGCAGAAACAGTTATGGCTTCGGACTCCCTTGTTCGTTGATGCAGGCATCGAGCTTCACAATCCTCATACTATTCAAAGACCACCACAACCTCCTCCTCGGCAAATGATGTCTTACGGATCCCGTCAAGCAGTCACGCGAACGACTGAGGAGATGAAGAACGATATTGTGGACATGTTCGATTCCCTGGAGCGGTCCGAGAACCTGCCTGAAATGGACCCAGATCCTCGCATTACTACCGAACTTCTCCGCCATCAAAAGCAAGGCCTTTCCTTTATGACGAATAAGGAAAAGGAACGTGTCTTTGGCGCAGACGAGAAAGGCAACAGTTCTCTTTGGCGTTTGAACATCTCTGCCAGAGGGGAACGAAGCTATTACAATGTCATCACTGGCCAAGAAGAGAGCCAGAGTCCGCCACAGGTTCTGGGAGGCATCTTAGCTGATATGATGGGCCTGGGCAAGACCCTCCAGATCATTAGTAAGCATATTTCCTCATCTCCGAAGTTCGGTATTTCTTATCGCCTACGTCTCTCAACATGTGAACACTTAAGGACCGAGACCTTGATCTTAAGATGTTACGTTGTACAGAGCTAACTTTTTGAAGGCTTGGTTGTCCAGACCCTTGACAACGAAGCTCTGGAATGGTCTAAGCAGACGCCATGCTCCTCACAGGACAATAGAGACTTGTGTCCTGTGCGAAAGGGAAAGAATAAGGTACCTCTGCCCAAACTCGAGCATGTACCTCTCACTCTTAATTGCAAAACTACCCTTCTCGTCTCTCCTCTGAGTACCATCGCAAACTGGGAGGAACAAATGAAGCAACACGTCAAGCCGGGGACCTTGAATTACTACGTGTATCACGGTGCCAACCGGATTAAGGATGTCCAGAAACTTGCCGAGTTCGATATCGTAATTACTACTTACGGATCCGTCGCCACGGAATTTAGCAATCGAAGTAAGAAGAAGCCAGGCGTCTACCCCTTGGAGGAGATGAACTGGTTCAGAATCGTGCTCGATGAGGCACATATGATTCGGGAGCAGTCAACCCAGCAATCGAAGTCAATCTGCCGACTGTCAGCCAATCGAAGATGGGCTGTCACAGGAACTCCTGTCCAGAATAGACTTGAGGATTTGGGTGCACTAATGACATTTCTTCGCATTAAACCATTCGATGAGAAAGGCGGATTTGCTCAGTACATTATGTCACCTTTCAAGATGTGTGACCCAGATATCATCCCTAAGCTCAGACTGCTTGTGGACAGCATCACACTCCGACGGCTAAAAGACCGAATCGATCTACCACCACGTCATGATCAACTTGTGAAGCTCGATTTTAATTCAGAGGAACGCGCCATTTACGAGATATTTGCCAAGAATGCCAACGACCGGATCAAAGTCATTGTTGGTCAACGCGAGAAATCATTGAGTGGCAAATCCTACGTGCATATTTTGCAATCCATTCTTCGTCTCCGACTTATCTGTGCCCATGGCAGGGACTTGCTAGGCGAGGAAGATCTAAAGGTTATGAATGGTTTGAGCAAAGACTCTGCAATAGATCTTGACAGTGACGACGAAGACGATCGGCCAGCCCTATCTGCAACAAAGGCCTACGAGATGTACAACTTGATGAGGGAGACGAACGCCGATATATGCCTAGCGTGTAGCCGCAAGATCGGACCTAATGATGTTGAAGCAGATGGCGACGCCAAGGACGAGATCGTTGGCCATATGACGCCTTGCTTCCACATCATATGCAACACCTGCATTGATAGGTATAAGGCTGACATGGAAGATCTTGCTCGAGGACAATCGCAGTTCAATTGCCCTATCTGTCAGCAACTAATCAAGCTCTCTTACTTTGAGCTTCGTCAGGGTGGACTGGATGATCAAGAGGCATCTCGGATCAAGACGAAGGAGAATGCAAAGCATGGAAAGCATCTCGACGGCTACAGTGGTCCACACACTAAGACGAAGGCGTTACTACACGACCTGCTAGTCTCTCACGAAGAATCTTTGGCGATGCCTAACGAGCCTCCGATCAAGAGTGTGGTGTTTTCTGGATGGACCGCTCATCTTGACTTAATCCAGCATGCTCTCGCCGAAAATGGCATCACCTTCACTCGCCTCGATGGTAAAATGTCCCGTACAGCACGTGGAGCGGCTCTGGATGCCTTCCGCGATGACCCTTCTATCCATGTCATTCTCGTCTCCATTATGGCTGGAGGACTTGGACTCAATCTGACAACAGCAAGCAAAGTCTACGTCATGGAGCCCCAATATAATCCCGCTGCCGAAGCCCAAGCTGTCGACCGAGTTCACCGTCTAGGTCAGAAGCGAGAGGTAACCACGGTGCGGTACATAATGAACGACAGTTTCGAGGAGAAGATGCTGGATCTCCAGGAAAAGAAGAAAAAGCTCGCCAGCCTGAGCATGGACTCCGAGGGTCGGGGACGTATCGATAAAGCCGAGGCTGCACGAAAACGTTTGGAGGATTTGAGGAGTCTGTTTAAGTAACGCGTGCATGCGAGTCGTGCATCGGTTTTCTGTATTCTAGATTCATTCTGCTTTGCGCTGGTTTCGTTTTCTTTCATACTTGCTTGGCACAGCCTTCTATTTGGTTTGGGGCATCTGATTGAGGGCATGCAAGGCGTTTGAGCGGAAAGGCATGCATACATAGATGGGATATCATATCATGACATGGACGTGGCGTTTTTGTGGCATATATCCTCTGGGGCGCATCGATCAATTTGGAGACGTTGGTCAACAACTGCACTGAAGGCAGCAAGCAAACAAGTGAGCATTCAAGGAATGGTTGCATTAGATATAGAGAGATAAAGGAGTAATTCTAGAATCTATCTTGCCACAATTTAAACCTGTACGAGCCTATATGTGTTACACTGAGACATTAAAATTGACCATAATAGTACAGAGTCTTGAAGTACATTCGAGCATTGTTTACGTTTTCGTCGTACTGTACCCCACCGCGCAGTTTGCGAAGCGAAAAATGCCGAGCGGCGTCCCAAGCAGTCGCGAAGTCCGGTGTCACTAGTATCGTCGCACAAAGGCACAGTTTGGAAAGCCCGGCTTCATAGCCAATCAGAATCCGTGTGCTTCAATTTTGAGCTCATTCATTCGTCGGAGCGTCTTGGCCTTGGCAGGAATGATGGACAACACTTATTGCTCAGTACTTTCTTGTGGGATATAAAGTCACAGCAATCCCCAGATTAAAACCAGAATAAGCATCAAGACACTGAAGTCTCTCTGCCTCTCAAATTATATCCTTCCATCCTCGAGCGTTCAATCAAGTCCCCGAAATGGCTTACCAACACAGCACCTTCATAACCAGTCGCTCCTTCACGTACAGCTACATCCACGTCCGTCCAACTACCGATGCCCAATCCCAACTCCCAAAACCATATATCCTCTTCCTCCATGGCTTTCCATCTTCATCTTACGATTGGCGCCACCAGATTCCGTATTTCCAACAGAGAGGATACGGAATCATCGCACCTGACCTGCTGGGCTACGGTGGGAGTTCGAAGCCACTTGATGTGAAGGCTTACACGGGGAAGGATATGGCTAAAGATGTGTATGAGTTGTTGGATAGTGAGGGCGTTGTGGAAGGTGTTTTTGGAGTGGCGCATGATTGGTATTTACACTCTTGCTCAATCCCTTTTCTCTAGCCCGTATCCTACATCACTACAATTCCCAAGGCGAAATGTCAGCCAGTAGCGAGCTGACAGCCAATGATCAGGGGATCTTTCATTATCTCCCGACTCGCCAACTACTACCCTCAACTCTTCAGCAAACTCGCATTCCTAGATGTCGGTTATGTCTCACCAGGCCATGGACTAACCGAGGAAATGGTCACGTTTGTGGATAAGTCCGTCAAAGAAGCTATGGGATTCGAAGTCTTTGGGTACTTCCTATTCTTCAATGAAGATGGTGCTGCTGAGCTGTTGGATAAGAATGTCAGTCTCTCTCCATGTTTCTTCATATTCACGTGTCCCCGGGCTGTTCCGAGCTCGAAATGAGGAATGATGCCTGCTGCATTCGAAGATTCAAATAGTGCCAGATAGGAGCCTTACTGATGTGTTATTGTGACCCTATAGGTTGAATCAGCACAGTCTCTCTTCCATTCCACAGATGCTGAGCTGGGCAAGAAATATATGGGTGCCAGAGGGGGATTCAGGAAATGGCTCAGTGAAGGCCAGGTTGCCGAGAGAGAATCGTGGTTGAGCAAAGAGGTAATTTCATAGTGGTAATCACCCACTTTGCTAAGGGAGGCAATCAGCTAATGGTAACTACTTTCAGGATATCGAGCATGATCTCAAGCTATTCGGTCCTGAGAATGGAGGATATGGCGCTGCTATCAACTGGTACAAGGCTCAGCTACAGAATGTTAATGCTGAAGATGAGAAAGGTATGACTTCCCTCTCGTCTTGTCACGTACCGTTCTCATTCCCACATCATACACACTCTTACTTTCCTTAACCATTCAGCTCATAAAACCCGTACACCTCAATTTATAACTTTATGCTAATCACAACATCAGAAATCCCTGAAGTGAATCACATCCTCCAGCAGCCAACACTCCTCATCACTACCACCAATTTCATCAGCGCAAGCGCCGATTTTGCCAACCAGATGAAGCCATATGCACCGAAGCTTGAAGTTGAGAAATTGGAGTCTGGTCACTGGGTCATGCTGGAAAGAAAGGATGAAGTTAATGAGCTCTTGGGAAAGTTTGCAGAGAATTAGTAGAGAAGGATTGAGAAGGCAGATACCAATCTTATCGTATCAATAGAGGCAACTGACCCCACAAAAATTCCATCATCTCTCTCCCACTTCTCGCCATTAAAGTGGGATGGCTGAACAACTCTCACACCATAACCCTCGAGAGCTCAAGATTCATCGCTCGTTTCGTTCTATATCTCGTTTTCTCAGCCTTCCAGTCATCAACTCGTAAACTCAACCAGTTTCACGTAAGACATCCATTAGTGCATCCCGATGTCGCGACCCCAACTCTTGAGCCGATAATAAGAACACAAATACGAATTGCGCATTACCAGCAATGGATCTCAAATCAAGTACCTCCCAAACTCATGCTAGTATTTGCATTATTATGTACGATCTACAGGGGAAATACCTTTACAGAGCCAAGCATCATGGTCACGTGTTTTGCTTTGAAATCAAGTACCTACCGAAATGTGCGAAGTGGAGTCTACAGGGGGTTCGGGAGTTTGATATATAGAAGCCGTGATTACTGTATCTTTATTCGAGGCTGCAGAGTCAGTCCTGAGCCTATAACCTAAACTGAGGAGGACAATTCCTCGGACTTTCTTTTGGTTTATCCCTTGATCCTCTTCTTATTTACTTATTGCACAACCTCGCTTAACCTCCGCTTGGTCAATCACGACTCGACAATGTCAACTCAAACCCACGCTGCGGTCGTCACGGTAGCTATTGGTGCTCCGTTGGAGATCAAACAGGTAGGTTTCTTCGCTTCTTATCTCCGCCAATCAACACACTCTCGTGTTCAATGTTGCCAACAAAACACAGCTTCCTACCCTCAAGCCCAAGGGTGATGAAGTACTCGTCGAAAACCTCTGGACAGCGTCCACACCACTAGACCTACATCAAAATGACGGAGGTGTGCTCGTAAGTCATCCACAGGTCCTGGGTGATGGAGTGGCTGGAGTTGTAGCGGAACTCGGTCCGGATGTGAAAGATCTGAAAGTGGGAGACAAGGTAAGATTAACGGCTCACGAGCATCTCCAATATCCAAAAAATCCCAGTAAAAAGTCGCAACACTAACCCAAAATCCAGGTCTTCGGCTTCGCCTGGCGTACCCAATCCGAAAAAGGCCACCAAATCTACCCCCTCATCCCTCGATACCTCCTCGGCCTTCTTCCCCCAACACACACCCTCCAAGAAGCCGTCACACTCCCCAACAACCTCGTCACAGTCTTCCACTCCATCGTCACAGACCTCGGTCTCCCCCTCCCCTGGCCCAAATCCGCCTCCTACGTGCCCGAACACGCTGAATCCCCCATCTTGATCTGGGGAGGTTCCTCATCCGTGGGCCAGTACGCGCTGCAGGTGTTGCGATACTATGGGTATAAGAATCTAATTACTACATCTTCGAAGGCGCATCATGAGGTGCTGAAGTCTTTCGGGGCGAGGGAGACGTTTGATTATCGCTCTTCAAGTGTTATATCTGATATTTTGTCCTCTTTCAAGTCGGTGTCAGGAGGGGAGGAGCCCACGATTCCGTTTATCCTCGATTGCATTGGCTCAAAATCTGGCAGTATGGCGCCGCTAGCGAAGATCGCGGAGAGAGGGAGCAAAGTAGCGGTGTTGTTGCCAGTCATCGTGAAAGATGCTGGGGAGGGTGTACGGCCGGAGTATTCGATGGATGTGCCGGGGAGTGCAGACTGGAAGGAAGGGGTTGATGCTAGGGGCGTTAGGACACATTTTTATCTTGATGTGAGCTTGTTCTCCCCGCCTTCGCCTTTGTCGACCTACTTGACCAGGATATGTTTGACTAACAGGTGCAGAACCCTGTTTTCAAAGAAAAACTCCAACCGGAGATCATGCCGACACTTTTGGCTGAGGGTGTGGTGAAGCCCAATAGGTATAGGATCATCGAGGGAAAGACTTTGCTGGAGAGAGCGCAGGGAGCTATGGATGCCTTGAGAAGGAAGGAGGTTAGTGGGGAGAGATTGATTTGGAGAGTTGCCGATGAGTAAACCATGAAGTGTACTCTACCTGCACCGTACAGAATGAGACCCTTTGAGTGGTGGAAATTTGGTTAACTATTGCAACATGAACTCCTCACAACATTTCAAGTAGGTAAAAGTGTTCTAATGTATTTCAATTCTCATGCAGCTACATACATGAAAACCCGAAATTGACCGCAGCAGAAAAAAAAGGAAGGAAAAGCATGGATGGAGGATTTGATGGATGTGTCACGTTGTAGTCCAGCTTGCTTGCTTGTGTCTTTTCAGGTCGAGCCTCAGGACTCAACCCAACTCAAGCCCGCCCATCGATCGAAAATGCCGAAGTCTGCTGTGCTTTTTGTCTTTGTCATAATAGTCGTGATACGCGTGTCGGAGAAAAACGATGACAGTCTTTCTTGGAGGGAGATGCACAACACTGGAGAGAGTTGAGGAGGAGATCTATCCATTTTGATAGGATGCATCTATAGCTTATCATAGTACTAAAACTCGGGTTAGCTTGATGTTCTGAACTTACATACGAGGAGATTTTGACTTACGTTCTCAACACCTGGTACCTCGACCTTGAGACCCTTGCGCTTACGCATCTCCTGGACGATGGTACCGACCTTTGATGTTCCATCAAGAGCGGATCCACCGGGAAGAATTTGCCAATGGTCAAAGACCAAAGTTGGGAAGGCCTGTCCGGAGGTGTGCGAGCGGAGATCAGCGTTGAAGCCGAAAGACTCCATGACTGGGAGGTAAGCCTTAATGGTGAAAAGAGGGGTTCCTGGACGTTGCTCTTCGTTGAAGACGTGACCTCTACGGCGGGTAAGGACACCGTAAACACCACCCATGGCGCTCTCGGGTACTTGAATCTCGACCAAGAAGACGGGCTCCTGGAGGGCAGGGGTGGCAAGGAGGGCGGAAGCGTAGAGAACACGACGAGCAGTTGGAATCAGTTGTCCACCACCACGATGGATGGCATCAGCGTGGAGGGTAACATCCATAATGTTGAATCGGATACCTCTCATTGGCTCCTCAGCAACTGGACCTTCTCTTGAAGCCCATTGGAAACCGGAAACAACGGAATCCTTGATTTCGTTCAAGTATTGGACAGCCTTGGTCTGGTCAACCAACAAGTTGGCACCGCTGGTATCTGGACCGAAACACCAAATCTTACGGGCATCGGTAACATCCCAGCCGAAGTCATCAGCCAAGATACGGGCACGAGCCTTGAGATCGTCACGAGGTGAGATCTTTCCAGCCTCGATCTCCTTAGCAAGCTCCTCATCCATTGGCTCAGCAATCATGTAAAGGCGGTTGTGCTTGTTGGGGGACTTGGAGAGAGCAGTGATGCTAGACTTCTCGGTGACAGTCTCACGGTAAGCGACGACAGGGTCAGAAATACGGAGAGGGACACCAGCGTGATCCTCCTCAAGATCCTTCAAGCAAATCTCCAAGTGCAACTCACCGGCACCAGCGACAACGTGCTCACCGGACTCGGTGATCATGGTCAGAACACAAGGATCGGACTTTGAAAGACGCTTAAGACCTTCGACAAGCTTTGGGAGATCCTGGGCGTTCTTGACCTCGACGGAACGACGGACGACAGGGGAGACGGAAAACTTCATGACCTTCAAGTTGTGGGCGGTCTCACTGGTGGTGAGAGTTCCGGACTTCAACAAGAACTGATCAATACCGACAAGACCAAGAATGTTACCGGCTGGGACATCATCGATAGGATCGACCTTTCCACCCATCATGAGAACGGTACGTTGAACGGCCTTGATGAAGAGATCATCCTTCTTACCAGGGGTATAGTTGGGGCCCTGGATGCGGACCTTAAGACCGGAACGGACGGTACCAGCGAAAACACGACCGAAAGCGTAGAAACGACCCTTATCAGATGTTGGCACCATCTTGGAGACGTACAACATGAGAGGACCTTTGGGGTCACAGTCGCGGATAGCAATGCAAGCCTCATCATCGGGCGGACCTTCGTAGAGGGTCTCTGCACGGTACTTCTGGGCAGTGACTGGGGATGGCAAGTGGAGAATCATCATCTCCATGAGAGCATCAGCAGCAGGGAGGAAAGTTCTCATGATAACCTTCAACAATTGCTTGCCCTCCTTGTCCTTATCATCGGAGGAAAGCTTGATGGAGAGCTTCTCGAGAAGAGTGGCAACCTCATCCTTCTTGAAGTTCATAACAGCGTTGAAGATTCTGAAGATGGGGTCCAGGATAAACTGGTTGAAGGCACGCTCCAATTGCTTGCCCTCGTGGGTACCCTTGGTGGTCCACTTCTTGGTGTGGGGGTTGAAGTAGTTGTCGCCCTGAATTATGTTTAGCAGATACAAGGCGATCCAGATAGATCTCAACTTACCCAGAGACGTTCCATCATCTTGTTTCTGTCAACACCGAACTTCTTGGCGTATCTGACAGCGAATTGGCGGACAGTGAAAGCCCATCCGTGGAGACCGGAACCGAAGGCAACGGTACCCTTGTATGGGTAGACTTGGACATCACCGAGAACCTTGTCGAAGTAGGTCGAGATAACGACGTTAACGGACTCAATGGTTCTCGAGAAAGACTGGTACAGATCTTCCTTTGAGACTTGGAGCTCGAGAAGAGCACGATCGACCTTGTTGATGATAACAACAGGCTTGATACGCTCACCAAGAGCCTGACGAAGCACAGTCTCGGTTTGCACGCACACACCTTCAATGGTATCAACGACAACGAGGGCACCATCAGTGACACGGAGAGCGGCGGTAACCTCAGAAGAGAAATCGACGTGACCGGGTGAATCGATCAAGTTGATCAAGAAATCACGGCCCTCGGTCTTCTGGCCAACGATATCCTTGAGATCCTCGTCGTTCTCCAAGTTTCCGTACAGAGAGATGGCGGTCGACTTGATTGTAATACCACGCTCCTGCTCATCCGCACGAGTATCGGTAGCTCGCTGATCACCGGCCTTTGCTGCGGAGATAATACCAGCCTTGGAGAGGAGGGAATCGGTGAGGGTCGACTTTCCGTGATCGACGTGGGCAATAACGGACATGTTACGGACGTTGGAGGCCTTGTCCATCAACTGGCGAACCTCTTCGACGGTGAAACTGCATTAGAGAGATGTATTAGCCTCTGCCTCAGTCTCTGAGGGTGGAGCTTATCGCCGAGGAGGGGAATCTGCGTTGTTCGAGCTCTCCCAGGACGAGCTGGAGACATCGCCATTTTCTTTGTGCCTGGCAGACGTAATCGAGATAGAGATTGAACTTACTTGACCATGGTGGCGGTGGTGCTTCGAAAAGCTGATTAATGAGGACTTTTCTTGTCGACGCCGGAGCGCAGTGGGGTTCTGTTGACTCGAGAGTGGGCAAAAGGCCACTGATCGAGTATGAAGATATTTGAGAGCTGTCGTGGATGGACCAGACAGGGAGAGAAATGAGCGCGCAACGAAAGTTGAGGCTTTTGATGGAGGGGAGGTGGAGTAGAAGAGGAGGAGGAGGAGGAGGTCGAGGAGGTTGGACGACCGAGAAGAAACTTGCCTGGGTGGGGTTGATTGCAAAAGATTGGGCTCGCATAAATGAGGGGCAAACTAGTCACACCCCGTGAGAGTACTGCCATCACGCCGAAAAGGGCTCAAACCCTACGTTATCACCGAAAGAGTCATAAATCAGAATATGCGTTCACAACAGTCAATCAGAAGAAGAAGGGTGGTGAATAGGAGGCAAAAGGATGGTGCTGTCGAGGGTTTGTTAATATCAAGATGAAGCAAAAACGTCTAGTTCCAAGCTTGTGACTCTTCATTTGACTCTTTACCTTACCTCAATCAACAGAGCCAGAAGCACCGGGTCCCAGAGATGAACTGATTTAGGTTGACTTGAGTCCAGCCAGTCCAGTTCTGCGATGGTGGCTATCGTGACAAACTTGAAATTCAGTCAGTGGCCCGTTCCTTGTGTGCAGAGCTGAGCTCTTCATTGGCTTCGTCGGGGGTGCTGATATCAACAATTCTAGTTGCGCACCGATATCATTCGAATTAGCCTATCGCAGACCATGTTTCTTGCCCCTCCAAACTCTAGTTGTGTCGATTTGAGCGGTCAGTAGCAGTAGCAGCAGCACCATCCCATCAACAGCATCTCATATTTGTATCTGTGTACTTGAAAGTCATGAATCATGCTTGTGACTTGAGAGGACTTCGCTTCAGACCCTTGCTGGGTCATAGTATGGCTTCACTCTCTGCCTCTGCATTAAGTTACCCCGCGGACCCAATCGCTGCAGGGAGCACCTACCCCTCCACGTATCATGCTATGCCACCATGCCAAGCTCAGATATATGGCCTGAATCTGACATTAAACGTCAAGAAACGACAGCAGAGAACCGTTATGGGTATGTCATGGTCAATTCCATATAGATTCTATTCAGTTTCCCTATCAGACAGAGACCGCATTGGGTCTCCCTTTCAATATGCAATGCCAAGGCGTATCCAAGCCGGTGTCCATAATCCATGTTGCCGCTCTCCCAAACTCCTCGCTATGCCTAACAAGCCAATAAAAAATTATACAACCACATTTATGACCGCTCAGCTCAAGAAGAGCCCAGAATCCTCCCATATGCATCTTCCACCTCTGATGCTAGCTCTAACAATGTTACAATCACAATCTGATGCGTCAGATTTGGTAGCCTATCGCGGTGAAGCCCAATCCATTCCAATCTAAAAGTCTGTATTAGTTCTTTGTTTGAGTTTGGATTTTTAAACAAACTTACGGTGGTGTGGCTTCTCCCATGTCCCGCAGTTGAGGTGTCTCGATGATTGGTGGCTCAAGCGCTGTGTAGTTGTACTTTGATTGTGGCACGTTCACCTCGGCCGTAATCTTCTGTTGTTCTCCATCCTTCCTCTCCAGATCTTCCTCGTCCGGGACTCCTGTAATCTTGACTGCTGAAGGTGGTAGTGGCTTCCCCAGTCTCTGTGCAAGGGCTTTGGAATGTGAGGCGTACATGCTACGAATGTAACTGATGCGCGAATAGTTCCAGCCAACTTCGACTTTGCCTTCGAAGGAACTCTTGAAGATGTAGTCGATGTGATTGGAGCCAGGAACTTGCCAAGTTTGCATGGTGGCTTCTACTTTGGGAACCTTGAGGATAGTTCCGCCGCGAGATCCAGTTGCGTTGCTGACAACATCCTCGACAGAAATCTCGCCCACGGATTTGGGAAGGTCAACTTTTCGAACTCCTGCCAGACCAATCCGCAGCTGGCCAAGTGTAAGGCCCAGAATACTGTGGATCTTTCCGTTGTCCATTGTGACTGCAAATCTAGCCTGAGCGTCTAAGGCCTCAAGCTTGAAGACTTGGTGACCCGAAAATGTGTTCGGGAAGACTCCCATATTTACAGCTCTGAGGGTAACAATCACATCGGTGTGAAGTGAGATTGGTGAGTCTGCAACCTTGTCTTCTTGTACTGTATCCAGATGATTCTTTGAAGTGGGAGTCGTCGCATGCGCCACTGACTTGCGTTTCATAAACCTGTCAATCTCTGCGAGAGATGCTTCATAGTTGGACCTCTTCTCTTGAACCAATCTTTCGAATGCCTGGAAAAGCGCGAGGAACTGGGACGCAGTCGTCGCAGTACAGAAGACTTGTACTGCTTCTCCATCCAGTACTGCCACGAGTCGATCGCCCTTAGCGTGGCGCCCATTCCTAACATTGTACATGAGAAACTTGAAAGATGTAATATCGGCGACCAAAAAAGCTTGATAATCAAAAGCTGCCTTGGCTCGCAACTGACTGAATGCGAGGGATCCTTGTACCAGTGGTGTTTGGTTAAGAGCCATTTCGCGGGCGGGCCATTGGATTGACGTTCGTACCTTGAAGTCCTGGAGTGCTACAAATCCGCTCATTCTACCGGTGCAGTCAACCCCAACCTTGTCGAATCCGAGGCATAAGTTCTGTTCCCAATCGGAGTTCTTTTTTGATGATATCCAGAAATTGGAAATTATAAAGGCCGATTTTCCAATGGCTTGACCTAAATCCAGCTGCACGTCGAGTTCTGCGATTGACACAGTTGCATTCCATGGGAAGGCTCCAGTGGCCGCAACTTGTTGGTATCTTTGGACGAACAAGGCTTGGGATTGCATATTCTGTGCTGCTGCTGTTGAACCAGATGATGCTTCTCGTACTTCAGGGGGTACCCAGATTTCCCTGAATAGCAGGAAATCTTGTAATTGTTTGGCATTGACCAAGACTTTCATCGGGCTGATCTTTAGGATCGCTGAAACCCCACTCGTACCGCTGACATGTTTGCTGTTCATCAAAGACAGAAATACCGAGTCCACATCGAAGCTCCCTGTTGATTCACGAGAATAGACATGCTGTACTGATGCTTGCAGTCGAGTAAATGCAGCTGAGGCAGCAAAGAAGTGACCATGCTCGGTCGATCTTACAGTATTGATAGTGATGTAGATGTCGTCAAATCGAGCAGTAGCTGCCACGCGAGCAATCGGTTGACAGCTGAGACTGAACTCTTGTCTGCAGATACGAAGACCAAGGTTCAGTCTTGTTCGGCCAAGAACTGCAGTTGGATCCGTAGTCAGAATATTGTCTTCCTCTGCGCTCATGAATTTTTGAGGCGACGACTTTGGCTGCAGCGACTTCTTCCCCTCATCGTCACTGACGACCTCCCTGACCGTTGAGGAAATCTCCATGATTAGCGGGACAACAGATGGATACAAGATATTAGTAGACTCCTCCACTTTGACTTCTGCGTTGAGTGAAGGGTCGTCCAGGCCGTTATCTTTGTACTCAACCTTCCAGGCTAGACCGGGTGCCCGTAATGCAGTGTTGCTGCTTGCATCGGCGTGTGTGAACTGGCCATATCTTCCGGTCTGGGTGACTCTGGCACCCTTCATGCCTGAATTGATGTTGGTAGTTTCAGCAACTTTTTTGCCGGACAGATAAACAACTGCTCCTGCAAAATCTGCATCAACAAGCAGCGATTCCATACGCTTCTTCCCAAAGAATGGCTGCCGTCGAGTTGTCTCTGTGGGAATGGGACTACTAGTGGTCCACGATGCAGTTGCTGCACGAACTTTGTCAGATGCGTACCCTATTGACTTCCCCACTTCCGAAGCAGGTATCATGAATTGAGATGTCAGTCGCAGATCCAACGACTTTCCGGCGGCTTGGAAGGCGAACCGGCGAGCATCCGCAGTGGAAACATATCCGACGTTGAAGATGACCTCTGGAAGCAAAGCTGAGTTGAGAGATCTATGAGTCTTGTCTTGTGACGACGGAACCAGCTGTAGCTGCAAGTCTTCGATTGTGAGTCTCGCTGAATTTTCCTTCCTCGTAGAAAGGTCGATCCGCTTTAGTGACAAGACCAGATTCTCCTTCTCTGCATTGGGGGACTGGGTGGTCTCGTAAGTGCCGACTAACCAGCTAACCTGTATGTTCAGTAGCTCCAATGAATACATTGAGGCGAACATGATCATGGAGCCAGGTGCACTTTCTTCCACAGGTTCTTGCTCGTCTCTGATTGCAATTTTAGGTCTTGACTTGCGCAGCTTGCGAAGGTAGTTCTTCTCTCTCGTAAGGTCTATGTCTTTGATCTTGTGTTGCAGGTGGCCTATCACATCCACGACAGACGAAGCTGTGTCTGCGAAAAGGTTGATTTGCAATCCATCGCTCTTAAGGTGGAAAGATCTGACCTCGTCGCCCATGTGATTCGTCTTTGAAGTGGCATTCAAGGAGGCAGCAAAAGTTAGGTTGCCGCAGGGCTCCATCCCGTTTCCGTTCCACCTCGAAAGCTCAAACATGATCTCACGCAAATTCATGCGCAATTCCGGGAATTCGAGAATTGGACCAGCTGGTTCCAGGCGATTTGCGACAACTAATTGGATACATCCTAGATTCAAGTCTAACCTGGCAGTTTTGTGGTCTTTGTCGGCACCTTGCGCATTTGCAAAGACATCAAATCCCGCCAGGGTCAAATGTGCATCATATACAAGCGATTTTCCTTTGGCTGCGGTTGGTTCTTTCAACAGTTTTTGCTTGGGACCAAAGATATTCTCGATGTGTGACTGGACCGCTTTTATGTCATCTTGAACATCGGATATGACGCTTGATATTTCTGGCCGGTTGAGAGCTGTCAAAAGGCTATGGACAGCAGCAGCATCAAGTTCAATAGGCTCCACGGATGCCATGACTGAAACGGTAGTTTCTCGCTCTGACATCTGGGTCGTGATACGACCGTTTGTCGGTGGCATCCGTAGGAGGGATATGCTCTTGGGCTTGTCAGAAGGCGCGGTTTGAATATCATGTGAATGTTCTTTCACATCAAAATCGAATAGAATCTCAGAGTCCATTTGTGCTGCGAGAGAGGCTCTAGCCACGACACCGGAAACAATGTATGTTAGAGAGTGAAGCAACGGCACAGTGATCTGGTACTTGTCAAGAAACAGGGCGACGTGGATTCGAGTGGTCGAGTTTGGGCTTTTTACTGGAGTTTCTGACTTCGAAGAAGCTTGTTTCGTGGACGGGATATTTCTGCTCAACTGATGTAGCTGTGCAACTTCATCTCCGACAATGAGATCTAGGACATCGATCAATGCAAGAATGTCTTGCCGAACGACGAAAGTCAAATCTTGACAATTTCCGGCAAACTTCACAACCTTGGCGGATGGCTCGACAACGATTTCCGACTCGTAAGATGCGTAAATGGTTGGAAAACGAAGCTGGTGAATGGTCAATTCCTGAGCGTGACTTTTTATCTTCGAAGTCACAGCTTCCGCAGCAAGTGTCAAGCTAGCAACACTTTGGCCAGCTTCATCCGTTGGATCAACCATAATAAAGGAAGCCTTGAGACCTTTGCTCACACTGGCAGCTCTGATGTTTATTGTGTCGATAATAATCGAGCCCTTTTCAGTCGCGACGAGGATCTGCAGGTCCTGCTTTAACTCGGTAACAGCTTTACCGGATCCAGATGCTGGAGATGCAAGCTTCGTAGGGTTCGGGGTGCTCTGATTGTACAGCTTTATAATATCCTCTGCAAGCTCACATAATTCCCAGTTGAGATTAATGGATGCATCGGAGCAGAATACCTGAACGACGGTGTTCTGAATCAGTTGCAGATCTTCTTGTGGGCCAATATCTGCAGAGGAGACTATCGTCCTCATTTCGACAAGCGCTGCTATGTCTGATAGAGTCACCTCGTTCTGTTTAGGACCAGGATCAACCACCAATCGAATATCTTCTGTTCGGAACGACACCTTGAGAGGAACTGCCTGCGACTTTGGCAGCCCTACAGCAGGAGAGCCATAAACGTTTGCCATTGCAAGGCATCCGCTGATATTGTCGAGATCCCAGCTGCGCCATTGGTCAAAGCAAGCGTGGACACGCTCTTGGGCATCTTCAGGCACTAGCTCTGTATTCCCAAGGCAGCGCATAGCTAGTTCTTGTTGTGTCGCTGAATCGAGGCTCGCATACATGTGCCGAAGGCGGGTGACAATTTTCCAAGAATCACTTGTCCGAAGATGGTCAGAAGCTGACCGCAATACGTATGACGGTCTTGTCAAGAACAGTGGATCTGCTGCTTGTTGTCCGGCAATAGCGACGAGATACATGAAGAGCTGGACACGATTACGCTGCAACCTGCTTTGAGAGGAGAAAGATTCAGCAAGGTCAAGGCCGAGCACTTTGGTTCGGTGCAGTATGGAAGCCAGGTACTCAATCTTGGAGCTGGCTGTGGCGAATTCGAAACCTTTGAAAGCAATATTAACGCGTGTTGCTTCATTCGATACAACCCACAACACGGCATCTTCCATGATAGCATTGACAGCCGCCTGCGGATCATCGAGGTTGTTAAGTCTCTCCTTGGCTGAAATCCCCGCAGAGGCAAGAGACAAATGGACAGTCGAAGACTTCTGAACACTATCCGAAGATCCTTTATCCGCGATCGTAGTTTGCGATCGGGACGACACTGTAAGGCCAGACATGGAAAGGTCATACTGATCATTCATCTCCTGATTGGAGCTCTGGGGCCCCATAGAGTTCATAAAGCGCAAATTGATGGCTGGCGCATATAGGCCAAAGTCAACCAAATTGCTTTCTGGCATCTTCTGCTTCTGCAAATCTATCGTTCCAGATATTGACTCGCTTTGAAGTTGATCTAAAAGGTCGACAGGCTCGACTGGTGCAAGAGCGGACATAAGGCTAACAACGGCGGTGGCAGCTTTTGGATTGAGCACACCTTGAATGCCGGTTGGCAGCTCAAGCATAAAAGTAACATGTGCTGACTTCCCATCTACTCTATCTGGGTGAATGTCATCCAATCCAAGTTGAGGATCGTTGTCGTTTGTGCTATCACGAGAAGTCGGGAGGTCCTTGGTGTCTGGTTCAACTCCTTCTAGAGGGAAATACGGGGCGGCATACGAGCTTGAAAAAGTGACACTCGAAGGAGGCATGCCGCGATGGTCCCCAAGAGCACTGTAGAAGGAAGATTGCCTGCCAGTAGATACTGAGACATCTCGTACAGGTGTACGACGCCCCGGACCGGCACTGGCGTGCAGGCTCCGTGAACGTGATCCGGGAGGTTTCATCTCGCTGGCGTTTGGGCCACGTCGAGACCGAAGAATACTGGTAGCACTCTTCTGACTGGAGCCTGTCAAAGATAAAAATGAGCTTTTGCGACCCAAACGTGATTTGGATTGTTGCAGCGAAGACTTCTTGGAGGAGCTCATGGAGTTCTCCTCGAAAGATGCTTCATCATCCTCGGTGACGGGTAAAGGCATGGGGGGAACACTCATAGCAGGCGGGTCAACAGGAAATAGCATTGAATCATCAAGCAGATGGTGATGCAAGAGAAAATCTGTTCGGTGTGTTCGTTGGTCGTGGCGTTTGATATGCTCCTGTTGAAGCTGTCGATCTTTCGCAAATTCCAGCTTCCTCTGTATCATTGAAAATGATATTGTCGTCTGAACCAGGGCATGCGTCTCGACCGGATGTTGGGTTCTCGATCTATGTCTTGATGCAGATTCTGCGTCTACACAACCGAATTGGAGACCGGGAATTTCAAGTTTGAGTTTCTTGGAATAGTGTGAGCCAGCCCAATCGTTAAAATTTACTGAAATGGTTTCAGTGGCAAAAAGGAAAGCCGCTTCATCTACATGCAGCCATACTCGCACAGTCTCAATTGATGCTCGAAGGAATGTGACATCGTGCAGAATGAGCTCGGATATAGAAGGCAATGCATTTTCCTCGTCGTCAAAAGAAAATGCGAAAGCTTTTCCTCCGGCAACCAGTCGAGTGAAGAATTCCGAAGTACATTCACCGGTCACAGCACCAATAGCGAAGTCCCAATTGCAAACATAAGTTGGCTCCGTAGGCGGCAGGCCAAAGAGTCTGTTGCCATAGACATTAACTCCATCTATGAATAGTTGAGTGCTGGAGGTAGCACTGATCGGCGTCGTTGTGCCATCATCATCACTACCCTGCGAGAATGCCAGAGTGCTCAACACAACCTCTAGATCCATGTAATAGTTGGTGAACCGTAAGTCAGCTGCAAGCGTTGCGATCTCGATGCGGATATGATTGTTCGACGAATACAAATTCGAAGGTAGAATCACGCTTGATTCATCTGCACTCACACTCAATATGACATCGAGGTCATTCGACTTCTTGTGAGGAGGTTGGGGTGAAGCGTCGCCCTCGCCGCTCTGGATTGCACGGAGCAGATCCTGATACTCCTCGAGAGTTCTGAATCGTATATCGTCTCCAAAGTAGTTATCTTTGACCTTCAAGTAATACCGAATAACAAATCCATAGAATTGGGCAGTTGCGCCAAGCCCGTACACATTGAGCAATAGTGTATCGGTGTTGCTTGTTGAAGTGGTGGCATTGTACTGATATTTTCCATCAATCTCCAACTCTTTCAAAGTAGCTATCTCATTAGAGTTCAAGAACGTTGCTTGAGTGTTCCATGGCGGGACGTTCAGGTTCAGTCCGCCATTTCGGGCGCTGACCTTGAAGGGAATATCGTTGAGATGTGGTCGATAATTCTCGAGCGGAATGCATATATCAGCGTCCAAGGTGGAGCCAAAAATGATGATGAACGTGTTGTCATCGAAGTCTGACGGATTGTTGATGATATTCGAATCATTGACGTTGAGATATATCCTGAAGTCGGCAAGTTGAAGGTTGACCATGTACTGAAAAGGTGTGAAAGTCAAATATTCCGGTGGTGGTCCGCTAGCCCAGTCATCCACCAGATCTGTGAGCAAAAAGATGTGCTCTCGTAATATGAAGAGCTCCAATGCGCTGCTCTTCACATCGAATTTCCAGGTGCGATGAAAGTTCCACTCCAGAGGATTTGAGAGATCGCAAACGACGTGATTGTCTACAGATCTCCATAGCATCCCATGATTGACGCTCGTGGTTATTTCAAGGTCCGGGAGGTCCAATGAGAGTTTGTTCGAGAAACCAGAATGCCCTGCAACCATATCCATGACATAGCCAACGGTTGCATTTGCGCCAACCTTAACATCGAGCCAGCCAAATGGACGAACTTCCGGCCCTGGGTTTCCTTTGTCCGTCTTGTTCTTCCGAGTATTTCTACCGGCCCTTTTCTGGTCACTGGGCGCTGTGCCCATGGTGTCTGCCTGTTTCGTCCATTTCCAGTTTTTGGACTCCTCCCTAATGGGAACACGAAGAACGGTCTCTTCGTCAAACTCAATGTACAGTTTGAATTCCACAGGCACTCTGAACTGGCCAGGAACGAGAGCTTTGCTTGGTGTGGTGTCCTTACAAAGACTTGGGAAAAATACTCGTTGAATATCAGCACGTTGCCGGTCTGCCCAAGGTCCGTAGTTAATGATGGCTTTCGTCAAAGACAAATTTATGCCCCATTCTGGAGGATTATCTCCATTGATGTTTGCATGCTGCTTTGACCGTTTGGGACATGCTCGATCTTGAACGGTGCCTACAACGTCCCAGTAAAAGCACATACTAGCCTTCGGGCAATCGGCGATTGTAGAAACCGTGGCGTATTCGATAGATGACCATTTGGCTCTATCATCTTGTTGACTATCGTCAAGATATCTAGAAAGCCCTTGCCAGTTGTCAGATCCTGGAACTGCCTGCGAAGATGATCCAGGGCCGTTCAAGCTGGATGATAAGGATTCTACCGAGCTTCGAAAGGCGGGAATAAGATCTTGCAGTCTATGCCAAACCCTTTTACGCTGACGATGAATAAATGGATGGCTGTGGTTACGATGAGCATCTGGTTGATCAACCTCACCACTTTTGATACGAGATGCAGCAGTCGTTTGATCTTCCTTATAATCATCGTTTGGCTTCATCTGGATAACGGGATGTTCAAATTCAAAGGTAAACAGCTGCCTGTACTGATCCAGTGAAGTCGCTGACTTTGTTGCATCGATCTCACCAACAGCGCTGTCAACTTTCGTTATCAAGACGCTTTTGGTATTCTCGTTACCGAGCACAACAGCTGCCTTTTCACAGGTAACTTGAACGGGAAGGAAGCGGAGGATGAAGGCACTCTCTGAGCCCGTACCTAATGCATCACTTCCTTCGCTGCCATCCGCTTGGGACATTGTTGAGGCCTCCCGAAGCCTACCCCCTTCAGTTGTGATTGTACTCTTTTCCGTTACTGGAGAGATATCCTTTTCAAGGTCAACAGAACCTTCTGACGAGGCATCTGATTTCTCAGTATCGTGCTTTCGGCGTCTCCGTGGCTTTCCATCATGATCACCAGCTGCAGGAGAGGTATTTTCAGGGACTGGACCAGCATCTGCATGGTCATCCTTGGTGAGACCGGCAACTATCGCATCATAGGCAGCACTCCTGTTGTAAACAAACCATTCCACTCCCCTCAATGTGACGTTGAGACGACATGGAAGCTTCGCAGGGTCTCTTTTCCTGGCTTGCTTCTCAGCATCATGGTCCCTAGATTGATACCCCCTCCGGACCTCGTCCACATCTGAAGAGACTCGCTTGGGTCCAGGATCCTGATCTCGTCCCACATCCAGCTCCTTCACATTCCTCAGCCAGTACCTCCACGTCACAAATCCACTCTGGATCAAAATTGTCTCATTATTGCCGTGATATCTGAGACCCTTGAAGAATACCCGTCCTCCTAACAGAGATATTTGCAGCGCCTGGATGTCGATGTAGACTCGATGTACGTGCCATGACCATGCTCGAAGCCCATAGGATACGAAGGTTGCAAAGACTCGATTGAAGTAGAACAGGAAGAAGAGAGTTCTACCTCATATTAGTAGAGAGTTGAGTTTCCAGCCTGCTAGACTTACAAGATGCCGCATACTCCCAGCTCGACAAGAAACACCCTGGAGGATTATCAGCTCCAATCAAACAATAGTAACATTTCATACTAACCAGTTGAAGCCCGGATTTGTCCTCAGAGGGGAACTTTGTAATGATCCAGTGCTGGACATCGTCAACCCGCTCAATACGCTCGCGGCTTCCGGATCATGCTGCCTCGTGACTCCATGCTATTTATTGGTCGATTCAATATGCTCGCGAAGTTCACGGAGGATCTGAAAGCCGGACGCACAGTGTTCAGAAGGTCCTGCTAAGTTCAGAAATACAGTCGATGTTCAGTTGTTGTACAGCCAATCATTTGACCGGACTGGGACAGCTTGAGATCCATCTTCCATCCGGCTGCCCGCGCTAGTCCTTTTCAAGCGATTCTGCCGGGTGTGTTCCTCCTGCTTGTGAATCTTGGTCCTCATTTCAAGACTGTCCAACTTCTTGCTGATACTCTGCACACCACTGCGATTCTTGTCAAGCTGAAGGTGGCAGACGATGTTTACGGCACACTCAGTCGCAAAGTGATGATCGTTCCCTTAACAACATAGATTTCCAATTTTGCAAGGAATCTTGAACGCGTCATAGGATTGTGTGACTTGCAGCAATGGGAGGACTTTCTGGCGGAAGGGGGCAGAAGTTGACGCATGCTACCATCATTGTAGCTGGAGTCTCTTCTTTGGTAGCATCTCTGCTGTCTATTGTGTAGGCTATTCGACATTATCTGTTCTGTTCATACGCTAATACCGTTATCAACAGCTCCGTCTGGCTTCAAACGTATTGCCTTCCCTCTACCATAGCTTTGCAACGACTAATGGCGATAGCAAAAATTACCGCAAACCTCTCCTCCAACGATATGTCATCCGCATACTGCTCATGTGCGTTGAAGGCCCAAAATATGCCCCAGTCTGCTAAATAAACCAGGGTTCCCATCTATTCGTTGTCGTCATGGTCAAGTATCATTTCCCTCAAGGCGGCCATGTTTGTAGACCCAATTCGTGATATATATGAGGTATGGAGACCATTAATCTTTTCGGTACAACGACTAATATTCTGAAGGCCTTTACCATATATACTTTCTTTCAGCTTTTGATTAATTTCCTCGGAGGTGAGCGAGCTTTGATAATCATGATGCACGGCCGAGAGCCAGTTCATCATCTCTGGCCGCTGAACCACTGCCTCCCGAAAGCCGATATTTCCGATCCTCATACTTTCCTGGCCATAAAACGTGGAATTCTCCAGTACGCCTGGCTGAAGCCAATACTTGGTTTGGCTTCCATTATCATGAAAGCTACTGGGACTTACCAAGAGGGCTATCTTGGTTTGACTTCCGGGTACTTATGGAGTGGAATTGCATATAACATCAGTGTCACCGTCAGCCTTTACTCGCTAGGCATGTTCTGGGTTTGCATGTCGAGAGATCTACAACCATTCCGTCCAGTTCCCAAGTTTCTTTGTGTCAAGCTGATCATCTTCGCCTCATACTGGCAAGGGTTCTTCTTGTCTATCCTCGTCTGGCTCGGTGCAATTCCAGATGACGTGGAAGGGTATACCCCAGACAATATTGCCGCTGCTATTCAAGATGCTTTGATTTGCATAGAGATGCCCATATTCGCCATGGCTCACTGGTACGCTTTTTCTTGGCACGATTATGCGGATGTTACAATTTCAGCTGCTAGAATGCCTGTCAAATTTGCACTACGGGATTCGTTTGGTTGCCGTGATCTTATCGAAGACACCAAAGAGACGTTCAGTGGGAACAAATACGAATATCGCCTCTTCGACTCTGGTGATAATGTTCTGGCACACGAGGGCTCGTCTTCCAGAGTAGCCAGAATGATGGAAGGCATGCGGTATGAGCGAGGTGGAAAGGGTAAATACTGGATACCGAAGCCCGGCGATACCAATGTAAGAACACCACTCCTACGCAACAACAGTGGACCGAGCCGTCCGCTATCGCCATCAAAACCACATGACAACGATGCACAATATCTGGGATATGGAAACGGTGCCGTGGACGAGTTGACATTAGATCCCGATGAGGAAAGCTTGTATGAGAGAGCGAGGGCACTAGAGTTTGGTGACTGGAATGTAAGCCCCCCAGCCAAGTATACTGTCTACTTTTATCTGACATATTTCAGTATCCTGTTATCACCGCACACGAAGCTTCTAGAGAAAGATGGCTTAACTCTTCACCCGGCCTAGTCACAACCTCGGCAAACCGTAACTTGCTCCAGCCCACCAGGGACAATGAGATCAGACGGGCAAGCAATGTCCGTGGCACGGTCGAGGAGGTTACTAAGAAGACGAAACGCAAGCATAGTGCTTCTAATAAGAACAATAAGAGAGATAGTAGCTCGAAGGGAAAGCAGAAAGATGCCGCAACAGGCGAGGAAGGACGTGCGCCAGCTCTAATGGGAATGCTCCGACACCACTCCTCTGCTTCAAGCTCGGGAAAATCTGATCGGAGTCAGCTTGTAGATTTGGTGGTGGAAGATACAACGGCAGAGGATATTGAAAGGGTTCGTGCTCGAAAGGAGGGTGGCGCAGGCTGGAATTCCGCTGAGCCAAAACGCTTTGTGTAAGTGATTTGGAAGAACAAGATTGCTTCTCCACTAACGTTTCTGAGACGAACATATGGAAAGGATACGGGCGAAGATATCCGTGAGGGTTACGAGCCCACTGATGAGGCGTCAATCGATGACTCTAACGTAGCTGGGGAGGACGAGTTTACTGTAGGCGAAGATGATGATGGACAGTCGCCTCAAGACGAGTCCGAGGAGACAAGCCACTGGAAAGAAGCACAAGAACCGGCATTGTTGTTAAAACCAAAGTATGGACTTGATGGTGAGGAGTTTGAGAACGTGTGGGGCGGGGGAGGACCTTCTCAGAGCCCTCGTGAGAATCCTTAAGCATTGTGTAGATTAGATACCCCCTTTGGACTCCGAGGCTGTCTACATTCTGGACCTCGGATGCATGGCGAGGGCGTTGGGAAAGGACTAGCATACAAGAATTACGCCTATTGATCTAGACGTCTAAAAAATATGCGGATTTTGATTTCTTTGTTTGGCTCCATGCTGAACAATCGATGTGGCTCTCACAACAGCATCCGCAGTGAGCTTGCTTTCAGCTCTCCGCTATCACCGCCACAATGATGTGCATGGCCAAAGCTTAAGTTTCAATGCCACGAGGTGTGGAGTTTAGACTAAACTAATGCGAGATGGATGGCGCTTCAAGCATTGCGTCACGACAGCGATGCCCATTCTCTGTATCACTTTGGAGTCAATAGAGCATATGGACCATGAATTCCTTTGCTTTGCTTTGTAGAGTCACAACCACTAATGCAGAGACAGTCAGTTGCTAGTCGTCTGCAATAACCTACCTAGGTACACACTGCCTGTTCTTGCCTCTTCACAACTCCTTTAATTCTCAAAGTCACATGCACTCGACTTGACCTGTAAGTACCTCCCTTACCTATCTAGGAAAGTGAGGCGCAATGAAATTCTGTCCCCGATATCTCAGGTATCATATATCATATCTTGCCCATCATAAGGTAAGGTAGCAGGATCAATGAATGCCACAGGAGCCATCACATGATCGTAAACTTACCCAACGATTGAAACAGGCCAATTGGAAGACTCCCCTTCATTCCAGCATCCGGGGTCAAGGTGCCCCAAAACCCCCGAAGAGGCTGCCATGGATGTGCCAACACACCCCGCGTCAGTCAGTGGCTGGTTGCAGCTATTCCCCTCCAGGCCAGGACCAGCTCCCTCCGGAGCCATAGCGCCAACGAACGGTAGGCTGACGGCGGAGGGCGGATGGATATCAACAAAGACAACAATTGCATGATAGCGGACTTTCAGTCTCTTTCCTCATTAACTGTCATCTCATCATAAAGCAAAGTCCCAATCGACTATTCACGATGCTCGGCTCGGTTCAACATTGGCCGGCGGATGAAAAGTGGCAATGGATTGGAAGGCAAGGATGACTGCTCTTCCCTCTTCAGCCAACCCATCCCAACACACTTTATCCCGAGTTCGCCCTCACCCTCGCAGGGTGACGCTCCCATTCGTCACCTTCCCTCTTCACTCTTCCTTCCCTTCTATTGTCTCTTTCTCTCTTCTCTTCCGTCCCCATCGTTCTCTTCCTCCTCCAGATTTCTTCTCAACACCGCCACTACCTCAAGGACAAAACCACCAATCTCGCTGGTTGTATTTTGTCTCGCACCTGAACTCGAACTCCCTCGAACGCCTCCGAGCCCAACCTTCTTTCCAATCCCTCCACTACTGTATTACTGGCCGGCTCTTGACATGAACCCACCGCCTAGCTGTTGCAATCTGCTACAATCCATTGTCCAAACCCGCGACAGGGAACTTCTTGCCTCCGAGGATATCCCCACACGAGCCTTAAGAGAGCAATTAAGTTTTGTTCAGTTTTGACAGGTCATTGGATATCTCCAAGTGGTCTGCGAGCAGGCTTCCGTCTCGTGGCATTGTTCCGTGACGACGATTTCTGCAAAGCAGCCTCGAAACTCGGTGGCAATGATCGAACCTATATCAACATTGACGAGCAAATACTGACGATGCACCGCTCACCTATAGACATACTTGTAGATCAAACCAGTATATGCCGTCCAGGTAGCAATCTCCTACAAACGATGGGAAGGTGCGACGCAAAATCCCACGAGGGCAACGTTCAGAACCAAACTGGACAACCACCACTTGTGGTCAACAAACCGGTATGAAGTCACTGCTACTACAATGAGAGAATGGCCACTGTCGAGTGGGAAGCATGCCGTTCATTAAAGAACCGTAATCAACATAAGTCCCACGATATGAGCAACTTTGAGGGAACCAGACAGTTCGTGTTCTTCAGCATGATATTCGCAGTTCCGAATGGAATGGTAGCCGACAAAGTGATGGAGGGGGGGATCTGATGTACAAGGGGTCCGAGATAGCAGACGGACTCAGTGCTCCTTCTGCTTCGCCTTTCATCCGATCACTGACGAAACTGTCGGAAGCCGCGCCATGTCATAAGAGCTTTGTTGGAGTGCTATCTAAATTTGACCCTCGGTCAATTCGCTAGGTACGGGGTCCACGACGACCCTAGCGGGCGTTCCCATGTTAGACACACAGGATTTATCGACTGGAGCGAGACTTTCGGCCGATACAGACATAGAGCGGGAAATAAGCCTGGGATCACATTTCAGCCAATGCGTAGCAAACTCAGCGGAATACAATACTTTGAATGCCGGATTATCTGCCTCGAGGCGGGCTTGGGCGACGAGTAGGTGTACATCCTGGACTGGCATCCTGTGGGGGTATCAGTGACATTCCAGGGCGATGGAAAAGCAGCTTTGAATCGACAAGCTTACCTGAGTCTCTCCGTAAACGGATAGATCGCCAGCGATGACAGCATTCTGTGGACATTCTCCCTATTCGCGATTCCTATATCGTTGTCCCTCGGGTCTACATGTCACATATGTATGAGAAGCTTACTGGCCAAGTTGATCAAATACGAACCTGTGCTCCAACCACACGTGGGGAGTTGAATAACCCGATGTTCAACATCCACAAAGCCAGCTTGTCTCATCATATCCGGAAGTCGTAGGGGCGCCCTGACATCTTTCAGACCTTCCATACTTTCCAGGTACCTCGCACTCCATTGGCTTAGAGCGTGGTCTTGCCGTCAATCAGCAAATGCATTTCTGTACTTGACCCAATCAACCAACCATCTGTCAAGCTGCCGTTGTCAGACTGGACATTGCAATAAAGCTCAACCATTTGTGTCCAGCCTCCGGGCCTTGTTACTCTGAGCAGATCACGGAGATACTGAGTCCATCTATTTACATGGATTCCAGCAGAAACCATCCGAGAATGTACCAGGTCGAAGTTATGGGCCGGGAAAGTGAACCTAGCTCTGTTGAGTTGGCTATACAGAACATGCATGTCATTCTCACCTTCGATTCAAGTCGTCCACTTGGAGGTATACATTATCAGGCATCTCTTCTGGCTGCATCATCGGGTTTATGTCAATTCCAAGGACCTATTACAACATGGAATCAGTGTGTGCGATTGACGAGTTATTTGGATGAAGAAGAACGTTGTGATCAATTCCTGTTATCAACAGCACTTGCCTAGTTCTCGAGCTGTTGGCTCACCAGGTCTATATTGATCCTTCTTACGAAAAGCCTAGTAAGAAGTCGAAAACTCACTTCACATCGAGGATTCTGCTCTGCGACCTCACTTGCCCACCTACCCGTTCCATAGCCACAATCAAGTATACGCCGAGGTCGGTGGATGGGAGGGAATATCAATCTTCCATCGAAGACTCGATTCAGAACACTGTGGAAGATGTTGAGACGTTCCACTTCATCCTGCATTGCGTCAGAAATTGGCACAGCTGCGTCTGTCCAGGGTCAACTTACCTCGTCACATGGAGCAAGATAGGACAGGTTGTCGATGGCATATGACTGATAAGTGCGGTTATGGTACACTTCTGTCTCCAAGAAACTGTTATCGACTGCAGCCTATATGTTATCAGCCAGAACAATCTTAGCTCAGCATTACGAATTATGACCAGCGCATCCTCCCAGAATATATGATAGAGTTGAGCACTTGGCTCTGCTCGCATCGAGGTGTTCGACCATTCCTTTCACTGCTCCAAAAACAAGAACCGTCAAGTTGTCTTTCGGGCTTACACGACATAGCTAGAGCGGGGTACAAGTGTCTCCGGCGACGATGATACTATGGCGGCCTCGAGATCTTTCGAAAAGGGAGGAATTTTACGAGAAGTCATTACCGTGTCTGCTTCCGGGTGGCTACGGCCATGCTGTTAGTTGTTGCTTCTTCAGGAGAAGATGGGTTGACTCACGCGGCCATGGTTGGTTTGCAACCTTCTGAATCGTCCCAAAGCTGATGTCTTTGCCGATCAAGCTCCTGGTTACGAGAGGTCGACTTCGAATGTGTCCTTCATATGACTGTAAAGAAGCTCAATTGAGGTATCTGCTAGATGTTGCCACAGTGGATAGTGCTTCTAGTCACCCAACGACCCATTGAAGACGATCCTATTAAGCCCCGTCGAGACATGAGCGCCGGAAGCCAATATAATTGGCTCGCCCCTTTGGGCTGTCCAGTTCTGGGCTCCCTGCTGGCTTCCGATATCTCGAACTGGTTTTGTTTGCAGCAAAGGATGTGCTTGACGATCAAGCACCTCTGACTGAAACGGGCTGGTACGGCGCGAGCGGCACGGATTGAAAGCAGTGGAAAGCTCTGGCTGGGAACAGCCAACAGTAGAAGGCCAAAAGAACGAAGGTCGTGGATCTGGTAGCGGACGCTTTGGAAGTCTTCGGCAAGAGGGTCTAAACACTCTGCAACACTTAGAAAGAGTACATCCATCTGGCACGTCCAAGCATTCAATTCTACCACTGCAAATGATATTAGGAGAAACAGCTGGGCTTGACCCGAGAGCAAAGAAAACTTTGATGTTTGGTTCTGACCCAATCAAGGATAATTAGCAATTCACTAGGATGGCTAATTCGCTGGCAGCTTCTCCCCTGCCCTGTCGAAATATTGGGCTGCAATCCTAAGACTTGGGAGTCAAGTCTGCAAAAATCGGCTTCTGGGCTAATTCACGATTGACTTTTCATGCTACTTTATCTACAGTGCAAAGTTTGAGGAGGGGGAAATTGTGGCGCATCTCTCGTACCGAGGATTTGGTTACTGGGACTGCGCTCAAGTCACACCTTGTATACATGCAGTGGAATTCAGTCCAAGGCTGGTATCACGTACACGGGACTTTGATACATCGGTATTTTTTTACAGCAATTGGAGAGACAACTTTGCCTGCATGTTGTGCTGGCCGACTTGTTCAACACTAGCCCGCTTCTGGCCACCCAGCAGCCAGCGTTACAGCGTTACATTACAACAACAACCGCCATCATCGACACTCAGCCCCACTATCCGAATTCGTCCTTCTTTCCGTGGGGGATTTCGACACAGAAATCTGGGTTCCTGTTTGTAGCTGAATTTCCATTCTGCTGCTGTCGGCAATAACCTTGCTCCATAGCTGCAGTAGTGCTGCAAGTCCGATATCCAGACAAGTTTAGGGTCGTCGGTACAACCTACCGTCTATAAATCTTCGGCGGCTCGTGACGTCCCGCGAGGATGGCTTGTGTAGCGCAGAGTAGCACGATTCCTAAGCAAGGAGGTGTGTGAAAGTTCTTGGAAAGTTTTGTCGAATGACCACATACACGTATGTGCAAACTTTCCGAGCAATTTTGACATGCAACTTTAGCTCCAAGATTCTGTCGTACCCTTGAGTTGATGGCGTATCAGTGCTATTCCTCTTGAGGCGCTTATGTGGGGTTTTGTGCTGGTCACACTACATTTTGTCCCCTCTTCTTGCCATGGATAAGCGGCACTTGAAGTCACTACTGCTGTAATCCACGATTGATCCGTGGTGGTGTGGGGGCCGCCAGATCTCCGGTACGGCTGTGCTGTGCAGTACGGCGGATCCTGCTCTCATCTTGCTCATTAAAGTGATAGACTTGATGACCTACGACTCTCCATCAAGCTCGAGGACCTCGACAAGACGCTTGAAGCCCACACTTCAGGGCAGAATAGAAGAGTCCCTCGCTAGCGCTTACAAGTAAGGTAAAGAATGCTTTATATGCTGATATTAAGGAAGTTGATCCCATAGGAATAGTAGCCCTACGGGGGTTTTTTTATAGATACTATCTGCACTTCTTACAGATAATATCTGTAAACAGGTATTTTAGACAGATTTTCTATCTATATTTTAGTTAATTATCTGTATTTTTCTCTACTAGATTCTCTAATTCTAATTGATTTTTAAAGATTTAGAGTAAGAATATAGATATTACTTATAATTTAAGGGAAATATAGATACTATTTATATTTCTTATAGTATTAGTTCTAAAGGTAGAGAAACTCTAAGGCTATATCTATATAATATCTAAGAATAAAGTAGAACTTAATATATACTTAAGAACCTTAGGAGTATATAAAATAGTATAAAACTAATAGAAGATATAACTGTGCTTTATTAGTATAATAATATAAGGAGTAAGGAGTTAAGATAGTAGGAATTTTCTTAAGCTAAATATAAAGTAAAGTTATATAATTTAGGTAAAAGTAGTAGGGACTAGTAGTATAGCTTAGTAGCTATACTAATTAGCTAATATATTACTATAATAAATAAACCTAAGGTTAAAGAGCTAATATTTCGAGCTTACTTACTTAGCTTACTTTACTTATAAGTATAAGATAGACTTATTAATAAGTTTAAAATTCTAAGTAATATATATAATTTTTTTAGTATTTTTAAGTAGATTTCTATTACGTGTAAGTAAGTTGAAATATAAGAGTAGATATAATATATAAGGCGGTTCATAGCTAGTAGCTATATAGAATACTACCTTTAAAGTAATATATCTTTATAATAAAGAATAATATAAGTATAATTTTTTAACTAGGAAATACGAAGAGAACTGAAATATTTAATTCTAGAAATTCCTATGATATGATATAATAGAAACTTAGTAGAGAGAGAATATTAAAAGAGTAGTAGATATAAGGAATATAAGACTAAGGCTATATATAGAAGTAAAGGCTTTAGATATAATAGCTGAAATAGCGATATTTCTATAACGTAATCTGCTATAAATATAGTTTTTTAACTAGGAGATATAGAATAATATAAAATAATTAATTCTAGAATTCTTTATAATATAATAACGTAGAAAATTAGTAGAGAGGGAAAATATAAAAGAGTAGTAGATATAGGAGTTATAAGGTATAGATAGAAGTAAAGGGTTTAGATATAATAGCTGAAATAGTGATATCTCTATAATATAATATACTATAGATATAGTTTTTTAACTAGGAAATACGAAATAACTTGAAATAATTAATTCTAAAGGTTATACTAGTGCGACGTGCCAGAAAGTAGTATTATATAGCTTTCTTAATATAAGTAAGTGTTTTACAGGTAGTACTTTATAGTTTATAATAATGTAAAAGCACGTGAATATTTAATAACTTATCAAATAAGGCTAACTTAATAATTATAACTAAAGCGACTTTATAAATAACTCCCTTAGATAAGTAAGTCCTATATATTTAATAACTCTGTACCTTAACGATAGAAAAAGGTGATATTTATATTAAATTAAAGCTAAATACTATAAGTATATATAGATAGGTTTTCTATTATTATATATAAAGGGATTTAAGTATTATAAGTAGTTTAATTAAGTTTACTTTAAGTTAGAGATATCTTTACTTTAGTAAGTTATAGTTATAAGTTCAGTTATTTACTACCTTACTAGCGCTAAGGTAGTAGCTTTATTACTTCTATAATTATATAAAGACCTCCTCTGCCTCCTTTTTTAACTTTTATTTCTTCCTTTAATAATACTTTAACCTTATAGTTAATCTCTACTTCTACCTTTTTCTCTCTTTTCTACTATAGCTTTAAACCTTTAGTATTCTATTCTACTTTCCTTCTTACTCTTATTATTATCTAAATAGTATTCTTACGCGTTTAGTACTTACTTTACTATTATCTTTAACTCTAACTTTAACTTTAACTCTAACTTTAACTCTAACTTTAAGAATATCTATAAGTAAGCTCCCTTACCTTTAGTACTTTAACTTAGTTAACTTTAAGCTAGCCCTTTGTAACGGTCCGGTATTTACTCGCTGTAAATACAGAAGGCTATAGTTAATCTCTAATAATCGAGAGGTAGGTATATCACGTAAACAGAAGATAATTACTAAGTATTAGAATACTATTTAAAGTTAAGCACGAAGCTCTTATCTAATAGTAGATGTACTAGTCTTATATAGAACCTTCGTTCGCCTTAGATCCCTTAGGATACTAGATCCTTAGATCCTTAGATCCGTTTTCCTATAAGAGGATCCAGGGATCTAGGGATCTATCACGTGACCTATCATCTACTATAATCTAAGTAACTATTACTACTAAAGCGTAAGTATATAGTAATACCACTTGATTATCCTATATCCTTCCCTAGCTAGTACTACCTTATTAATAGTACCGCTCCCTTATTAGTACTAATACCCCTATAGTACTACTAATGTTTTTATTATTATATAAGTGCTAACTAAACTGTAGCGCTAAGGGGTCCGTAATACTATCCCTCTCTTAGCTTAGTGTAGTTCCTACACTTAAGTATAACCTTAAGAAATATTAATAGTTACTAACGACTACCTTTCTTATCTATTATATTTAGTATCGTAAAGAAATCGAGTGTCGCTTAGATAAAGTAAAAACAGAGTATTTAGCTTATACTCTATATTAAGTATACTACATAACTTATAAAGTCTTATTCCTTCTACTGTAGCCTTTCTTATACTTACTTCTTAGATTTATCTATTTCGAAATAATACTCTAAGTGTGTTCACTTAAAGTATTACGATTATAGTACCTTAGGGTATATTAAGAGATTCACTCTTAAACGACTTATATATTAGTTTAAGATAAGAAAAACCGTGACCCCTACTCGCTTTCTAACGCCTCCCTCTAAGCCCGTCGAGGATAATCCTACTTCTTAGTTCCCTACTTTCGAACTTAACACCTACTTAGCGTCTTTCTTCAAGGGCCTAGCCTCTAACCTTAGGTCCCTTTTCTTTTAAGTAAACCTAGATTTCTTTAATAGAATCCCTATAGAAGCTTAAGGTAGCAGAGGTTAGATTTAAGTTCCTAAGTGTTTTCTAATTATAGGTACCCTTTCTATTTAATTAGATATTTTAGTTTACTATAGAAATACTAATAATTAAGAATAACCTCTACCTTATATTTAGCGTTCAGATTAATCAGTTATATTTCAGTAATA